AGGCAATGACAACCGCTCAAAGCCGCTCATGCCAGCTTCAATACCTGTCCTACCCTAGATGATGACAACCAGTATCGAGACAAGAGAGAAGTACCCTGTACAAGCATAACAGTCGTTCATGTCACATATCATTGCAAAACAAAACCGACCACGATGCAACCTGCAAGCAAGCCTCGAGATGGGCGCTCTGCAGCCTACCTATGCAGCCTGCCCGCGCAAGCATGTCGATCCTAGCGATGTCTCCCATTGGCCCTCGAGGCCATGCATGCAAGGATACCCGACAGGTGCGGTCTGCGAGAGACGGGTACGAATGCAAGCCGGACCCTCTCGGTGAGCAGTGCGGTATCGGGAACGTGAGGGTGTATCTCTTCGTCCGGGTTGGATCGGGCTGTCGATGTTGAACGACGTCGTCTCCATTATCTAATACAAGTATTATTCTATGCAGCCCAGGTACAGCTTGTTTTAGAGGAGTTTTCATCGAGCTTGTAATACCTACTTCGGCATATCAAACTTCGGTCATGTAATCCACTTCTTCTCTTCCGGCTGGGCTTATCACCCATTCTGTCTGAATAGCGCCTGAGTGTCGAACCAATACGTGATGATGAGCTGCTCAGCCACTTACCGCAGAAGTTCAGTCACTAGGCTTGATCCACTGCTCCGAACATACATTTTCGAGTAATGGGATGCATTGAGTAGTGGAAACAACATTGTTCTACAGTTAACCCATCGCACCTAAGCCAGGCTCTGAACTGTTTGCCTGAACACTATCTACCATTGGAGAGCCCGCAACGTAAGCGTGGTTTGACGTCAACCCGCGAGTACACAGGGACGACTGACTTCTACCCCCACCTAGTCCCCCCCCACGTATGGACCCCTCGGTAGGTTGGGAAGTATAGTATGTGTCTGCACGACTTCGTCAGCTCGACCTGATGTGTGTGTGATGGGATGTGCTCATGGGGATGTCCTTGATCTTTTCTCTCACTTGCCCCTCCTTCTGCTTTGGTGTAAGCTCTGTAAATAACTCATTCGTCCCATTGACAAAAGTGCCAGAAATGCCCCTCATTGTGGCTGAAGCTCCCAATGTCCTGGCCTGCCTCCATGCCTGTTTGGGGAGGTGGTCAGGTTCCTGAGGCATTCAGGAAATACACAGGCTTAAGTATCATCTTCACAGCCTGGGTCCCCAATTGGGCGTCATCCGCCAATCATTAGCCATGGTTGTTTCCAAAGCCCCAAAGCGCCACAGCTTCAACTGCGGAGCACCACGAAGCGTGGCTTGAGCACTGTGCAAACGGTGAGCCCGCTGATACAGCTCGTGTGGCTCTTCCCCGCTGTTGGCGGCGCCTGAACACAGTTGTCGTCTGCTCATCCGCCGCACCTGCCTCATCAGTGACCAATGACCAGTGCGGTGCCATCTCGACTCCTCATGCGGGTTTCATCCATTTCCGCCCTCCAGAGACTGACCTCTTTGCGAGTTGCTTCTCCCTCACTTCACACTTCTCTCAAGACCGTCAGACCTAGAAACCACTTCCCCTTGCTTGCGAAACCCTGCCGGCAGAGATTTTCCACCATGAACGCCCAGGAGCTCACCCACTACCTGGCTGACGCGCCGCCTTCAGTCGTGAGACTGGAGATCGAGAAGCACTTTGAGCCTCTCACCGACAAGCAGAAGCGCTATGCGCACTTCATCAGCAAGTAAGAAAGCTTTTCCCTCCGTGATGCCATGTAACCAAGACCTCCGGGCCCGGATGCGCCAAGCTTTTATGGGGTGCGGGAGCTAAATGACACCCCCAGAGCCTCTTTTGCTGGTAGCCGCATTGTGCTCAGACAGCTGTCCCCGGAGTCGGAGCCCATCTACGACTTCATCATTGCCCTGCACAAGTCGAGCGGAGGCGACTGGAACGGTCTCGCCCAGAAGGCTGGTGTCGATGAGACTCAGCTGACCCACTTCCTCGAATATGCTGCCCAGTTCTTGGGAAATAATGGCAACTACAAGAGCTTTGGCGACGCCAAGTTCATCCCCAGAGCCGAGGAAAAGACCTTTGCTGCTCTTGCCGCCACCTCGCCCGATGCTGAGCGTTTCTACAAGGCGACCAACGGTGCCATCTTCAACTCCGACAAGCAAGCTTTGATGCACCTCGGATACCCTGACAAGGGCCACATGACCACATACTACCCCGACTCCCCTCACATCACCCAGGATGAGATCGAGGCCGTGTCCGCATGGATGGAGAAGAAGGGTCTTCTTCCCGAGAATACCCGTCTCCGTAAGACCAAGGAAGGCTCTTTTGAGCTGCTTATTGCGTCTGCCGTTACCAGCGTTCCCGCCGAGGGAGGCGATATCGGCAAGGAGACCGAGTTTCAGCTTGAGGATGGCCTTCTCAAAGGCAAGACGATTAAGCTGGTGTACGGCGACTATGCCGCAGAGATGAAGGCCATCTCCGAATATATTAAGAAGGCGCAGGAGAACAGCGATAACGAGACCCAGGCGAAGATGCATGAAGCCTATGCAAAGTCTTTCTCGTCCGGCTCTCTGCTTGACTTCAAGGACAGCCAGAGATACTGGATTAGAGATAAGGGCCCTATGGTGAGTGGCACGCATTGCCTACAGCAATCTGGTCTAACACTCGGGGCTAGGTCGAGTCAAACATTGGTTTCATCGAGACATACAGAGACCCCGCAGGCATCCGTGGCGAGTGGGAGGGCTTTGCTTCAGGTATGTTCACTGATCGATTCTCTTTTGACGGAGTACTAACCCGCTTCCAGTTGTCAACCGTAAGTCTCAAAACTGCCCATTACAAAGATCTTGTTGCTCAGCATTTCACAGTTGAGCGTACTCGTGCTTTCGGCGAACTCGTCTCCTCTGCACCCAAATTGATTCCCCTCCTCCCCTGGAGCAAGGACTTCGAAAAGGACAAGTTCCTTTCTCCTGACTTCACCTCTCTCGAGGTTTTGACATTTGCTGGTATGTGCAAACCTACACATGCTTTCAGACGGCGCTGACCTACATTTTTAGGCTCGGGCATCCCTGCCGGAATAAATATGTAAGTAGATTGCAAGATTGACGCCTCTGTCTTTTTCTGTAAAAACCAGGGACGATACTGATACCTGACCAGCCCCAACTACGATGACATTAGGCAGACGGAGGGCTTCAAGAACGTTTCCCTTGGCAACGTTCTGAGCGCCAAGGCCCCCAATGAGAAGATTCCATTCATATCGGAAGCCGACCTGGATCTGTACCATAAGTACAGAGACCCCGCTTTCGAGGTCCAGGTTGGCCTGCACGAGCTGACTGGTGAGTCCTCTTGATGTTGATCCTCGATTGTCACTAACTGGAGCAGGTCACGGCTGTGGCAAACTCCTCCAGGAAACTTCTCCTGGAACCTTCAACTTCGACGAGAAGAACCCTCCCATCAGCCCCTTGACCAACAAGCCTGTTACCACATGGTACAAGCCTGGCCAGACATGGGGATCCGTCTTTGGCAGCCTTGCTGCTTCGTACGAGGAGTGCCGTGCTGAGCTTGTTGCTATGTATCTTGGGTAAGGATACCGAACGTCTTCTCACTGCCTCTTGGCTGACGCAGGTTTAGTTGCGAGTTCCCCGTTCTTAAGATCTTCGGCTTCGGCGACGGAACTACAGACATTAACAACGAGGCCGGCAACGTCCTGTACGCTGCGTACCTGCAGATGGCCCGCGCCGGTCTTGTCTCTCTCGAGATGTGGGATCCCAAGAGCCAGAAGTGGGGTCAAGCGCACTCCCAGGCTCGCTTCTCTATCTTGCAGGTTAGTGGTGACGTTGTGGATTGATACTTGATCTTGTACTGACCATTCTGAAGTGCTTCCTTCAAGCCGGCGATGACTTCTGCAAGTTGGAGTACAAGAACGACGACCTGTCTGATCTCGAGATCAAGCTCGACCGCTCCAAGATTCTGACTACTGGTCGTGATGGTTAGTTCTTAGCGACCCTACGAGATTCAGGGATATGAAGATGCTAACTCCTCATAGCTGTGGGCAAGTACCTCCAGAAGCTTCACGTGTACAAGGCCACCGCCGACGTCGAGAACGGCACCGCTTTCTACAAGGAGATGACCAACGTTGACATGGACTTCTGGGGCACCAAGGCCAGGAACGTCGTTCTGAAGAACAAGCAGCCCCGCAAGGTTTTTGTCCAGGCCAACACCTTCCTGGACGAGGCGTCGGGCAAGGTCAGCCTGAAGCACTACGAGGCATCACCTGCCGGCATGATCCAGAGCTGGGTTGATCGCGATTTGTGACTAAGCTCAGAACCCAACATGCCAACAGCCAAGTTGTAGGGGGTTTAAGAGTCCGAAGACAAAAGGAGGGGGCGGCATCACTTGTAATACCCTTTCTTATTTAATACCAAAGCCACCAAAAGGGGAGGCGAGAACATTGGATTGAAAGCGCAACTTGGGCCCTGTGTACCCTGCGCACCTAGTCCATGGAGGGAGGCCATGTGGTCTAGTCAAAAAATGCCCCGTACAAGTCCACGTCTCATGCAATTGAATCATCGAGTCGCGTTTTCCATTTCAAATATTGACATCATCCATTTTTGGTAAGGAGCTCTTCCCTAAGGGGGGTTTGTGGGTGCGTGGTGACGAGTGAGTGTGCTGTGCCGGTGGGTGTACGTTTGTGGACCAGATGTTTTATCTTCTTTGTGTGTTGGATTTGAAGAACCTCATTACAGACGCCAAATGTGACCGATGCCGTCGACTTCCAAATGCAATTGGCAAAACCAGCCCAGCCCGTAGCCATAAGTTCTTCGTCGTCTACAACAACCACGTTCTCAACCGCAAAAAAACCTGGGGTCGAAGAAAAATGTTTGTTCTTATTTTTGTTCCCATTTCCCTTCCCCGAGTCTCTTTTTTCCCCACCCTTCCAAAAAGCCTTGCTACCCTTCAATCACGAAAGCAGCGCAGCAACAGGCGGGAAGCAAGCAACCACACGTCAACGAACCCAGATCAAACCAGCCGGAAAAGGACTGTTTACCAGGTCATCTCGTGGGGCTTGTCACCCTTGCGCAGGCTGAAGGAACTCGCCAGGTAGGAGGCGAGCATGTCAACCTTCTTGATGCTGGCGAGCAGGGCCTTGTCGACGGCCTTCTGGTCAGCCGCACGGCTGCTGTTGACCTCCTTCTTCTGTAAAGTAGCACAGCTCGTCAGTTTTCCATTCTTTGTATCATATCGAACCCTGCTTCCCTTCCGATCCGAGAGGAGCTCGTCTCGTGGGTAGATGGGTGTATGGTGGTGTGAATCGTACCTGGGGCTTCTCTCCCTGCTTGAAGAAAGCGTCCTCGCCGGTCTGCTTCTTGGCCTTGTCGGCGGTGAAGTACTTGGGTTGCGAGATCTCCTCAATCTTCTTGGAGTCGACGCCGGAGACGTCAACCTTGTAGGATGTGGCGATGACGTAGCGGGAGTTGACGCGGCGGAGGGGGACGCCGTTGATCTTGAAGGGGCCGGTGACGAGGAGGACACCCTGGTCGAGGGTCTTCAGGAGGACGACGCGCTTGCCGCGGAAGCGGCCGGCGAGGAGGATCAGAATGGTGCCGGGCTGGAGGGTCTTGCGGGGGGCCCAGGGGCGGACGGCCTTGCGGACCTATGTTGACGGTGGTTAGTATCGCTGCCGCCTCCTTATTTGAGTGCGTATTGCTTTTGCTTGTGGAGGGATATGTCATTCCGGTCACGAGCGTCTTCCTCCCATGTCTCGATTGTTTCTGGTGCGTGTCGAATCGCGATTGCGTAGTCGATGCTGGCGTTGTGGCTTTTACTCTCTCTCTCTCAAGGCGTATGAAGTTTTTTTTTTGGTGTCGTATTTCGATAAGTTGCGCTCGGGTTGCCAAGTTCCTCCTCCAATATTCCCTCGAAGGCCGCTCGTGATGACAATTCTCCCTCCCGTCGCGGATGCAACAAGCGCAACACTTGTGGATTGTAGCAAGAACTCACCTTCTTGGCCTCGGGCTCATCGTCGGCGTTGTACCACTTCTGCGCCTTCTGGGAGGGGGCGGGGACGACCCGAGTCGACGAGCCGAACTTCTTGGTCGTGGATTCCGTCTTCGCCGACATGGTTGCTCTCGGTCCTCGTTGAGGGCTGTGGTGGTTAGCGGGAATAGGGGATCGTGAACGAAAAAGAAGAAGTGGTTGGTTCTCGTTCAGAGGTAGCTGGCTTGTCGATTCGTGAGAAGCAGGAAATTGACGAAATTCCTGTGTATAGGGCCTCTAACCGAGAACCCTCTCCCGCGCTAGTCCCGATTCGTCGCAGTGGAGGCAGTCGCCGCTGGTATCTCTCGGGGCGCGGATTCGGTAGGCGGTGTGGACACTCGCTTTTTGAACGAAAAGTAGGAAAGGGGAAAAAGAAAAAAAAGCTTTACGCCGGGAGAATGTGCTTCCGATATTCCGGGCCCAGACTCAACCACCAGTTGATGGAACCCAGATGGAATCCCCTAGCTGGAGCCTTCTAGTGTCAATCCCGCGCCCACACTGAGGCGCATCTGGCCAGTACCGGGTGTGGATGTCACTGGACGTCAACAAACAACCGCGGAAATGAAGTGCACTTGCATGGACGACATGCCACACGGTTGACTATACAAAAGCATTGAGACGGCATGGGTGCCTTCTTTTTTTTCTTCTCTTCTCTTCTATTGTCTCGTGCGTCAGCTCTGTTGCTCTTGTCTTTTCTCTCCCGATTTCTCTGGATACCATAGACCTAGGTAGAATAGAAGGGCGACCTAGAGGGCGGTGTTCCATCATTTCGTCATGCGCATGGACCACGTGGTGATAAGATAAAGCTTCCCGAACATGCTAGACGTCGCCGAAAGTACGAGAAGGTGCAGGCAAAATCACCCAACTCGGTGACGACAACGCCGGGGTTGGCCTGAAGATATAAGGGGTAGTGACCTCGACTTGTTAGCCATTGCTGTGTCTCATACCGGTTTTTGGACGAACTTTTGCAACATCTGGTTACTACACCAGTAGTAGACAATGCAAGCCAGGAGACAATTCATCTCATCGGCCCGGCGCATCGTCGGGTCATCATCACCGAGACCTGCACGTTTAATCTCAAGAGCCATACTCAGCGAATCGACCGCGCTCAGAAGCAGTGGCAAGCTCCTACCCACGATTGCCATCCGTACATATGCAAATGGCAGGCCTCACCCCCCCGGCGGCACCCACCGCATGAACATGGGTGGTGAGCCCGAGAAGCCGGCACTCGAGCAGTTCGGCATCGACCTGACGGCCAAGGCCAAGGAAGGGAAGCTGGACCCGGTCATCGGAAGAGACGCCGAGATCCAGAGAACCATCCAGATTCTCTCACGCCGGACAAAGAATAACCCCGTCGTGATTGGAAAGGCCGGCACTGGCAAGACAGCCATCCTGGAGGGCCTCGCACTGAGAATCGTGCGTGGCGACGTCCCGGAGAGCATCAAGAACAAGCGTGTCATCGCCCTGGACCTGGGCTCGCTCATTGCGGGCGCCAAGTTCAGGGGAGACTTCGAGGAGAGACTGAAAAAGGTCTTGACCGAGGTCCAGCAGGCAGAGGGCGAAGTCATCCTCTTTATTGACGAGCTGCACACGCTGCTCGGCCTCGGCAAGGCCGAAGGGTCGATCGATGCGAGCAACCTGCTGAAGCCAGCGCTTGCGCGTGGTGAGCTTCAGTGCTGCGGTGCAACCACCTTGGAGGAATACCGCTTGATTGAGAAGGACGTCGCCCTTGCGCGAAGGTTCCAACCGATCATTGTGAACGAGCCCACCGTCCAGGACACCATCAGTATCCTTCGCGGCATCAAGGACAAGTACGAGGTTCACCATGGTGTACGCATCACCGACGGCGCCTTGGTGGCTGCCGCTACCTACTCTAACCGATACATCACCGACCGATTCCTGCCGGACAAGGCCATCGACCTGATGGACGAGGCCGCGAGTCATCTCAAGCTTGAGCATGAATCGAAACCCGAAGACATCATGGCTCTCGACCAGAAGATCATGACCATCCAAATCGAACTCGAGAGCTTGCGCAAAGAGAAGGACGTGGCCAGCCAAGAGCGCCGCGAGAAGCTGCAAGCGGACTTGAAGAAGTACGAAGAAGAGATGGCGGAGCTCACAAAGCGTTGGGAGGCGGAGCGTGCCGAGATCGAGGCCGTCAAGAAGACCCAAGAGGACCTCGACAAGGCCAGGATCGAGCTCGAGCAGGCACAGAGAGAGGGCAACTTTGGACGTGCCTCGGAGCTCAGGTACAGCGTCATTCCTACCCTCGAGCAGAAGATTCCCAAGGACGGCGAAAAGACAGGGGGCAGCCTCGTCCACGACGCCGTCACCGCCGACGACATCGCGGCAGTCGTGTCGAGGGTCACCGGCATTCCCATTTCCAAGCTTACATCCGGTCACATCGAGAAGCTGGTGCACATGGAGGATACTCTCCGCGAGGCGGTCCGCGGCCAGGACGAGGCCATCAAGGCCGTTTCCAACGCCGTACGCCTCCAGCGTGCCGGCCTAAGTGGCGAGAACCGGCCACTCGCATCATTCTTCTTCCTCGGACCTACCGGCGTCGGCAAGACGGAGCTCTGCAAGAAGCTCGCGGGCTTCCTCTTCTCGACAGAGTCGGCCGTCGTCCGCTTCGACATGAGCGAGTTCCAGGAGAAGCACACCATCTCCCGCCTCATCGGAGCGCCCTCCGGCTATGTCGGCTATGAAGATGCCGGCCAGCTCACCGAGGCTGTCCGCCGCAAGCCCTATGCAGTGCTCCTCTTTGACGAATTCGAGAAGGCGCACCGCGATATCTCAGCGCTCCTCCTCCAAGTTCTCGACGAGGGCTACCTCACCGACGCGCAGGGTCACAAGGTGGACTTCCGCAACACAATCATTGTGTTCACGTCCAACCTTGGCGCTGATATCCTTGTCGGCGCAAATCCCATCCACCCCTACAAGGAGATGGCTGACGGCGACATCGATCCGTCGGTCCGCAAGGCAGTTATGGACGTCGTCGCCGCCAACTACCCGCCCGAGTTCCTCAACCGCATTGACTCCTTCATCGTCTTCAAGCGCCTCGCCCTCAGCGCCCTCCGTGACATCGTCGACATCCGTCTGCGCGAGCTGCAGCAGCGCCTCGACGATAAGCGCATCGTCCTCAGCGTCAGCGGCGAGGTCCGCGACTGGCTCGCCGAGCGCGGGTACGACCCCAAGTTTGGCGCCAGACCGCTCAACCGCCTCATCACCAACGAGATCGGCAACGGCCTGGCTGACAAGATCATCCGCGGCGAGCTACGGTCCGGTGACACAGCGGTGGTGTCCATCAAGGAGGACAACTCGGGACTCGAGGTGGCGGCGCAGTCCAAGGCGGCGTAAGAAACGTGATGACGATGTACGATGATTCTGTTTGTATTGCTATTTCGGAGAAAGAGAGGGTCTTGCATGCACGGAGTATTTTGAAAGGCATTAGGCTGGATTTCTCCTCTCATGAGGCGTTCATGAAGAGTAGTGTAACAAACAACCCCAGGAAGGGTGTACTGTGTGCAGACTGTAGCTACATACCCATAATCTCACCACAAAAAAGTACAAATACTGTACATTGTTCTACAATGCTCGTGCGCGTATACCCACCCGCCCGCCTTTCGCGTGTAGCCATTTGTCCTCTCTGAGTTTGTGTCATCATCCCTGTGACGTACCAGTGCCTGCAGCACGCGTCCAAGACATCATTCCAGGTAGGGTCGTAGAGTCGCGAAACTTTAATACCTTTTCTGACCAAGATCCGTTCGAGGGGCCCCCGCGTAGAACGTCACCGAAGGGCCAGGGGGATAGAGGTAAATGGAGACTTGTCGTGACACACATCACACGACACAACTAGGTTAAAAATGATGACAAGTCTATAACGATTCTGTCCCAACTCAAGGCTAGAACTACCTGAACCCCTCCATACCTAACAACAAAAGACGACAGACTGGAGGTAAAGCAGGTGAACCGCCCCTTATAGGGGTTCCAACCAGCCGTGAAGAACATCGTTAAGCCCATGTCTCATTCCATCCCTACCGAGAATGGCAGACGACCGAAACCACCAAAAGAGCAGAAAACACCGATTCATGGAGTTTGCAGAAAAGGCAAGAAAGCCAGGGTTCATGAGTAGGCTTCCCCGTCACGTTTGGACGGGGAAACGTATAGAGAGTTGCTGCGTGAGGACTGTACAGATTTCCCAACCCAAGACGCCCCCTTTCTTCCAAAACGAAACTTGTCCTTTTGAGACCAGAATGTGTGCTTGCTGCGTCGAGAGAATGCCAGTGGAGTGTGGCTCACGTGATGTCAGGACCACCATGGGGAGGAGGGGATGGATAGACGGAGGGAGGAAATGCGAGAAAATGAGTTATGGACTATTCGATTGCCTTGTGAACGGTAGCTGTGCGAATTACAACCGTAACAGAGGGATGACGTGAGAGAGTAGCAGAAGAGAGGGAGTCCGTTCGGCTTCTCTTCGCGGCATTTACTGGTGTCCCGCCTTGCGCAGGGTGGTGGCAAGCCACTCGAGACCCTCGTAGAGACCATCACCGGAGGTGGCGCAGGTGGACTGGATGTACTGTCGAAGGGGTTAGCATGATCGCAGTGAATTTTCTTGTCTGCGCGACGGGAAACGTACCCAGGCGCGTTGTCTCAGGGAGTGGAGGCCAAGCTTGTCTGTGATCTCGGCGGCGTTCATGGCGTTCTGTGAAAGAGTAGGTCAGTCGCATGCTTCATCAATGGAACCATCAGGGGCTTTGCGGGGGTGGGAGAGTAACGTACGGGCAAATCCTGCTTGTTGGCGAAGACCAGGAGGATGGCGTCCCGCAGCTCATCCTCGTTGAGCATGCGCTGGAGCTCCTCACGGGCCTCGACGATACGGTCGCGATCGTTGCTGTCAACAACGAAGATGATACCCTGGGTGTTCTGGAAGTAATGTCTCCAGAGAGGACGGATCTTGTCCTGACCACCGACGTCCCACACGGTGAACTGGATGTTCTTGTACTCGACAGTCTCGACGTTGAAGCCTGAAGGGTTGACCAATGTTAGCACACCATTCTTCCCCCTAAGGTCAATGTGCTAGCGATGGCGGGGCGCGCCACTTGCGATGATGACACGAGCAGAGGATGATTGTCAGGTTTGCGTACCGATGGTGGGAATGGTCGTAACGATTTCACCGAGCTTGAGCTTGTAGAGAATCGTAGTCTTTCCGGCGGCGTCGAGACCAACCATCAAAATTCTCATCTCCTTCTTTCCCCAAAGCTTGTCGAAGATCTTGGAAAACGCGAGACCCATGTTTGCGGTTCGGACTGTAGTGAAGGTCTAAGTGTCGGGTTTGGTTGGGTAGAGGAAGAAGTAATCTGTTCAAGACCGAGAGTGTAAGCAAAGCGCGATTGAATCAATTTAAATTAAGGTGACGTCGAGAAGGAGGCAGTGCGGGCGGGATATAAAGCGATGTAGAAATGCCTCCGAAAGGACAGATTTTGTCGGGGACGGGCAGGACCGGGTAACTGACGAAAGTTTGCCTAGGCGCTGACCAGAAGGCGAAAATGTTGCGATGATCGGGTCAAGGTTGAAGTTGAGAACCAGGCTGCCGCAATTCGCAAATGGGAAGAGGAGATAGCGGGATAGAAGAAAGTGGATGTGGACAGGCGACGTGGAGGGAGGGAGGGATAGGGATATTGGATTGGGTTGGGGGGCGTATGGTGGGCTGCTTTCTCGCTCTGTCTGTACCGTATCCTGAGGTGTCGTGTCCAGACCGATGCAGGCACGCGCACGAGAGAGAGCAACTTTGGCCGAGGGGGTGAGAAAGGGGAATGGAAAGCCGACGGCGAAAATGACACAGAGGCTGGGAGAGCGGCGAGTCAAGACCAGACAGGAAATGAAAACAGTTACTCACGTTCTTCACGGTGTCCCTCTTGCGACGGAGAGTGACTGGAGAGTAAGAGAGAGGGGGTTAGTTTGGAGTGTCGTGGGTGTGAGTGTCGGTGAAGGGGGGAGACAGTCAAGTGTCAAGAGGTTTAGGTGGAATAGAGGCGAGCAGAGGGGGTGGGCTTTGGTAAGATAAGTTCGGCTCGGCGAGGTTGGTGGTGATTTTGGGAGCCAGAAAGGCCATGTTTTTCAAACTCTGTGTCCCCACTTCTTCCTGACCACCGCTACAAACGGACGCCACCCTCTGGCCTGCTAAGGTACTCTCCCACCCGAAACGCTGCCAGCGGTACCTCCCTCTGGTCCCGCCGCGCACATCACCTTAAACTGCCCACGCTGTCATGTTTGCGTGCTGAGGGACCAAAGGTACTAGCCTGCGGGCCACGGGCCACGGGCCACTTGGAGCTACTTGCCTGTCTCCCTGTGGCCGCCCCCTTCTAGCGCTGTTGACCACCGGAGACCCTTCTGAAGCAAGAAGTACCCGCATCACGTGCAGGGGTCCTCTTTATGGTACTTGGGAAGGGGAGCTGTCGGAAAAGCATCGGTCCTTTGCTCCGAACGTCCACACTAGTCCCCTTATGGATCAGCCTCAAGCCCAACCAGACTTCGCCAAAGTGTCCAGACTCAAGGCGCAGGGATCACCTCCAGGAACCGATCTGGAGAACAGCCTGGACACAAACTAACGTCGCTCCTTTTTTCCCCCGGCCCTGACATCTGCCTGCCTCACGACTACAGCATAGCTCGACTTTGCTGTGCCCGCCCGACCAGCAGTCTTGTCTGACGCTTCTCTCTTCGAACCCCCTCCTCCGAAAAAAGAGCTACTGCAAAGAAGCTCCCGCCATGTTCTTTCCCTCGGTCGCCAAGCTGCTGCTTGCAGCTGGCTTTGTCCACTCGGCCCTGGCCCACAACATCCAGCTGCCCGCCCACGGCCGCGAGTGCTTCCACGAGACGCTGCACCGCGATGATAAGATGACTGTCACCTTCCAGGTCGGCGACCGCGAGTTTGGCAGCGCCGGCAACCTGGACATCGACTTCTGGGTATGAAACAAGCCATCACCCACCCAGGCGCGAAGCTGGCGCGCAATTGGATCACATGTAGCTAACCGGCAAATCCCCTTGCAGATCACGAACCCCCAGGGTCAGTACGAGACCTTCGACAAGAGCGTTTCCAACGGCGACTTCTCCTTTGACGCCAAGCACGACGGCAAGTACACCTACTGCTTCGGCAACGAGCACTGGGGCGCCCACAGCAAGGAGGTCTCCTTCAACGTCCACGGCATCGTCTACGTCAGCGAGACCGACGTCCCCGCCGACCCCCTCGAGACTGAAGGTAAGGAAGACCCAAGAATTTGTGGCCAGGCAGTAATTGGCGAGGAACTCATTGGGACTAACACACGCGCGCTCTCAGTCCGTCACCTCTCCGAGCTCCTTGCCCAGGTCAAGGACGAGCAGTCCTACATCGTCATCCGCGAGCGCACCCACCGTAACACCGCCGAGAGCACCAACAGCAGAGTCAAGTGGTGGAACCTGTTCGTCATTGGTCTCGTCGTCGGAGAGTCCGTGTTCCAGGTGTGGTGGCTTCGCAGATTCTTCGAGGTCAAGAGAGTGGTTTAAAAACAGCCGTCTTCGTTTTTCGTTTCTCGGATACCCGTGCTGGGGACGACAGGTCGTAGGCGCATAAAAAGATTGGGAGGCTTTGCGAGGGCACGATGCCGGAAAGGGGCGCAATTCCTAAGCCCTCCGGAGACGAGGTTGGCATGTATAGTGTATCATAAGTCACACACGAATGACACGAACGATTCTGAACATGAGATAATGAGGTCCAGTACGCGAGCCTCAGGACGGCGAGACTCTTGGAGACTGTGGAGGCTACGGGGTCTGCGGGCCTCTCGACATGTCAGACCAGACCTAGATTCCGTTTGTTGCAAGTCGAACCCCCCCCCTCGGCTGTGTTGGCTTGGACTGTGGAATCCATAGTTTGGCGTTGAGACATCTGTCCAAAGACACTGGAGCGCTGCATAAAATCAAGCTTTCTTGAGGCACCGCGCATGTGGCCTCCTCCAACGCCGAGTCCTGCAGCGGAAAGGGGAACCCCGACTGGCAGACATCTCAGCAACAGGCAGACAGCTTACCCGAGTAAGCCCACCACGTCAACCCGAGTCTCTCGTCCGAAAGGCGTGCGGCCAACCACCATAGCTAGCCGACCTGAAAAGGCCACACTTGCTCGCATCGTCAGTGCACGCACTCCCCAACCGCGACCAGCCAAACGCCAAAGCTCGCCCGCCCATATCTCTGGAATGAACTAGACCAAAGGGGCTTCTAGTCCAGCCGCCTCCAAAGCCGTCGTCTGCCATATCCGTGTCTCAAGAATCCCCGACCCGACACTAGAGGCCGTTTGCTGCACGTCAGGCAACTCGACCGGGAGCGGGCGGGCTCACCGGCTGACCGGCTGCCTGGCGATGGCGCCAACGGCTGAGCACAATGGGATGTCCACAAGCATAGACAAGAGCGGCCGGTAGGGACCACATATCACGTACACATCAAGTACACGTCACGAGCAACCACCAGGAAGCGGAGGCCAGATGTGGAATTTGTGATCTCGAAATATAAGTTCTTTTTGGTCATACTGTGGCCATCATGACTCCCTCTAACCCGACAGTCATTATGTACGTCATACATCGTATTTAGGGCCAAGTGCATTATGCCTTTCCTACAATAGCCACGAGTCCATCTCGTAAGCACCAAAAGAGTTGTGCATCATAGAATCCAACAAGCCAATGCCGAGACGCCATACCATCTGAACCCAAATGTGAGGCCCCTATAAACAAGAAATAAAACCAAGCAACAGCAACGCAAACGTGTCATGCTTCATACGCCTCCGAGGCCGCTTTCAAGCGTTCGGGTCAGACTCGGGAACGTTCTCCTTCGTCTCTTCAGGTATCTTCTCCACCGGGATGTCAACTCCCTTGACGGGATGGATCAGCATGGGGGGCAGGCACATCCGTCCCTCACCGCCACGCATCTGACCAACGGTAGAGCCGTCTTTGCTCAAGTCTTCTGTCTTTTCGAACTCCTCGCCACCATCGTTGTTGACCTTGAGGCCGAGCCAGCGGCGGTAAAGGTTCGGGGCGAAACCCGAATTGTAGAACCAGCTGAGGCCGCGGAGGTTGTGCTCCCGCTGGCCGAAGACAGCAGTGCGAGAGCCGCCGCTGGCGCCGTTCTTGCCGCCGTTGAGGACCTGCGCCAGGTACTCGGTAGGCCATTCTCGGTCGACGAACATAGGATGAGGAGCAAAGACAGCCTTGTATCCGTGCTGAAAAGCAACCGTCACGGGCCACATTTCGGGGAATGCGAAGTGCTTCTTGAATGCAGTTTCGCGGTGCATGGTCATGAGAAGGCGACGGGACATGCGCGAGGCAGTGATGATATGCGCTCTTCTAGGCGGCATGGGCTCGTCCCGGTTGTTCTTGTTGTAACCCGTGATATCCTCGGACAACAGCCAGGTGGTTCCCTCGGGATCGAAGATGGGGTTGAAGGCAATGTAGTCGGCCTCTTCGCCGACGCCCCAGGTGTACTTGTCCTTCTCGTAGGTGGTAGGAGGCTTGGGGTCGTTCTCGATTTCAAACCAGTCATCCTCGCTGGTGGGGCGCTCAGGTCCCCATATGGTCTTCTCTCCCCTCGAGATCTTGGCGGGGTTCTGGTTCTCCTTGTTCTTATTTACGCCGGGAATGTTCTTCCACACGTTGTCTGGGCCTTCGGTACCCATCTCGGATTGGACACGGGCCATTTGTCTGAAATCCTCCCACGAGCCGTGAACGCTGGGGATGTAGAAGCGGGCGTTGCGCTCCCAGAGGCCCTTCCGCGGCTGCTCCTTACCCCAGTTCTCAATCTTGGAGAACAAGTCGTAGTAGTGCCCAGTGTAGCGAATGTCCATCTCCCAAGACCAGTAAAAGTCATACTCGGGGTGTTGGTAGGCGAAATACTGCATAGCCATAGTGAGACCGCGGTACACTCCGTGGACAGGCAAGTCAGGGCCACGGGTGTAGAGGTCGAAGATGCCCTGGTACAGAGACAGCATCTGGGTCTCTGTCCACAGCGTAACCAAGCCTCTGAACTCCTCCGGGATGCGCTCTCTGATGCGGCGCTCGTAAACCTCGTGGTCGGCCCAAACCGGGTATGCTGCATCGTTCTTGATCTGGACCAAAAGATGAACGTCGTAGCGCCCGCCCGAGGCCAACGCAAGCTCGGCGATGACTGAACGGACATTCATGATATCTTCCTCGCGCCAGTCGTACTCGTCCCAAACGCGAATCACGACGGCGGTGCGAGCAATCTTTTCCTTTTCAGTCTGTTGTTCCTGGCCGGGATTCTTGTCGTCTTGGGTAGCTTTGGCGTTGGGCTCCAGGTTCTCGAGGGGATCGCGCGTGACAAGTGTCGAGTTCTGGGCAGGCTCGTCGATAAAGAAACCACGAGCAGAAGGAGTCTTGGGAGGCATCGGCTTGTATCTGTCGGTGTTGGCCTGGTAGCAGCGGCGCTGAGCATCGGCCCAGTCGACTTGGCGCCAATCAACCTTGGGCGTCTTTTCCCATACGTCTTCGGAGCCTTCGTTTTCGCCGTGCTCGCCAATTCCGAGCCCTCCAGCAGGAATGGAGTATCCGAAACCGTAAGGCGCGTAACGTCCAAACCGTTCGTAGCAGATGTCTTCGGGCAGGTCTAAGAGCTCATAGGAGCCTTCGGCGTGTTGGGGGAATCCTTGGGGTCGCCCATCAAGATACCTAATCGGCGGAATGCGAACCTTGTTGTCCTTGTCGATGAAGCACTCATTCATCTTCTCGGGCTTGGTGACGAAAATGGACCCGGGATGCTCGACGAACTCCTTGCTCTTGGGAACAGCTCGCCTCACGGCATCGTCCTTGCCGTCTTCGCTCGTCGCAGTGGCCGTGGTATTGATGTCGAGCTGGTCCAATGGAACCTCGTCCTGGGAGCGAGGGTAGGAGGGGATGTACTTTGAAGGGGAACGATGGACCTGACGCCACCATAGTATCTTTGGAGGAAGTCAAAAGACTCCCACACCGGCGGGGGGTCTGGCTTCTTTTCCACCTTGCCCTCTATGATCATCTTGTTCTCGACGTGGCTCGCGCGTACTAGAGACATGATCATGAGGACGATGAAGGTCACCAGTCCAAGACAGAGGTAACGAATAATCCGGTTGGGAAGTCGATAAAGATGCGTGCGTGGGCGGCGGGCCGTCGCGAGAGCCCGCTTCGGGAGCATCATTGCTGCGCTCGAGAGGGAGGTCGAGGTATGTCTTGAACTCCGCGCACTCGGCGACGATGCGGAGGAGTAGTCTTCCGATTCATCGTCGGAGGAGTAGTAGTCGTCGTCGTTGGAGAGGCGCTCCTTTGTGCGTAGAGGACTTAGTTGCTCGTACTTTGGTAGTCTACCAGTGCGGTTCTCGCGAGACCGCAATGGGTTTGAGAACATGCCCATGGTACTGATCGGGCTCGTGGCTGGAGGTTCTGCCGTTAGCTCGTGCGGGGAGACGAGGATAGCGATAGGCTGTTGCTTACCACGAGGAACCCGTAAACGCCTCTGGTTTCCGTGAGAAGCCCGAAAGACGGGCGAGCGTCTGTTGGGTTCCTGCTATTGGGTTGTATGTAGCCGGCGATGCGCGTATCGGCAACGAAAGACGCAAGGTTCGGCGGAAACTGGGTATCGCAAGGAATGTATAGCGAAAGACAGTCGAAGGCGGATGGATACAATGGACAGGATAAAGTACGAGGTGGTGAGACGCGACGTGGAAAAGATGGAGGTGAGGTTCGGGGGCACGATGCTAGGGCATCATTGTATGGAAATGAAGCGCAGCAGGGGAAACGAAAGACGGAGGCTAGTTCGGGCCAACAGAGCCCACCTCGAGTAATATGGATCTATCAAAGCTGGATATGAGGTGCCCCAGACGACGGCGGGACAACATGAGGAAAAAGGGCAGGTCGAAAGTAGCTAAGCGACCAGGTACGTACAAGCTTGTCTAATCCCCGTAGCGCAGCACACCCGACTTGCTCGCCTTGCATACACACACACACATGCATAGTATGTATGGCTCGGTAGTCCGAGAGGTGATTGGCGCCAATGTACGTGTGTATTGTATTGTGCACAGTGTGGGCTGGCTACATCGAGTAGCATCCCATTGTTGTTCGGCTGGAAGAAAAAGAGATGGTGTGGAGCTCACTCCCAGTCCTCTTTCCCCCTATCCCACGCAATCGCCACTGAAAAGATTGGATCTGATTGGGAAATCGGTGGGGGTTTCCAGATGGCGGCTGGCCAACTGGATGTTGCTCTGAGCAACGGCGACGTGGGCGGTCTCTGCAGGCAGAACTGCAATGCTGCGAACCACCCCCGTCACTGCTGCCGAGAAAGGCCACAACGCCGCACCGGACAAGCCCCAAAGCAGCGACGAGCAGCCGAATGGGCGATTGCTTAATGCTGACTGGGCTTGCTGGCGATTCGAGGTGGGCGCCAATGCGGGTCGCCCAGAACTTGCAGCGTCCAAGAAGACACGGCAGGGGTTGTCGCCTTGGTCTCGACTTTCTCGCTGGAAGCCCGACTGGGGTCTCCCTGGCAACCACTCGACAGCCTCCGGACTGGTTGCCCGCTACGGCTCGGCTCCCTTGATTGAAGGTGTGTTCCACTTCCCGTGCTCCTGCAATTCAGGACCGTTGAAAATGCTTTCTTCCGGGCACTGTCCAAGCCGCCGGTTTTGCTGTTGCTGCTCCTCCTCCTCCCTCCTCGGTCCACCTTTATCTGGCTTGTCGCATCACTGACTGACAAGAGAAACCGGACAGGCGACACTGACTGACTAGTAGGGAAAAGAAGGTGGCCCCCTCCCCCATTTCGCAATCTTGATTGACGAATGGCCGTAACCTCTATTGCTTTGCATTTGCAGGTACAACCGATGTATGATTCAATCACGTCCCGCGCCTCATCTCGAATCGTTGCCTGTCTCGTCGCAACCCTCGTCCGACCCGTCGTCGAAAAATGAGACTAGACGAAGCTGCAACATGTTCGGACGCGTTCTTCTGTTTCGTCTCAACATCGCATGCTTGGCTCTTTCCTTGAGACAGCCAGCTGGTACTCGACGTAGCACCTGCCAGCCCAGGTAGAGGCATTTCTTCAGATAGTCCAGCTCAGCCTGAATCTTGTTCCATCCATGCACCCCGCAGCGTCTCCTCTTGGGTCCCCAATTTCGACGTCATGCTGCCAAGCTGTCGATGAGAAGGCAGGAAGCGCAAATAAGTGCATCCCTACAAGAATGGCCGTGCTACCTTGCGCCTACGAATTGCGATTCGCGACTCATCTCATTTCAGACACTAAGAGATTGTCGCAATGAGGGACCATACCGGACCATCAATCCATCGAGTCTTTGCCGGTTGGCCCTGCAGATTCCAACCGAACAAATTTAGAACACGCCGAGATTTCCCACGCGAATATCGGTTTGCATACCCATTTTTCATCTTGTCCTGCATGTGGCTGAGGGCGGAAGTCTCTTATGGCGCATCCCCGTACCGTGGTTGAGTGGTACTGCACTCTACAAGTCGTCCTTCCGATGCAACCCCCCTATGTTCATCCCTGATCAACGCTATCTCCTGAGCCTACAGCCCGTGCTTGCTTACCCTTCCTAGCCCCGCATACATTGAAAATGGCGCCGTGTCGATAAGATTGGTCGTCCGTAATGACAAGGCCTTGACGCGTCCTGTCTCACCCAACGCAGGCTGTCGGCCACCGGATACTCTCTTTGAACTCAGCAAAATCTCGAGACAGCATGCGGCGAGCCGCATTCCCCAAGGGACCATGCCGGTTCATGTGCGGTGCCGTCTGTACGCTCCGCCAATTACTACAAGCCGACAATCCAGCAGGGCGGAAGGCAGGAAACAGCTTGGCGGTCTTGTCCATGTGCTCTCGGCATTGGCAAACTTCACTACCACGGCCCTCCCGCCAATTCCGTGGCGGTGGGATAGACTTTTATAGGGTGCAGTCATCCTGACGGTGAGACGCAACTCTGTTCTAAGTTTCTCCAGCAGGCTGCAGGCACTGTGGGAGCTAGGTGTGTAACCCAAAGAAAAGAAACGGGGCTTGCAGCTATGGCTCGATCTCGACGTCGTTCGCTGTCAATGGTTCTCGAGGCGGTGCACAGCCAGCGTTTGCAAATACGAGTCCTGGTTCAGCAAATTTTCGTGCGCGACACGAAATCGTTGTCCAACCGTTGTCGCTGAAGCCGCTGTTGACCCAAGGCCTCGCCGCCTCCTGAACATCCATCTCAGCAAGCGACATCATAGTGCAGCCAGCCAATGGACAGCGTTTCGGAAGGGAGTCGGCTGATCCGCTGCCGTCGAGTTGCTCAAGTGCGCCCCTCTTTGTGGGGACAAGCACACGTTTTGGATGACTCCGGCGGCTCTCATCAACCTTTCCAAGGGTCGCTACCTCCTGACCTCTCACCGTCGCCGGGAGTCCAGGTGGCCCTCCGTCACCGGCGCTCTGGGTAACGTTCACCCGAACTGGCGGTGGAACCTGAGCGACCTCAACCTAACGTCATGCTTGGGATAGCTTCCGTTGCGCGTCGGCCTGCGTTGCTCAGGTGCGGTGTGTTGTCTATGGGCCTCCATCGCGCTCGTCCATTGCTACCTATCTTCATGCAGCTATTCTTAACCAATAGCAGAATCGCACCGACTGCAGCGGCATCCAGCTGGCATATTTTCTGCCCCCTGGATCTGGAATTCGACCCTTGACTCGAGAGACACGAGGTCCGATGTCTCTTAGCTCACGGTTTGCGGTACTGGCTTTGCCCTAGACCGCTCGTCGAGGCGGGAACTTTGCCTATCTCTCCCTCGCACGAGCCTAGTGTCGAGAGTTGCAGGCCAAAGGCTATATGCGGCGTTGCGGTTCAAACTTCCAATCAAACTAAAACTAGCCACTCACGTTTGTCGCTTTTGTCACTTGATCAACCGTCACCTTGACGCCCAGCTTCCCGACCCCGCATAGGTCTGACCTGCAAAGAGGACCCCCGGTGGCTGTCTCGAACCTCGTGGCCACCCGTTTCTGTGACAAGTCAGCTTGACCTCATACCCTTGCTTTACTTTCACTTCGCCCTACTTACTTTCTCCCAGACTTTTCTCTCTTATAACCCGCTCCGTCTCTTTCTCTCGCTCGCAAAGAAACCGTGTGCTTGTAGTTTTCCTGGCCCGTCACATCGTGCCTCGCTGGCCGTGCATATTAGTGCCCATGCGTCTCATCAACTCTTGAATAACCACAATGTCCGTCGCCATCACCACGTCGACGTCAGACCTCCTCCATGAAGAGCCGAGCAGCGCCGCCCCCAACGCCTGCGTAGGGCTAGACCTCAACCAGGCCGCCGTCAGCTGTGTCCTCAAGCAGGAGCCCATCTCCGTCACTCTCAATGGCCCGGCCATCTTCACCCTCTCCATGGCCCTGGCCCTCATCATCCACTTCCTCGAGCCCCGGGTCGCTGAGTGCCTCCTTGTTGCCGTGCCCATCCTTCTCCTCGTCCACAACGACTACCACAACTTCCTCGGTCTCGGCCCGGGCGGCACCCCGCCACCTTCCAGGGTTATATCCGCATCGCCTGGCTCCGCCTCTGGGCCATTCGGGACCCCTTCACGGCGCCTGACCCGGACCCCAGCCGCCTGCCGAAGCGGGGCATCCTTCGCCAAGCTGACGACCCGCACCACCGGCCTCTCCCCTACCGCCCCGGCCCGCGGCCCCAGGTCGCTGGCATCGCGCCGCAGAGGCAGCTAGACCAGCACGGGACAGCGCCCCACTACCACGCCCTACGGCGGACACTAGAGAAGCTCGCGGCGGGGAACCCGGCGCGGTTCGGCACCGCGAGGTCGTGTCTCGAGAAGCACGGCCTGGGCCTCTTCGCGCGGCACCCGGTCAACGTAACGTGCAACGGCGAGGTGTGTCATGTCCACGACTCGGACCACTCGCTTCACATGAACCTGCACCCGGAGGACATTCGAGAGGTCCTGGCCAAGGGGTGGGGGCAGAGGCACCCCCTGGCGTGGAAGGGGAGGCTGGTGAGGATGCCTGTGCCGGAAGAGTTTGTCATGGTGTACGCTCCGCGAGGTACGTTTGTTTTTCCCGGGTTCCGATGGACGAGACCTGTTCACGCTTCGCCATTTAGCACCTTAAAACAAAGCTTGCGAAGACACTCCATGAGTCGTCCCCCCCTTGTCGTTGACCGTTCCCACTGACGCCGCGTATAGATGACCACGAGCTGAGGATTGTATGCAGGATCATTGAAGCGGCCATCTGGTACGTCGTTTCCGAAAAGACGGAGATCCATGTCGAGAGGGCTGCCTGAGCCTCGAGCGCCCCGGGCGGCCCTCTCCGCGTTGAAGCGCTTATAAACCCACACAGTTTCCCACTCCATCACACAAAGGGAGGGGACTAGACTGATCGAAAACGGCAAATTGTGAACAATAACCGGTTGGAGTTGGGGCGTCACGGTAGAATAGCCTGCATTTGAACAAATAAAAGTGGTCATTCAAAACCCCGAGAATACCGATTCTCAACTGTGTGACTGCTCCAGTGCCCATGAGAGGTCCAGATTTGAGTCGTGTGAGGCTCCTCTGGCATTCAGACGCCTTTTGGTACCATTTTTTATATTGCTCTTTACTTTTGTGCTCTTGTCATCGTGTTTCCTTCGACTCTTTATACTTCTGTACAGTCACTTCTGCCCTCCTAGCCCCTTTCTACTCGGCAAATTTAAGGCTCACATGGGAAAACCCAACAGCCCCCTTGGAGCAAGGCAGCAAGACGGCGAGATGTGGAGGACAACATTGGCAACAGCAAGCGAGTGCGGTGCAAAATAGCCCTTCTTTTCAAGGGTGGTTCCGCGGCTCTTGGTTCTCGCGGTCTCCAATGATACAACTCTATAAATACAGCGTGTCTCTCGACACTCCGCAGGCAGCACGGTTTCTTGCTCTCGTCCATGGCTATGCCCAACATCACTCGCTGTCGCTCGCCTGCCCCTGCTTCGACTTCCTGAACCGCTCCCGCCCCGTCGCTACGGACGCCTCCACGACCCGTCCGTCAAAGCTGCGCCCGTTCATGAGCTGGATACACGCCTGCGCGGACTGCGGCTGGGAGAACTTGACGGACACCACGCCGTCCGGCTCCTCGTCGTACAGCACCACGTTGGTGACATTTCCCAGCTTGGCGCACTCCTCGCGGATGTCCTCCTTGATCTCCAGCAGCGCCGCCGGGTCCTCCTCGAGCTCCGCCAGCGTAAACATGTGCTTGAGTATCACCGTCTTGTCCCACTTGGAGTTGGTCTCCGTGGGTATCGCAGCCGTGTCGTCGTCGCTCCAGTCCGCGAGCTTCGCGGCCATCTTCTGCGTCTTGCGGATGATCTTTTGCCGGTCTCTGTCGTTCCGTTCCCTCTTCGGCTGGGCTGACGCTCCCTCCCCATTATCACCACCGTTACCCCCTGTCCCGCTGGCCCCGTCTGCCCCGTTCTCGTCGTATTTGACCTTCTTGTAGCTCGAGTCTGCAGCCTGGACGCGCATCCTCGGCGTCTCGCCCGTGCCGGGAGCGAAGCGGAACTCCGTGTCGTCCAGCAGCATAATGGCCATCTCGACGCTCTGCGGCTTGAAGAAGACGACGAGTGCGTCGCCCTTGAAGTTGCCCTTCTCGTCCGTGTACATCTTGATGCGCGGCCGGCCGCTGTCAATCTCCTCGGCGATCACGCCTGCCTTGCGCGAGAACAGCTCGTGCACCTCGTCAACCGTCGCATCGGCCGGCAGCCCTGTGACGTAGACAGCCGTGTTCTGGCGCGGCGGCGGCGGTGCGCGCGCCGGCTTGGCCTTCTTCGCAGGACGGGCTTTTCCGTTGCCGTTGCCGTTGTTGTCGCCGCCCCCGCCTTGTGCAGCGTCCATACCTCCGGCTTCTGCTGACGTGGGTGAATCTTTGCGTTTCCTGGAGTTGGTCTGTTGTGGTTCGGCGCCGTTGATGTAGCCTGGGCCAGCGCCAGCTCTGGACAGGTCTGCTAGTTGTGCTGCGGTCTCGTCATCGTCATCAATCGGCTCCAGGGGTGCATCTGCTGCCTCAGCCCAGGTAGACGTTGCTGGGTCGAACTCGAGCTCGGTGCCGTCGTCGAGGACAGCCAGGTACTTGTTGTCAAGCTTGGAGAAGGATATGCGCTCGTCATTGCCAAAGTCCTCGATGACGGTCGGCAATGGGTCCTTTAATTGGTCTGCCATATCGGGCGGGGATACGATCGTCTGTGTGGTTCGGAAAGGTGTAAGATTGACAGACGAATGAGCTCGGTTTTGTGAGGTTTGCAAGGGAATACAGCTTGAAGCCTACACTGCGAAATCCGATCGCATTCGGTGACGTTAGTGGATCAGCAGCAGGTGAGTGCAGGGATCCCACACGTTGGGGGCAGTGTGGGGTCCATCGCAGCACTTCCTGTAATCCTTGGACGGTCTCTGCAACCGTGTTATTCGTCCGTGTTGCCATCCATGCTGGTCTGTCTTCTCACTTCCTAGACGGTTATCATAGTAGGGCGTGAACCTAGATACAGGAAACACTCGAAAGCTGACATGTTTACACTGTTGGAAAGGACAAATCCTTCAGCCCGATTGGCAGCCGCCAGACAGGACTGATACCAATGTCGAAAGAGGCGCCTTGTGATAGCTACTGTGGACGCTATCAAGTCTCAATAGGTCTATGTCATGTCCGGAAAGCCTCTGATACCTGGACGCTTGCTTTGGATATTCTGTTTGGTATCCCACCGTCGCGTCTCTGCAAAGTCTACGTTCAAAAGACCGTTACAAATGATACATCGTTATCATTGCCTGAATCTGGCCTACCAGTCAGGCGCTCTATCATGTTTGTAACTCTATCGTCAATCGTCCTTTCCTTGTGTACCTTGCTCCACCTTAACCCTGCTTCTTCTCCTTGACCGTTGACTTGATGCTCTCAACGAAAGCCTCAACGGCCTCGCCGCCGCCCAAGGGCATGGCACCGCCCCTCATATAGCCGCCATTGGGCACCTTGACGTTGAGTGCTCCCGCAATGGTAGGAAGGCCGCCATCCCGAAGCGCCATGGTCAAGCTTCCGAGTGCTTGATGGAACTGTGGGCTTCTGAGGACTCTCTCCAGTAAGCTCTTCTTCTCCGCCAGGCTCAAAGTAGCCTTAGCCGCCGCAGCTGCCTCTGCGGTGGGCTCTGAGTCACCCAAGTCATCGGATTCCGTGGCAAGGACAAGGATCGCGGGTGGCAAAAAGCTCAAGAGGCTGTCAATATACTCCTCTGAGGCTGATCGAAGCATCGGAATGGTGATCTCGTTCGGGAGAAGGTGGCTGAGGTACGGGTAGAGCTTGTCGGCGTGTTGTTGCTGTCCGCCTTGCTGAGATCCACCTAGGCCGGCGTTGCCTCGTAATGACTCCAGGAAATTCCGAACAGCAGCATCCGCATCTGTGTTGGAGCCACCGGCGGCGCTATCAAGCAGTCAGCACAGGAACACATCTGTGGACGAGTCAAGCCATGGGCACCGCGCTGAAAGGCAAACTCCGAACCCTCGTGTCTTTTGAAAGGCTCTAAAAGTACAGATGGCGCCATATCGTGGGCCTCACGTCTTTCCCTCGCCAATGCCCATGTAGTTTGCAAGATATGAATGATCCTGGACTCCGTCCAACAGAGACATGCATCAGGAAAAAACCTACGCTCGTGCTCCATCGCCTCCGCCCTCTCTGGCATTCTCGCCCTCTTCCCGGATATCGCCGCCTGTAGCGTCAGGTCCAGCACCGCCACTGCCTCCTCGGGTCTGGTCGCTCCGGTCTCCATGTCCCTCGGCATCTTCCATCGTCTCGTCGTCGTCATCGTCCCGTCTGTTGTCGGTGTTGCGGACTTGCGCGAGCTCTCGGCCAACATTGACTTCCTCGCCCTGGAGGAGCGCATTGACGATCTCGCCAATCTTCTTGTCGCGGGGGCTGAACCAGCTGGGGTCCCCGTTGCGCGACTGAGGCTTGGACTGGAGCCAGAAGAAGTGTCGCTGAGAGGAGGATCCGAACTTGAGGACGAAGATACGACCGTTGGTCTTTGCTGAAGGTTGATCATCGGCGGTATGGGCAACGAATTCACCATCCATGGGCACCATGACGAGGTCGAGATCGGGGTTGTCCAAGGCGGCACTACGCTCTCGCCAGCAGAAGTGGATCAAATCTGCCTTGTGTTAAAGATTGCCAAGAACAAAGACTTCGACCGTACGTACCATCTTCTGAGTAGAGGTAGATGTAGCCGGGGTTCGGCTGCGGCTTGATCTTGTAAGGCTTGCTGGAGGTCTACGAGCTAGGTCAGCGGACCGGGGTCTGCGGCATGGAGACTGGGTAACGAACGTCTGCATCACAGATACCAGCCTTGAAGGTTATTATCGGCAAGATCGATGCCATGGTGAGTTGTCGGTTGTGTACGGCGGAGGATATGGGTGTGGTAACGAAGTTCGGGGTTTGCAATTGTTTGTATGGTGGTTTGGTGAAGGGTGTGGTTGGCGTAAAGTCGAGCTCGATCGGTTTGGAGCTCTAAACTGCAATTGCGTAGGAGCTCCCTGCCTGCTGGATGGACCTAACCTGCCTGAGGTGGGCTGGCGGCTTCAGGTCCATCCCACCTGCCGGGGTCATCCGGCCCGTACTTAGTCCGAAGGGAGGGGTGCGGCGCTGGGCAACCAGGTTCTGTGGGGTCCGTGCCGCCCAGGAGGTGAGTGAACAGCACCGCAATCAAAGAGACAGGTCAAAAATTTCCCAAACCCCACCTCGACCTATTTCTACCTGAACCTCAACACATCCTTCTTTCTCCTGCCTCTTTCCCAGATACCCCTTTTCTTCCCTCTACATATCCTCCAAACCGCAAAAATGGGCTTCGCCGACCTTCTCACTGATGCTGGTGCTGCCAGTAAGTTTCTGCAGCGTTGATTCTTCTTTCTTTGTCGGCTGACAATCGAGTCAGTGCTGAACAGCTGGCTCACCACCCGCTCCTACATCGTTGGGTAAGTTGAAATTCCTCCATTCACCGCTTCGCGCTCTCGAGAACCCTTTCTCGCTTCCCTTGGCTACATGATGAGGAACATTGGTCCGTGTTTCGGAGGCAGCCTCAAGACCTGCTATTTGACGACAAAACCAGCACTTCGTGCAACTCTGACCCCCGCCTTGCCCAATCATTTTTTCTACGCAAAAGCAATATTGGGCAGGACATTGCCGCTAACATACGGTACAGTCACACCCCTTCTCAGGCCGACGTTGTCACCTTCAAGGCCCTCCAGTCTGCTCCCGACGCGGAGAAGTACCCCCACGCCGCCAGATGGTACAAGCACATCTCTACCTACGAGAGTGACTTCGCCACCCTCCCCGGCGATGCCTCCAAGTCTTACTCCGTCTACGGCCCTGAGGCCAGCGAGCTCCCCGTGAACCCTGCCAAGGCCCCTGCTGCCGAGGAGGACGACGAGGACGTCGACCTGTTCGGTTCTGACGACGAGGAGGAGGACGCCGAGGCTGCCCGCATCCGTGAGGAGCGTCTTGCCGAGTACAAGAAGAAGAAGGAGAACAAGCCTAAGGTCGCCGCCAAGTCGGTTGTCACCATGGATGTCAAGCCTTGGGGTACGTTCCATTGTTATCTCCGACTCCCAAGTCGCGAAGCTAATTTTCCATCACAGATGACGAGACTCCCATGGCTGAGCTCGAGGCTGCTGTCCGCGCCATTGAGCACGACGGTCTTGTCTGGGGTGCCTCCAAGCTTGTCCCTGTTGGTTTCGGTATCAAGAAGCTCCAGATCAACCTTGTTGTTGAGGACGAGAAGATCAGCTTGTCTGACCTCGAGGAGGAGGTAAGCGTTGACCCCTCATTACTGCCACTATCCCAACCCTTTCCACCAGCTTGGATTCTCTTTCAATTTCACATGACGATACCCTCTCTACCCTCCTAGCTATGGATTTGGAGACTAATTTCCCGCCAGATTTCGGCCATTGAGGACTTCGTGCAATCCGTGGACATTGCTGCCATGCAGAAGCTGTAAGGTGCTTTATGATAGGATGGGAGGGATGATTTCACGAGGCATGAGTTGGAGATATGATAATCCATAGAATCCTCACCAAAAAAAAGTCAGGCTCAGGAAACGCAGAGTTTTCGGCACCAGCGGAGGCAATGCCTCGCCTACGACAGAGTGCGGGCTTAAGACTTTCATGAATACAAATGAGGTTATGAAGACCTTTGAAGAAGTCAAAACCATTTGCCCCAAAACCTGTGAAAGCCATGTTTTCTGTCGAAATGAGGGGTAAATTCGCGCTGTGCGACCTCGATGTTCAGCGCCAATGAAATGTGACTCGCCGTCGAGTGGGCTACTGCTCTGGTGGGGCAACGCTAAGTGAGGGGCACTTTTCGCTTCCCAATATGGCCAGGCCAATGCGACGCGACTTGACTGGCGTGATGATTCTAAGACCCGTACCTGCAAACCCGCCAGTCCCAACGCGATTCTCGACACGACACGCGCCAGCTATTGCAAGACGACCTGCTCACTTCCAACAGCTCGACTCAGCTTGGCATAACTATTCGTAAAGCACCATGTACGGCGATCTAGGTAACAAGTTGGTATGACCAGACTGAAGTGCAGCCATCCGTCGTGGGTGATGCAGAGGACTAACGTTTTTTCAGGTGCAACATGCCAAACGGACCCAAAATCTTGCACACTTACCAGCGTACCAAGCCGAGATGGTACGCGCTGTTACGCGAGAAGTCAGAGACCTTGATAAAGATGTGACCGAGCTACTGGAACCTTTCCAGGGCTCCTTCGACCCATCCGCAGACCAAGCAACGGCATGTACGGTGCTGGTCAACTACCTCTCGATGCGAAGAAACAAACGTTGCCTCCTCGCCTACCATCGAACGCGAACCGACAAACTTGAAGAGCTTGCATGGAGGGGAGTGGACGTTCTCGATTTGTCCGGCCAGCAGGTACGAGGCAATGCAGGATCGACAACCAGCGGGCTCAATGGGAACGCCGACGGCCCAACGAGCAGTCTGAGTCCGCAGGAGGAGGAATACGCGAGACAATATGGCGACCTACTGGCCGCCTACAAGGGCCAGTGGACGGATATTGATTTGACGGGCAGCTTGGAGCCACCACGAGATCTCTTCATCGACGTGAGAGTCTTGAAGGATGCGGGGGAGATACAAACCGAGTACGGGTGAGTTTGAACTGTTTGAGCCTCAGCTGGAGGTACAGGTCTGACGCCGAGGATTTAGCGCCATCAACTTGACCAAGAACAGCCAGTTCTATGTGAGGCAGGGTGATGTGGAGCGGCTCATAGCGCAGGGTTACCTGCAAAAGCTCAGCTGATGAGGGGAGCCGGACCAAAATGCTCAACACCAGTGTCTGGAGGTAAGGACACCAAGAAGAATGTGTTCTCATCTCTCTTGTTCTTGGAGATGAGAGGAGCGTTAAGGGTACGGATGCAGGGCCGCCTGGGACAGTCTGATGCATGGTCGAGTTTCCCCATGGATGTCTACCTGCACAATCCGCATGCCACGCGGTGCGCCATCGCTGGCAGGATATTTCAAGACGGTGCGTCAAGATGATGCGAGCAATTCGAGATCTGTGCAATTTGCCGGCGTCTTGCGGGATGTGCGGGGCACAAACATGCAGTTTCAAGGGGCCAGGGAACGGGGTTCGCAACGCAAGACAAAGCTGACCGCGGCGTCGACTCCTGCATCGGAATCGAGTGACGGGACGACGAACAACGAAAACACGCCGCCCAGAGCAAGATGGGGCCAAGATCTGCAGGGCAGGGGGCTTCCGGGCGGCCGACTGAGGCAATAATGGCTAATACGGCAACGTACGACGGCCCGCCGCAAGAGAATCTGATGGGGCTGCTGCATTCGACAGAATCCGAGCAGCGTGGTACAGGGTATGTAGGTTGGCTTGCTGACTGAGTCTGCAACGGGCCAGCAGTTTTTGTCGCGTTCGCGACGAGCGGCGAATTGGAAAAGATGACTCGCATGGCAGCAAAGGTGCACCCTCTTGTCCTTAAGGGTACTATTGGTCGGCAGCTTGGCTCGCAAAGCTCGGACAGGTGGTGGTTGCGCGGGGAATGAACATCGGATGTCGCGATATCGGTGGTGGATGAGCTGGAGAGACCGACAGTGACATTCGACGACTCGGGCTGCATTGAAACCTCAGACACGCCCACGACTTTTTGTGTCTCTTCATCGAAATCTTAGCGGCGCCACCGCTCGGAAATGTGCCACGGGCAGCCGGTTACCAATAGAAGCAGTTCAGCTGCACACACACATAGCACAGGGCAAGCAAGGCCTGGTGCGCTGCATTGCATCATGCGCTGCATGACGCTCGCCGTTGGCCAGCTTGGCTAGCCCGGATTACTCTCTTGATCGTCAGCCCAGGGGAAGAGCCGGCGCAGGAGAAGACAACGGCGGCGACGACTGGTCCACTGATTGTTGTCCCGCCTTGTTGCAGACACCTCCAGCCATTGAAGGCGATAACGAGGATCAATTGACGCCAGACCTTGCAATTGAAAAGCCGTTTCCCCACGAAAAGACATAAAGTTTCCCAACCGCGAGCAGTGCATTAGCTCTTCAGATGTGAGCTTGGGCTGGGATATGGTTTCTTTGAGATGTGATGCATCGGAGGAGGACAAAGTACCAACGTCAAACAGTCTTCCCATCCGCTCTAAGCGGCCCACGGCCCAAAATCCAAAGCTTGGCCTGGTGTGCTTGGCTTGAAAGAAGAGGTGGTGGTGGTGCAGAGTGTGGCCCTGGCTTCCGAAGAGCAACAGAGGACGACTGGAATCCTGGATCCGAAGTGGGGGAGCCGACATGGTGAGGGTGGGCTGCTTGGCTGACAGTGGACTGCCGTCCTCCCCAATCCAACCATTTATCGCCGTTCCACTGCCTGCAGCGGCTGTAAGTGGCTCGCTGGAGGGGCCGTTGTGCTGTACGTGCAAGGATTGTTGCGGCGTTACGTAGTGCGACTCAAGCACCTAGGGCAACATAGGCTGCGCTGGGCTGCGGAATGACCGCCCAAGAACCCACGAGGATGGGCACTAGCTCGCTGTAAAGAGAGAGGTAGTGTACCCAAGCATCCACAGTGGTGGCATCCGGTAGAATGCACGCTAATGAGGGGGCGACGAGCCACATGCAAAATGCAAATTTGACTTGGATCAAGGTTCGTCCTTCGTCTAATTCTGTCTACGTGCGCGCGCACCATGTTGACGACAACCTCGACCTCCTCGACCTCCAACTCGGTCACTCTCTCTCCTCCCTTCGTCTTTCTCCGCCTACCCTCTCTCGCTTTGTCAGGTCCATCTACATTGCAACCGTTTTCCTTTAGCTAGCGTTGGTTTTTTAGCCTTTGGCCTTTCCCTCCGCTTGCCCACCCGCTCAACTTACACGGGGGCTATCCTTGCTTCGCCTGTAGATCCAGGCCCCGTCCGTCGACTATCTCCTAATACACTTTCTCCTCTCTTATCTGCGCCGACGCCCACCGCACATTTCTGCCTCGCGCGCACACCCGAGCTGAGCTTCCCATGTTTTCCAGGTAAAACCTGCAACAAACAGCCGTACTACTGGCCCGGCCACTCAACAATTGGCGCCTCCAAGAGGTGCGACGTTGACCCGAGGTGTCTACCCGCTGCTAGCCAACATACCCGCCAGAGAGCCATGTCCTCCCCAAACTTTGGCTTCTCTCCATGGCGGAGAAGAGCCGCATCGCTCAGCTCCCAAAGGACCAGCGATAATAGCAACCCTGAGAACCCTTTGCTCAGTCCAGGCCGAACCTCTCAAATGGCCGATTCGAGAAACCTGTCGTCCTCGGTGAGCTCCAGTCACCGGGAGCCGATCCGTTCCTTCATCCATGGCAACGTAAGGGACCATCTAGGTAAGCATCCAATGGTTGGCGCATACGTCACTCTCGTAGCACACACCACTAACTTACTGCACATAGCTCCCGTCGACAGCGCCCAGTACGCCCGCAGTGTGCGCGAAGACACGGCAGAGTTGGCCTCGTACCTCTTGTCCGACAAGAAGACGGGCCAGAGCCCAGGTTTTCTCTCCCGTCAACGCTCGCAATCTTCGGCCCTCGCTCGCGAAGCGGCTACTTCGGATAATGAGGAGGAGGAAGAGGAGGACGGCGAGGAGATTGCGCATGTCGCGAGCTCCGAGACCATTCCGGAGGTCTCTGAGCCATCTTCGCCGGATGAGAGTGTTGAGGGAATTCCGGAGGACGGCCCCTCGATCCTGACGAACCTACTGAAGAAGTCCCCTCCTCAGTCGCATCGCGACCCGTCACCCGAGCCTCCACCCGAGCCATTGGAGCCATCCCACCCTGAACCGAAGCGAACGCCATCCACGGAGCGATCGGAAAGAGAGCCACAGAGGTCGACGACAAGAGTCGCTGGCGAGCCCACTGAGCGCACGCCGCTGATTCCCAGGTTGTCATCTGACAGTTTCGAGAGCTATGATACGAGCGGGACCACCGACGGGATCGACGTGGAAGGACAAAAGCAGAGGCCTAGGAAGAAGTGGCTACGCGGTCTGAAGGACCTGACCGTGAATGTGGAGGAACACATTGTTCATGGGATCCAAATCGCGACGAGTCCCAAATCTTGGGACCGTCGAGCGCTTTGGCAGAATGCCGTGGTGGCCCCCGCATCTTGCTTGCCGGCTGTCGTTGTCGGCTTACTGCTCAATGTTCTCGATGCCCTTTCTTACGGTAAGTCTCTTGCTAGCTACGTCGTTTGTTCATCTGATCTGACTGGACTAGGCATGATTCTGTTCCCTCTTGGCAAGCCCATCTTTGCCGGTCTGGGCTCGGCAGGCATATCTATTTTCTATGTTAGCACCATTGTTTCTCAGTTGACTTTCTCGACTGGCAGTATTTTCAAGGGAGGTGTTGGTTCTGAACTGGTGGGTTGCCCTCTGTCCGATTATCGCGACTATGCTAATCCGGTTATAGATCGAGGTTGTGCCGTTCTTCCACAACATGGCTCAAACAATCACGGACCACATTGGCGAAGATCAACCTGATGCCGTGATCGCAACGACGATTGTGTCGTATGCGATCAGTTCTATGATGACTGGCACGGTATTCTATCTCATGGGCAAGTTCAACTTTGGCTACATGGTTGGCTTCATCCCGAGGCACATATTGATTGGCTGCATTGGCGGTGTCGGCTGGTTCCTGGTTGCTACAGGATTTGAAGTCTCTGCCCGAATGGACGGCAGCCTTGAGTACGATATGGACACTCTCCATAAGCTGTTCCAGAGCGACACGATACCCCTATGGGTGACACCCCTTCTGCTTGCCGTCGTGCTTTTCTACAGCCAAACTCGGGGCGCATCCAAGTACTTCCTGCCGCTTTACATCATCTCGATTCCGGTCGTCTTCTACTTCTTTGTATTCTCTTTGGATGCGCTCGAACCTGACTCTCTTCGAGATCATGGGTGGATTTTCGAAGGACCACCAGCGGACGAGCCGTGGTGGTACTTCTACACGTTGTACAGTACGTCGAACCCAGCCCGCCTACTCCAATTAATGCTGACTGCTGTCCTTAGAATTTAACCTGGTCGAGTGGGATGCCGTGCTGGAGTGCATTCCTGCTATGCTAGCTCTTACCTTCTTTGGTATCCTCCACGTTCCCATCAATGTTCCCGCCCTGGCTCTGCAGAGCGGGGAGGACAATGCCGACCTTGACCGTGAGCTCAAACTACACGGCTACTCTAACTTCATCTCTGGCATGGCTGGCAGCATCCAGAACTATCTTGTATATGCCAACACTGTATTCTTTATGCGCTCCGGGGGAGACAGCAGGCTCGCTGGTTACATGCTAGCGGCTTTGACCTTTGGCGTTATGGTTATCGGCCCTAAGATTATCGGGTTCATTCCCATTATGATGGTCGGCACTCTCATTTTCGATCTTGGTTTCGAGCTCCTCCTCGAAGCCGTGTGGCTACCAAGGAAGAAGCTGAAATTAGCCGAATACCTGACGGTATGTTGTGCAAATCTACACATCCACAGAAACCAACTAACACCCATCTAGGTAATCGTAATCGTTCTAGTAATGGGCATCTACGATTTTGTCATTGGCATTGGTGTGGGCATCATTCTCGCTTTCGTCTCGCTGATCTTCCAGACGTCGAGAGTGTCTGCTGTCCGAGCCAGCTACACGGGTGAAATCGTTGGTTCTACCGTGCGCAGGAACCCCTCGCAACACCACTACCTGCAAGAAGTTCGTCGTCAGATCTATATCGTGAAGCTGACTGGCTTCCTGTTCTTCGGCACGGTTGTGAGTGTCGAAGAGAAGATCCGCGCTCTGATCGACGACAGTGCCTTTGCGGAGAGGCCCATCAAATATCTCATTCTCGATCTGTACCATGTTACGGGCCTCGACTACTCCGCAGGTGAAGCCTTTAACACTATCAGCAGATTACTGGACAACAAGGGAATCGTTCTCGTCTTGAGTGGAAAAGACGCGGAGAGCGAGGTTGGCCGTAATTTGCGGGCCATGGGACTCGGCAACGACAGCATCGAAGTTACTTTGCTCCCAGACCTCAACTCGGCTCTGGAGAGCTGTGAGAACGAGCTGCTCAAGACGTTGTACGCTAGGCAGGAGGAGCTTCGAAAGGGTTCTCGCCACGCGCCGACAGCCAACCTCGACGTGCCGGCGAAGCCAGATCGGGGAACCTTCGATCTGGTGATCAACTCACCGAGACGCAACCATCTTCACGAAGCTGCTAGAAACGCGCTGGCGAACACAGAGTCGTCAGGCTCGAAGAAATGGCAAAGCTTTAAGGAGCCTTTGCGACTGATGCTCCAGATTTTCCAGGGCCTCAGCGATAAGAACGAGGACTTCTGGTTCAGAGCGGTTGGCTACTTTGTCAGGAAGGAGTACACAGCCGGCACGGTGCTCTTCACAAGAGGCGAGCCTGCCAAGGGTTTCTACCTGGTTGAGAAGGGCATCCTCCGTGCCGACTACGACTTACCCCAAGGCTCGCTGACGGAGAGCATTGTCGCAGGTACCACCTGCGGCGAATTGCCCTTCTTCTCTGAGACAGACCGAACTGCGACGGTGACGGTTGACAGAGATTGCGTGGCGTGGCGCATGGATAAGGAGGGGTGGCAAAAGCTTCAAAAAGACCAGCCGGACGTCGCCCAGGAGCTGTTGAGGGTGTCGCTGAAGCTGACAAGTGAGCGGATGACTTCCATCACTTCGTACATCTTGACCATGGCCGGTTAGTGCCTGGTGAAGACTACCAATAACTTTTATCTTTCTTTGAATTACTGGAGTTGACAAGGATACTAAAAAAAGATGGGTTTTGAATATCAAGGGTTTTGTCATTTGTAGTTGGTTGTCGTTAGCGAAGTGGCTTACATACTTCTATTGTTGATAGCCTTCTTCGGATACCTAGATGTTGAGGCACAGAGTGTAAGTCCTCTCTGCATAAGCAAATAGAATCGTAACGACAAGAGATGCCGTTGGTATTACATCATGTTCTGGAATGATGTCGTGACGGTGGGTTTCTGAGTCAAGACACATACATGTCTTGCCCGCATGTCTCGCCAAGCTTGCTGACGGGCGCCGCAAGAGCTGGACCTTCGCCCAGTGCCAACGTGCCATGAATGAATCTAGGTGTCTCTGCCGCCGCGTGCCTGTCTTGGTGTCGTGTGCCGTCCTGTGCTGTGGGTGCTTTTTCTCGCCCCCTTCCTTTCATGGCGACTTTCATCCCACATTCCAACTATACACAATTAGATTTAGGTCAATTACAGAAACTGTTAATGTGAGATGCATAGGAAAAGCAACCAGCAGTAACAGCTTGCGCATCAAAGCACACGGAACGCTCTGTTCCCAAGGAATATAAGCAACAAACCCCCATATCATGAATCAGTGCGATAACAGGCGGTGTTCCTCTCGTTTGGTGTCAGCCCTGTCCCCGTCTGAACCAACACCATTTCCCCAGACCCTCTAGTCAAACCTTACGCTACCTGAGATAGTGATCTGGCCCCTGGTCGTACCATAGTGTTTATGTTGAGAGTCATCTCTTAAAGTGAATTCCAGTCATCTGACCGGTTCTGGCGGTTCGTGTTACATCGAGGGCATCTGGTGGTATTGCTGGATTTATCGCTGGATCTATCGCTGAATTATTGCCCATCTTAAACCACACGTTGTTCGGACTTTACTTGCACCGATTGTTTGGAGACCGAAGCACCCTACCATCATCTAAACAACCGTAGCATCCAGTCCCCATTCCGTCATGTCCGCGATTCTGCGTTCCATCGGTGTCAGGTATGCCACGGCTGCACCCCCGCACCATCCAACTTCCGGCATTGACCCCGACGTGGAGGTGTCGGCGACCCGGGAGTCCAAGTCCCACACGCAGACGCCGGGGTCGCCGTGTCTGGAGAATGCACTCTGGCTCAATTGAGTTTTTGTTGCTTTGGTAGCGATAGCCTGGGCAGAGACTTGATGCCCTTGTCGCCGTCGGCTTCCACAGAGAACGAATGCCGGAGTATTGACATTATCTGATTGGAGTAGCTGAAGAGGACCTCCTACCCATGGTCTCCCATGTCGACTGTTCTACACAGGTTCTTCATCGCATCTAGAGGGATCTATCGGCGAGTGTGCTTCATACACTAGGGGTGGAGAAAACGTGCTGGTAAAGGCATGATATGGCATGGGGATGGATAAAACCATAAAGTTGGCTAACAAACGCCGCCAACATACCATAAGTTGTCAAAGGCTTCGATTTCTGAAGCGGACACGGCATCTGGAAAACGCAGCACCTCGTCAACATCAGATTTGAAATTTCTGAAGATTTCTCCTTTATGGTAAAAGATGGATTCACCATTTTTGGCGACCTCGCCGACGAAGAAGTTCTCTTTGAATTCAGCAAGAGACCTGTCGAACTTGTCCTAGTCGAGTTATACCAGAGCCCAGTCGTTAAATCAGCCAGGGGCCTGACTATCAAGGCTTGGGTGTACGTTACGTACCTAAATCCTCTCGGTTCGAATATTTGGCGTACATTGTATAGCTAGGTAAGGTTTGACCTCGGGAAGCAGTGTTTTGAAGATCTCATCGTTGCACTTCTCATTGGGCCTTTTGTTGACATCTTCATATCATACTTTCGATTTTCCCAGTTCCTCCGACCTTTCCGTAATGTTACCGGGTCGTATCATTCCCTAAGTTCAAACTCGTGCTGTCTTCATGATACGGTAGGTGTTGCTGGTTTCACTCCCAGACAAGGCCACATGCATGCGTGTGAGAACGCAAATAGCCGTTCATGCTGCACTGCACTCAAGTATTTAATACATAGGTAAGGAACCCGGCTTCCCTAGAGCTTCGAAATGCTAATCGCGGCGATGCCACGTCCACTTAATATCTTTGGTGGTGACTGGTTGATGTGAGGATTTGCGTTTGGGAGAAAATTGTATACTTCTTCATGTCGCATGACACATCGAAGCGCACATGCTGATCAAGGATCGACTGACACTGCTGGAAAATCGAGCACAACAGCTCGAAAAGGAAAAGAAGAAGTTTTGCGTTAAGTTAAAGAGGAGGAAGGCGTTACGGCCGCTGCAGCCGAAGAAGCAGCCGAAGAAGAAGAGGTGTTTCTTGCTCAAGAAGCGCAAGGGACCGCTGCCACTGAGGCCGCTAACGTCACCGAAGAAGACGAACAGCTTGCTGCGCTGGAGGCCAAGAAGCTCGCGCGTCACTGCGCCTTTCGTAACGGATATCAAGAGCATGCCTGGATACGCTCCCTCGTGGTCATAGCCGAGCCGTAGGATGCCCACAAAAGTCCAAGCCGACCCCTCTGGCGTGATGGTAATTGTGGTCTCAGTGACGAAGAGCCATCAGAATTGTTCCAGAGCGTGATGGTGGGATATTTTACGGTAGATCTTAACTCCTCCTTCATTTCCCAAGGGCTATCTTTGAATCTTCTTGACCATTTGTTGGGCGACTGGGCAGCGAGCTTCGGTATCAAGGGAAGGCTCTGATAGTACTACGAACGTTCCTCAGCGGCCAGTCCTTTTCTTTTCGGCCCTTTCCGTTCCCTTGTCCGTATGATTGAATAGAAGCACTGTTGATGATTCTTTTCGCGTTGTTGTTTGAGTGAAGTCGCCTACTGCTGTCACAATACTACCGTGCGCTGGCTGTTGTTGTGGAGGCTGGAAGCGTAGCCTCTCCCTTCTTAACTAGGACGGGTTGTTTGAAGAATGGATATTGGATTGGAAAGGGAAAGCATGTTTCAACCTCTCACAGCCTTTTTGACACCTTCGAGTAGAACAGGTCTGCCTTCCACCGTTATGCAGGAAATGAGGATACTACGGCTTGTTATTCACTTTAGCCCCTGTATAAGTGCGTTTGTCTCTGTTTCACCTTGGTACCCCCTCTTTCACCCGATGCCTCTTGCTTATCCGCATCCTTTTAATTCGCCTCAGTTTCACATGAATTATCACCTTCCCCGATATTACTGTCAATGGAAAATGAAGGGGCCACTACCACAGCCCTCCGCCTCGGTTCAAACCCCTTGCAAGGACGTCTGTAAGCTGTTGAGCTCCAGGATACAAACCCGTTGGTAATGAACCGCTTGGGCTGTTATAGAGATTACCAAGAACCGCCCAACTGTCAATAAACGAAACAATGACCACGTGGAGCCCCTGAGAGACGGGACTATCGGAAACCTCCCAGGCTTTAACATGACAGCTATTGACATACGAGTTAAGTACGACTAAGGGAAATACTCTGTCGCCCTCTCTATTTCCGTGGTGCCCATCACCGCCGGTGATCACAGCTAGCCGCATCGCCAGTGTTTGGAGAATACCTCCCTTCGCCGCGGTATTGCGGATATATACTGCATAGTCAGGGTGCAATGTTTTCTTTAGGTTCGCTAGGGAAGAGAGGAATCCTGCCTCCGCCCCCTTCAACCGAGGATTTTCGGTTTATTCGGTCAATGACACATACATGGCCCGCTATACCAATACTCGGACAAAATATGTACAGGTGTTGGTTGCCCAACAGCCTGGACCGCGAGGGTACGAAGGTCCATGCATCCGTATGAGAGAATATACGGCGGATGGAAGATCCTACATCGGCTCTCTGAAGAAACAGAACTGGGTTGACCAGCAGACGAAACAAAAGTCACGAAGCTCGAGGAGCAGACTGGGGGTGGACGAGTTCGAGAAGCACTTGGACCAGCAAGAGATTGCCGAAATCCACCAGGACGTCACGCGTTTTGTCATCTTACCGACCTCGTCAAACCCCGAGGCAGGATTCGTAGGACACGTAGGGTACTCCTCTACGCCCGCTATCCGTAATTCGAGATGGCTTTGCGATTACATTCTCGAGGAGCTCTATTCCAACTTGCACGCCTGGCTCTTGGATCACGTTGGGAGCGATATACGCGTCGATTGACCCGGCATCTTGCGGATGCAAAAGTTTGGGACACCTCAGCCCGGCGTGCCCCTTTTACGTCCGACCTCCAACGGTGTCTTGATATTGCGGGGCGTCCCGCCTGTTCGTGAACCTCGCAACTCGAGGTCAGCAAATTGTCACGGTAAGATCGCGGCGAAGATGGGAGACGGGAAGAAGTCGGCATTCGGGGTGACCGGCGAAGCCCGTTGACGCAATCGCGACATCCGATGCGGGAGGTCGACACCACTTCGGATCAATGGCGCATGGTGTTCGGGAACCATTCGATATTATCTAGAGGCGGAGATCCTGGTGCCTGCACCCGGGATCTGCACGGATGCATTGGCGGGCTCCTTACCGGAGGCTGCTGTAAAGGCTCAGAGAAGAAGATAGAGGGCACGCCTCATGCTACACTGATTAGGTGAACTCTGCAGATACTGAGGATGGCCGGCTACGAAGCCAGTCTGCGCTGACGGTGTCGTTGTCCTTGAGCATGCTCTGTTCGCTTTCTGGCGTCTCACTGATGGAGTCAGCGCGGTGCTGGGAGGCTGGGATCTGCGAAGGATGTATCTAAATAACAGCACATAAGATGAGGAGAGGCGTGGTGGAATAAGATTAAAGGGCTGAGAAGACGACCGTAATCCAGCTTATTCGTGTGAGGGTAGTAGCTATATGTTGCTTCTCGACGACCTACGGCGTTTCAAGACGCACATCATAGTCGCAGCACTGAATTAAAGGCCACCGGCCGACACTCGGTCAATGTCTATGACATTTGATGTCTGGATATTGAGCTGGTAGTTTCGATATACATTGAGAACCCGGTACAGTTCGGCGAAGTGGGCACAACATCACGCGGCACAGCCCCGAGGCCCAACAATCCCTTCTGATTTTGCACAGGAGAGCACAGTTTCACGCCAGAAAACAAAATGAGCGAAGCTAAAGCCCTTCAGGATCCCTCACCCAGAAAGGAAGAAAAAAAAAAACCTTGCACGTCGCATCCCATTCTCACTATCTCCGATGATGAACCGTAACGTCCAAAAAGGCCTGCATCTGCTACCCTACAAAATCCACCCTCTCGTGCAGCAGACGTCGCAGTGAGTTGGATAGCGCGACGTGCCAGACTGGGCAGTGTTGGGTTGGGCCAAGTCCAGTTTATGTGGTCGCAAACGGCCTCATGTTACATCGGGTAATCTCCTTTCAAAAGGAAGAACCATCGTGCCGACGACTGCGGCACTGATGAGCGCGCTTCGGAATGTAACGATACGACACCACCCTACGAAAGAAGAAGAAGAAGGAAAAAAAAGTATGAGGGGGGCTCGTCCAAATCCGTCCCCAACGACGGTTTTTTACAAGGACATTGGCACATTGCGAGATGATCGTGTTGCATTTGGGCCAGTCCCCCGCAAATTCACGTCGAACAACGCCGTCGTTTATCGTATCTAATTTTGTTTTGTTTTATTGTTAATTAAAAAAAAAAGAACTTTTGTTCCGATCCAGAAAGGGCAACTCTCACCCGTTCGGAGTAGTAAGCCAGGACCGACGACACTTGGCTGGAGAGTCGAGCCACTCCTACCGGCCGCTCCCCACCGACAACAACACACCATAAACTTGTCCACGTTGCTGTGCGATGTTGTCAAGACCCAACAAGACCGGACATAAATAAAAGCCATCCTCACGGGAGATATCGATCCCCAAAGGAAAAATCATATTCCTTTTTTGTAATATGCCACCTTCTCATGGATTCGTGGGCTTAAGGTAGATCGCCTACGGGGATCGCCAAATGTTTCGGTTTGATGTTCGTCCCAAAACTTGACTCCTCTTGACCCGTTCGACTGCCAATAAATTTTCGGCCTTCCGTCCCAGGTGGACCTCCAGCAAAAGAAAGCCGGTTTACCTTGAAACCTTAGGATTTAACTAGTAATTTCCACCCCGAGAAACAAAACAGAATGTCATCTTCTCCAACAGCACCGCGGAGCGTGAAGAGCACTCGTGCCATACGACGTCGGATTTCCTCACCTGCCTGTGACGAAGCGTCGTTATCTCTTTCCTCGCTTGACAGGAGTCCGGTACCCCTTGGAGGACGTGCTGGTTCATTTGCCATCCAATAAGGGATGCTCGCGCAACCCAAGCACGGCTCGTCGTCGGATTTGCCACCACCACCACACCCACAAAGACCCACCCGAATCGACATCCGGAAAGGCGCAGCGGCATCCAGAACCACCACCCTTTAAAACGAGAGTGGAGCCGCCCGGACTACAGCTGCCGGACATGCAACGCTCACCTACGCATAACGTTTTATCATCTTCAAGATATCCCACCGGCTAAAGATCTATTATTCCGAGTACGCTCGCATATCACGTCCCGGAAGAGATATGAGCCTGCGCTCAATACTGGGTGGCGGTCGCGTGAGAAAGTCAAAGCCAAGGCCGAAAGCGACAGTCTCAGCGTCGCCACGGAAGAACAGTGGGACCAACAGCCCCCGGGCCGGCAGCAGCGTCAAGAAGAAACCCGCGCCGGCAGACGCTGGTCTGGACTACGACGATGACGACGACTTCTTCCATGACAGGCTCGACGATGTCGGCCTGGTTGCGGCGTTGGCGACCGACATGTCGCTTCGCGATGTTGTCCAGGCCATCAAGTACACTCGCAACCACATGTTCGGCCCTATGCCAACAGAAGCGGCTGGCATGAATTCTACGCGCATCGCCGAGGTGCTCAATTACCGCAAAGCCATACCAGGGATCGTGACGGTATCACACCTCCACGCGCTGCTGGCCTCCCCAACCGCTGTGGAGCGCGAGGTCGCAGAGTTGCAGCGTGGCGGAGCTCTTCGCAAGATCTACGTGCCACGTCGGGGTGGGCTGGGCGAAGCTCTTATCCAGACGTCCGAGCTGGAGGAGATGATAGCGCAGTCTGCAGGGCTGGACGAGGAGGCGAAGACGGCATTCTTGCAGTTTCTCAGAGAAAACCCCCTGGCGCAGACGATGCCGCGGTCTGCCTGCCATCAAAAGCAGGCCGATGCTCTGGTGCGGGCAGGGTTCTTGACGGCCAGTATACATCCGCAGCACGTCAACACTCCGCTGATGAATTTGCATTTGCGCCCGGAGGACCGCGGCAGCTTGATGAGCATCGAGGCGGTGTCCCGCGCAGCGTCCGGCACTTTTGACGCCGTCGGCGGCCAGGGGGCTGTACACGCCGCAGGTGGTGGCGGAGGGGCGCTGCGGTCATCCCGTGCCGATGCGTCATCATCTTCGGGGGTGGAATTCACCATTGCAGTGCCCGGAAACGGGTCATTTCTAAAACTGACCGCCGCCGCGGTGGAACAACTTACCCAGCTATTGTCCAGATCGCAGTTTAGGGAGATGCCTGTGTCCATGTTAAGGGAGCGATGGGAGGGTGGCGTAGCCCGTGACGGGGCACGTCTCGCAAGGAAGGCCAGGGGAGAGTTCGCCGGCGTGCTGCCGGGACGGACGAAAAGATGGAAGGACTTCTATGGCTTGGAGTTCCACTGGGTATTGGAGGAGGCAATGGGCGCCGGCCAGGTTGAAGTCTTTGAGACGCGGAGCGTCGGCAGGGGAGTTCGTTTGCTGTAACCGTGAGACCTCTGAGTCTGTGTACTTTGTCAGCACAGCGAGGAAAGGTTTGAGCTTGATGCCATGAACATGAAAAGATTCCCAATCAGCGATGAGGCCCGACATTGAAGACCGTTGTCGATGAAACCCTCTTGGTGAAAACAAGTGGCATCGCTTAGCATGTTCTAACACAAGAGACTGGGATGCTGTGTCCGCCTTCTCGCTTGTTCGTCCGAGTGTCGTCGTTGTAGCCATGAGGCCCTGAAAATCCACACAAATTGTGCTGATGGTGAATCGTATCATGCTTCCCAAAGCTCACTTTCCTTACTCCAGGAAGCCCTTCTCTTGACGAGAAGTGCGCGCTCGGGTAGCTGGGTTGGCGGTAAGCCAGTAAGGATTACGTGGGCAAGGACAAAGCGCAACACGCTTCCTAGTGACGTTTCCTCCGCACCCCGGCTCCCTGCAAGTCATCGCTGCCAACCACGGGAATGTCCTGAAGGGTCGCAGAAGACGAAAGGCGATGCGGCTCGAGTGTTGTCTAGGAAAATCCTAGATGTTAATGTTTGATCTTCCATGCTTCGCCCAGTCGCAGAGCTGGGCGCTGTTGGCGCAATGTTCAGTCGAGAAGGGCCGCTTTCTAATCGCGACTTCGTCAAAGGGTTCTTGACTCGTGAGATGGACCTGCGAATCCGACAGCATGAACGTCAACCTCCTCCCATTCGTTGTTTCGATTGCTTCGTGTGATGCTGTCAAAAGCCCGAGGGCCTCGGACCTCGACATGCCTTTCCGGAGGCATCTGCCACACAACGATACACACTGTTGCGTTTTCCTCGTGTTAGAGCTAGTGACTAGAGCGGATGCCCGAGTCGGTGGAAGCGTTTGTGGGACTTTGAGTTGATTGCTCTGTTCTTGACACCTACGACGACTGTGTGGATAGAGCCTGATAGGAAATGCTTGGCCATCCGCAGCTAGTGTTCAGAGTGAAGTAGTTGTCCAAGCAGAACAGAGCACAGTCAGTTCAAAGCTGTCAACCAGACGCCTAGGAACCAGACCCATACAGAATGAACCTGACTGATGTCGTTCGAAGCTGGCAGTTACGAATTGGCTGCTGATCTGCCAGGGTTTCAATGAAGGATGCAACACCAAGCGTGGACACGCCACTCTGAACGTCCCTAAGCTGAGAGGTCGAACCATTTTGCACATGGACAAAGCACAAACCTAGGGTGTAAAAGCGCACCTTACGGCTACGTTCGCCAATGGAAATGGCCTTTCTCTTGTAGCTCATGACGTAAGATGCTGCAGTTGTCCTGCGTGCGTTAGAACACCGAACATGGAAAAAAGAAAAAGCAACTTGGGCTGAAGTGCGAAGGGCGGGTACCTACGTGCAGCCCCAATTAGATGCGACCTCGGCCAATCGAGGGAAGTAAGCTTGGTCATGCTCTGATATTTGAGAGAGCAAGCCCGTGGACTACTATCCAACCGACTCCTGCTTATGAAAAGACGATTTGATGTGCTAAATATGGTGAGGCACATGCGCAACCGTTCTGCGACATGGGACTGCGGAGACGGAGCGTCGCCAACTGCTAGGTTCATCGGACGACGGGAATACAGAAGAATGGGAAAAGGCACAGCGGGCATATGTGGCAATGAACACAAACATCCGATATCACGGCTCGGCGAGACGGTCCCGGGCGTCGAAAAGTTTGCGTCTCTCGGCTTCTCGTCCGTCCCATGATATTCTCCTGGACAACGGCATTGTTTGACCTCCAGCAAGCGACGACAACCAATCCTAGCAGTTGGAGAGAGGGGCCTCGAGGGATTGGTGTAGCGGATCCAGGCCTTGGAGATTGTTGGAGCAGGGGATGCATGAACCATCAACGAATGAGGGTTGGCGGGGAATGAGAAGCAGCCACTAGCATGCTTGTCGACACACACAGACTCCCAAGCCAGCTGGGTCGTGCTAGGGAGCTTGCCGGAGACGGTTCCTGCAAAGGAGCCGACGGCGCAAGATATGAAAGCTGTAATTGAGGCCTTGGTGCGGCGTGCCTGGACGAAGTGTGCACGTGCACGCCACACATGGCAGGCCGTTGGTTGGAAGAGGCAGTGATGTGATGGCATCCGGAAATTACAGCATGGTCCGTCCATCTGGGGGCTTGCTGTCAATTCGTAGACATGCTTTGATTGCGAACACGGTTGACACTTTAAAGCGCTTGTCCCAGCCCTCCCAACGTCCCATTTGCCGCGTGCGCTCTGTCCAATTGGCGATCGAGTCAACCGCCGTCGTGGAGGAGCCCCGGCAAACGAGCACCCTTGATCGATTCGAGGGTCTGTTGTGGATTCGGGACAGATCAAGAAAACACCGAGGGTGATGGGCAGGGCCGAAGAGGGAAGTCGGAGCCTGGCTGTTGGTACATGAGTTGGCAAGGAAGCAGGGCTGAGTTGGTGATGGAACTGCCCATACTCGGTCCGTTGATTTGTACTCGGCAAGAGACAAAAGATAAGACATACGGCCGCGCGGTGTCTCGGCGTGGAACGGATACCAAAGTCGACACATCCCGCACGGGTTCCTCCTCCTTGTGCTGTTGTTCCTGCTGCCAAGTACTGCTTGCTCAATCGCCTGCTCACTCGGTTAAGTTGGTCTGAAGTAGGTGCATATGCGTGCAACGGTGGTACAGGACTGCGACGCGTCTACACATAAGCTGACAGAGTCCCCCCCCCTCCTAGTTGACGCGTAGTACGTGCAGACATGACATGACAATAGGTCTGACATTCAGATGTAGCCAATAAGAAAGTCAAGATAAATGTTCTTTACATCTCATCCTAACCAATCTTCATATTCTTGCTACAAAACTCATCCCTAATCCTATCCCGAATCCTACACCTTAACCTTAACTAGAATCGTAATAAACCTTTCCAAAAGAGCCTTTTTTTACGATTTTTCTAAAATTTAATAGGCCCAAAGTAGTATAAGACATGTATTAAAAAGAGAAAGATGGGTCTAACAGGGTCTGGATATGTATTTTGTAGAATATGGCAGGAGGACATTGGGGGCTTTATTTTCTGAAAGTCATGGCCCACTGTCATGTTATGTCTGCACGTACTACGCGTGCACGGTATTCGCAGGTCAACTAGGGGGAGACACTGTCAGGTTGTCTGATCACTCGACTGCGACATGTGCGTCCTTCACAGTCGTGGACGAAGTGCCGTTAGTGCCCAGCGAGGAACATGCTTCCACAAGCTTTGCAGCGGATGCATGGCGGGTGTGAACCGACGGCAGGGGCCCTCGAGGTACCGCGAAACCTAGGACGCAGGTAGCGGCAAGGAGTCAGGCCACAGGGCGACACGGGTCATCACCCGAGAGGGAGGGATCTCATTTGTGCCGCGTTCTGCAGTGGTCGGCGTTGGAAGTGGTCCAAGATGCGCGGCCTCTTCGCGATTAAGGGGCGTCCTGATGTGCCGAATACCTGGGGTGCTGGTATTTCGTGGTGGCGCCGCGTGTATCATCCAACTAGTCCAGGAAAAGTTGACCCCTTGCCCGTTCCTGAGTTGAACGATGGTCCTTGCAGGGGATGCGACAGGGGTTTAATCTCCAAGTCTGGGTACCAATTTGACGATGACCAGGCTAGCGAGGGAAAACTTTCTGTGTCGGGGGTGATGATGAGTGAGTGGTGCATTGGACGGTGTCAGTGGCTTCTGGCTAGTCAGTCGATGAAGGATTGGTGGGCGGGTGGGCGGGGGAACAGAGAGAGGCATTTGGCGTGTGCGGTTCGATGTCTAGCTCTTCCTAGCTTGGAATTGGGCGGTGCCAGATCGGAAGCACTTTCTGCGTGGGAGGTAGGCAGGCAGGTAGGTAATGATGATGAGAGAGTAGTGTAAAGGGAGCAGAGGACCAGTTCTGCACGTCCTCGCCCCTCGAAAATCGGCGTTGGTGTCCGAGTTGGACGGGAAAGATCCCTCCTCCCCGGCTGAGGACCAAATGCAGGTAAGTGAAGGGGTGTGGGGGGAACGAACAACACGAGAGATGAGCGGCATACGCAGACGGGCAACGAGAGGAAGCCAGGGTAGGGGAAATCTCCATCCCCCTCGTCCCCTTTTTGCCGAGTTGATTGGCACGCAAACATGCCCCATTTCCCAGTCCCCTCGCCCATTGCCCGTCGCTCGTAGTCACATATTTTTCTTATCCTGCTTCTTGCTCTGTGCACTTGTCTGGCCCTCGTGAAGAGCTCCTGAGCCCCATCGGCTCAGACACGGCCCTTCTTCCCCCTCAACTTTTGCATGCCCCGTTTATGTTTCTGCTCGACACAGCTACCAAGGATTGTCATTTATCCATTGGCGTTCTGTAGCTTAATCCAATTGCGCAATTGTTCCCGTTGTCGGCATATCCACGCACAACTTTATGTGGAGTTCTCGCAAGCTCCCGCCCAGAAAAAGCAAAGGGCGAAAATTCGGTACGTACCCAGAATCCACTTATTTTACACTAAGGTACCTCTACTGCAACTGCTTGCCCCCCCTGGCACACAAGACCAACGGGGAGAGGGGGGGGGAGAGGGGAGAGGAAGAGTAGGGAGGAGGGAAGAGACCAAAGAGAAGGCGCGCGGGCGAGCGAGATGGAGAGAAAGCACGAACTAATCACCCTACGGCCCAGTGGCCCTGTTCGTCGAGAGAAACCAACGTTAATGAACGCGCCTAATACGGAACAGAAGGTATCATTGGACTGGCCTCGAACGTGCCGTCCATATCGCTGCCAACATACCCGACGGGCCTAATAATTAGCCACCCAGTTGCTCACTCACGCACTCAGCTATACAGAGAGTGCCGACACTGCCTTCTTGGACGCAACGGTCATTTCCCGCTTATCTAGCCGTCTGCTGCACTAATCGCACCGAACTGCACTCCTCATCACCACATTTCCTCACGCCTTCTTCTTTTTCTCCGACCGAACGCTCCTTGCTCATCTCGCCTGAGGAGCGCACACGCTTAGGCTTTCGCTTCCAACCTGTCTGGTTCTCCGATTGACTTTTCGCGCCCTCGTCTGCTTTGTTTCTTGCCTTACTCCGCCAGGACCAGACATAGCTGCCCACAGCCCGAGACCCGGATCCCCCCTTTCCAGGAAGCATCGCAACCCCATCGACATCGCCTCAGAGTCCTAACTCTCAGACTTCCCGCACTCCAATTCCACCTGCTACTGCGGTCACAAGTTAACATCTTGTCGTAACGTCCTTCCTTCGGCCAGACTTTGCTGTCCTTTGGTTCACTGCTCCTGCTTCTTGGAGCTCAGACGCCACGGCCACAGCGAAAGGCCACCGCGAATCCGCGTGCGCATATCCCGCGCTCGTTGCTGCTGTCGAAACATTTCCACTCGACGAAACCAACCCCTTCCCTCCATCCCGCGCCCAGGTCTTTGACTTTCCCCGACCTGCCGCCCAATCTGGGTGCCCGTCGCCATCCCAGTCCTGCGACTTGAGCGGCGCGAGACACCAGAGGCACCGTGCTCTGCAGACAGACGAAAAAGAAACCCGCGCCATACGCCTCACGCCGCCCACTAGCGCAAGGAAGACAGCTCGACGGAAAAAAATCCACTACAGTCAGACCTTTGTTTTCCCTCCGCACTTGGTTCAGCAGAAGCGACTGGGCCCGGTTTGAACCCAAGGAACAGTCTGCGAGACATACGAGCCACCTCAATTCGGGGATCCCCCCTCAAAAACGCTTGACGCTGGGTATCCCTCTTTTACCCCGTTCTGATCCACCACCATACACACGACAACACACACAACGCTGCTCAATACATCATCGTGGTAAGTCTTTTGCCTTCCCTCCCTGCCCCAACCCGCTCCGCTCCTTGGGATCGCTTGCATCGCAGGCCCATCTGCAAGTCATGTCGTCGCCCTAGTTGTCCTGGTCCCCAGTGCACTGACAAGCTTCCTGCCAGCAGAGCATCGAAATCCGATGAAAAGTTCCCAACCTACCCTGCACACCCCCAACGCATAATAACGTTTCACACGTCCCTGTTCTCGAATCCACCCAAACTTTCGAAATATAAGCAAACTCTCAGACCAGCTCCCCGTCCACGCTTGCAGCCTTCGGACGAATACAACCCACGCGGAGAGGCCCCTTCCCATCGACGTAATCAACCTTCCGACGATCACCCCTTTCCATCCTCCGAGTTCATGGACCGACCGAATTCTTGACTGCCCCCGACGATTTAGAAGGCCTTCTGCCGCAGTTTGGATTCCGGCTTTTGGGAGATCACGGCTCCTGCTTCACAATCGTTATACCAAATGGCGACTACGCTCCCGCGGCCAGCAAGGCCGTCCAACGGCCCGCCTACTATGGCCTTGCCCGCTCTTCCTGTCGCCAAGACAAGGAAAAGCACTGGAGGCATACCTACGACGGCCTCCAAATCCAACCCGGCCACCCCAAACTCCAAGAGCAGCCTCAGGGCCCCTTCCACCGGTTTCCTCCCTCCCACGTCCCCTGCACCCACATCGGCACTACCGCAGCCGCGTACGGCCTCTGCTATGAGCAATTCTTCAGTCCGGACGTTGCGCAAGACAGTGAGCATCAACTCGTTCCCCCAGCCGCCTCGGGGCGACAACCGCATCAACAGCCTACCCCCCAGTCCATTAGGTGCTGACTCCTCACGGAACTCCACACGCAAGTCAAAGGGCTCAATAGCATCGACGTATTCGCAGAGCAATGGCGCGCCGAGCCTGCTCAACAACAGCGCCGAGGGAAAGTCGATATCGAGCGCCAACGTCCGCATGTCCGACGGTCTCATCAGCATCTCTTCGCCACCGCAGAGCAGGAGCTCCTCGGCACAGGACTCCTACTCAACTTCTGCGACGACGTATGATGACCCTATCGATGGTATGGCAGCAAAATCCTCATCTGACGGCACCAGTGATAAGAGAGGCTCCAAGCTAGACGGCAAGGGAAACGTGCTAGTAAGCGTAAGAGTGCGACCAGATGCGACCGGAAACGAAAATGCGAAGGCCGAGGGCGAGTGGATGGTCGACGGGCGCAAGTCTCTTGTTGCTTATAGAGGAAAAGAAGGCGGCGACTACTTCTACGGTAAGCGTACTCTCCTGGTTCTGAGGGTTCATCCTAACATGAGCCGCTAGATAATGTGTTTACGACGCACGATGACAACAGCCGAGTCTATGACTGCTTAGCAAAGCGGCTAGTCCGCCGCGTAATGGAGGGCTACCATGGAACCGTTTTCGCCTACGGCATGACTGGTACCGGAAAGACATTTTCGATGCAAGGAACTGCTTCTTCGCCCGGTGTCATCCCTCTTGCCATTACCGACATCTTTTCCTACATTAGGGAAACACCGTCTCGCGAATTCCTACTCCGTGTCAGCTACCTGGAGATATATAACGAGAAAATCCACGACTTGTTGAGCATGCCAACCGGAGCCGGTGCCAGTGCTGGCGGGCAAGAAGAGATCAAGTTGCGCGAAGACAGCAAGCGCGGTGTCTACGCCAGCCCCTTGAAGGAAGAGATTGTGCAGAGTCCAACCCAGCTTCTGAGGGTAATCGCCCGTGGCGACCAAGCACGCAGGACGGCGAGCACCCAGTTCAATGCGAGAAGCTCCCGAAGTCACGCAGTGGTACAAATCGTAGTAGAGAGCCGAGAACGGATACCAGGAAACGCTGGCGTTGGCGAAAGTAAACGATCCGGAATGCTGCCTGGTGGCGTACGCGTGTCAACACTGAGCTTGATCGATCTTGCTGGGTCCGAGAAAGCGGCCGAGTCCAAGGAACGACGAACGGAGGGCTCGCACATCAACAAGAGCTTGCTCACCTTGGGCACCGTCATCTCCAAACTCTCCGAGCACAAAGACAAGGACGGAAAAGCCGCCGACAAAGATGGGAAGCATCTGCCGTACCGAGACAGCAAGCTAACCAGGCTTTTGCAAGGGGCTCTGTCAGGCGGCTCACTCGTGAGCATTCTGTGCACCATCCAGATTGGTGCAGCCGGTAGCGCTGCTTCTTCAAACTCCCACACGTCCGAAACCATCAACACTCTCAAGTTCGCGTCCAGAGCCAAAAACAACATTGTCAGCCACGCCAAAAAGGCGGAGGAGGCTCTCGGAAGCGGCGGGGATGGCGGCGCCAGAGTTCTCTTGGAGCGGTACCGCATGGAGATTCTGGAACTGAGACAGCAACTCGACATGCAAGCCAAGGAGAAGAACACGAAGTACGCCGACGAAGAAAGAGAACGAGATGCCCTTGAGGAAAAGGCCCGTGAACTAGAGGCTGAGCACCGGCATGAGGAGCAAATGCTTGAAATGCAGTTGGCTCGAACAGCGCTCAAGGAACGGATTGATCACCTTAACCGTCTGATCCTGAGTTCCAAATCAATTGGCGTTAATGTCAGCGGGTCCTACAGTGCTCTGGGCATACACCCACGGTCTTCGATGGCTTCGGTGAGATCATCATTGGCCACCTCGAACAGCGGCAGACCAATGCTCGAAAGGACAGCATCTACGACATCTGCTTCTTCAACCATTGGCCGTCAGTCAAGTTGCCGGTCCAGTGGGGAACAGCGCCGGTCCAGTGGTGACGGCGGTATGGTGACGGACGATGACAGTATCGGCGAATTCGGAGATGGAAGTGCCTCGTTGACGGCCCAGAATCGCGCGTTGCAGGCCGACCTGGCAGACAAGACAAGATATATCCAGACCCTGGAGAAGCGACTCATGCAGGCACGAAGAGCCAGTTCCTCAAGAACCTCCGTCGGCTTCTCCGCCCCGAACAAGGCCATCATGGTTGGAGAAGACCACAGTGTGTCGACGCTGTTGAGGGAAAAGGATGCTGAGATTGCTGAGCTGAAAGCGCGGCTGGACGACAAGGACCGCATGCTGGGTGCGTTGCGCTCAGCGGCCCGATCTCGAGACATGGCGGAGGGACATTTGGACGGTCGAACGTCTTCTCTGTACGAACATAGCCCCCCGCCGAGGATCAGCCCGCCGCCAGCACCATCGGCCTTGGCCAACAACGCCCGTGTTCGCACCAAGAGTGTCGACGAGATGAGCAAGATTCTGGACGAGATGATTCAAGACCACGTCGAGACTGGTCACCTGGTCAAGGGGGCCAGAGGGAGCATTCGCGTCGCCAGCGATCGCAAACTTGAGGTGCATCCGGAGCTACCGGTAAGACTCGAGCCGCTCAAGAAGACAGCATCTTTTGACGAGGCCAGCAAGGTGGCAGTGATGGGCATGTAAGACGCTCGTCTATGGGATGTGTAAGCTTCGTTTGTTCATTTTGACTGTGATAAGGGATGAGGTGGCATTGGTACAGGGTGCCTCGCGCAGGCCAGGAAAGGCGTTTAGGAAGGGTCGACAAAGGCCTATTCTTTTTTTTGTTTTGTTTTTTTCTCTTTTTTGTTTTCTTCTTATACCCGACACTTTTATTTCGCCATGGTTATTGGTTGAGAAGGCGGCGGCCATTGCCTCGTTCTGTCGTCAGCCATATCCGCCGGCCTGTTTTACTAGCATACGGATACGTCGAGGAGGGAAGAACCGGCAGAGGCCCCAGTTACGATTACACAACGTGTGCCTTTGGTGCACCGGGGTCAGGTCAATGATGACGGCGGAGGCTTCAGTGAATGGCAGGAAAAGCGACGAGGTCTGCCAGCGGCTTTTAATATTGGGCAGATGATTGCGATGGCTCATGTTATCAGGAAGCAGGGTCCGGTCAGCTAGCTAATTGCGGATGAGCAGCGACAAAATCCAAGAAGAGAGAAGACTATGATCCATCCCGACGCAGTTGCCCTTTGACCACCCCGTATCGTGACCGAACCACAATGCGTTGACTGTCTCGATGAGATGCACATGCCCTCAGCCGGCAGCGCAAGGCAAGATTAGGTGCCGGAAGGGCACATGCCGGGCCGACTGTAAGTGGTGGACTCGTCTTCGGCTGATGACCGGGGGGAATGCATCTTTGCTGACCGGACTTCAAACAGGCTGAAAGGGTGCTGTTTGCCCCTCTCCCCTTCCCCTCCGTCCCCGTCGAGAAAACCCCTGCCGTGCTACAGCGTACGGTCTCTGCCTGGAGGTTTCGTTTGAGGGGGTGAGCGCAGGTCGCCTCACGAGACGGCTTCCTAGCCGCGACTTGTGACCGGCATGGAGAGAGTGAGCGAGAGCGAGCTTGGGCCACGACGACCGGAGCGAGGCGTCAAAGGCCACTACCGGTCGATTCGATGTCAGTTTCATCACGACTGCGGGGGACAAGGGGGCATCGTGGGAGGCTTGCTCGCGAAGTCGAAGCCGGGGCCATGGTTTGCGCTCGGCAGCACCCAAACTGCAAACCACGAACAAGTGTGAAATATGCTCAAGCTTTCCCGAGGCGGCGCGAGGCTGGCTAGATAGGGGCGCGACGGCGGGCTACGATCACAAGTCGGAAATTAAAGCAGACGGGGTTTCCTGGGACGGTTCCCCGTGCCGCGGTTTGACGAGACGAATCGAGGAACGAGACAGGTTGGGCTTGCTCGAGTTTAGGGCGGATAGGGCGTCAGGGACGGGAACGAACGTTCAAGCGTGGGCTTAAAACGCGGGAAAGAGCTTCAATTTTGGTCTGCTTGCCTCGGTGATTTGGAGCAAAGTTTAAGTGGCGGGATGGACCTTGGTTCGAAGCCGAGGGCTGGGAGCTAGGGAGGATTGCATTGCATTCATGGAGCGGTTTTTGGTGGCTGAGAGTTCCCCAAGTGCCGTTGTCTAGGGGTGGGGGGTTTTCTGGTTGAATTTACTTTTTTGGAGGGTTCGCGGCAGACGGACGGACTCACGGGCGGGTGCACGGTTGATTGAGTCTTTTAGAGGGCACGGGCTCGTTTCGATGGCATCTTGGAAATTTGATGACATCGTGTTAGCGACTCGTTACATTTCTCGTGAGATTTGGATGTGCGTTTGGATGATGAGCGCTGCTTTCCGAGAGTTTGAGTAGAGGCTGTAATAAAGCAACATAAGGAAACGATAGTTTTAGGATTGGAACAATGGAAGTACGCCTCGGGTGAATTCTGAGTTGTGCTCTCGAGTATGATGTATGAGTGGTGTTGTTTGGTGTCCGCCTTGCGATTACGTTCCTCTCGGCTCGCAGTGTCTCCTAAAGGTGGGTGTTTTTGTGTTGAGGAGGTAACGGGCTGTGGGTAATCGTGATGCTACTGTCTGCCGATGCCTGCCGCCATGGCTCGACATGGTGCGCGGGCTGTCTAGCTGAGTCTGGGAACGATGGATCGCAAGAGCAAATTTTGTTTGAGTTCCATATGACGCAAATGGGGCTTGATTGACTATCCTCTCCTCTGGCCGGGCCCCCAGTTTGCTGATGGCGATCTGCAGCGGAGGGTAAAACCGTAAACCTAGAGCGCGGTGAATGACTCTTGTTGAGCTCGGGCCTCACTTCTGTTGTCTCTTGTCTCCTGTCTCGTACCGTGGAGACCGGCTGTGGTATGTGCCGTCAGTTCATCACTTCCGATGCTTTTTGTGCTCGAAGTATCTCGATACAGAGAAAGCTTCTCGTGTTTGGTGGGCTAAAGAGTGTTTGCCTGCTGTGCTGCCTCGAGTCGTACGACGTTAGGCGGTTCGTGTCTCACGTGTCAACGATGAAGTTTCGTTGGTTTCTGCCTGCCCGCTGGCCTGCCTCTTTGGCTTTTTATATATCGTGCTCTCGGGGGCATCCATCCGATAGTTTCAGCGGCGCGTGCGCGCGAAAGCCGGGCATCCCGTACCTCGAACTGCTTAGCTGTGTTTGCCCAAGCTGTCAAGAGAGCGGATCCGGTGCTCAAAGGGAAAAGGATGAGCGGGAGCAGATTTTCTCGTCTTAACCGTTCAACGGTCCTGTCCCACGCAAAACAAAAAACAAAAAAGGGAAAGAAAAAAGAAGAAAAAGTCGACAGCTCGGAATGGACCCAGAATTGAGGAACCCAGAAAGGGGTCGTGGCAAGGGTGTCGATTCCCCGTTTGCTGACCACATGTGGCCTTCTGAATTCGGAATTTGCCCTTGGTCATGACATGTTTCTCGCGAGTCGGCTTGTTGCTGGAGCTGCGAGAGTGAGGGGGCCGAGACCAGGGACTTGGGAGCTCGAGGAAAGCCCAAACAAAGGGCGGGATGAGGCCGTGAAGACGGTCATTCTGATGGAAATGCGGAACCACTTTTGCGGCTTATCCGCCGTCTGCTCACGACCTTTTTGGGAACGAGAGGAACTGGAACGAGCGGGCTTTGGGATGATGAGTTGACACTGACATGACAGCCGAAGGGGCGGGCGTTTTTCCCTCGTGCCCGAGAAGGAAGTGATGGCCATCTTCCGGGGGGAGGTCCGGGAAGGAATAGATGGGGATGCGGCGACGGAGAAGCCAATGAGAGGCGGAAGATCAGGGTCAAGAGCGCCAAATGGATTGAGGAGGCTTGCGGGACGTGGCGAGGGCTTTCTCTGATTGGCTTGCGTGGCAGGAGAGGAAGGAGGAGGGGGCGGATCTCATCCGAGGACCCCTGCGAGCTCCGGCGTTCAGGGACACCACGCCGAATAGAAGCCAGCCTTCTGGCCTTCTGAGTGGCTGCTGCATAGTCCACTTTTCCTGAGCGAGACCCCTGAGGAATCTGAAACGTCCTAAATCATGACTGGCGGCCACATGAGGTGGGAGGTGAGGACTTCTGCGGGCTGCTGGCTGCAAAGCGCAATCCATCCCACAGCCAACCCACACCAATACCCTCACATAACCAGGAAGGTACCTCTGTACTTGCACGGTGGGTGACCCGTGGGACAGCTGGCTTCCTCTTTGGGAACTCGGGGCTGCACGTACTGAACCCGGTTCCCTGCAACAAGTGTTGCAGATGCGATGCGATGCTCTGTCTCTGTCCCTCTCACTCTCGGTCAATCCGCCGGTCCTCTCGAGCGCGCCCCCGCATGTCTCTACTGACTCTGCACCCGGGCTGACACGACGGCTAACGGTTAGGCTCTGGCAAGGTTATTTCGGAGGTAATCCACCATGGCGTCGCCGCGTCGTTCCGAATCGGAATCCCAGGGGAATGAATACCTACGATGCAACCATCCTATCCTGCCCGACCGTCTCGCCGGGAAGGTCTCTCTCTGTTCGGGGGGCTTGGGGCTATGACTTGGACGTGTCGACTGTTGATGTGGGATCTGCTTGGGTATGGCGATCCCGTGCGATCTGCTTCGCTTATTTCTGCTTCTGGCGTTCGAGCATTGGACAATAGGAAAGTGAGAGAGGCATATGTAAGCCCAGCTGTAGGTGAGGGGAAACCCTGAACTGAGTTTCTATTTGGAGGCCGATCATGATGCTGCGAGTTCCAGAAACCCCGTCGCCAGCCCTGGGCGATCCGCATCAGTGATGCCGTTGCTTCTTACTTTTCGTCGCCGCAAAGACGCCGCACCGCCACGCGGCTGCTTCGCTTCGTTGTTTCGCGGGGATCTGCTGCTCAGTGACTGCCCATCGTCATGTCCAGCCTGCTGCACACCGGGTTTCGCGGGTTTCGTTGGTCCACCCATCGCCGTTGTACTCGCTCCGAGACCAAAAAACAAAAAGAGACGGTCAGGCTGAATGCCAATGCCCAGGATCGGCTTAAGTCCCTCCATCCCCTCCTCCGCCGCCCAACCTAGACAGACTTTTGTCCTTTGTCCTTTGCTACAAACGCGAGGTCCCGACACCTAGGTTTCTGCTAGACAAGCAAGACAAACAGCAACCAAAGAAGAAACGGTTCAAGCATTGACGGGCAACAGCTGATACTTGCTCCCACGGACGGCGGCGTTTGTACCATTGCGCTTCACTTGACACGACGACACCTCACCACTCCCGGAGTTCTGACACATCTTGTCCTCCCATCTCCCGCCTTTCCCCATCCGCCCATCCTTCGGTCCATCTTTTACTGGCTGCCCCCTCCTCTCCCGTCCATCCCCTCCTCATCGCTTCTAGGTTCTTGCCTTTCGCCCATCCGTGGGCTGTGAGACCGGGTATCAAGTTGAAGGCCGGGACGAACAACTCATCGTCCCATCTCTCTTCTATTTGCATCTACCCAATTGCACTCCGGCGCCCTGCTCCCTCCATCTTTCTTTGTTACTCGACCTGGCATCGGATAGAGTTCGCCAACCCCGGGAAGATAGAGGAACCACAAGGTCCGCCGGTAGACGAGGGCTCCAGTTACAAGCAATATACCGCAGACCGAACGAGACAGCCGGCATAACGCATGCGCTACAAAACTGTTTCGGCGAGCCAGTCTCCAGTCTTCCAGTGTCTGTCTTTCAAAGAGCCTCTCGACATTACAGATAGCTGGCTCGCTCGTTCCAGCTCCTCCCGCTCCATACATATGCAGCAGCTCTAGCCGGACGACCGGAACGCCCATCGTCTGCTTTGCAACAGCTCCCCTCTTCACTAAACCCTGGTCTTTGATGGTCGCCCCTCAGACCCACCATCGGTCATTTACTTCACGCACTTTATCGCACCTGTCGTCCTTTTCGGTCGGTCCCCTAGGGCCTTCTTCACTGCATTTCTGCCAGATTTCGGACTGGGGCCGTTTACGTTTTGCGCAGCTACCTAGGTACCTCCAAGCTCCTGCAGCTGCTACCCTGAAGGCCACCTCGGTTCCCAAAAGAAGAAGCTAGGCCGAGTCTTCCTTAATCTGTTCACGACCACACGACACTACTTCTCCCCCACAGTCCCCGGTTTCTTCACTTCTATTCTTCTTCTTTCAGACCTGACCCGACCGCGCCAACGGCCTCGGTCACGTCTTGTACGCAGACGCTGCATTGCTCGTCATCCACCGCGCTGACCACCGCGTTGCCGCCTGCACACAACGACACCTCATCTTGTGCGACCGTTACTGGAACCGTAACTATCATGAACGCTTCCTAGAAGGAAGAAGGCCGTTCTCGTTCATGATCAAGCAGGCTCGACGCCCACCGACACTCCTTTACTAAAGAACCTTCATCTGTCGATATTCTATTCTCTCAGCTCAGGCTTCCCCGCACCAAGCTCGACCTTTGAAAGATACCCATTGGCAACGACGCTACCTTGTTAGTGGACACGGCCCAGAAAACGACTCTACGAACCTTCGCTTCTTCGGGATACCACCTTTTTTTTCTATCTACATCGTTGCTTATAATGCGAGCAAAAATGCCGGCCCCACTGGATCTCAGCAAATCCAAGCTGTCAATATCCAACCCGCGGATGAACCTGCGGCGATCTGCCTCACACCACAACTCCAGTTACGAGAAGGTCCCCTTGTCCGCCACTTCTTCGCGCTTCAGCTTCAACCACCTCCTCTTCTCCTCGCCGCCACCATCGCCGAGCTTACCAGCCCTCATCCCGCCTCCCAGGAAGTCACCCATTCACCCGCGACCCAGCCGTGTATTCCGGTTCACCTTCTGGGCTGCGTTCGCGGCCCTGCTGTTCTACTTTGCAACATTTCCTTTCCGAAGCAGCTTCGGCACGCCGGAGCTGAACATTCCACACCTCGCCACACATGAAGACTTCGAGATGGTGGGGCAGGATGACCTGCCCGACTTTCCCACCCCTATCGTCATTACTGATCACAGCGGGAAATCCAAGTGGACTGTATCAGTCCCCCCGAGTTACGACTTTCCATTGTCGGTGAAGGAGTATGGAGACATGTGCAGCAAGTGCCGAGAGGTTGCTGCTCGTGTGAGCGATATGCGCCACCGGGCCAAGATTCTCGATCAGAACTTCCTGAGTCCCGAGGCTCCGGCCGACCCGTACTTCGTCGATGTGGCGGAAGCTCAGAAGTCGGGCCTTCTCCCAGACGTTGCCAACAGCAGATGGCCGAGCAAGGGACAGGGCAGAGATGGAGATCTGGTTGGGGAGAACAAGGACTCGCTGGTAGAGAAGCCCATCTGCCACACCTCAATGACCTTCATTTTGGAGACGGCAGATGCTGGGATCGGACACACCATTATGCAGCTTTGGACCTTCTACGGTCTTGCACAGAGACAAGGTAGAGCCTTCTTCATCGATGATTCTCGCTGGGCGTACGGCAAGTACACCGACATCTTCCAGGCGCCCCCAGTTCCAAACTGCCGTCCTCCACCCCGCCACGAGATGATTCCTTGTCCTCCCGGAGCTCGTCATCTCGTTGTCACCTCCGAGACGGTCAAAGAGCTTTGGGCCGGTTCTCTTAGCAAACCCTACGCCGACTTCCGAGCCCAGGACGAGGAGGGAGTGCGAAAGCTTTTCGACTTGGCACACGAGGGCTACCGGGCCCTGTTCGATCTCAACAAGGACGACACGCAGTACGTTCTCAACAGGGTCAAGGAAATCAAGGCAAAGGCACTCACTGGAAACGCCAACCCGAACGACGGTCTTATTGTTGGAGTTCATGTCCGTCATGGCGACTGCCACCCGCTCGAATACCAATACCGCGGGACCTACATCCCTATGGAGATCATCGCCAACCGCGCTCGTGAGATCATCGAGGTCAACTACAACGAGTCCGGAAGGGACGGCGCCGACGATGAGCTCGCCAAGAAAAAGTCGTTCGTTGTTCTGGCGTCCGATGACCCTACGGTCTACGATTCCGATGACTTCAAGGGCTCCATGCGTGCCCAGGAGCAGATCCGTCTTGCCTCCAAGCAGGAGACCCACAAGGAGACGCCTAATAGGCATGTCATGCATCGATTCGAGGACGAGTCCTTCGGCTGGGAAGGCGGCTTCTTCGCCGCCATGTTCTGGAACCTTGGTCTGTCGTCCATGAGCGCCTCCAACGCCGCGACAGCCAAGAATAAGCAGCTGGCTCCGTCGGCCGAGACTCTTCGTCTTCGGGGCTACGTTGGCCGTGCGTACATGATGGACCTTGCGGTGCTTGCCAGTGCGAGCGATGCTATCGTCTGCACCGTAAGCGCTATGGGGTGTCGTCTGCTTGCAGTCATGATGGGGTGGGAGTCCGCCATGGAATCGGGAAACTGGGTCAATGTTGACGGCCCATATGGATGGACCGGCTTGTCCATCTAAACATCGCTATCATTTCATACGCAGCATCAAAGGAATGGCTCGCATGGTCCGAGCCACGAGCGAAAGCAACAACAAACTTGCATCACAGCATGGTCATAGGTGTACGGCGTTCAGTGCGAAAGGCACAACACATGTTTTTCCTTTTCTTTTCACCTGGTTCTGGTTCATTCTTTGAGTTTCAAAAAGAGATACCTCTTCTTTTGTTTCATAGCAAACAAAACTGCATGCATTGAGGCTGGCCAGATGGTACAGTCCAACGGTCGTTACTGCATCAACTAATCATACTTCAAAACATACAACAAGAAAATCAATAAGCTGGCTTGGGAGCGCGGACGCTAGCTAGCCAAATCAAAGTCAAAGACACATCATTCACAAACCATGGTTGGATTCCTTTAATGTGTGTGTGTTTATATTGTGCCTTGTAGTTGGTGCTTTTCCAGGTCTTATACAGGCCATTGCCAACGCAAATGACCAAACCTTTGCTGGAGGTCTGACAAGCATATATCGCCGGGGTGCATTGGGCCTGAATCCCGAACGCTGTTCATGACCTACTAAAGGTCTGACAATCCATCTCCGTCTCTGATTGCTGTCGCCCATGTATCACGAGGTATTCCTGTGGTGCTGGCGGACACATAACGAGTCTGGACGGCCCCTCGCGAAGGATACGCCCCCGACACACGACTACTATCGATATGGCGTAGGCGGCATGGAGCTCCATGATTTTTTATATCTTCTGCTGGTAGCAAGTGCATTTTACGGTTCCAGAAAACATCTCTATTGTATAATCGCCCTCGAAGTCTTTTGTAGGGCCAAGTTCTGTCCCGGAAATCATCCTGGACTCGCTGGGGTGGTGCTTGATCCTGGTATAAGGGAAACCATCGTTTTCACTGAAAAAGATGATCTATTCGATAAAGTGAGGCCAACACGTACGTCTCTCATGCTATTCGAGTCTTGATAGAGTAGAATCAGACCAACGAGACGTTTATCCATTCTTGGGATTTGTGTGCGGCTTGAAAGCCCACGTAAATGGAATAAGGTACGCCTTTCTCATTCATTCTTGGCTTACCGTCTCGTCAAGGCATTGAAGCTGAGTACCGCCCAGATGTTGGACGATACGAAGGACGTATCGACACTGGTCGATTCTTTTGCACTCATTCGGTGCATATTGAATAGCAATGCATGCTAGAACGATAATGACACTCGAAGCCTTGTTTCTGCCTATCTATAACGTGGTTTTTGGGCTTTGACTATCTTTGCAGCCGAATACGGGGCTTGAATCGACACGGGTAGGGTCGGTTTCCGTGAGCATGTGGCCTTATGTATTTCGATTTCGGTCACGTATTAGTGAACACAGGCCATGTTGGTTCGCCTTGCTGTGTCTGTACGCAAAAGGCAATCATATGAATTCATGGCAGTGACGAAAAGAGTGGCGGGCGCGTACCACCACCTCCGAATCGGTCGGCAGAGGGTCCTACCTACAGCAACAGGAACTGGAGGCAGTGTGGATGGTAGAAGGCTTGATCTGATCACTGTCCTCCTATGTCTCAAGCTCATTCCAAGAAAATTCTACCGGCATATAGAGTGTTGATGAACGGAGAATCTCGCAGTTATGGCGAAGTTTTGTTCTTGAAGTCGGCAGACGTAGCTAGGTTAAGAGACGGACATCGTCACCGCCGCCAAATAAATCTATCGATGCAGAGTTTGCAGTATAGCAAGGTGGTGGTTCCGTTTGCTGCGCGGCATGAAGCAGCAACTGTTATACTCTTCTAAGGAAAAACACTCAGGTTCATAGATGTGGCGAGGTGCTGGATCAGTTGTGTGCTAGACCCTGGAAACGACGAGGATATGAGGGTTCTATCGAGAGCCTCGCCATGATAGGCAAACTTTGTCATTCGTCCAGAAACTTCCATGACTCAAGAACAATGAAAGCTAGGTCTCATGCCTTAGGTCAAACTCAAGACTTCCAATAGACGTAGTCAGTCGTCTCTGTGCCTTGGTTCCAGCCAACAATCAGCTTCATCGAAGCCAGAGCCGGAAAAGCGGAAAGTGGTTATCTTGCTCGTCAAGTCACAAGAAGTGTCTCTTCACAGTCATCAATTGACCTTTAATATTCAGGTTTATGTCTCTCGATGACGCAGAGTGCAAATCATACACTTCTCAACAACAAAAGTAACTATATCAGAACGCCTGCAGAACAATAGTGTGCGAAGGTTTTGGCAAAGTCAGTGGTCTACAGCTAGATGGATCTACCTCCGCCAGCTCCGCTCTAGTGACCGCTGTATGGACGGCCGGAAGTCTAGGAAGAGTCACGCATGCGATTGACGCAGCCTCCCCAGCGGCTTCGCATACCCCGTTGAGGTTTCAGCATCGCTCCCGGTCGACGTTTACAGGTTAGGGGCAAATATAAGAATATAACGCAATACCATAGCGCTTACATCCGGGGCCGAGACATTCTTCTGTCCCGCCGGCAGGCGAATCGGTCTCCAGACATGGGTTGTCGGCGTGGAGACACTAGCGAGGGCAGGATCGAAAGTTAATGTAACGGACTGCCAGAGGCACGCAGGGCCGGCTCGGGCTTCGACAGCATCGACTATGATGAACCCGAGTCTTGTTACCATCTAAAAGACAATCTGGGTCAAAGCCAGGCAAGGTGAGCTTGGCGATGCGTCTCATTATCATTCTTCTACCATACTGGCAACCATTGACGATCAATCAGCAGCTCGGGAAACCGGCATTTCCTCTTATCTTGTGGCTCAAGCTACTGTAGCTCAGCTGACTTATAGATCTCATCGAAACGGAGAGGCAATCTAGACCCTCGTCTGCCGTTGTGTTTGTATCCGGGATGATAGGAGCTTGCTTGAGAGACGTAGAGCTGTTTCGGACGCAACCAACGATTCAAAATCCTTGCGTAGCTGAAGACAATTCAAAAAGAATGGATGGAGATATGTCGAAGCCGTGCAGGATGCATGAGGCGCAGTTCGTGATGGTGGTGAAGTCAGAGGTCGGGATCTTGTCGGCATGATCCGCCTCGAATTCTTATTCGGGTTGCCAGTTTGTCAATTAAGCACATGTGAGTGGCCAGACGAGCCTCTCAGCTCTGAGGTACATGCCTCGGGGAGGCTCCTAGGATTCCGTCAAAAGGTAGGATGGCCGGTGTGATTGGCGAGGATGAGGGGAAAAGAGGAGCAGACCAGACCCTTGGAGGGACGGAGGTAACAAGAGCAATGTACAATGACAAAACTGACGAAACCAGCAGGGCAATTTCGAAATGGCTTCATCGCGTTGAAAGGTGGTTTCCCGAGTCTAGGGAATTGGCACATGCATCGAATCATTCCCATCGTCCACTGCTCGATTAGGCAGGGAGGGTCCTCGATACGAATACGAACGGCCCGCCATTGGCTGAGCTACTCGTGCCACCGATTGGTCCCTGCCCTGGTTCCCGATTTTCTGGCGCAACGTTCAACCTGAGCCAACAGCAGAGCACGGGCAGATCAGGGAAGGGAAAGGGGCACATGGGAAGGAACCTAGATCCAAGGGGGAAAAGGCTGCAAAGACATTTCCGTCTAGAGCACTAGCGAACCCTGTGACAGACAGTCCAAAGGGCGATCCAAAAGGCAAGGAAGGTGTCACGGCTTCTTGGCCCCAGATGCAAGATGCCTGACCGCCTGGAGCTTTCCCATGCAAATTAGTACCTAGATGGCTAGTTAACGCATGGCGCACACACGCAGGCGCAACGCTGCTGCTGGTGGTGCAGCAGCTTTGGTTACGCAGAATTGTGGGACCCAACAAAACGCGGCAGATATCTAATCTCATAATGGATAATTTAAAACCACGGCTGGAACCCCCCCTTCTCGATGCACTTACTCTTCTTGTGCCACTGATATTCGAGTATTGCGTTCGTTCACGAGTTTACGACAATTGGAACCACGGGCAGCCGCGACGACATTAGACATCACCAACTGACGCACTCTCTCCTTCCATTCTGCCCAGCATGGGTCTCCTACAAGAGGTCGCAGGGCCGTTGTCCCAGCAGTTCCAGACACTAGGAACTGGCTTGCAAATTGTCACCATTGTCGGCGCTGTCATCTTTCTTTCTGTCCTCCTCAATGTCGCCTCCCAGATCCTCTTCAAGAACTCCAACGAGCCGCCCATGGTCTTCCACTGGTTCCCCTTCATTGGTAGCACCGTCATCTATGGCATGGACCCCCAGCCTTCTTCAAGGCCAACCGTGAGAAGGTATGCGCGTCCACCACTACCACCACCGTTGATTGTTGCGACTTTTGGTTCTCGTGCTGACAAGCATTGCCCCGACAGTACGGCGATATCTTCACTTTCGTTCTCCTCGGCAAGAAGACCACTGTAGCCCTCGGCCCCCAGGGCAACGACTTCATCCTCAACGGCAAGCTCAAGGATGTGAACGCTGAGGAAATCTACACCGTTTTGACCACCCCCGTCTTTGGTCGCGACGTTGTCTACGATTGCCCCAATGCCAAGCTCATGGAGCAGAAGAAGGTATGCGGGCGCCCGAAACTCTCTTTCTGCGAAGCTCTCTACTGACAGGCTGCGTGCCCCTCCAGTTCATGAAGATCGCCCTCACCACCGAGGCCTTCCGCTCATACACCCCCATCGTTGCCGACGAGGTCACCAATTACTTCAAGCGCAGCCCTGACTTCAAGGGCAAGTCCGGCGTCGTCAACATCCCCACCAAGATGGCCGAGATCACCATCTTCACCGCCTCCCACGCCCTCCAGGGCGCCGAGATCCGCAACAAGTTCGACGAGTCCCTCGCCTCCCTGTATCACGACCTCGACATGGGGTTCACCTCCATCAACTTCGTGTTGCACTGGGCTCCTCTCCCCTGGAACAAGAAGCGTGACCAGGCTCACGACACCATCGCTCAGATTTACATGGACACCATCAAGGAACGCCGCGAGGAGGGTCGCACCAACGGACTCGACATCATGTCCCACCTGATGAACTCGACCTACAAGAACGGCATCAAGGTCCCCGACCACGAAATCGCCAACATGATGATCGCCCTTCTCATGGCCGGCCAGCACTCCTCCTCGTCCACCAGCTCCTGGATCATGCTTCGTCTTGCTCAGAACCCTCACATCATGGAGGAGCTTTACGAGGAGCAAGTCCGCGTTCTCGGCGCCGATCTGCCTCCCCTGGCTTACGAAGACCTCGCTAAGCTGCCCTCAACCAGGCCATCATCAAGGAGACCCTCCGCCTTCATGCCCCTATTCACTCGATCATGCGCGCCGTCAAGTCCCCTATGCCCGTCCCTGGTACGAAGTACGTTGTCCCCACGAACCACACGCTCCTCGCAGCCCCTGGTGTTTCCGGCTCCGATCCCACCTATTTCCCTGAACCCGAGCAGTGGAACCCCCATCGCTGGGACGCCGACTCCCCCCTCGCCCCCAGACTTGGAGCCAACGACGCTACGGAGGAGGAGAAGATCGATTACGGCTACGGATTGGTTAGCAAGGGTGCTGCCTCGCCGTACCTGCCCTTCGGCGCCGGCCGTCACCGCTGCATTGGCGAGCACTTCGCCAACCTGCAGCTTCAAACCATCACTGCCATGGTCGTCAGAAACTTCAAGTTCCGCAACGTCGACGGTAGCAACAACATTAACGGCACCGACTACGCCTCTCTCTTCTCGCGTCCTCTGGAGCCCGCCAACATCTACTGGGAGAAGCGCAACCCGTAAATGAGTGGACGATGCGGAGGCTGTGCGATATTTTTGGGGTCAAGATTTGTACATTGCAAGCCATTATGAATACATAAGACATGGCAGAGGTAGTAAAAGACATAGACATGAGAGCGCTACGGCGCAAAGGTGGCAGACTAAACGGTCACCACTGAATAATATTAATGCAAAGACCGTTATGACATCATGCCAAACCCCCCACACTGCTGATCCGTGCCAGCGGTTCTCGTTCGAACTTGGGAGGTCTAAGAAAAAATAAAACCACATGATTCTGGGTGATCCGGCTGGAATGACAGAGGGCGGGGTCCGGCCAAGCAATGGTGATCACCACACCTGTCTGCGCAACTGAACGGGGTTCGGTCGGTCGGCGGTGTTTTGTTTCAAGGTCAGTGCGGCGGACATGGGGAGGGCGTCTCAGACATCCCCCGTCCAGTTTTCGCTCCGATCCCCTCCTCACCTCATCCCAACCTAAGCTTGAGCTTGAGCTGGAGCTCACTCATAGAGACTGTCACTCACGCAACTGCCTTACGAACAGCCGCGTACCACCGTGGGGGTTTGAGTTTGCTCACTGACGTTGCACAAGCTACTACGTCTACTCACTGACTGCTTACCGATCAACCCGTCTATATAAAGAACATACACAATCTGCGACAGCGACAACACTGGGATCATAGCCTTGCGACGACCCCCGCATTAATCGCGATAATCCTGGATTTACGGACCCGAATAGACAACCAAGAACCATAACCGATATGAACACTGAGGACGAAAACCTGGGGCCTCTGGTCCGTTTATGGGGCCTCCGGACGGAGCAGCTCCCGGCCCCGAGCGCAACGACAGCCGACTTGGCACCGTTCCTGATCGCCGTGCTGCAGGAAGCAGTCCCCTTCATTGACGCCGTCGCGCCTAAAGACGGCACGGCGCGGCCCAATGAGTGGAAGGCCAAGGGCACCAAGACCTTTCCCGAGTCGACAGCACCTGTCGAACTGTACGAGCGCATCATTCCCGCCGCGGAGCTTGAGAAGGAGGCGGCACGGAACCAGCTACCGAACGGCGTTTCCGCCTCCGCCGAGACGTGGGCGTGCCGGAGGAGTGTTCACAAGGATAGGCCGGGCAAGGGGACGGCGGCGTGGGAGGAGTTTATCAAATGTTTCAAGGACGACCACGTCGAGGCCGAGAAGGCGTTCACGCCAAATGTGATGGAGGCGAGAGAGGCGCTGGCGTGGGACTGCAAGGGTGTCGTTGTCGACGAGGGGGGGCTTTCATGGGAAGACTTCAAGGTCGGCGTGTCGGAGATCAAGCACAGGCTCGGGATGCCGCTCAAGAACCGCGTGTTTCCCGAGCTCATCGTCACGGCCAAGGCGAGGGGCGCCGACGAGTTTGTGGTCGTGTCGATCCCCGTGCTAGACCTGGCGGGTTCGGACCACGGACAGCTCGTCAAGGACAAGGGCGTCGTAGTCGGCGCGTACGTGAGCGTCGAGAGAGTGCGGAGGCTGCCAACCGGGGCGATTGAGTGGATCATGGCGACGGCCTCGGACGCCAAGGGCGCGCTGCCGGCGTGGCTCCAGGCCAAGGCAGTGCTTGGGGTCGTTGCGAAGGATGTTGCGTTGTTCCTTGGCTGGATCGCTGAGGAGCGGGAGAAAGGGACAAGCGTGGGCAAGTGGACAGCCGTCAAGGGTGGCAGCGAGGTTCGCCCCGGCAGCAATGGCCGCAAGGCGTCGGCGACGCTGGAGGATGCGGAGTCGTCAAACATGCAGGGAAGGACGTCGAGGCAGGGTGTGTCTTCGAGGAACGGGAAGGAGCCGGCCGTGGGAGGAACGAATGGGACGAACGGGCAGGTTCCTGTTTAAAAAGGAGACTTGTGATATCCTGTTTATACGTGTTCGATACCTACCTAATTTGTAGTAACATAAGGTAATGGAAAACTTTCTGGCAATTGGTGATTGATCAAGGCGAACATCGAGCAGTTGAAAATGCATTGGCCGCATGAGCTTCTCCTAAAAGGTGCCAAGCCTGAGCTCCTTCCTGTGACAGACATCTTACTTCAGGAAAGCCCGCCTTTTGCCTGCTGTGCCTTCCTCCATGCCATGTAAGTATGAGAGCGGATCATCACCTGCCCTCTCCTATAAGACCAACAGACTCTGCTTCATCCTCCTCTCGATAACTTCCCAGTTGACCTTCAGGAGCCGATGCGTTTCCAGCACCGCTTTTATTCTGCGTCTGCCGACCTATCAATCCGAGTTTCGGATATAGACTGGATGAACACTGTTGTTCCCGGAATTCTGTTCCCTCGCCTTGATACCCCTCTCTCAGTTCACTCCTCCTTCTGTAGATGTTGAAGTCTGGCTGCCCGTTCACTGATATTCGACAACATCTGCAGAGGTTTCCCACTGCTCCCATCGCGATGTCTCCAGCCAACAGGACGAAGACTCGCTCAGCTGCTGCTGCGGTTTCTGAGCACGAGGTAACTCCTTCGAGGGCAGCTGTAAGTGAAAGTCGTCAACCTCCTAAGCCATACGCCGATTTGGGGCAGAGTTGTATAGCTAACACGCATGGATAGATGACCGGCAGCACATCAAATGGGTTCGGTGCTGCCAACAATACCATCCCAGCGACACAGCTGGCATTCAATACGAGTCATGTAGTTATACTGCAGGAGCTCCTGACAATGCGACGGACACTCGAAGGCATCTCTCGTCGTCAGGAAGCCAACGATGAGACTATCAGAGCCAGCGAGACAAGGATGCAGGAGCTGCAGCCTATGCCCAAGCGACTCGATGACATGGGATTCGAACTGAACAATCACTACAATCTAGCCGAAGACAAGATTCGCAGACAAGAAGCGGAGCTAAGGGCTTTGGCGGACAAGCTGGTTCGGAGTGATGAGGAAAGACTTCACCTGGCGCGCAAGGTAGAGCAGCTTTCTACCGATGTCTCCCTGCAGGCAACGCAAGCAGGTTCACGGGATCTTGGTTCCAGTAAGTGGCCTTATTTGAAGTGGAAAAAGACACTGATCAAGGATAGCCCAGGTAGCGACCAACCGGACCAAGCGGAAAGAGGAAGATGTTCTGTCGACATCCGAATCTGACGAGCAGCCGGTATCCAGCGTAGTGGTTTCCAACGGACTAAGCACTACGAGCAACCCTCTACCGAAGCGACCACCTAAGAAGCTCAAAGCTGAGCATCCGAAGCATCACAAGCGCCGAATCACGAGTTTTCAAAGATATGTCCAGACTTCCAAACACAGCTACCGGCGAGCACCACCCAAAAATGGAAGCGATATGAAGAGATTTATCAACCGCTTCATCGAGGGTATCGAGGAAAAGAGTGTTTCCAGCAAGTTGCAGAAACAGCTTTTACAACGCTTCCAATCAGTGGTTCGAGAAGCGAGGTCGAAAAAGGGACCGCGCAGTATTGTCATCGAGGGCAACTTGCATTGGGATGATGTTTGCCAGCTTTTGGACTCTGCTAGCTTGCTAGAGGATAAGGACGAGGACAATTTAAAAGATCTGTGAATCATGGTGTTTCTCGGGGGGTCACCGTAAAAGGATCATTGCTTGCACAGAAGGGTCGACAAGGAGAAGGTACTAGAAAGGTGACATGGTATTTTTCCTGCAGATTGCTCGACTTGTACCCATAGATAGCTACGAACTCCTGATGAAGTACCATAACACATTGGTACATTGACACGCAATGTCATTGAAAGCATATCAAATTTTGCTGGATGTCTGATCCCACAAGGAAATAGGCAATAACAAAGAAGTGACAACCTTTCATACGGCATGCTATCATAGTCAAAGGAGAAGAAGCATGTTCCAAATTGTTCAATTGTCGTTGACCATAACGTGACCACACGCCTAGCTGACTAGAAGTGCTACTTCTCTAAAACCACACCAACTTGACTCTTTGTATGCCTCGAACTGCGTCAACTTTTGTGTCTGCTCAATGCCATGCCTCCTGTTAAGATGCCAATGTTTCAACGATCTGGACCTTCCAAAGCGTAAGAAGTGCTAATTAGTGGTGGGATATGCTCTCCGGCCATCCGTGAAAAGGGGCTCTCAAAGGGGCCATCAGAAGCAAGAGTTCCGCATCGCCGGTCAAACGGCAGGTACCTGATGAGCGAATAGGCATCTTCAAAGAATGCCAATATCGTGTAACACGGAAACCCGGCGGCTGTTATAACCCGAAATGTCCGGGAAAATGAGTAAATACAAGCGCAACTGGGTATGTGTAACCACCAAGACAACAAGAACGCCACGTTCATGTGACAGGGACCTGCGAAGTGCTCCAACAGAAGACTGTTTGTTCCCATGGTGCTTAAGAGGTGGCGGCAGTCTCTGCGTTGGCCTTGATGCTGTAAGGAGCCAGGAAGTCGGGACTGTTGGCGATTTCCTCCTTGACCTAGAAAAAGGGATTAGCTTCCGGCAGCTCGAAGGATTGCCGAGAGAACTTACAATATCAAGACCACCAACCAGCTCGCCGTCGACCCAGAGCTGAGGATAAGTAGGCCATTCGGCGTACTCCTTCAGGCCCTGTCGTACCTCGTCGTCTGCTAGAATGTTGAAGAAGCCGTACTTGACGGAGTGTTCTCTGAGGATGGCGACAAGCTGCCTCGAGAAACCACACTGAGGCGAGCTCGGGGTGCCCTTCATGAAAAGCATGACGGGCGCGGCCTTGACGAGGTCGGCCAGGCGTTTGAATAGCTCCTCCTTGGCCTTGGCCGGGTCAACGGCCTCCTCCACCGGCACGGCGGCGCTGGGTCCGTTCTCGACGCCCTGATTTCCGTTTACCGTGCTGGTGGCGCCGGCGGCGGGCTTCTTCGCGTGTGTCTCGATCGCATTGCGCACCTTGACGGCGCTGCTGCCACTGACGGTCTCGAGGACCTGGCCGTTGCGCAAAAGGACGAGGAAGGGGACGGCGGTGACGTTGTAGGTCTCACTGATCTCGCTAAGCTCTTCGGCGTTTATGGAAACCCAGGATGTCTGCGGGGGGCTGGTGACGGGGTACTCGGAGGCGAGGGTCGCGAGGACGGTCGCCATCTGGGCGCATGGAGCGGCCCACGGTGCGTGGAATGAGATGATGTGGAGGGTGGAGGGCGGTGTGGAAGCGATGTGCTTTTCGAAGTCGGCGAGACTGGTGATCTCCGTGATCGTCGACATTGTGATTTCGTGGATCGCGAACTTTTTTTTAGACGAGTCTGGATGTTGAATGGGGTGCGTCGCAGAAGGGGCTGCGTTCAATGGGGAAAGAGAAGCTGCCGGTAGGAGTCGCGTGGAGTATTCGAGTCTTGTGGAACAAATACCGGGTGAGGAACGGGTTCGGCGGGATGTTGGATCACGAAATGACGAGGTCAACGGCTGATAAACCACGGGTCTCCGATACGTGGAGGGGTATTTGGAGGGGCAATTCGAGAGTGAGTTTTTTGGGGTGGCTGCGATTATGATGGATACACCGATCTCCGCGGGCAGAAAGTTGCCTAGTTGCACCGAGATATGCCTTTAACAAGAAATACCAGCTGTTGCGTCATCTCGCGCAAGATTTAGGGCGCCTAATTGCATATAGAGCACATTTCACTCAGCGAAGCGATGCCCAAAAGAGCCCCGCCCAGGGGTGGAGGGGCCTAAAGCGGAGAGCGAAAGCGGCAAGCAACCTGGGAGCACAGTGCGTGACTGGGCACATGGTTTGGCCGTCCTCGTACCTCAGCTGGCCCAGCGCTTTCCTGCCCCGCCGCGACACTTGGCCCGACACTGAACAACGCTGAGCTGCGTAACCGACCGCCCGCGTATTGGACGCTGGCGGGACCGTGCTTCACCTCCAAGTTCTAGTTCCACCTGTGCTGCGCCTCTCCAACTTTCGGCTGTCCCACGACCGTATTCTGCAATAGAGGCGGTTGGTTTGCTACGTCAGCTTCTTTGCCCGTAAGACATAGGCAACTGCCCGACGGAGATCTTTACGACCTGACATCTTCTGCCTTACTCTTCTCTTCCTCAGTCTCCCCCCTCCCCTCTCCCCAATCCCCTCACTTTCTGACGACTCAACGAACCGCGACGACTGCTAGTTAAGCTCATTGCCCAAACTTGCAATGGCGTCACTCAACTTGTCCATCAACGGACCCTCAATCAAGAGCAGCTACCAGAGCGTCATCAACGGCCCGCCTCCGAATTCCCTCTCGCCGACACACGCTCAATGGGCACTGTTTTCCGTTCAAGCTCCCTTGGCCAATGCTTTCCAAGATAGCGGTTCCAAGGAGAGCGTGCTCAAGGTCCAGAGCACTGGTGGTAGGTTCCCCCGCTCCTCCCCCGAGCTCCCAACGCCCGACGTTGCTCGGCGAGACATGCGCTGACAGGTGTCCTTCCCCGCGCAGATGGCGAGCTTTCGGATTTGATCGAAGACTTCAACGAGGGCCGCATCCAATTCGCCTTTGTCAAAGTAAAGGACCCCAACTCTGGCCTCCCCAAGAACGCCCTGATTGCCTGGTGCGGGGGCGGTGTCCCCGAGAGAACCAAGGGCTACTTCACCACCCACACCGCGGCCGTCTCCAAGATTCTCCACGGCTACCACGTCCAGATTACCGCTCGCTCAGAAAGCGACCTCGAACCCGAGAGCGTGATGCGCAAGATTGCCGATGCCTCCGGTGCCAAGTACTCAGCGGGCAGCTCCACGCCTTCCGCTGCCCCACCCCGGTGGCCTCCAAGCCCGTCTTCACTCCCACCTCCTCTTCAGTCGGAAATGTCAACCCCGTCGTGGCCGCGCGAAACCGCAAGACCGCCAACCCCGACGACGATGGATGGGGAGAAGATGCCCCGCCGGTGACTCGGTCACAGCTGGAGAAGGTCGAATCAGCGTACAAGCCCACCAAGGTCAACATGGCAGAGCTCACGAAGCAACGGCAAGAGCCTTCCAGCTCTAACGGCAACAGCTCGCAAGACCGGCCCGACGTTGTAAGGGGTGCTTACCAGCCCGTTGGAAAGGTAGACATTGCTGCGATCCGTGCCGCGGCGAAGAACCAGAAGGACGACAGGCCGGCGCCTGTCAAGGGCGCATACGAGCCTGTTGGCAAGGTCGACATCGCCGCCATTCGCGCCAAGGCGCAGAAGCCTTCAGAGCCCGTGGAACAGGAGCCTGCCGACGATGAGCGACCCAAGTCGTTGGCCGAACGAAGCGCCGCATTCAACCAGTCCCAGTCAGAGCGCCTGACATCGCTGCCCAAGCCCAAGGTTGCTAACAAGTTTGGCGGCGCAGCTGCGTTTACCGGCACCAAGGCGCCGGCGCCGGCGCCTGGCGGCCTTGGCTTCGGTGCACCTTCCGTACCGGCTCCTCCCCCGTTGGCGCTGCCAGCCGTACCTTTGCCGACCAAGGCGGAAAGACGCCGGCTCAGCTTTGGGCTGAGAAGAAGGGCAAGCAGGGAGGATCTGCTTCCAACATCGTCTCGCCTCCGGCTACTTCTCCCATTGGCGTGCAGAAGAGCGGAGAGTGGAAGAGTGGTTACGCTGGCAGGTCTTGGGGTCCTGTCAAGACTGCCGAATACGGCCGTGGCAAGATTAGCCAGGAGAACACTGGCGAAGATCCCCAGCAGAGGAGCGTTGATGCGCCTGCGTCGCCCGGCGGCGGCATTGGAGCTCTCCGCGACCGCTTCAAGGATACTGCGCCCATTTCTGGCGGAGCCCCCCTATTCCCCGCGAACAGCACCAGGAAGAGGAGGATGAGCCGTCTCCTCCCCCTCCGCCTAGCGGTTCTCGCCCCCCCCTGCTGGTGGATTTGCTCTGCCCGGTCTGCCCTCCAGGCAGGCGGCTGCTGAAGAAGAGGAAGAGGAGGAAGAGCCTCAGTCTCCCATCAGAATTGCGCAGCCCGTCTCTCGTGGACAGGAGGTCGAGATGGAACCCCCTGTTGAGAGAGAGCCTCCTCGACCCATCCCCACTCAGGAGATCGAGCGGGAGCTTCCGAGAGAAGAGGATCTCCCAGAGGAGAGGAACGACGTAGGCCGCGGCGCTGCTGCAGCTGTCGCAGAGCAACAGTTTGGCCATGAGCAAGTAGCAGCTGGCCAGGCGTCAAGCGGTGGCAAGCGGGCCTTGATCCAGTACGACTATGAGAAGGCCGAAGAAAACGAACTGGAGCTCCGTGAGGGCGAGTACGTTACCAACATTGAGATGGTGGACGACGACTGGTGGATGGGCACCAACTCTCATGGCGAGAGCGGCTTGTTCCCGAGCAACTACGTCGAGCTTGTCGACGACGAGCCTGAACCGGCGCCGGCAGCACGCAGCGCTCCTCCCCCCGCGCCGGCCCAAGCGGAGCCGGCACCGGCAGCCGCCGGTGGTGGCCGGACGGCCACTGCCCAATTCGACTACGAGGCAGCCGAGGACAACGGTAAGACGACTGCACCCCTTTTCCGTATATGTTTGTGGTGCTAACTAGCTACTCAGAGCTCTCGTTCCCCGAGAACGCAACGATCACGGACCTCGAGTTCCCTGACGAGGACTGGTGGTTCGGCTCCTACGGTGGCAAGCAGGGTCTCTTCCCTGCAAACTATGTCCAGTTGGACAACTAAATACAAGTTGACGGGATGCGATTAGAAAAAGTCTTTGTGACGGCCAGCGACGCAATGCCCCTTGAGCCCCTACAAGCATTCTTAGTGTTATTAGGCTCGGAGGGGTTCAGGGCCTTCGATAGCAATCAAAATTATTGAAGCTTTATTGTTGTCCCCTGTCAGTACTGCTGCATCTGAAGACTGTGAAACGTGCTTTTTGTAGTTAGCGGTGCCAAGCAGCCGGATCACGGGGTCGCAAAGGTTATCCTAGTGTTTAAACCGTCGTCGACCCGGGTCGAGGCTGACGACGCAAGAGCATACTGAAGCCAAGTTCTGCGGTACCGGTGCCGATAGTCGGTGGGCCTTTTTTTTTTTTCTGTTGAATCGAGACGACGACCTCAGAAATACGAGTTAAAGGATATCCAAATTTGTATGTTCATCCCCCCGCGAGGTTCAGGTAAAAACTACGAGGAAAAAGTCATTACTGCGCACGAAGAGTGCGTCCACCAAGCACAAATCCCAGGTAAGAACAACAGACCACGCGCCGCAAACGCCCGTGGGGAAAGTAATCAACGAGACCGCTGAACCCATCGTGAAGCCCGTTTCCATCCATCCATCCATCCATCCATCCGTCCCGATCCCGTACGTCCCCTTCATTTGCCCCTCCATCCCAACTCCTTGGTCGTCTCAGGTTCATTGCGCCGAACAGCCGGGAGACGTAGATGGGCCGCGGAGACAAACAAGACAGGGCGGGCGACAAAGCCGCTGCTTTCCCTGCTTCCCCTCATCGCCCTGCCGCCTTGCGCAAACGCTCGAGGGCCCTTCTTCTCTCCCCCAGCATTACAGTTTCGAATCTCGTGATCATCGGATCCCCCACACTTGAAGGAGAAAAGAAGAAAAAATCAGGACCATAAGATGCTGAACTTTTCACATGGCGAGCGTGTCGGAACTGCCGACAAATCTCTCACTCAGCGCGGATGGTTCTTTAGCAGATGTCGAAGCAGCATTCGCAACTATGGGGGCTGTTAGCGCTCTGAAAAGTAGTGGCGGGGGGTTTGCGAGGGACGCGGGAGCTCACCATTCCGCGCAGCATTCGCACGTCTCGTCAATGACGCAGCAACAGCACAGCGCGGCGAGGCAGGCCGTCAGGCAGTTTCCGCCGCCCTGCTTCTTCTGCCGGGGCGCATGCATGGGAGGCTGCTGCTGGTACTGCATCGGGGGCTGGCCGCCCTGGGGGTAGTAGCCGCCGCCGCCCTGCTGCGGGTAGCCTCCTTGAGGGGGACCATAGGCCTGGTGAGCGTGTTAGCCGTCGGCATTCAAGTTGTGCAAGCGTTCATGTCCAAGTGGGATCGGGAAAGGGGCGGGCGCCTGCATCGCGAGCGCGGCGGTGATGAGAGTTGAGGGTGGCTGGCTTACAGGTTGAGGGTGCTGGGGGTATCCGCCTTGGGGAGGGCCGTAGTTCTGGTTGTAGTTGCCACCCTGCTGGCTGTAGTAGTCTTGGCTGGCCATTTTTGATGTTTGGTTCCGATGACAGATGTGGAAAAAACGATGAGGCTATTCAAAGAAAACGACTGTTTTTCTTGAGCAACGTCCAAGAGCCCGACGCAAGGTGTGAGGGAGGCGGATGATGTATGAGGTTGATGTGCGTTTGTGTGAGAGAGTGTGTGAAATGAAAAGAAATCCTGAGACTCGTGGGTGGATAGAAGGAAAGGCGGGAAACGTGTGTCGATAAAAAGGCGCCCCCAAGTGGCCAGTCCTGCTCAGATGATCCCTGTTGCAGCAGCAATCCACAGGCTGGGCGAAGCTTGGGCGAAGCTGCTGGCAGCCCGGGTGGAGGTACTCGGTACAGTACCCTTACCCAGCAGCAGCAGCAGCAGCAGCACCACCACCACCACCACCACCACCGGTACAGAGAGACCCTCAGCAGACCTCCGCCCATTCGGAGAGAGCGATAGCGCTGCGGGGCCGAAGTAGAAGCTTTTTCTTCTTCTTCTCTCACTTTGCCCACTACAGGCGCCGTAATTAGCACGGGGCGCCGAATGAGCGAACCAACCATGGTCCGCGGGGCGGGGATACGTCGGAGATGGAAATTGAGAGCCCTACCTAGCAGGGACCACTGCGTAAGACACGGCGCCATCGATGACTCTACAAGTCGAGGGCGGTTTTGATTTGAGTTGAAGGTACCCGCGAACCCCATCCCGAACGAGCTACGGGCTCTCCGTGCTTGGCTCGGGGGCCGCACGCCCTAGGCCCTGGGAGACTTTTGGGTGGAGAAGGTCGCTGACTGTTCCTTGCAGGCCTGAACAACAGCGGTTAGGCCTTAGCGAGCAGCGAGCGCAGCAGCGCCAGCCACGATCTCGGGGCCCCGTGATCCAATGGAATCGTGTCGTGGGCCCAGTGGCGGTGGTGATGCCGCGCCTGCTCGCCTCTTCTTCGTCCCATCCGTCCATCATGGTTTCTGTCCCAATCGAGACAGGCAGGCAGCTCAGTACTGCGACTGCGCAATGCATGTTGGTGCAGCGAGAGGCGCGGAGGGTCCTCTGACGGTGGCCCGTCCCCATCTAATCCGCACCGCATTACATCCCGTCGCTGGCGCAAGAAATGGGCTCAGCCATCGTCGCCTATGCTCCCCCGAAGTTTGGTCCCCCAGTCGGGAATGCGCCGCGGCATTGCACGCCATGACGACAGAGTCGACGATGCCTGGCAGGAAATATAGGAAAGTTCGCCTAGGTGATTAGGACACCCAACTTGCCGTCTATGGCGCGCTCGCCCTCAGTTATCTCATAGACTTTTTTTTTTTTTTTTTTTTTTTTTTTTTGGATGGGCCGGGCTGGGCTGGGCTGGGGCTGTTCGCTGTGCCCACGTGTAGTGCGTCCTCGAGATTCGACTCGACCGACGCGGACAGGACGGAGTCATGCGCTTACCGAGGCCGCGTCTGCGAGAGACACTTCTCCATCACATCTGCACTACGACGTGACCTCTTTTTTAGTATACATACAGGTAGATGCCCGTGGAACGATCTACGCGGAACCGTATCGAGGAGACCGCTGATGCAGCAGGAGAAGGGGTGCAAAACGTCAACTGTCACTGGTTGATCGAGCAATCTCAAGTCCGCAATCACCTCAGGCTCAAACATTGAGAACAGGCCCCACCGAAAAGGTACCCGCATGAACATGCCGCGACCCGCCAGGGCCGTGGGCATGGGAAAGGGGGCGCTGTTGCGCGTTCCGTTTCCACATCCATCTGCCACAGCACAGTCGTACGTAAGGTAGCACAGCACCACTCACCAACAAGAAAACAAACCACCCACCACGAAATAGGTACACAGTCTAAGCCTGGCTCCCCCGTACCGAGTACAAGGACTCAGCCACAGATCTGGGAACCATGCCGAATATCCGCAACGGAGTCGTTAGCCGAACTGCAAGTACCCATGAAATCATGAACGCTACGAATCCAGGGAGTCCGCGACGCACTCGCACTCCAACGCCTGCTGAATCAAAAATCACCCGAGCTGCCAGATAAGGACGATTGACCTCGCCCAAACGACCAACTGAGGAGCTGCGGCAATCGATGGACGGCCAGACACCACTAGGGCTGATAGGACGAGCAGAAGAGGGAGAAAAACACGGGGTCCAGGCGCTGCCAAGCTTTGCGGCGACGGCTGTCTCGACGGGATGGGCTCAAACTATCTCTCGCTCTCTCTCCCCCTTCTCCCCCACCCGTAGCTCCCGCTCATATCGACTTCCATGGCACGATGACCACTACCACCACCACCACAGGCCCCAGATTAGCAGGGCGCATACGGCCGGCAGCGGTCGTGTTTCCCTGGCCTTCTTTCATTTGTTGGGGAGGGGGGGAGGGGGCATGTTAGGCTCCCTGCCAGCACACCACATCCGGCCCCAGTGACTTTCCCACGACCGGCTGACCTGGCCTCCCTTCCAACTATGACGGCGCCACATGAGACGTAATCCACGCGCACCCGTCTCTCGGCCTCTCTGCAGGCCTGCCACTGCCACTGAACGCCGCCGTTCAGTGGCTGCTGTTAGTGCGCGTCCAGAAGGACCCAGGCCGGCCTCTGGCCAACGTCCATCCGACTCGGTCTCAGTCGCGCCGACCCTCGGAGCCGAACCCTCGTATTCTCTCCTTCTTGCCTCTCGCGCAACCCTCATCAGAGCAGGGTTTCCCGGAAATACATCTTCTCACTCATGTGAAAATAGAACCGAAGCAAGGAAAAGGGACGGGACGGGGGGGGGGGAAATAGACACCCCGGAATCACTTGCGCGGGCCTCTCGGCATCCGTGATAATGACACACAGCCGGAAAAAGGAAAAATCGGGAAGAGGGGAGGTCTGTGTGCTGGTGGTCGCCCCCAAAACCCATGGGAGGGAGCTGTTTGATCGTCAAGTCAAGCCTTTGACAAGCATTTCTTTCCCCTCGTTGGGCTGTTGGAACGGAACAAGTGGAGCACTCAACGTAAGAAAGAGCAAACAACACATCAAGCCCGGCAGGCTCTCCCATCCACACCACCCACCCACCCGCTCAATGGCCCGTTACACGTTGTACCTACCACCGTATGATCTCTCTCTCCCCTCCGCGCTCCATCCTTCCCTTGCTTGAACAGAAGGGACTTGAGACGGTTCGCGGCCAAGCGGTGGTGTGGGGGGTTGTGCGGGCGGGATCTGCCCGGCGGCTTGGTTGCAGATACGCGGGAGAGCGTCGTGCCAAGAAGAATGGCTGCCGACTGCATATGCGGCTGACTGGCGATGCCGCCCATTGTCTGCTTTCTTGCTTGCTTGCCTCGGTCAAGGTATTGCGATGGGTAGATATGCACAACGATTTGAACTAAAATGATGAAGAAGAAAAGGCTTCAGAAATGCCACACTTGCTTGCTGTATTCCCCCTCTCTCAGATCATTCCACCCGTTAGTGTCTCTATTGTACTCGTAGACGGCGCACCCGCAAATGCTCAACAAACACATACGTACACACATAAACTTATTATACACTACTCCACCGCTTGTTCTTCGTACCCTCGTGCTCATCCACCCGCCGCTACTTCATCGCTCGTACCTCGGCAGTGGTTCTGAGCCTACTGCGTGATGGCTGGATTGCCCAGCGCCTGCTTCTGCGCTGTAGCTGTACTGATGGCCGTAGTCGTTCTCGTCCGCCAACACCGGCGCCGATGGCTCGGCAACGTCCGCTGGCGGCGCTGATGCGCTGGGCCCGGCGTCGTAGTCGTCTGGAAACTCCGGCGGCGCGCTGGCTTCGTTCAGCAACCGTTGCCGCTCAAGTTCCTGCTTGTCTTCTGTTCGAGCTTCGCGGGCCGTGGAGATATCGTCGAGCGTCGGCGCCGACGGTTGATCTTCTACTCCGTTTGCCCCACGATGAGGTTGCGGTTCGGACGGTGGCTCGTCTTCGGCATCGTAAATGTTCGGATCCGGTGCTGATGCTCCCGACGGGCCCGCTTCTGACGCTTGGGGCGGTCGGCTTGGTAGAAGCCTCTCCTCTTGCCTCCGTGCCCGCTCTTTCTCCGTCAAATTACCCTCGTCCGGAACTTGTGGGGGAGGTACGTAAGCCGGCGCCTGCATCTCATTTGAAGGGCTCGTAGGATGTATCGTGATGGTGGGCTGCCGACTGAGGGACCCTGGCATTTGAGGTGTGGGTTGCGGCCAGTAGCTCTCGCCGTCATCCCCGTGAATGTCGTCCACCGGCCAGGGGCTGGAAGCCTCCTCCCTGCTGAGAGACCCTTCTCGCATCTGATATGTGCGTGTCGTGTTGCTTCGCCCGCGTAACCTCGAACTGTCCGTAGTGCCCACAACAACCTCAAAAACGACCGATATCACTCCCTTTTCACGTCGTAACCGATCCGTGTCTATCACATTGCCTCCCCACGACGTGAGCACCGCGTTGTTGCCGTCGGCAGTGCCAGAACCCGGCGCGAACTGCGCCACTCTCGACTGGCCGCCTCCTTGCAGCTGGGTAGCAAGCCTGCCGCCCAAATCGACCAGAACCTCCACTTGATATTTGAAGCTCACCATGTCGCCGGGCACGCCTTTGATGGTCGGGAAGACGTCTTCTGGCACTTTGAGCGATGCCGTCACCGTTGTTTCCATCGTTGCTGGATCGATAATCAGAGGAGCGACGGATTGGGACAGGTCCTTCCGGAAAACGCTGAGCGACGACGTAGAGGTCAACGAAAGACCACCCAAGCCTGTCCGCGATCGCGGGTAGTAATCTTCCTTCGCGAGCTTGCGAGTCTCTTCCTTCGACATGATGTCGGCGAACATGGAGGCGGGCGGTGCTGTGTCGACTCTGCCTTGCCGGTACATGGTGACAATAACACCATGCATGCTCTTGATCCGCTTGATATGTTGGACTGAAACCTTCACGGATACGGTATCGCCCGGTAACGCGCCACCCTTGAGCATCTCGATCGTGGCCGTGATCGTCTTCTCATCGACGGCTTGCATTTTGGAGTTTGTCAGCGAACTGCTGGCGAATTGAGGCTCGGCTCGTGCTAAACTGATGCCTGTGCTCGAGCTGACTGTACTGTCACCGCTGACTTCGCTCTGCATGTCTGTATGCGTCGGGCTCCGTGGATGTTCTAGCGGATCATGCACATGATCCTCTGTAGGTGCCGGCGAGTCGACTGCACGCTCTGCGTCATGGTGTTCTGCGTCGGAACCATTTTCGGTCGCGTCCAATGCAAGGGAAGCCTTGTCAGTACCGGCCGTTCTTTTACGTCTCGATTTCTTGGATATCGGCTCGAGATAGATGGTCCGGGGACGAGGAGGCGCGAGGGGCCCAATGTCTATTTTCTCCACCAACTGGATTTTTCGATCGCAAGACGATGTGGGGGATATCGAGGTTGGGCGCGTCAGAGTCGCTGTAATCATGTAGGAAATCGTGCCTCGTTCAAACTGGGAGGGGTGGCGCGTCAGCATTGCGTTTCATCGTGTCAGTCGAGGGGTAAAGGTCATACATCAATACTGCTGGGCAGTCCCTTTTCGGGGAAGACTAAATCGAAATTGAATTCGTATTTTCCAGCCTCCAACCTTCCCTCGCCGCTGAGCACCTGCTCGTCTTGGAAGAGCGAGGCGTAGCCATTGCCGTGGTACTGTGCCGACGACCGACCGGACAGGGCGGGCTTCGCGACTGGGGCTCGCTGACAGCAGGCCCCTTGTGCACGCGAACGTAGCCATGCAGGGCAACCGTGAGGTGAGTGAGGCGGATGGGCTTGACTACAGTCAGGACTACGGCGCCATGGACGTGGTCGCCGACAGCATACTGGCGGTGAGGATCGTTGGGGCGGACGTGGAAGTCGGCGAGGTTCCGCGACCGCGATCGGCTGGACAGGGCGAAACGAGAGAAAAACGAACGAGCAGGCGAGGTTGTTTCTTCGACGGAGCCGTTGGATTGCGAGTATGCGCCCATGTATGCAACGACTTGCGGGCCGGGCCTTTGGCTGTGTCGTAGATCGGTTGGAGTCGGGGTCAACGTCGGGTCGGTGGTGGTGGCGACGGTTGTGACCGAGGGTGGTGATGTCGGCAGCGATGGAGGACGTCGAAGGAGGTGGAGGAGATGGTCGAGAGACGCGCGATGGAAGGAGACGAGGGGAAGAGGCGCAGCAGAGGCGACGGCGACGACGATGGCACCCTCGACGTCAGCTTACAACGAGGGGATTCGCAGAACGACGCCAAAGTGGTGGCTTGCAGCGTTCGGCGGGGATGGGGGACGTCGTCACGTAGGTAGCGAGACGTGGCTCGGGTTGTCTTGGTCGTGTTGGTGGTGGTAGAAACGGCTGCTCGGGCGGCTGGACACCGACTCCACGAGGTCTCGGTGTGTCGGGGCGGGTCAAGGGACCTGTGCGGGCTGTGCTTTCGATTCGGACTGAGAGGGGAATTGATTTGATGATGGAATGCTAGGTTGGGATCTGAGAGATGCTAGCAGCGGATTTCTTGGGTGCATATGCCAAGAGCGAAGAGGGAGCCTTGCCAAGAAAGCTTCGCTTTTTCTGGAAATCTCGAGGGTTCACAGTCTCAGATTGCCCGTGGGTGCCGGGGGAGTTTAGGAGAAGAATAGCCTGAGGCAAAAGAAGTTGGGGCGACGGGGAGGGGGTCGGGGCCACGTAGTATGGATTACTGTGCACGTTGGGTGTGCCGGATGTATTGCGCGGCTGCGGACTTTGATTTCCCAAACGAAACGGGACTGATTGACTGACTGAGTGACCGGCAACTGGGAGGCGTCGTCTTAGGCAGGAGTACTTGCAAAGGCCCAAGGGCGAGGAGGGGCGGGGAGTGGGAGGGGGGAGGGGTTAGGTATTGCAAGTGGACGGACGGACTCGGGGTCGAAGAAAGCGCCTGTGTCAGTGACAATGCCGATTGTAGTGTAATGTAGATGATAGTGGAGAGAGCCATTGCCCAAATCCAGTGATCCCACCACCAACATCGAACAGGTGCCCCATTCGAAAGTGCGGAAGGACGGCAAGGGAACGACGTGGGGCGTTGTTTTGGGCTGCCAGGCAAAGGCAGCTGGTTGAACTGGGCCAATTATGGACTGGGGAGGAACTGCGAGTTGTGTGGACTGGATCTCCATCTCGGAAGAGCAGCAACCAGGGCCAGGAGGAGAACCCATGGAGACAAGAAAGAGTCAGGATACTTTTGCGACTATTAACAACGCATGTACGTAAGACTACACACGTACGGCCGCAAGGTACACAGTACGTACTGGACGACGGTAAGGAACGGAGTCGCAGAGTACAGCACCCCGTGCGTTCCTTGCTACCCTGTCCATCCTTAGCTCGACTCAGATAAAAGAGAAAGAGAGTCCTTCCTTGTTCGCCTCGTCAGTGAGGCTACTTGCCTGACTAGGGATTCAGACTTCGAGACTCAGGAACCTGGGCAAATCTGCTGCAACACAACTCAAGTCAAGACCGCGACCTGTCCTGTCTATGCCTGCCCGAGACTATGTGTGGGCTTTCTTTATGCCTGGACAGGAGCAGCCAACATAAGACGCGCTCCCTTCTCGTCGTGTTTGCCGCCCGTGACGCCCGTTGGTTTGGCGGAGCCTTGTCGTCTGAGCTTGCCCTGTGCCCTTTCTTGGGTATCCTATCCGAACCCGTCTGAGGGTGCCCGAGGTGGCGTGGTGTTGATGCTCCCTCCACAACGATTACAAAAACGTGCGAGTTTACCTGTTTGTGTGGCCACCACCTCGCAGCTGCTGGGGTTGCATCTGGGGATGCCGACAACCGACGGAACGCTCCTTAACATCGGAAAAGGTTTCCCAATCACAACATAACGGGCTGCAGTCTAATCACCCGTCCAGTCATTCGACGCGGTTTGCGAGGCGGTGGTGCAGTTAGCAGCCTAAACTGATGCAGTCCGGGTACCTCCAGTCCAGTCCAAGTAATCAGAAAACGGTGATTCAAGATCGGATCGGTTACGGGTCCGTTGTCTACTGCTCCCTCGCTTTCTTGTGGGTCTGCTGTCTCCGTTCTCAGATTTCGTCGGCAACACGGTTGAATGTCTCTGTCGTTGCTGCTGCCTCTCTCTGACTCTGTCTACTTAATTCACGCAATGGAAACTTGTAAGAGACTACGAGACGACAGCAATGTATGGGATTAGTCGTGCCTCGCCTCCACCTGTGAGAAGTAGATCGTAAGTCGGTTCAAGCTCCATAGTCCCCGGGTACGTCCCCTTCATCAACCTTGTCGTCGAGGAAAACATTCAAGCCAAGGCCAGGAGGCCAGGTGAGCCGGTACTGCACGTGGGTAAGAGCCCCAAAATCTTGTCCTGTTACACCGTCGGTGGTGGTGGTGGTGGTGGTGGTGGTGGATCTCGCCCCGATCTGGATTGCAACATGTGGCCTTTCTTGGCCAAAGGAGACAAACACCTTATTCTCCGACTAGGAACGGCGATGTCAGCAGGCGCCGTGAGTACGCGACCAACCAACCGTGCGACCCTAGGCTCTAGCACCTCATCCCTGTTTCGCCTTATCCTCGTACTCACTTACTTCACATCTGAGCGTGCGCCAGGCCTCTGCAACTCGGGTCATATTAACTTGCCTATACAAGCCTTGTTTCGTTTTTACCATCTGGTATCATGCTATTAATGTCTCGCCCCCAATGTCTCTCAAACCTCATCGGTGCCCTTTGTTCGGGCATCTCCCATGTTGGCCATCCTTCATGTTTATTTCTTGGTACTTGAACAACCAGCCCTTCCGTCAATATTCGGACAAGTCTCAGCGTACATCGCTCGGCGGTGTTGTGTCTTCCACCAAGCCGTAACAGATTCCCCAAAACGCCGCGTGTTATGCTTTTCCGGGCTCCGATGCCATGCCAAATGCCAAATGCCAAATGCACCCCCGAAACTCCTGTTGCTTATGCATTAATCCAAAAAATCAATCCAACGCATCGCCGCTGAGGATGCTCGACAGAATTCCTGCACCAACGCCCTCGGCAATATTTTCCATTTCCTTTTCGCCGACGCAGCTGGCCACTCGCCTGTCTTCCCCCCCTGTAGGAAGCGCAGACTTTCGTCCTCTCTTGCTTGGTGTCTGTGTCACCACAAGACCGCCCGTCTTTCCATCAACAGGGTTGATTAGACCCAATGTCTCCAAACTTCCCATGACCTCTCGAAACTCAGAGCTTGACAACGGGTGCAGAACTGAGTCACGTGTGCAAAGAACAGAATACGTGTCGTACAGAGTCTTGACTGTAGGTGCCAGCGTCTGCGACTTGGTAGGTGTGGTCAGGCCAGTAGCCATCTTTGCCGCTCGGTTGCGCTTTTCGAGGGCAACCAACGAGCAGAGTGCCGCCTTTTGCTGGAGGTTGAGGGCTTTCAGTCGCTGGTTGGTTCCGTTGCTGAACGCTGCTTGTGTGACTTGGTTCAAATGCTTCAGGAGCACTCGCGGGGCATTCTCGATCGTCAGTGCCTTGAGGGACGCTGCTGCGACGTGAGAGACGCTCCTTGAGGACCCGCTGGAGCCGGCCATGTTGGTGTTTTCGCCGAGAGGCTTCCGAGACGGTGTCATCTGCAGAACTTTCTCCCTTGCCTCATCCTCGTGTTGGCGCCTGGTCTCTGACTCGACAACATCCAGCGCGCGTCGACAAATTTCGAAGGCTTTGCGTAAGTCTCCCGTCTGGCTCGACACCTTTCTTGAGCACAGTTCAATGGCTGCGGGGTGAAAAAAGGGGAGTGTCTTGTCCTTGTTGTCGATTGGCAACACAGTCATCAGGCGCGTGGTTATGATGCTCTTGATCTGGGCGGCCGAGTACGGGTGGAAAGGAAGAAGCTCTGGTTTGAGGTTCTTGGATTTGAGCCGTGGCAGAAAACGGTCCGTGAGATCGAGTGCGTTCGCAATGCCGACCAAAACAAGCCGAGACGGTTGCTGCAGAGACCACTCAAACAACCGGTACAAGCTCTCCAGGCCCATAGTCAAGATGTGATCGATCTCGTCCAGGACAAGCAGGTAAACAGGTGAGTCCTTCTTCTTGGTAACGAATACCTTCTGCAACTCTTCCATGGCCAGAGTTTCGGAGAGGTCGCTGTCGTAACCCAGGAGCTCCAACAGGGTGTTGTAAAGATCCTTGGAAGACTTGACGCTCATACAGTTGACGTATGCTTGTCGTACCGCGGGTGACTGCGTCAACTCTTCTGTGATCTCCTTGACCATTGCACTCTTTCCCGTTCCAGGGGGGCCGCTGACATAGAGGCATCCGTTCGGCGTCGAGGAAGAGCATCGTTGAACGAAATGAGCCAATTGCTCTCGCTCCCTCTCGCGTCCCACAAGCTGGCCCGGATCGGCACCCCGGGCAAAGAGCTGTCGAGCAGAGTGATAAACGGTCTGAAGAGAGCCGGGCGTGAGAGGAGACTGAGGCGTCAACCTCTGGAAGAGCTTCCCGGCAGACTTAACCACCTGCCGGGGCGTGGAGGGAGAGTTGGCGAAGACGTCACGGTGTCGTGGGGTCTGAGGCGTAATTGGCATCGTCTTCGGGAAGGTTTGGGAGCGGGAACGCTTGATTCTCTTCGAAGCCGGTTCCACGTAGGCATCGTCGTCGTCAAGCTGGCAGTCGAGCTCGGGCGTGGCTGCTCCCTCAGGGTCTGCGTTCTCGTCGTTGTTCAGTGCAGCTCGGGTTTGTCGTCTGGTGCGCTTGGCGGGAAGCTGGGCCTCGTCTGGACAAATCGTGAGAAAAGTTGCTTCGGCAGCAGCTAGGAAGAGGTGATCGAGCTTACCTTGATCGTGGACAGACCTCGTCCGCTTGCCGAGTGAGGCACGAGACATTGCTATTGGTGATGAGGTATAGGGAAAGAGACAGCCGTGGTTGAGAGTTCTGGAGGAAGCAAACTGGAAAGCTTCTCTCGGTATACAAAGAGTTGTGAGGTAGTCGAGGTAGGAGAAGTTGAGTGTGGGAGCTTGTGGTTGCATGTGGAACTGCAGATTCTTAATTAAGTGGTAGCGCGCGCCAGCACGATGGCCGGGGAACGACGCGATACCAGGGTCGCGCAACGCGCTTTCTCGCGATTTCAATTAAACACGGCCCCCACACGCTCTAGCGCGGCTCGTGGCCCGTGCGTGGATACCTTTACGCGATGCCTCTCGTCAACTCCACCTTTCTGGGACGCTGGTCTGTGCTCTTGGTAGTCTGCCTAATGCAGCGAAGCACAGTCTGTCTCACAGTGTTGTCTCCTATCATCCCTAGTCACACTGTGATCCCCCTGTTTCCCCACGACGACGACGAACGAGGTGGCAATCGACGAGACACCAGCGGAGATGCCCGGTGATTCTAGCATGAAAGCCGGACGAAGCCGCCCTCGCTTGATGTTGCAATTTCTTGCATCGCCTGAAGCTTTCGGTTCTCCTTCGCAATGACACACTCCGCCAAACTGCCTCAAATTTTCTGTCCACTGCATGGGTATGGGCTTGGTCGGGCTCTTCATCTCACCTAATTCGGAGCGTTTTTAAGACACAGTATTCGTGGGGCAACTGGCGTTGTCAACGTCCCTGTCCAACTCTCCACCCCCCTTGGCTCAAGTTCAACCAACGTTCTCGGTCGCCTTGCCGTTGTTGTTTCTAGGCTGGAGCCTTCCGTAGTATCACTGCCTGCCAACATGGTTGATACGGAGAAGAGATGTTACAACTCCCGAGTAGAGGAGTTCAGGGAAAGAGAATATCCTATGCTCAAAGGTACCCTTATCTTCCTGCAAGCCTGGTCCTTGGCGTACTAACCAAGAAGATAGGTTCAGTCTATCTTGACCATGCTGGATCAACTCTATATTCAAAGTCTATGATCGAGAGGTTCTCTACGGAGATGATGTCGAATCTCCTGGGCAACCCGCACTCGGCCTCGTCGCCTTCTCAGTTCACCACATCTCGCATTGAAAACATCCGTCTAAAGCTTCTTATGTTCTTCAACGCTGAACCGGAAGAATTTGACTTGGTTTTTGTAGCAAATGCCACCGCCGGGATCAAACTTGTATCCGAAGCTTTTCGGGCTCTGCCTGAGGGGTTCTCGTATGTGTACCACCAAGCCTGCCACACGAGCATCGTAGGGGTTCGTGAAGAGGCACGTGGTAGCGTGTGTGTGACAAACAATGATGTGGATAGCTGGATTAACGGAGAACTCCCCTTCAGCTTGGACCAGCAAGGGCCGCATACGCTTTTTGCATACACGGCTCAGTCTCACATGGATGGTCGACGCTATCCCTTGACGTGGCCACCTCTATTACGACAATTGCCTACTGCATCACACAAGCGGATATTCACACTCTTGGACGCGGCCTCACTGGTCGCGACGACTCCTCTAGATCTCAGTAATCCAGAAACGGCTCCCGATTTCACGGTTCTCAGTCTCTACAAAATATTCGGCTTTCCGGATTTGGGTGCTTTGATCGTAAGGAAACAGGCCGAGCCAATTTTCAATCACAGACACTATTTCGGTGGCGGTACTGTCGACATGGTAGTTTGTGGAAAGGAAAAGTGGCATTCGCCTAAAACGACATTCCTGCATGAGCGGTTAGAGGATGGGACTTTACCATTTCACAACATACTCGCACTCGATGCAGCGTTAGATGTCCACACAGAGTTGTTTGGAAGTATGGATTGCGTGGCATCGCATACGGCTTTCTTAACAGCTCGTCTCTACGAAGGACTGGCTGACCTCAAGCATGGTAATGGAAACCCGGTCTGCACCATCTACTCGCAGCCAAGCACCGATCTTGCTGATTCTGGTGGAAGCGGGCCGCTCATATCGTTCAACATCCGCAACTCTGCAGGCGCTTGGGTCAGCTTGCACGAGTTCGAGAAACTCGCAACGCTAAAGAACTTGCACATTCGAACCGGCGGTGTGTGCAGCCCAGGGGGTGTTGCCTCAGCACTTGGCTTGAGCCCCTGGGAGATGAGAAACAACTTCTCCTCCGGTTTCCGCTGCGGAACTGACCAAGATATCGTTGCTGGGAAGCCAACTGGCGTCATAAGAGCAAGTCTCGGCGCAATGAGCACACTTTCCGATGTTGCCTTTTTGGTCAACTTTGTCAAGGAATTCTATCGAGAGAAGGCCGTAACAACTGGTGTACGTCACATTACGGAATCTACTTCATCAGCGGGATTCGAAGTCCAGGGCATCAGTGTATATCCCATCAAAAGCTGCGGCAGCTACTCTGTACCTCCCGGGACGGCCTGGGAAGTCAAGCCTGAAGGTTTAGCCTGGGACAGGGAATGGTGCCTGGTGCACCAGGGGTCGGGGCAAGCACTCAGCCAGAAACGGTACCCGAAAATGGCTTTGATCAGACCTATCCTCGATTTCGAACGCGGCCTGTTGCGCGTCACCTACCGTGGTAGCAAAGCATCGCATCTACCTGACGAGGTCTCAGTGCCGCTTTCTGCGGATCCGGGACAGTTCGGGTCACAAAGCCCGTCTCGAACGAGGTCTTCTCGTGTATGTGGGGACAACGTAAAGACACACATCTACAGCTCCCCATCGGTCAATAATTTCTTCAGCGACATTCTTGATGTCCCGTGTGTATTGGCTCGGTTCCCAGCAGGCGGACAAGGACTCGGCATGCGCCACTCGAAAGCCAAGGTGCAGAAGCACCAGCAAGTCAAGATCGCAGCGCCAAACACATGCCCAGGAGCTTTTCCGGAATTGCCATCTCCTCCAGACTCGGACTCGGAGCAATCGGCAGGGAAAATACTCCTCTCGAACGAAAGCCCAATACTGGTGATCAACACGGCAAGTCTACACGCCCTAAATCGCGAAATCGAGGCCAATGGTGGGAGGTCCGTTCCACCAGAGTCGTTCCGAGCCAATTTGGTGATCGGGGCGACTCGGGATTCCGAGCAACTAGCATGGGCGGAGGACGATTGGACGCGTCTAACAATAGGCGGGGAGGAATTCAAGATGATGGGATCCTGCCGCAGATGCCAAATGGTTTGTGTCGATCAAGAGACTGGTGAAAGGCACCAGGAGCCATTCGTGACGTTGGCCAAGGTCCGGAGATTTGACGGCAAGGTATACTTCGGCGCGCATATGGGCCATGACCCAAAGACCAAAGCCGCAACGGAAAAGGCACAGTTTCCAACTATACAGGTTGGCGATGCAATCAATGTCGATGACGGGGCATTAGCAACTTAACAGAGAGGCAGTGATTAGAATAGCATTGGCAGAGACCCACGGCTCGTGAGAACAGGAGCGAGAAAAGACGACTTACACGTAGATAGATGATACCAATAATAGCTGGACTCTCCTTTTGATGAGTCGAGAACGTGCTGCTGCTATTTTGTGAATAACATTGTACAAGTCTTCATTTGTCAGGAGAGCCGGCGTCGGAAGCGGCACTCTCAGGTCTGGTTAGGAGGTTCTTCCTAACTTATTTAAGTGATTACCATTATTCCCAACGGAAAAAAAAGCTGAGTGTAAGCACACGTCCTCCCTCAGCTGTGAAAGTACAAACGCTTTGGAAAATCAAGATCGATTTCCCTGGTCCGTACAGTGTGTAAAGGCCCCTGTTTGCTTGACCTGACACTGTCAGTCCTTGTCCAAGCGCCTTCTCGGTACGTGTCGTGTCCTGCAGCCTGCAGCCTGCAGCTCGGGACCCTCAGCAGCTCCTGCTCACTTGGCTGTCTCTTTAACGTTTTGCTTTCACCCTCCACCTTCCGGCCTTACCATCGCCAACACCAAGCCCTTTCTCGACCCATCTTGGCCCGGTCTGCACCAGTTGCCTCTCGTCTTTCACCGAGGCTGAGGAAGGCACGTTGGTCCTCCTCTCGGTATATTGGACCTCGTAGTTGCGCCCTTCGACCTTTAACGTCTACCTCCTACGTCTCCTCTCTCTCTCTCCTCTCTTCTCCCAGCTGCACGTCACAGCCATCCCCCACCATTCAGTCGCTGATCCAGCCACCTTTCGATCAACGCCGCACCGTTCTCACACTATGCCACCATAAACACTCCCTGGTAGTCATTTCGTCCGCCTTCTTTGGCCTCCTCTTCTCCGATCCAGCACGCATTTGCTGTCTCCTTGTCTGCTGCCTTGAAGCATCACCGCTGGAGCGACTTCGCTTCGGGTTACTTGCACAATATGCAACACCACATGGCCTGCCAACCCTAGCGGTGCATTTGTCGAAGGCTACAACCTGTGTTGCCTATGTGTGGCTGGTTTTGGCGACATCGGCGCCTCAACGGCATCGCATGTGTACGTATTAACGGCTTGCTGGCAAATATATATCATCATGGGCACCGAACTGACGTTGGTGACAGCCACCACCTGACACTCTACTTCGGCCGCCTTGAAGCAAACAGCCTCCGACACAAACTCTACTTCGCCAGTCGACACATGTGACCAGATTCGCTGCCTTCCGCAGATCTCAGCAGGCATATTCCCTTTCCTAACAACTGCCTCGTCTTAGTGACCATAACATCAATGGGCTGCTAGCCTACCTGCTCGGCTGGCTCTTATCGACTCGTCCTGGGTAGGACGTTAAAAGGCCCATGGGGTTGCATCAAGGCAACAAATGAGCGACATACGAGGCATCTAGAGCCTATATGATCCGCATTACGGTTATGAATCTCGTTATGGAGTCACATGTGGTATGTTTTCTCCTCAACGACACACGGCACACGGCTGACTCGTTCCAGTAACGATCTCTAGACTTGTGACGTTTCCAAGGCTGGGCAACCAGGACATACGACTGCATCTCCTTCCTTCAGCAATTAGACCTCTGCATTCACTACCTAATTCTGATGAACTGCAACGATAATGACATGTCTGCCTGGGACTTTGGCATTCTTGGGTCTTTTTCTTCTGCCAGCCGACGCAAATAGTAAGTCTTTGTTTCAGTAGCCCTACGTTTGGTACTCACCGTTGATGAACGCACCAGGACATGGAAACGGAAAAGGATGGCGCCTTGATCGTGATTTGTCCTGGGCAGGACGTTAAAAGGCCTCGGTCCTTGTGTGTCAAGGACCGAACGGGTGGGTTTGCAGCTCGGCAAAGGGAAGAGTCCCAAAGCGATTACGGGCATGGACGATGATATTTCATCCTGGCAACCCATACACGCCAATTGGCGTCGAGTCCAAACATGCTCGGATCATGAGCGGTGGACGAAAGGGCAGCTTCGGCACCCTGCATTGGCCATTCTGGCCCCGGATATTCGACACCAACACGACGATTTTTCGTGTTTGGCATACGAATTGGCTCCAGACGCATTTCGATGCCTTGGAGGAAACGAATTTTCGAGAACAACTACATCTGTGGTTTCTCAAACGAAATTTACGAGGACGATCTCACGATGTTCGTCTCTCAATACTGCGTTTCACGAGGACGATCATATTGAACGTTTCTCATACTGGGTCTTAACTCCCAGCGGACGATCTGTTCCCTGGTTGAGCGACATACTCGCGGATGGCCAACGGCTTCCCGAGCATTACTGTGTCAACGGATATGTTTCGACATGTTCTACTGTTCATCTTGCTCTTCCAACCACCTCGGTTGGACAGCCTTGCGCGCTGTTGAGCAGAACCCGCCGTTCCAACACGTGGATGACTGTCGAAAATGATCGAGCAACACAACCGCTGTCGGTATCACGACAGACGGGGGTAGCCAGTTGTCGCGTCAATGACGCGCAGATGCGCTATCCAGTGCCAACCAGGCGGGGTCCTTTCTGAAGGAGATAAGCGCGATAGTAAGAGCGACATGCCGGAGACCGTTCCACCATCATCAACGATTTCCCGCGGCAGAGGCTACTTTGCTCCGGAGCCAGCGTCTCGGACTCGGCCGAGAAGGACCTACCCCACGATTCACGCCACCACCCTTTGGGTGCCGATACGTGGGGACAACGCTTGCGCATGGGAATCCAGGGGGTTCATGGGCTTGGGCTGGTCGCGTCTCCTAGAAACAGTCACATTGGTGGCTGTTGAAAAAAGCTCACTGTTCGATCACAGGTTCGGGGTTGATGGCGGCGGTCCCTGTGTCAAGGGGGAGCAACAGGTGGGGTGTTTAGGTCCAGAGAGGGATGACTTTTGAGTCTCTTCGGCATTCAGCGTCCTGGACCGCCGAAACACAAGCCCGGCATTGGTTCCCATCATTCCAGGTTCGAGAACTATAAAGCGAATCAAACGTGACAATGGGGAACAGCAGGTGGTGGGTCACTGTGCAGAGAGAGATGGCTATTGATTCTCTTCGGATAGATTTGCCTTCACAGTCGTAGCTCAAGCCTGACATTTGTTCCCAACAATGATGTCTACTCGCACTTTGTGACAACGCGCTACCTCCTTCCCATCTCTCCTACGGCACAGCCTATGCTACGTTTGCTCCGTCCCGCCGACTGGTCGGCGATAGTCTCGGGTTTTATTCGCTCCATGCAATGGCTACTTATGTTGTAGGTTTGTTTTCGATGTTTAGCACACGGTTCTTCACGCATGCTTCCATCATGGAATATTGCCATGCCGGACCTTTATCAACCTGCGACATTCAAGTACGCGGACCGAACTCGGTGAAACAAACCAAAGTATATAGCGCAATGATTCACGACACATGCTACCAAATAGATGAATGACGATGGTACGGTTTGTTAAGTATAAGTAGGAGAATCTGTTCCTACCCTATGGACCGAAGACTTTTCATTGTCGCAAGATGTTACTATTTCATCCAGAATTAAAATGAGATTGAGAAAAAATATTGTCACAAATTATCGCGTTCGTCATGCCATTAAATCAGCCATACTCATCGTTTTCATATGCAAAGGTGGATTTTGAATGTGACAGGAAAAAGAAACTCCATTATGTTGGCGAAATGCTATGCTAGAGCACAATCTCAAGGCCAACGCTTAAACAAAATTGTTTGTAACCTGAGTCTCAAAGGACTGATCCCACAACGCCAATTTCTCCCCGATCGTACATGTTGATATCATTCGTCATAATTCATTTATTTCGGGGGGCTGGCAGCACCGCGGGTCCAACTGGTGGATGTTAGTCACCTTCCGTACACGAGCCAAAGGAGAGTTGACTTACTTGTGCCACATCTGACCCAAGAACCCGGGCTGGGGCTTCGAATCGGTCATTGACTGTCTGCGGGCGGCGGTGCCGTCGTGACGCTTCTGGTCCATGAGACCTTGGAACAGGGTGCCGGAGCTCTGTGAAAGGTTCGTCAGTTACCACGTCTTATTCGATGAGAAGGGGATTGCGGTAGCTCTTACGCGTCTGCGGCCGGTGGGAGAGACGGGAGCGTTGGAGTTCTTTCCGGAGTCCATTGTAATGATCGTTGCGATCTGATAAGAAATGTAATTTAGTGTAGGTGATTGCACGTGGTTTTTTCGTTTAGTATTCGTCGTGTGATTGCTTGTCGTGAAGAAGTCAAAGACTGGCCAGAATGCAGGAGGTGGAAGCCGAGGGTATATATACATTTCAGCTTCCCGGCCAAGCTCGACCTTCTACAGGGTAGCTCAGGATGCTTGGGCAAGGGATCTAGGGTATTCCAGACCAGAAGCGTCCCCTCCAAGAATGACTTCACCAATGAGACCACTGCCCACCCCTCTGACACAAGGGATGCGGGAAAGCTTGTTGACGCATCGGGCAGAACGATGACGGCGTTTACTCGTCCGCCCACATCACACACGACGGCAGCCCCCACTAGGTAGCAGCACGAGCTTACTACTGGGGCAGTACGTACTCTGCATTAATTGATAACTTGACGGCTTGATGTTCAATCTAGTAACACTAGGTTTACTCTGGGGATGTTAGTGCGCGACGTAGCAGATCAAACGCGGTGCCCCTCTCTCCCATCACTTCTTCTCTGTTCTGGCCTGTTACTCTCTCCTCCGCTCAGGTACCGTACTGTTAAAGAGCTGCTAGACATGGACCTCCCGCTGCTCCTCGCTCGCGTTACCCCGCGCAAGCGTGGCCTGATCACACTTCCTGGCCGAGACGGCCGGCGGGAACGGCAGCTTGACCAGTCAGATGCCATCGATCCTGGGAGTTTGTCCGTCCTATAGGGAAGGGGCCAAGGGAGATCTCAATTGGGACAGGTAGCATACACAGGCCGGGCAAGACGTGAACGCCATGAAACACCGGAGGGCAAAAGTCTACCACGAATCATGAGCGCAACACGTGATGGCCTGCCTAAACTGATACGAGATCTACCGGTACACTCCTTTTTGCGTCGCTGTTGAGATGCATGTCTGACGAAACAATTGTGTTGGGTAGGAAGGGAATAAGACGAGGCGGCCAGAGAAAAAAAAAAAAGAAAAGGGGCCGTGGAATTGGACGTTGTGTGCTGTACGACACAAGCACGTATGTACGGATCATCCGTCATGGACTCACGTCCCTCTCCACTACGGAGGGGAAAGATCGTCGGGGGGAAAGGGAAGGGAAAGGGAAAGTATGGGGAAGCGCCGCCGAGCGGGAGCTCTGCCAGCCGCGCCGCAGCGTCAGTCGCTCAGTCACCACCAGTCAACCAATTCAGCCAGTCAGCCCAGCGTCTAGACCTGATGCAGCCTGCATTAGGGTCTCTCGTCCCATCAGGACCCTCATTTTGAGCATTGAAGGGGGACCGCAACAGACCAAGTCCAAGTTCTTGATGACTAGTGCCTTGAGTGCTGGACTAACGGGACAAGCAAAAATAGAGCTCTTGCATTTGCATCGTAGCATTGACCGGAAACTTCCATCATGCTCGCTTTGAGGAAGCCGTTTAGACAGGCGTTAGGAGATTCGAGACATGGCTCTCGATCGCCTTGGCCGAATGGATGATGCTCGGTGGACCCCCAAACCCGCTCTCAAAACTCCAGATAAGCCAGATACTATGGTACGAACCAGATAGACGCGGTGACGAGGTCCGCAATCATCGTCTGGCGCGAAAAATGGCCTTGAACTAGGCCCTCTCAGGAGTCAGGACCCTAGCAGGCTGCTGTAGGCTTGCACCTAGCCTTGCCCAGGAGCCAACCACCCCTGAGTAAGTGGCTGACGTCGCAGATCGTTCGTTGAAGGCAGCCAGGGATGGCCAAAGCTGAAGGGGCTCTGAGCGTCGAGCTGTGTGGTCGATCGTGGGGGGAGCTCGATGATGATGTCGCTGTATGGGAGGAAGACCAAGGGATCGGACCCACATTGAGCGAAACGGCCCATTTATTCATTTACACTGGATAAACCCGTTAATGCACTAAATCATGTCTTTTCCGAAGCGTATTCATTCAATGCAACGACCAGTGACGTTCATCTGATCCTTTACCGACCCCATTCCTCCCTTCGCACATCATTGCCCATTCGAAGCAAATGCCACGCTGATCGGCAAAGACAAACTGACATGTTGGAGGGCATTGTAATCTTGGAGACAACATTGTCTCCTGGAAACGGTTTCGGCCCCCAAGCCTCGATTCAACATCATCCCAACTCCTTTGCCCATCTCTCGGAGAACAACCATTTTTGTCAATTATGGTAGTTAAGATCACCATCTCACAGGAATCCGTCGCGGAAAGTTCTTTTTTAAGGATCGACAGATTTTATTGTGCGTCCGGGGGGACGTGTAGAAGTGAAGCTAGGTTGGTAAAGGATGATTAAAGATAATTCCAAGTTTAAGCAGGGCCAAGAGGGAGCCGCTAGGACTCGCAGATGCCTGCAACAAAGTTGAAAGTCCCCATAGATATTAAAATTCCACCGCCAAAGCCCATAATTCCAGTGGTTCTCTTAAGTCTTCGGAGAATTTGATCACCTATGCAGCCGCATGCTGGAGGGGGCAGGGTGTTAGAGAGTGAGGGCGAGAAGCCGGGGTCGAAAGTTGACCCAGGTCATCGTCGATGTGCTGGGACTCTTCATGGGGTGTGCAGTTCCGTAGCTGCAGAATAGCCTGCCCGAATGAGTCGCAGCCGTGACAGTTGGCGACCTATCGGCCAATAGGGAGGGTGCTGAGGATACTGCCACCGAGGAGGCTGACAACGCCAGCGAGAACAGCGCCGACAATGCCGGTGACGGTTTTGACGACACCATCGAGGGTACCGACAGAAGAAGCCAGGTCGCTGACGCCGGGAACCGCACCGGCAGTGATGCCGTTGGGAAGGCCTAGTCGGCAATGTTAGCGATTGGTCGAGACAAAAGGGTAAGGAGACTTACTGGCACCGGACCCACTGGAGAGGCCCGTGATAAGAGCAGCGAGTTGGGTCTTGATAACAGTGAGGATGGCCAGGGCCTGCAGCTTCTGGGTCGAGGTAAGGCCGGTAGGAAGGTTCTGGGTGATGTCGGTGACGTTCTTAAGCAGAGGCTGGAGAACGGTGGTGAGACCGGTAAGCTGCGCCGCAGAAATACCACCAGAGGGGATGACAGGAGTAGGAAGACCGGGGATCGTAGGGACCGTAGGTTGGTTGGGGAGACTAGTGCCCTGGCCTAAAGCGAGTTGTCAGATTAGATTGCTTCAGTGCAAGATGCGAGGTTAGTGGATCTTACGGATGTTAAGGATGGCGCCAAGGATGCTCTGGAGAAGCTGAGTGAGAATCTCGATGACGTTGGCGTTGGTGATGGCGCCGGTAGGAACGGCAGGAAGGCTGAGATTGGCCAGGATGATTCCGTTGGGAATAAGGCTGGTGATGGGGTTACCAGACAGCACGCGAACCTCGAGATCGCGCTTCTCAACCTGGTTAGCATCGACGTTGGCGATGGCAACCGGGCTGGCAATGGCAGCGCCGAGGAGAGTGGTGAGGATGAGAGTAGCCTTCATCTTGATGGTTGGGTTTCCGAAGAAGAAAGAGGTGCCGTTAAGAAGAGTAGAGAATGTTCCGAAGACTTGAGAACTGAGAATTGAAGCGGCTGACTATCCTGTAGTGAAGGCGTGGTGTGATGATGAGAGAAGAGATATTACCATCCTGAGGGCGGAAGATCAGGTCTTTTATAATCGATATTGTCGTCGATGAGCTGGCTGTCTCTCGCTCAGCCGTCTTCTCATGTTCGTCGTCGTTGTCGAGTCTGACTTCCGTCTTCGTCACGCACGCCGTCTGGCCCTTTTCGGCGCCAAGGTAACAAGGGATTGCTCAACGTGTAGTTCATGTTGGTCCCCTTGCCGGGCGTGACTGGCCGCGAAGTCCATACGCATTTCTTGCACAGGCCCATCACAGGTCGCTTCGATATCCAGTATCGCGAGTCAACCGCTGGACCCTTGTGCGGGCACGAAAGGCCAGGCGCCTTTGGCTCCAGGCTAAGGTGGTCTAGGGAGGGCGGGAGTCTCAGCCCGAGCGCCTTTGATAGCTCTTGTCGCCGAACATGGCCAATTGTCGGTCGGCCTTTCTGCTCGCGCGCTGCCTCATCCGTCTAGCAAGTCTCTTATGGATAACCTAAAACTAAGACATTCGTTCCCCGGTAGAGGATCGTGGCATCTTTCCTCTTTGATTTCTCATTGGCGCCTCTCATCTGCGAACGGCTGCCGGAATGTCTCCTGCGAAGAGCACAATTTTCCGTTCAGCCACGGCGAACCCTCCGTGGAGAAAGTCGCGAATCCCCATATCCACTCATACCTATCGATGAGACAACGCAGGGAGACCTCGGCCGAAGGGCTGTTGACGTTTGCGGGGATGACATAGTTTGGTCAGAGTCAGTGCATTCTGAGCCCGCCGTTGCTGCCGCCGCCGATCACCGGTAAGTTTGCATACCGCACGTCTCTTGTGTGATGCGATGGCCCGATGATGCTCAACAACATCCGGCAGCGTCGAGTAAATTGCCTCCCCCAAGATCGTCAGGAGATGATCAACGGGGCCTGCTTTTCCAAAACCCAGTCTGACGAGAAGGCTTTGAGCCTCTTACCGCGTTGTCTCGCTCTGGCTCTTCTCTATTCCCTTTACTGCTGGATTCTCTGTTTTCGTCAAGGACCGCTTCAAAGGCAAGGGGTGACGATGAGTTAGGATACTCGTTGCGAAGGGAGCTGGAGAAAAAGACAACAAGACTATTTTGTCTCGGCCCTCGAAGCCTCTCAGCCTCCACTTATCTCCTTGCCTCCTTTCCCGCTCTACCAACGGGAGCTTGGAACCCTAACCATCCCAGTCTAGTCGCAGAGACATAAGCTCCCCTAAGCTGAAGGAAAACGTGAAAATCTGCAACCTTCACAGGAAACAGAGGTCTCGCCGGAGACCATCGAATTACGCTTCAAGGGGCAGCCATACGACGTTCTCAAGACTCAATCTCAACAAGAAGCGATCGCAGGTCGGCGTCGATCACACTGATGTTGAAAAGACCCTCCTTTCTTACGCAATAGCTCGCCATAAAGGATGCGAGACATTAAGGACATCGTGACCGGAATGGGATCTTCTAGGGCTGATTGGGATGACCGCCTTGGTAGCGTGTAAAAAATGTGGGGTTCGCTCTCCGGGTACCGTAAACAGGCCCGGCTTTGTTGACATCGAGCCGGGACCAAAATGGATACTAGTTAGCCCAGGGGATTTGATGGAAGAGGCGGGAATCTCAGAGGCTGAATCAGTGTCCCACATTGGTCCGTTGCAAGCCACGTCCGAAGCTTGGCAACATGGAAGGTAATGGGGGGCTACTTGGTAGGTTGTCTGTGGAAACCGCTGACATCTGCGCGGATGAATCTCACGAGAGCAACGAGGGCTGAATCGCACGTCATGTACAAAGGGATGTTACTCTTTTGATGAGGTCGGGAAAGAGATGTCATCGGGAGGCAAAGATGACTTTTTCGTTACGCTTGCAAACTGCAACCGTTCAGGACATCGTCAGTGTGCGCATAGCCTTTTGCGCTCGACGTCATTCCCGACACCACAACGAGGTCATGTAAGAGAAAACATATCGGGTAGGTGTTCCGACCTTACTCCAAAGCCGCCTTCAACCTCTGCCTCGATCCCTCGATTCTTCCTTTTTCTCCTTACGTTGGTGAGAACCATCATCGAGCTCGGTAAGGGCGGCACTGGATAGAATTCGGCCCGGTAGTCGCCTACCGGCATCTCTTTTGCCTCACTCATCTCGGCCGAAGTCAATTGTCGCCCTTCTAAAGCGGCAAGTGCCTCCTGCCGCATTTTGTCGGAGGCTCTCGCTTGTTGTTGAGGGCTGGGCTCTTTTCCCGACTGCCAAGTCTGGATGTCGTGGCCGGATTCGAGGCTAGAACGGCCTGTATCGTTCCCGTAGACCTGGTCTCGGATCCTTTTGGCGGGGTTCGTGGGAAGACCCCGACCGGTAGCAGTGACAACCTTCTTCCGCCTGCCGTGCTCGCGAATCCTGCGTCTGCGGGGGCTTCTTCGTTCATCGTAGCGCCGCTGCACTTGGTCACGCCGGACTTGGCTCCGTCCCGCATTTCTCAGTGGCGCCTCCAGCAGCGAGTTTGCCTGTGCGCCGTACCAACTCCGTCGTTGCCCTAGCTTAGAGTGTTTTTGCAGCCGAAGCTCAAGGCGTCGATTTGCCTCGTGGATATCGCGCGCTGTCTCACGGCCCCCTCTTCTCGTGCGAAGGCTGGTCCCGCCCCTCGAAATCGTGCTGTTCCCGGACTTCGGCAATTCTCAACTATTTCTGCCTCAGCTCCAGGATGCGGATCCAGAACGACAGAGAACTCAGGTAGACGATGGCGCTGGACCAGGCGAAGCCCAGACACCACTTCATTGCCATGCTGGGAAGGAAAGAGATCATTTCTTGTTCTTTCCTCAAAGTGCAGATTGCCGAAGTGACAGAGCGGGTCATTCGCTCGTGGACGGATAAGAAGATCGTCTCGATCTGATCGGACGCGGGTCTCAGCTCCATAAGTGCTTGTGGCCAGTTTTGCAGGGCTGGTAGATGTTCTTTTCGTGTTGCCCTCAACCGTGTCGAACTCAATATTAGCATTCTCTTCTTTGGATACATTGCGGAAACCAAGTCTGGCTGCCTCAAGGAGTGATAGAAGGCTTCCCATTTCTTCGCTGAGGGGTCTTATTTGGTCGGTTGTGTTTTTCCCCAGCTGGCATCTTTTTATGTCGAGGTCCCTGCCGCTGTTCAACCCTTGATGAATAGCATGGTGAGTATCATGGAGTTGCGTGCCTCCATCCGCTACAGTACTTGGAGTGTGAGGAGTTGATTTGGAAGTTGCGATTCCTCTGTTGAACAAAAACAGCCCAGAGGATTTTGGGGCTGACTTGGGCGCGAACCACAGATCTGCGTGGCCACGTCTTGGGAAGTAGCCGAAGAAGCGATGGGTGGATGCCGATACTCCTTCTCGCAAAGACTGGCGAATCCTCAGATTTCCGTCGAGCTTCCAGTAGACGACGTAACTGGCGCTTTCTTTGATATACGCATCTGTGTACGACTCTGCTCTTTGCCACCAAACGCGCACATGAACCATGTCACTTCGCCGCGCAGGACCTCCCGAGCCCTTTTCCCACAGTCTTCCCCAGTCATCTTCCCAAATGACAGTACGTTCCTGACGATCTTCGATCGCCCATTTCGCGCCTTTAGGCTGGTTATGGGGAGTTCCGAAGCGACGACGGCCGTGTGTGTTCCGACATGGTGAGTGAGCTCGGACTCTGTCGTATGCAACCGGGTCTAGAACACGAGCATCATGTGTGTCGAGCGGCGAAGTTGGTTCGCTCGCAGCCTCAAGCGACTCGTGAAAAGGGCGGTAATTGTGGCTGCTCATAGTTTCAGGATGAGGAGTAGAATGAGGACGACGAGGAGGAGGAGGAGGAGGAGGAGGAGGGTTGAGTTTATTTTCCTCGATCTGGGCCAACTGCCTAGTGCGTCCTTGGTCGTCGTAGTTGATACCTAGTATGCCTAAATAGTCTGATCTTTGAGTTTCATCGGATCGCATGGAACCATCACGAGGACAGTACGTCATCTCTATCATGGTTCACTGCATGTCGCTGAATGGTCGAAAAAGCTCGCGATGCTCTACATACGAGGATCAAACTTCCGAAGTTGATGTTCGCTTCAGATATATACACGATTGCCTTGGGTGACAAGACGTTTCGGAAGGCTCAAATCGAGGGGTGTGAAACGAGGGAATAACAGAGAAATCCGGTCTTGGATCTGGTCTGCATGAAAAGCTGTCAGTTTCTCAGGTCCGTCTCTGATTGAGCGCCGGTTGTGAAGCGGAGGACACTCGGAACCGAATGGAAGATTGGCATGTTCGTGGTTCGGGCGCATTGTTGATCGAGATATGCTAGAGTGACGGTGGGAAGGGTTAAGTTCCTCGAGCGCCTTGTTTCGAGCGAAACAAAGTTGTTAATGAAAGAAGCGTAAATGAAGAATCCACTCAAAGATATAAAAGAAGCATTAAAGATGGTAATTCGGGTCAAAGGAGCTTCCATCACAAAGTATGTCCTCATAAAAGTTCTCGCCTGGTCGTGCAGAAGGAATGAGCATGGCCTATCTGGTCCTTCACTAGAGACAGAAAATAGGTTCCCGTTGTCGAATAGGCTACGGCATCTTCCGGTAGATTCGAGGTTTATCGTTTTAACGCTGCATCCGCCGAGTTATGTCTTTCGCCTATGAATTTACCTCTCATTGTCTGGGCAATACCAGCCACTGCCATGTTTTGCTGAATAGCCAATCTGAAGCCTCAAATATGCTCTTACTAGTCCATAAAATAGACTGTTCGTCCTCTGGTCAGGTATTGAAGCACAAAGTGACTTGTGAGAGCAGAAAATCGATGCACAATGATATTGATGAACAGTCGTCATGTCTACCATCTTCCACCTTTGTTCGTTTTCTTTGGCCATAAGTTAGGTCGAGATTGTGACAGAGTTATATAGATTCATCCTGAGCCAGTTCGAGATAGAGGCCTTGTGAGTCACGCCAGAGCACACTTACCACACATAATAATGTACACAACTTGGCCGACCAGATATTTAGCGATCCAGGTTCCCAGTTGACGTCATAACAATAGTAACATCGTCACTACAATCTTCAGCAGCCGTCGGAATAACCGCAGCCATGTGCTTCACCAGTATAAAATACGCCTGCGATCACAAGGAAAAGAAAGTCCTCAAATGCCGCAAGCTTTGGTCCGCAAGGACGGGCTGGTGCTGTCACCCCGCCTTTCTATTCGTCTTCGGCTGGCCGACTGAAGAGCCTTGCAGCGACTACCTCGAGGAGAGAGCCTTCCTCTCCTCGAAAATCTGCCCAGCGTGTACCAAAGCAGAGCAGTCCGGCCCCAATACCAGGGGCATCGTGCTGAGCAAGTATCGTCAAAGGCTCACGCCCGAGGCGCTGGACGCCTCGCGGAAGCGCATGCAGGAGGAGAAGGAGAAGGACGAGGTCGTCAAGGAGCGGTGGTATTCACGGGAGGAGAACTTCCAGGAGTCCTTGAGGGGGCGGGAGCAGGAGGAGCGAAAGGCTGCCGCCGGTGACGACGCCAAAACCGATAAAGCCCTGCCCGATATGCCGTCGTTCGTACACGTCCCTCTCGGTGAGCGCTGGGGTGACCCGAGCTACCACTACCCACAACACATTGCGGAAGCGTATGGAGCCGCTCCCTGTCGTCTGTCGAAAGCGCCTACTCATTCGGGTGTGAATGAGCAGCAGTTGCAACCTCCGCATGTGCCTGAACGACCAACTAAGAACATCGAAGTTGTGTTGAAAGACCGGGATCGACCAGCAATCAGCTTGGAGCAAAGCCAAACAGGAGGACACCGCTCAAGTCGTCACGATCATGAGAGAGAGCATATTGCGAGTCCAGTTGACAGTTGTCGGTATGCACAACATCTTGTGGGTACAACAGACAATATGGATCGATGCCAGTATGCAGCACGGCAAGTTACGAGTCTGGATCCCGGCCCTTACCGTCATATTGGAAAAGAGGTGGACGGAGGCCGGTTGCGATATGACCTTGAAACACAGCAGCAGAGGCCGAAGCAGTCGCTCGTTCCCCACCAGAGCAGGTACGCCGATTCCAGGAGTCTGACCGACACCAAGCCCACACCGGAGGCGCCCATCGGAGAGAGAAGGGGGCACAGACAGCCGCAACCCCTGACCGACAAACGTTCGCGGCCTAGAGAGCCCCGTCGCCGAGGCACCGAACCTATGCCTCCGGCGAAAACGCCAAAGTCGGCCTCACTGAAGGGGTTCTTCCAGGCGTTCGGAAACAGTTCGCGTCGTAGTGAAGATGCTCGTCGCGATAGAGTCGAGAGCCCGAACGTTACTTCGGACGACCACTCAGACATCAGCTCTTTTGTGTGCTGCAAATCCCGCGACGTGGAGAAGGGGAGGATGTAACTCATCTGCGACCTGTACCTTGCAAAGTGGAGGTGGATGGCGCGAAGGCAGTCTTGGTGAGTGAATGCTTATGTTTGTTGAACTATGTACCCGTTTCGTGCGTTCCGCTTCCCTGTAATTGACATAGACAAATAAAGCCTCCTTTCCCTTCCCAAAAAAACAAAAAGCTGATGACCGAATGCAGGCTACGCGTAGGAGGTCCGATGGCAACTCCTTGTGTGACAAGTATTGTAACTGACCAAGGTAACAGATCCAACGACTGACAATCTGTATACGCGTAAGCTCAAATTGGTATCTGATGAAAGTACTCCGCCTGTGAGGTGATGGCGCCTGCCTGAATGCTGCCATGCCGTGGGGCTTTGATCCCGCCTGTTGTTTCTCTCGCCTGTTCAACCGCTGCGTCCCGTGATGGTTCCGTTTCCCATTATGCTGCTGATCTCTGGTGATAGTGTGAGATAGACAAGCAGGGCAGTTGGCGCGGGGCTAGCGCGCAGCATGATATCCGAAGAGTTTGCGTCGCGCAGTACCGAGTAGATGTTTACTGATGGCTGGTCTGCGCAGAGTTTATTGGGCCTTGCCGTTCTTGGCGTTACCATTTGCCTTGGAGGCCCTGAACTTGGCGATTTCCTTCTCAACGGCCTTGTCTACGCGGCCCTTGAGCTCCTGTCGGTAGCCGAGCTTGAAGAGGAACTCGAGCCAGACGAAGAGAGGGGCGAGGAAGACAGCTTGGATCAGGTTGTCCAAAAGAGCCGGCGCACGTCCCTCGAAGGCGCCATGTCCGATGAACTGGAAAATCCAGCAGGCGATGTGGACGCCAATGGCGGCTTGATTCGTCAAGGAAGGGTTCTGGAGTCTGAAGGAGTTGCCAGCTGCGGTGGCGGCCAAGCAGATAATGGCCAGCAGCGTGCCTGCCACAGGCTCGAGAAGAACGTACAGACTGCCCCAAGTCAGAGCGGCCAAGGTTCCCAGATTGAGTTCCAGGTTGGGGACAGTGAGCCAGCTAGGGAGCGGGATGAGAGTTCCTGTGTTGGTGGCCTGGGGAAGTCTGCATGAGCTCAAGACGGTCAAGAAGGGCGCTCTCTCTCTCATTGGCTGCTTACTAGGCAAAATCCCGAAAAAAGAATCAGGGGCACACAGGCCATGTGAATGCCAATGTTGACAGTGTTATGGTGGTAAGCCCCATACTGTGAGGAGGTCATTAGCGACTGCAATGAGAAGACATCTGAAAAAATGTCGGAGTTCGAATTCACTTACAAAGGTCAAGTGCTTTTCCAAGTCGAGGGACATGATGGCGGTGGATGAGTGGTGGTTGGTGTTGAGACTTAAGCCAAGGCAAGGCAGGTGACTGAGAACCGAGGTTTGATGCAGGACACACCAGAACGAGGCTGCAGGGTCGTGGCTCGGCCGCAGGCGGATCGACAGGAGTTGGGGCGGAAGCGGACAAGCAAAACGGTTCGAGTGCGTCGTGCGTTAAGCGGCAGCGTCGATCTTTCAACAGGAGTCGGATGGTTAGATTGACTGCTGGCGACAGGGAGAGGTCAGAGAGCTGGTGATGTTGGGCAATGGAGGATGATGGAAAATGAAGGAATGCCGTCGTGTTCCGGACAGGGTTGCAATGGTGTTCATATGTGGTGTCCCACCACAGCACGTCGCCCGTACCTTTGGTGTGGGAGCGCCCGTGGGGCCGCTGGGGAGCGCGTTTTTGCGCTTCGGCTCGGGGGGACCGTAGGGAGTCCGCTGGGTTTCCAGCAGGCGACAGGCCACAAGAGCGGACAAGGGGCGGCTTGTGACTGGAGATTTCGGGGGGCCGAGTCCACTAAAAACCACTAAAGGTGCATGCACCCAACGTACGACGACGCCCTTCACCCAATCTGATTTCGTGGATTTGTCGTGTGAGCGTCTTGGGGGCTGGGGAGGCTTTTTGACCGACTCTCTTAGGGTTGGGGGAGTGCGAAAACCTCGGCCAGGAAGACTAGAGAAGTCATTGGTACAGGTAAGAAGAAGAAGGGGAAGCTGTGCCGCACGAGGGACACTTTAGGGTTGCGATTTCTACCGTTGCAAATGGCACCACCCGTCGCGTTCCTCTGGCATCCGATAGGCGCACACTAGACGGTTGAGAGGCGCAACGGGTTATTCCCGCCTTCTCGTAGTAGGTAGTCCACGAATCGGGATTCCCACTCGTTTCGGACCTTCAAGTCCAGAGTTCATACTTTCTTTCCCGATCATCGCGCTTACCCCGGCCTCCCGGAGCCATGAGCCACATGGGGCGGGCGTTCCGCGCTAGTGTTAAACTTTAGCGCAGGCGCGGAAGGTGTGGCAGCTGTACCTGTGGCTTGACACTCCCATGGTCGAATGCTTTTCATTCCACTTTTCGTGCCTGGGGAATGCGGCTGCCCGCAAGGCAAAAAATTCAGGAGCCACTTCTTCGCGGTAACAAGGCCATCTCAGCCTCGCCCGGCTTCATCTTGCACAACCTCTCCGTTCACTACCCGTCGAGTCACCACGCTGGCGGCGCATTTCCGATAGCGCATTACAGAGGCACCACGCGACATTCGATCGAGTCCTCGCGCTTCTCTTTTCTTCAGTCTTTCTGTTTTTTCTTTCTCCGAGGACTGACGTGCCGTGCGACTTCACACAGCTTCTCACTTGCTCGCGACCCCCGGCCCTGCACAGCGGTCTATCTTTGGAAGCAGCGGCTCGATTGCGTTCACTCGTCGAATCAAGCGCGTCGCTCGACCTCTTAACCCGACCTCAATCCACGTCGATACGAGCTCTAGACCTAGTCACATTTTAATACAGACGCATTGCTGTTGCGCGCCGTCGACAATTCGCAGGAGTCGGATCTGGGCAGCCGCGTTCACGACCACCCGCCGCTCTCCTTCGGACACGCTGCGCTGCGGAAACCGCCAACATGTTTTTCCTCTACAACATGGAGCGCAGGGTCACCCTGCATCCCTCCTACTTCGGCCGGAACATGCATGAGCTGGTGACGAGCAAGCTGTTGAAGGACGTGGAGGGCACCTGCGCGGGAAGCTACTACATCATTTCCATCATGGATACCTTCGACATCTCCGAAGGTCGCATTCTTCCTGGCAGCGGTCTGGCCGAGTTCACCGTCGGCTACCGAGCCGTCGTGTGGCGGCCCTTCAAGGGCGAGACGGTAATTGCTACAAATCTGCCTGGCTTTGTCGGGGAAGCGGTTTCTGACATGAACCCAGGTTGATGCTGTGGTCTACTCAGTCAACCACCAGGGCTTTTTTGCTCAGGCGGGACCTCTGCGGTTATTCGTGTCGGCACATGTAGGTTTTCGCTTCCGCGCTGGCCAGGCAGTTTTTTGTCGATAACTAACCTACGACTCCTCTTACCAGCTGATCCCGTCCGAGATCAAGTGGGATCCTAATGCGACGCCACCGCAGTTCACCAACAACGAGGATACTATCATCGAGCCGGGAACACATGTGCGCGTCAAGGTGATCGGCACACGTACAGAAGTCGGCGAGATGTGGGCGATTGGGAGCATCAAGGAAGACTATCTCGGGTATGTCATTCTCTGCAAAGCTGTGGCCAGGTCTCACTTACAAATGTTTCCCTGCGAAGCTGCCTTCAGGATTAAACATCCCCCGCAAAGGGATAGAAAGGGGGCCTTGAGAGATCACGTCCCGTGTGGCTTGCGCGGGCTTCGGTCAACGCAAAGGGGTCATGTTCCTCCACCAGAGCTAAGCCTCAGCCCCTTACCGTGGCCATCCAGGGGATTGGGCAAAATGCGCATCAAACAACGAGTGTTGCTACGGCGCAGAACAAGCTTCTGGACAAGGCCCAGACGAACTTCAAGGGGATCGTTTTGGGGCCAGAGACGAACATTCCGTTACGCTGACAAACCTGCATTCGAGGAGCAGAAGATAGAAAAAAGTTTGGGGAAGAGGGCATACGCATGCCCAAACGATCGGCGCGTTTTTTGATGATTCACAAGCATCATATCCGGGTTGCGTCTTGGAAGTTGTACAAAACCTGAAGCCACAGCTTTCTCAAGTTTGACGAAATAAAAAGAGCAAAAAGCGAAGCCGTGACCACACACCGTGCCATCAGGGGCTGTTTCTAGAGACCAAAAACCGTTGAGGGGGCCGCTCCTCAGGTCATGAATGTGTGTTTGGATAAGGGAGCGATGCTTGCTTTGACGGAGTGCCTCTCTAGACTGCCGACTTGTGATTGTAACCGCAAGCTGCGAGGTCGAGGTAGGTACTTTGGCCTGCACACTCCCTCCACGTTTTCTAGTTCTGGTTCCCAATGCAATGATAGTTGAATGTTTACCCCGCCGCCGCCTAGACGCCTCGCAGGTCGTGGTTTGTGGAGGGACAGAGTCTGCCCGCGGGGTCATTTTTCTCAGGGCCGGCCCATGAACCCGCTTGGCCTTCTTCCGGCCCGTGGCGGTTATGGGGGATCCGACCACAGTTTGGCCTGTTGGTTCCCACATCCTGCGTGCATGCAAGGTGGGGGGGAGGGGAATTAGCCGGCCTTGCTCCCGAGCGTCATTGGAAACCCCCGCACCAGCCCTTCTGATATAGGGCGCGGTTGACAGCGCCTGTTCACCATGAGTCCAGTCGCGGACGGTAGCATCGTACACAAGCGCACACTGAAGATAAAAGACAAGAGACTCACGTTGCACAAGCCTGCATCTTTCTCTATATACAGACTTATATAATTTCTACCTGTTCAAAACTACCCCGGTTCGCGGAAAAATGTCGGCAATGCAGGCAGCCAACCGGCTCCGGACGGCCTTTACCAAGGGCGCTGGCCCCAGCTTCGGGTTGTGGCAGATGATCCCCGGCGCCAATGTTTCCCGGGTTCTCGCGCGGAGTCCGGGAGTGGACTGGGTTCTGGTGGACTGCGAGCATGGAAACATTGACGGTAAAGGCTTTGAGGCCTTCATCCCTGGTTGAAGAACGCGATGTGATCTGACCTGCGACTCCAGATGGCGCCATGCACGATGCGGTGCCCGCCATTGCTGCGGCCGGTGTCTCCCCGATCGTGAGGTTGCCGGACATGCAGGGCTGGATGGTTAAGCGTAAGGGAACTCATCAATTGACGGCTCGCACTACAGGACTCGGCTGACGATGCTTCCAGGAGCCTTGGATTGTGGCGCTCACGGGGTAGGGTCAACATATTGAGACGGGAGGCCTCAGAAACTTCACTGACGCATTGACAAATGAAGATCCTCGTCCCGCTGCTCCGAACCGCCCAGGAGGCTAAGGACCTCGTCCAGGCCGCCAAGTTTCCGCCGTGGGGACGCCGGGGTTTCGGGTCGCCGTTGGCCATGGAGCGGTTCAACCCGGCGCCGAGCATGACCGAGTACCTCCAGCAGGCCAACGACAGCCTGCTGACAATGGTTCAGATCGAGACCAAGGAGGCGCTGGAGTCCATCGAGGACATCGCGGCGGTTGAGGGCATCGATGTCCTCTTCATCGGGCCCTTTGATCTTGGTCAGCAAACCCCGAAACCACCTTGGCATCTGGCCGTCTGACAAGCATAACGTAGGAAACAACATCGGCCACCCGGTGATCAACGGCATCATCAAAAAGGAGTTGAGCGATGCTATCGACCGTGTCCTTGAGGCGACGCACAAGGCGGGCAAGAAGGCGGGCATCTTCTGCACCAGCGGCGAGCAGTCCAAGGCCTTCGCGGACAAGGGTTTCGACATGATTAGCGTTGCGACGGATTACACAGCATTGCAGTTCACCTTGTCGGAGTCATTGAGCGTTGCCAGGGGGGAGGCGAAGCCAGCCAAGGGTGGATCGTACTGAACGGAAGCTGAGAGGAAAAGGAGGAAGAACGGAGTGACGAATAGGGGAAGGGAGTAGGTAGGCTATGCTGTTTGCTTGGGACGCTTGGCTGGCCCGCCGGCAAATCCTTCAGCCAAGCAACAGTGCGGCCGCTTTGGATGAAAGGGGGGAAATAATAACATCCCTGGCATTTCAGTTCTTGCCCTCAACCTGATCCATCTTGGCCTCGATCTGGTCTGGGTCGAAGCGGTGCATGAGCTTGACGGCCTTGCCCACAAGTTTGGGGTCCTCCTCAGGGGCGTCAGCTTTGCTGATGTGGATCTGGTATGAGTTAGAACATGGACGGATTTGGGGGTGAAGGTCGATGTCTTGTGCGGTAGGCTTGGCGTACATCGGACGTCTATTCTCCGCGTCATGTATTCCATGCGAGATAGACTAATGATGAGGAGGAAAACTTACCACAGGGACATCGAAATCATACAGATCCCTCCACTTCTTCGCATCCGGCGCGGTGACTTTGACCTCCGTAAAGGCAAAGGGCCTCCTGTCCCAGACATTGGAGAGGGCCGATTTGGCTCGCAAGCACAAGCCGCACTCATCGCGAGTGAAGAGCGTGATTCGGCACGTCTGAGCCTTCTGGAGGAGTCGTCGTGTTGACGTAAACATTGCTTTTTCGATCTCTGGACTTGAAGATCGCTGTGAAGTCAAGCGGCGGTAATCCGAGGAGATTTGGGATTAACTCGACGGATAACGTGTATCCCACCCACACGCATAAAGACGTGGCACGCGAATAGTACCAAAGTCAGGGCGACGGACTGGCTGAGGAAAGAGGCTCGAAGGCTATGAAACAGCCTCGTTCTCGCTCAGCTGATCAAGGAAAGAGAAAAGTGTCAAAAGAGGAGATCGGCAGCCAGGGACTAGGGTTGGTCGGGCGTAGGACGTCTGTGGGCGAATTTGATGAGCTGAGAAATGTGAGATGACGGGTCTGCCACTGCCTCTTGTCAATAACGAGGATGTGAGGGGGACGCTTGTTTGTTGCTGTTTCAAAAGAGTCCGATTGATTGATTGATTGATTGATTGATTGGGGGCCACCTCGAGAAGAGCAAAGTTGCAGCCGTCCAGAGTTGTATTGTGCTGATGGAATGGGCCAAAGGCAAAAGTGTGGGCTGGAGACGGACGTGTGTTTCCGACTGAACGTCTTCCACCCTGGTTGGATTGCAAGGACAGGCCAGAGAGTGACTTACGCATCTTCGGTCAATATTTCGCGTTCGCGGGGGGGATACGCTTCAGGAAGGCGGTGAGCACACCGAAGCAGCCCGCGTCCTACCACCTGTTGGGTGGCTTTGGGCGAATCATGAGTGTGTCTTCGAGGAGCTTGTGCCCATCATGCATAATTTTGAGCCGCTAAAGCGCACTGAGGACCCCTGGGAAATTCTGGAATCCTGGAGAACATAGTAACCCCTCCATCGACGACAAACACCCCTCACTTTCACTTCCATTTACCGGGCCCTTTCGACAATTTACAGTCCTGCAGACCCGCCGCCTCTCCTTATCCACCGCCCAACTCTCAAACGTCACCCGTCGTCAATTGCGAATTTTGCCTTCGCCTTACTTTCTGTTCAGTTTCTATTCTTCAAGGACTTATCAGGGAAGCGTCAACCCCATCCAACGCGAAAACGACTGCGAAGCAACGAAACCTCTATCTACCCCCCCGGCCAGTCCCAAAATGGCAGAAAAGTGCGTCCACCAGGGTTGCGGCAAGCTCTATACCGATGTAGAGGAGCCATGCGTCTACCACCCCGGCCCTCCCATCTTCCACGAAGGCCAGAAAGGTACTCAATCGCTCGCAACCCAGCCCATCTACCCACCATACAAACTCTACACATGTACTCCGTCATCTTCAATGGAGAATGTGTCTCTTCCGTTCTTGTCCCGTGCGATTGGGATAGGGATTCCCCTCCTTCGCCCAATTGACCCCTCTCCCATCCCTTTCCTAAGCTCCGTTCAGCCGCTACCCGGTCGCATCGGCATCTATTCACACGAGACACGACGGCTAACCTCATCCATCGCTTCAAAACAGGCTGGAAGTGCTGCAAGCCCCGCGTCCTCACGTTTGAGGAGTTCATGACCATCCCCCCCTGCACAACCGGCAAGCACTCCACAACCGACCTGCCCCCAAAGATCGAGCAGAAGCCGCAAGCGGACCCCGCCGCCGCGCCCTCCCTCCTCGACAAGCTCGCCGCCTCTACAACCGAACCGGGCCGCAAGCCCCTCTCTCAAGCCGCCCAGGCCGCGCCTTCCCCTCCGCCGCCACCTCCGGAGTCCGAGTCCGACGATGCCTCCCTCGAGATCCCCGATGGCGCCACCTGCCGCCGCAAGGCCTGCTCGGCCACCTACCGTAAGGGCGCATCCCGCGACGGCGAGTCCTGCGTTCACCACCCCGGCGTTCCTATCTTCCACGAGGGTTCCAAGGGATACAGCTGCTGCAAGCGCCGCGTGCTCGAGTTCGACCAGTTCATGAAGATCGAGGGCTGCAAGACCAAGAACCGTCACCTCTTCATCGGCAGCGGCAAGAAGAAGGATGCCGCGGCGGCCGGTGGTGAGGAGAAGCTCGACACCGTCCGCACCGACTTTTACCAGACGCCCTCCACCGTCATCGCCTCCTTCTTCCTTAAAAAGATTGTTAAGGACTCGGCCAAGATCGAGTTCAGATCGCAGTCCGTCGCGCTCGACCTGCCTACGTCGGACTCACCGCCCAAGCGCTACACCGCCGAGGTGCCCCTGTTCGCGCCCATCGATGCGGAAAAGTCCACCTTCAAGGTCCTCGGCACCAAACTCGAGGTAAACCTCGCCAAGGCCGGCGGTGAGTCGTGGCCGGTCCTGCGCAGTGACGACCGTCTTACCGGTGAGATATTACAAATCGGCAAGGCGGGGCGTCTGCAATAGACTTGAGTGTAGTAGATTTATGCTCTCGCGCTTCGCGTCAAGAGGGTTATCACACGGACTTTCGGATTTAGAGGCGCCAGAGAAGGGGGGGAAAAAGGACAAACGTCAGTGAGTAGAGATGAAGAGAGCGAGAGGGGAGAGCAAGTGTGTGAGACACGGGAAAGCCCCCTGGGCGCAAGAAGAGACAGGAGAGAAGCACGCAAGATACCTCTAGATAAGCATGCGAGACACGAGAAGCTCTCATGTCGCAATCCAAGGCCGCGGCGCTGCTCTGTAAAAAGAACGTATAACAAGACAATCACCAACGTCAAACCTAAGACATGTACCTGACCCCCACCCCCTTTCAAATTGAGGCCTCTCTCTATCTCTTGGTATCCGGGCTGTGTGAGACGCACTCAGACATGACTATCCGTCATGACATGTGACGAGGGTCCTGGCGGGAAACACGTTGCGCGTCCTCGTTCTTTGACTCGGTGTGCGAGTTTTTTCCTCTCTCCCCTTCTCTAGCCAATCTCTCTCTTGGAGAGAGAGAGAAAGAGAGAGACAAGAGACAGCAGCAGGTAGAAGAAACCGAGGAACAGCCAGACACACGGGCGCACATCAGAACGTGTTCAGCCGGGACATGCCGAAAACGGTAAGAGAGATAGACATACGCAATCCGACCAAAGTCTAGATCCCTCCCAGCCCAGCCGTTCGTCCATCCACGGGAAGAAATCAGAAACACGACCCTAGGCCTCTCTCGGTACACCTTTGCGCCCATGAGGCGGGCGTGATCAGAAACGAGAAAAAGTATAAAAAAAAATAAAAAAATAAACAAAAAAGAAGACGAATTGTTGAGATGACGAGTTTCGAAAGTCGGATGCCGTTCACGTCCCCCCCCTCCCTTCGCACCCCCCCTCGTCCGAGGGTCCTTGGCACTCGAACCATTGGCGTTTGCGTGTCTCGTCGCGGCGAGCGGTCGCTCGTGGTGACGAATACGTGTCTGGAAGAGGCGGTTGGCGATCTTTTCTGCGTTTCCAACTCACTCGCACTAGTGTAGTGCCGACGGCAGTGTTTGCTTACACTGAAATGGCTTATCTGATTTTTATTCTACCTAAGCCTAGTTTTCCTAGTGCCCCTTAGTTCCCACCCTAGCTTCCTCAACATAGTCCATTCGCCTTGTCCAAGCCTTGGATATCCAACGAATAAAACAAAAAAATACGACAAGGAGACGTGAGTGACCCTCCCCACTCCTCCGGCAACTGCTGAGATATTCAGAGGCGGATGAACCTTCTCGAGTAAATACCGACGCTAATGACAACACGCCCCTGGCTCACAACGTGTGTGAACCGGAAAGGGAGACAATCTCAAAAAGGATTAAAAAAAAATGGGGGGGGGGGGGGGGGGGGGGGGGGGTCGTGGACTTCTCTCCGCTGACTACAAAAAAAGCTCTTGGCTCGTTACGGCCTGATGCAGATGTGAAAGGCTGTTAAAGAGAAATCGGAAAAGAAAACCGGGGATTTTTATTTAATTGTTTCTTCAACGCCGACCCATGGCAGCTTTCTTGCCAGGGATGGTCGACCGCACGGATATTGGTTGCGTGCAGAGAGGGGACACACAAGCGGGTTGTGTGCACCTCCCGCCGTCCGCTCGGTGTCGAGTCAACCATCCCCCCCCCTCTCAGCTGCGAAACCCAAAACGCCAAGCCTGCAATGTGGACTCGAGAAGTGAATAAAACCTGGACAAGAATGAAGGAGTGGACGGAAATTCCGTAAAAGGAGGTAAGCCACAGATGGCGAAAGAAAGAAGATCGGGAAACGTAAAACAAAATGATGTAAAACAAAATCGGATCTGACGATGCGGACATCGTCATCCCGCTCAGGCCGGCGTCCGCTCAACGTCTTGGCCGCCGCGCCAGCACGGGAGTTTGCTGCTCCGCTTTGTTGGCTTGCCACGAGCTTGGCCGTCATGACTGTCCGTCTTGGTGAAGACGGCCCTGCTCGGCGCCCGCCCGATGGTCAGGTGATCGAGGTGGGAGTGGCTTGGCTCCCTAGTGCGGGAGGACCAGTGCCAACATGTCCGGCGGGCTGATCTTGGGGTCTAGCCAGCTGTGGGTCCCCCCTTCCCAACGTGGCAGGGATCTACCAAGATGAAAGCGCCGAAGAGGAAAAAGGGAGAAGCCCAAAGAGGATGGGACGTGGAACGGTGGAGAATAAGGCTTGCGTGCCATGACTGTCCAAGTGGGCGAGAAACGGGTGTGCTGTTGTCATAATTCTCCAGGTATGCGTAAATGGAGGTGCAGCGCAGAGTGGTACGGCGGCCCGTTTGCAGGGACACTGCTCGTTTGTGCCTGGCGTTATGACGTGGGGGTAAGCCGTGGGTATAGCCGCTGGGGTGTCGATCTGGCCGCCGGACGGCATCTAGACTTTTGCCTTTGACTTCGCCGCATCAATGCAAGGGTGGGGCCTGCCCGCTACGGGACGCAACGGAACCGACACGCCCCTCACCCTCAACCGGCGTTCTTGGTTGCTGGGTTGGGAGACGGCGTCCGCTCATCCTGGCCATTGTAAATCAGCTGGAAGCCATCGCGGCGGCAGATGACAATGGGTTTGTCATTTTCGCAGCGCCCGATGATTTCGCTCGAGTTTGGCAGGTTGTAGGGGACCGCGTCCTTGAAGTGGATGATTGGGCCGCCGTCCATTGTAAGCCCGATAATCTCGGCCCCCGAACGCCCTCGTCCTCATCAGAAGACTCGGCTTGAATAGTGTTTCTGAATTGTCATGTTAGCGTGAATAGCTCATCTTGGCGGGAAACCCTCGGGCAGCAATCAATTTCCCGGGGTGAATCGTGCACGTACACTTGGCTCATTGGCAGCGTTCCGGCGTCGCTGTGCTTCCTCTTCCTCGACGACGACGCCTTTTTCACTCTTCGTACCATGCACGTATGGAAGTAGTGGAACAACCCCGCGATGACCAGGACGGGCGTGCCGAGAGCAAGAGCCCAGGGCCTACAAAAGTTGTCAGTGAAGAGCTTCAAATATACCGGGGACACAACTCACGGGTGCTTTCGCTGCCTCAGTTGGTGAACGAGAGCCAAGATAACTCCGCACACTGCGATGAGGGATCCAACCTGGATCATGGTGAAGGTCGACCAATACAGCGACATGAGATCCTCGCCATCGCAGAATTGCAATGCCATCAACGTGAAGACCTCCATGATGACTGCGGCCAGCGACACACACACGCAACCTAGGTTGAACCATATGCAGCGTTTGATGGCCTTTTTCCGTTTTGCGTCGGTCTCGGGGAGCTCGGCAACAGCGTCTAATGTCCTAAATTACTTTATCAGCAAGGCGGTTCTGCAGGAAGAAGTCACCGCAGAGCGCAACGGTTTGCCGAGAAGCCTACCGAGTATAATTCCATGCTGCCAGGAATAGGATGAAAAGGTTGAAAACAAACAGAAGCCAATATAACAGGTCGAATTGCCATCTGTCTAGGTGAGATGCGAATCTGGCGTAGTGTGCGCACCGCACAGGGTCGTAAGGTGTGAAGTCTTCCTCGTTGGCGACCATCGTGAGTATTGGTTGATGATGGAGATGTGTCAACGTATTCTCTGATATCGTCTGGTTGATGATACTGACACTGACACTTGACAGACGGTGATGCAAGAGGCTCTGCTTCTTTATAGATAAAGAGTCGTTTGGTAAAGTCCCCGATCTGCAGGGTTACTCAAGTCGGTGCGGACTTGTCCAGGCTTGCGTGTGCAGGCAGGGAGGCGCTTTCACTCGGGCTCTGATGGTTGACAGGGGTCGTCAAGGTCTATAGCTCTGGAGGGGCACCCCGGTGTGTTCGTGCAAGGCTTGGGAAAGGGGGGGCGTGTGGAAGTGGAGATATAGATCAAGCTTCCAAGACTTGTCGGATAGATTGTGAGATTGGCTCAACCTGACGTGGAGCAGAATAGCTTACAAACTGCTAGAAACTCCCCCAGTATTGCAGTCCATCCAAAGCAGGCTGCTCCACCCAGTCTTTCAACAACTGGTGGATCCATGGTCAAACTCGTCTTGTCACCAATGATGCACCAATGCTGAGTCGAGTGCAGAGGTAGGCCAGGAATAGCGCTTGAAACAAGATGACAGCGAGCAGTGTTGTCGACTTGGCTAGTGGTGATCCGCAAATGGATGGCGATGCTGTCTGGGCGGTGTCTGGGCAGTCTCTTGGCAAGATGCGCGGGCTAAGACTTGATTGCCGATCTGTAGGCGGGCCCTTTGTGACGGTTAAGTGGGATTGGATTGGTCGGACGCCGCATTATTCTCCGTACTAGGGGGGGCTTAGCAACGACGTTCAGACTTGTAACCCAGTTGCCCAGATGCACATTTGGCCCATGGTGTTCCCTGAGCTCAACGACGAGCTTCCCTAGTCCATGTCCTCCTGCTCTGTCCATCCAATGGCGTTCCGAGGCCGCCGGTGCAAAGTCACCCCGCACGTCTCATCAATGAACCCTCAACTCGACATGTGCTCCTCAACTCATTCCCTCCATCAGCTCAACTCTGTCGAGCATCATTCCCTTCAGGCCAAGGTACTCCTTGAGAGATTCCCATTCGATGCCGCCCTCCTCGCCGTGTCGCCATTTCTCCCTATAACCCCACGCGCAGGCGATATCGTCCATGCCGGCGCGTTCCTCCTCGCGGAGCCAGCGTTGGTGCAACGGGATGCCGGGCGCCCAAGTGACTCGTCGCATGTGATCATTGACAGTGGTTTTGGCAACCATCCCAATTGTCGCCGTGAACCCCAGGTAGGCCAGGATGGCCGCGAAGGCGAACTTGGTGGCGGTCACGGGCTCCATTGTGTTCTGGAATGCCGAGAGATTGGAGGCAAGAGCGTAGACCCCAAAGGGGGCCGCACTCACGGCCGAGGCGGGCAGAAGCGCCTTCCGCAGCAGTTTTTGCCGGTAGAATGCTTGTGTTGCGTAACAGGCCTCAACGATGCCAATGGCAGCATCCAGGTTCTTGGCGTCGATGGCGGCCCCCAGAGCTGTTTCGGCCACGGCTGCCTCAATGGCCTTGTCTGCTCTGTTTGGGTTCTGCTGAACATAGGTGATCGATCCCTCGACCGCCTTTGCTTTGGGCTTTGACGCATATAATTCGAAAACATGGGGAAGTGTCTCGGGCCTGCCAAGCCTAGCTTGGATGTTTACGTACAAGTCCAAGACCTGGGGACCAATGGATACGGTGGGGTGGGCAATGATTTCGTATGCTGACTCGGAGATTGTGTCGACTGTATCCTTGACAGACATTGACGGGATCGACGTGCTGCCAGATTTAGCCGCGGCCGAGTTCGAGTCCAGCGATAAGAGGTCGGAGGCGGTCGATGCTGTGAGGGTCGAGGCCGGACGAATCTCCGACTTGGATAGGTATGGTTGGATCGCATTCGCGGCGCCTTGGCACGTTTTCAAGGCTGCGATGACGAGTTGTGGAGTAGGAATGCCGTCCGTAGATAGAAACCGCTTCTTGCTCTGGAGAACCACGGCCGCGAGCTTGCTCGGGTCAGGGAGCTCCCTGGACGATGGGCTATTCGTCACAGGTCTCTCGTGACCGTTTTTTTGCAAAGCCGAAGCAGATACCGTGCTCGCCAGACGGGTTCCCTCGATGACCCGTCTCAACGTGGTATTCTCGTGAAGCTTGGCAGATCGAGGAGAGACGATCGATGATATGTTTGGCTTGGCAGTATGTTGCAGTCGAGTCTGTTGACGACTGTGTGATGATAGGGTCACGCATAATCGACAAACGGATCGAGGTTGGCGAGCCGCCGGCGCAAAGATGGCGGTCCGCATCATCTTCGTGGTGATGATGGTGGAAGAGAAAGCTTCGGGTCGGGTGTTCGAGGAGTGCGCGCGCCTTCGGCGAACAAGGATTGGACGATCTGAAGCAGCATGCAAAGAGCGAGCGGGCGTTATTCGGAGTCGGCTGGTGTCTCTGAGCTGCAGTAGTAGGGTGAACAGCAAAGAGGTTGGGTGGGCAGGTCGTTTCGCGAAGACTTGGCCAAGAGATTCGAGCAAAGGGAATCGCCGAGCAGGTGAGGCAGAAGCCGTATTGAACAAGCAACCGGGACAGACCGTCTTGGGCCTCGGGTCTTGGTCTTGGTCTTGGTATATGTGTAAGGTAGTAATGAGCGAATGCCGACACAGGACCCGGGAGGTGCGAGGCGACGATACGAAGCGCAAGAAAAAAAAAGGAGGACTGAAGCTCTGGACGCGACGGAGGCTCCGGGGAAGCTGGGAGCTCCAGCAAAATTTCCACTCGAACCCCGTTACCCCCCAATAGCAGGTCGTCTAATTACCCGCACATGGCCCCTGGCCTAACAGGCGATCATTCACGCGCGAGGGAGGCTCTTCAGCCCGGCAGACGACGCCGCACCAATAAGGCTGGCAGTTGACCCTGCTGAGCGGGGTGGTACAGGCACTAAGTACAGAAGGGTACAGTACCTAGCCAGTACCTAGAGGCCACTGAAGAAACGTGGTTGACAAAGCCACAGCCGTCCTGGTACCAAACGTCTGCCAACGCATGCTGAGAATCTTTAGGTTTTTTTGGTACGAACTGCCACTTCACTCACACTATATGCATGTTTCTCAACACCATTTCCCCCAAGACATTAAAACTGTAGATCTCCATGTAGTACCGCAATAAACAAAGACTAGGTAGCCTTAGTACATCTCTAGTTTCTTTGGCTCGTTCCGGGTAGTTTTCGTTGTTGCACTGGTGGCTTTTCCCTCGAGCACTTTGTAGGTGCATCCGCAGCTGCCGCGTCTTGGGTTCGCGTACTCCCTAGCCACAGGTATGCCGAGAGACTTGTGAGGCTAATGTGTCGCGGGGTACCTTGTTTTCTGGTGCGGCTGTCGGCCAGATGGAAGTACCTCGAAACAGGCAGAGCCGCCTCAGCCCACTCTTAATGCAACGGTTGCACCGCCCACGCCTGAACGACGCCGCATCTTCCAAGATCCTACCCAAGGATGACGAAACACCACGCGGCTTGAAAGCGATCCCAAAGTCACAGCACCTCATCGCCCCTGAGAATGCACCGATCGACCCCTCGAGAGCTCATATTTCTCTACTACTGAAACAATACCCTGCCGTACAACCGTACCGTATCTGAACGACATCTGTTGCTCGACTGGGAAACCATTCATCTCGACCAGTCAAGCCTGGCTTGCATCAGCCTCTACCCAACCCCGACCGACCGACGACGTATCCATCATCAACCACCTCTCCGTCGGTGACATTCCAGCATCATCGTCCTTCCCACGACACCGATAGCGATATAATACTGAGGGGATAAGGAACAGCTTCATCATGCCTCCTCCACCCCCACCGCCGCCTCCAATGCCTGCGATGGGCGGCCCTCCGCCGCCGCCTCCACCGCCAGGCGGCCCTCCAGGAGCCGGTGCTTTGCCTGCAAGGCCACCTGCAGGAGCTAATAGAGTAAGTAATCATTGCTTGGATGGCGCTCCTTCATGGATTCTTTGTGGTGCTGGACTGATGCGACTTGCAGGGTGCGCTCCTCTCCGACATCACCAAGGGCAAGCCCCTCAAGAAGGCCGTTACGAACGACAGGTCTGCCCCGATAGTTGGAAAGCCATCTGGCGGCTCGGGAGGGCCGCCCGTAGGGGCGCACCGCCAGTTCCAGGCTTAGGAGGTCTACCTAAACCTCCCGGCGGCCTAGCCCCTCCAGTACCGGGGAATCGTGCTAGAAGCAATAGTGACCAGAGCGGACGGGAAAGCGCACCTGCGCCGTCGATGGACGCGGCACCACAACTGGGTGGTCTGTTTGCCGGCGGCATGCCAAAGCTGCGAAAAACTCGTGGAGCCGTCGATACAGGTGCCTCTGCGGACTCGTCGTACCTTTCGGACCCCGAGAGCAATGTGCGATCATCCTCCGCGCCAAAGCCGCCGACTTTCGGAGCGCCAAAGCCTCCGGGCGGTGCGGCGCCGGCCCCGCCGGGAAGGCCGCCTCTGCCTCCTCCCAACGCTGCTCCAACACTGCCTCCATCAATCGCCAGCTTGCGCAAGACGACGAGCGATGTTCCCAGACCAAGCTCGTCAGCATCGATGAAAGGGCCCCCACCTCCCATCGGCAAGAAGCCTCCACCGCTACCTGCATCCCGGAAGCCTTCTACTACGCCCTCCAGCCATCCTCCTCCGGTACCAGGTGCACCGGCCCCTGGAGCTCCTCCTCCTCCTCCTCCTCCTCCTCCATCCGCTGCTCCAGCACTTCCTCTATCTGCGCCCCCTTCTGCGCCCCCTTCTGCACCCCCCTCGGCGCCTCCACCACCCCCTGCCGCTGCTGCACCTCGAGCTCCAGCGCCATCACCACCCTCACGCTCCCCAGCGCCTCCACCACCTCCGCCAGCATCAAATGGGCCTTCGCCGCTGGCAATGCAAGCTGCCTTACGAGCAGCTGGACAAGCGTCTCCTAGTGCTGCTCCCCCGCCTCCGCCTTCAAGCGCACCATCGCCCCCTGCTGCCGCTCCTTCCCCGCCGGCCGCTCCCCCTTCACGGGCCCGCGCCGGTTCTGGTCTTCGCTCTTCTATGCTGGACCCAAGCGCATTTACTCTTGCTCCCAACGGCGCAAAGAGCCCTAGTCCTACTCGCTCTAACACCACGGCTACTCTACATGCTGGTGGCGGCGGCGGAGGTGGCCAACGTTATATTGTTCAGGATCCGCGGTGGAGGTTTCAAGACGAGGCCATGCTACCAAAGCCAAGGGATTTCGTTGGCGGTCCTCGACGCTACCGGGCTGGCAGGGGAAGCAGTGTTCCCCTCGACTTGAGCGCTCTGTGATGAGCTGATCAAAGACGGGCTGCTCGCCGCGGCTTCATCAGCACTAGGAGCCCTATCAAGGATTAGGTACACAACGAGGGGCTTTCTCCGACAATATACATGCTTCAAACGATCAACTCTTAACGAGCTCGAGTGGCAACGCGCTCCCTGTTGCAGCACTCCATGTCACCGCAAACAAGCCCAAAGATGAGTTCCAGTATTTCGACAGTGCACTCCCCTCTGCGATTCTATTGATAGAAAGCAGTGTGTCAAAGCAAGATGAGCAAGAGAGCCAGAACGGACGTTCGGACGTCAGGATGCACGCCGTGACAAGCATTTGTCAAGCCTTAGTCGAGCATTTTCGTGTCGGTGTGTCTGAGGGTGCCGTGGTATCGGACTCTTGTCTTGGCAGCATCGTCGAGCCTTGGCGAAACGATCGATTGAGACGCAATCTAGATCTACCGGTTGCGATTCGCAAGCCTTGGATTTTTCTTGGAAGCCGCGGACCTTCCAAACATCATCACGCAGATAGAAGCCTGCCCCTATCGCTGCTGGGGGTGGGTGGCGGTTCTCTAACATGGTCGTCGGGGGAGTGAGATTCGAAAAAGGGCTTGGCATATGCAAGCATCTTGGAGGGGCGGGGGAGGAAGGATCATCACGACAACTTCTGGGATAGAGGTGGGAAAAGGGAAGTGAAGCATCACGCTAGCGGAGTTTTTTGTCGGTCATTCATTAGATGATGAGTCGCGAAAGGTAGATTAAAAAAAACAATAAAAAAAAGAGAAGACAAAATTATCCAAAACATACCCTGGACGCGCGTGCCGTGCAGCTGGAATCTGCAGAAGAGGACAGATCGTGCGAGTCTCGTGAGAACGTAGGGGTCCCGGGTTGTCAACGCGAGGGGAGGTCAGATCGAGCGAGCATCTCGGATCGAAGCACAAGTCGGCCTGGAGCGAGACCTCCCCCCGGTCGAGCACATATTTGTGTGCTTCACACATGGAACGAACGTTGAACTCTGGGGACTGACCATGACGACGCGCGCTTGTCTCGTTTGGAAACGAAGCCTGCCAGATCACATCGCATCATGATGAGGTTTGAGATAGGGGGTCTGCGCATGTAGCCCGAGTAGTCGGCCATCGGGCCTGGCTTGTAGGGCGTAGTCGTAACCGAAAACTCTCTCAGCTGCTAGGCCGCTGGACAATCGTTGTCAGGATCAGCGTGTACGAGAGGGTAAGCCCGTCCCGAGGGGGGCAGCCGGGATGGGGTCCCCAACCAGCCTCCATTACATGCGTATACATCAACACAAATGAAATAGCCTGCAGGACGTGAACCATAAAACCGTGCCCTCATTTATTAAACTACCCTAGGAAAAGCCGAGCTGAGCAGAGCTATCCCGCAAATCCAGGTTTCAAACATACTCGCCGGCCATATTGCTAAGCAGTGGGAACACAAGGCTCAAAGAAAGAACGAAGAAGACTCCCCAAGACCTCAACCCAAGAGGGGGGCCAGACGAGGCGAGAAGTGTAAACATTCCCCGAGGACCAACGAGGTTGGACGACCGGATAACCTCACCCCTTGCCCTCCTCTCTACTCCTCTCCTCTTTCCCTTCAACTCCCCTAGATAGATGCCCGGGCAGACAACAATTCGAAACCCCCGCGCACGACAGAAAAGGCAAGAAGTGAAAAAAGCTTTCACGCCATGCCGGGCCAGTCCTTGGCTGCTCTCACTCCCACTCCCACCCCCAGATCCGGAGATCATTGCATATGGCAAGTGAAGAGACAAGACAAAGGACGCAGAAAAAAGAACGCAAATGACCCCGGTCCCCCCATGAATCCCCGTTTTCGTTTACCAGGCATGTTCCGCGTTTCTTCCCAAACTCGAGGGAAAGAATAGGTATCCATGAGTAAGAGAAAAAAATTCAAAAAAAGTCGTCTATATTCGTCGTAGCCCGTGTTCAAACCCGTTCGTGACGAAAGAAAAGAGGACCAATAGTAAAGTTTGCGTGTAAGAAGAGGACCCGAAAGACCTCGCAAGGTCCAGTATCCCGGATCCGCCCGTACGTAAATAGCATCCGACGCTTCATGATTCAGACGACGTGTTCGATGATCGACGCTGGTTCAGAATTCTTCAGGCGACGACGCTTCGGCCAACACCTGCCCCCCACCTGAGGCGGCGAAGACCGCCGCCGGAGGACCGAATAACTTCTCGTCCGCACGACGAAGAGTCTGCCACGGTCGAGGCGTTGACGCTTACTCCCGCCGAGAGGGCCTCCTGCCGTCCTACTTCGCGGCCGATCACATAGCCAGCGCCAAATCCTACCACGGACACCAGCACCACGACACCAGCGCTCACCACCCAGGTCAGCAATGTCGGGCTGATGAGGGCGTCGTCGCTCGCTGAGACCTTCTTCTTCTTGGCCGCCCTCGACGAGCGTGTTTGTGAAGAAGTGCGCTTGTGCTTCTCGACGCCCTCGCTCTTGGGCGACGAAGGGGCAGGAGGCGTTGTCGTTCTTGAACGCGCGGCGGGTGACTTGGCAGAAGGAGCGCCTTGAGCTTGGGTAGGTCTCTCAGCCATGAGCTCGGATTCGGGCATCAGCCGTAACTCAACAGGTTGAGAGCTAGGTCCGACTCCGGCGTGCGCCGGCGGAGCGCCTTGTCGCTCAGCGTCCTTATACTTGGGCAGACCACGGGCGGCAGCGGCGCAGGACAGCAGGGTGGTGAGTGAAGCGCGCAGAGCCGCGTCATTGTCGGCTTGATAGGCGGGAGACATGAAGTTCGGCGGTCCGCGATGGACTCTGGTCTGAGATCGCTGTGAGAGTGTAGGCCGTACGCCGCTGTGCGGGTGTTGGTGGATCGCCGAGTTGGCCGAGTGGCTTCTGTTCAAGCCCGATGGCGGGTGAGAAAAGGCATTTGGTTGAGGCCTGAAGACGGGATCGTCGGGAACACGTCCCAGGGCCGTGGCGATCTCGTCGCTGTCGTCAGAATCTCCCGACTCCTCTGGCACCTGTTGCTGTTGGTGGAAAGGCGCACGCACGGAAGGCTGGACGTTCTCGGTCGAGCTCGTCAGACACTGGTCCTCCTCGCTTTCGCTCTCCTCATATTCCTCCTGGCTGCTCGTGCCGGCATGGATGGCCGTCTGGTCGACGTGGAAGGACCGCGGCACGGGCTGGCTCTGGTGATGTAAGCGACGTCGGCGGGCTGCCATGGACCCGCCGACGCGAAGGCCCGTCGTGACGATCTCGTCGCCGATGGACGAGAGGGACGACGAGGATGGCTGCGATGAGATCTCGACCCATGATTCTACACGGTTTTGTGTGAGCATTTCGTCATCAACCTCACCGAAATGATGGTGTCCTTCCGGTAACTGACCGTCATTCCGCCTACGTGGGCCTACGGCGGGCTGTGCTCCATTCACCGACATCCTGCCGTTCTGGACGTTCTGTCCCGCGCGCTCGTTGCGCTGCTGTCCGTCCATCCTGATATGCTATTTTTTTTTTACGCCGTGGAAGAATGCGAAAAAGAAACAGCCGAGAAAGAAAAGAGCAAATGGTTCGTTCGTCGTGATCGTTGTCGTTGTCGTTGTCGAGGGAGGTGGATAGACGTGTGGGGGCTGCGTCCTCCGTCCGAAACCCCGCGTTTTGGAGATAAGATACGCTCGCGGTGGGATCTATTTAGTACGGGGTCCGAGGCTGTCTGTTCGCGCGCGATGCCGACGATGGTTCGAAAAAGTGCTGGTGTACGATGAAGCGAGGCAGAAGGCGGAAAGAAAAAAAGTTGAAGGTTAGGAGGGAAGGGTTGCAGCAGACCGCTTCAAACTATGGCTGGCTCACCAGGCACGCAGGGTCGGTGTGATGGTGTTGAGGCCCCGTCGCTGGCTGGCTGGCTGGGCCTTTGTGCATACGGCGAAGGAGGGGGAGGGGGCTTCTGTCCAAGGATTCCAAGCTTACGATACGGAGATGATGTACACCTGCGGCAGTCCTTCGCTGGCAAGGTACTTGCTGCCTCGCACCGGCGCCTATAAGTCCCGGGCACCGTACCGTGTCAGGTGCTAAGACCACCAACCACCACTATCAGCCAGCGCCGGCACGGCTGCAAACGGCGCGATAAGCACAGTACGATCTTGTCTGACATGGGATTGTGCTCGACATGGATGACGCTATCGTTACGGTCAGGGGGGGAGAACGAGACGTCGTGGTCGCCCATCACTTACCCCCCGTCCCGCCCCAGAACATCCCACCTACTCACTGTCCGGGCCGCCAAGTGCAGCATAGCAGGGGGTCAGGTGGGGTATACTTTGGCTATGGGAAGCGCGAGCTGCGCCCACCATTTAACCAGTCTGCAGCTTTAACACCGACACCGGCTCTTTGCACCGGCCACGCATTCCACGTCGACGCAGTGTAGAACTGCGGAGATGGTGCCGTTCGGTTGTGCTAGTGGTCCGCGACTTGCATCCCGCGACAAGGACGATCCCAAGACATGCCATGATCCTCGTCTTATAATCGTCCCCAAGTCATGCCAGATTCCACTGCCTTCGTCACCTCCTTTTCGCTCCACTGGCCACCCCAACAGATTGTGTCCGTTTCGCGCCTCGAGCCTCGAGGTCTTGGGCGGGAACATCGAACGGCTGAGCAGGTTTCTACCAACTCGTCTTGCTGACGAACGGGTGTTACCCCTGTGACCTTACTTGGTTGAGCAGGCGCGGGATGACCAAGGCACCAAGGGACGGGTGTTCTAGTCGGACTGGGCACACTTTAGGTAACGGCCTAGATTGGCCCGTCATCACGGGGCTGAGCAGACACCTCGTGCCGCCCAATGACGCACCGCTCGACGGGCAGCTGAGCACGAGGCTACAGTCGAATGGGAAGTAGAGTCGGGCCAGTGCTTGTTGACAGGAGAGACAATCACCACAATGCGGCATGAAACAGCCACGGGACGATCCAGACAGTTTTGGGGACAGCATCGCATTCATAGTCACGCTTCATGAGATAGGGACAGAGGTTTCATCGAGGAAAAACATCAAAACTTTTGTATTACAATAGGAGCCGATCCCTAAACGCCGGGTCCACCTGGCAAGTGCATTTGCCTTTTTTGAAATGACATTCACGGGGGAGAAGGTATACTTACTCCATTTTTCCTGCGTCGCATTGCATTGGTATCGTTCCAAGTTCAAGAGTAACCGTAACCGAAGGGAAGAGAAAAAACGCCTGACCAGCCACATCGACAGCCGAAGTCGTTGAAAGCAACCCCCAGAGCCCACAGAAGCCGTCGTCATCTAGAACTTTGAGTCCCCTCTAACGTGTCTGCAAATGTAAGACACTGAGATTCTTCCCCAGTTTCATGATAATAAGCCGTCTGCCCACTGTGAAGATGTTGCGAAGCAACACATGCCCTCTTGGTCAACCCACAATAGCGTACAGATCCCGCATCGTCTTCTCTCTCTCTCTATCTCTCATGGAGAAAGAGAAGAAGACTGCCACAAGCCCACGGTCCCAAATGAAAAGCCCTCAGGTCCATCTTGTCTCCGAAGAGACTGCTCTCAAAGCCCACAAACCCCGCAGGGAAGAAACTTGTCTCGAACCGACAGCCCACAGTAGCCCACAGGAATGCCCGCGTAATGCCCTCTGATTAACCATCATAAGTGTGCAGCTTGCGTCACCGTTTAGAAGGTGACCTTCTGGCCCTTGAAGTCGCCGAAGCCACCACGGTTGGTGGAAGAGAATCCACCGCGGCCGCCACGGCCGCCGCGACCACCGCGGTCACCACCGCCACGTCCACGACCACCGAAACCACCACGGCCACCGCCACGGCCACCACCGCGGCCGCCACCGAAGCCACCACCCTCACGCTGGGGCTTCTGGCCGGCAAAGTCCAGGCGGACAGCACGGCCGCTGCGACCCTCGCCAACGTACTGGCCGTTGAGCTGAGCGAAAGCAGTCTTGGCATCGTCAATAGAGTTGAAGGAAACGTAGCCAAAGCCCTTAAGGTTACCCGTCTCACTGGAATGTGTTAGTAAGTTGCGTACAAGGGCTTGGGATCATGGATTAACTTACGGGTCAGTGGGCAGGCGAACGCTAGTGACCTCAGCGGCTTCGCTGAAGAAAGCGCTGACGGTGTCCTGGTCGACGTCGAAAGGAAGGTTGCCGACGAAGAGAGTGTCACTCTCAGGAGAGACGGTGTCGCCGTGCTTCTGGGCGCGGTCGAAGGCGCGAGCCTGGGGGTTGCCGTCACCAGCGGGCTTCTGGCCAGAGAAGTCGATGTTCATAGCACGGCCAGCAAGCTCACGGCCTTGGGAGCCCTCGAGGGCGGCGGCAGCAGCCTCGGGGGTGGCGAAGTCGACGTAGCCGAAGCCACGGCTGCGGCCGGTGGCCTTGTCGGTGACAACGCGGGCACCGGTGAGGTCGGCGAACTCCTGGAAAGCCTCGTACAGGGAGTTGTCATCGACAGCCCAGGCAAGGGAGCCAACGAAGAGGGTAGAGCTCTTGTCAGAGATATCGGTGCGAGCCTTTTTGCCGGGAATGACAGGGTCGTCAAGGGCCTTGCGCTTCTTGGAAGGCTCCTCGGCCTTGGCCTCGGTCTCAGATGCTTCCTTAGAGTCGGAGGAGTCTTCCTCCTCATCAGAGTCAGAGGAGTCGGAGTCGGAAGTCTGTCAAGGCACCGTTTAGTGGGATGTACGAATGGAAGACTGCGACGGTGTAACTTACGGCTTCAGCCTTCTTCTCGGTCTTCTCGTCCTCAGAAGAGTCGGAGTCATCAGAGTCCTCCTCGGAGTCGTCGCTGTCGGAGGTCTCAGCCTTCTTAGCAGCGCCGTTGGTCTTGGCCTTAGGGGCCTCCTCCTCAGAGTCGGAAGAGTCGTCAGAGTCAGAAGACTCAGCCTTCTTGGCAGCCTTGGGGGCAGCCTTCTTGACGGGCTTCTCCTCCTCAGAGTCGGAAGAGTCGCTGGAAGCCTCGGCCTCGGAAGAGTCGGAGTCCTCCTCCTCCTCGCTGCTGTCGGAAGAATCCGAGTCGGACTCGGGCTCGACAACCTTCTTGGACTTCTTGGAAGCCTTCTCCTTGGAAGCGACCTCCTTGGCGATCGCCTTGGACTTGGCCTTGGGGCTCTCAGCGGCCTTGGCGACGCCGGCGTTCTTCACCTTGGTGAGAGGGTCAGCGGCCTTGCTGCCCTTGGTGGTAGACTTGGTCTTGCCCATTGTGAAGGTGTGAAGAAAATGTGATTGAGGGGGTATATGGGAGGAAGGGGAAGGGTTTGAAGGGTTGGAAAAGAGCGAGAGAAAGACTTTTTTCCAGAGAATGGTTGCACGAGGGAAAACTTCTGAGCAGCTTCGAGGCGGGAGCTTGACTTTTATGGCAAGGGTCCGGTGGTTGGGGCGAAGGGTCTTGCGACAGAGATTTTTTTTGCGATTTGCCAACTTTTCAGCGGGGCGGTCCCTCGACCGGTACGGGCGGTGAGCGAGGGGCTGCATGGCTGTGGGCCAGCAGAGTACGTACCGAAAGCCGCAGCCGAGACGCTCTGGGGAGCAGGCCGTGGGCCTGGAGCCTGCGAATTAAGGCCACCGGAATCTGGCTGACCTTTAGCTGCCGCCAGGTTCCTCCAATCCCGATAGCCATCTCAAACCCGGCCCCCGAGACCGACATCAAGAACCACAAGCTCAACCTCACGCCGCGCGACCTCCGACCCCGGTGACCCCGTTTCGTCCACTTCGAACTCACGTACCTTAAGGAGAATTTCCCTTTTCCAATTCGAACATAGCCGTCACGATGCCCACCCCCGAGTCTGATATGTTCCTGGCGCAGAAGCCAAAGGTGCCCCCAACCTTCGACGGCGTTGACTACGACGACACCAAGGCGTTCAAGCAGGCACAGGATGCCATCATCCGCGAGCAATGGGTCGGCGCCATGATGCTGCGTCTTGTCGGCGAGGAGCTGGGCAAGTGCTACAAGAAGGAGGGCGTTAACCACCTGGAGAAGTGCGGTCAGCTGAGAGGTTCGTTGGAGTCCTGCGGCGATGGGGTGGGAACCAATCGCTGCCAACCAGCGGAGATGGGCCTCTCGTTAGATACTAGTTGCTGACAAGAAGAAACAGAAAAGTACTTGGAGCTGCTGAAGGAGAAGAAGGTCAAGGGCACATTGTTCGAGCAGCAGAACTACATCAGCAAGCAATAGACGGGCCATGTTCTGATTGGGATGGATTTGGAGAGTTTGGGTACGGACCAGGAGACGGCGCTCTGATAGAGACCTCTTTCTACATCTGAAAGGGGAACGCAGAGACGAGGCCATGACGGTATTCACGTCAATTGGCCAGCGCGTGATGGGCCATATCCCTCACGATATGTACAAATGAATCAAACAAGGCTTCCGAGGTTATGCATCTATCCGTTGTGTCCGGGCTTTGCCATCCGTTTGTCCATGAAATGGCCAGCTTGGCTGGCGAAAAACAAATAACGGTCATTTAGCAATCCAATTGACCTTTTTCCATTGTCAGAGTGCCTAATTTCATTATACAATACCCCGACTGAAAGTTGAAGCTCCATAGAGGTCCTAGTACCTGAACTGCCTTCCATGCCAAGTGCGCAACAGGCACGTCCCGCCCGCCCCAGAATTTTTCCACTGCACCACAAGCTCAAGCTCACGCATCCTGCAACACCACCATAGTCGAGGTGATCCCCCCGACGACAACCAGCAACGCACACCGGCCGCAACACCTTGTCGCGCGCGTTCAACACCACAAAGCATGATTTGCAGAACATGCCTGCGGCGGGCCTCGGCTCTGCCCCGTCTTCAAGCCCCAAGGGCCGCCGCCGTCCTCGCCATCAGACCCTTCTCCCTCTCCACGCCATCAAGAAACGCAGCAGCAGCGGCCGATGACGGAACCAAGACGAAAGCGACCGACGTCCCCCCGAACCTCTCGACCCTTAAGGCCGACGCGCCGCCGTCCGAGCCCATCTCCTCGTGCCCCGCCGGCACTGTTCTCAACGGCCTGAACTACTTCAAGGGCCGGACCGACCCGGTCGCCCTCCGCGATGAGGAGTACCCCGAGTGGCTGTGGACGGTCCTGGAGTCCAAGAAGGAGACCGTCGAGTCCGCCGACGATCTCGCCGCCGAGATGTTCTGTATGTCAAACACCACCGCCGCAGGCGAATACCCTCGGCCACCACCTCCCTTCCCCATGAAAAAATCGGGCCATGGTCATGCTAACCATCATGCGAACCCATAGCCAAGTCCAAGAAGCAGCGCAAAGCCGCCGCCAAGCGTCAAAAGGCCATCGAGGCCAAGCTCGTCGCCTCGGGCGATATCGAGGCCCTTGCGCCCAAGGTCCCGCTGCCGCAGCAGTCCATCAACCTGCCCGGTGAGAAGGGCGGCGACGTCGAGCACAACCTGCACGCGGCTACCAAGAGAGACGAGCTGCGCAAGGCAATGCGCAAGGAACGCAAGGCCAAGATCAAGGAGTCCAACTACCTCAAGTCCATGTAAGGGGGCGGATGTGGTATCGGCGGTGGTTCTGCTGCGGTTTGTGTTGCCACTGCTGGCGTGGCAGCGTGCCTGTACTGGAGTTGTGTGTCATAGAGAGTCAAAAAGAAGGGACTATTGTACAATATCTACTGTCGGCATGGCCGGCTTGTCATATCATCACTAAAACATCATACCTGGAGGAACAACAAGAGACAGTTCCGGCAAGCGCCTTGGCTTCTGGTATTAAAGCTCGTAGACTTAGTCTTCTAACTGTACATGGCCGTGAAATATGTGCATGGATTGGCCTTTTGTAGGCGCTCGAGTCATCAGCATGGCGATGCTATCTCAGTGTTTTGGTGCTGCTCCTTCGGGACCTCGCCCGATGCGTCCGCTAGTCTTCATCCTCCTCCTGTTCTCCGATGGATGCTTGCTTAAGCGACAGCTCTGCTCTCAGATCCTTCAAACGAGCCTCGACGCGGTTCCTCAGAATCTTATTAGTCTGGTTCGACTTCTCTTGCTCCTTCTTCGCGATCTCGTTCTTTAGCTGCGTAATATCCTCCCGGACAGCCTTGACCTCGTCCAGCCGCTCTTTGTCGTCGTCATCTTCATCGTCGTCGTCGTCTTCGTCTTCCTCGCTCGCGACTGACTCCTCTCCGTCACCACTGTCCTGAGCATGGGGTGCGGGCGTGCCGGTGTTCATGGTCATCGGCGTAGCGGCCTCAAGTTGTGTTGCTGGCGTGCCAACCTCTGTTGTAGCCTGGTTCATCGCCTCCTCTTCGAAAGCAGCCATGAGCTCCGCCTCCAAGTCTTCGTCGTGTTCATCGAGTTCGCCATCGTTGTAGCCGTCAGCCGGGAAATAGCCGCTGTCGTCCGCCTCGCCGTCGGCGTCTTGCTCGTCTTCGGAATACTCGTCTCCAGACTGCATCTTTCTGTCGTCGACAAGTTCATACCTGGAAGACATGGCAGCCGCGTCGGCTTGCAGGAGCTTCTTAACCTCGTTTTCCTTTAGTTCGATCTCCGAGCGACTGATGATCTTGGCAAATCTTTGATTGGTAGCGTCGTGCATGGGTGGTGTCAGACCGTGTGGCCACTTGAAGCCGGGCTGAATCATCGCGGGCAACGGCGCCTTCTTCGCCTCGTCCTCGCTCCGTACCTGCTGGAATACGAGGAGCATATGGCAGATATCAGCGGATTTCATGAACGTCTTCCGGTCCCAAGACTTCATGCCTTCCGTAATCGTTGGCAGTTCCACCATGACGGCGGCGTAAGGTTGGCCCTTCACTACCACCATGGCGCGCCGGCTCTCCTCGTCGAAGAATTTCATCAAGATGTCCGCGCCGCCATCCTTTCTAGGAATACCGACCTTGCCTTCTTCGATGCATTTCCTGACATATTCGCAGTGCTCACCGGGCATCATGCGCAAAATAAACTGTTCCTCGATTGTAGGGTCTTTCTCCTGGTCACTAGCCTCCGAGTCGTAACCATCACCGGGTGGGTGGACTGGCGGTTTGCCCTTTGACTTGACGACTATATGACCTGTTCTGGGTGTCGACACAGTCGGTGTTTTTAAGAGCTTGATCTTCTTCGATGGCTGGTTCGTGCCATCGTCGTCCTCGTCCTGTTCCCGTTTTTTGGACTCGATGAGCTTGCTTGTAGGCTTGGGTTGTCGTCCAGCCTTCGTCTTGGATGGGGTAGGCGCCGCGGGCCCAGCTGGTGTCGGCGGTTGTGAAGGTTTCAGTTTGATCTTCATGGATGAGGATGGCGTCGAAGCCGACGGCGTCGCGCCATTCTGTTCGCTGAACGAGGGTTGTCGCGAGCCTACGCTTAGCTTCAACTTCGGCCGCGGCGGCGGAGCGCTGATGTCTGGCATCTCCCGAAATCGTATGCCGATCTTTCGCTTTCGTTTGCGGTTTCTCTGGCTAGAGACGGTTCGAGTGGTTTGTCTCGATGAATGTCAGGAAAGGATCTCGAAACCGAAGTGGCAGGCGCGCCTCGATCGTCGCGGGGAGTTAGGTGGAGCGCATGCGGATATTCTTGGGTAGCAGCAGCTGGGGGGGGAAGATGATTCTTATATGGCGTTAATATAAGCAGGGGATTGAGGTTTTTTGTCAAGATTCAGGGTAGAAAGAAAGGTGAAGATTCACTGGCGAAAGGCGGCAAGCAAATCTAGGAGGTCGGTGCCTCAATTCTGGAAGGCGCAAGTGAGGTATCGGACCACGGTACTTGGGCAGGTACCTCCTCACCCTGGAAGGTACTTTTTGCTGGGGAAGGAGCGAGCGAACAGCCTTGCAGGTCGCGTGTTGTAAGTTTTAGCGTGACAAACGCCTACGCCTACGTCGCGCCTATCTCCACCCATGGTATCTACCTTATGCCGCACAGACGTTGTTCTTTCACCACCACCGACTGGCAACAAAGCTTGGCAATAAACCGGAAAGCTACCTTAACTGTGAACGCCTACTCATCCTGTCGCATCACTGCATTCTTTGTCTGGCTTGGCCTGGTCCTAATGATGCAACCGCTAGCTTATTAATGTCTCGAATGTTCCATTTTTTCCTATGTTGGTTGTCGAAAAGTCAATTTGGACTTCATGTCTTTATTAATCACACGCTTCGTTCTGACTCTGGAGTGTTCTACTATAAGATGAAGCACCAGACTACCGGCGTTCATCAACAAGCTTCTGGCCAGCATTGTACTCCTCAGTAGCTCCTAGAAGGAGAAAGAGAGTGTTAATGAGTCGGTTTGGGCGAGAGCTCGCTCTTAATTCAGGTATATTGGGGATAACTACATCACGACGATCCGCAACTTTGGCTTAGAGACCATTGTCGTCAGACCAAAAGATAGCTAGCCGACCAATCTGCCGTATAGATGTTCGCCTATCTCACCATAGTACTATATAGGAGCAGTAACTTGTCGCGTTTCTCGTTGATGGAGTGTCCATAGGAAGGGCGGTTCGTCGTGAAGTAGTCGTCTTTGGGGATCCCTGCACAAGGCATGTGGTCAGTGTTGAAGCCCGCGCATAAACCTACCTTTGAGGTGGGTTAGGTGGGTTTCTACTCCCCTTTTCGAGCTGCGTAGAATGGCTCGAGAGTGTTTGATTGCGTCGATGACTGGAAGTAAAACCTTGGATCGACCCAATTCTGATAACGCGGATCAGCTTCATGATCACGGCAGGTGTGGGTTTCGTGTGCACCAGCTTGGGGGGAGGCATAGAACTGGGGGCGGGCTGAGCGAATCTCTGCTCTATCTTTCTTTCTGAAAATAAAATCTGTCAGATTTGCCATTTTGAAGAATGACATCAACAGACCAGTTTAAGTAGTTTTGGGCATATTTCATGGTTTCCAGAACATAAAAGTGTAACATAGATGTTAGTGGCGCAGTCCCAGCCTACACTTGGATCTGTGTCAAATATTACAATACACACCAGGCGATTTGTCTTGAGGGAGCACATATGTGAGAGCCCAAGAGTCCGTACTGTATAATTTTGATCGTTGCAGTGGCATGCCTTTCTGCCGACGGTCAAACAAGTCAATGTTTCCAATGCGCCCTAGCCACACCTTCTATAGCGCCAAGGGAGAATGAACAACTGTCCAGAATAAAGACTCTCGACACTCGATCTCGTACGATTTCTTTACTTGTTACTTGGGCTTCGCGGTCATCGCTATCTCGGCTAATACACATTATAGACAAAGAGAAATGGACCGCATCCCTTCATTGCCACCAGACCTCCCCCCAACTCTACCGAATTATTCCTGATACCCCCTTTTCACAAGACAGTGAGTGTAATGGCTGCTACCACAGCACTCAAGAGAGCTGCAACATAGCCGCTCTGAGTCGTCCTGCATCCCGCAGAGATAGGGTTGAGCCCAGCCGGAGCGGTTGTCACCGCGAAGAGCCCACCAGTGGGCGCCACAGCGCCGACAGCCGTGGCCAGCACCATCGACGTCATCAGAGAGGACGGCAAGGTGATGATGGGGGCAAGGGGGCGAACGGAAGTCGTCTCACCTCCAGACACAAGCTGTGGTTGAGCTGTTGGCTGGACATTTGGTGCTGATGTATCGGACCCAGAGCCACCAGAGCCACTGTTTCCTGAATTATTGTCGCCGGAGCGGCTACCATCTCCATTGCCAGAGCCACTGCCGGAACCAGTCCCGGAGCCACTGCCAGAGCCGGATCCACTGCCGCTTCCGCTGCCATTACCCATTTCATTGCCTTTGTCGCCGCCTTTATCCCCTCCAGTCGAGGGCGTCTCTTGAGCTTGCCCACCTGAGCCGGCTGAGCCACTCATGGTCGGCGTAGGTTCAATAGACTGAATCGGGTTCAGGGGTGCGAGACCAGTAGGCGAAATTTCACTCGAAGGCAGGTTGCTGTTTGAACCCGCTGCTGAGGAGGGCATAGAGGGCTGAGGTTGCGGGGAAGCGACGGGAACGGGAACGACCGCAGCCGGCTCGGTAGCCGGAACGGCCGGCACACTAGCGGGAGTGCTAGTATTCAGTTGCGGAAGAGTAGCCATCGGAATACTGGTATTCAGCTGCGGAAGAGCAGTGACCGGAGTGCTAGTATTGAGCTGCGGAAGAGTAGCAGCCGGAACACTAGTATTGAGCTGCGGGAGAGTAGCAATGGGGATACTGGTGTTCAGCTGTGGAAGGGCAGCGGTCGGTGTGCTAGTATTGAGCTGCGGAAGAGCTGCGGTTGGGGTGCTGGTGTTCAGCTGCGGAAGAGTAGCAATTGGAATACTGGTATTCAGCTGCGGAAGAGCAGTGACCGGAGTGCTAGTATTGAGCTGCGGAAGAGTAGCAGCCGGAACACTAGTATTGAGCTGCGGGAGAGTAGCAATCGGAATGCTAGTGTTCAGTTGCGGAAGAGCAGCGGTCGGAGTGCTGGTATTCAGTTGCGGAAGAGTCACGATCGGAATGGTCTGTACAGGAGCGGACGATTCCGGCAGTGCAATACTCGTACGGTTTGCCGGGACTGGAGCGGCAATCTCAGCTGGCTGCGAAGAAGTAGTCGGTGCCTCTGGAACAATGCTGGTGAGGTTTGCTGGGACCGAGCTTGTAATCTTAGCGGGCTGAGTAGTGACAGGAACCAGAATCGGGGTTGGCGTCTGTTATATGACATTAACACAATGCCGATGCAAGTTCATGGCTGGGTAACTTACTTCAGCACTCAGGATAGCTGTCTGGTTGTTGGCAACCGGAAGGGTGGAGACGGACTCAGGCGTAGTGGAAGCCTTGGTAACTTCAGAAGTAGCTTTAGTAGCCTCAGGGGTTGAGGTCGTCTTAGCTGGGTCAGGCAAAGACCCCGACTTCAGGTCCTTGGGTGCTGCGGAGGAAGTGGATGAAGGTTGAGGCTGAGCTTTGTCACCATTTCTTGCAGTGGTTGAAGTAGAGATCGTGGTGTCCGCTTCACCGGCTTTGCCGTCCTTGGGGGAAGAAACCTTGGCCGGAGGGGCTTCGACTGGCGCAGACGGAATCGGAGTAGCCTCGGAAGAGGTAGCCACAGCGGGAGTAGACTTGGCAGCAGTTGACTTGGCCGGTGCAGATGTGGCAATGTCAGACTTCTCAGGAGCAGACGTCTCAGAAGCAGACTGAGCTGGGGCTGTCTTGCTAGACGTAGCTTCGACAGGCTTACTCTTTACGGATGAACTTTCAACTGATGTAGATTCAGCGGCAGTCGATTCGGTGGGAGTAACCTCTGCGGCGACGAAATTGGCAGGAATGGCCTTGGGTGGCAGAGCCCCAGAGTACACGACCTTGGGAGGACCAGCGGCCACAGTTGAGTACTGAACCTGGGCCTCGTCCGCCCCGAGGATCGTCTGGACGACAGGCTGCTGGGTAAGCTGGTTGATCTGGAAAGGCTCGGATATGACGACGGCCTGGGCGGAGTCGGTGATGATGATGGCGAAGTGTTCGAAGGCTGTAATAGAGGCGCTTGGGCTCCAGTTCAGACGGCCGATGTTGTCGATTTGCACTATAGAGCCTGTCAGTTTCAAGACATTCGTGTCTTGATATAAGAGGATGTCTTACCCCCAATCTTTTCGGCAACAACAGACAGGTCCGTCTTGCCGCCGGGCACAAGATTGATGTTGATGGGTGCCTGAAGACCTGTCGTCTGCCACTCGATCTCGAACTGCTGGTTGGGTTGTAGAACGTCTCCTCCCCTAGGCTTCGAGATTTGTGCTTCGCAAAGGGCAATGCCCAGCACCAGCACCAGTGACTTTGTGAACCACATCGTGTCTTGGAATTATTGGTTGAAAATAAGAGGACGTCGAGCCTATAGTCCACCGATACCGAGAGCCTTGTGCCGAACCGAACGATGAATTAAAAGAAGGAAAAGAGCCGACTAGGGCCCGCGGGTATCAAGTTCGAAGGAGTGTAGCGAATGGACTTGCTTGAAAAGAAGCTGACCTGCAGACCGGGTAGAAGAGAAAAAAGGAAGGTATTCCGAAAAGACCGATAGTAGACAGAATCGAACGTGAACTGCAAAAAAGAACGGAACGAGAAGAGAAAGGAAGAGTCACGATCGGATGGAGAAACAGACTGGATGCGCAATTAGGGGGGACCACCTCAAAAGCGCTCCCCATCCCAATAGACGACGTTTTCATGATGGAGCACTCTCTCGTGTGTAAGCCGACCCTTGACGCTGGAAGGTTAAGGGGTGCTCCTCCGTGACAGACTTCCCCAGAACGTCATCCTATGCCGAGGAGTAAAGGCTGGGCAGGGGTGATGGGGTCGTCTCATCGGCCGACACACGCTATGACGAGAAGGGCGAGCAGCGGCACATCTGAACTGCTTGATGGAGTGGGCCTGGCCAAGGCCATCAAATCGACCCGAAGCTTAAGAAGCCTATTTCTTAATGGGCTTATCCACCCGGAACCGACTTAAGCACTCGATGGAATGCGAAACGCCATGGTGAGGGGCGGCGATGGAAGTCGAGGTGGATGATTTCGCAAAACAGGCGAAGTGTGGCTTTCGCGACCACCCGAGGCTTGCTTCATCGACTGCTGCTAACCAGCTAGGCGCCCTCTCTCCACTAACCACTTGGTAGCGTGCCGCATTGTGCAGCAGATGCAGTCTGGTACTCCAATACAGTGTCAACAACGTCTTCATAGTCTTGCTCGTAGCTCCATGGAGCTTCGTCTTAGGCTTGGATTTAGGCATGAGATCTGGCAAGGAAACGCCCGCGACCTCGGACAGCTCGACGGGTCGCCTAGTATCACACAACCGGTTTTCGTCCAATCTCGTGGCGATGAACCCCTGCAGAACCCATCAATCGAGCTGTCGAGAAATCGGATGTCTGGATGACAGAGGAGCTAGTGTCGTCAAAAAGCTGCGGCTGAGACATCGTTCCTGGGGTTGATCAAACCTAAACTTCTTGCTCGGAGCTAAGCGAAGATGCGGTACCTTGTTAAGAACAACAATGCCGAGCCAGCTGATGCACTAACAAAGCGCACTGACCACTTCCCCTGTCCACGCAAACCGGCGGTTCTAGGATGAACCGCCATGTATCACCATTTTCCCCGTGTTTGACCCTATCGCCTTTCGACTCCATGGCATATGCTGGGCTGTGTATGCAATGTGCTATCCGTGGATGCGACGGCTTCGCGTTATTCCTGCCAAGGTACAGTTGGTACCGATGAGCCGCAACAATCTTGTTGATTGGCTGATCGGGGGTGGCTGAAGTCCGATTGAGCTGATAAAATTGCATTGCACCTGGGGCGACGGTCATGCATTCTGTGACCAGATCGGGGCCACTGAAAATGCTTGGTAGGACGGCAACCTTCCGGTCCTTCTAGAATCATTGAGTACAAGTGGAATCAGTGAGCGAGATTGGCAACGTAGATGGGACCTGAGAAGGCCTGGTTCTTTCCATTCTTCAAACCGTGTTATACCTTACAAACCCTTGCACCTGTCAACGTAAAAGCCATAACAATAGGACCAACTGTGGACTTCGACCACGTTAAGCCAGCCACCAATCCACCTAAAATATACAGTCCGTTCCCTGTCCGAGGCGCGTCTGCCGGTCTTATCTAGAACAATGATACGAAGTACTTTTGTTCTCCTTAGGCACCACCCTCGGACTGGTTTCCTGGCGTGTTGGTACTAGATACACCGTGGAAAGCATCGCCGAAGGCAGAATCCTCCATTTCCATGTTCATGTCCAGGCCGTCTCCTATGGATGCTCCATAACTAGCCATCGCGTCACCCGCCGAGTCGAGGTCACCCAGAGAACTGAAGCCGCCAGGAGTTTGGGTCTCCGCTGGCGTTCCGGCAGCGGATGATGCTTTGGCAGCTGGCTTGGGTTCATCACCCTCGGTCGCGCCGGTGCCGGCAGCAGCAGCGGGGTCGGGTGACGTACCTCCCTTAGGCACGACCACCCACTCCCCGCTGCCAGTCCCCTGATCAGGCGCAGTGGCAGAAGTATCCTTGGTAGACTCTGTGTTGCCCATCGTAACATCCTCTCCCGGGCCAGCAGAAGCGCCAGTAGAAGCCTGAGCCTCAGTCTCCTCGGGGATGGTCGGAGGAACTGGCGCAGGCGAGGGAGCGTTCGCGTTGGCTGGGGTTCCGGCCGTTGAGTTTAGAGCAGACACGTGAGTTTGAGGCGTAGGGAAGTTGTTCAGTGGAGTGGAGTTGGCAGAGAATCCGGTGTGCATCTCATCCAAGAGTCCTGCCGCAGTACCGCCCATGTCGATGTCTGAATCGCCAACCATCACCCCGCTATGGGTAGAGCCAGCCTGGGATGGTCGTCGCGATCCCGAAGCACCTGCATCGGCGCCGGCTGCTGGCGCTGGAGAGCTTGCCGGCGGCGGGACGGGCGAAGGCTCCTTGACGGGCTCCGGAGCGGGCTCCTGGAATCCACCGTCTTGTATCCGGTGTACGTTATGAAGGACTTCAATTTGTCGGCCGAGGTTAGCTTCGACCTGAGCGACAATCTCGTCAACCTTCTTGTTGTGTTTTTGTGACCATGAGCCAGCGTTATCGTCTGATTCTGTGGAGTGGCCCTCGATGCGCCATGGCTCTGGACCATGCTCCTGGACAGAGTTCTTGACATCCTTCTCGGCGTCCACAAATACCGAGCTCGCCTTCAGGCTAGCCAGGTTCTTCGCATGTTCCGCCTTCATCCTTTCCATTTCGGCCTTTGTTGCCTCAAGATGCTCCTGGACTCTCTTCCTAAACTCATCAGCCAGCCCGGGCTCTAGGCGCCCAATGTACGGCTTCTGAGGTGGTTCAGTGAGCGCATTCGCACTCTGTGCAGAGAAGATGCCGTCAGTCAGAGACGCCAACTCTCCCTTGAGCCCAAGGCCAAGATCAGGAGGTGCGATCTGGCTTAGGCCGTAAGGAGAAGACACAATCTCCTCCATCCACTCATGGTTTTGCTGGTATCGCGCGAAGGAGATATCTCTAGGGGTCAGGTGGTCAAAGAGATCCTTCTCCAGTTCCTCATCGTCGTGCAAAGCCTCAGCATGAGCGAGAGCTTGTTGATGCTGCTGGGCTTGAGCCTGCACCTGTGCTTGTTGGCGGCCACGGCGACCCTGAGGACCAGTGGGAGGATAGGCCATCTGCTGCGGGACACGCCGCGACTGCGCTGGTGGGTTGTACATCTGTGGTCGCCCACCGTTGCGGGGGAACTGGATTTGGGGCCAGCTGGCGCGATCCGAGAGCATAAAATCCTTGCGGGCAATCTGGCCGCACTTCTGGAGATGGTTGCGGGTTGCCATGATGTGCTGCGTTTCTTGCGAAACGGGGATCAGGTTGACCGGAACGCGATCGGGAGGGTCTGAAGGACCATAGTGCACAATCCAGAGACTAATATCAGGCTGCGGCGCATTCATCACGCCTGTCTGCGATGGCACAAGACGGAATCTACGACGAGCATGCATGGCAACCTGCTCACCCGGAACGAATCCAGACTTGACGTAGTGAATCTCGAGAGACTGTAGCCACGGTCAGTTATTGCATCAGTAATGCAATGGATATCCATACCAGTCCATTTCCAACATCCTGTCTGTGGTATTGCTCTGGGCCCCAGATCATCCCATCACTCGCGAAATTTGTTCCGAGCCGCTTGAGGGGTTGCCATGTGAGATATACTTGGCCGTCGCGGGGTCGATCGAGGTAGGTCCAGAAGAACGGAGCCTTGTCTTTCGCAACTTGGGGTGCAGCCATCAGCCATTTTGTGACTTGATTCAGATCGACGCGTGCCTGGTCGGCATAGTGGTTGGCAGAAATGAGGTGAGCGTGATTCAGCTACATTTTCATGAGTAATGATTCATTCACGGTAAATAATGGTACTGCTACTGACCAGCTCCTGATCAATTCCATCACTCGGGTCCTGCGCCATGGTGGATCGCGGTCGAGGACGCAGGGTGTAGTGCTGTGGGTTGGATGGTGCTGACGCGCAATATTTTAGGGCGGAAAGCAGAGAACTGCTGCATCAGTGTGCGGTTATGATTAGGAAGGTTGATGGTCGCGGAACAAGCTCGATGGGTGATGTCGCGACGAATTGGAAGGCTGTGTTTGGTGATGAATTGGCGTGTAGGTCGGTTCGCGATCCCCAAAATTGTCGCGACGAGGCTACGGCGCCTGAGAAGATCCTGGCTATGCCGTAGCCAATCAAGGTTGCGTTGGTCATGGGGGCCGTGCGCACATGTCCCTCAAAAAGTACCTAGTCATTTCATCGTGTCTGGGTGCTTAGTCATCGAGAACAAGCGGGAGCTCTCCTCGTCCGCATTGTTCTTCACTTAACCTTTAGTCCCAAATGCTTCTAATGTGCTACAAGGGGACCGGGTAAGAATAGATAACAAGATTGAGAGACTGGCAGAGAGATAAGTGGCCAACTCTTAGTGCCGTCTTAACACCGAATCATCGGCCCAATTTAACTTCCATTAGTCGGACTCGGTCGGGGGAGGCCCCGGGTCTCGCAGCATGTTATCACAACCAAGCAACGAAAGTCACATCTACAGGCAATGGTGGTGTATGTTTCTACCAATTACGTGGAATCATTTCATTTCATTCTCCTGGCACCATTATACCAGGCATCATAGCGTGCCCATTCCTAAAGTCTACTCGTAACCCATACAGAAACCTTTTATGCGTTATAGTTGGAAGCAGAGACGTTGCCTCCGCGGCCAGTCCAGTTAACGTGGATGTCCTGGCCCTCAGGATAGCGCTCGGATGACGCCTCTGGCTTCACACGGAATGTGTGTGCGCCAAAATAGTCACGCTGAGCCTGGAGGAGGTTGGCGGGGAGGTCCTTGGTACGGTAACCATCGAACCAGGACAGCGCAGTAGAGAAGGCCGGGGTCGGGATTCCGAGAAGGGCAGCCTTGGAGACAACGTCTCTCCAGCCAGGCTGGGCAGTGTGGATAGCCTTGTTGAAGAAGTCGTCGAAGAGGAGGTTCTCGAGGTCGGGGTTGTTGCGGTAAGCGTTGGTGATGTCCTTGAGGAAGACGGAGCGGATAATGCAGCCACCGCGCCACATGAGGGCGATGGAGGGCTTGTTGAGCTTCCAGCCGTACTCCTTGGCAGCCTGTAGTATGTACTGTTAGTACGTGGCAACTCAGAAAGGATGTTGTTGTTGATGCATACCTCCTGCATGAGCATGAAGCCCTGGGCGTAAGAGACGATCTTGGAGGCATACAGAGCCTGCTCAAGGTCGTCGATGAACTGCTCCTTGTTGCCCTCGAACTTGCTATTGCGGCCGACGTACGACAAAAGGGTAGAAGCCTTGGTGCGCTCCTCCTTGATGGCGGACAAGCAGCGGGCAAGAACAGCCTCGGCAATGAGGGTGACGGGCATGCCCAGGTCGAGGGCGTTGACGGCGGTCCACTTGCCGGTACCCTTCTGGCCAGCCTTGTCAAGGATCTTCTCGACAAGAGCAGTGCCATCTTCGTCGTTGTAGTACATGATGTCGCGAGTAATCTCAATCAGGAAAGAGTCCAAGACACCCTTGTTCCACTTAGCGAAGACATCACCGATCTCCTTGCTGGAGAGGCCAAGACCGCGCTTCAGAATGTCGTAAGCCTATAACGGGTGTTAGCAGTAATAACAGACGGATCTTCATGCGGATATACCTCGGTGATGAGCTGCATGTCACCATACTCGATACCGTTGTGGACCATCTTGACGTAGTGGCCAGCACCCTCGTCACCGACCCAGTCGCAGCAGGGCTCGTTGTCGCTCTTGGCACTGATAGACTGGAAGAGGTCCTTGAGGTAAGGCCAGGCCTCCTCGTTACCACCGGGCATCAAGGAAGGGCCGTAGCGGGCACCCTCCTCACCACCGGAGACACCGGAACCGACAAAGCGGATTCCCTTAGAAGCGCAGTACTTGGTGCGGCGGTTGGAATCGGGGAAGTGAGAGTTACCACCATCGATGATAATGTCACCCTTCTCAAGAAGGGGGATAAGGGTCTCAATGTAGTCATCGACGGCCTTGCCGGCCTGGACGAGCAGCATGACACGGCGGGGGCTCTTGAGCTTGGAAACGAACTCCTCGATGGAGTGAGCACCGACGATAGACTTGCCCTTGGCCTCGTTGGCCAAGAATCTGTCGACCTTGGAAACAGTACGGTTGAAGGCAGCGATGGTGAAACCGTGCTATACAAAATCGTCAGCGACCTGTGGGAGGATTAACAGCATATGTGGGGGTTGACAAACGTCGGCAGCGTTCAGGATAATGCTATGTTATTTGTTAGCGCACAATTCATTTCGGGAGTAGAGTCGAGACACTTACTTCTGACCCATGACGGCCAGGCCGATGAGGCCCATATCAGCGCTGTGATGCATCGTCAGCTTCAATGTTCAGGGGTCGGAGGTGAGTAATCAGTTGCGAGAGAAACGGAGCGGGACCTCGGAGCAGGCACAACGCCAGCCACAATGTTGGCCAGACGAGCGCTGCATTGCGAGTATGAGTATGTTGTTGTGTCGATGTTGAATAGGAGGAGCTAGTAGCTTGTGGCCAACGTCCATTGGCACCTCCCATAAGCCCGCACCGAGTCCGAAGCAACACGACGGACGCCGACATGCGCGAATTGGCAATCATCATCGCCGTCGTCGTGAGCATCGGAGGTCAGGAGCGGGGTGGTGGGGTAATTTGGCTTTCGAGAGAAGAGGGGTTGGAAGCGGACGGAAACTACTTACACAGGTCCAGACATGATGAATGATGTGTCGGTGGTTCAATGTGGGGGGGTTGTTTGATAGAGGAGAGGTTCAGACGCGCGATTCTCTGATGACTGCGGGAGCGTCGAGTTATTTATCTCAAGGGAATGTGTCAAGAAGAAACAAGAAGCTGGAGCTTTCGTCAACCCGGACGAAGTTTGTAGGGGGAGGGTCGACGGAGGGGTAGGATGGGAGGGGGGTTTGCGTTAGTGGCAGGGGCCACCCTGACAAGCGCCAGATGTGCACACACTCCCAGACCTCCCAGTCAACCAGTCCAGTCCTTCCCACCAAGTTACACCAAACCCAGCCCGGTGCTTCGCCAGTGGGCAAGCCCACGGCTGACTTCAACCTTTTGCCTTTGGGGGTGGGAATGGAAATCAGTGACAAAGACTGGGCAGAAAAGCGGGACTGGACGGCCCCGACGACGGTCGACAGGGCTGCTTTGACGGCAGGCCTGACTTGTAGCGATTGGCTTTGTTGGCGGGACAGAGCCAGAGCTTACTCATGGACCAGGAAGTACCGTGCTAGTATCCTGCATCTTGCATCCCACTTTCTGTTCCAGCACTTCCGTACGGATACCTGTGTACAGTAAAGAAGACGGACACATACATCACCACCCAGACGTGGAGCTCCATCAAGGCCCTCACCCCACCCCCCATTGGACGGCTTGTCATGGAGGGGCAGATATGACGATGGTCTCCTGCTACCTCGTGTTTCCTGTGTTGCTCAACTCCTCCCCAGCGTTGATTTTGGTCAACTCTCGCAGAATCTCTCGTCTCTTTGCGCAAGGGGAAAGCAGCTTCAGACACCACCGAAATTCAGGCACAATACAGCATCAGCCACCTCTGTGTACTTACAGTAGCGACTCCGGCGTCGGTACCACGGTTGACGCATTGTGCCATAGGCCGGCCCGCGCGGCGGATGGCGGCCCAGCAACGACCATCATGCTTGCTCCACGCCGGTGGTGTTTTAGTCAAGCAGCGCGCCAGCCTGACGCAGCCCGTCGTGCAAAAAGGCGCTTCTGGATCCGTCCAGTTGTGGTCCGATTCGGCGATAGGCACCGTTTCCTATTGGTCACCACGGGTGTGTCTCACACTCTGGATGTTCCAGGGAGCTGTGCGACTCCGGTATTCAAACTCGATGCGTCAGACCCTGACGTTTCGCAACTCACGGCCGCGGAGGAACACACTGCGCTCGGTCTAACAGGGCGCGGGGGCCTGCTTAACGGGAAATGCTAACATGCGCGCGCGTTGCCTGCCTGGCGGCATATATTATCTCCCTCCCAACGGAGCTCCGGTACTTGCTCATTCTCAACTCGCTTCGCTTCGCTCGCTCCTGGACTATCGTGGGTGGCAGGGGGCCATAGAAAGAGATGGTGTCTAGTCGCTCGAAATATTCCTCGAGGGCCGCCCTGCACGCACCAACATGTGCCTCTTGCCACGGACTGCATTCGAGGCCATTCCGCTTGATCAGCATTAAAAATACCCCCGTGCTCCGGGCACTTCCTGCAGCAGAGCTTCGAGAAGCTACGGGTGCCGTTGAGTCCCAAACGAATGTCGCGCTGTCGCGGTTCGTTCAAAAGCGCATCCTCGGCATCTCGTCTGAACGCGGAGAAAACACGGATGAAGGTGCAGCTTTTTGCTACGGTACCACCAGCTCACTTGAGCAATGAGTGAGCAATGGCAACAAGATAACGCATGCACCTCGCGTTTACTATCCCTAGCAGGCGGGTAGCGGGCCTTGCCCGGCATACGCGACAAATCAACTATGCGCTTCAATGGTGTGCAGAGGCAGTCGGTCCCAACCAAACCGAAGCTGGCCGTAAGGAACCCCTCTGATTCCTCCAGTTGGACTGCTTGGCCGAGCAAGCAACTCAATTCATTGGGTTCGTTGAGACCCACGTCCTCAGCAGAAGGGACAGAAAATATCGCACCTCCATCTCCCAAGGTACCTCAAGGTGTGGACGGAGGCAGACAGCGACGGTAGATCCGCGCTCGCTGCTCACAAATCGACACATCTGGCTCTGACATAGGAAACGAGGGGCAACCTCAGTTGCAGTGGGGGTAAACCGCCGCCTTCGGGCCTAGGGGCGGTCGCACGACCCGGAGTCGTCGGTTGCGAACTCCGCTAGAGCTCCGCTGTGAATCCACGCGCATTATTGATTGGCATGGACCCGACCGTGGGAAAACACAGCGTTGGAGGCCATGATGTCAGTCAGCGATTCAGCGGCGTAACACCGAACAAATGCACCAACAATTATCCGCTATGTCCGTATGGTCATGTCCGACGGATAAAATGCAGCTGATGCAGGAACAAAATGCGATGGTGAGTTGGTCTCGGTGGTGACAAACTCAGCTAGGCGGAGCGAAGCAACAGGGCCGATATCAAATGGCTCAAGACGGAAATTCCGTCCTTGTTTTCCGCCTTTGACTTCCAGATCAGACTTGGCGTTGGCGGCCTGGGCTGCACGGAGGACCTCGGGGTTCGACGGGCTTACTTAAGCAATGTCGTTTGACTGACGGCAGTTGCGGTCCCGGCCCACACGGGAGAAACTGCCAAGGTTATTATTGCTGGCCTGTAGGTAGGTACCTAGGAGCGTAGCGGGGTCATATTCTGCACGTGACTCTATCGGACTTAGCCACCAGCCACATCGGCTGAACGCCTTCGCCGAGGCTGAAGCACTATCGTCATATTTTCTCCGATTCCATCACCAACAGACCATTCTCTGCATTTGCGCCAGCTCCGATAAACAGCACGTGCACCGTCGGCAATAGCAAACAGCAAAGGAGATCTTGACTTCTTTGAGCGGGAAATCCCAGGCTCAGAGGTACGTTGCCACAAAAAAAGCTTTCAAGCAAGCCCACGCGACTTGCCCGAAAAACACCTTCAAAATCCGCAGTTCATTCATCATGGCCTACCCGCCCCCTCCAGGTATCTCAAGCGGGCCTTCCACCGGCAATCCGCCCTCTCACCCCTCTCTGCCCGCGCGGCCACCCCCGTCCAAGACTTCCGGAGGTTTCAAGCCTGCCTTCAAGCCCGCTTTCGGCGCGGCAGCCTCTCCGGCAGCGCCCAGCTACTCGAGCGCACCGAGCTACGCCAGCGCTCCCGCCGCCAACTATGGCACCTCCTACCAGTCCTACCCGCAACACTCCTCGCCCGCGGTAGCCGGCGCCGGCCCCTATCAGGCACCACCCTCCTCTTACAACCAATACCCACAAGCCGGCGCCGGCTACGGCCAGGCCACGAGCTACAATGCGCCGCCTTCAACCTACGGCGCCGCGCCGCAGATCCGGAACCCGTTCCCCGTCCCCGGCAGCGCTACCGACTACGATCCCGACATGGCGATGCAGATAGCCCAATGGCAGAGCGCATATAGTTCCCGGGACGCGACGAGCAGAGACGCCGTCAGCGGCTCCGGCGGGCGTGGCACCCCCGCGACAGGCAGCTCTGCAGCAACCCCCTCCGCCATCCCCGACCCCGCAGCAGTCGCCGCGGCAGCGACAGCGGCGAACCAGCCCCTCGAGCGCAAGAAGACCGTCGTCCGAGAGGGCGGCGGCAAGAAGTGGACGGACGACACCCTCGCCGAATGGGACCCGAGCCACCTGCGCCTCTTCGTCGGCAACCTCGCGGGCGAAGTGACGGACGAGTCCCTCCTCAAGGCGTTTGCGCGGTGGCAATCCGTGCAGAAGGCGCGCGTCATCCGTGACAAGCGCACCGCGAAATCAAAGGGCTACGGCTTCGTCTCCTTCAGCGACGCCGACGACTTCTTCCAGGCCGCCAAGGAGATGAACGGCAAATACATCCAGAGCCACCCCGTCACTGTCCGGAAGGCCAACACGGAGATCAAGATCACCAACGTCAAGGACAAGGACCACCACAACAACCGCAAGAACAAGAACAAGAAGCATTCCGGTAACGGCGGCGGCGGCGGCGGAAACAAGCACGCCGGCGACGGGACCGGATATGAGCCCCACCTCGGCCCCGTGCATAGTCACGGCGTCACCAAGCCCGGACAGAAGACCAAGAACGGTCTCAAACTGCTTGGATGAGCGTTTCCGCCGGTACAGTGTAGTTCTGTTTGTTCGGGTAGACGTGGGGCGTTCTGGAGTTGGAGGTTCATCATACCCATTCTAGTCATTAACACACGACGCAAAGAATAGAAGCATCTTCTTGAGTGAAAACAAAGTCTTTTGTGATGTTTGCATCCGTGATTGTCCCCAAGCGCTGGAGCCCTCAGTCAGAGTGATGTAGTAGTCTATTGACCACGACATGGATATGTGCGAGAGACCTCTTCTTAATCTATCTAGGCTTCATCACATCATTCTTCGCAACCAGCCCAGCAGGTCGTAGTTTGCGCATTGTTCCTAAATATGCGCGCGTTCAGCGTATACAAGGTTGCAATCCAAACTTACCCAGGCAACAGAATTCCGTCGGTGATGGAGAACTAGGCAAGCCTATCACACCTCAAGTCGTGGATAAGAACACCCACACCCTTCTCGTTGAGATATTGAATCTCATCTTGAATAGCATCCTTGCAATGCCCATGCATACGCAAACAGAGGCTGCAGCAACAGACTCTCCGGGCTATGATGACACTTTGCGTTGCCAGGCGTGGCCGGGCGTTGACCGTACTATCAAGAATTACCCCAGTCAAAAAGGCCCAGATCCTCCCGTTTACATGCACGAGTTCGTTGAAAACATGTCCCTCGCAAGTGGTTGGTCATACTTAATATTCTTGTGCATCTAACCTCTCCAGGCATTACACTAAGACAATGTCCCAGAATCCAGCGGCCTGGATCTTAACTTTCGTCAACTCTGTCGCCAATGGTATATCCACCTCGTTTTGCAACTCTTTCCTTCTGAACCTAACAACTGTGGGTTTCCCATCCATCAGGAGAGCCCGCGAGTATATGTCCGTTTTGTTAATATCTTCCTCGGGGGGCTGGAGTCCCCTTCCCATGTAAGTCCTTTGAACTCCTTGCCTGCCCTATATGCCAATCGGCGAAATATCTTTAACCCTTTTTTTTTGAAAAAAATGTACAGTTTGCCTGTCGGATCCCTCGACCTGGATATACAACAAAAGAGACGGGCACGTCCGAGGTGGACGTGTCTAGTTGTCACGGTGAGCCTGGGCCGTCCGTGACTCCTGCGCCGTATGTTGTGGGTTGGGGAGAATATCACCGTCCGCAGTGACGAGGTTGTCTTCGTATTCGGTGCTATTCCGCAGAAGGCCCGCCTCCTCGCCGCCGTCGTCGTTGTCGCTGCCGCTCGAAGACGAGCCGGACGCGACCTCCAGGTGGCCACGCTGGACCTCCTTCTGAGCATCTTCACGCATCTGAGTGATCTTGATGTAGTTGTACGCAACGATGGCGCCCATGGTGGTGATGAGACCGACAAAGTTGATGGGCGTCAGACGGTCATTGAAAACGAGAGCAGCAGCAGAGATGGTGACAACCTCCTTAAAGATACCGGCGATGGAGAGAGTGACGACTGAGGTGCGCTGCAGCAGAGCGAACTCGGAGGCGGTCATCAGGAAGGCGATGCAGCCGGGGAAGAGGAGGAACAAGGGGGTCGTGACAACACCCCACTCGGCCACGAGGACCTTCAGGCCCTCGATGAGGGCCGGGAAGCCCTCGACGGGAATGGCGATGACGATCAATGTCAAGAACATGACCGGCGCCAGGAAGAAAATGCTGGAAAAGGGGTTCGAAGTCGCCGGGTTGCGGAGCAGGAGGATCTGCGTCAGACCCCAGCGGAAACCGGAGAAGAAGGCGGCAGAGATGACGAGGATGAAGCCGCTAACCTTAAATTCGACTTCTCCCGACACCATGAGAACGACACCAAGAGTCATTGTTGCAATGATGGCTACAAGACGCCATGTGGGCTTCTCGAGTCTGAACAAGAAGGCGAAGATCAACACGAACGCCAGGGAGGATGATTTGCACATGGCTGGCTACTCGTTAGTGTTTGTTGAAAGCTTAGGTGGCGCAAAGCACTTACTGTAAAATGTGAGAGTGATGAACTTGAGCGAAGTGTTCCCCAGTCCGATATCGAGACCCGTCGCAGCACCGCAAGGCCCAATGCGCGTCAGATAGAACATCTTGGTCATCAACGGCCGGTCCGGTTCGGACTCGTGCCGTGAGCGGCCCAGATCTGAGTGACGCAGGCCGTTTGACGGGCGTAACGAAGGTATTAAGAATAACACTAAAGATGCGAGGGCGAATTGTACCAACATGTGGCACGCAGTTGTGAACAGGGGGAACGCAAAGTTGAGGCGGTCCTGGTCGAACATCCACTTGTTGTACTGCGGGGATGAAGAGTCAGCTTGCGATTCTGCTGACAGGAGCAAGGATTGGGGAACAGAAGTGGGTGTTGGGCTTACCAGCGAGATGCTGAGTGAAAAGAAGTACCACAGCAAGATCAATGCGACGTTGATCACGGATCTTCTAAAGACGTTTTGGTCGGCCTCTTTCTTCTCCTCGGCCGAGATCTCTCCGCGGACGATCCTCTGGTCTAACCGCGTGTTGTTCCTCTTCTTCTTCTTCTTCCTGTTCTTGTCCTTCTTCGTCAGGCCCGTCTCCTCGTCGTCGTGGAGGTCCTCGTCGGAGAAGCTGTCGTCGTCCATGTCTTTGGAGGCTGATGGCGTCGCCCGTAGTTCCTCCTCCGATATCTTTGGCTCATCGAGCAGGTTCCCCTGAGTCCTCGACGGGGTCTTCTGGTGATTGCTGGCGCCGGCGTTTTGCATGAGAGAACTGCGGCGCCGGCGGTGACCGGCCCCTTTCAAGGGCTCCATCTCGAATTCTTGGTCGGCGACAGTGTCTCGTTCGCGGGAAAGGCTGTCGTTGTTGTTGTTACTGCTGTTGACGGCCGAGGTAGGGCCCAGGCGCGAAGATGCGTGGGCGAGATCAGTGGCAGCGGCAACGTCTCGTGACCGGGGATCATCCGGGTTTAGGGATATAGTCGAGGTGGTCGCGTGTCCAGGAGACGGGGCGGTAGGCGGTGGGAGGAGCAAAGGTGACGGGCTCAGGAGGCGTCGGTTGGTAGCAGTAGTAGCGTGGTCGTGAGAGGAGGAGGGGAGGGCGTCTTCGTGCTCAATGGGATCGGGGGAGGATGATATGGCACTGGGAACGGCAGAGGCAGAGGCGGATCGACTAGGGTCGGGAGGCAGCACATGCACAAGTGAGGATGAGGTCGAGTCGGATGGGGAGGAGGATTGGGGCATGATTTAATCTGGGATTCCACAACGGGATTCGCAAGTTGCTGGGGCGGGCTGGAGAGCATCTGCTAAGGTCGGGTCCAGGTCCAGGTCCAATTTGCCGCAAGGTACGGGATGCTGCTCTCTGGCTCTCGCTCGCTGCGCATCTGATTGTTGTGTACGGCGGTCTAGCTGCTTGTGCTTGTGCTTGGCTGTCGGTGGATGGGGGAGGGGGGTCGGGGTCGGGGTCTTTGGTCGGGACGAGAAAATGGGCGCCGCCTATTCGCTGTCTGGGCTGCGCTGGTCGTGGTGCTTTGGCGTTTGGCTGCCCACTTGGTAGTGCTGGGCTGCGCTGCGCCTAGGATTCGGGGACGAGAGGAGCACAGGTTCCAGGTCACGACGGTGCGGATCATTTCTCCAGTCAAGTGTCGCGCCCACACGCCGAACCTACATAGTACATACCTACCTAGGAGTGTGGGCTGGGGTGGGTGGGAAAAGAGGAGAGGGGGGCCGGGGGGTTCACGGGTACGTACCTCCAAGGCACAATGAGATGAGCTAGGTGGCTTGGTCTCCTCGTGCCTCACTCCCTTTCTCTCTGGCACGGTGGTGGGTGCATTTGCAGTGACTACGGTGCCTAATGCTGCGGTATCGTTGCCCGCCCAAATGTCCCCGTGTCCACAGTGTTGCAGCTTCCTGCCGCCGCGCGAGCGGTGCGGAGCATCTACCGCCAATTACCGCCAACTGGTCTGCTGGCCCAATCTCTACACTACCAACCAATACGTGAGGTATCCAATGTCTTTGCTTTTCTCTCCCAAGATGAATTGTGGACATCGCCTTGGCATGCCTCATGGTGGAGACGGGCTTGTGGGCTGCTGCGGTAGGACTGGGCTCGCTTCTAGCGTAGCGGCGGTCAGGGTCGTCATCAGGGATGACCTTCCCTGTTGCTCCCTGTGACTTGACAGCTCACCATCATGGATGCAAACGTAGTAGAACAGAGACAACCACAATGCGACTGAGGGGGAGGCGAATCCGACCAAAACCCAGCGCGAAGCAGGCGGCACACAGCAACCGGTCAGGCACCGCGGGGCTTCCGAGCTCTTGGTCTCCATCGGCCCCCTTCACCGTACCCAGTTATGTCAGTCAACTAGTGTAGTGCATCCGCAACCAGATCCGCATCTACATCCCACCTCGGGCAGGATGAGGATCGTGGGCCGAGGACCACTGTTGCTAGAAGTCTGAGGGAAGGAAACATTGGATCTGTCCCGAGTCGCCAGCTTGGCCAGCTCCATCACATCTGTCGTGTCGTGGCCACCCTGTACCTTGACTCATTGCTACCTAATGGCAACCGAGTCGGTTCGTGCGAACAGCGCATAGCGGCAGTAGAGGAAATCTCTGTAGGTGGTATTCCCACCATCCGTATTCAACACGAGTTATTGAGTCATCTCGGAATAGACGTTGTTTGTTTGGTTTTATGCTTTCGCGCGGGCCGCTGTTAGTGCCTTTCTCCCCTTTCTTCCAAAGTATAGGAGATTACCTGCGAGGTAGGCGAAGCTAGCTGCAATATGCCAGGCTGATTGCATTAGCCCCTTTTCGTAGCTACATCTTTTCAACCGGAGTAAGCTTATCACGAGACACAGCAGATGCATAACTCAAAAACGGACCAGATCACGGCAAAGTGTAAGGATCGTCTGAAGAATCAGTGCTTCAAGTTTCACAGACGTTCGTCTAACCATCCAGATGCCAGGCTATCCGACACCACGAGAATCAAGAGCATGCAAGCTCCCATTTAAGCTTGGTCCAGCCGTCTCTCACATCCGGAGTCGCAGGTTTCCTCATCCGCTTGGGGGGCCCTGTTCGAGTGAACTTTACCGCAACATCATTCCCTCCACCAACCCCCGTTCTCTTCCATCCCTCGGACTGGCTGCAGGCTCTCGGCTACCTCCCTGTCCATGTGGTTCAGTGTCTCGGTCGTTGACAGAGCTCCTGTGCCCTGTTTGTAGGCAACTGCGAAAAGCCAGCCGAGATGGGTGCTCGGGCGACCAACTGCCCAAGGTGATCCAACCTGCCCACTCGTCAGCACCCGTGAACCAACCGGAACCTCTCTCCCACCGTCCCAACCAGACTTCACCGTGTGTTCCGAACCGGATTTCTCGGGCGGTGCCGCGACCCGCCGCCGGCCAAAACCCGAGCCCGCCCAGCACCCAGATTGGTTTGAATGTTTTGGAAGAGCCACAATCATTCCCTTCTGAGGTGTGCTGAGAAACAACCAAGACCGGCCTCGTTTCCAAACTACCGTTGCATTGTTTTCCTTTCCGGGCCCAGTTCTTCTGAGACGCACCTTGCGGAGTACAGAGCTAAAAAGGCACACAATGCAAGTTGCTTCCTCTCTGGTGCTGTCTCTGTTAAACAATCAAGGTGTTTCTCAGCCGATGTTCCCGCCTCGTCACATGGACTCATCCAAGAGCATCACGCCCACAGACGACGGGGAGCAGACAGTCCGAGCTTTGGTGGCTTTAGATCGGAACTACCAACTGACAGATGCAGCATAGACCGCGAGCGGCCAGCCTCCCCCCACAGAAAGGAGGAGGAAGAAGAGGCGGGCGGCTTGGTTTCTCGGTGTTGGAGCCCGTTAAATGTCTTGCGCCTCTCAGCCGGCGCCAACCCCGTCGAACTACACAGAAGTGGTTTCACCGGCTTCAAATCTTGAGCAATCGAACGAGACACTAGCCTCATTCTTAACCACCCGTCACCGCACTTACGGTTGCACCGTTGCATTTCTTCCGAGTGCCGTTTGCCGGCTTCTCAACGTCTCGAACAACAGGAAGGGGGAGGATCGGAGAGGCAAATTGCACATCGAGCCCCAAAAGGGAGAGACACCTAGACTTTACCATGATGTCAGGTGCCGTCATCCGTTACAATAGCTCACGTGTGTAATCGAGATGTAATCTAAATGCCTCCCCCATATCCGTAATACGTCGATCGGATCGCGACTCGGATGAGAGAGAGACGCGGTGGGTTCTTTCGCAGAAACAACCAGGAAATATCCATGTCGAAAGGGGCCATTAGCGGACGGAGAGAGCTTTCGGTTTGATTCTGTCTAAGCTCCAACAGGGTAGCTCTGCGCGCGTGCGTGCCTGGCCCAGCTTGGATGTGGTGCAGATCTGGCAGCTCGCTAGAGAGAGCTCCGAGTGGGCATCAGCCGCGGCTCGATGCGCCAACCGTATTTTGAAGCGTCATCAACTTGATCCTTGGCATCACCAATGGATCAATTTGTTTTCCAATTTGAGTTCTTCGGGAACCCTAGCCAGCCCGAGCCAAATGACGCTGCAGCTAGTGCTCAGGAGAAAGAATGGATAGACAGAGAAGCTGCGTCAGCGCCCGATTACTCACCGTCGATTAGGGGCCCGCGTCTTAGTGGACGTTGTCATTGAAGGGCAATCGTGACGAAACCATCAATCGACATTGGTCTAACGGTTTCCCTTCCACTGGCCGCCACACCCAGCCGCATATCGTGGCTTCTCATCGCTCAGTAATCGCCGGAGTTTATCCTCCCTTGCCTTAGACCCAAAGCTTGACCTCAACTTTACAGCTTCCATAGTCTTCGATCTCACCAAATCTGCTTGTGTACCATATTTACCAGATAATAATCTACACGGCTGCTACCTCATTCGCCGATTCACCCCACGGAGAGCAAACTGATCGCAGACACACTTAGCTATTGAAAAAGTGACGATCTTCGTCAGTTGTCTTTAACACCTCAAAAGCCTCGTTCCATCCTTCCAAGAGCCGACGTCATGGCTCAGCAATGTTCGACGAGACATGCTGCCGGCAGCCACGCCGGGTACCTACCCATCGAGGACTATGGCATGATCGGCAACATGCACACCTGTGCCCTCGTTGGAATGAATGGCTCTGTTGATTTTATGTGCTGGTACGAAATACCTTTCGCTGCTCTGTGTCAGATGCACGGTCTCGGCCGCGGTCACATTCGGCCGAGTGACCACTCCCATAAACCCTCCCGCCCAAAACACACCCAATGCGTCTATCGTGTGTATTGGGAATGATGAACGCGGATGCTTCTCGTTGGATTCTAAGCCTCAAGTGAGCGCGAAGGCCAAATGGTCTTTGGCCCGAAGCATCCGAACGTCCTAGCATTAATGCCACGCCGATGAACTTCTTCCTTAGACAGATCAACAAAGCTCAACATCTAACCTTCTATTCAGGCCGGACTTTGACTCGCCGAGCGTCTTTTGTCGGCTCCTCGATAAGGACAAGGGGGGCTTCTTTAGCATCTGCCCTCCTTCAACCAAGCGGTGTACCACCAAGTGAGCATGAGAGCCGTCGTTTATCAAGGCTCATCTGAATAACACGTAAAGGCAACAATATCTCCCGTCTTCCAACATTCTGCAGACGAGATACATCCACGATGATGGCGTCGTCGACCTTGTGGACTTCTTTCCTCGTCCAAAGACCGCCACTGTCTTGTCCAAGGGTACCCGCCAGAGCGCGTTCCGCGAGACCATCAAGATTCAGGAGGAGCTCAAAAAATGGCTTGTCCGACGAGTCGAGTGCATTCGTGGTCGTTTAGAGATGGGTAAGCCGAGTTGTTGATGTAACCGGGACGAAGCAGTCGGCTAATCTGCCGTAGAAATCGAGATCTTCCCAGCCTTCCAATATGCCACCGAGACTCATGTCACCACCATTGTCGAACCAACTCACACCACAGGCAGCCCGAGCAAGGCGGTCACCTTTCACAGCGAGCATTACAAGTTGCAGTTGGACGTCACCGTTGATGCAGAATCGGACTCGGCTCCTAGTGTTACCTTTAGAAAGGAAAAGCGTGACGGGATGCTAGGCGAGGGTGTGGTTGCCCACATCGAGATCGAAGAAGGCCAGGCCATTTCGCTTGTTCTGCGCAACGACATCCCCAATCATGTTACCGAGAACATCACGACCGCTGTGCTCGATGGCCAGCAGCACGACACCCAGTCGTTCTGGTATAACTGGATCTCCAAGAGCAAGTACAAGGGCCGGTGGCGCGAGGTCGTCAACCGAAGCTTGATGCTGTTGAAGATGATGACCTACGAGCCAACCGGTGCCATCATCGCCGCTCCCACATTCTCCATTCCGGAAGACATTGGCGGCGTGCGGTAAGTCCTCCCTCTCCTCTCGCTCTGTTGTCCAACACAGCTCACAGAAGCACTCAGAAACTGGGACTACCGCTTCTCCTGGGTTCGTGACTCGAGCTTCACGATTTACATCCTGCTCCGCTTGGGCTTCTCTGCCGAGGCCGATGCCTACATGGACTTCATCAGCGAGCGCTTTATCAAGTCCCGCGGCCCCAACGGCGAGCTGCCCATCATGTTCACCATTCGCGGCGAGACAGACATCCCCGAGATCGAGCTTGACCACCTCGAAGGCTACAGAGGCAGCAAACCCGTGAGGATTGGCAACGGCGCCGCATTTCACCATCAGTTTGACATCTACGGCGAGCTCATGGACGGCATTTACCTGTACAACAAGTACGGCAAGCCGATCAGTTGGGACCAGTGGTGCTCGGTGAAAGAGATGCTGGGTATGACTTTCTGAGCCCTTAACCTTGTCTGCTAGACGAGCTAACCCGAGCACTCAGACTTTGTTCTCACACTCACAGATAGTAAGTCTCCGACCTTGGGCCAAAATGAAGTCCCCCACTGACATCAGGAACAGAACCCGACATGTCCATCTGGGAGGTCCGCAATCATAAGCAAAACTTCACCTACTCCAAGGTCATGCTCTGGGTCGCTTTCGACCGTGGCCTCCGCCTCGCAGACAAGCGCAACTTTCCTTGCCCCAACCGCAGCAAGTGGCTCGCGGCCCGCGACGGCCTCATGGAAGAAATCATGGAAAAGGGTGCGTGTTGGCTCTCGATTCTCCTACCCCTTCAGCCCCGGATATCCTGGCCTCGCGCCTGAACCGTGAGCTGACTGTACGTAACAGGCTACAACAAGGAGATGAAGTGCTTCGTCCAGAGCTACGAGAACAACACCATGCTGGACTCCTCGATCCTCATCGCTCCGCTCGTCTTCTTCATTGCCCCCAACGATCCCCGCTTCCTCAACACCATGGACCGCATCCTCCTGCCCCCCGAAAAGGGCGGCCTCACCAGCACCGGTCTGGTCTATCGCTACGACACGGAGCTCACAGAGGACGGTACGTCTCCCCCTTTCTCTTCAGTGTCCCACAAACACACATGCATCCCCGCATGCTCTCCCATGATAACACACAACAGCTGACACGCTTCCATCCCCAGGCGTCGGCGGAAGAGAGGGCGCCTTCAGCATGTGCACCTTTTGGCTCGTAGAGGCCATGACGCGCGCCTCCGCCTACGAGCCAAAGTACCTCGTCCGCGCCGTCAACCTCTTTGAGAACATGCTCAGCTTCTCCAACCACCTGTCCATGTTCTCCGAGGAGATTGCACGCAGCGGCGAGCAGCTCGGCAACACGCCCCAGGCCTTCAGCCACCTCGCCCTCATCAGCGCCGCCTTCAATCTCGACCGCGTCACCGAGGTTCATCGATAGATCGAAACGAGGGAAGGGTGGGGGTCTATTCAAGAGAGGTCAATTTTGCATGATTAACGCTTCAACGTTGTAGAAAGGGGCACACCACATCCAGGACGCACAGATGATGGCCTTCTCAGTCATGGTACAGAATGAAAGAGTCAGAATGTTATGTTTTTGGCATAGTCGAATTTTCTATGCAATAAAGTCCAGCCAACGAGCCACGCAGGCTCAGACCACGAGCAGAAAAGCATCATGCCCTCGTGAGACCTGCCTATCCATACCGCCAATACGGCCTCGAGGACCGAGTGCTTTTTGTGATGTGCTGATTTTGTTTCCCTACCCCCCGAGAACGCCGCGCTATGCCTTGAAAACACCGAAACCCTTCTTCGCCACCCTCGAGCGGCTGCCGCCCCTGACCCCACGAACGGGGTCCTTGTTCCCGCTCAATGTCGCGCTGCTGCCGCTGCGCCGCCCGGTCCGCCGCCTCGTCCCCTACGACAAGTCCATGCCGTCCCGGTCGTCGCCCAGCCTGTCGCCCACGGAGCTCAGCCCGGAACTCGGCGGCCTCGATTCTTCCTTGATCCGCGGCGACGTCGCCGAGGGCGCGCTGCCCGGCGGGGGTCCTTGCATCTTGGTTCGCCACGTGTGGATGCTCGGCAGGTCGCCGCCCTCGACCTGGACCTCGCCGACGTCGTTGCCCTTGCCGATGATCGTGCCGTGGTACTTGGAGTCTTCGCCCGTCTTGCTGTGTTTCTTCTTAAGGACTGTGAGGGCGCAGATGTTAGCTTTTCTCTTGCGTCGTAAGTCTCCTAGCTCCAGTCTTATGCGCAGCTCCGGACAAGAGAGGAAGGGAGCAACGAACCGTTCAAGTAATCGCCCAACTCCAACTCCCCGTCACCCACCGCCGCCTCCCGAATTGTTTTGTTCCGCGGCCCGGAGAACCACTTGATAAACTCCTCCACGCCCCTCGTATCCTCAACCCTCTCCCGCTCCCGCGCGACCTCGGCCAGCGCTGTCGTCATCGCAAGGTCCCCCTCGGCGTCGGGCTCTTCCCCTGCTGCTGCTCCTGCGCCTCCCTCGGCGCCTCCGTCGACAGAGTCCAGGATCTCGCCCAGGATCGTACCCCTGCCCTCAGCGAGCACGTCGTCCGGCGGCACGGCACCAAGCTCTTGCAGCGCCATGCGCACGTCGACGATGCCGGGCGCCTCGCCCTCCGGGTTGTTGTCAGCGGCGTGCCGCGCCGTCGCCTGACACAGCGCGTACATGTACCGCGCCGCGAGCTCCGTCACGGCGTCGAGGACCACGGGCCGCGCCGCGTGGTAGCCCGTTGCGCGCAGGATCTGCAGGACCGCAGGCCGCAGGAGGGCGTGGAAGAGGAGCGGCGGGGGCGTCATTGTGTATTAATGTATTTGTGGCTTGTATTTTTTTGTTTCTGTTTTATTCTTGTTCTCTGTTGGCGATAGCGGTATTCGGCTGTCGTTTCGCGTAACGCGTATAGTATCTACCCCACGTGGAGTCGAGAGAAAAGGAGAGCGGTTCGAGAGGGAAATCGCGGGTGCTGTGGCTGGGCTCGTGGATGCGATTCCGTCTGTCACCTTCGGTTATGTTGTTGGTTCGGAGAGCTTCGCATCGTGCTGCGACGCGCGTTTCTTGAATCGCAAGAGCCTTGAAGTATGTATAGGGTCGTATCACGCCTTTACCGCGCTGGTCGTCGCAAACAAATCGGTCGTCGCACGAGGGAGAGGTGAACGAGGTGCAAGCCCGCGAAATTTCAGCCTTGTCGAGATGGAGGGAGCTCGGACCAGAAGAGAACAGAACCGAAAGGTGAGGCAAAAGCTCCAGTTACCAGGTACTAGTGTGGAAGCACCGCTGGGGAGAGCTGTTTGGACAGTGCAGATACTGTAATGGTACCCGCCATTGAACAATCACCGTTGCACCTGCCGCAGTGTCCCTAATCTCTCCTTCCACTTCGTTACTATTACTTTCGTCGTAAGGTAAAGCGTTCATATTATTGGACAATAATGTTCAACTTTTACACCTGCAATCCAGGATCAGGCACCTTTCCTACATGCCGATAATGTCCTTTAATCTCCGACCATTAAAAGAAAATGCGAATATTCAGAGAGTCGTCTCCTTACACAGCAATGTAACTGGATTTGCTAGCGGTCACCAGCCCACACCTGCCAGCCTTAGTTTTGCCTGACGGCTAGTTCTTCAGACTTTTCAATACCCGTGTACTTGTTGATCCAGCCCAGAACCTCTCTGTGCCAGACAAGCGAGTTCTCAGGCTTCAACACCCACTACGAATATGTCAGCATCTGCTATAGAAGCCTCATGATGTTCAGCACTTACGTGGTTCTCATCTGGGAACATCAACAGCTTGCTGGGCACGCCGCGAGCTTGCAGCACGTTAAACATTGCCAGACCCTCGGAAATGGGCAACCTATAATCCAGCTCGTTGTGGATGACCAACTGAGGCGTCGACCACTGGTCAAGATGGTGGGCAGGGTCCCACTTCTCGTAGCCCTCACGGTTCTCCCATAGAGGGCCGCCGAAGTCGTGGAGAGGGAAGAAGAGCTCTTCAGTAGACCATTGGTTAAGTGTTGAGAAAACGCCGTCGTGGCACACCAACGCCCTGAACTTTCTTCCGAGCTCGTGGCCCTGGATCCAGTCTACTTGGTGTTAGCTTTAACAACGGCAATCTGGACGAAGTATCAACTTACTGATCATGTAGCCTCCGTAGGAAGCGCCCAGAGCGACGGCGTTGCCCGAGTCAATGTAGGGAATGTTTTTCTCAATGTGGTCAAAACACTTTACCAAGTCGACGTACGGGCGGCCACCCCATTCGTTCTGGATGTTATCGGTGTGCTGCTGTCCGTAACCAGTGCTTCCCGTCGGGTTGGGCATGACCGCGATGTAGCCCTGCTCCGCGAAGATGGCTGGGTTCCACCGCGTGCTCCAGCTGTCCATCCACGCAGCCTGCGGTCCTCCGTGGATGAGAAAAGCAAGGGGGTACTTCTTGTTCTCGTCAAAGTTTGATGGTTTCACCACCAGAGCGTGTACATCGTATCCCTCTGCTCCCTTGAACCAGAACTCGTCACACTGTGACTTGGACAGGCCGAAAGACTTGCCATGCTTCGAGCTCGACGAGACAAGATCGGTCTTCTTGCTGACCGGGTCCAGGACCGAGTAAGCCGAGTTCTCGACTCGAGATGATGTACTGATGAAGAGCCTCTCGCCGTCGTCTCCCAACAGCTTAGCCTCAATGACAGAGCCCTCCTCGTAGATCGCTGCTGGCAAACCTTTCGCCTCGTGCGGTGTCGAGGGCAGCTTCCAAAGCTTCGCACGGCCGTGCTCTTCGGCAGACACGTAGAGCTCCGAATCGTCCTTGCTCCAAGTGATCCATTCGGGTCGCGCGTCCCATCCGCCAGCACCGTCCTCTGTCTGGTAAAACTCCTGTACACTTGCAAGATCGAAAACGTCTGGGACGAGCATCAACCTCGGCTTATCCGTCTCGTATTGATCGCTCTTCATCCGGGTGAAGGCAACTTTCTTTCCGTCCCTGGAGAATACGGGTGATGCCGAGTACCCACGCAGCTTGCTTGTCTTGACAATCTGCGGCACTGGCGGTTTCGTCTCCGCGAAAGACTTTAGAGGAATGAAGTAGAGGTCGGTTTTCGTGTAGATCGCAGGGGATACTTCGGGGTCCCGCGCAATAAACACAATGCCATTCTTGCTGAGGTCGAAATCACCTGCGCCACCAAAGGGGGAACCGGGGACTGTAGCTTCGAGCCCTTGAGAGCATTGACCAAGCCCGGATCCTCCAGCTTATACGTCTTATCGTCCTGCTTGAGAAGACCATACCAGATGGAGTTCTGATTTTCAGAAACCCAAGCGTCCCAGTGTCTGACAAACAAGCTCGAGTAGATCTTCCCCGTCGTGTGTTGCTTCTTCTCGGCGGCGGGGTTGTACATGGCGCCGTCAGGAGTTGTCAAGACACAGACGGCGATGGCGACCTCATTGTCCGACAGTCGCTTGGCTTTGAGGCTAGAGAGGCTGCCTTCGAAATGACCAACCCGGGTTACTCTGTCGTTCACTCGTCAACAATGGACTGCGATTGCAGGTCAGGGGAAGGGCCTACGTGGACGGCCTAGTGACGTCTCCCAACAACAGGCTGGTGGTTCCCTCGTCGCCGCTCCTCAAGAGAAGAATCTCCCGGTCTGAAATCCATGTTGCGTCGCTGTAGCTTGCCTCTTCATAGAGAAGGGTGGAGTGGCCGCTCTCGACATCGAGAACACGAGTTTGGGATGTTTTGCTGTGGGAGTCGAAGGAGTAGGTCGAAACCTGGCTTGGTCAATGCGTGCTCACAGCTTCCATTGATCTTCACTTGGTCGTAGAAAGAGACCCAAAGACCGGTAAAGCTCGAGAGTGCAGACAGGTAACTCACAGTATACAGCACCTTGGTGCCGGTGGGGTTAGGAATGCCAGGGGACCTGCGCGGGGCAGAGAGCAGGACCTCTGGGGTGAACTTGGAAGCTTGAATCGTCATCATGAGGAACTGAGGCAAGTATGCGACACTTTGAACTCGATTATACAGCTATCAATGGGGAGAAGTTGAAAGTAAGAAACGGTTGGGAGAGAATGCTGCCGTAGATGTATGTCGGTCGGTCAACAGCAATCCCCAAAACTGCGACATGACAACGGGGGATCGCCCGTCTGGGTTGCAGCTCGGTTGAAGAGCCCCGCACTAGCTACGAACAGGTTAGCTACGGCTGTTCGAGGCGACTGCACGGTGCCGACAAGGTTCTCACTTGATGCTCAGACGTTGGACAGGCTCAGGCCCCCTCAGGCCCCCTCAAGCCCCCTCACTGTAGCTCGTCCCCGTCGTCTCCGAACCAATTGGTGCAGCAGGCCGGTTGGGAGCTGGGGAATCAGATAGCCGACGCCTAGCACCTTGAGAAGAAGCTTCGTCAAACGGCAGCAGAGGGGTAAATGCTGCATCATGCAAGGGACCTGCCGAATTGAGATGTGTGTAACGAGGGGTCTTTTGACTTTTCCTCACGTTACTCGGACGGATCAATATCCAGTGGAATAATCCCAAGGGCCTTGAAAGAAGTTCATGTTGGCGATCAATCATGGGGCCTATCCTAACACGATTCCTCCGCAGTTATTATCGTAGTGAACCTCATTGTACCTACCTTAGTTCACGACACTGCCGAGACACCTCGAAAGAGGCCTCTTGTCATTTACAGCTTTGATTGACCGGGAAAACTTTTTACGCCGGAAAACCTGTCGACCAATGCGTGGGCAGATTTTGCTCTCTGCGTAGTGGTATGTATGACAGGCCTAGGAACGCAAAAGTTCGTCTCCACTAGGAACTTTTGCAGCGTCTCGTTACAGAAGTGCCCGCAAGTTACCGTAGTCTGGGTCACACGTACGTTTCTGGCCGTATTGTGTTGCATGCCCTCCTTCCTTTGGACCCAAGACTAATTACATCTCAGCGAAGACGAGTCAAGAAGGGAGACCATGTTGTCAGATCATCAAATTGGGAAGGAGAACATTATGGAGTTCTCCGTCGGGTATCATTGTTTTCCGGAACTCCTCAACTCCTCTAGCCTTCGCCGTCATGTATGATGCTCCATCGGTTGCTCTTTGTCCCCAGGTAACGATGCGAGTAGCCCTAGCGGCGCGCGACAGTTTGTGAGTTGACGGCGAAAGATCCCCTCGCGATAACCAAACGCTAGTACTGGAAGCCTGCGAGAGCCCCGATTGGTTTGAAAAACCAAGATCGCCGTGGTTGGGCCTGGAAGATGTTTACAGTCTCCCAGAAAGTTGTCGTAAATCGTTATAAAAATAATGCCTTGGCGGGCTGTCTACCCAAATCCGCAAACAATGGCGAATGGCATGCCCGAGCTAATTCACTTGCGCCCAGCCCCAAAGTTGATGCGCTTCTTATTCGGGGCCTGGGAGTCGTGATCGCTATCTTCTTCGTTCTGCTTCTTGTTCTTCTTTCCTGACTTCGAAGCTGTCGCCGACGTTGGCGTGGCATGGTTGGAGCCGGAGCCGTCCTTGAAGGACGTAGACAAGGGAGTGGGTGCATGCGATGCGGGAGTCGAGCCGGGAGTCGTGGCTTCCTGCGATAGAGGTTAGCTTATGCCATAAAGCAAAGAATGGAATGACGCACACTGCCGGGCCGATACGAGACGGACGACCGCGAGAAGACGCGATTCTGTTCCGTGGCGCCAGCCTTGCGACGCTGGGCGGCCGCGCCCGTGCCCTTGATGTAGTTATCGAATCCCGCGATGATGTTGCCGTTCGGAGTGCTCTCGAGGTACGCCGTTTCCTTCTGTTCGATGTCGGCTTCGATGTTGGCAAGTTTCCGGGCGATAACAGCTCTCTTGTCCAGCATTTGCCTCAGACGGGCCTGTTCCTCTCTGTACATCTGCATCGTAGGCGCCGGCTGCGATGCCGTGTTGGCGGTGTTTGGCTGGTTTTCGCCCATGTTGTCGGAATAAAGCTGCGCGTACGGGATCTAGGATCGGCGATGCTGTGTTCGGCGAGTTTGTCGGTGATGAACTCGATGCGGCGCGGTCGAGGCAAGGAACGGTCGCGATAGGAAAGATTGAACGACTTGTCGCGCCGGAGCTTCTAGTGGCTCAGGAACCGACGCTTTGGCGCAGATGGTCGCCGTTGGCAATGCACGACGCTCATTGGCTGATTCGGATCGTATGGATCTCCGAGTGCTTAGTCAGGTTGACAGGCGCCCCACCGTGGCTGCGGACCTGCGGCTACCTACTTAGGTAGTCTACCACGAAACCCAGGACGTCCGCGCTCCGGCCGGGTTAGTCAGCAACGCCGCTCTTGCTCGGTGAGCATCACCTTTGATCACCTCAACTTCGCCCATCCCTCCGACGAGCTGCATGCTAACCTATTACCTCTCACCCACCCATTTACGAACTGACACTGTATGGCCTTAAATTCATGCGTCTTTCGCCATGGATCAGGTTTCAGTTGATTGCGACCAGGGGCGAGGCGCGGGCAGATTGGCTAGCGAGCCCGGAGTCTGGCGACCCTCTTCATTCTCTTGACACATGAATGCCTGCCTGATGCTCAGCCACGAGACACGAAAAGTGCGCATATCATATTCGCAATAGCGCTGGGCGCGCGCTGGGCTCTGGTCATGAGTATATGAGACGCTGCGGTCGCTTGTTTTCCATCTCATCCTACTTCCTACCTGCGCAAACCGATAATACCTAATTCCTGCTCTTACTCTCTGCGGATTTCGGCGACGGGTGATCACTTGATCCTTGAACCCGTGAGCCTTGCGAACAGGGCAGTGATCATGCCTAAAAGGAAGAGCGCCGAAGATTTCTTTCGCGGCAGGAAGAACAAGGGCTCGGTACAATGCGCTGAAGGAAGCGCCTGAGGCGGATTTACAGCCAGGAACGTACCGAACAAAGCTGGGAGGCATATCGCGTAGCCAGGAACCAGAAGGGGCGAGTAACAGGAAAAGCACTGCGAACCATACGCCGCGAGAATGTGGAACAGGCGGCAGAGTCGCCGTCGTCGCTATGGAAGCTCGCAAAATGGTCATGCAACAGGCAGAACATCTTCAACCGGGCTGTAGGGACACTCTTCCACTGCAGGTGGCAAAATCTGGCAGTACATGCTTGGAAACCCGACAGAGTTCATAGCTCCGACCTCCAGCGGGAACGCAATAGCCTAGTCATAGGTTTGAGCTATCTATCCCCCATTCCTCAAGGTAGACGAGCTTGTCGTTTGCCTGGTCTAGCCAGCCATCCAGTACTAAGTCCCAATTACCAGGGACGCTGGCAAAGCGGTAGACAGAGATAGCATCCACAGCGGGACACTCTGTGACTGCAATGACGAAAGTACATCCATGTGAGAAGTCTCCGCCCACACCTCCAGTTGAGACCAGGATAGGGTTGTCAGGACCCAGCTCATCTCGAAGGTGGGTGGCACGGCCGCAGAGCCGGCCTTGAGCGTCGTCCCCCTGGCAGGCTCTGGGGTCAGGTGTCATCGGCTCATTTTTTGGTGGTCAGTACACATTCTGCCAGCTCGATGAAATCTGGTGTCCTACCTGCAAGTTGAAGCTCATGATAGCTTCTGGCCAATCCTTCCAAACCTGACCAGAGTGTGCGCCTTGATAGTTGAGTATATGTGACAGACGCGCGTCGTAGGCATCAAAAGCGGTTTGATCTACATAAAAGGCATCCCTGCCGAAGGTGTCGTGATAAATATCGCTGAAGATGCAGGTCAATAAGGCTGTGGCGTGTCTGGGAGGGACCTAAGTGCAGGCAACCTACGCGCGATAGTCACCCAAGAGGGAGTTGGAGTCATGGGGAGAAACGATCGTCTTGATGTTGCTGTCCTTCAGCTTGAACATGACCCTGTCAAGCTCATCCAGACATGCATCATTGTATTTGCCAATCGCGTCCTCCAGGGGAGGCATTGTGCGGACACGTTGGCTCCATTTCTCGCAGCCAGGCTGGTGGGAATTCACCCAAAGACGGATAACCTTGGTGACATACTCAACCAGTACTCTCGATCTCGTCAACGCCCTCTATGGACTAGCGGTGTGTTTCTTCATTGGGAGTCGAAATCCAGAATGCTTGTTGAATAACAATTTTCACATCATTTTCCACGTTGAATAGGAGGGTCACTGAGCAGAACTACAAAATGGAATGGACAGTAAGTACTTTAACATGTTTCATAAAATCTGAGAAACCGACACAGCCTCAAGGGTGCGATGGCCGAAGCTAGTGCATGGTTTTCTATTTTCCAGATGGTTGCTTGGCTGCTGTCAGGACAAGCCTTCTGTTGAGTTGATGCTTGGTCAACTCAAAGCGGATATAAATGGAGTCAGGAAACTGACGCTGTCCCATGAAATTGAACTTCCCGTCCAGTACAGCATCTCTGAAGAGTGGGTGCTGACAACCAAATGAGGCCACAAAGTATAGCTTGAATAAAAGATTCTGAAAGAACATTCATGTGCGACTAGCTACTCATACAGGGGAGATAAAATGGTCAATTTCAAGCTGTAGGAGTAGTCCTGACTGGTAGCTGCAGGTTCACGGGGTACTCGAGAGCTGGCCTGCCGCTAACAGGCAGAGGATCAATAGCTCTCAGAGCATTCCAGGTCTTCATAATCATCTCCAAGTATTGCTGGAATCCAGATCCCGGTCCAACGTCACCGTCGCCAGCAAACTCAGAAGCGAGATAGATGAGCTCGTCAAGGGTAACATCCCTATGATCGACAACGGAGATGCACAGGATATAGGCCAAGATGTTCTTGTGCACATCGACCACTCCCTTGCTACCGAAGGTGTACTTGTATGTATACATGTCGACACGAATGATAGCGTTGCTAGATAACATTGATCAGCATTTGTTGGCTTTGTAACAGAGGTCGAAGGAGCTCATCATACTGCTTCATACAAACGAAGAACTTCTTGTCATAGCTTTCGCCAGCTGAGGAGTCGCCGAGAATCGCAGAAAGGCCTGTCTTGACCACGGATTTGAAACCGTCGAGGACGCCCTTGGTCCCTGTATCAGAAGCGCCGAAGAAGGAGTCGACGGCATCCTCAACGCCTTTTCCGGGCTAGGGTATTGCAAGATTAGCGACTGGATGCTTGTGAAGGACTCAGGGGTCGGTTTGAATGAAAACTCACAGTGCTTTCAGCATCAACAGCGACATGACGCTCAAATCTCAATGCCCTCCTTCCTGGCACACTAGTCTTCATCGCCGACTCACGGTCCAGGAACATTTTCTCCAGCTCCCCTTGGAATGTGTCCAGTCGTGCATCTGCGAGCTTCATCATTAGCTCCAGTTGTTCCTTCTTCTTCCTCTCATTCTCGTCAGCTGCTTCATTGGGAGCGATTAAGGCACTGATAGCATTGCCCATCTTAAAAAGGAAGAATTGAAACGAATTACGGTGAAGAAGGATGATGATGAGAGAACGAGGTGTTTAATGATTCAATTCTACGTAGTGCAAGGGCGAACGCGCCTTTTTATCTTGCGCATTGCTTTCTTATTGCGACTGACCTCATGAGCTGGTGATTCTAGACTACAGTACAGTCCAAATGTCCGTCAGCATCAGACGAACTGGTGCCGGATCGAAATGGTCTCGAACATTTCATTGCCAATAACTACCCACCTCAGGGCATATCTTCGCGATACTACATCCCGCATCACATCGCCCTTTTCGAAGACGACTTACCCGATGCGCGGCATCAGCCAGCCATATGGCCTGATCGGCAAGCTGCAACACTATTTACAGGTAGACCCAGCACTTAGTTGATCACCGAGGATATGCTAGGCTTTCCGAAAAGGAAATGGATCAGCTGCACGAGACTCAGCAAGCTGAAAGCTGAATCCAATTGACCCCGACACCTCAATGGCATACAGTTAAGCCCGAGGTCACACATCACAGGAAAGGTTCGATAGCCACCAAGCGGATGGGTGTGTGATCCAGCAACAAGGCAGCTGGAGAGTTGGATGTGTGGTGGGCCGAAATTACTATCCTAGCCATTGTGGCTGGCTGAAATACGACCCGCAGTTTTCCAATACTTGGCCTCAGCTGGGACTACAGAACGTGAAAGGCAGAAACAATCGAAAGAGTCTTGGGTATGCCTCTGTGGGTGGAAAGAAGGCTGTTTGTCAAGCGTTCGTGTAAGCTCCCAAGCCAAGAGTGGATGGTATAAAAGTCGACAAATCCGCTGATGAAGGGATTCCTATCTCCACATACCTGTCGACGTCTACTTACAGCTTACTACATACCATTCTTCACCATGATCTTCCTTCAAGAAAACCAAAGGCCTGCGGTAAGCATTACTGAATGCATATAAGGACATTGTGAGACTAATTTTGCCATGCATTCAGGAACCGTATATCAGAGATCTTGACAAGGCTAAAAGTGTTCAAAACGGTGTGGAGAAAAGTCTGGGAGAAATTGCGACCGAAACGTATTGTTTGACGTTCGAAGACATCCGCTATATCCTACGTGCCGGTCTGAACCCCCGTTCTTGTGCGGACTTGGACGCTGCAAAAGCATTGCTAAAAAATGGCACACACTACAAGAACGAGAAAGGGGAACAGAAGCAAAGTCTCCCGGACTTCATTTCAGTCATGGGTGGCTTCTCCAGATTAGTTGGAAGCGTTGTCAAAAGCCAAAGCCTGCATTCCATCGAGGGCAAGCCTGATGTGCATGTTGAGCTTGAGCTGACGCTCTCAGCTTACGTCGACAACCGCAATCCAGACGATGTTCCGCGCCTTTGGGGTGAAGTCGGCAAAGTTCTGGACAGCTTTACAGTCGAACAGAGAAAGTTGATATGCAAGAAAGCCACAAAAGAGCTTATCACTGGCATGAAGAAGATATCGCAAGGGCCGCATACTTGCCTTGTCATGGCACCAGCCCAGACTATGATGTCGACGGACAAGGAAAGTTATGGTGGTTTTGGGAAGACAGGAGGGTCGTCCATGAAACGTGACGAGTCCGATTTCGACCGGAGTGTCATAATAGACTCCTCTGGTCAGTCTTCTCAAGTTGCCTGCGTTCCAGCTCGGCTGGTTTGGGCCTTTGCCGAGCATGCGGAGAGATTAGTTCATTTTCATTCGAACCGACCACTCTATAACTACGTTCTGAGTGTGGTGGATAGCTAGCACAATTGACTCTTCAATACTCTTGCTTTTTTTTTTTTTGCTTTTTTTGTGAAAAGTTCCATGTATGCTCATCTGCCTCCGACTGAGCCACTGCTCTCTAAGGCCTAACAGAGAGCGAAAATGCCGTCTCGTTTGTGGAGTTGACATATGTTCTATCAAAAAGCGTCTCGAGCTCATCGCTACTGTGCATTGCACCCTCGCATGGCCAGTGTAAGGTGTGGTGATGTGTGGTTGTATTGTGGAGGTTCTAGGTACCTGCCCTGTGTGGGCGGATATAACAGCCAGGTACCTTCCCCTCCTGTAGGTGCGGTTCCAGCTGAACTGCCCACCCTGGTTTTGACCACTAATGTAAGCAAAGAGCTACCCTGAAAATACGTATCTGCAGTCTACCTAGAGTGGGTGCTTAGCCATCGCCCCTGCCAAGTATCGCATTTAGGCAAGTAGTCCAAGTCAATGGTGAGCCGGAAACGGTCGCGAGCCCCAGAACTGACCCGTAGCCTACTGCAACCACCTCCTACAAGAGTCGTCTTTCTCGTCAGAATGAGAATATGTCTGTAGGCATCGTACTCACGTCAAATATTCCAACAAGAAGCAGGGTAGAACGAAAGGCAACTTTGCTAAGTCACGTGGTCAAGCGCAGCACGGTGCAGCAGACTGAAAGTTGACGACAACGCGCGCGTAGGTTTCCAAGTACAATAGAGAGGGAGACAACATGAGTGGGATTCCGATAAGGGTCCTGGACGAGCTGGCGAGAAGCTATCGACGATGCCGTTTTCTGGCCTCGCGCCACATCGATCTCTCGTCCCCTTCGACGCGGCGTGAGCATCCTTTACGCACTGAGGTTCTGGAACCGGGCGCGGGGGCAGGGGGCCTGGATGCCCCCAAGCGCTGGCACACAATGTGTTCTCCGTGTCAGCGACTGCGCAATTGTCGCCTGATCAGGGGCTTGATGGTCAGGCTTTGATCACCCTAGATCACCCTTACGTTTAGGGTAAAGCAGCGACAACTCAGGTTCCACGCCAGATATGGATTTGGAAGGCAAGATTTGTCGGGGGTGACTACATAGTATAGAGGAAGGAAGGAAGGAAGGAAGAGGCTTGGAAGAGGGCCGGTAAGGGGGAGCAGTTCATCGAACTCGATCCTTCGCTCGGCATCTCACTCAGCACCATTTCCAGAGCACAAGCTCCTTACCTCTTTTGTTCTCTTTTCATATTCAGTATTCTGAATACGGGCGATAATCCTACTGGGTCTTTGTCATGCTCTCCCAAAATTAACACTGTTCCAAGCCCCATTCAACTCAAGGTAGCAATATGCATCGACCCGGGCCCCCAAGCGCCCACGGCACCCCCGCCAGTCCTAAAGCTGGTTGTCCGAGTCGCATGAACCAAGACGGATCATCATCTCTACGCCAGTCTATTTGCAACGTAGACGGGCCGCTCATCACCGTTTCCCAGGTTTGCCCCTGGCTCTGGGGCTAGAGACAGGATGACAGCCGGTCACGTCCGAAGAAAATCAGCACAGCGTTTGGAAATGCATTCATGTTCTCACCGATTACGACAATCTGCTTCATCAGTCTGTGCATTCGACGAACGCCCACCCAACTTGCGGACGGGAAACCAACGCCAACCAGCCTCCGTCAAGCACTCAGCCGCCCTTCCGGCACCGACGGCACCCTCAACTGCCCCTCCCAAACCCTCCGAGCCGGGGGTAACATCAAGGCTCCGCACCATCAGCCGCAGCCCGCAGCCAATCGCTGGCACGCAGCTGCATCTTTTTGACAGACGAACAGAGAGGCTTGGCCCCTGTTTCGTTTCACCACGGCTACCTCGCAGAGGCCTCGCCGATGATCTGTGGCCAAGGATGCACCCGTCCCTTCTGTTCCCCCCTCCCCGTATCCTGGAGAGTCTTAGTCTTAGCATTTTTGCCAAAAACTTTACCTTGCTTGACCGTTCGGCAAAGCAAGGTCGTTCCATGTGGGGGGCAAAAGCTGCAAATCAACTGGCGCAAGCGCGCGGACAAGACGGAGGATCGTCACTGAATCAAGGGGGACGGGCATCAAGGCACTGGCTCCTGCGTTCGACTAAAGACTCAACATGGCACCGTTGGCATGCGCATGACCAGCCTTGCTACCCTACCGCTTCGCCCTAGTGAGCCGTCAAAAGATGCTGTGTTCAGGGGGCTGTTCCCTAGTCCTGGTCATCCTTCGGTCAAAAAAAAGACAAACACCTCCTCCTTGCCTGATTTCTCGTCAGTTCGCTTTTGTCTGACTGTGTCACTCACTCGTTTCCACCCACGATCGTTTCCACCCGTCGACTTCGCCCGGCTTGGCTTTTGTTTCCATCGTTTGCTTCGCTCATACAAAAGCCCTTCGTTTCTTTCTCTCTGTCACGGTCACGATCAGTATCATCACCACGCACATCCGTCGCCCACAGCACCCGCACTCCTCTTACACGGCATCAACCGTTCCACAAGACCGAACGAAATGATTCTCAACGGCTTTCTTCCCGTTTCCCTCCTCGCCAGCCTGGCTCTCGCCTCGCCCATCCTTACTATCCGCAACAACAACGCGACAGACATCATTGCGGCCGTCGCGCCAAAGTCAGTATCATGCGCCGGCGTGACGGACTTCCCTGACGAGTGCGCCACCGCAAACCACGCAGCCCAGTACATCCCGGCGGCGTTCCAAAAGTATGGCATCTACCGCCCCGGCGAGATCGCCGGTGTTCTCAGTCTCATGGCATTCGAGACTGGCGATTTCCGCTACTCCCGCAACCACTTCCCCGCGCCCGGCCGCCCCGGCCAGGGCACGCGCAACATGCAGATGCCCAGCTACAACCTGATGTACGCCCTCGCCATCCCCGAGCTCAAGGACAACGCCACCGCCATCGCCGGGGGTGTTACCGACGGCTCGACCCTGTCCGACGACAAGAAGAACGCTATCCTCGACCTCGTGCTCCCCGACGACTACTCCTGGGGCTCGGCTGCTTGGTTCCTGTCGACCCAGTGTGACCAGGGTGTGCGCGACGGCCTCGCTGACGGCACCGTCAAGGGTTTCACGCTCTACATGGAGTGTATCGGCACCTCGGGCACGGAGGACCGCGTCGAGTACTGGACGAGGGCCAAGGCCGCTTTCAACATGGCTTGAGTACGAGGCTGGCCTCCGTACCCATCTTTCTTCAACTTCCTGTACATATAGTTTATTTGGGTTGCATAATGGGATAGGGTATACGGAAATGATAACGAATGTTTTATTTCATTTCAAGAACCGAACGGCAGTGGCCGAGTGAGACAAACGCTACGAGTGTAGCTCCCATATGTACTGACTTTCCCATGTTCAAATTCGTAGTAGCAAAAAAACATGTACGTGCCCCAAAGGTGGGTGTGCGGGGTGGGTATGTGATGTCTCGCGAGCCTCGAAATCTCATGTCACACCCCCACCTTTCGGAAGCAAGAAGAAGAGAAGTTTCCCCCTGAGCTACCGCCCAGTCGCTTTCCTACCATAGGTACAGGTCCGTTGCCGAAGCAAGGATAAGAAAAGTCGAAACAGATACACACGATAAATACACACTACTTAGGAAATTAAGCTGTCGAATGTCGAGTCGATGGATTAGTTGTTTTGTTGTTGTTGTTGGTTTGTTGTTGGACTGTATGCTTGGTGAGTTGTTTCTTTGTCGATTCCTATATGCTATTCTTCAGTGGGTGACACACACGCACACACACGCGTTACAGCTGGGACGACAGGCAAGGCGACGAAGTGATGTTATTAAAACGTCCTATAAAGTCTAAGTTATAATCGGTACTCTCAAAAGCGAGGCGCGTCGTGGAGTGTTGCGCAGCACTCGTGGTCGGAGAAGGCTTGCGACGGGCAGAGGGGGGAGGAGGGGGAGGAGGCTTGCCTATGCCGCCAGCACAGATACCCGTCCCCATGACCTTCTCGGCCGGGACAAACACGAGCGGCTCCCCGGTCCCGCTCTGCGCCCTGAGCACGCCGTTCCCATCCGTCACGTACGGGCGGCACTTGACGACCTCGAGGATTAGCTTGCACGGCCGGAACCCCGTCTCGCCCGGGTTGAGCGACACGCTGAAGGTGTGGTTGCTTCCGACGTTGGAGTACACGCTCACGACCTGGCCGTCGTCGTACCCCTTGCGCATCACGATGACGTGGTCGTCGTTGTAGACGGGCAGGGCGTTGTAAAAGAGGTACCCGCCGTCGAGCGCCGCCAACGTCGAGCGCAGCGCCACGAACTTGGACACCCACCGGTACAGCTCCGACTGCGTGTCGTACCCCGCCAGCCACAGGGCCTCGCGGTTGTACGGCGTGTCGCCGCCCGCGAACCCCTGCTCCAGGCCCTGGTAGATGATGGGGATGCCGTCCATGAGCAGGGTGAAGGTTAGCGCGTTCTTGAGCAGGGTGCGGTCGCTGGTCTGGTGCAAGAAGCGCGCCTGGTCGTGGTTCTCGAGGAAGCTACCGTAGAGGGTCAGGTCACGGGCGAGCTCGGCGAGCTGCTTGACGCCGTTGGCGAGGTTCCAGATGCTCCCCGTCGTCGACTGAAAGGCCTGGGTGACCCAGTAGTAGACGGGGTAGTTCATGACGCCGCTCATGACGTCCTGGTAAGGGGCGACGTAGACCGGGTCGCCGTGGAAGACCTCGCCGATTGCAAACACTCCCGCCGAGGCCTCAAAGGGCGGCCAGAAGGACATCTCGACGTGCTTGGCGCTGTCGAGGCGGACGCCGTCGAACTTGAACTTGTGCACGACACGCTTGATCCACGCGTTGAAGACTTGCCGCACGCGCGGGTCCTCGGTGCGCAGGTCCGGCAGTGAGACGGCGTCGCTGCCCTGCCAGCACTTCTCAACCGACTCCTGGGAGTTGTAGTCGATGACGCAAGGGGGAGGTGGTAGGCCGAGGCGTTGGAGAAGGGGCGGTAGATGGAGAAGTCGACCGTGTTGCTGGGCCCGCGCCAGGCCATGTGGTTCGTCACTACGTCGGCCATGAGGTACATGCCGCGAGCGTGCACGGCGTCGGCGAGGGCGACGAGGTCCTCGGCGGTGCCGAAGCGGGGGTTGACTGACCAGATATCCTGGGCCCAGTAGCCGTGGTACGAATCGCTGGGTTCCTGTTAGTCTTGGTTCTGGGTTTGTTCAACAACCTTTCCGACAAGCATCCCGTGGGTTTTTAATGTAAGCCTCTCACAACCCATCCGCACAACTCCCTTCTCGACCCATCTCACGCAGGAAGAACAAAAGGAGAACTCACCCGTCGAGTGAATTGCCCTGGATATTCTTGACAAAGGGCGAAATCCACACGGCCGTCGCACCGAGGCCCTGGATGTAGTCGAGCCGCTGGGCGATACCCTTCCACGAGCCGCCGCAGTACGTCTGCTCGCCCAGGTCGCACGGCACCGTCGTCGACCCGTCCGTCCGCGCGAACCGGTCCGTCATGACCTGGTAAATCGTCTGAGACCGCCACTCTGCGGGGCTCAGGGCCGAGACCCGGGCGCCCTGGTGCAGGGCGGCGGCCGCTAGAAGAGAGGACCAAGCCGTGAGGGCCTTCATCGTTTCGCGCCGAGCGTACCGTTGCCGTTGTCTTGAGAGAGTGACCGAAAGAAAAAGAAAGGGAGTGACTGAACAACTAAAAAAGAAGGGAAAAAACAACAACAACAAACAACAGAAAAGAGAGTGTATGAAACAAGCCGAATTCGTGAGGAATCGTGAGAAAGAACTTCGTGAATCGGGACGTCGTCGAGTCGTAAACTTATATACTGGTCGTCGCCTTTGCGCCCTCTGCCATAACGGGTCTAGACGCGAACAAGAACCGCAGGCGTAAACGTAAAAATACAACTCTCATAGAGTTTCTAGGGGTGTAGCCGGTATCTTTCAGATTAAGGCGTCGAGTCCATAACTCAGCAGCGTCTCTTCTCAACTCCTCGCTCTATTCACGCTGGTCCGAGCAGGGAACCCCGGAGCGGCCAAAGAGTGCGATCTCTAAAGGCGTGGCTTGTGTGCGCGTTACTGGATGTTCCGGAGTCGAAGGGGCCGGGGTCTCTGAAGTAGCCCGCGAAGCTTAAAAGAGTAGTTTAGATGAGATAGGGGTTAAGGGCTGCGTTCCCCGAGAGCAAGGTACAGATGAGTCTTGACCTTTTTCCCAATGGGTTAGATGCAGTTGGTTGGTTTTGATAAAGACTAGGTTGCTAATTATTCAACCTTTTCGATTGAGTCCCCGCAAAACTGTCAGGAACCAGGAACCAGGCACCAGGGAAGCGACGCGAGTTGACATTTTAATATGTAGCGTAGGCGGGCGAGGTCCCAGGGTCCTACCTAGCTATGTCTGCTCCCCCGAGTATCCAGCAACTCGTCAACAGGGCAAGTCCCGTGGACCCACTCTCTGCTTGTCGATTTTTTTTCCCTTCTTCTTTCATTTTCGGTGTGCGAGGGGCCGACCGCCGTATCCTGTGAAAAAGGGGGTCGTATCAACTGGGGTACGATCGGCCCTATCGGCGAAGTGGTGTTCCCATCCTAGGTCCCTCACCGCCCCGGGGGTGAGATGGACTCCGACTTTTTCTCTGCGTGGGCCGGTGTTAGGACGTCTGCTGAAGACCGGGGAGATAGGCATGTAGAGTTTTATTCAAGCAACGGCCGGGAAATGAAGTTGAAGCTTGGTGGTTCGCCAAGTCGGTGGGACACCGCCGATCCCAAGTTCAGTAGAGAAAGTCTACATTGTAGCATTTACCCGTCCAGGCAAGAGGAGACGAGTTATGGAAGAAAACACGAAGTAAACAGCGTCAGTTACGCCGGTACGGATGCAGCATGTGTCTTTGACGACCTCCTCGCACCGCAGGAACAGCCAGCCGCATGACTCGGCAACGTCAAGTGGACAAGACCATTGTGCCGAACAACCATCGATCAGTAAATAAGGTAACACGAGGTCCCTTTTACTGCCCCCACCACGCGCGCGCAGGCCAAGGCTCCCCCGCATTATTTCCCCAAAAGTGACAGGTTTGACAGTGACACTCTGTAGAGTGTTGTGCGTTCTGCAGGACATCGTCTTCACTAAGCGCCCCCAATCTGTCACCCCCCCCTTACAGCGACTTTCAACCACGAGCCCAAAGGGACGGACCGAATCCTGCTGCATACCGCCGGCGTGGACGCCGAATACCACTCCGGACGGACGGTCGTTCCCCCCTCCCCACGCCCGGTTGGGCAAGTCTATCATTCCGCCCAAATGTGTCACTCTGCGGCCGAACAAACAAACGTGGTCGCTGTTCATCCAATGTGACCCTCGAAACGCGGAGACTCCGCGACTGTCATCACCTTCGGGCCGGTTGACATGACATTCTAGTGCCAAATCGGATCACATCGTCACATCGTACCGCAACTGCAAGGGAAGCTTTGCACGTGTAAAAAAAAAAAGGGAGTAGGGTATTTTGTAATCTTGTCCAACATGGCCTAAAGTGTCAAACACCCTTCTATCCTACCAAGCCCCGTGGCTAACGCGGAGGGGAGTCTATTCCCCGGCTCTCCTTTTCACCCAGCTGAATGGCCCAATCGCTCAGGCCTTCCCGATTCTGTCATTGTAGTCGTCATCACATTATCTACTTCCTGGCTCGATCACCGTTCCACCGCACCCCGAATCGGTCAAACTAGCCGGCCATGTTGTTGCCGTTGACTCTGCCAAAGGGGTTCCCGGAGGCGTCTGTTTCCGGCGAGGACTGACCCGGATAGACCTGCTGGAACCCAGTGTCGGGGGCCCAGTTCGCGTTTTGAGTGTACGTCTCGAAGGCGTTCTAGAAGCAGTGTCAGCAAACAATCCTACCATATCATTGGCGGAGCTGAGAACTTACCCAGTCGAAATTGGCAGGGAAATCGGCGCCAGCCTCAAGGTTCGTAAACATTGAGAATGGTGACCCCGCATTGTTCATACCAAGGTCGCCTTGGAAGTTGGGCGTCATGCCCGTCCCCGCCATAGGTAGTGACACCCCGAAATCCATGCCGCCAAAGTTGGTCGACGCTTGCAAGCTGTTCTCGATGGCAGCTGCCGTATTGGGCGTCATTCCACCGGACAGCATGCCCAACGTCATAGCAGCGTTGTGCTCCGACTCCATCTCGGGGCTGCTGTCGAAGGGCGGGTACAAGTCACCCTTCAAGGCCTCCTCCTCAGCGGTCGGACTCTTGATCTTCTGCAACATGATCTCGAGGACCTTTGACGCCTTGTAGGCCTCGATCGACCCGTCGGCGAGACCTTCCCATATGTCTTTGGTAAGCTCGAGGCTCCTAATCATCTCCATCCTTTGCTCCAGCGTCCAGAACATTACTGTCTCCGACGCTCTGCGATCACTGCTCGTCTCGGCGACTCGATCAAAGTGGAGGTCAAGAGCGACCAGCGAGGCTGAGAGGAGGAAGTCCTTGGTCGCTATTGAATTGACAAACCACCTGAGAGACCGGAGTCTGCCATTTGGCTGTGATTCCCGATCAAGGGTGATCAAATGCCGCAAGGTCTCCAATGCAGCCTCGACCGCGGTCCTACGTGAATAGGCATACCGCGGGTTGCGTCTGGCCCGCGGAATGTACTTCTTGTGCAACAGGCAGACGATCTTGTTATAAAGGACGTTGATATTGAACCTCGCAACGATCAAGGTGACGGGATCGTGTGAGCCCTCCATGGAAGCCACTTTGAGATGCGGCGGGATTTCATCGTTGATTTCCCGAAGGCGGGCGTCAAACCGCAGAATTTCGTCGTACGGTAGTTGTCTGCCCACCCGGTTGGTTGCCTGTAAAATGTCGCCCATCTCGGTGGACAGCCTTGATTTCGCAATCATGTACGCTATCGGAGTTGGCTCCGTCTTCGGCCGCGAAGGGGGCAGAACCTTGGTGTCCGGTCCGAACTCCTCATCGAAGATGTTATTCGGCAACTGAGTATCGCAATCGTGGCCGTATATCATCGATGGGAGACCGACCTGATGTGAAAAGAACACATCGGCCATCCTCACCAATGCCCACGTTCGCCTCCTCATTTCCTGGCAAAAGGCGTCAGCTAACACTCGAGAATCATGTTGCTCTGGGGGACTTACAGCTTGGAAAGGGGTAATAGTGGGGAACCACTTTGCATCGCGGTGGTAACCCATCCGGAACCCAACTCTGATGAGTAGCGAGACGATCAACCAGATGCCCAGATCGGCATCCCACCTTGACGAGTATTCCCCAAAGACGTAGAGAAGCATAGTCTCTACTGTGTACTCGACTGGCTTCGTGTAATCGGCGGCAACCAAGCATTGGACGGTCCGCAGCCGGTACTCTGCTGCCAAATCCAATGCTCTTCCTTTCCACTCAGGCGGCTCATCCCCAACCTTGTGATAGCTCAGCATAGCGAGGCACAAGATCGAGTACAGAAGGCCCAGCCACATGATTGGCGTTTTTGAAGGGTCTTGCCAATGTGCGCGAAGTTGTTGCTGGAATGTCGGCGCGTGGATGATGTTCACCGCATTGTCCATCGAGTTGAAGTATCGTGAGCAAAGGGCCAGAATGGCCGACTTGGGCGGTAGCTCTGCTCGCAGCTCGACTTCGCTAGCGGGCGTTGCTCCCAGGAGAAACGTGGGCCCCTCTCTAGCGCTGGGCGGTTTTGACATCATGACCTTTTCGTAGCTCCTCTCCAGATCTTTCTTGTGGTTATTGAAGTAAGTCTTGACCTCTGATATATCCTTCAAGATCGTGTGCCAATGCTCCTGGCCGATATACATGGACTTGCCCTTTTCAGTGTCGACTTTCAAAACACCCAAAGAAGTCGCCAACTCGCCATCAGGATCGCTGTCGTCGTCCTCGTCGTCATGCATCTGTGCTTCGTCGTCGAGGTCTACCTTTGCCGACGGAGGTGTGCTGTCGGTGTTCGATTTCCCGGTCGACGAGCCTGTTGCTGCGGCGGCTGCTGCTGCGGTAGAGGGATCAATAGTGGCACCCCCGTGCATCAAAGACAAAACTAGGCCTTCTAAGCGGTCAATACGATTCTGCATATCATCAGGGCTCGAAGCGCCTTGACTTTGATTCTTTTTACGAGCGGAAGGAGTCGCGTAAGAACATGAGGATGTGTCACCGCCCTCACGCTTCACGCAGTTACTGCATGGGTGACCCCTATCGCACTTCCTATGGCATGGTTAGTTCACAGGGGAGGTTGTGTTCCGCAGAAGTCTTACAATCTACGAGACGCGTTAGCAAGTTGAAGCGTAATGGCGGGATTTGCTTTCATGCTTACTTCCTAGTCCGACATGGGTAACAGCTGAGAGGAACTCTGTTTCTCTTCCTCACGACTCGGAACTGCTCCTCAGGAGAGCGACCCGACCCTGAGGAGGGCGTCGTGGACGGTGGTGTGGGAGTCATTGTGGCAATAGAGTCCGTGGAAAGAAGATACGCTTTGGCCGCGACTGGTGACGACTTCCACGGATTGAAAGGTGAGTGTTTGGACTTAAAGTCTTGTCCGACTGAACACACGTGGATGCAGTTCCACTGCCTTGGGAGACGAGATGAGAGCTACTGCAGATGATCCTTATACGACAGGCCCCTGATCCAAGGCTCGACAGGAGGGCCGTCAGATTCCCAAAAGGATACAAAGGTAGCCACTGGAACTATGACAAACGGCCGGTGGGTGGCAGCCTAAACCTGTAGGTCGGTGGAATTATCGCGCGCTTCAGCAAGGGTCCGTCCAAACGGATGTTGCGCAAATAGCAGGAGCGTCGGGCTGCTAGACCGTTGCTCCTGGAAGTTCGTTGGAGGGGCGGAATGAGACTTCTGACTACGTCCGATGTCGACGACGTCGTATCGGCGACGAGTTGCTTCTCGCCGAGCTCTTGGCCTCTCAGGACGTGACCGATGCAGGATAGTCTTGCGTCTGGATAAGCAGCAGATGTAGCTGCAATATTGCGACGGAACAGGGAACGCAGGTTCGCCACAGTTTCGAATCGATCTCGGTAATGGCGAATCGAGTCGGTCGGCCCGCGTACCACGAGGATTGGTGAAGGGGGGGGGTCGGGCCAAATCCCGCGAGGCGCACGGCAGATGTGTAGAGACGGCTGGCTTGAGGGACTAGGTAAGATTGCGGGCGCAATAGATGGCGGCGTCGATGTCCCGCGCGGTGCTCGTTGCAAGTGTCGGAAAGTGATAGCGCAGCCGGCGCGGGGGAGGATGAAAGGATTGCGGGAGAAGAAGGCAAAGTCTCGTAAGGTCGCGATCACTTTGACGGCGGCGGCGTCAGCTTTTGGTGGTACGGGTGATGGAAGGGTTGCATCGGTCCGCGACAAAAAGAGACCCAGAGTACGGGATGCAAAGTCACCACTCACCGCTGAGAAAGGTACTTTGGCTCAGTGCTAAGTTTGGCGCGTGAAGGAAGAGGGCGGAACGATGACCAAACCACGAATTGGCAATATTCCCCTCGGGATGTCGCCGTGAGAGGTTTGAGGCGGACCAGGTTGCGCGACTTGCGAAAGTGGCAGACGAGGGCAAGGAAGTGGATGGGAGAGGTGAAGTCGTAGCCGACACACTCGGAAGATTCAATAATATCATGAACAGAGCAAACCGCCCGCATCAGCTTGATCGGCACCCCCCAGCGCTGATTGGCAAGGGGGGACGGGATGGCATAACTGTACCTAGGTACGCAAGGGGGGGGCTGCTTTGAGGGTACCCGCCACCAGCAATCCCTCTCTCTTGGAGGTAACTCTACCGGTACTGTCCCGAGAAGCTGGCGTGTGATTATGTCGATACCAAGTACACAGCATTTTATTCAGGTATGGCGGCTTACATGTGCCGTGCTGGTGCCTGCTGGTGGCCTGCTGGCTCAGTACGAAAACGTGACGACGGTACCTAGGGGTCTCGAGTTGCAGTAGGTTGCGGGACACGCACGCATGCTTGGCTCATCAGGACTCAGGCAACCTGCCGCCCCCTGCTGTTCAAACCCCCCGCCCGGGAACTGCCTGCCAGATGCCTCTATCGTATTACATTTAGGAGCCCTAGGAAATCTTGGAAACTCTATCCCTCACCCAACAGTGAGTATCTTGGCTGGGATGGAACCCTGAATAAAGCAGGTTGCCAGCGGCTCAAAAAAACCAAGTCCAGACCTGCGCCGGAGTTAACGGAGACAAGAGCGGGTTCTCCTGTCATCAGCTACCGTCCAGTCTTGCGCTCAATTTCTTTTCAGTTGACACTGCCAGTGTAAGAGATTCAGCGTGGCATATACCAAGAGTCATTCAGTCGAGGCCGAGGAGCAATGAAACAATAAAAAAAACCCCATCCTAGCCTCCGTGACTCCACGGCTCTGCGACGAGTCTCTGCGCAGTCCGCAGTTCATTCGAACATTGCGCCGGAATATCATCGGCTCCTCGCTCGACTCACATCAAGCTGAGGAGACGAGACCGTCTTGCCCACGCGGTATGCCTGAGTCAGTGACCAAACAAGTTGCAATTGTGAAAAGCTTGCTTCGCGCATGCCAAAAGTTATGAAGTCGTTCCTTGGGACAAGACGCGGTGCATCATTCTCCTTATCGTCTATCTCTTCTAGTGATACATTGTATTAGGTATGTAACGATCGGTGATCAGAGGGGGACGTCCGAACTAGTGATGACGAAAGCGGGGTGGCTTGGAGACTCCAGACCCCGGTAGGAAAGCTTGCTCCACTTGGTGCATAACCGTCCTGGCTGCTAATAGCAACCCGTCCTATGTAGTGTACTCAACGTCAAACCGACCCCAATTCTCCCGCCTACCTATGTACGGACGCAGCATACGACCGATGCAGCAGCAATACGCGCCGTACATCAACAGTGCGCCCGATTGCTGAAGCCCAACGTCCAATCTTCACTTGTACCGATAGTTACACAAGCCATGAGACGTACGCAGCAGCCTGGACAGAGACCAACAACTCTTCTGTCAATCTTGTCGGTGGCTCCGTCCAGCCAATCATCACCCCGTTACCTTGCGTCGACAGGGGTGCTGTTTCTCTTCTCATGCGCGGTTTCTCACTCTCTCGCCGGATGACTCACCCCTCCCCATGGCATGGCACATTAACCGAGGGGGGGAAAACTCACATCATGATCGTTTGTTCCATCGTCTAGAACCATCTAGAGCTAACAGACGTTTCTATCGCCGAGGACGTGTGTCGTATGCCGAGTTGGAGTCTGTCGTCGCGCCCCGATTGTCAAAGGTACATCGCTGGCCCAAGTCAAATCGTCTAGAAGATGCGTTCCAAAGCAACCATGGCGGCTCATCACCGTCTAATCATGACGTCGGCAGTCTGCCACAAACTGCTCTGGATCACCGCCCCTCCGCTGGCCAACGTCGGTACCTCTCCCTGCCCCGTGAATGAAGGCCCATCCTCCACTATCTCTTTCTCTTTCTCTCACGTGGAAAGACCATTAGGGCAGGGCGCTGGTCGCCAACTCCATCCACTGGTAAGGCGGGGCACCGCCAAGTGGTTGACTTAGTCTATTCAGACCTCTGCCCTGCAAGGCTCGTAAAATTTGCGCCGACAGCAAGGCTAGACTAGCTAGCAACCAGTGAGGCGGCTCGAGCTCCCCAGTTACTCAGTGGATCCCAATTAGTAATCAGAACCAACCGAATCGCTCGTTCGCCCCTCCCGTCAGTACTATGTACGTAAGCCTGGAGAGTCTTCGGCTCCTGCCGAAACGCAGGGCCAAGCCGTCGGGACTGTACTTGGTTTGATCCGACTGTCGCCATATGACGCCAGGCGTGGGCAGCCAATCCATCGTTCCCCTGCGCAAGAATCCAGCCTTTCGGCAGTTCAAGAATAGAACTTCTCGCCCGGTAAGACAGTGCTGCGATCCCACCTTGCGGAACAGATCCGATCGAGTTGTTTAGTGTGTGCTTGCTGTGCTGCCTGACAAAAGTGCCCCTAGCGGGGACAGCGTACAAGCAGGGCGTCGACGGTGCTCCTACAGGAGCAAACATACCTAGTGCTTGATCGGGGGCTTTGTTACATGGACGGTTGTTTCGAGCTAAGACCCAAGATACCAACAAGATCCTGAAGTGCCGGCAAGAACATACTTCTCTGATCGTTAGGCCTTACCAGGATCGTGTAGCGGATGTCCAAGGCCAGGCCCGCTCAGACTGAGCGTATGCTTCTCGACAAAGTCAATCAACCTACCAGGCGAGGCGCGTGCACTTCCATCAAGGCAACAACGGACGATGCTGCGGACCGAAAGCAAGGACTCTGTGGCTACCGGCTATTCCTTGCTGTACCAGAATGCAGCGGGGGTCCAAACCGTTGCTCGAGATCTTAAGTGAAGACGTTGTAAGGCTGAATGAGCATCGTCCATGGGTATGGCCCGTCATTCCACTACTCATAGTGGAAACCATGAGCGCGGTGCTAATGGGCATAACCAACCATGGAATTTCGCCGTCGACAGTCACCATGGTCATTCGGGAAAGCCAAAGTGGAGCAATCTTGCCGTGAAGTCGGAGTTCTCATTTCTATCTCGCTCGCTCAATCATCACTCATGGGCACGGCTCATGATCCATATGCAAGCTCATCAGTCGTCTGCTAAACAAAGAGCCCCTCCAAAAGATGCAACGCCTCTAATGCCACGAAATCAAGCCACGAAACCAATGCAAACCAAGTCAGGCAGCGAACACACAAAGACCCCTCATGCCAGGTTGTTCTTGATGTTGGCGTACTGGCTGTTGGGATAGTTCAACAAATTCTGCGTCGGGTCGAGGGTGCCCATCTTGCTCGCCAGCGCGCCCACGAGACTGCCCTCGCCCTTGCGGTCCCCGGCCGCCTCCCAGAACACGGCGCCGCCGAGTTTCTTGTTGAGGAGGTAGTCCGCCTTGAAGTTGGCGCTCTGGACGTTGTCGTACGTCACCAGCTCCCGGGAGCTCGAGTCGTAGCTGTACAGTGCGCCGGCCGTCTGGTCGAATACCTCGACAGCGCCGGCCCGTGGAAGGACCTTGTAGTGCCACACGCCCGGCTCGATGGACCCCTGCCCGATTCCCTGGTACGGCTTGCCGATGCCGTCCGTGTTCAGGAACGAGCGGCCGTAGAGCGGCAGGCCCAGGACGATCTTGTCGGAGCGGATACCCTGGCCGAGGTAGTACGCCAGCGCGGCCTCGGTGCTGAACTTGGTGGCCTCCGGATTGGACGGGTCGGGAAAGAGGTTGGCCTGGTGGCCCGTCGTGGTGTCCCAGGACCCAGCGTAGTCGTAGGCCATGAGGTGCCACGCATCGACGTAGGGGTCCATGCCGCGGAGGTCCATATTCTGGTAGTGCGTCGGGCCGGCCGGGCAGGCGATGGTCAGGGCGAAGTGGTATCCCGGTGCATACTGCGCGGCGTGCTTGTCGAGCTCCTCGCGGCAGGTCTTGAGGAGGGCGACAAAGTTGGCTGCTTCCTGGGCGTTGCTGGGGTACTCCCAGTCAATGTCGATTCTGTGTTGTTGGTTAGCCCCGGACTTTGAGCATCGTGTGTCCCATCGAGAGGGACTTACCCGTCAAAGCCCCAGTCATGCATCAGCTTGATGGCCGATGTTGCAAAGCGCTGGCGGCCCGCGTCGGTTGCGGCGACGGGCACAAATTTTGGCGACCAGGTCCAGCCGCCGATGGAGAGGATGAGCTTGAGCTGGCGGTTCTGCTTCTTGAGGGCGTACAGCTGCTTGACGCATCCGTAGGCATTTCCGGCCTGGCTTGAGTCGCCCGGGTACTGTCGTTGAGTGTCTGACCAGGGGTCGGACGAAATTCTGCGGCTGTTAGTGTCTGGCATCGGCAAGCCTGGTTGGCATCGTTGACTTACACCTCTCCATCGGCAGCGATGTCGGCAAAGGAGTAGAGCAGATGCGTCACCTTGTCGGCGGGAATGTCTGCTGGCTGATAGTTGGCTCCGTAGACGCCCCTGAGTCTGTTAGCAACACTGTCCACTGGTCTTTGAACGGCTCAACGCACCAGTTCGTGAAGTACAGCACATTTCTGTAACCCGATGGAGGTGCTCCCGGGCTCGCGACTGGTGGAGACACACCACCGGTGCCCGATGTCCGAGGCGGGGACACGCTCGACGGAGCCGAGGGCACCGCAGAGGAGATCACGGACGATGGGGCCACGGACGATGGGGCAACGGGCGATGAGGCGACGGACGATGGGGCAATGGGCGATGAGGCGACGGGCGATGAGGCGACAGGCGGAGCCGGCCCTGTCCCTGAGGAACCAGGAAGAAAAGGGGTCACGACGATGGGACCCGGACCCGGATCCGAGGAAACCACCGGTGGGCTGGAGGCCGTGGCCGCTTGTGATGATGGTATGGTAACCGCTGTAGACTGAACGGCGGTCTCTGGCCTTTTGCAACTTGGCCGCGCCGAGCGGCGCTCGTTCGCCGGCACGGCGCCCGCGATGGACGCAAGGAGAAGGTGTAGGAGGAGGGTTGATCCAATCATGGCTGCAAACTAGTGACTGGAGAGGGCTGGTGATGATCGACAGGGGAAGAGTAAAAGGGAGAGGCAATAAAGAGCATTGTTGAGAAAGACGGAGGTTCTTATTGCTTTCTAAATCTCTTGTCTCTTGGGAGAGGCCGAGGGGTTGGCGAGAGGAGGGGAGAGGGGCGAGCTGAGCTGCATCATGGGAGAGGAATGCGCAGAGTTGGTGGCACAGTTGACCAACCACCAAACCCCGGGCGGGTGGTGGTGAAAAGAAGTCAGAATGGGAGGTCGTAGTCTGCCTCGCTCGCCGGCCCCTTGATATCAGGGTTCGTGATCTGGAGACCGGCTGCCACATCGAGGAATGGGGGCCACTATGGGGATTCGGAGCCCCAACTCATGGGACGTCCGAAACATGTACCCACGAACAAGGGGAATTTGAGACTCGAAAAGACACTTGTTTTGGTCCGGCTTGCTCTAGGGTGAGGATCACTCGTATCGCTAGACCATGAATTTCTTCCGAGTTATCAAGAAACCATCCAATCACGCTGATCGAGTTCGGTCATCGTGTTCTTCAGCACTTCCATGACCGGCAGGAGACCGGCAGGGGGGAATGTCTTGACCCATGGCGGTAGTTTGGACTGACAGACCCAATATCGTTACAACAATGTTTCCTTGCATACGATTTCCTGTTGCCTGCAGACAATGCTTCGAGTCGGTTGGGCCCCACGCAGAACGATGGGATGTCGTTGAAGCGAGGGTGTGCTAAGTTCTGCAGGTTCGCAGTCGGGACGCCGGACAGCCGCAGGTGGCGGCGCATCGACCCCCGCTTTCTCTCCAGGCACGCTGCACTGCGACACGCTGAAGAATGAACCCTGCCACACGAACGCAGCGGGACCGCCCGAGGCCCTGACAGCTGCCATCCCATCCTGGGGCTTGCGTCCACGACCTCGAACGCTTCCAAGACTGTCCGTCTTCTTCTCACAGTTGAGAACAACCTGGGACAGATTGGGTAGGAAGATCGGTTTTCAAGATGCCTGTACAGTCTGGAGTTGCGGGACTTGAGCCACGCATGGGCGAGCCTCCCACAGCGAGCTATAGATCCACGTTCCAGCGGCCAACCTCACTTACAGACCCATATGGTTGGAATGGTGCGCCGCCCTCAAAATCAATGTCTCGGCCAAAACGTCGTTCCAGGCAATGCACTTTGGACCTTGTCCCAACTTATCGATCAAGGGCAATTCGGTATTCAATAGCTTTGTTTCATGGTCTCAGTTGCAGTAATAATAATTTTGACAACCAACACCAAACTCGGTGTACGCAGGGCTGACGGCAGCGGCCCCTTCGCTTTAAACTCTCAGTATTTTGAGTCTAGACTTTCACGAAAGGCATTCCAACAATCTGATGCCCCTGCTCCCCTTTCAGCCCCGTCTCATGCAACGCCAATGACAGGCTGATCCCACAATAGCACCACTAACATCACCACTTGTGATAGTAGTATTGTAGGCCGGGTCTTCCTCACATTTCCAACGCTCCCTCGCCCTTGAACCCCTCCCTTTCCATCAACCCGCCCCTGCGCCTCGACCGCCATCAGCGCAGCAGGCATCGCAGCAACAAAAAAAAAACCCAACCTGCCCAGTACCTCTACCCAGTACATCCCATCCGCCTCCAGGATCCAGCCCCCGTGCCCTTTCTCATACACCAGGAACCCGAGAACCACCTCCGTGCCGGCGAGGAACGCCTTCGCCAGTCCGCCAACGGCAAGCCGGAACCATGCCAAGCGCGGAACGTCGTGGGCCACGAGCTGTTTGCTGATGTGTGCAGAGGGTCCACGAGAGCAACGTGCTTATTGTGAAGGTGAGGAGGAAGTATGGCAGCGCGATGGGGAAGATGGAAACAAGCGATGGCGACGTCCCAGAAGATTTCGACGACCAAATCCGTCGTCTCAAAGAGGTAGGTAGTGTCCCGTCATACCATGTCCAGCGAGGGAACGTGTCTTGGTGATGTGCAAATGTCTTTGACTTGAATTGATTGACCTTCTTGTTCTCTTTAGTTTCTCCCAAACTGCCAGAGCCCAGCAATTTACTGTCTCCTATATACTTCAATCTGTGCTCACGCAATTCTGTCCTGCTGTTCTGCTGATTTGACAGTCTCATGAACGCCGGGTGTATGGGGTGATCGTGGAGTGATGACATTTGGGGGGTTGCGGGCAGTCTAATACAGTGCCATGCCGCACAAGGCTCCGTACAAAGGGAAGCTGGTGATCGTCCCTACCGAAACCCGAAAGTCTCAGTATAGACCGTGCCTGGTTTTGTCCGACTGCCATCGCAATGTTGTAGGATGAAGTGTAATTTTGGGGGGTATCGTGTCTGTCTCCTCACTCCTGTAAATGGGGGGCATTCCTCTTGCGTTCCATCTTCTAAACCTGTAAACCAAATAAAACGATCCGTCCGACTCTAAATCTCCGTCTTGCCCAGCTTCTTGGCCAGATCGTCCACCTCCTTGTCCTTGAGCTGCACGGTGGGCTCCTCCTGAGCCTCCTCGGCCTCCTTGATGAGGATCTCGGCTCTCGTCGCAGGCTCCAGCTCCTCCTCCTCCTCCTCGTCAGAGTCCTCTCCCTCGAGATCGCTGAGGCTGTCGAGACCCCATGCGTCTTCATCGACAACGTCACCACCAATCTTCTCCTTGCGCTCCTCAAGCTGCTCGCGGATAGAGATAACAGAGGGGTCCTCTTCCTCGAACTTGTTGCCGTTGAGCTCAACCTTCTTCAGGGCAGGCAAAGAGTCGGAAACGGCGCTCGCGATGCCAGCCAGGGCCTTGGGGGTGATGTCGTTGAAAGCCAGACGGAGGATCTCGAGCTTGTCCTGCTTGCCCTTAGCAAGTGCCTTGGCGACGAGGGCGGTACCCTTGGCCGTGAGGTAGGCGTCGTTAAGACCCAACTCCTGAAGGTGTGTCCAGGTCGGGAGAACGCTGGCAACAGCCTTGGCGCCGGAGACGGTGAAGGTGTTGTCCTGGAGATCGAGGATGCGCAGCTCGGTCGCGTGGTTCAGACCCTCGCTGATGAGGTGGCTGATACCCTCCTGGCGAATTCCGTTCTGGACCATCTTGATCTCCTTGATCTTGTTGTGGAGGCTGAAGGCCTTGGCCCAGGCCTGCATGCTACCATTCTCCAGACGGTTGCGACCGCAGATAACAGTCTCAAGGTACGGGACCTCCTTGCCTTCCTTTCTCGCCTCCTCCTTCTTTGCGTGCAGCTCAGAGAGCGCATTCGCCACCAGGATGCCGGCGTGAGGACCGAGACCATTGTTGTTCAGGTACAGGTGCTGGAGGGGGACGTGGGCAGCCAAGAAGGCAACGACGGGCGCCTGGGTGTTGATGCCGAAAGCATTATCGTTCAGATTAATCGTCGTAAGCTTGGGGAGGTTGAGGATCGAAGTAAGGAGGGAGGTCAGAGCCTCCGGGATTTCGCTCAGGAGACGGCCAGTGAAGATGTCGGAGAGGTCGGCAGACTGGTTCATTTCGTTAGCAGTTGCGCATGAGTCTTGGCGTCGCAGCAGCGTACCTGGAGGTTGTTCTTAGTAGCCAAAACCTCACCGAGAAGCTTGCAAGCGCCGACGCCCAGGGTGTTTCCCAGGAACTTGACCTCCTCGACATCGGTCGAGCGCAACTCGGCGATGTGGGGTTCAAGGTCGGCAGCAGTGTCGAGCTTGAGACCCTTTCCCTCAAGGGAGAACACCTTGCGCGAGGACGCCATGATGAGTATGATGATGTGCAAAGAGAAATAGAGTGCTCGGGGCAAGGTGGCAGCGAGTGCGCAAAATGAGTGTCTGTCCGGGTGTGTGGTGTTGGTGGGGGCGGGGGAATAAACAAAACGATTTCGACTTTCAAAGACCCCTCGAGTCATAGTTGCAGGGGAGGAACCCGGGTGGATGCCAGGCACGAACAAGGGGCGGGTCTGCCAGCTGTCAGGCTCAGCCCCAGCTGATGGACACTGGCCACGGGCCACGGATACTCCAGTGAAGTTGGTCCGCTGATTGGACCCACCTTCCAGAGCTCCGTGAGCCATGGGCTCGTCGCGACACTGGTTCGAGCCCAGGCGCAAACATCATTAAAGTTGCCAGGAGCGAGGCCTATGTGATTACTCCAGCGATTGGTTTGCACTCGATTGGATCTTGCCATTTAACCCATCATCTACGATTCCCCCACTGGCAACCATCTATCTTCTGCCATCTCACCTCCTAATTCACTATCTCCGGCGACGATTGATCCTGCACGTCTCAGCAGCAGACAGCTGACGATAATTCTTGCATCCCTCGAAGAGCATTTCCATCCCTAAGACGGCGCAGCATGGCTCGTGGAGACTCAACACCGCCCGAATCGCCTCTGTCCTCAATGGACAACAGCGATGCTTCCGATGAGGAGGTCCACGACTACGAGGACGAATCGCTCCTCCGCCCTTCGAAGCGACAGAAGCTGGGAGCGGCCTCGACGACATCTCCTGCGGTCGCTGCCGAACCCGAACCCGAAGCAGTGCCCGAGCCGGACCCATTGGATGGCATGTCGGACGTCTCATCGGACACTTCTGGTGACATTCCCAGCTCCCCCATCAATGCCAAGCTCGACGAAGAGGACTTCCAAGAGCAGGTCACGGCTTGTGCTTGGGAAGGCTGCGACGCGGGTGACTTTGGCAACATGGATAAGTTGGTGGACCACATTCACAGCGATCACATCGAGAGCCGACAGAAGAAGTACACGTGCGAATGGATTGGATGCAACAGAAAGAGCATGGGCCACGCCAGCGGCTACGCGCTCAAAGCCCACATGCGTAGCCACACTAGGGAGAAGCCCTTCTACTGCTACTTACCAGGTATGCTACACCGGTCTCCCGTCGGTCCGAATGTAATGGCTGACCGAAACAGAATGCGATCGCTCGTTTACGAGATCTGATGCCTTAGCGAAGCACATGCGGACCGTTCACGAGACCGAGGCTCTGCGCCCTTCCGACCCTGTTCCCAAGTCTATGCAGGCCGGCCCTACAGGCAAGGGCAAGCTGAAGATCATCATCAAGACCCCTCAATCACACGCCGCTGGGCAGGACGACGCCATCGACGATGGCGTGGATGATGATGAGCTCTCGGCTGACCTGTTCACGCCTTTGACCGAAGAGCAGGGCTTTACCCCCGAGGAGCTCAAGATACCTCTCGAGAAACTTTACAAACTTTGCAGATTCCAAGTCAAGTGGGCCCAGGAGGAATCGGCTAAGCTTGCGGAAGAAGTGAAGTACTGGGAGAAGCAATACAAGGACCTCTGGCGCGAAAAGGAAGTTCTCTTTTCCCAGGTTGTGAAGAGCGAGGTCGACTGGCATGAACGTAGACAGGCGGTGCTTTCGGGCGCGGCAGACGTTCAACTCTCGGGCGTGCTTGAAAGCCAAGAGGGCAACACGGCCGCAACAAACGGCGATGGAGCAGACTCTCAGCAGGGTTCTAGCGCGAAAGAGACTCTGGCCAACGGGACCGGCTCGACAGAGGTTGCGGCAGCTAGTTAGAGTCGGCCGGTAACGTCTAAGAGCTGCTTGGGGAATACATACTGGAATGGCGACCTCGGAGAATTTGCAGGGGAACCGCTGGGCATGGGCGAGCCGAAAGTTCCCTGCATCTATTGTGGCCAGGAATATTCTTACTATTATCTTGTCGTAACACATGAGCAGACCTGTCTAGGTCTACGTGCATTCCTGACGACTGAAGACAAGACGACACAGACAACGACTTTGACGCCTCCGAGGCCAAAGCAGACCATACGGAATATGCGGGAGACACAGCAATACCATACTCCACCTAGCAAGGACTTGTCAACCGTGCGGAAGAGACGACGAGTCCACAGTCCTCCTAGCAAGGCCTACCATAAGACAGAACATGCTTTGGAACTCGCTGGAGGAGAATGGTCTCAACTACTCTGCATAATAAACAGCAGGGAATTTGGCGTGGAGTAGGTGGACCCCATGGTCTGCATGCAGTGACGGGCGTCAGGGAAAGTTTGGCGAGAAGCAAATGGGGAAAATGGCGCATGGCGTATTGTATCACTAGAAGGATGGTTCATTGTTGGCTGTAATTGATGAGCAGCGGCACAGTCGCCTTTACAACGTCTTGATATTGGTCACCTCATGTTGCGTGTGTGGACTTTGACAAGACATGTGAATTGTGTACATTATGACTACATGGCTCTCGACTCCGCAAGATATTGGAAACGACGATGCTGTGCCGACTTCCAAGGCGCCTGTTGTTTGACTGCGCGTTTCGAGGCAGCGACGTTGACTTGGTCAGTGAGAAGCAAAACGCACACTTACATTCCCTTCTTCTTGGTGCGGTAGGATTCGGCATTCTTGAAGGGGAACGAGCTCGTGTCCTTGTCGTAGCCGTGCTTCTTGCTGCGGCGCGACTTGTCGCCGGCGAACATGAGGCACCAGAGGCCGAAGACGGCGAAGACGGTGCTGCCAAGGCAGCCGAGGACGAAGGCCGTCTGGCCCGTCCGCAGATACCTGCTGTAGCAATAGAAGCCGGCGGAGGCGTGGTGGATGGAGGAGAGGACCAGGGCGGCGTTGGCGTAAGGCGAGACGGTCCCCGGGGGCGCTGTTGGGGGTGTAAGTACGACGCGGAGAGGGTCCTGGGTAGGCAAGAAGACGGGCGTGACTTACTTTGGTCCTCGGATGTGAGGGGGATTGCGCCGGAGAGGGTCACGACGAGGAGGCCGAGGGTGAGGAGGGCGAAGCCTAGGGAGCGGGCAAAGTAGTCTTCAAGAGCTGGTGGGTGGTAAAGTTGTCAGTTCACATGTCCCCGGGAGGGGCAGGGGATGTGAAGGACTCACAGCCTGCGGCCTGGTAGTCCTCAGGACGGAGGAGGTTGGTGATGAACCCAGGCCATATGATGAGCGGGACGGCCTGGGTCGCAAGCCAGCCCAGGTTGCCGAAGCTGAAGGTTGATATCGCCTGTCGCCAGAGGAGCTTGTCAGCAACATTTGTGATGCGCGGGATGGGCGGGGAGATTGCACGTACGTCCATTGTGGTGTTTGAGGGGGCAATCAGTAACCAGGTCCTGAATATTTTCTGCTTGCGGGCGGTGAGGTTGCTAATGGAATGTTATAGCCTTGGGAGCGCGCAAGGGAATATCTCGAAGCTGGGCCGGAGCTTCAACAAGCTCCATCACGCGTGGATGACCTCAGGTAAACGGTACGTAGAGCAAGGCGGTGCCAGTACGACCAGCGACGTCATTGGGCCGCCCCCCGGCCCGTCGAGAGGCGCGCGTCCACCCCTTGCTGTGCCTGGCCTGCCAGCTGCACCACCTGCAAAGAATGCCCCTGTATTTTTGGGCCTCTCAGGCCCTCTCAGGGGTCCTGGGCCGATGCCGCCCGCGGGGGGCGCTTTCCCAGCAGCCATCCACCCCCTTCGCCCGCTTTTTCTTTGCTAATCCGCCACCTGCCGATTTCGCAGCGCGTGCCCTGTGGGTTCCCCAACTTTGCCTGGCCGGCGACGTTTCCCCTGCAAAAGCCCAGTGGTGGGGGGCTGATTTGCAATCACGTCCCGTCGATTTTATTTTTCCTTAGCTGCCGAGCCGTCAACCATTTGCGCATCTCCGGGTTCGCGGAGTCAGAGAGAGAGGGACCACTCACTCCCAGCAACATTCTGACAAAAAGGCGACCTGGGTTCTTATCTGTTGCCTTTTTTCTTTTTCTACAAGAGGTGCTGATTGTTGGATCTGCCCGACTCCTCTACAAGTTCTTGCGGCCCTGTCCTTCCTATTTCTCTTCTTTCCGCATCGCAACGCAAAGCGCATTGCCCCGCCATTGTCGACATCCCACCACCCTCACCAACCCTACTCTCCTAACCTCTCACGACTCGCCCCTCCCCCCAAACCGACAAGATGAGCGCGATCCTCTCGGCAGACGACTTGAACGACTTTATAAGTCCAGGTGTCGCCTGCATCAAGCCGATCGAGACCCTCCCCTCCGCCCCGCCACCGTCGTCGCAAGACCCCTCCCTCGAGCACGAAGTGATCCTCGACGGCCAACCCGGCTCCGCCGCCGCGGCAAACGCCCCGCCCGCCGAGATCTCCCTGACGGACTGCCTCGCCTGCTCCGGATGCGTCACCTCCGCCGAGGCCGTCCTCGTGAGCATGCAGTCCCACACCGAGGTCCTCAACACCCTCGACTTCGGGCCCGCGCTGCGCATCGTCGGCCCGGACGGCAGCGGCCAGTTCCGCGTCGACGGGCTTGAGGACGAGAGCCGCAAGCTGTTCGTCGCCAGCGTGTCGCCCCAGACGAGGGCGAGCCTGGCGGCCGCAGCGGGCAAGGGAACGACGGAGAAGGAGGCAGGGTACATGCTCGAGAGGCTGCTCGGCGGCCCCGAGGGCCTCGCGAGCGCGGGGAAGCACAACAACGGGTTCACGTGGGTCCTGGATACCAACGTCGCGCGCGAAGCGTGCTTGGTCCTCGGCGCGGACGAGGTCTTGGGCGCAGAGGACGCGCCTGCGTCGTCGGCAACCAAGCCCATCCTCACGTCGTCGTGTCCCGGATGGGTGTGCTACGCCGAAAAGACGCACCCCTACGTGCTCCCGCATCTGTCGCGGGTCAAGTCGCCTCAGGCGCTGATGGGCACGCTGCTCAAGACCACGCTCAGCAAGAAGCTCGGGATCCCGCCGAGCAGGATCTGGCACCTGGCTGTCATGCCGTGCTTCGACAAGAAGCTGGAGGCTAGTCGCGAGGAGCTTACGGATTCGGTCTGGGCGGGCGACGGGACGCCGGGCAGGGGCGTCCGCGACGTCGACTGCGTCATCACAAGCAAGGAGGTCCTCATGCTGGCGGAATCAAGGGGTTTCAATTTCTTCGACCTTCCCCGGAGCAGGCCCAACATCGAGCGCGCGCCCTTCCCCGACGCGCGCCTGGAGAAGTTCCTGTTCCCCGGCCGCGGCGCCCACCGCTCGTCTCAGGCGGCGGGCACGTCCGGCGGCAACCTCTATTTCACCCTCCAAACCGTGGCCTCCAAGCACCCCAATTCCCAGATCCAAGTAGTCCGCGGACGTAACGCCGACGTCGTTGAGTTCATCGTTGCCTCCTCCACCGGCGATCCAATATTCAAGGCCGCCAGATACTATGGTTTCCGGAACATCCAAAACCTGGTGCGGAAGCTGAAGCCGGCGCGTCCATCTCGCATGCCTGGTGGCAAGGCGTTTGGTGCCGCCAGGAGGCCCGCCGGCAAGTCTGCCGGGCTCGAGTATGCCTACGTCGAGGTCATGGCTTGCCCCGGCGGCTGCACCAACGGCGGTGGGCAGATCAAGGTCGACGACCCCATCATTGTCGAACGCAGGGGCTTTGAGACTAAGCCTGGTCCCCTGGAGCAGAAGGTTTTCTTGTCCGAGGTCGACGAGGCTTACTTTTCAGCGGAGGATTCTGATTGCGAAGATGCCGCCCCTCAAAACGGCGACCTTCGAACGGATGCTGTTGATGGAATTTCGCCCTCTTACATTCGAGATACCCTGGCGCATTGGGCGGGCATTACTGGCATAGATCTGGGTAGATTGGCGCTCACCACGTATCGCGAGGTGGTCAGCGACGTGGGCAAGGACAAGGCGAGCGACACGGAGCGCGTTGTCCAGCTGGCGGGCAAGATTGGCGGAGGCTGGTAGCTTTTCATGTCCATAGGATAAGTAGTAATTCAACCCTCCTTGGTGCCTCGCTTGGCGAAGCCGAACCCTCCTCTTCCACTCCCATCTGGTCCGCGTGGTGCCCGGAAGGCCTGCTTGGGTTGATCCTCGTCTCTTGGCGTAGACCGGCCAGAATGCGAGCCGGGATCGCCCCCTCGCTTCTGCATCGCAAAGCCTCCCCTGGGCGCGTAGCTGGGATCGTAGAGCTCACGGCCGCTCTCGGAGCGGACGCCGTCGGCCCGACTGCTCCCAGGCCGTCGGTAGTCTTCCTGTCGGCTCGAGTTGTTTCCTCGGTGTCCACCACCGCGACCGCGCCCCCTACCACGGCCGCGGCCTCCTCTCTCGTTCTCACCGCCTCGGGGCGGGGTCGTCGTCCCGGGGCTCGAGGCACCAGACGAGGGGTTCGACTCTCCAAAGATCTTGGCGCGGGCCTCCTCGTAACGGCGCTGCTTCTCCTCGAGCTCGCGCTGCTGCTTGGCGCGGATCTCCTCCGGGGTGAGCTGGGGCTTCTTCTCGGCGCGCTGGTCGTCGGCGTCGTCGTCGGCGAGGGAGAGGTGGGAGAGCAGGCCGGTGACGGGGTCGCGGCGGGCGATGGTCCGGGGAGCGGGCTTGCGGCTGAGGACCTTGACTTGGGGCTTGAAGCCCGTGGCCAGTGGTACCGAGGGTTGGGCTTCGAGGAAGGTCAGAGGCGTGGGGGAGTCGCTATCGGGGTTGCTATGTCAGTGGCTGCTCCCCTAAAGAACGGAAGACACAGTCGATGAGGAAATTGCGTGGAGGTGCTACTGGGAGATGGGGAGGGCCTCCTCAATGGACGTACGCTGATTCCCAGAGCTTGCGGTTCGACTCGGCATGCTGTGCGAGGCGCTCTGCCTTGCTCAACGGTGCAGGCGGCTCAGGCTGCAACGGTGCCCCACCATCGATCTTGTCGGCGGCAGACTCCCAGTCATCGTCCTCCCAAGCGTCGGGAACAGGGCCTTTCTTGACCATCTTGTTCAAACGTCGGCCGGGGTATCAGGTGCGGTGTACAGGCTAGTCAGCAGCTGTGTGGGGATACTGAAAGCAGCCTTTCAAGACGTAATTCGGCCCAAGAAAGAGGTGCTTTGGGTGAATGAGGTTGGTTGAAAAGATGGGAGCGTGCTGTGACCGTGACGAGGCGAGCGGTGAGGGCAGCTAATGTGGGAGCATTGGAGGGGTTCGAGGAGGTGAACACAACCCAAAATTGGTGAGCCGTCTGTCTGGGTCTGAAGGAAGCTGGCTGTCCGCAGTTGCACGATGGAAAAAAAAAAAGGTGGGATGAGATGAAGTTGACGGACCCGACCCCTTGTTGGCTGTGTGCCTTGGACAGAGGCGTTCCGTCGGGACGGCTGTTTTTTTTATTTTAGCTTCCCTCCGCTGGGGACGAGGACCTTTGCGCTACTCTTTTCCGGCACCAGGCCTTGGCCATAAGTGGATGTACCCGCAAAGTCTCGTCTCGTGGCTTGTGTGGAGGGGCACCACCAGGGGTCAGCAGGCGCATCGGATCTTGGAAACACCCTTGGGAATGGTGGGGTTGCCCGGGCCGGGTGACAGCTCAGCTGGACGACATTCCACCCTCACTCATCACTTGTCCAGCTCACTGCGTAAGCAGGACCGCAGCTAAGATTCCGCCTTTGCTTTCATTCTTCGAGTATCGTTATAGTGCTCCTAACTACTTTATCTCCATCTTGTCGAATATTTGGTCATCTCTGGTGCCTAGGTTGCTTTGCTTCTCTTGACGTCTATTTCCAACTGTTCTCTTGGCGCATCCCAGGTTGCCGAATCGGGTATTAAAAGTGAGCGCGACTTGTAAGCCCACGCCGACGGCCCGCACCCTTTCTCCGCGGCCTCTTACCACAGTCCCAGGTCTTTTGAAGACTATCTCGACTTGAGACACATACACAAGCAATGGCTGCCGGGTCCGCGAAGCTCCAGACCCCCAGCTCCGAGGCCGGAGGCAGCGCCGCCGACGACTCCAAGACGGCGCCCGGCTGGAACAACAAGAAGCTCAGAGAGGAGTTTGAAACTTTCAAGGCAAAACTCCTTGACCAGCGCTTCGACCCTAGTAAGTGTCCCCAGTAGCGGTTGTGTTGCCCCTAGCTGTAGGTTTGGAACGCAGTCCATGCCTCGCAGCTTCCGCGTATTGAATGATTCAGCAACCGACAAGGCCGGTTGCGATTACAGAGATAGATCTAAATGCTAAAACTCAGACCAACAGAGCACTTCCCCGATCCTTTGCTCCCCAGGAACGGCTCCGACCCCCGGAATAATCCCAAAGGAACGCCGGAGGCCGAAAGGAGGATCGACCAGATCATCGCCGAGTACAATGCCCAGGGTTGAAGGGTACGATCGCAACCCCCTACGGCGGGCTGGCCTGTCTCTAGCCACAAAGGGCCTTACTTGTACCGGTCATACTATTCGAAGAACTCTTTTCGGTATTTGTGTGCGACTGTGTTGTGTGAGCCGCAGCTGCGTACCTCTATGTGATTCAAACAAACCCTTTTGGAGCTTTCGATTGTTGGCCGAGAAAGAGCGTTTCATCGTGGTAGTCTCTTTTTTTACTCTCGCTCCGACGAAATGAAACGGAAGCATCAAACCCCGTTTTCTTTCTGTTCTTTCTGATTCGTTGGCCTGCCTCTTCTGGTGAGTTCGCGGCCCTTAGTGATGTGGTGCTGCCAGGAGCCTTGTGGAGCTTTGGGTGAATGGAGTGGTGGTCACGCGGATGGGTTCGGCCGTGGTCATTCACCTCTCCCACCTACCCATATGATCCTTAATATGCCGTCATTGCTCTGCCCTACGGCGTAGAAAAGCCAGGCAACCGTACGCATATTTCGTCTCAACCTGATCATTTATCTCTGGGTTGGGAAACATCACTTGCTCAGTTATTCACATCGAGATCAGCCTGCCTGACTCTCGACCTATATCTTGACTTTCCCATAGCTGTCCTTTCCCACCCTCTCCGTTTCCTCGGAACGTCTCCAAAAGCATCAAAACCGAAACGGAATTTCCACGGCAGAGTCAAGACCTAGTTTGCAGCTTACTCAAGAAGTCCAAATCCACCGTTGAATCCGTGATTATCTCCATCGTCAGTTACCCACGTCAACTCCGCCGGACGGCTTACATCAGTCGCATCAAGCCATTCTGACCACATCATTGCCTCAGTTCACCTCAAAGTCGCCAGAATCCTCGGAGAATATGACTCCGATAATCTTGGACCAGGAGTTCATTAGGAACGGCTCTATCACGAAGCATCAACTCACAACCACCGTAACCTCAACTGCCCCGCCAGTCAACATCCTCAGTAAGCTCCAACACCTACACCTTCACTCTAGACTATCCGTCAACTGACGCCTCACCTGTAAACAGAACAAGCACTCGCCACGTCGCGCCGCCACCGCCCCTCCGACATTCTCGTCCTCCCGCAGTCCCCACCAGCCGAGGACATCATCATCGTCAGGATGGCCCCGGAGGCCGCGATCCTCCCGAGCCCCAGGTTCCACCGCGGCCTCCAGCAGCAACGGCTATCCATTCGAGCGAAACCCTCGCCCCTCGCCGCGGCGCAGAAGCGTCCCAGGATCCTGCTCTCGACCAAGAGCTTCAAGTGGGTCAAGACCGACGACGCCGTCTGGGTCAAGGTTCCCCTGGCGTCGAGGAAGCGGCGAATCGTCCTCAAGACGAAGGAGAAAAGCATGCATTGACGGCCTAGACGTGAAGGATCTGGTTTGTTACTGATATTTGGGTCATGACAGAGAAGCATACTGGGGGCGTTTGGGAGACATTTGGGCTAGATATCATTGTCCTACTTATAGGATTATATTGCATGGGGCGGTTCATCTCATGGCGTGGCGCGGGTTGCAGTTACTAGACTAGATGCATCGGAGCGGTTCCCAACGGATCCTGGAGATCCAAGTATAGCGAGTCTGTTTTCATATAATACGAATGCATGTCAACTAATATCCATGGGCCTTGAGCAGCGGTATGTGTTCTGGATAAAGAGCCAAAGGAGACCAAGGGTGTTTCAACTCGATTATGGTGGGACAAATGTCGTCGTTCAGGGGCCATAAAACGCCTAAAAGGGGCATTAACTTCCCTTCAGAGTCCTTGGAAATCAGGGTTGCATTAATGAGCATTGGAGAGCTCCACAACAAAGAACATGTCCTGTGCTCTCTTGTTACTCTCAGATACCGGGGATCTAATGCCGACAGCCTGATCAACCAGCATCTGTTGAATGTGATTCCTGTACTTGTGGGACGTGTTTACCAACACCACTCTTATGTTTTGAGGTATGGATATCTGGTCCGCAGTGTAGTGAATGGACAGGCACTCAGAGTTTGTTACCAACTCTATGGAGTCAGTCAAAGGCACGATATCAACCAGGAGCTTGATGAGTATGGGAGACATGTGGCTTGACGAGCTGGGCAAGATCAAACACCAGGCCCGCGCCATAGAAGTAATTAGGGATAACGGACTCGGATCACCCAATACCGTGAAGTTACGACATTAGGTAGCTGTGTCTCGTCAGGTCGACCCTGCATTATCCGGCAGTAGCACATGGCAAAACGCAGGGTATTAACCCCTCATCGGCGGAACGCGGGAGCACAGACATCGAGCTTGCATACAGCTAGACTCATGAAAGCTCTCGGCGGCAGACTGCAACCAGTGAGATAACACCCCCGCAGTCACTGGAAAGTTGTTGATGCTGGCGGGGCAGTGTTTGAGCTCCGAGAGCTTGTCCGTACCAGACGAAACTGACACTGGCATTGGCTTCTGTCTCCTCACCTGCCAGCGCCTTCGAGCGTTCATGTGAGAATGGGGGCCTGCCGGACGCACGAAGGGTCGCACGAAAAGCGCCTAGGTTCTTCGGCATGTGGTCTCCGAATGGGGGGCAGCCGAGAGGAAACTCGGGCCTAAAGATTAGACAGACTTGTTGCATTTTACCAGGAGACAGACAGCTCGGGATTGGCGAGATGCAGATCCGGCGGTTCGGGTCGAATCTTCTTCGGACGAGAATTGCTCCGGGTTGGGTTTGCGAAACGTTGACGAGGGACACGCGGTCGGCCGTGCTGTGTCGTTGAGTCGAGAAAAGAGACTTTTGAGTGCACGTGAAAACAGAGCTAGGAAAGGCTGTGTGGTTCATAAAGTATGCTTGCCATCAGACAAGGTTCATACGACTTCTGTATGCCTAGGCTCTCTTGTTTAGAAATGAGTCGGCGTCTTGCGGCAAGAGATGTTCATTTCCACGCCGAGAGAGAATGGTGGTCATTTAGCGTGAACGTAGATCAAGCCTCAGAGGGGTTTCTAAGTGTACGTCCCGGCTGCAATGTTTCTTGTATAGTAGGACAAGCACCCGAGCTATGACCGGAAGGCACAAAGTCGGCCGCGACAGCGATCGTGCGGTATTGAATATGAGAGCCCAATGACTCGTCAGCGTAAAACCGGCATGCCTCGAACACTGGGCAACGTCGGATGGAACGGGAACAAAGTTGGAGATCCCACGTTGGGCAGGAGGAAGCAGAGCAATTGACGTAGTGGATTCCACCAGTTACGTAGAGGCGGGACGGTTTCTCCACCGAGGGACGAACGGCGGGGAAGATTGGCGGTGGTCGTTCGACTTGCGTCCATCTTGAACCATGCGTGGGGTGAAAAGTTGGGGGATTGGATCGTCAAGCTCGAGCTTGTCACCTTGTTTAGCGAGCTTGCTCTGGCCGCCAGATGAATCATGGCACGGGCACTTAGGATGCAACAGACAATTTAGGGCATCCCGAAATGTAAGCGTGTGGTTGCAACAAGTGAACCCGTGCCGGTACAGTGCGTAATGTCGGCGAAGTATTGGAGATGGGCGGTGCTGACAAGAAAACCATAGGTAGATTCGCCAGTCGTTGCCGCACTGTCAGTGGCTCTGCTTATGTCTTGCTTGTTGCAGTTCGCCGATGATGCAGTTGTGTAACGAAACGGAAAGGACAGCCTAGTTTGAGTGACGATATCGACCAAGTAGAAGCGCTTACTTCACGGACAAGTTTGCCCCCGGTCGAAGACGCGGCTGCTGACGGTCCCTTGTTTAGGGGTACTATGTAACCTCATGCCTCGATGAGTTAGTTACCGGGGCGGTGAGAAATAGCCTCTGCGAGATTTGTAGTGTCGCCCCGTGTCCACGAGAAGGCGAGCATACTATCGTCAATATGTAAACACCCTTACCGACCTTGTCCATCATTGTCAGAGCATGTCATCTGAGAAAGCAGGGAATGTAACGACTCGTGCTGGCATGCTGGCCGGTTAGTCGAACGAAAAACCAGTGCTATGCCCCAACAGTTGATAGGCCAAACCATGGCATCAGTCTCGTGGTAAACCCGCCTCTGGAAAACCCGCCACCCGGGACAAGGACATGATATCGTATTGAGATGTGCGAGGGTTGAGGGCGCGAAGTTGGCCAATAATATCTGGTAATCGCCGAGCTGAGTGTGCATAGTTCGCACCGCATCGCAGGCTGACATTGGGGGGTAACTGCAGGTAAGAGGCGAATTCATGAGCCGGGGTTGTCCCGACATTCCAGACCCTGATGGTGTCTGAATTCGCAGAGTCCATACAAGTTGCTAATGGGACAGTGTGAGGGAAATGGGGGCCGGGGAGTGGACTGGCCAAAGCAGAGCCCCCTTCTTGGCTCAGCGAGGTAATCAATTCTTGCTGCAGGTGCGGCCATGGGAGGCAAAGCGACAGGTGATAAGATAACTCTGCGCCTGGACGACGGGTTAATGGCCAGAGGGTGTTGTGCCGGAGCCAAGGCTTCGGTCGATGTTGACGTTGATGTTGGTTCGTCGGCAGGTCTTGACTCATCCACCTTGTCAATCGAATTGCCCATCCATCCCACCCACCCCCGCGGTTCGCTCTCCCATGTCAAAACGAAAAGGGTGGCCCGCTGGCGGGGGTCGACGGTTTCCCGAGAGGGATCCCTCATGTCGGCGGTCTCGGAGGGAGGCCGGTGAGAACCCCACAATCCTGGCCTGGGCCAGTCGAAGCCATCGTGCAAGCGTTCGCGCTGCCCCCTGGATACTGTACAGGCTGTATACAGTATACCTATATGGATGGTGTGCTCTGTGTTGTCCGCATCGCTCCGTTCCAGAGGTGCGGTCTTAGATATTCGTAGGTTGTTTGCAGCGAAAACCTCGCTCAAACCAGGACGGCGCTGAACATTCCTTCGCATGCCTGTTTGGTCGGTTCTAGAAGGTTGTCTAGAACGGTACTTCCCTGCAATGGAGCAAGCCTAACCGAGCCCGGACGAGCTGTCCGGACGCTTCATGAGCGGCATGGCCCAAAGGCGATGCCAAGTTGGATTTGTGCGGCTGGAAATGAAGAAGAGACGCTTCCGATAACAAACTACATGTTGGCATGAGAGACCGGCGGAAACAAGAAGGGTGTTCAAAGGCGAACCCAGAGAGAGAGAGAGTGTGTGTGTGAGAAAGAGCAGGTGGTCGAAGTGGACGCGGCAGGCAGGCGGGGACAGCGTGGGCTTTGCTATGTTTGGGGAAGTGAAGGCTTGCAGATGACGGGGCAGGTGCGAGTGAGACAATATGGCCATTGCATGTGCCCTCGGCGGACAAACCTGCAGTCATCCAGTCATCTTCTCGTTGTTACCTTCCTTGGCTGCCCGTCTACGGTCAAGGCGACCAAGACTGGTTCGTGGAACGCAGGCCATCCAGAACACTTTGGAAGTCTCAAGATCCCTAAAACGGCAATCCGGGCCAAGTACCTACCTCACATACTTGAGAGCAGCACCAAGCTTGCCCTCCATCCTAGCATCTTTTGTACACGGGCTGACGGCACATGGGCTAGCGCATGCTACCTACCTTCGTAAGGCGACGCTCGATTGGACGACTGTGACTAGAATCGGGGTACCTCTTCTTCTCCCTACCGTACCTCTCTCTCACTCTCTCCGTGACTACCTACCCAAGACGACGAGGTACGTATGTAGCATAAGGAAGCGTCCAGCAACCTTGGAAGGTACCGCCATTCTTGTGGAGTTACCTTTGGCCGCCGGACTGCACCGGCCGACACACATCACGTCTCCTCCTGAGTGGCCCAATACCGGGCTTGGACTGTGACCCCCCTCGACATCGTCAACCTGAGGCTGGGCAGTCTGCATTTCCAGTTTCTTTTAAACCTTTGCCCCAGGCATCACCGCCATCCGGCACGGCAAGGCACTTTATACCAAGAACGGGATCGAATAGGACTGGATCTCCATGACAGGCACCTACCTTTTCTAGGCACCCCACCACCCCCAGAGCACAGGCTTGATTTCTTGCCTCTTACCTCACTCCGCCTCATTCACGCCCTCTTCTCTGCTCACGTACGCCTCCTTTATACTCACCTTACCTCACCTCACCGTTGCCGACCATTCTCAGGTCTAGGTATCTTGCGACCGCGCAAAGCACTTTGCAAACGAACACCTCAAATCACCTTACCTCACTTCACCAACGACCACTTCCTCTCCCGTCTCTGACGTCTCACGCTTGACCTCACTTTGACTCGACCAGCCCCACCTCGAACCCGATTTTTTCAGCTTCTCAACATTGGGAATCGGCTCCTTCTCCTCATGAACCTTCCGTCGTTCGGTGCCACTTCACGATCCGCCCTCTGCGACAGCCGCATTCTCACTGGCCGAGGGTTCATCACCACATCACGGACTCCCTGCCATACATTCGGGCCTTAGACCAGTCCATTGTCATCGACTGGAGCGCTGCGCTGTCGCCTCCCCCCCGCCCCACCCCTACACGACGCCGGACGCTCGACCTGCCCTGCTGCTGGTGCTGCTGGCTGCCCTGTCCCCGTCACCGTCTACGTCCTGCTACCTTATTCGAGGTCCTATTCGCCTTCACTGCCAGCCGGTTGCTGTGTGTAGTCAGTTCGGCAAGGGAAGAAGGAAAGAAAACGCGGAAAAAACCAGGTAGCAAGCAGCAGGCCTTACCTGGACTCACTGACGCCTTCCCCTCTCTTCCTTCCTTTCCGCCCCCCTCCTCTCAGGATCCCCTCCCCCTCCACCCGCCCGCATCCACTCCCACGCACACAACAGACCGTGGCCGACCTTCACTTCATCCCACTCTCAACTTCTCACCCCCTCCAGAGAAAAAATCAAGTCTCCAATTCCAACTCCAAAAAACCACAACACCTGCACCGAAACCGCACCGCACTGCACTCGCCGCCGCTGCCTCACGCAAACCTACCACACCACTCTCTCACGTACGCACACCACATCTGCTGCTCAATCTCTCGCATCGGCCAATCCCTCAGCAACGCTGCGATATCTCGGCCTGTTTTGACGCCAATCACGGATTTGGGCCTCTGCCTCGACTAGGCCATCACCGTCACACGAGTACAGCCGACAACCAGCGACCATGTCTGGCGCCGAGGGCACACATGCAAACACAGGCGGCTTCGACCTGCTGAAGCGGGCGACACAAGCCATGATGATGTCAGGCTCCAGGTATGTGCGGTTTTCTGTTACCCATCCCCACCACTCTCGCTGCCCTTCGATACCTATGCACTCGAACCACCCGAGCATCCATCCTCATTGCTGTCTGCGCCCGCCCTTGTGTGTTTGGTCTTCCTCTTGTCCCCGCGGGCCTCCCTGTTGCCGCAATACCCATTTCTACCCGCTCAACACACGGCGCATTTTATTTTTTGGACATCTGCCCTGGCCAGTGGCCTACCTCAACAACATCTTCCACCTGGTCAAAGCTGCGGCGCTAGTTCGCCTCCTCCCTCTGTCCGGTCGGAGTTGTGACGCCTCTTCCATTCGCCTGATATCTGCCTTCTCCTTCCTTTCCCAGTTGGGGGGTTTGTCCCCTGCCCGGCCTGTCAATTGCCGCTTATCCAAAGCTGGAGCCGTGCAATCAAGACCAACATTTCCTTCATCACCTTGCCTCTCTTTGCGCACAAGTCTTGCCTCTATATGTCACCAAGGCCTCTTCGTCACCTGTCGTGGCCGTGTTCAAGGTTGTTGTTCCCGACGCCCAGAGTCTCAACCGGAGCTGGACCCTTGAATAAGCCTCTCGTCTTAAAGGTTGCCCCCTCCTTGCGGCATGTCTACGTCGTACATACATGCTACCCAAAAGCGTGGCGACGGAGGGGTGGCCGGCGAACGAGGTGCTTTTCCTGGGACGTCCACCGTCGCTTGCTTGTTCCTGCACCTGACGGTTTGAAGGAAGATGTTCCTCATCTGGCTAGTGTCAGTGGCATCAGACTGCCGTCAACCCCTTCACCCTACCGGCGAATGGTCCTAGACGATCCCGGACGACAGTCCGACGCTGCAAGCAACTGAGCCCAGTTGGCGGCCCCTCCTCTCTCCTCACCTCGCCTTCCCATCCTACCGCTTCTACCACACCCGCCACTCCCACTCTCACCCCTCATGCTGGCACCGGGGCTTTCATCTGCCGCTGGCTTGCCTCGCGCGCGCGCCCGTTTTGTGGTTGTTAGTGGCACTACCTGACGGTCTGCGTGCTCAAACTGACCTCTGCTCCGCGGCCCATGTTGTGTGTGATATACGATGCATCCAGTTCAACGTTCAGTGAACCCCCTTCACACTCGCTTGCACATGCAAATGCAAATCATTACATACCCCTCGTCCCATCCTACCCCATTCCATCCCTAAACCCCATGCCCACCATCTACCTGCCTTACCTGAACCCTTCGGTTGGCCGCCAATGCGGCGACAACACTAAAGGATCGCAAATAGAGGAGCCGGAGCGCGGGGGCCGCCTCTGCCAGTGCAAGTCCAAGAGCCAATGCTGCAAGAGGCTTATCAGGCGAGGCCTGACTCGTCCGTTGACGGTCCAGCAGCCGGAGCATGTCTCCTCGTCGCTCCGGGAGCATTGAAGCTCTGCCTGTTGCCTTCTGCCCATCTTGGGTCCAACTTGCTTCCCTCTCCCTATCTCCCCCCGCTCATGGCGCCCAGCGTCTCTTTGCCCCGCCATCGCGTTAGGTTCAACTAAAAGCGCTCCGATTAAGGCCTTGACTAGTGTTCGAGGATAGGACCTTTGGACGACGGGGCGTTTTCGGAACAGAGAAACCCACTTTGCTCTTTTTCCTATTTGACGACGCTTCCCTTTTGGCTCTTTGCATCATCCCCTACAAACTGCACTACCCGGCTAGCTATTGCGACGGCATCCTTGCTTCCACCCAAGCCAAAGAGGACGAAAAAAATTTCCCCGTTCTTTCCCGTCAGTCACCGCAGCACACACACATAGGCAAAACTCCCTGCTACTCCGCCTCTCAATACCTCCGTCCTCGTCAAGTGGCCGTGGGCTTGGCAGCCGTCATGAGCTAGCTCTCCTACTTTGGTTCTGCCTCCGCTTTTCGCCCTACCGCTCAGCGTGTTCATCCCTCACCGTCCCCGTCGTCCAACACAGGATTTCCCTCTTCGCGCATTTCCCGCCACAAACCCGACGATGAATCTCACTGTTAACCACCACAGCAGGACCCCCGCGGCCGCAGCTGACGAGGATGGCGCGGATCAGATCGGCTTTGATACGCCCCGCTCCGGTGTGGCAACCCCTCAACCCGACCTCCATGACAAACGCCTGCCGGGCATTATGAGCTACTTCGGCCAGGTTCGTACAGATTCTTCTCACAATTCTGTATCTGCCCCTGTCGCGTCGGATCGCAATCAAAGACAATCGCTTCCTGGTCCCTCAACGAAACAAGTCGAGACGGACGGGAAGGCTTCTCAGGTCAGCTCAGTGGATGCTGTGCCCTGTGGCGATCCTGAACCAACTTCCCCATCACTTCCCCATCATCCCGAAGAGCGGCCTTCATCACCATACACCTCACCCATGGCACTGGTTCAGACACATCAGTATCCGACCCCGCCGATATCAAGACGGTCGTCGGTGGGACTTCTCCAGAGGAGTCTGTCGTTGCGCTATGGAGAGACACGGTTCGCTGCATCCTCATCGGCGCGACCGTTGCTCCAAAGAGGCGTCACGGACTACCCAAAGAAGTGTCACAGCCTCACTCTCATGTCCCAACCTTCGAGCCTCCTCACAACATCAGTCGTGCATGCGCATCACATTTCCAACCCCAGTTTTCCCAAGCCCATCACACCGATATCTCCCACCCATTTCCACGTTGGTTCAGCGCAAAAAGCCACTTCCCTTCACAGCTCTTCATCAGTTGATCAGCTCAAGAAGCTAACACAAGTCGCGGCGTTCAAGAGCGGTCCACCAACTCCCACCAGGGCGCTTTCGGCCGCGCAGCCTTCTCAGGCGGAGGAGCGGTCGACCTCCAAGAGAAGCAGCAATGAGACTGTGCCTCCCAGCGGCACGCAGACGCCCAGGAGCGGAACCACCGGGGCTCAGGTCCCCGCCGCCCGAGGCAAGCTCACGATCAAGATTGTGGAGGCTAAGGGCCTGAGACGCGCCAAGGACCCCTATGTCGTAGCCGTATTCCAGAGAAGCGAGCTCATCTCGGGAGGCCCGCGCTCTGTCGAGGAGGAAGAGGACGTGAACCTGCCGGCGCCGTCCTTTGGAGGCATTCCGATCCAGAGGCAAGGAAGCGACTCGGGTCGGCCCGCCATGTCGATTCCGATGCGCAGCCGTCAAAGCAGCAACACCAGTATCTCGGACTACAACACATTCCGCAACCGGTCACGGCGATCTTTCACCAGCCCAAAGTGGGACGCCGAGGCAGAGTTGTAAGTTGACACCACTGACGAAACTGCTGGGTCTCTGCTAAATCTGAACAGCGATGTTGTCGATTCGAACATGCTGGTGGACATTTCTGTCTACGACCACAGCGCAAATGGCGAGGAGTTCCTGGGCCATGTGGATTTCCAGGCGAACAGGGACTCGAACAACCCGGTCCGTGGCTGGTTCCCCCTCAAGGGCCATGCCGATACTGTGGCGGAGAATGCTCCAACCGGAGAGATCTATGTCGAAGCCGTCTATCAGCGCACCGAGCGGAAGCACTTTGGCCCTGAAGACTTCCAGATCCTTAAGCTGATCGGCAAGGGTACTTTTGGCCAGGTCTATCAAGTTCGCAAGAAGGACACCGAACGCATCTACGCCATGAAGGTCTTGTCCAAGAAAGTCATCGTTCAGAAGAAGGAAGTCGCTCACACCGTCGGTGAGCGTAACATTCTGGTCCGAACAGCGATGTCAGACTCGCCCTTCATCGTGGGTTTGAAGTTTTCCTTCCAGACCCCCTCGGACCTGTACCTGGTCACCGACTACATGTCTGGCGGAGAGTTGTTCTGGCATCTCCAGAAGGAGGGTCGTTTTGATGAGCGAAGAGCCAAGTTCTATATTGCAGAACTGATCCTGGCCATCCAACACCTCCATAACAACGACATTGTATATCGCGACCTCAAGCCAGAGAACATTCTGCTGGACGCAAACGGCCATATCGCTCTCTGCGACTTTGGTCTGTCCAAGGCGAACCTCACCAAGAATGACACAACCAACACCTTCTGCGGAACCACCGAGTACCTCGCCCCTGAAGTTCTCCTTGACGAGTCAGGATACACCAAGATGGTGGATTTTTGGTCGCTGGGAGTTCTAGTTTTCGAGATGTGCTGCGGCTGGAGCCCCTTCTACGCGGAAGACACTCAGCAGATGTACAAGAACATTGCGTTTGGCAAGGTTCGATTCCCTCGGGACACCTTGTCACAGGAGGGCCGCAACTTTGTCAAGGGTCTGCTCAACAGAAACCCCAAGCACAGACTTGGTGCCACCGACGACGCAGAGGAGCTGAAGCGCCATCCCTTCTTTGCAGACATCGATTGGGATCTTCTTGCGAAGAAGCTCATCACTCCTCCTTTTAAGCCCAAGTTGACATCGGCGACGGACGTATCCTACTTTGACCCAGAATTCACCAACGCTTTGGACAACAATGGCTCGCTCAACGAACGCGCAGCGGCCTTGTCCAAGGGCTTCGCCACATCAACACCCCTTTCGCCTTCTGTACAGGCCAACTTCCAAGGCTTCACCTTCGTGGATGAGAGCGCCCTCGACGACCACATGAGAGATAAGAACCGATATGACGATGAGGAGATGCGTGATTCCCACCATCAGGACGATGACTGGGATGACCTCGAGGACGTGAACCAGAAGAGCAACCGCATGAGTGGTATCGTGCGCACAGCCAACAACGACGAGCAGATGATTGGGGGAGGACACTTTGACGATTAATGAGTGCATTCTGGCTGTGTCTTGGTCATTTTTTTTGGTTCTACTTTGAGGACAAGAAAAGTTCATCAAAGCCTTCTCATTTCACAAGCAAAACACGGTCATCATCACGAAGTCAAAAACGAACATTCATGGGTTCAGTGCATAAGGGCGGTCAACTTTGCATGTGATCAATAGGGGTGTAATTGGTACATGGCGTTTGGGCTGAGAGCGATGAACATTCGGATCCTGGATCGGCCTTCAGAATGCTGCCTTTAGCTGATCGGAGCACTTACAACACATACACACTCACACAACGTGCCTCATGACGAGACTCTTGAATCCCGTGGAACCCTTGAAGCATTGGTTGCCCCAGTGTTTTTTGGTTCACTCACTTTCATGATGTCTTACTCCAAGCATGCATGTTTTTTACAGGCCATTGCAGGGTGGTCTCGCACGCAGGACAGTTGAGAGAGAAACCAGGCAGGATACAGACACGTCAAAGACAGATTGGATGGGGAACGCGATTCTCCTGACTGCAAGGCATTAACGCCTGTCGTGGGAGCGATCTCTTCCCACCCGGCATTCACGTGCCCTCTGTTGTGACGGCCGAGGTCTAGGGGACTCGAGTTGGTGTGGAAGATGACCGATCCGACCTATTCAATGGCAGCAACTTATGGTGGGAGCGGGAAGAAGGGGGAGCGGGGACCGGCTTGCGACGAAGCCGTCTGTAATACTGATTAATCAGTTAGCTAGAAGACAATCAGTCTTTTATCTTACGTGCCACCATGGTGATGTCTAAAATCGGTGCATAATACCTCGGGGGTTGTATTGGCATGTGGTTCTTCCGACGCTTAAACTCTTCCTCGGTCGTCTACGACATACAGCATGGAGGTTGTGGACCTAAATGGAATCGGAGTCGGCCGACGGACACACACACAGAGGCGACCCGTGAGTTCTGCATGCCGGGCCTGGGCAACCGGCCACCATGCGAAACTGCGTGGTTGGGTTTTCGCATGAAGAAGCCCATGCTATGCTGTTGTGGGGAACGTCCAGCAAAAACAAGGGACATGGGAGCTGCGTCGGCCGTGGTTTTTTTTTTCCCCTTCCCTTTATGTTGTTGTTTGTTGTTGTTGTTGTACGGGGCCGGCGACGGTTGCATTGAAAACGCGGGGAGAGGATGGGTCCTCGATGACTCTTGCTAACGGCTCACATCGCGGGTCCGTCGCCTTCGGGGTCAACTCGGTATCCTCTCCTCCTTCTTCAACGAGTCGTATGTGCCTTTGTCCGTCGTCACTTTTTGAAGTTTTGGGTGTTGGCTGTCCCCGGGAGTTTCCGGGGCCCACATGCCCGTCTTCTGATGATTTCCACGGTGACATGTGCAAGGCTAGTCTGGGAACAACTGGGGGTTGGCGTTGAGAGGACGTCAAGTGTAATGGATTACGAGCAAAGCAGGGTCTGGCGGTGACGAGAGTGACGCAAGTGGTTCGAGGAACGGGACATGTCACATCAGGTACACATAGACACAAGCACCACGCAAGCCAAGGTTCGACGGGTTTGAGCGCATGCAAATAGCATTCCTAGCCAGCGAGGTTCAGTTGGACAATATACACGGGATTACCACCTCCCAGCACACCTTCTTTCCCCTCGTTTCTCAGCTCTCCTCCCTCTCTCTCTCCATCAACACACTCCCACTCCTTTGGTCCGTCGGGGCAAGCGGCAGGGTTTACAAGATCCCAAAGAAGGCGAGAGGTGGAAAAGCACTTTTTCCCCCAGTCGCTTCCCGGGATGGGTTGGTTCGATCGGTTGTTTAAAGACGGGGTTGAAAAATGCGGTGTTCGTTTGTAAAAAACTTTTTCGGTATGGGGCCCGAGAGGGTGACCCGCGTCTAGTGGTGAGGCTCCTCCTCGTCCTCCTCGATCATGAGCCAGTCGTGCTTGACGGGCTCGCCGTTGGCGGCGAGGGCGGAGGCGTCCTGGCCCTCAACCTCGACGGCCATGCTCTCGTACTCCTTCAGGCTGGCGGCGAGGTCGGCCTCCTCGGGGACTTGGGGGTCTGGGGGATGGAGAAGGTCTGGACCTGGCCCTGGGCGTCAGAGTCCTTGATGGGGGTGGGCTTGTAGGCCTTGAGCTCCTTGAGGTAGAGCTCCTGGACGAAGTCGGCTGTGTGGGAAGGCTTGGTCAGTATATCTGGTATTCGGAACAACATTCGGCGGTAACGGCGACAGGGTATGATGCTCAGCGGAAGGGAAGGGGAGGCAGCAGCGACGGGGCTTTCGACGGGATGATGAGGTGCGTATTGATCGGATGTCGGATTGACGATGGGAGGACGATGCTCGACGACGTGTTTGTTGATGTGACGTTGTTGATGACCGATATCGTCATCCGAGGTCGAGGCGCAATCATAGGCCAGCTTCGGAGCTTGATCTCCCTTGGCCGCACCGGCAATCCGAACCACCTCTATCCGCCGCCGCCGCCTCCTCCTCATCCGCCTCCGGAGCCATTGCAAGTTGATAATTGGGGAAATGAGAGAATGACGAACCTCTTCGCGAGACCGTGGGGGCGATGAATCCCCTCATCTGGACGGCGCTGGGCCTCGCCAGCCGAGAGACAGCCGAAGCGGCGCGCTATTTGCACCATGTCAGTTTTTTTCCCCTCTGCCTCGCTCTTCCGATCGACCGCCGCGTCGAAACCCCGACGGCGACCGTAGCAAAAACTCCATCACGGGAAAGGGGGAGAGGACGTACAGTGGCACGGGACAATTGGACGAGCATCTTGATATGTGGACGGTGGCTGGCTCAATTGGGGGGGAGGACACCGGGGGGGAAGGGGGTTGCAGAGGGCGGAACGACGGGTGGTTGAGGGTTTTGTACGGGATGGGAGAACAAGCAGCAGTAAAAAGCTGGAGTGAGCCGGTTCGGTTCTGGTTGGACACAATGATCCAACCGCTGCGGGTTTTCGTTGGTGCCTCAGGCCTAAGGCTGCAATCGACTCGAGACTCGACTGCTGCGAAAAAAAGGCAGGCGGGATTCGATTCGATCTCTCTGTCGCCTGGCTCCACTTTCCCACGCCTTCCACTGGCGGGCGGGTCGGGGAAACAGCGACCGTGGAACAGAAGCGCTGGAGATGGAGCGGTGGACTGATATCACGTGAGAACTGACCGTCACTTTTCTTTGCTTGGCCCGAACGTGGTTTGCCAGGGTTGCGGCGGTAGTTCGATCTTTTTTCTTTTGGAGACGACAGTTTCGTCCGTCCAGAACCAAGACGCGCAAACCACCGACATCATAGGTTCGCATGGCGCCCTACACCAATCGTGCAGGTGTTGCTTGGCCTAAGCTCCTTGCGATCTGGCTAGCTCGCTGAGAGCTGCCTCATCGGCGTTGCATGACCTCACACACACACATACCTACACTCACACTCACACTGGCACACCAACTCTATTTGCCTACCAACTCAACTCATATCTGCCACAAAATAGTCCTTTGCGTCACCATCGGGCTTTGTCTATGGTGTTTGAGTGGTCACCCAGTCGACCCCCAACATTCACTAGCTTTCAGCAGCTTGAACTCACTGTTCTTGTCTGAGAGGGTTGCAAACACCAAAGCCAGCGTGCTTGGGGTAGATCAAGTGATCATAAATTCACTACCCCTTCGTCAACGAGGTGATATCATTACCAAACGCCTTGTAACTCCCAGCTCTACCCGAAATAGCCACTTGTCAAGATGCTGTCCTGGCCTATGGCGACGACCATTATTGAGATGGCACCCCCCAACCGACCCTTGGTATAAACATTACAAAAAAGCAAACCGAGAGATTAATGAGAGACCGGTCTCAGTTGTCCTCCGTTCCGTTATGTTCCGGGCCCCTTCCTCGGACCTTTCAACCTGTCTAGAGTACCCTGTTGTTTATTTCTTTTGGCGGTAAGGGATGCGCTGCTGGGAGTCCGGGGACTCGTGGCTCTGCTCGCGCTTGACGGTGCGCTTGGACCTGCGCATCTCGCCCCAAGCAGCGGACCCAATCCACGCAACGCCGATAATAGCGGCAATAACGGAGTACGCAATGACATAGGCCCGGGACGAGCTAGCAAGCTCGAGGCCCAGTCCGCCGTTGATGATTCCGAGAACCATCAGAGCCCTGCCGTACCAGATGTGTGTGTGACTGACGATGCCTCGGGTCTGATACTTCTTGTAGTACTTGTGGTGCGCCATTCCGAGGAACGGCTGGATGGCCAGCATGGCGACAACTACGGTGCCCAGAAGAGTGTGGGTTTGCGCAAAGAGCTACGTCTCATCAGCTTCATGGTCCTGGGTGGCAGGTCGGTTGGATCAGGGAGGGCGATCCACCGTTCACAAAAAAGAAGGCAACTCACATAGCCGTTGTCGCGGGCATAGACGTAGCCAGTGCCGAAACCAGCCCACATGAGTAGGAAAGCGACCGACTGCCAGGCAGCGTGTGCCATCCACTTGCCCAGCAAGGGCATGAGGATGGCACCAACAGGGTACAAGAAAATGAACACGATCGACATTATGATGCCGTGAGCGAGAAGGACGTTGGACAAGCCGCCGCCGCCTCCGTTAAATACAACACCACCGCTGGTGGAGCCGCCGTTCCCGCTTCCGCTTCCGCTGCCGTTGCCGCTGCCGCTGCCACTGCCACTGCCACTGCCGCTACCACTTCCATTGCCACTGCCACCACCGGACGTGGCCACGAACGGGTTGCTGTCAGTCTGGACAGTCGCCTGGGTCAGGTCGAGGTTGAAGCTGCTGTGGTCATCGTGCTGCTGGATGCTCTCGCTGTTGCTGGCCGAGTTGATGGCGCTGCCCGCCTTCCAAGCCGCAATCCAGGAGCTGGTGGCCGAGTTGAGGGCCATGGTGCCGGAGCTCCAAGACGCGCAGTTGGTGCAAAGGACGTTGGCGACCATCTTGCCGTTCTCGATGCCGGAGCCAGCAAGGAGCTCGAGGTTGGTGCTTGTGGAGAGCGTGGGCATGTTGTGGCCCCGCGCCGTACGGGGACCGATGGTGACGTTACCCTTGCCGTCGGTGTACATGAGGAACATGTTCGAGTTGGACATTGTCGAGCCGGTGCCGAGAGCGACCCACTGGTAGCTGGTCGGGGCAGACATCTGGAAGTACATGTTGCCGCTTCCAGAGCTAGAAGCCTGGCTGGGGACAGCGACCTTGAAGCAAATGTCATTGGGGCATGCTTGAATGGGGTCGGCGGAGACTGACGCCGCGTCTGTCGTAACTGTTAGTTGTGATCCGCAGAGGAACACTGTTCCTTTACGTACAGAGGGCGGCCGCCAGGGAAGAAGCTGCAGAAGCCTTCATCGTGGACGATGTTGTTGGTGACTTTGTATGTATGAGATGGATGCTGCTATACTGGATCACTGTGTCAGTGACGGGCCAACCATTGGGGGACCGAAAAGGCTGATGGGAAGAGATATCAAGGCAGTTGAATAAACGCCTTCGGTATGGGACACGGGCCGGAATATAACGTACGTCCTAATGTGATAGTATGCAGGGAGGCTCTGGACCCGTCTTTGGAGTAGCGCGGCTGTTGGAGACGATCTGAAGTGAAGGCAGGGTGGGAGTTCTGGGGTTCTTATGTATAAGTGTCGGGTGCTCGACAATAGCCTAGCTCCGTGGAATTCGATGGCGGAGACGTGCGGTGCTAGGTTCAAAGCGGCGCTGAGAGAAGGTACGGAGCAACCCCGGTGGCTCTGCTTGTTCTGCCAACCGTATGGCTGCGATTTGCGTTCACGGGCACTTTGCCTTCCTTCCCCACGCCCACAGCACATACTCATGAGACCTTGGCGTGGGAAATGGATAACGTCTTCATACACTAGCTCAAAGTCATCCCGACTTTGACTTCTCGAGTCGCTCTGGGCAGTCAAGCCCTGCCCCATGCCTGCTGCCCCCCCCCCGGTCCATTCATTTGTTGCTGGAACATGACTTGGGGGAGTGCGGACAGCAAATTCTATTCCCTCTGACAGGTTCAGCCACGCTGAGGGCCACCCCTGGAGCACATGTAACAGACGCACAAGGTGTAAGATGGCCGGCTGCAAGCTGTACCGGATCACCTAGCAAGTAGCCGTTATTGGGTTTCCCTCCAGGACGCTCTAGGGCGGACTAGAGATCAGCATGCGTACGTCGGCATATCTTGGCTGGCACAGCCACGCAAGAGAGGAGTAGTCGTAGGCTCGATACCACAATAAGCATCTAGTGTCGTACTATGAGGATAAAAGTGACTATGGGGAAAGTTGGACCCGCGTTGGCGGACCCGGTCGGTACAACACGTTCCCCCGGGCCACCAAAGCCTAAAAAATGGGCGGAGAGACTAATCAGGCACAGCTGCCCCTGGTTGTAATCTTGACTCCTTGCAGCACATGCCTTGGATACGGTCTGCCCTTTTCTCATGGTGTCAGACAGAATTGCGGGCAGCGTGATTGGGCACACACGGTTTCCCGGCCCTCGAGTTGGAGGGGGGTGCAGACAGTTTCCATCCTGGACAAGCCGACGTCTGAAATGGGAAATTGGCTTGGTTGGCCCTGGGGCGGCACCGACATCAGACATCTCTGAAGCAGTCACCGAGAAGGAAGAGGTCTCGCTTGCTTGTTCGTTTGGGGAGGCGCAAAGACAGGCCAACAACGAGATGGCACTTAGAACGTGGTTGTAGAGGGGGTCCGGGCCGGGACCATCCTGGCGGGAACCGGCAGAGTTCTACGCAACTGGGACTAGCGGGTTGGCAGGGTGTTTCTGCTGTCCATTTGGAGGCCGTGAGCAGCGAGTGCCCGGTACGAACTCTAAGGGGATGAGTGAGTAGCGGGAAAAGTAGCCCAAGGTGGGTGAGGGGGAAATAGAAACGAAACGCCTGATTGATGGCCATCAATACCCTGCATATGCGTGTGGATAGTTTGCTGAAGGCCAACCTGACAATGGCTCGGGTGGGAAAAGTCTAGGTGAAGGGGCCAATAGACGGGCTGGGCAGCTCAGCCTCTCGGATGCAGAATGATACCGTGCGGGCGATCCTTGGTCTCTGCTGCCGTAAGCCTTGGTCAGAGTAAGAAACAGTGTTCATGGGCAGGATATCGGACATTTGGGAAAGAGAAAAAAAGGCGTACGCAATCATTCCAAGGGAAATGCTTGGCTTGAGACAGTTGGGCCAAAGAGAAGGAAGAAAGAGGTGGAACGCAGCACCGATCGCAGGGTTGAGCGCATCACGCCGCGCCTTCGCGTTGCATCCTCCGTCATCACTGGCTTATCGAATGCCGGTGGGCTGTTGGCTTGGCTTCCGGGGTCGAGCCATCAATGTTCATGGAAGGACGAGGAGCGCATGAGAGAGAAAAGTTGCCCAGCCGGGGGTTACGGGCGCACAACTGTACACGGACGGACAGCATCGTAGGTGGAAGCCACAATGTCCCGGACAGGTAGCCAAGGGCATACCAGAGACTTGGTTCTCGTCCTTCCGTTGTTGACATTCTTCTCAGCACGCCTGCCTCACCACAGGCACGCAGCGCTTGGATCGAAAGGTCTACTTCCACGCCCTCGACATCACAGTGGCGTCTGGCCAGAGATACACACTCACACGACTCACAACGTGCGCCTGTTGTTATTTGCCAGGTATCTCCGCCGGGCACGCTGACAATGTACGCAGCCGCCAAGGAAGGGGCTTATCTGACGGCAGCCGCACCTCTCGGCACTTCTCCAAGTTCCCTGTTGCTGCATCTCAGCCCGAAATCATCGCAGTCACCGACGGGACGGGCGGTGCTATTTTCATTCCTCAGAGACCTTGTACACCAAACCTCCAACGTTCGCCCGTCGGTCAAGAGCCATTCTTCGTTGACCGAGGAGTGCCACCACTGCAGCCCCGACCACGTGTAAGTCGTTCTCTCCTCGGCGGTGTGGTTGCAAGGACGAGCTCATGGACTAAGGGTACCTGCACACCGCAATCTAGGCATCTGCAGTCAAAGACGATCAAACCGTCCGACTAAAGACCCGTACATCCGTCTCGACTTGTCCCAGTTTCTCTCACTAAGCCCGCACCAGTGGGACAAGCGCGGACGAGCACCAACGCAGGCCGCGCAATGTTTTCCCTGTTTAATTCCGTAATTCTTACTAGAACAAGCGGACCGGGCATTGGGCGACGATTCAGACAGACGGCAGATCACCGAAGAGCCGCCAACGGACCACATCGCCGGTCTGGGCCCTGGTGGACCTTGATAAGGTTGGCTAGAGATACCAAGCTGTTTGCCCAAACCGGAAGGATTCGACTTGAGCCTAGATACCCGCGCGCTGTTGACGCCATGTTCAAAACATGAAACTTTACTACTGCACGGTACGGGCTTGCAGCGATGCAGCTCCTGTCTATTCGTCTGACATTGTGCAGGTACTGGCTGGTTTCCTCCGTTACTTGGCTTGACAATGACGCACTTTGATCCGAAATATGCTTCACTTTCGAGATGCGTTGTCTTTCGAGTATGAACACATCGATGGAGACACGGCACAGCCCAGGACTCAAGACGAGTAACTCGGACTGGCCACTGATCATGCTCCACCTCGTGGACTCGGGACGGAGACCGTCTGACTTGTTTAGTTTGCTGTGCAAAAGGTGCATGTCGAAGCTGGTGAGAGCCAGTGACGCTTGGGTATTCCTCAACAAGGCGCAAACAGCACACACAAAAAACCGGACCAGTTGCATCACCCCAGAACAAGCACACACATACAAGAGCCTTATTGCCGAAAGGACTGAAAACGGTGCAGGATTGCGTCACTGTGTGGCTCAAGGTTCTACCTTCCATCCAGTACGCAACGCCAAGATTCCCACCAACAATTTTGCTGGTAAGCGGACGGTGTAGAAGGACTCGAGACCCATCCGAGTCCGCACCAAGGGAGGGCTCCAACACTGTAGTCTCATCTAGGATGTTGTGGATCACTGATAGAGTTGGAATATTATCCCCTCTCCTCAATTCCCCCACATCCTACTGTACACTTGGATATGCCGATACGGGAAATGAACATGGGGTTTCTCACAGTAGTGTCCGCGACTGGTCCCAACTAACTTTATTCGCTACACGTAGGTTTACTGTAACGGCGGGAAGACAGATGCTTGCAGTACGTCAGATGAGGATGGACGACGGTTTACCCCAAACATCGGGAAGCCCTGAAGGCAACTCGTTACGACTTGCAAAGTTTTTCACGAAACCTCGTGGCCAGCTACGCCACAGTGCCAACCCCAAGCTGTCACAGCGCCGTCAGCGGCCACCTAGCTTTCGTCGATCATTGTCTATTCACCACTCCTTACGGCAATCGACTCAATATGGCGATCTCGATGTCTCAATCCGGCCGCGGTGGCCGGGCTATGGGGCCGGTGCGGGGCTTCACCTGGTCCGGCGGGAAATTGGGCTTGCCGTTCCCCAGGTCGTCCAAGATGGCAACCGAGTCGGCTGCGAGTCGGGTAAGCTCCCTTGCAACGCTGCGTCTAGGGCATGGTGCAACTATCATCCCGCCCTGAATGAGAGTTGCTCCGGCTCGACCCCACATCAGCTACCATTATCTGTCCACATTGCACATGCGGTCTACTAGTGTAGTCTTTACTCAATGGTAACCTGGTAGAGGCTGAGCAGGTGTCAACTCAACATTAAGTTTTCTTGACCCATGAGTTACACCACTTGACCCTGGGCCCAGGCCTCCCATGAAGATGGGACATCGCGAACCCCAACCGTGGAGCATGGGTTTTGTTTGCACTCAAAACGGCACTCGTAAGGCGCTCTCCCCGGGGTCCGCAAACACCGTCAACTTCACCAAGATTGCTCCTTCTGAATCCATCTTAGTTCACTTGTTCGGACGCTGATGACAATAACAATAACTCGTTGAAGCCCGATGGAACGTATTGGTGCAAATGTACATCTTGTAATTCGTCAGCAGCACGTCTGCATTTTCCGGTGAGAGCACAACATGGCCTCGGCTTAACCCGGCGCCGATCCCGCGACTGTTCTGGTAAATCAACGAGTGAAGCGAGCACAATTCGCCCAAACGAGGCCAAGCATCCACGATCGCCCAACCACTCGAGACGACGAAGTTAGTAATTCCACTGCTTAGGGCTGACTCGATCAAACGTCAGACCTGCGACCTCAATCCCCGTGAATGGCCTGTTACACGGATAGGGGCTCATTGCCGCGCGGCGAGGGACAGCAACGACGGCAAATGCCAGGTAAACACGAGATCAGCATCACGGCCATCCGATGTCAACGTCGGCAGCACCGTTCGGAGCGTGGATCCCCCATCTTGCTCCATGAAACACACGGTCAACTTCACCCTCCAAGTAACCAAATCCTCCGTCATGCACCTCAAACTATGTCGTCCGACTCTGCCGTACATGTCAGCGGAAACCCGAAGTTTGCATCTCTTCCGCCCGTGTGGGGGGGCACCGGAACGGCGTGACAAGAGATTCGTCACTCTTTCCTGGCAGATGTACGCGCTGCTCGTTTACGGTCGATCCTTGAGGAACCGTGGCGATTGCCGGATGCCGAAGAAACTCCCACCGTGACATGTAAGCCCAGCATGCCGATATCGTGCAAGGGATGCTATCCGATTCACGGACCTTTGAATTTGCAAGGCAGCGAAGTCTGCTTTTGCCAATCCCGAGGGCGAATCAATAGCACGACACGCTAGCTTGAAAGCAAGATAGATGTACCAAGCGAAAGGGAGACTGCGCGGCAGTCGTAGGACTCTTTGTCCGAGAAGGGATGAACAGACTTCGCAGTCGCGTACAAAGGGGAACCCCGAGGCGAAGGGGGGGCAGGGGAGGGATATTGACTTTGAAGCAGCGACTTGGCGGGTTGGCTAGTCATGGCTCCTGGCGTTCAGATTGTCGCCAAGAGCCAAGGTCCAGCGGACCAAGGGTTCGCAGGTCATCGAGCCCACACGGATCGCGAGGTTGAACACCCAACACGGCTCAGAATAAGGGGCAGACAGAGCGAGACGACGGCAGGTGGTCTCAATGCTCGCTCGCTCACCTCTTTTTGCCAAGGTGAAACTCAAATACCTCCTGTCTATTGGGTACAAAGATGCTCAATCAACCCGTGTGAGGGGGGGAAACACAAACTACGACTAGTAATCCTTCGGAACACGAAGGAGAAAAGACCGACTATCAATGCCCGTGTACTGTTTTTCCAAAAACCAAGCCGCGTGATTAGTAGACACGGAGCTATCGCCCAGGTCTAGTCTGCTCTGCATCACCTCGTTTCAATAACGCCGTACTGGACAGAACTCCTTGTCCGCGCCAGCTCCCAGTAAAAAATCTAAACTTTTCTTCTCCTCATCACTCATCCGCACAGCATCTTATTGCCGCCAACGCCGTATACTCTAAGCTCCTTCGTCTAGTGATCCCACTCTACGCACCCTGTTCTACACCTCGGTGGAGAATCGAAACGCGTGGCTCTCCAACATGCTGCTCGACGCAACGAAGCTGAAGCCGCCAAAGGGGTCGTCCTCCTTGGCCGACATGGCGCTCCACGGGTCCTTGGACGTGATGACGGGGCTCAGGGACAAGTCAGTGAACTCGGGCGCAAAGTTCTCGGCGAGCTCGGGGTCCGTGATCATGGGCTGAATGGGCGGCTCGACCTCTCTGGCCTCCAGCTTCTTCCAGTTGATCTTGTTGAAGAAACGGTGGCCCTTCATCGTCTGGAGGTCCTTGGGCATGTTGGCACCCAGTCGCTTCTTGGGATCCTTCCTGAGCAGGCGCGTCAGGAGGTCCTTGGCGTCGGGGCTCAGGAAGTAGGGCATGACGAGTTTCTGCTTCACAATGTTTTGCTGGATCTTGGCGTGGTTGCCGCCGCGGAAGGGCGGGTTGCCAGTCATCAGGTCGTAGCCAAGCGCACCGAAGGACCACCAGTCGACCGCCTTGCCGTACTTCTGTCCCTGAATGACCTCAGGGGCCATGTACTCGACCGTCCCCAGCATCGAGTTGCAGTGGTCCTCGGAAGTATCGATGGCAACCTTGGAAAGACCAAAGTCGGTGAGCAGCAGGTGACCCTCGGCATCCAGCAAGCAGTTTTCAGGCTTCAAGTCACGGTACACGACACCCAGGGTGCTATGCAAATGGGAGATGGCCAAGAGCATCTCCGCCATATAGAAGGCAGCGACGGGCTCGGCAAACATCTTCTCGGTGCTCAGGTGGGTGAAGAGCTCGCCGCCCTGGCCATACTCGAGAATCAGGTACAGCTTCTCGTGGTCCTGGAAGGCGTAGTAGAGCTTGACGACAAAGGGGTGTCGGTTGACCGACTCAAGGATCTGGCGCTCCGTCTTGGTCTGTTCGATGAGCTTCTTGTGCACGGTCAGAGAAGCCTTCTTGAACTGCTTCTGGGCGTAGAGTCTGCCGGTGTTGCGCTGCTTGACCAGCAGCACCGTGCCGTAGGTACCCTTGCCCAGGCACCGGAGCGGCTCAAAGTCGTCGGCCGTCATCTTGCGCTGCACGTCCTTGTTGCCCTCGATGGGCACGATCTGCCCAGTCCGCTCTCGGACGCTCTCGTCGACGTAGTCGTGCTCCAGGTTGATCTCGTAACTCGTGGACCCGCTCTCGGAGCGCTCACTGCCGGCCTCGCTCTGGCTGCCGTCCTGACTGCCGCAGCGGCTCATGACAGCGCTGCTGATGCCAAGGCCCTTGCACAGGCCGCCATGGCCGTTGCTGCCGTTGAGAGTCAAGGTGCTCGTTCGGGAGGAGGCGTCGAGGCTGAGGGGCTCCATCTGCATGCGGAGCTTCGCGATGCCGGAGACGGCGGGGGAGGAGGCTCCGCGCATGTTGGGGCTGCAGTTCGCGCTGACAACGTCGTCGATGTGCGCGGGCCGGCCGCCGCGCTTCTTGGAGGAGAGGGGCGGGGTAGCGCAGACACCGTAGTCGGAGTCCTCGTCGCCCGAAGTGACGGGGGTGTTTTGGAAGCCACGCACCGTGTTGAGTGCGGGCGTCGCCTTGGCAATCATGGTGTCGGTGGTGGGTGAGGATATTTAGGGAGGTCGCTCCTTGTAGTAGTGAATATTGCTCGTAAACGAGGGGCGCGCGTCGGTGTCCCGGTCGCGCCCTGGACTGGTGAGAACCGTCACTTTGGGGGGAGTTTAGATGCGAAGCACAAGAAGCGTGCCTCGTCGTCGCTCGGGGTCGGCGCGTGGCTCGGAGTCGTAGTTTCTCTGGAGTTTCTTGTGGCTCGGGCTGCGCATCTGGCGGCGGAAGAATGAGCTGGAGTGGTCGTACGAATCCTTTTTACTATGCATTGGTGGTTGGTCGGGGTTCTTGGGACGGCGGTCAGTCAACTAGACATATCGAGAGAGGAAGGGAGGTTGTATTCACCCAAATGGTGTTGGTGAAGAAGAGAGGAAAAGGGAAAGGAGGGAACTTCGAAACAGGGCCCGGCTTTCGACCAGAACAAAATCCAGGAAAATTCAGCCCGCCCAGGCCGGTCCTTAGGCCGGGACAGGCCACCCACGGGGAAGTAGCGAACGAGTCGACCAACCAGAGTGCGAGCCCATGTCAGCCGGCGAGTGACTTTTCGTTCACATGGTAGCGGGCAGCAGCAGCAGTAGCCAACAACTGGGCCTCCCATTTACCACGCTCACCTCACTTTTCCCGCTGAGGGAGGGGGGAGGGGGGGGCGCCACTTTAGAGGGGGGGGTAGGATTGGCAGGCGGAAGCCAAAATTTCGGGAACCCGCGCTGGGGCCTTGTCGGGCCATTCCATTGGGCAGGCGCAGGGGCTGGACCCATCATCAGTCGCATTTGCTTTGCCTTGTTCCCATTTCAGCCCGAAATTCCCAGGCTTTTCTTGTTTTTTTCTTCGGCCTGTTCATCCCTTGTGGCCGCGGGTCTTTCATGCCTACCACTCTGCAGTAGTCGCTCGCTGCTCACCCTGACTTTCATGTAGAGGCATGTCTGACACCCCCTCTCAGGCACCCAGGTCAGGGCCTTCCTCGTCGGTGTCTTTGCCCGGATAGCAGCGGGTGTTCAGCACGTCCCCTTCCTCTCATGCTCTTTCCAAAAACAGCCAGCGGTGTCAGCGGACCGGGAAGGTATCATCCGGTGCAGAGCCGTGATTGTCGATTTATTCTAGGCGGAATTCCACCAACGGCTTTCCTGCTTTCTCTGCACGAGATGCGCCGACTTCTGGCCGCCTGAGAACGGAGGCAGAAAACAAGTCTTCTCAAGCCTCCCCAGATCCATGTTCTCCTAAACTACGGAGATTGGGGTGCGTAGCTCAGGAGGCCGTTAGTCCAGCCAAAAAAAAACCAAAAAAAAAACCGGTAACAATGAGTATGACGTTCCCGATTGTCACCAAAAGGTGGAGTGTCTCCCGTGCCTGGAATAGTCTGACAACGGGCTTGTCCATTATCAAACACGTACATAATAGCGCCGGCTGCTCGCTAATGATCCTCAATCTTACTATTTTTATGCGCCAGCCCTGCCTCGACTCTCGTGTGGCCTTTGCGCAACTCAAAATCGAAGCATGCCCAAGGGAGACGCAGACACAAGAAAAGAACAACTTCGTAGGTTGGAATGTGTTGGCATGAAGTGGCGTCCTGAACAAAGGGGAACAATAACAAAATATCCACTGGGCAGGAGGAGATAACTCTGAGGCACTGTCTCGGAGAGGTCAACACAATCGGCTGAATCGAGGCTTTCCAGATTATGCAGAACGCGACACTGGCCCGAGCATCGTGTCTCACTTTGACAGAGCCCATTCCGGACTTCGCCAGTGAACAAATCAAGTAGACGGACACTCGGCCCTCGATTCGCGTTAGAGGACGGTTCATGCGTATTGCCAGCGGGTGTTTGTGTACTGCTAGGAAATCATCCAGATCGTGGGTTTACGACATGGATTCGACCTGCAACGCCGCAAACACAAGTTCGTCGCAGCAACGACGAACGACTTCCCGCTTCCCCACCGGTTCCCACCAAATAAGGTGCTCCATCCTCCGCAACCAACCCTGTTGAAACCGCGACGATCTGCTTTTTAGCACGTCAACCTCACGTCACGCCTGATTGACCAATGCGCAAAAAAAACACATCACTAACCACATCCGATTACACGCACTCGAGAGTAGGCTCTAGTTCTCCTCCACGTTCGTTCTGTAATGCGTCTCCAGACTGAACCTCGCAAACGGGCTCCTCTGCCTCAGCCGCTTGCTGAACCGGAAGAACAGCCACGGAGTGACGCAAAACGCCGCCGCCAGCGCCGCAAGCACCGATCCGGCAATATTGGCGTTCAACCCGGCATACATTTCGTGCGCGACGAGCGGCATCAGCCCCGACGCGACGGCCCGCACGAGCGCGAGCCCTGAAAACGCTGAAGCCGAGTAGAGTAGGTACGAGTCGGCGAGATACCCGCTGAGCGTGTGCGCCGTCTCGTTGACCGCGAAGCCCACAAGCACGAGGGACGCCGTCGGGACAATCCAGTGCAAGCCGTTCACCGCCGGCGGGATCGTCCAGGCGAACCAAGCGAGGCCGATGGCTTGGGCCGGAGCGGCGAAGGCGAAGCCAATGATTTTGTCTTCTCTGTTCTTCTCGTCAGTTCCATATAATAGGGACCGCAAGGGCCTCTTACGGTTGGATGGGCACTTTTGTGCGCTGGCGGTCCCGGACGACCTTCATATCCCACAAGCGAGGGAGGAACGTGAAGAGCACGCCGACCGCGATGGCTAGGAAAGGCAGTGAAGCTTGGGTCTTGGTGAAACCCAGAGAGAGGTAGACTACAGTGAGCGACTCGGTGAACAAGTAGATCATGCCCCATGACGAAGCAGAGATGAGCGCGACCATGACGACCAGCGGTTCTGTGAGCAAGATCCTTCCGGGCCTGACGACGCTGATCCGGACCAGGGCCCGCCAGTCTCGCGCCTCGTCGGGGTTATGCCACTCCAGCTCTTGTATCGTCGTCTCCCTCCTGATCTGCTTGATAATGCCGCCCAGTAGAATGCTTGGCCTGCTCTCCTTGACCCCAAAGAGGGCCACAAACAGCACCGCCGTGACGATTGCCGCGCTGTCAAAGATCCACCGCCACCCCGCGGCCTCGGAGATGTAGGCGGCGTAGATGGGTCCGAAGCACAAGCCGACCGTTGTACCCGCGTTCCAGAGGACAATGATCCATACCCGGCGCTTCGTGTTGAACATGTCTTCCACGCTGCCGGCGATGACGACGGACGGAACGGCCGAGGCAAGGCCTGCTACGAAGCGGCCGATGTAGACTGCCACGGGGGAGTGTACGACGCCGGTGAGGAGACTGAAGATGCAGAAGGCGGCGCAGGAGGTGAGGTACGGGAGGCGGCGGCCGAACAGTTCAGAAAAAGGGGGGATCAGGAAACCCCCTAGCGCTTGACCAAGTTGGTACCTGTCTGCGGTGAGCTATGGTACTCGTGCATGGAGAGTTGATGGTTTACATGAGAGTGAAGCCGACGAGAGATGCTTGTCGACCGAGACCGTAGTCGGGTGCGGCTTCCGTTGCGGCGACGGCCTACATGATGAGTTAGCACTGCAATGGATCAATATTATCGCCTAGATATGGTGTTCTCTTGATGAAATCCATCAAGCTATTCCCAGGAGTCTCGGTATAGAGACGATCCAGAAGTCGGCACGCCCCTCGGGTCGTGCCGCCATGCGGACCGCATCTGCAGTATTAGTGGGCAGGTATGTAACACAACGCAACAACTTACTCCTGTAGTGCTTATGATGGTTCTATATTGTGTTAGTTCTGGCAGAAAGGGATACAAACGCGAAAATTCTCACGTATACAGCTCAAACAAGATGATGACTGTAGTATCAAACGTCTTCCGCCGTGTCGACCAGTTCCTTGGATGTGTCTTGCAGTCCCGTTGCCAGTTGACCAGCCCGTCTGCCCCTCTTTCGACGCCATACTGCGCCAAGGTCGCCCCCTCGTCTGCCTCGAAGACGGCATAGGCACTCTTTTCGGAGACGAAGTCCTGAGCGTCGTGGACCTCGAGAACCATGGTAATAGTAGTCAACACAGAACGAGGGAATGGAACACAGGTTGACAAGTCGAAACAACCTCTGTGCCGCAGACTAGGTAAACGAGTGAATAAACTATGAGACGACTGACAAGAAGCGGCGGCGAGGCACCCTACATCCTACCAGTCTCCAGTCCATGGACATCTCCGCTCAGCGGCTTACTTTCCACACCGCTCGGCTGGCGGCATCGTCTTCAAAACACCAGTAGGCCCGGAAAGGCATGTCGCCCGCCAGCCTAGGGAAGCACCCAAGAGGCAATACTGAACTCCAACCTCCCAAAGGGGCGAAGACATGAATCCTTGACTCAGCCCGGACCTTGCAAGCTTTGATTTCTAGCAGCTTTTGCGATCTCCGAGGCTCGTCTGTTGACCTCCGGGCCCGAGAGGTCTGCAGTACCAGCTGCAAGTAAGACCTCGAATGGTCACATCAGCATAAGCACTTGGAGAAGGCGCGTCGTTGGCCTACCCAATCGCAACACGGCATCAAGCCCGGGGCCGCGATGTGTCAGCGGAGGGCTGAACCGAGCCCGGGGGCATGTTGGGCGCGAGGGGTTGATTGCGGGAGATTGTGGAATCCGTCCTGTCAAACTGGCTTGGCCCCCCGGGCTCCCGCTTCCTGGAGGATCGTTCAGCTGTGGTTAGATAGGCGAGGGCCGTTGGGCGATATGTGCCTGGGCTGACTGTATGATCTTGCGTGCGATGGAAACAGCTTTGTGTGAAAGTTCATAATGAACCCTCAATGATGTGAAGAACTCGTTCTCTAAACCGCTCACGTTCGTGGCGCATTGTGATTGTCTCTCGACTAGCCCCGCTCCTACGTCCGGCAGATCATCACTAAGTCCGGATAATTTGAGACGCACATATACAGATGTATGCCCCTGTAGGTGAATTATCTTGCAGCTATGTGAATTTTTCATTGATGCTGATGATGCTTGCCTGCAACAATAGGCCAAATATAAACATTATGACCAAAAACGAGCACAGCCCCATACTCTGGGGATCTCCCCAAGAGACAGGTTCAACGTTTGACTTTCGGAGTGAGTTTTCGTTGTATACCCCCTGATTCTTCCCGTTGCTTCTCTTGTTCTCATCTCCTGCTCCCCCTAGAGCCAGCGTTCTAACATTGATTGCAGGCGATGTAATCACAACACCTTCCCAAGGCATGCTACTTGCCATTGCTAGAACCACCCTGCACGATGATGTATACGGTGAGGATTCGACAACCAGAAATTTTGAACAAGAAATGGCAAAAATATGCGGGCACGAGAGCGCGGCGTTCGTCCTCTCGGGGACAATGGCGAACCAGCTTGCCCTCCGATCTCTCCTCCACCAACCGCCCCATGCCATTCTCGCCGATGCTAGCGCCCACATCATCCACTGGGAAGCGGGAGGGATCGCACACTTGTCCGGGGCTATGGTCCAGGGAATCCGCCCGAAGAATGGGCTCTACCTTACCCTGGACGACGTCAAGAAACACGCTGTCGTCACGGACGACGTCCACAAGTGTCCAACGCGGGCGATTAGCATAGAGAACACTTGTTCAGGGGTGATAATCCCTTTGGAGGAACTGCAAAGGATCAAGGAATGGGCCTCCACGCATGACATCGCCATCCACATGGACGGGGCACGGCTGTGGGAGGCAGTCTCAGCCGGGGCGGGTAGCTTAGAAGAATTTGGCAGATGCTGCGATGTGCTGACAATGGACTTCAGCAAGAACCTGGGCGCGCCGATGGGCGCTATGGTTCTCGGCTCGTCTGAGCTGATCAAGCGCCTGCGACGGCTGCGGAAGAGCATCGGCGGCGGTATGAGGCAGGCTGGTGTCCTCGTCGCTGCAGCACGACAGGCCGTTGTAGAGAACTTTGGACTTGGGCCCCACGATTCTCGAGGTGTGCTTGGTATCAGTCGGACTCTGGCAGAGGAGGTCGGAAGAATGTGGACAATGAGAGGAGGAATAGTACTGAAGCCTATCGAGACCAACATGGTCTGGCTAGACCTCAGCGGGTGTGGTATCGAAATGAGTGAGTGGAACGAAATGGGGAGACAATATGGTATCAAACTTGATGGAAAAAGGGTCGTGCTGCATCATCAAATTAGTGAACTGGCTATGAAGCGTCTGGGTGCTGTGATGGACGAGGTGCTAGGTCGAGTTAAACAGACGGCAGTATTGGGTGCTGCGACGAAAGCCCGTTTGTGAGTGTTCATTGGGAAGAAACATGTCGTTAGTATTCGTTTATGCTCTATGTCACAGATCACATGATGCTTGACATTTTACCGTATGTAAAGGTTGGTAGAAGTCTACCTCATTGTAAGTGTCTTCCCTGAACTTAATGATGCCTGACAGGGGCCACTTACATTTGGGATGGTACGGGGATGCCTGGGAACCGCAGTACGGCCAAAAGAAGTACCGTTGCCGAGAATTTTTACAGCGGATCTCCAACTGTGGCGGGCGGGCAAGCTCAACTCTTGGAACTGCCTGCCAAGCACCGTTGTAAGCTCAGGAACACCTCCAGATTGTTCTTCCGCCAGGCTGCCATTGAAGCTCAACCACATCCTCCCCCAGCACGCCCACTTTCCCGAACCCCAATTTTCAACTCGCTCACGAGACCTTACCGCCGAACGTGTGTCTGGGCCAAACGCCCCCTTTCGCCCAAGATGATGCACCCGTCGCGACAAGCCTACGTCGAGGAGGCGATGGATGAGGATCGAGGCATTGCACTGGAGGATATTCCAACCGATCATGACTACGAGATTCCCTCGGCCTTCTCTGGCGCCGCGCCAGAGAAAGCGTCCGCCGTTCTAGCGCAAATGGAGAGAAAGAAATTGGCTGCAAGCATCGCGGTACCAACGGACGACAACAGGGTGCGAGCGAAGCTCCGAGAGATGGGCGAACCGATTACATTCTTTGGCGAGGGCAAACCCGAACGCAGAGATCGTCTACGAAACCTTCTTGCCATTCAACATGAGATGGCCGGCCTCGAAAACGGTGACATAGAAATGGAAGACGCAGACGAGGACGCGGAAGAGCAAGACGAGGAATTTTATACACCAGGCGGCCAGTCATTGCTTCAGGCGCGCATCGATATTGCGAAATACTCCCTCCCGAGGGCAAAACGGCGGGTCCAGTTTCAGAAGGCTGAAGCCTCCATTCCTTTGCGCACACACGTCAAGTTCCGGAAACAGATCAAGGACAAGCTGGAGGGCTTCGAGCTCCAGGGCAGTCAAACAGCCGGCGACAGGCACATCAGCATGACGAGACTGTCACCAAACGGAGAAATTGTTGCTGTGGGCAACTGGGGAGGAGGTCTTAAGCTTATCGAGGTTCCCAGCTTGGAGGCAAAGATGAACCTCCGAGGACACACCCAGAAGATCAGTGGTATATCATGGTACCCCGGCTCTACACTGCCCGAAAGCAACGTATCTCCAGATGCGGTGAATCTTGTCTCTGGAGGAGCCGAAGGCTCGGTACATCTGTGGTCTTTGAACCAAGATACTCCCCTTTCGACCCTCACTGGCCACGGCGGCAGAGTGTCCCGCGTTGAGTTCCATCCTTCTGGTCGTTACGTTGCGTCAGCTTCAGACGATACGACGTGGCGACTCTGGGATGTCGAGACGACCGCGGAGCTACTGCTTCAGGAAGGCCATTCCAGAGGCGTTTACTCTGTCAGCTTCAACGCTGATGGCTCCTTGTTGGCAAGCGCTGGCCTTGACAGCATTGGTCGTATTTGGGATTTGCGTTCAGGAAGAACTGTTATGATCCTCGACGAGCACATCCAACCTATTTACGCGCTTGACTGGGGTTCTGAAGGCCACAGAGTACTGTCGGGATCGGCAGACGGCTGGGTCAAATGTTGGGACATTCGCAAAGTCCAAAGAACAGCAAACTTGGGAGCACACGCGAAAGCTGTCTCTGACATACGATGGTTCAGGGGTTTGGACGATCCCATTGATGGAACCCCCCCTGGAACCGATGAAAAGGGCGCACAGCAACCCAAAAAGGCCGGTACGTTCTTTGTATCTGGTGGCTTTGACGCCAAGATCAAGATCTTCTCAGCCGACAACTGGGGCGTGATACAGACGCTGAGCGGACATTCTGGCCCTGTCGCCAGTGTGGACGTGAGCAGAGACGGAAAATGGATCGTGAGTGGTGGACATGATCGGACGGTGAAGCTTTGGGGCCGCAATGACGGTGAGGGTCTTTAAAGAGACAGTCTACACCGTTGGGTGGGGAAGAGGAGATCCAAGACCTATAGAATACCAAGATACCCCAAGAAATCAAGAAATCCAAAGGAGCTTCTCGAGTGCTCTCAGAAAAGCTACCTACGCAATCCTATGCATGTGCACGGACTTAGCTGCAGAAGCCAGGGTCTTAAGTGATCACGTGGCGTCTGCGATAAGATAACGGCGCTCAAACAGGACCGAAAATCCACCTCAGCTAAACCAAGGAAGGTACATCAATCATCAATCATCAATCAACAACCAACCCATCTTGCGACGACGAGCGCCTCTTCACTCATGATCAATTCATCACGACAAACTCCACCAGTCGCCGATCTGAAAGCATTCCATTAAGCTCGCGGCGATGGCTAGTATCGATCGCTACCGGCCGTCTAGAGAGGCCTACCAGCCTCCTACTCTGCCACCGGGGCCGCCACGACCGGATCGGCTGTCACGATCTCCTGCGCGTCGCCTCGACGTTCCGCCGGCCGTTCCATCACCACCGACGCACTCTTCCCGGACGTCGCCACCGCGACCTCTTTCCCAACGCGATACGCGCTCGCCACAGCGCTCGAGGGCGCAAACGCCAGGCCCCCCGCCTAACCAGTGGTACTTTACTCCCGACGAGACGCTGAGCACACCAAGTATACTGGATGGCATCTCTCCAGCGGAAGAACGACTGCGAAGAGCGAAAGGTGTCAACTTTATATACCAAGCAGGTGTCTTGCTTGATTTGCCTCAGATCACCCTATGGGTCGCAGGCGTCTTCTTCCACCGTTTCTACATGCGATACAGCATGGTTGAAGAGAAGGGCGGCATTCATCACTACGTGAGAACAAACTCCTTCCTCCTCATCTCTCGCGACGATCCTGGCCGTGTCTGATTAGTGTCAGGCGCGTCCCACGCTTCCTAAATCTAAGCGAGGGGTGGAGAAAGCTCAAGCAGAACCAATGCTGACGGGATCGATTGAACAGAACATCGCGGCTACAGCACTCTTCCTTGCGAACAAGACCGAGGAGAACTGCCGGAAGACGAAAGAAATCATCATCACCGTCGCAAAGGTCGCCCAGAAGAATCCTAAGCTCATGATAGACGAGATGAGCAAGGAGTACTGGCGGTGGAGGGACAGCATTCTTATGTACGAGGAGCTCATGTTGGAGTACCTGACGTTTGATCTCGTGGTCGAGAACCCATACCAACGTCTCTTCGAGCTTCTCGGTCAGCTTGATATCGTCCACAACAAGCACCTCCGGCAGTCGGCTTGGGCATTCTGCAGCGACGCTTGCCTTACGTCAATTCCCCTGCTGCTTGAAGCCCGCGATGTTGCCATCAGCGCGATCTTCTTCGCCAGTGTGCATACCAATCAGAAGATTGAAGATCTCAATGGCGAGCCGTGGTGGAGGGCATTGAACGGAAACGAAGAGAAGTGCGCAAAAGCCATTGACATTGTGCGACAATTCTATACCGAGAACCCGCTTCGCAAACAGAACCCGTCGTTGCCATCGCCGGCCTTCGACTTGGCCAATACTAGGCAGCCAAGAGACCCGATGAGCCAAGACGCTCTGTCGTCCACGGCAGGCACGCCCTTTGAACTGGACAGGGGGACACAGAGCCCAAGAGCTAGGGTTAATGGCCGGGACGATGTCACCAATACCGAATCAGGCTCACAGGCCACGCTGAAGGAGCCTGAGAGGCCGAACGGCAACGGCGCTACTTCTCCCGGCAAGCGGAAGGAAGTCGATTCGGACTCTGAGGGCAGGGACCAGAAACGGGCACGGCTCTCGGACGAGGACGAGGGAGAGGTTTTGGACTAGTAATTTAAGCCTACAACATTGTAATTATTTAGGGACCAGGCGTTTGGAGGTCCATCACATTTTACGGCAAGGATTCAGACAAGGGATCGATAGGGGCAACAAACAACCCCAGTGTACCATATGGGACACCCTTCCAAGGCAGCTTCGAGAGCGAGCATCTTGGCTTGCGGAAATATTCATGGTATGCCCAAGGACACGGCGTTAACGGGATGGTGGTCTGGCTGAAGCCATGGCACGAGCGATGCTTTTGGGGACATGATACCTTAACAGTGCTTTCTACTCATAGTAAACCATCACATTAGGAAAATGCGGCGCATTGTGGATCTAGAAACGAAGAGGTCACGGCACGGGCACTGTTGAGCTACCTACGGACTCGCGACGGAGCCCATCTGTCCTACCCGTCTTGCGGTTGATCGCATCGTCCATGAAATCTATGACATCCACCATGTTGTCGAGCGAGAGGAGCGCCGCCCGCTCATGCCTATTCAGCAACGCCCGCTTGTCCGGGCCCATGCCCGGCCCGCACATTTCGTGGAGGTGGTGCTGCACCAGCTTCACGGGCATCGGGGCGCGGACTACGTGACGCATGAAGGTTTCGACGGCCTCCCAAGGGCAGGACTCGTGGCCAGCGTAGAGAGCCGGGTTGGCGAGGATGCCGCGAGCAGACATGAGGCCGGCGAGCTTGGTGCCGCTGGGGGTGAAGTCCGTGTAGCCGTTGTGGCCGTTGATTGTCTCCGGCTCCGAGGGTTGTACTGCTGCTTTGGAAACGGTTGATAGGGGCAGGGTCGCCATGGAGAAGACATCGCCTGAGAGGAGAATAGGGAGGGTATCACCGTACTTTTCGAGGAGGATGCCGAGGGATTCGGTGTTGATTGGGATGCTGGAGGCCGTGTGGCGGGTGCGGGGGTGAATGGTCAGGAAGTCAATGTTTCGGTCTTGGGGGTTGCCGATGACTGTGTCGATGAAATCCATGGTTTTCCTTGTTACATGTTAGTACGGTTCTGCAAGAGAACTTTTCTGATGGCATTGATGCTGTCCTCACGAGCAAGAGACTCACCTCAGATCTTTATGGACACGAATCTTGACGCTTATACTCCTCCCCTTGGGACTGTCTATATCGCGTTCCTTGCCGACATGCCATCCGTCGCTGGCCAGGCGCTGGCGAGTCTCGGTGACCATGTCGCGGACGAGCTCGCGCTTCTCCATGAGCGCGGCGCCAAGAGTCTCGGCGCAGGCCCAGGACTGCGGGCAGCCGCAGTTAAGGTCGACGCCGTTGACATAGGGGGCGGCGAGGGATGATGAGCGGGCGAGCTCGAGGGGGCTGCTGGAGCCAAACTGGACTATTGTTGGTGGCTGGACTCCGCGGGTTGATATCGTGAGATCTTTGAAAAGTCGTTGTTAGCTGTTGGATTATCTCCCGAGTACGAGGGAGATACAAACCACTGTCACGGGCAAACTTGTTGCGGTTGAACTCCTTGGACAGGATCATGGGCGTCCAGCAGAGGTCGGTTCCATATTCATGAACGGTTTGACGGAAGGCAAGCTGTGAAACCATGAGCATTCAATTTACGTGTTTTTTCATAAGCTTTTTGTGAGATTACCTTGCTATATCTCACCATAGGGGCTGAGACGTAGAGGAACCTGTCCTGGCTCTTGGCCGCATCGAAGATTTTCAGAGGACTGCATAGAGTGACATGCTGTCAGTCATTGAGACAGCAGACAAGAGAGGGGATGCATGAGGGAAATAGGAGCTGAGCTCACTGTGTTCTGTCTGAAATGGTACCATTGTAGAGATCGGCCGCCATAGTGACAGCGCTGGCACGTTCACACGCGATGAACTGAGTCTTGATCAAATCAGCCAGCAAGTTTGAGATGAGAGTGAGTTTTGAGTGTGAGTCGAAACAACGCTGTGAAGGCGCTAAAAGCGCAGAACTACAGCGCTTCTCGGTGGAGCAGGGGGGGCCTGTGGCGTCAAACCCAGACGGGCGATCCTCACCTGGGCAGTCATAGTGGGGGTGGGGCTTTCTTGCGACGATAACGGCGGGGTGTTTTTTCACCGCTTGCCCAAAGAGGTAGAAACCTTCAAACTTCCTGCGTCAAAACTTTGCTCTATGCCCCCGGTGCGTGTTTGCATTGATGAGTCGTTTCTTCCCTGGGGAAACACTCTCCACCCTCTCACTCACCATCTTTGCTCTTGACCATCGGCTCCTTTCCTTTGGTCCCCTCGTCCCCCCGCACTTACACTAAATCACTCTCCGTCGACTTCTCCCATAATGGTCAGGAAGCCTACTATCGGCCTCCTTGGAGGCGGCCAACTCGGCCGGATGCTGTGTGAGGCCGCGGGGCCGCTCGGCATTGATATCGCGATCCTGGACGAGGCCAACTGCCCCGCGAAGCAGGCGAACCAGAACAGCCGGCACGTCACCGGTTCCTTCAAGGACCCCGCCAAAATCAGGGAATTGGCTGCCATGTGCGATGTCCTCACCGTCGAGATTGAGCACGTCAACACCGAAGTCCTCGAGGAGATCGCGACCCGCGGTGTCATCACCGCGCCGGGAACCGTCAAGAGGGTGCCCGTTCACCCCCATTGGCAGACTCTGCGCCTGATCCAGGACAAGTATTTGCAAAAGGAGCACTTTGCCAAGGCCGGCCTTCCCATTGCCCCGCAGATGGCCATCGAGTCCGGCCCCGCTATGCCGGAGAGCCTGACGGCGGCTTACAGGACGTTCCAGTTCCCCTTCATGTTGAAGGCGAGAAAGGGTTCGTATGACGGCCGCGGCAACTTCAAGGTCAAGGGCCCTGAGGATTACGAGGCGGCTGTCCAGGCGATGGGCAAGCTGTCTTTGTACGCTGAGAAGTGGGTTCCGTTTGACATGGAGCTGTCCGTCATGGTCGTACGGACTGAGGATGAGGACGGCGAGCTGAGAAAGGTGCACACTTACCCGGCCGTCGAGACCATTCATGAGGAGAGCATCTGCACCAAGGTGTTCTACCCGCCCCGGAAGGTCCCCGCCGATGTGTGTGAGAAGGCACGTCAGGTTGCTGGAGACGTCATCAAGACGGTGAAGGGACGCGGTGTTTTCGCCGTTGAAATGTTCTTGCTGAAGGACGGTGAGTTCCGTGATGACCAAGACTCCTATAATTAGACCTAACGGTGATGCAGGCACCATCACCGTCAACGAGGTTGCCCCTCGCCCTCACAACTCGGGCCACTGGACCATTGAGGGTGTTCCCTACATGTCGCAGTACAAGGCGCAGCTCTACTCCATCTTGGACATGCTCCCGCGCTCCATCAAGCTTCAGCCCCGCGTCTCTAGCGCCCTCATGCTGAACATCCTTGGCGGCGCTCGCGAGGACTCCCATGAGGAGCTGGTCGACCTTACCACGTCCCTGTACGATGACAATATGGACGTCTTCCTGCACCTCTATGGCAAGTCTTCCAAGCCTGGCCGCAAGATTGGCCACATTACAGTTACGACCTACTCTCCCAACGCCAACCTGGAGAGACTGGCCGCGCCCCTGATCAACGAGGTGAACTACATGCGTGAGGCTCGTCTTGATGCTTCTTCCGAGCAGCTCCGCCTGCAAGAGTCTCCGGCCAAGAAGACGAGCTCTCGTAACGCGGACAAGCCCCTCGTGGTGGTCACCATGGGTTCTGACTCGGACCTCAACGTTCTTAAGGGTGCCTTTGAGATTCTCGAGCACTTCGATGTTCCCTACGACCTCGACATCACCTCCGCTCACCGCACTCCTCACCGCATGGTCGAGCTGGGCAAGACTGCTGCGCAGCGCGGCATCAAAGTCTTGATCGCAGCTGGTAAGTTTTACACGCCTTCTACTCTTTCCACTACGTTACTGACATTACCTTCAGCCGGTGGTGCTGCTCATCTCCCTGGCATGTTGGCATCTGAGACCACGGTCCCAGTCATCGGCGTGCCTGTCAAGGCCACTCACCTAGACGGCCACGACAGCTTGTTGAGTATCGTCCAGATGCCCCGCGGCTGCCCCGTAGCGACCGTCGGCATCAACAACTCCACTAACGCTGCGCTCCTGGCTGTCAAGATCCTCGGATCCTCCAGCCTCGAGTACCAGCAGAAGATGGCCCAGTACATGAGCAACATGTCCCGCGAGGTCGAGCACAAGGCTGCCAAGCTGCAAAGGGTAGGCTGGAAGACTTACCTGGAGAGCAAGTAAGCAGATTTAGGGGGGTTTTTATTGCATACTTGGGACATTGTCCCGCCTTTGACAGCATTGATTGATACCAGCAACGGCGTATATAGGAGGATAAGAAAATAACAAAACTCGGATGGTGAATCCAAGATTTCTATTCAACCCATACACTTATTTTCAGTGACATTTCCGACGCAGTACTGTGCATTGCCCTTCGATAAACTATGATGCTCTACATTCAAACAACCAACAAGTCGCAGCACTGGTGCCAGGAAGCGCAGCAGCGAAATAGCCTTGAGAGGATGCATGTGTCGCTACTTAAACATGAGACCTGGACGAAACAACTGGCTTGTCAGAAAGCCCGACCCGAGACCGTGCTGAGGTAGAATTCAACAACCGATGTTGAGGCTTGATACCGCGATAATGGGCATAATCCTGCGCTGTCAGCGTACTAAAAACCTCGACATTATTGCCTTCCTAGAACATATCTAGAAAGGCTTCGTACCTCGAGTTTTATATACCTCCCCTTTATCTCGAAACTAGTACGTTTTCTGCCTTGTGGGTAGGCAATAAGCTACTAGAGAGGTCTCGGTTTATTCCTGTAACCTTTCCGACGAAGTTGGACACTGGTAGCAGGAGTTTCTGTACACGTTTAGAACCATATTAGTAGGGGCTGACATGGTACCAACTGGGCTTCCTTAGTATTCATGGGATACCTCTACTCATTGAACATGTGCCGGAAATCGAATACGAAAGAACTGTCACAGGATGAAGCATTTCGTATCACTATGAAGATTTTGGTTTTTGTGTACAACATCTCCGAGTAATCTGGGGGGTGGTTGTTGTGACCACCTGCGAACCTGTGCTACCCCATGAATAGGACCGATATTTGATCATCCAGGCAAGCGCTTAGCCACAGCTCACGAGTTGATGTTCACAGAATGGTGTTCAAGGTGGAGTTTGCGGATCAAGAAAGTTGTTTTGGTGAGTCGTGCTCCAAGGGGAAATCTTTGCCTGCGGAGTTTGCTCACGACTACCATGTCCGTCCCGCTATATCGATGCGAGGAGTATACGTCTCGTGTGAGACTGCTGATCAAAGTCTGACGATCGCTAGGGAAGCTCTTATTCCTGAAAGTACACAGGAATTTCCATGGAGAAAACATGGAGGTGCGAGGAGGAAGGTGCGGAAGTGACGAAGCTGAGCGGTTCAGGGCTTTGGGCGGATCATGTCTCAATACGGCGCATCCGCCTTCCTGGATAAAGATCACCCGCAATACCACCGCCGTCAAACTCGCAACCTACATTCGATTACGCAGTAAAACAGTGAAATAGCGATAGTGTCGTGCCAGAACAGTAACGAGAGGCAGGACTTGGGGCTTCAGGTAAACAGTATACCAAACAAGGAAGAAACCAGTAGCCATCTAAGACGTTTCTATTCATAGCTTGTTGCACGTTGCAAACTTACACATCCCCTCTTCCCCCAACCCGCATCTGGGGCTCAAGACGAATATATCTCGTATGAGTGGTATACTTTCGCTTCTTCCTTCTTGCTCGCCGAGGAAAAACGAGCTGTCATCCTTAGACTGATGTCATGCAGTCGCTAGCCGTGTATAGGTAAGGATAAGCTCGCACATCGGAAACCAATTTGCCGGCGCATTCCTCCCAAACCATGAAAGGGGTTATACCATCACATATCTTGTTTCCGGCTTTGCGTAACTTGCGATGTTACTACTACATGGGCCTAGAAAATACAGCGGCGGCATTATGTTGACAGGCTTGCCGAACATTTGGCAGAACATATTCCAGCTCGAGAATCCCCTGCTCGTGTACTGGACTCAAGCTGGATTGCCATGACCGCTTCTCTCAACAGACGGACCGATGCTGCACCCGCCAGTTGTCATCAATCCGCACCTCCGGATGCGACCTGTCGAACAGACTTGGAGGTAACCGGTCGATACTTATCCGCCCAGACCGTTCGCCAGCAAGGGGTCTAGATCGACGCCTATCCAAGACAAGCGGCTTGGCAAGAACGACACAATCCGGAGACCTTTATGCCAGCTCGCCCTAGTGGCTGGCGACCAGCCACGAGGTAGCACAAAATAGACGATGATGGCTTGAACTGCCACGATTTCGTCTGCATTTCCTACATACAAGCGAGCCCATGATGGCTCAGTTGAAGTTGCACCGTAGAAGGTATTTCCTGTCTCTGGTTCCCTGAAAACCTTTCGTCAGAATATCCCACGGTGCGACAGAAAAGCCGTTGCCTGTCTCATTGGGTCGTTCGCCTGTCTTGTCCGAGCTCAGAGGTGTCACGAACAAAGGAACCGTGTCAGTGTGACGCTTCGTAGCCCCATCCGCTTTCGCCTTTGACCTTTCGGAGGAAAGAAAAGCCTGCTTTCCTCGTTGCGGCGGGGCACCAGAGACCAAATAATCGCAAACAGCCAAAAAAGTTGAGACTTTGACTCCATCGACGATCCTAGAACGTCAAGGACTATCAATCACTTTGCCCGCCTGTGCTCGAGGCGGACGCTATTCTGCGCACCCTGACCGGATGCGCTCACTCTCCCGTCTACCACGAATCTGGATGCTCTGATCTCGTGTCTAGCCCATGTTGTATTCCTTGGCGTTTTCCCAGGCAAAGCGGAAAATAACCAAACCAGAGTTGCCACAAGAAAACTAACAATCAGGGCGCGTCTGCCGGGTCGGCGCAGTGCAATGAACAGGACCAAGGGCCGAGACAGTCATGAACCCATGTCCGCTAGCCTCCGTCTTCCCGTCATGAAGGCTATCCTTAAACGGATATCGGAGAATTTGCAGAGAAGCACGCCCTTGCGGTAAGGTGCAGAGGATATATAGAATCTTGGGCATCCAGCCTAGGTCCAGTCGAAACTCACACACCAACAAGCACTCAGCAGTAGCCGACTACGCCTGACATCTCACACTACCAAGCACAACATCAAACGTCACTGTTCAGTCAGCGCTACTACACACGAGGACGAGATGCTTTCCGGTCAATTCTTGACGGTCCTGGGCCTCGTCGGGTTCGTCGCCGCCTCCCCACAGATCCAGCTTCCTCCCTCCGGTGCAGCCGACTGCCCTCGAACCATGTGCATCGACGGCATCAACACGGAGTGCAGTATACGATGGGGAGGCTGTTACGACATGTGCAAGCCGAATATGCGGCCGACGATGCCGCCATGCAAGTCCACGCTCAGTAAATCAATCACCAAGACGCTGCAGCCCGTCATCCCCACATCGGGTCTTCCGAAGCTCAATTTGCAGGTCCTGGTTGGGAGCGGGCCGATCATCAAGCCACCGGCTCCGACGAAGCCACCTTCCAATTCGACTCGGCAGCCCACATCGAGTGAGAATTGCAGTTCCCGGACCGTTTGTGTAGACTATATTAATGAGTGCGGTCAGATGTACGGGGGGTGAGTTCATCGCCCCCAGCCTACTAAGTGTAGATGTCGCAAAGCCAGTCACTTACTCGACGGATTTGAAGATGTCACGCTGATTGCCGCCCCTGGCCGTCGTATTCCAAACCCCCTTGCACATCTAGCGAGGTTATTGACCCGTCGACGTCGCCTACCTGATAATAAAAGGGGTCGAGATACAAAACTTTTATGTTTTATAGTTTATTTTACGGATGCAAACGGTGGCGTATTGATGGAAAGGAATAAGCTTTGATGAAGGTCTATGAACGAAGGTTTACGATTCTGTTTAGCCAATAGGGATTCTAATTCAATGGTATATATTAACAACTTTACCTGATGGAACCGGCCAGCATGTCGAATGCCAGGCTATACACACGTGTACCCCATCTTATGCCGCCTCACCAGTTGATCAGGTCCAATACATGTGGCAAAACCGGAGCGTAGTCTTTGAACAAAATGAATTTCTCCTCCTACTTTACACGTTTTTAACTCCAGAGCCAAAGCCCAAAAGCCTGCGGTGTATGCACCAGCCCTAATAGCCTAGTTTCCAGGGTAGGTCGCGATATCCCCCACGTGGCTCACCCACGATCATTAACTAAATTGTCCGTCGTGGTATTATGACTGCCTTGATATGCCTTCCGCTGCTCTCTCCTCCGCCTCCTCCGTCTGCTTCCATCTCCTCACACATTCCCGGTTTCCTTAGAACACCCGACACCAATTTCTAATCGAAACAACTTTAGTACACACGCTTGAAAGGAGGAACGGCCTTGCACTCGTTCTCATCCAGAGTGTTGGCAATGACGCCACGGTAGCCGAGGTCGACCTTGCCGTGGGGCTGCTTCTGGAAGGACAGAGTGTGCTTCATCCAGTTGGTGTCGTCACGGTCGGGATAGTCCTCGCGGGCGTGGGCACCACGAGACTCCTTACGAGCAGCGGCGGAGGTAGCGGTTTGGGAACTGACAATCAATTAGCATCTCTGATATGTAAAAACAAGCTGGCTTTTTAAGACTTACGCGCAAGTCAAGAGGTTGCGGAGCTCAAGAGTCTCAACAAGGTCGGAGTTCCAGATCATGGACTTATCCTTGATGGCGACGTCGGGGAACTGAGCATCGATCTCGGTCATCTTGCGGACACCCTCGTCAAGAGACTCCTGTGTTCTGAAGACGCTGACCTCAGTCTGCATGGCCTTCTGCATGGCCAGACGAACATCAGAGGTAGTTCTGGTACCCTCGCGAGTGCGAACGTTGTCCAGAGTCTCAATAGCCTCAGCACCAGCGTCAGCAGCAATAGGCTTGTGCTTGGTGCCGGGGGTGAAGTTGTCGCGGATGGTGTGGGAAACGGCACGGCCAAAGACGACCAAGTCGAGGAGGGAGTTGGCACCGAGACGGTTAGCACCGTGGACGGAGACACAGGCGGCTTCACCGCAGGCGAAAAGGCCAGGAACGATCTTGTCGTTGCCAGACTCGTCGACGGTGATAACCTCACCGGTGTATCTCGTGGGAATACCACCCATGTTGTAGTGGACGGTGGGCAGGACGGGGATAGGCTGAGTGCGAACGTCGACACCAGCGAAAATGCCAGCGGTCTCGGAGATACCAGGCAGACGCTCGTGGAGGACCTCGGCGGGCAGATGACTGAGCTGGAGGAAAATGTGGTCCTTCTCCTCACCAACACCACGGCCCTCACGAATCTCCATCGTCATGGATCGAGAAACAACGTCACGAGAGGCAAGATCCTTGGCGGTAGGGGCGTAACGCTCCATGAAACGCTCACCCTCGGAGTTCAGGAGGTAACCACCCTCACCACGAGCACCCTCAGTGATCAAGCAACCAGCGCCGTAGATACCGGTAGGATGGAACTGGACGAACTCGAGATCCTGGTTGGGGAGACCGGCACGGGCGACCATGGCCATACCATCACCAGTGCAGGTGTGGGCAGACGTGCAGCTGAAGTAGGCACGTCCGTAGCCGCCAGTGGCCAAAACAGTGTGGTTAGCAAGGAAGCGGTGCAGAGTGCCGTCCTCCTGGTTGTAGGCGACGACACCGCGGCACTCGCCATCCTGCATGATCAGGTCGAGGGCGAAGAACTCGATGAAGTAGTTGGTGTTGTGACGGAGAGACTGTCCGTAGAGAGTGTGAAGAAGCGCGTGGCCGGTACGGTCCTCGGCAGCGCAGCAACGGTAGGCCTGGCCACCCTTGCCGAACTTCTGAGACTGACCACCGAAAGCGCGCTGGTAACTACAAGCGAAGGGCTATTAGCGTCTGCATGTCACCGCGATGATGAACGGCTTCAACTCACATCTTTCCGTCCTCAGTTCTGGAGAAGGGGCATCCGTAGTTCTCGAGCTCGACAATGGAGGCGGGCGCCTCACGGGTCATGTAGTGAATAGCATCCTGGTCACCGAGCCAGTCCGAGCCCTTGACAGTATCGTACATGTGCCATCTCCAGTCGTCCTCGTGCATGTTTCCGAGGGCGGCATTGATACCACCCTGAGCGGCGACAGTGTGACTTCTGGTAGGGAAAAGCTTCGAGATACAGGCAGTGTTGAAGCCGGCCTCGGCGAGACCAAAAGCGGCACGGAGACCAGCACCGCCAGCGCCGACAACGATGGCATCGTACTCGTGGTCAATGACGGGGTACTTGCTGGAAAGGTAGGGCGAGGCCTCCTTCGCACGAAGTGGGCGGTTCGCAAACACTCGCGCCGCGGGTCTGGTTGTAGAGAATGCGCGCGCCTGCGAGAACTGAGGTTGAGTTAGCTCTGTTCTTCGAAGGCAAATCCAAGTAATGATGTAGTAGCGAGGGGTGAAAGGGATCAGGGGAGCAACATACGGCAGGCTTGGCAGCAAACCTCCTCAACGCCATTGATGAGGCCATGTTTGATGTGTACACTGTTCTATAGTATCAGTATACGTTCTCGTTGTATTCGTGTGAATGTTTGGGTCGTGAGGTGCGGAGGGGAAGATGGTGGCGGCCGAGGATGTTGGGATGAAAGAGGTTCGCCTGGGACCGGATGTACGGATCGGTTACTGACCGTTATCGGAAGAGGGAGATCAGGCCTAGGACTGATGACTTAGCAAAAAGACGCCAGAGTTGCATGAGCTGTCGAACACTTACCGTCGATTTGAATTGGTCTCCAAAACGAGGTGCTATCTCTAAGTGATGGGTAGGCCTACAACCAGTGTATGGAGAAAAGTACGGGATGGACCACGGCAAACCTCGCACACGTCTTCTACAACAAGTCAGCTCGGCACCTCGGGTAATCACACCGTCATTGATTGGCCAGAGAAGGTGTGGCTGGTGGATCCGCGCCACACCTCCAGGAAAGCCACAGCTGGTTTCCGGGGCATGGTTCACATGCAAAGTCCCGTCAAATTCCGAGATCGATTCCGGGGTATCATCAGGGCGAGCGGATGAAAGCTTAGCCTCTGGTGATCAGCAGCTCGAAACCCGAGTATCGGTTGTAGAGATGGCATTTACTCGACGCCTATTCCATCTATAACTTCACTCAATTGAGTAAGCCTTTTCCCCAGTCGTTTCTCTTGTGTTACTTGAATTTACCAACTCCTCAGTGGCGTGCGGAAGGTGCTTTCCCGTTTCCCGAGTCGCATTGCCGAGGTGCGAGTGGAACTAGGTCTCTTTGTCGATGGAGAGGAGCGAGTCCATGACTTCACGACAAGAACTGCCCATCGTCGCCCCCATTTCTTTGCCACATTGTAAGCCAGAGCAGAACCTCGGCGGCAAATCCACAGTTTTCACCAGCGTGACAGTCTACTAGTTAATTGAAACGCCGTTTGTTTTTAGCAATGTGAATAGCAAACGCGAGACATGTCCAAAATAAGTAGGTTGCAGGTTAACGCTTTTTGCGCGGAAGACTGAAATGATAAAAATAGTTTAGGGTTACTTTAGGTATCTATGGTGAGGCCGCCGTTCTGCAACCAGCTGTAATGTGGCAGCACCTCTTATTGCTTCAGCCTCTCCCGTTGAAATTGGCACCTCCGCGACCCTACGTAGCAATCTGGGGCCTTGACCGTCTCTTACCTTACGTCGCTCGGGCACTTTCAGACACACGCAGGGCAGTCTCCCATGAGTTACTGCGGACTAAAGAAAACAAAAGAAAGCCTGAATTCAAAGTCCCCCTTTTAGTGTGTCCAAGGAGTTCAAACTCCAGCCATGCTCATAAAGTACACACTACCTAGTATACAGCCAATATCGCGCCGCCCAAGATTATGACTCCAAACGTAGACACCACAAGCTTCTTAGAAAGCCATCTGCTTCTTGATCTCGGCAATAGCCTTGCCGGGGTTCAGGCCCTTGGGGCAAGCACGTGTGCAGTTGAGAATCGTGTGGCAGCGGTACAAGCTCATCGAGTTGTCGAGGGCGGCCTTGCGCTCCGCCTTCTTCTCGTCACGGGAGTCGGCGAGCCAGCGGTATGACTGAAGGAGAATAGCAGGTCCGAGGTACTCCTCAGAGTTCCACCAGTAAGACGGGCACGAGGTCGAGCAGCAGGCGCACAAAATGCACTCGTAGAGACCGCTCAGCTTCTTTCGGTCGGCGACGCTCTGGCGGTATTCCTTGCCCTATAATGGGGGTTAGTCTAAATGGCCACAAACACAAGGATGCACAGGGTCGCATACATCAGGAGCAGGAGTGTCTCTCTGAAGGTAGGGCTTGATCGAGCGGTATTGCTTGTAGAACTGGGTCAAGTCGGGAACGAGGTCCTTGACGACGTAGGTGTGAGGCAGAGGATAGACCTTGACGTCCGACGCAGACTCCTTGGGGATACGGCCTGTTATTTGGCATTAGCACTATGTCCTCTGTCACTCTACTGAGGCGATGCGCAGCAAGGGGCGAATTGCAATGCGTCGAGAAACCACGTACAGAGGCAAGCCAGCGTGTTCTGGCCGTTGATGTTCATGGCGCAGCTACCGCAGATACCCTCTCTGCAGCTTCGGCGGAAGGTCAAGGTAGGGTCCAGCTCATTCTTGATGCGGATCAACGCATCCAACATCATGGGTCCGGTCTTGTTCAGGTCCAACGTGTACTCCTGCATACGAGGCTTCTCGGTCGGGGTATCGGGGTTCCAGCGGTAGATGGTGAACTTCTTCATCTCGGGCTCCTTAGTACGGGGCACGCGATCGCTGGGGGTAGCCAGACCGCGGCGAGGGACGGTGACGGCAGGGCGGAAGGCAGCCTTGGTGGCCGAGCCCAAGACTCGGGAGGAAGAGCGGAGAGATGCCATTTTGGCGGTGTTCGGTTCGGATTGGAACAGATGGATGCAGGTAGCAAGAGGGACGGTTGACACACCAGATGGAAGATGAGCGATTCCAAGTAATTGGCGGGGCGCGGTGTGGAAAGGCGGTGGTTCACCGTGATATTATCCTTGGTGGCGTTCAGGTGAAGTGAAAGACATCATGGAAGTTTGCTTCAATCCCTCGGTTATTGAGTCGAAGCGGCCGGAGCACGAAAAGCGGGTCTTTAGCCAATCATGACCGAGTGATTTTCAACCACAATCGGATTGCCGCTTTTGCTCGCACATGCCCTGTCGTCTATCTTGCGCCACTTGAGATACACTGAGTGTTGTAGAATCAATCTCAATATCAGATAAAACAATGGTACTGTACCAATTGAATTCACACTCAAGGACGCATATCGACTGCACCATAGCAGTGATGAAGGGAGACGGCCAGGTAGCAGGATGGTGGCTTACCGTAATCTCAATGCTAAAGCAGCGCGAACCATTCCTCCCCCCTCCCCCCGGCTTCCGAATGGAAGAAACCGGCTATCAGAAACGGCAGCAGGTGATCGAGAGCTGACTCAGCGGAAATACCCCGGACAATATCCCTGTGAAATCTGGGGTTGGACCTTTTCATATGACATCAAACGGATGTTGCATTCCCTTCAGACGCGACCACCTATCAAAAATTGTCTGTCCAATTGATTTTCGAGTGTTGCGCGTCGACGGAAGCTCTTCATCCAACTTTTGCAGAAAGTTTACGGGGACCAGCAGCGTGTTCGCTATGTGATTCCTGTCACAATCGCAACAAGAATTTGGGACAGTTAACATGCGGACTGCGGAAGCACCGCATCTACAGGAAACACTACACATCGCTGCACATTGGAAGCAATGGCCGCAACGGTGACAATCTTGCGCCAGCCTCTGGTCCTTCTCCCTAAACCAAGGCCTCTATCAAAGGGTATGTTTCTCTTCTTCACATTGGATATCTCTTGACTAGGTTCTGACGGTGCAACCGCAGCTTGCACTAGTCTTCCAACATACTTTGCGCGGCATCAGCCGGCCCCCCCAGCCCGCGCATCCCATCGATATCTCTCGACAACCAGAAGCATGAGCTCCGCCTCGGCTGCAAAGCTCTCCTTCCACGTCGCAGCGTCCTTCACAGCCAAGGACCATCCATACGATCCGTCAACACATATCTTCCACTTCAACCCCTATAACCGTATCCAGCAGACCCGCAACAAACGGTCCAGACCAGACAGCGGCCACGATGCCTTCTTCATCAGTAGGGTGGGGGACTCGGGTGCAGTAGCCCTTGGTGTTGCTGATGGTGTAGGTGGCTGGGTCGATTCCGGGGTGGATCCCGCGGACTTCTCGCATGGCTTCTGCGACTACATGGCCTCCACCGCCTACGGACACGGCTCGATCAAGAACGACCCGACGACAAAAGGCACGGGCGATAAGGAACCGCTCCGAGCGCAGAACCTGATGCAGAAGGGGTACCAGGCGATATGCGAAGACAGTACCGTCATTGCTGGAGGAAGCACGGCTTGCGTCGCCGTGGCGTCGCCGGACGGCAATCTCGACGTTGCCAACCTGGGCGACTCCGGCTTCATCCAGCTCCGTTTGAACGCCGTACACACCTACTCCGAACCCCAAACACACGCATTTAATACCCCCTACCAGCTCTCCATCGTACCTCCCAGCGTAGCTGCTCGCATGGCGGCGTTTGGCGGCGCCAACCTCTGCGACTTCCCCCGCGACGCCGATGTCACCCAGCACAACTTACGCCATGGTGACATTATTGTCTTCGCCACGGATGGCGTCTGGGACAATCTCTTCAACCAGGATATCCTCCGCATCGTGAGCCACGTCATGACCTCCACGGGCGCGTGGCTGATGACCAAGAACGGCGTCCGCATCGTCGATAACCTGAAGCCGTTCACAAAACCCTCCGAGGACGCCACCGAGAGGCCACCCTCCAAATTCCTGACTCTGCAGAGCGTACTTGCGGCCGAAATCACGGCCGCCGCCAAGTCGGCCAGCCTAAACCGCAAGGTCGACGGCCCCTTCGCCAAAGGCGTGCAGAAGTACTTCCCGCAAGAAAACTGGCACGGCGGCAAGATCGACGACATTTGCACCCTCGTCCTCATCGCGTCCGAGGACAACAAGGCTGAGCCCAAGAGCCGCCTATGAAGTTACTGTATCATTATCAGCATGCCCCAGCACCCGGTGGTTTTCTCGATTTCAAATCACGTTGTTTCAACATAGATGCCCCAAAAAGGGAGCGCCGCCGCCGTAGTTTTTCAGTTGTATCGTAGTAGTTTTTTTTGGTCTAGCCATTGTGAAAGGGCGGGCAGTGATGGTGTAAACAACGTATACCAAGCCATTTTCTCAAGCACAGTAACGGCAACCCGTGAAGCGCTTTGTTTCAGACAGTCTTGGAGAAATACTACGAAACTCGAAAAAGTTCCCACGCTGGGAAATTTGGTCCGCATGGCCCGTCGTTGCTTCTTTTGTCACAGCCACCGCCTCGCCCTCTGAGACTCTCCACCGAGTAAACTACACATTCGTTGGCTCATCCCCGGATCAGCGGCGGACCGGTCTGTCAAAAAAAGGGCCCATGTGGCAAACGTCCCTGTTTTCTCTCGTTTGTTCTGTGCGTCTTGAAGACATGTAGATCGCGGGGCGGAAAACCCCCCTCCCCCTTGCTTCTTCCTTCCAAGGCGGCAGACAGCCCCCTTTTTTCGCCGTCTCCACGTTAGTGATGCGCCCATCTCCATATTCTCCCCCGCATGGAACCAATCTTCCTTTACTGCGGCCAGTGTGAACTGGGTCCGAAACGTCAAAACGGCGCTATTTTCCTGGGGAGAGGGGATCTGGTGGTGGTATAACGATGATGGAAAGGACCCCTGACTACTTTGGACGCACCGCCGATCGGGATCTGGATTTGTCTTTTGACCATCTTGCGTAAGTTCGACGTCCGTCCTGTCAGATGCACCCTAGGAAGAAGGCCCCGGACGACAGTGCATGTCGGCATCCGCGTCAGTTTGGGTGACATCAGAGCACGGGCGGATGAGAGCAAGAGGAGAATAGAATGCCCAGGACAACAATCATGCTGTGCATGCAGCTTGATTGGGAAAGACAAGACGCGGGGTTTGTGGGGGCTGTGTTACACGTTCGGGAATGTCAAGCAGTCACGGGCGGACAAAGTTCCAACGAGACGACTGATAGAAGGCAACATTGGTATGGTTTTGCCAGTTGATTTCGTGTACAGACCCAGATAACTAGGTTAACCTCGAAGTCGCATGCTGTTTGCTTTCAACCTCTGCCTACTGTAGCTTTTTGCTACTCGACCCTTGCTTCAATTCAAATGCAACGCCTAATCCTAACTGTTCTTGGATCGCATTACTGTATTATAAACCCTTGTTCGCATCATATACCAGTCATAGGACTCCATATAACCCGGATGCCCTCACTTCAAGAGTACACGCTTACTGGAAGTAAAGCATGGCCGCGATGGTGAGGCCGATGAGGGCAATGGGGGAGCCAAGACGGACAGAGTCGCTGCCGGGGACAGTGGTGGGAGAAGTAGTGGACTCGCCAGTGGCGCTGGTGCCTGTTGAGCTGGTTAATCGAGTCGTCCTATAGTTGGGTGATCTAGAGATATACGTACGGGTGCTAGAACGGGTGCTGGTAGAAACAGTAGAAGCCGCGGTGGAGTTAGCGGTCGAGGAAGCAGAGCTGCTCTCAGCGGAGGTGGAAGTGAGGGAGGCGGAGGTGGTGATGGTGGAAGCAGCAACGGTGGTGGTGATAGTGCCCGAGGCAGTGGAGGCGGCAGAGGAGACCGAGGCCGAGGCGGTAACGTCGGTGGTGATGGTGAACTGCGTGGAGTAGTTGGGGGTGCTAGAGCTGTCGGAGATCTCAATGGCGTACTGGTCGGTGGGGAGAGTGGAAGAAGGAGTCCAGCTGTAGGAAGTACCAGTCTGGCCAGCTGTGATAATCGTCAGGCTCAAGCTCTCATGACTTGCAGGACGGTTGACAGCACTTACACGCAATGGTCGAGACGGTGACCAGGTTGGTGCTGGGGCCGTTCTTCAGGGTGAGAGTGACGGGTCCCTGGGCATCAGACCAGGTGATGGTGAAAGCCTCACCGGCCTTGACATCGAAGTCGCTGTTGGTAAGCTGAACAGCCTGGGCAAGGGCGGCAAAGCCGGCGACGAGGACGGAGGTGAAACTCTTCATTGTGACGGCTTGGGTGGTTCTTTGGAAATTAAGTGGTGAACGAGTGTAGGAGTATTAGGTATCGAACTACTGTAATTTAGCAAAAGAAAGGTCAACAACGAATGTCGGGAATAGGCTCGTGAGGAAACAAGAGAGAGAAACGGGCAACGAAGGGAGGGGGGCGGAGGAGTAGAAAAAGGCTTCCCCATCTCGCAGGCGCGAAATTAGGCGAAGCAGAATCAGGGGTAGAGCATGGAAGGAGCCTGGGGGTGGTGTGTGTGTGTGCGGGTTTGGCGGAGGCATGAGACTTACATCAGTATCCGTGCCTAAATGGAGCTATTCCTCTTATTACTCGAACGCGCTGCTGGGGGTGTATGGATGGATGGATGGATGGTTAAAGCAGAACCGGTGAGTCTGGGTTCTGGAGGGTGTGGTATGTTCGTGTGGTGGTAATCCAAGTATACCTGTTTTGTCTGTTGATGATGGTGTTTGTTTGGACGAGGTGTGGTGATGGAATGGATGGACTCGCTCGGCAGGAAAAGATGGGCGCACTTGGGATTTAAAGAAGAGGCAGGTTTCACAAAGGTTGTCACAGGAAAGGGAGCGATCGCAGCCATGCTGCTTGGTAGAGCAATATCGACATCATAACAAGCAGCCGACGTAGCAACAGCAGTAGCAACCGCGCCCCTTCTCTCTGCGTCGAGGAGGCCGCGGGCGGCATCACGGCTCCCACTGGCGTGAGCTACAAAGTCGCGCCAGGGCGTCCAGTCTGCGCCGGGCAAGTCGTCGCAAATGAGGGAAGCGATGGCCGGCGCGGACGGGTTGCTTCGCACCTTGCCCAGAAGCCCCAGCAACAAGTGTGGCACTAGCGCCGGATGGGGACTAGGGTGGAAAATTCTGGGAGGGTACCCCTGTTGCAGAGAGGAACCTGGCGAACCCAGGAGAAGGGCTAATGAGAGCACCAAGCCTCAGGTTCCTGTGGTTCGTTTTTCCGTCTTTCTTCCTCTCCCCTCGCGCCTACATAGTAGGTACGGTGCCACAAGAAGGTGCAGCAGTAGCAGCAGCGTTAGCTGGGTATTCGACCTGGCCTCACCTCACCATTTGCGCGTCGTTGTCCAGTATGTTCGATTCGATTCGAGAGATAGCTCCGAGGTACCGACATGTGTAAAGCTAAAGGCTAGGGAAGCAATATACATAGCACTATGTACCTTGCGTGGCTTCGAGGCACAGCCTAAAGCATAGCTCTCCAACGACGCGTGACCATCGACGTGCCCCCCTCACTTTCCAGGAAAATGCAATTGGATGGTGCTCAGCTTCTCCTTGTATCCCCCGGAGTCGCTCGCGGTCACCTCATTGGGTTGTCCAGCTGGGGGTCATCGAAAGATCCCTTCCAGCGAGGGCAAGAGGCCTGGACCTGAACGGCTCACGTCTGGGCCAGGGTCCTTCCGGGCGGTTGTCAGTGGTCACCGTCAACAATTGAACAATGCGCCTGGAAAATGTCACAGCCCTCCATATGTTTACTTCCCTGGTTCTCTCCCCAACTGCCAGCCCACAGCGAGTGACACCCCGTTGGAACCCACTGGAACGGCCCAAGATGCTCCAAGACACCCCTTCGGTTGCCCTGACTCTCGCCCCATGTTCTCGCAGGGCCCGCTTTTCTCGTCCTCACCCGATGATGGGGAAAAGTTCCTGTCGATCTGGGTCTTTCGAGGCGCAGCAAGGGAGAGTCAGAGAGACTCCCCCCCTCCCATTCTCGCGCGCACACTTCGACAGCCGCCACCCTCCGAGGATCTCTCCGTATTGGACAGACAACAGTACGGTTGAGACCTTTTTCGCCCCCCGTGGGAATGCGCAAAGTGCTGCTACTGCACTACTCGCTGCCGCTGACGCCCGGCTCAAGCCTGCAATTGCGTGCGCAACCAACAGCGTTCATCCCTCCACCCTCCTTTCCAGCTCGTGTTCGATCTTTCGAGGCCATAACTCTGCCTGCCACGGACCCGTAACCAGCTGCCTGCGATCCGATCATCGATGCCAAGTAGCCCTGGCAGCTCAGGGCTCTCCCCACTGCGCTATTGGAGGTGACGACGCCTACGGATACTGCAAAATACAAATGATGCTATTTGGGTCTTCCCAAGTGTATGGTACATGTATTTCCAAGCAGCAGCATTTTGACCGGCCCGTCTAAACCTTGATGTGCCGGGGGCCATTATGCAGCGGTACACTTTCGGCGGTAGCCTTGCCGGACACTCTTGCTTCCGCGGTCGCTCAGGCCAATATTTCGATGTTCACCTTCTGTGGGAGCACAGATATGACGCAGGAACCATCGGATCAGCGTAAGAACGCAGATACCTTTTGGTGGGTGTTAATGCTCAATGAGATGGGCGTGATGGGTTGGCGCTTCTCTGAAGGGTGCACATCGGTCCTGGTTCGAACCGCGAGTAGCCAGACGCACATCAGTCTGGAATGGGGCAGACGGTTACCGATCAATGAAGAGACAGGTTGCTCCGCTGCTGTCATTCTAGTCGCCTAATGAGGATCTCCCGCGGACCACGGGCGAGATACTTCCCCTCGCCTTCACCCGCCTGCCGCCTGACCCGTGCCGCCATTCATCCCGACCCTCTCGTCATGAGCATGCATAGATAGTACATGCCGTATTACACATTCAATGTATGGAGTACTCTACGGCCCCTACTTCCCGTTCCTCAGCGGAACCTACCACCACATCAGCACAAGGGCAGCGCAGGACCGGTAATCTCGGTCGACTGGGGGTGCGTTCATAACTCGGACAATATAGGACAATAAGACGTAACGACGTCAGGCGCTTCTCCGTTGTGCTTTTATCGAGTCCAATTTCAATACGCACCTCGTTGGGTCCCGTTGTGGAGACCTCCATTGGCCAAATCTCCCTAGCATCGCGCTATTCCACGGCTTGCACGGTACCTGCATCCATGCGCCACAGTCCTTGTTTCTGAGATCCATTCGACGGACCCAGGCACTAACACCAACTGCTGGCCCAGAGCTCGTCGGCTTTGCAATCGGGGCATTTTACCTGCCCTGTCCACTCCTGAGGAAACCTGCCGAGCATTCATCCGAAGGGTTCCGCGGTCGACAGCCCGCCAACGGGATGCCCGCAGCATCTGCAGGGCGTCGCCTAGCTCGACCGTCGTCCGAACGCTCCAATATGACTGTCAATACTTATTGACGTTGCTTCCCACGAAATATAACCACACCAGGGGCCATCGGACCAAATCATTGGATGCAGCAACTCGCTTAAATTTTCCAACGTCTGGGCATCTTTTGAGTTTCAAACTGCCACCACCTTCTCCGTGACAGGCTTGGCTCCACTTGCTGCGTATACTCAGATCCGCGGCCTTTCTACCAGCCGCACGATGACATCTCGTGGCAAATCGCCCTTGGCTGAAATGGATCAGGCCTATTCGCCCTGGTACGCGTTTCACTCTGACACCCTACTGGAATGGAAATGCGCCAGAATCGCGGCTTCTTCTGATTCCACTCAAGTGACGTAAAACAAGAGCAAACCCCGGTATCCGATGGCGATGGCGGGAATGCGCGGCGCTGCTGTCACCAACGCTATTCGTGGTGTTCCAGTATAAGCAAGACACCGAAGTCAGGGTAATGGAGATTCTGCAGCGCCATAGCCGCCCTCACCAATCAGGGCGAGACTTATCACGGGTTCAACGCCCACGGATGGGGTGTATGGGTTGCAATTACCATCGGACCCAAAGACTGGAAGGGACAATGTCTCGTAGAAATTTCAGGGCATACGTACAACGAATGCCCAAACTTCAGCTAGCCCTTCACAGCCCTCACGCTTCTGGAGGAGTCACCAACCAAAATGTCAACGAGGACCGTTGCCAAGCACTGGTACACCAACTCCTGTACCTCACCCTGAGACGTTTCTCGACTTGACAGCCATACCCGAGTTCGCCCCGAGCATGTGGCCGTTACGCCAAGGCATTCGTCAACCAACAACACACGAGGCGGAGGACGTGGCACAGAAGCGCCGTGGGAGCCGCAAAATTGTTAGAAAATGGCCTCATCGACAGCTCAGACTAGAACGAAGTCTATTAACGGGCTGCACTCAACGTACAGCGGACGACTCCTCGCCGGACGCCCTCGGCCTCCTCTCTGACCTGGTCCACTGTTGCGCCCTTTCCTCTGGCCTTGTCCACGAAATCATCGAGTGAACCCCCAACTCCAAAGTAGAGCCTCTTCGCTCCGACCAGCGCCTGCGACTGGCAGTTGCTGCGCTCGCTCTGCTCTCTGATAAGAATGGCGAAAACCATCTCGTTGAAAGCCTCCAGCGCGAATGGCGAGTATATCGTCTCGGCTCCCACCAGCAGGGTATCGAAATTGTCGGACTTGTCCAACTTGGACTGAGTCTCGTATAAGAGATCGACCAGCTCGACTGACCAACCACCAGAAATGAAGTTAAGAGAAATTTGAGAAGACGTAAGGAAGTCCTGGAAATGCTGCAAAACCTCGGGTGTAAGTTCGAGTTCGTCCTCCAACGCAAATGCCTCCTGCAGGGAAGGGTTCTGGTCTCTGCTTTGGAGGGCCCAGGCGAGGATGAAGTTGGGTAGCGTGACCAACTGCAGAACCGTCGGGTTGTAGTCGGCGAGGGTGAGCAAAAGCGGCGATCTCGGGGCCGAGTCCTTCATAGCCCACTGCAGAAGGGCCAGAGAAGGGAGCGCCGTGCCGCATCCAAGCTGTGCGGTGTTAGCTTCTGTCGCCACTGGAGCAAGAGACGCGCGTCAGTCTCGTACCTCGATCACTCGGAGAGGCCGTTGCTTTAGCATGTCCAAGTACTGGCCACTGGCGAGCACCTTGACGAGATCGACGCTGCTCTCCCAGCTCTTGAAGCCGCCCTCGTAGACACCCGTCTTGACGTCGTGGCTGCCAAGTCCCTCGGCTTCGGGACCCTCACTGGCGGCCTCATCCTCGGCCATGAGCTGCACTCGCACATCCCACAATTCTCGCCGAGGAACTTTGATGACGCTGCCGTCGTCAAGGGTCACGTCCAGGATTCCAAAGGCAACTTTGGAGGGCAGTTTCGCGAGCATGTCCTGCAGGACGTGACCGGTAGGCGGTAGCTGGGGTTTACCAGGGACCGGGAAGGCACTGGCCGCAGCGGACTGCGGGGTCTCGGGCTCCGGGACAGGCGCGGAGGCCTCGGCGCCCGGGACAGAGTCGTCCTCTATGTCGTCGCCGCCGAAGCCGAAGGAGAATGCTGAGGATGCCATATTCTGTGAAGTGGGATGTGCCGCGGGGTTGCAGGAATTTTGTACGTACTTGCAAGGTGAGTAAGAGAGCGACCTATCAAAATGTGGGGGCGGGCTCGCCCCAAAGTGGTACAAATTGCCGGCTCCTATTGGATACTCACCGAATTGGCCTGACCGGGAGGTATTGGATCAAGTCAGGCGATGGCCGAGAAACGAATCCTCTGTGTTATTCAAACGTTTCGCGGTTGGTGGCTCAAAGTGCTGTCTTTGTCGCAACGGGTCGATCAAGCTTGATGTAAGCAGCTCGCGTACAACAAACTGGTTCGCGTTGGACCAACGATTGATGATTGGCCCAAAGCCTATCCATCCATCGTTGTTGGTCAGAGTTGGTGGCACTTTAACAGTTTGCTTGTTTGACCGAGAATCAGATGCGCGCTCGTCGATGGATTCAAATGCACACACGTCAGGCATCATTGGTCAAGCATGAGGTCATTGCGGTTGTTTGCCATAAGGACTTGGTATCAGTGCCCCATTGTTCGAGGCTCTTTCGATTCTGTACCAATCCGAACACATATCACTAACAAGATGCGCGGTCGTCGCAAACCAGCCAATGGCCGACAATTCTGAAAGAGGAGGCTTCCTGCAATGCGGCATCCGGGCCACAGATGTACTTTGCAACCATTGTCTTTCCGTTTTCGAATCCTCTTCTTGGTCTTCGGATTGTAGGCTTACTTTTCGGTACGTCCCGCCGTGCTGAATGCAAACCGCGAAGGCAATGGCGATTGCGAACTTGCCTGCAGCCCCTGATAGGTTGCCCGACGTTCGGAAAGTTCTCCGCAATTGAGCCTATCCCTAGCACGTATCTGACTGCGTCTTCCACGCATGCTTTACACACGCGCCAACACGTACAAAAGCCTCAAGCTGAACACCGGCTGCCTTGGCGCCATCCTGCAAGCCATTATCGACTAGGTTCAGAGCTCAGCTGCAAGTGTCTGGCAGACAGGCAGGCACCCACACACATCTCCGCATTTAGAGACCCGGAGGATCTTGTGCATTTGGGCTTCGTGCTCCAAGATCTCATGTATCAATGGTCAGCAAACGCGCAACACCCCCGCTGTCCATCCTAGGATGCGGCGCCGAACAGCTTCGCGGCCGATCAATGCTAAGCGCGGCACTCGCGATTCCTTCCCTCGGCGATCTGCATAATGAGGGCGTCGGGGAATTCCCGTGGGTGTCCATCAGCAGCTGGAATGCAAGCAAGGAAGCAATGGCACTGACGAAATCGCCGATGTTAAACCACGTTAAGCTTATGGCCGCTTCACCTTCCTTCCCGAGATGGCAGCCGCCATATCCCACTGGTCGTCCTTTTCTACCATGTGCCCTAATCTACAGGATTCGTGCCCGCTCCGTATGGCCCCTCGTCTACGACATATACTAAGTCTACAACCCGGCTCCGGCTCCAGGCCTCCATCGTCCAGCGCGGCGAGGGTCTTGATTCGCCACTCACTGTTCTGGGTCCCAAGCCTTGACACCCCTCAGCCCGGTCCCTCATCGTGGTTGGATGGTTTACGACCTTGTCAGTCCGGGACCCTTTTTCTAACCGGACCTTGCTCGACCACAACAAGCTAGTAGAGGTGCAGATACGCCATTTCATCAATTCTGCCGCAGGACTCATGGGCCAGCCTTGTTCCAGAGTCGTTTGGATAGGTGCAGCCACACCATGTGCCGTTCCACCAGCCAAGATTTACAAACGGCCCCGGTCGTAAATCAGCCAACAATGACGCCCGTTGCGGACCCTCTGTTGCCTCGACCCCAAATTCGAGAATGACAGGATCCATATCCATTGGCGTTTGTTGCTTGTCTACGTGAGCTGTCTCCTTTCCCATCATGAAGTCTATGCTTCCTGACATGAAGTCGTGCTGCATTAGCTTGCAGCTCAAGGTGATGGGGTTGCGTGGGTCGACGTATTAGTTGTGTGTAGGGGCCGTCGAGCTCACCTCGGAATTTGCCTGTCACTGGTGAGGCCGGCGATGTCTCTCCCAAGGCCTGCCCATGCCAACGGGTTTTTCGTTGCTTCTTCCTCTTTAGTCCATTTATCTCATCGTATTATCGACTGCAGGCTTCTTTGTCTCCATTGGCTATTCTCCGTGACAAGCCCAACGCACCACGCGTGCCGTATACCACGTTCGCCGCCCGCTCCCTCCTCTCCAGCCGCAACTCCGCCAAAGGGACAAAAGAAGTGCGCTTGTTCGGGAAAGGACTCCTTGCAGCCACTTGCCGGCGCCTTCTTCAGAAACCTTGACCGCATCTGCAACTTGACTGAGATATAAACCACACCATCCGGCCTTGTCATTTCCCACCTAGTCATCTACTACACAACAACTTCACAATGACACGCCAGCTCCCTCAACTCTCTCGACATGTCGACGCCCAAGGCGGCGGATCCGGCCAAGCTGCCCGAAGCAAAGCTGCCTACACAGTACGTGAGGCGCCGTTCGGGGCCCCGCGGCCCATCCGTATCATCGGGGTTGGCGCCGGAGCCAGCGGGATCAACCTGATCCGCACCCTCAGAAACACGCTTGGTGCTTCGATGTACGAGATTGTGGTCTACGAAAAGAACGAGGACGTCGGAGGCACCTGGTTCGAGAACCGCTACCCGGGATGCAAGTGTGACGTGCCCAGCCACAACTATCAGTTCACCTGGAGGCCGAACCCGGCCTGGTCGAGCTTCTTCGCGCCCGCAGCCGAAATTGAGGAGTACCTGTGCCAGATTTGTGACGAGGAAAACCTGCGGCCCTACATCAAGACTTCGCATCAGATTGTAGGGGCGGTTTGGTCCGAGCCCAAGGGCATGTGGGATTTGCAGATTAAGAGCTTGGAGACCGGTGCTGTCTTCGAAGACCATGCCACCTTTTTCATCGACGCAACCGGTATTTTGAAGTACGTTTTAAGCTCAGTCATGGTTGAAGTTCGCCGTCTGACTGCTACAGCAAATGGAAGTTCCCCGACGTAGAGGGCTTGTCAGACTTCGAGGGTACTTTGATCCACAGCGCAAACTGGCCCAAAGATTTCGATTACGCGAACAAGACAGTGGCTGTCATTGGAAATGGAGCGTCTGGTGTCCAGATTGTTCCGGCCATTAGGCCCCGTCAGTTGCCCTGCTCGCCGCTCCATTGGTTCGCAAGACTTACGCCGGGTAGACGTGAAGAAGCTTCACCATATCATCCGTACACCGAGCCTAATCATTCCGCCTCGGATCACAACAATGAAGATGGGCCATTCTGCTTCTCTACTTGAGGAAATCGAGATGGATGAGGAAGAGCGCTTCTCAGCGGCGACGATCGCGAAGTTTCAGAACGACCCGGCTTTCTACAAGAAGTTCGCGCAGACCCTGGAGATGGATTCAAACATCAAGTTTGCCATTTCTCTTATTGCCGGCAGCCCCCAGCAGGCATGGGCACTAGGGAAGACGAAGGAGTTTATGGCGGCGATGCTGAGGGGCAATGAGGAGCTCTGCAGGCAGCTGATACCCGATTTTCCCCTTGGTTGCAAGCGACTTACTCCTGCGCCTGGGTATCTCGAGTCTTTCCACGACCCTAGGGTTTCTCTTCACACTGATGCTATCAAGCGCTTCGTTCCTCAGGGCATAGTACTGGCAAATGACGAGGTCTTAGAGGTCGATGCTATCATCTGTGCCACCGGCTTCGATTCTTCGTTTCGCCCGGCTTTCCCGCTTGTTGGTCGACAGGGCAACTTGCAGGACGTCTGGTCTGAGCAAATACCAAAGGCCTACATGTCCCTTGCCGTTGCAGGCCTGCCCAACTACTTTAGTAAGTCGAGTCGCTCTCGATTTTATCATTTCAATGCTGACTATCGCTTCCCCCAGAGTTCCTAGGCCCCAACGCTCCCGTTGTACAAGGCGATGTTTTTACACTGAGCGAGCACATCGCCACCTACATCGCCAACACGATCCACAAGTGCCAGACACAGGGCATCCGGTCCATCGTCCCGTCGGAAGCCGCCGTCGAGGACTACTTCGAGCACATCACTGCCGTCATGCCGCGTACCGTCTTCGCGGGCGGATGCAGGTCCTGGTACAAGCAGGGCGAGGTCGACGGCCCCGTGACAGGGCTGTACCCTGGAAGCCGGATGCACTTCATCCGCCTGCTGGAGCACTTCAGGGGCGAGGACTGGGAGTACACGTACGAGAACGCGAGGCAGAACCGGTTCGCGTATCTGGGCAACGGCTTCACTGCGCCGGAGATGGCGATGCTCAAGGCTGGAGCGCCCGGTTCGTAAGGTAACGCCGCGTGAAGGCGTGGGTCAACATGACCTTGTACATAGACAGGGGTTAGATGGCTACACTTTGTCCTTGGTGGTTCGGATTTTGGGTGGTCTGCAGGCGTTGATTTGGGTTAGGTATCTTGCGTTTAGGCACGACGAATTATGAAGTCCACCTCCGGCACGACCGAACCAGGCGACAGTAAAAGACATGTGACAAGGTGTCTGGCCGATCGCGGTCGCCTTTGGGATGCGATCCTCCCTTTTCCCGCGTGTTGGTTCGAGCCCATGGACTGAGACCCCTCGGAGGAGCCGCAGCATGCGGGAGTCGTCCGATGTCTCGGTTGCTGAGCCACTTAGTGGTCAGATCTAGGCGACTTGGCGCAGCGTGTCGGCATGCAGCCCGGGTGACTTGCGTCTTTGCTGCTAACGCCAGTGGCGGGGTTGCCGCGTGAAAGGGCGAGGCTTGGATCGAGTGACAATAGCGTTGTCTTGCGGCGGCTGTTTTGGGCGGTTGTCTTGGACTTTGAACGAGCTTGGTGGGTTCAGGGTTTCCAAAGCCGGGGGGTGGGGGGGGGGGGGTTGGTTCAGTCCATGGAGGTCAAGATGATTGGAACGGAGGCCGGGATATGAAGTGAGGAGTTGGGTCGAGATCTTTGAGGTTTTGCCTGGATCACGTTGCTTACTGCGTGTTGGGCCGCAGGATTGATGAAGTGTTAAATCATGGAACCGCATGCCTGGCAATGAGGAATCAGGTTCTTGCTGAGTTATGTGCATATATCACCCAAACTCATATGGTTAACTGGAACATGATACAGTCTCATACATCTCAACACAAACACTCATAATTGAGAGTGGACTCCAGTTGCAATTCAGCTCGCCATTGTATTCAAAGAGAATCGCGTGTGTAGTGGGTATCTCTTGAGCTTGTTTATATGGAGGTTGGTTCGATTTGAAGGTCGATGACCTAGATATCGTACAAAATAATTTCTACGATGTTTCAACTCGCGGGACCGAAGAGAGCTGCCAGGTACGTTACCCATGTGGCTGACAGTGGTTGTGTTCATTGATTCCATGTTCTTGGTCACAAAAGTTATCTTCATCCTCAATCGTAACGTGTAATTGGTCCTTGACACTTGCGTATCCGTTCTTGAATCAACACACACGAGCTTCGTGTGGATTCGCCTAGAGTGTTGCGTGTATGTCACCATCCTCTAAGCCGATGCTGTTTGCTGTGAGGTTAGCGGTGGCCGAGGGCTTTCAGAAAGTGTCGTTCCCATCCTGAGAATCGTTGCTCGGGCGGTCCCTTTACCGAGCATGTTTGCATTGATGGTCGTCTCTGGCGCTTGGGTGTCTGCTGTCCTCACTCTACGTCGTTCTCAGTCTTTGCCATCCGTACTCTGGTGTGAATACGGCGTTTTTTTTTGTTGACTATTTTACCCAGACATTTGTGTATGTCCATTGAGCGCGTACTCTAGTTAGACGGCCCGTGACTGGAGATGGACGTAAGTCTAAGGCGAATTAAGATTGCATGTTACTGAATGTGTCTTTTGTGGGTGTGGTTCATCTTGAGTAGACTCAGTGATTGCTTCAAATACGGACACCGTCAGCAGAATGAAGCCTCGTGCAAGTCTATGAAGATTTCCAAAAGTTTTGAATTGATTTTAGTAATAAGTAAAACATGTTTCTTTGTAGTTATCATGAATCTCTAAAGCCTAGATCTTCTCTTGTCAGCTAAGCACATCTGGGTACGCGGTATCTGTGCCAGGAAGGAGTATGATATATGACGAGAAAGTGTCAGAGTAGCCACATATACACACATGCGACTATTACACTCCAAATGTGTTATGCGCAACTTCACAGTTCTCAGGTATTTCCCGGCCAGCCTTGTCCCTCCAGTCGAGCCCGAGGTTCTAGTTCTCCCTGCGACACTGAACGACCTGATCGTATATCTCCCAGAAAACCAGCCTACTAGCATATGCTAGATAGGTAAGTTCGTACATGAACCTTAGGGATAGGATAAATCACACCTTTAATGCGACTATCGCCCACATCGTGTGTCCGGGAGCGGCGAAGGGGACGGCGGCGAAGGGCTCATCTCAAATGAGAGAAATCACATATGCGTTAATAAGCCCGAGATAACCGCTCATAGTGGTTCGATCCTAGTATTCAGAAGATACAAGAAAAGAAGGAATAGTGATGATGAGAAAGGGCGGGAAAGGATGTTTCCTGACGAATAGGGCGCCTGTGTGGTAGCCCCCTCCCCGTAGCGCCAATCCGTTTAGCGGTCCGACCCGCCCCGTAGCGGCCGGCGCTTACGAACAAACACTGTGTGGTTCTTTGCCAACATCATTGTCTCTTCCCATGTTATTCCATTTTCAAAGACTGTCCTTTACGCTGAACAACAAACGTTTTCTACAATCGTAGGTCGCAAGTGCGACAGATGCATGGTACTTCCACATTCCGACCAGCGTCTTGCGCTACCAGCACATCTCGCCTCCTCATCCACACCGCTCTGCCCTCGACGGCATCAGATGGCGGCATGGATTGCCGCCCCCGTTAGACCAGGATCTGCGGGCAGGCAGACTGTGCGGCTCATTCAGTTGGCTATCTTCTCGTCCGCCGAAGCACGCAGGCAGGGCAGCAGACCCGTTCCGTCGGGTCAGGACAGGCTTTAGGAGTGGCTGCGCAGTTCACACAGCCAACAATCAATCACTTGAAAGCCTGCTCTCGATGAAACACAAGGGTTGGTTCTCGGAACTGGCAACCCAGAAAGGACATAGCATGCTCGTTGGTGTGGCCGTGTTCCCCTTCATCCCCTGGCAAGTGCTGGGCGCTTATCAGGGATTGTGCATCAGGCGGTCTCCTGAACAGGCCTCCAACGGTCTCGGTGCCTCCATCGAAGGGTCGAGTTCGACAGAAGTCTGTTGGTTGGGCTGATTAAAGAAGTCCTTTATTCCGGTTCTTTCCCCCGCTTGCACAGATCTTGTGTGTCCCTACTCTGAATACCGAGCCTTGCACTATCCCCTCACGCGTTGTTTATCCTGTCTAGATGATTATCGGACTCATTTTTTCGGAGGTTTGATTACTCCTTTTAGATTACGTCCAATTCCATATCTGGCTCTACATCTGGTTGAGTCCCTAGTTTTACTTTGATCTCAGCTTTGTAGCCACACTAAACTATTTTCGCGATGGCGAACGAAGGGCCAATCTACTTACTATCTCTTGGTAAGTTTCCCAGCCACCTAAACGACGGCAGTATGAGAAGAGTCTCACAGTGGAACACTGCTGTTGTCCCTGTTGCCCTAATCCCCTTTGCGCCTATTTATCCCGCTGGTCCCTCTGTCGCATTTCTTTTTGTACTTTAATATGGTAGGAAAATGTACAGATGACACTGATCAACTGACACAATGTAGATGGTGGAGGGATCAGGGGAATATCGGAACTCGTCATACTACACGAGATAATGAAAAGGCTCGAAAAGGTGGCTGGCCTTGATAAGATACCCAAGCCGCGAGACTATTTCCACTTGATAGGTGGCACAAGCACGGGAGGGTAAGTCGACCGCTCCAACAGACCACTACCACAAAAGGACATGGCTGACAATCAGCCAACGTATAAAGACTCATTGCCATCATGCTCGGACGCATGGGAATGACAACCACGGAAGCCATCGATTGTTACGAAAAATTCGCAGAGAAAGTATTTCGCAAGAAAAACCGTCGTTTCAATAGGACGTTTAAAGAGGAAGCACTCGAAAAACTCATCCGAGATATCGTGGCTCAAAGGAACTTGGAAAAGACCGTCATGCTCGACGCTGATAGGGAAAAGGGCCTCACGTTTGTCTGCGCCGCCACTAATGGAACCTACACTCCTTATCTCTTCCGGACGTATCGGGGAAGCAACAGTCCATCAGATCCAGTTGCTGATACGGCCAGGGCCAAGTTTCCAACCCGTAATCAGGCCCATAATGTTGAGATCTGGGAAGCTGCTCGAGCAACGACTGCAGCACCGACCTTCTTCCCTCCTATCTCCATCAAGATCGAAGCGGACAGGAACGAGTACGTGGACGGGGCCGTGGTATTCAATAATCCTGCCCACCTTGTGCTCAATGAAGCCGAATCCCATTTTGGCTCCGGACGAAAGTTGGGATTTCTCTTGAGTTTGGGGACCGGACTGAAAATCACGGACAACGGGGCCAACGTCGTTCCCAACGCGGAAGCAGCGGCGAGGAACACTGAGCCTGCCAGGAAAAACAGCGGCGCCCTGATATCAAGGGGCACCATTAATGTGCTAAAACACGCAAAGCAATCCATGACCGACCCGGAGCCGACGCATCACGCACTAGAAGAGCGGTTTCGGGGCACGCCTTACGCCTATTTCCGTCTGAACTTAGACCGTGGCGCCGCAAATATCAAGCTTCACGAGTATAAGCAGATGAAAGTGCTGCGAGCGGCCACCGAGGAGTATCTACGGAACGTCCAGGTTTCCGCGGATATCGATAAAGTGGTCAGTATGTTGCATAAGAACGAAGGTGTGAATATGCCTTTGGACGCCGCATGTAAGTTTTCCCCCAGCAGTTATTGCCCGCTCTCTGATATAAGAAAGGCCGCGCGGTATCCGATGAGGCATCAAAGCAGGCCATTGCCCAGGAAATTCAAATCAAAAGCATCGCCAGCCCCCAATTCACCGGTAGAAAAGAGATTCTTGGGAAGATGGAGCGTCACTTCTGCGAACGTACACAGTCATCGCCTCGGAGGCATCTTAGGATCCATGGTATGGGCGGCGTCGGTAAGACGCAAATTGCACTTAAGTTTAGGGACTTGTACGGGTCACGGTATGCACCCACTCCGTTCATGTTCACGCCCCCCCGTTGCTTTCCACATCTTTGACACCCAATATCATAGGTTTGCCCGGGTCTTTTGGATCAACGCCGCCAGCGAGGGCTCTATTTACGAGAGCCTTAGAGTAATTACAGCTGAACTATTTGGAGGACAGCCAACCAAGCCTGACATTGGGCGAGTACACCAGTGGCTGGAGCGGAATACGGAGGAAGAGTGGTTCCTAATTTTCGACAATAACGACTCAATCGACATAAGCAAGTATATTCCTCCAGGAAACACCGGAAACATTCTCTTCACCAGCAGAAGCGACGACGTGTCGCCCAGCCTCGATGGGGATCAAAATTTACTTATAGAGACCATGAAAGAGGACGACGCTTTAGCTCTTCTTTTACGAGCATCAAAGAGGCACAAGAAGGCGTTCGACGCGAGGGAGGAAAAGCACGGAAAAGACATCATCCAAGAGTTGGGATACCTCCCACTGGCTATCGATCAGGCTGGCTCGTACGTGCACAATCAAGATTGCTCATTCGGAACGTATCTACGCGACTTTAAGGAGCGACGGAATGAAATCCTCGGCGATTGTCTCTACCCGGGAGTGTTCGAAGACAACCCGGCCGTCTACGGTACTTTTGAACTGTCATACGAGGCACTGGAGAAGCGGTCGAAAGAAGAGACTTCGAGAGGACGGGCCGCAATGAACGCCCTTCGGATCCTGAACGTCTTTTGCTTCTACAGCAATGAAAACATCCCGGGAGAGATCATCGGTAGAGCGGCTACGAACAGCAAGACCGATAGGGAGGCACTGGGGAATGCGGAAAGCTTAGCCCCTTTGGCGCTCTTCGACCTCAAGAACGACAAGTCCTGGAACGACAGAAACTACCTGGATGGAATTTCTCTCTTGAGGAGCTACTCGCTTATCAAAAAGTCTGTGGTTCACGATGATTGCCACTCGATGCATGTCCTGGTCCATTCGTGGGCCCGCGACCGGATGCATGCAGATGTGTTCAAATTCCAACGCCAGGCAGCTCGCTCCATTATCTTCGACTGCTTTCATCAAAACTTCAAGTTTGAAGACGAAAGGTTTCTCGTTCAGCTGCTGCCGCATATCAAAGCATGCCTTGGCCACAAAGGCCTCGAGGATGTGGACTGGTTTAAGCGAACCAGGCAGGACAGCAAGTATGCCAGGCTTCTGAGCGCGGTGGGGATGTGGCGAGAAGCCTTATGGGCTCTCGAGGACATTGTAGCAGAGAGGCGCGAGAACCTCGCGGCTGACAATTGGCTGATTGCAGCCGCCCTTTGGGACCTGGGCAAGATGCACAAGTCGTGTGGAAACCTCGGCCCGGCAGAAAAGACCCTGCTAGAGAGCACAAACCTGTTGAACAGCTGCAACGAGCCGGGCTGGGCAAGCAGAGTGGTCCTGGACATGGGCATCGACCTCGCTGAGGTGTACATCCAGCAGGCGCAGCTGGGGACGGCCGAGCAGATGCTCACCTGGATCGCGGAGTCCGAGGAGGAGAAGGGCGGCAAGAGCCCGCAGCTTCGCCGTGCGGTCGCGGCCCTGGCGACGACGATGCAGCTAGCGGGCGAGATTGACAAGGCCGAGAGGCTGGAAGCAAGGTCGTTGACATGGTGTATGGAAAACCCCAAAATCGGGGAGGGCCATCGGGCGACTATGAGGGCGATTAGCAACATCGCAACACTGAGGTCTGCCAAGGGGCAGCACGAGTCGGCGGATGAGATGTGGCGGCACGTGCTCGAGGTAGACGAGCGGTTCAGGGGCAAGGAGCACCCTATTACGCTGCAGTCGAAGCGGAACGTGGCCATCGGTTGCGTCAAGTTGGACAATCTTGAAGAGGCGGAGAGGTTGCTCCGGGAAGTGTTGGATGTTGGCGAGAGGGTTCTGTGGCGGGAGCATCTCGACATGCTCGTGACGATGGAGCATCTCGCCGGTGTGCTGTACATGATGGGAGAACTGCACGAGGCGCTGGAGCTGCAGGAGGAATGCTTGGAGGGTAGGGTTCACGGGCTTGGGGATCATCATCCCCTGACTGTCAAGGCCAGGGAAGGACTCGAAAAGATGAGGGTGGGAGCCGTCATACCCGTCGCGGAACAGGTGCTTTGGCAGAGTGAAGGGGCTTTGCTACCCGGGGACAGCAATATGGCCTCGCAAAGCATGAACGACAGATACCTTTACTGAAGAAATATATGTCTTCATTGGATTGTGTTTACCTGCATAGAAGATACATTGTTTCTCTGAACCCAATAACTAGTCTAGAGTGGTAGATTATCCTGAATTGATGCATACAAGTGGAAGAAAGTGCAGAGTTCAAGAGTTCCCATTATCCCTTCTATTATCAGAAATATTCACTTCACATCGACATGAAAAGATGTAGCCTTGACGCGAGAGGTTGTTAACTTCTTCCTACGACTTAGTCTGACTGCGATTGAGGCTGGCTTACCACAGATGAATGCCACGACTGATATTTAACAGTAGTAATAAACTTCATTTTGACACTGTGTGGGTCTCCGATTCGACTTCACCTCGGGAAAATAGTGACCTGACAGCTAGGGAATAAGCGTCATTCAATATCGCGATTTCGAGTCTTCGACAGTCAAAAGAACTCAAGATTGGAAACAACAGCGCGTTCGATCTTGGAGCCAATTGTATTGATATCTGCACAAGCCTTCGTTTTTTAGCAACTAGAAGCTTCCGGCCCTAGTTTCCCCCCCAAAAAAAAACCAATCCTATCCCATCAAGAGATCGTTACCAATGCGGTCATCATCGGTCTTGAGAATGGCCTCGGCCTCCGTCCCCAAGGGTAACGGCCTCCGCCCCGCGCCGATGGCTCTACTGCCGCCCATTCCGCTGTACCGCCGCCTGCTCCGCGCTCACCGCAAGTACCTGCCCTCCGAGATGCGGGTGTTGGGCGACGAGTACATCAAGGCTGAGTTCCGCGCGCACCGCAACGTCGACAACCCGGCCCATCTGGTTAGACTTGCCCGTCCCCCCTTTTCATTGGAGAGCCCTTTGACGTCTCGCACTCTTCTTATTACAACGCCACTTCCAGTGGCGAGCCGCTTTCAATCCTGATAGTAGAAGAGACGTTTTAACTGACACCTCTCGTAGATCGGCTTCCTGACAGAGTGGCAGCTGTATGCTCAGAAGATCGAGGGCGATGAGTGGCGTGGTGAGAAGATCGACCCCGGCAAGGTCGCCAAGATGAGTGGTAAGTCTCGATTACATCACAGTCCAAGGAGGCTTTGATGGGTGGCTAACAGCACTGGCCGTAGATGAGCAGATCGGGCAGCTGTATGAGTTGATGAAGGCGATTCGCGAGAGGCGCGAGCGGGGCGAGGAAGAAGAAGAGTCATGATGACCCGACATTGACTATCACCTTCAAGCCTCCGGCACATCGTCATCAAGGGGTATGAGTTCAGCGTTGAAAGTTAGGTCTAATGAAACTTCCCAAGGGACAAAAAGAGACCCTTTGAGGGCAGAGTGTACAGTACAGATGAAGATTGTTCGATTACACATGTACAGTTTCATGAGTACGTCTAGCTAGAATGTAAAACCACTAGAGCCATCTACATTGACTTCTACACTTGCTGTCTATGCGCCGCCCTCCAACGCCTCTATGATCCAGTTTGCTTGGATGACGCTGACCTTCTTGGCATAGTTCTTCTGCGTGAACACATGTTCCAGAAACATGATGGCTTCCTTCTTCTGCCCATGCAATACACTCGCTGGGTGGATCGCGACGACGTGCTTGCCTTGCGACGTGACATAGCTCGCGTCCGGCGCCAGCACGGCCGTCTTGGAGACGAAGCCGCGCAGGAAGCACTTGAGCAGCGCCTCGGCCTGCTCAGGGGCAAGCGGCGTAAAGGGCTGCGGGTCCGGCGGCGGGGCCTCGGAGAGCAGGCCCTCCTTGAGGCAGAGGCTGCGGAGCTGCTTGCGGATGTTGAGCGCCGTCTTCATGTTACGGATGTTGACCTTTCTCTTCTTGCACCACTGGATGCGGTCGGCGTTCTCGGCGGCATACTGCTGCATCGTCGTGAGGTACGTGATGATGTCGCCCTCGCGGCGGTAGAGCTCCTTGCGAAGCTCCTCGATCTCCTCGCGCTGTTCTTCGGACTGGAGCTGGTGAAAAATGTCGTCGCCCGAGGTGATGCAGGAAATGATGTCGATGGCTTCGAGAACGCAGTCAAACTCGGGTTTGGCGGATGCCAGGAGCACGGCACCCAGGGGCGCTGCGATGGGGAAACCAGCCATTTTGCGACCGGCTTCGGTGATGGTGCCGTCGTCTGCAAGCGCGCCGAGACCATGGAGACTGACTAGTGCTCTCTCGATGGCCTCGATATCCGGGGTATCCATCAGGGGGAACCCAAGAATATCGTCAATCCCTCTGGCCTTCATTGTCAGAACAGCACCCAGGACATCGATCCTCAAGATCTCTGGTAGGTCGGTTTCCTCCAAAGAACCGAATGTGCCTTCAGTGTATAACCTGAAGCATTTACCGGGCCCTTCACGACCGGCACGACCGGTCCTTTGGATTGCAGACGATTTGGAAATTGGCTTGGCCAGGAGTGACTCCATGCCGAGGCGAGCGCGGAACTGCTTAACCTTGGCCTTGCCGCCGTCCACCACGTAGCGCACACCGGGGACAGTGACAGACGTCTCGGCGATGTTGGTTGCCAGCACGATCTTTCTCGTAAAACCACCCTTGACAGGCTGGAAAGCCGCGTGCTGTCCTTCCATCGAAAGCTGGCCAAATAAAGGAAGAACTTTGATCTTCGGAACATTGGATGCCAGCGTTGCGGCATACTCCTCTATGAGCGACTGCGCAGACTCGATCTCCTCCTGACCCGTCAAGAAAGCCAGAATGTCGCCTGGCAACGGCTCTTCTGTGTGGATCTTGAAAATGGTCTGCAGAAGAGATTCCTGGATATCTGGCACCGGCTTCGGGGTATGTACCGTCTTGACCGGGTACTGGCGGCCCTGAATCTTGAGGACCTCGACTGAGCTGGACTTGTTGCCTTCGACATCCTCGACGGTACTCCCCTCCTCAGTATTGAAGAAACCCTGAATCCGTTCAACGTCGGCAGTAGCACTCATGACGATGACTTTAAGAGGAATGCCGCCACGGCCCTTCCGATCGCCCAGAAGAATCTGCTTGAGGAAACCGGACACCAGGTCGACATCGACGCTTCTCTCGTGAATTTCGTCAACGACCACCGCGCTGTATTGCTTCAAACTCGGGTCCCGCAACAGCTCCTGCAGGAGCATACCCTCGGTAAGGAACTTAATCTTCGTCCCCTTGGGTACTTGATGGTCAAAACGAACCGAGTAACCAACCATTCCCTCGCGACTCTCCCCGAGCGGCGTCCCGGCTTCCCGCGAGACTCGATGGGCCAAAGTCGTGGCGGCAACTCGACGAGGTTGCGTGACCGCGATCATGCCGCCGACGCTGGCCTCTCGTCCATCCACGCTGACCACCTGTCTCCTACACCACGGCTCCCTCACCAGGAACTGGGGCACCTGAGTACTTTTACCGGAACCGGTCTCACCAACGAGAAGAAGGACGTCTTTTTGTCGCATCCGTGCCTGAATGTCTTCCCGGTGAGCCCAAATGGGCAGTTTCTGCCGGATTTTCAATAAAGCCGGGTCTTCCCTCCATCTTGGCCCTCGGTCTGATCTCGGCCTGCCCTTGTCGTGCGGCCTTTTCGATTGGTGCTTGATGAAAGATGGTGCTGTGTGTTCCGGCTTCTTCGCATCTTCTGTCACGGATTTTGATGCCTCATTTTCTGTCGTTTCGAGTGCCTGCTTCGGTTCCTGCTTGACCACCTTCTCCTTCTTGGCGGGAGGGTTGAGGTAGCCCTCGAGAGAGATCACTTTGTTGCCGACTTTGATGACATTCTTGTCGTTAAGCTTTCTCTTTTTGGAGGCGCGTTCGCCATCTGGGGTTGGCGACATGTTTTGCTTTGAGACTTATCTGGTGGAAAATCACTGAGCGATCTGTAGTTGGAGTCGCAGTTGAGAGGTGAACTGGTTGTAAGAAGAATTTTTGAGGGTCCCCTAGCTCCCACCTGGCACCCTGCCCGTTCTTGATTGGGCACTGTCCCCGCATTTTCATAAGGCGACACTGTGTGATGCACCTATAACCTGGGCTTCCAAAGCCAACAGGGGGGATGCTGTACCTCTTAAACCTGTCGCCAGACGACGGGACGCTCTGCATCGGAGTTGTTTTCTAGAAGAAACTGCCCGCAGCTATTATGTCGGTTCGAAGATCGGTTTCCAGCATCTTCTTGCGTGGTAATTGCATATTGCGTCGTTCTCGTCTTCTCCCCTCTCGCCCAACTGCTACCTGTTGTCAAGGGTTCTCCGATTTCACAACTGGGCCGGCTAAATCGCTCCATCGTCACATCGCGACAACTTCAACAATGGCGGATCGCTTCAAGCTCGTGTACACTGTTCCAGGTAAAGGCGATACCTGATGACTGATTCATAGTCATTCCGACTAACTGCATACAATTTGTTTCAAAGCCTCTCATTTGGCGGCGACCAAGGATGCCGTCTTCAAGACAGGCGCCGGCGTCTATGACGAGGGCAAATACGTTCAGGTCGCGTTCGAGCTCACCGGCTCCGGCCAGTTCATGCCTGTCGCGGCCGCCGGAGCGGATCCTCACACTGGCGCCGTCGACCAGCTTGAGAAGGTCCTTGAGTACCGAGTCGAGATTTTGTGTGTTGGGCGAGACGTCACCAAGGCTGCGGTAGACGCCTTGAAAAGGTACAGTTGGTCCGGTGCATATCAAGAAAATGTACAGCCAAACTAAAGTAACAGTAGCGCTCATCCATATGAGGTTCCGGCGTACGAGGTGTACAAGTTGGAAGACTTCTAATTGCGTTGTAACCGCACTGTCTTATATACTAAGAGAGACGCCAGTCTACAGGCGAACTCACGGTTCTGCCAATTCATGTGTTCCATGCTTCAAGAACAAGCCACTTCTTACGATCCGTAACCTTTAAACCAGTGAACGTAGCCTTGACCCGCTTACTTGATGCGGTTCAGGCGCTCTCTGTTCATTCTGACTCCATCATCGACAGCATCACTCTGTAGACAGGGTTAATCATTGCTTTAATCAACACGGTATTGGAACCGAGTAGACATACCTTCTGACCAATCTTGTTGATCAAAACGTTTTGTTGGTCAACCTCCCTCATCTGAGCCCTGGCGAGACCATTCAGACGTCCGACAGCACCACTCAGCTGATCAAGGCCATCATCAATCTGATCTTCTTGCCGCTGAGCAAGTGCATTGCCCTCTTCATCGCTATCATCCTCGAGGGTATATTTGGATCGCTCAGCCACGCTTGACTTTGTCTTGGCCTGCGGCCGACCGGAAAGAGTCAGCTCTTTGAAGGTCTCCTCCATTCGTTGGTTCGTCTTGAAGGCCTCGTGTCGAGTCGCTTCGCGTGTCTCACGCTCAACGCGGTGTCGTTCGAGGACTGCCGCATCACGTTCTGCCGCACGCGACTTGGATGTGAATGGGTTGCTGACATGGACGGCGAACATGCTCCTGTTGAGTGTCTTGAGCTCTTTAGCTCGGTCTTCTGCGACCTTGTTGTGGTTCGTCGCCATGTCAAGGTTCTTCTCAGTGTTATGCAAGCGTTCGCCTTGGGCGCCCAATCGGGCGAGGGTTGCTCGACCGGTCTCTTCCGCCTGCATAGCGGCTTGCAGAGCTCTGTTGACGGTCTGAACCGACTCTCCTCTAACCTCGTTGATCTGCTGCTTGGTAGCACGGTATTCCTCTGCCTCCTGCTCCTCGGCTGTGAGCTCACGAGGAGCTCCATAGCCGCCATATCCTCCATCTTCGCCAGGGACGGCAGACTGGCCGTACCCCCCAGCCTGAGGCTTGTTCTGTTGATATCTGTCTTGCGCACCGCTAAATAGCTCGTCACGCACAGCGTCGGTATCGTTGCTGTTGGTCCGGCCCAGTCCTCCATAGCCACCGGGCCCGCGAGCCCCGGCAGCAGCAGCGCCTGGTCGCTGGCCCGACCCGTAAGCATTTTGGTTGTTGTCGTAGCGGTTCGCTCCGTAGCCGCTTGCAGCCCCGTACTTCTCGGCACCGTAACCGCCAGCAGCTGGGGAGGGGCCGCCGGCTCGAGGACCGGCGGGGAGACCCCCAGGGGCACCGACGCCGGGTGCACCCGCTCGCGCCTGCTGGTAAGGCGTCATGCCGGCAAACTTGTTTCCATCTTGGGCGTAGGGGTCGTTGCCGGCGGGGACTTGGGCGTAAGGGTTGTCGTTGCCTTGGGCGGGGGACTTGCTCTTGCGACCGAAGAGAGCAGAGCGGCTGGCATCGTCGCCGTCGTCGCCGCCCTTCTTGCCAAAACCGAACTTCTTCATGGTTACACAAAGGGACGTAAGACGGCGGAGGATCTAGGTTCGCGGCACAGGTGTAGTAGGGAATTCTGTCGGGATTCTGGAAGGATACAAAACGCAACGTGCTCCTACAAAGTTAATCGAGAAGCAAAACGAACAAAAGTAAAGGAGAAGATCAGGAGAGAGAAAGGGACGACAACACGGTAGCAGAGAGCGGTCGCGGATACAGATGCAGCAAGAGGGACGGGCTGTCCCCAGCGGGCGGGTGTGTGCAGGGGGGGGAGGGGGGTCAAGTAGCAGCTTGATGTGGCAAAATCGGGCCTGTCTTGGGTGTGTTTCGAAGGCGGGCGGGTGCGCCCCTCAGGGTCTAAGCCATAAAGTATTCGTCAGGGCCTGATGGTTTGGACCTGACTGAGGGATTGGGTTGGGCTGTGGGCACAACGATCCCGAAGCGCCTCCATGGAATATGCAGCCGACCGGTACTGGATCCGGGTTCAGCGTGGTTACCGCCGTGCAGCATCGCTGCGATGGCGGGGAGTCTTTTTTATGGCGCAGAAGTGGGCTGAACAATGGCGGTGATGATGAGCCTATAGCAGGCCTTGGTGCTTGGCTCAGCCTCGACTCTAGCGCTGGAAGCTTCGTGTTTGTCTTGTCACTCTGCAGCTGGCTCCGAGTGTCTTGTCTTATCCGCAACCGAATTCCAACGGCAGAAAAATGCGGCAGGCTTGCTTACTCTTGCAATGTTGGACTGAACAAGCCCGGCGTATCTGTGCTTTCCGAGCTATGCATTATGCATCGTCCAGACTGTGCAGTACGTAGGAATTCTGCCGTCCCCCTCATCTTCAAATGTAGTAATGTCCAGCAAGGTATGCTGTGGCTCCGCAATTTATCTCGACGAAAAGGAAGGGGAGATCAGCGAAGCCTGATCTTCGAAACTAACGAGTGCCCGTCAGTGCAGGCGGTCCCGTCCACTGATGTTTTATTGATTTAAGATTCAAGACTCCGTTCCTGGCGAATGGCCAAGCGGCTGCGGCGACAAAAGACCCTAGGTGCGTATGATTGTACCTGGGTACTGGCCGAGGTCCCCTAATTTCTAAAGGCCTGAGTGCTTGCAGCCTGCAGCAACAGCGAAGACAAAGACTGACGGTCGGAGACACTGCACCTGGCCGGTACCGAAGTGGGTCTAGTACATTCTGCAGCAAGACGGAGCAACTCAGCAAGATGAGAGGAGATGAAGGTACCTACCGCTCTGCCAGGCAGCCAACCTCATGAGAATGAGACCTTGATGCCGTTCCTCGTAAGGTGAATGATAGATCTGATGAGCACCAGCCACTGCACACACGACCGATACTCAATCATGGCTGTATTCCAACATAGACAACACGCGATACGAGGCGACCCTCAGCAAGGAGCGCGAGTTGCCTTAAGCGGCAAGGGCAGGAACCGAGGCTCCTTTCAGAGCCGCTCCTGCAAATGCTAGGTGGGCTCGTGGAGTCACTAGGTGGTGGATTACCCGCACTTTCTCCGCAAAGTTGAGCCACTCGGTGGCGTCGGTTTCCCGACTCCTTGGACCTTTACTCCTGGCCGACTGCGTCACACTTGGGCTGAGACCTCACCGGCCTTCGAGTCATTCATATTCAGAACCGTAACGGCGCCAAAAACTCATCGTCACCCAAGCCGTTCGCTTCTTGAATGCGTCTTGGAACACTCAACCTATTCATCGATAGTTGCCCACGCTTTCACATTCATAATGGCTTCCCACTAGGCTGCTCGCCGAGCTTCCCTCCCAGCGCTCCAACGTTTGCAACGACGCCTGATATTCACCGCAAATCAATAAACGACTTTTGATCATCAAGATGATACCGCGTATAGCATCTCGTTCTTCTGCTCTTGTAACTGCAATAGCCCATCATAACCGGCGTTTGTATCCATATCAACATTGTCATTGACTGCAAAGATTACAACGACCCCTACCCTGCAAATTAGGCGCATTCGCCACTTTATTCATCTGTCTCGAGCATCTAAGATGGCTTCCGGCTCAATCTTCACTTTTGACACCGACCCCCAACGGGTCTCTTCTCCCTGGTTGGCCCCCGAGGACCCAGGGAGGAAACCCAGGACCGACGATGGACAGATCCAGCCCGGGCACCTGTCAGACTATGGTGTGACAAAGTTGGAAGCCGAGCCACAAGAGGGTCCAACTGAATATAAGCTTCATCTCTTGTTGCGACCACGGCGTACCTATACGACCATGAGCACCATCACTTCTTCTCACAACCTCAGAAACCCGGTCACTCGCGCCTCCAAGATCGCATCGGCAGCTCTATCGGCCTCAAGCCAGAGTCGACAAGTCCGGTTACAGCAATTGACGACTCAATTGCTTTGGAGACTTCAGCAGTCATGCGCCTACCATGCTCTGAACCCCAAAGACCTCATCATTCCAAAGCTTCCCGATGACACGGACGACTTGAGTCAGGCCATGACGCCGCACAAACCTCCCCCCGGTCTTGAGGAATCTCGTGGGGCTTTATACGAAATTGGGGTCGCCGACGACGGTACCCTCGTAGGCTTGACCAAGGACGAGATGGATGAGAGCATCACGACTCTTAGGGTCATGGCCGCTACCTTGGGATGCCGGGTCGAAATCCTTCGCTATGTCATAGTAGGCGAATGCGAGTGGCTCGAGACGTCAGAATTGGTCGATAACGAAGCGACACAACCTGTTCAGGTTGCCCGACAGGGAAGACTTTGGGTTGTGGAAGCGCTTGTTACTCCTGACTATTCAACGCGCCATGCTCAGCCAGAGGACTCCCGAGAGAGCCGCCGCGGAACCAAACAATCTCCAAGAGCCAAGGAGCCTGTTGTGCCACCAAGCAGAGGGCGTTCCACCACCGATCAGCTGAGAATAACTCTCACCGGACCGACAACATCGGGAAAATCCACTCTTCTGGGGACACTCTCTACTGGAACAGTTGACAATGGGCGTGGGAAAAGTCGCATTAGTCTGTTCAAACACCGACACGAGGTAGCTTCGGGGCTCACCAGCTCCGTAGCACAGGAGCTCATAGGATACAAGGACCATGCTGTCTTCAATTACTCGCAGGATCATGTCGAGTCGTGGATCGACATCCACGACAGCGCTGAGGATGGACGTCTTGTATTTGTCTCTGATTCAGCCGGCCACCCCCGCTACCGCCGAACGATCCTTCGTGGTCTTTTCGGCTGGGCTCCTCAGTGGACTGTTCTCTGCATTGCTGCAGACGACGCAGACGCAAGCTCGACCAAGGACGGAGCTAGTTCCTCGGCTAACGAAGTTCTAGGGGTTGCGGGTGCCGGCGTGGACCTTGCAAAAGCCCATCTGGAGCTGTGTCTGAAGCTGAAGACACCTTTGGTCATTGTCATCACAAAACTGGACCTGGCCACCAAAGCAAGCTTGCAGCGAACCTTGGGCCAGCTGCTAACACACATCAAAGAGGCGGGCCGAGTTCCCAAGATTCTTCAGCCAGCTCTGCATGGCGCCCAGGAATGGACCACCATCTCTTCGGCTGACCTTGACAAAGTTAAGGCCACCACGACGGAGATGAAGCGAGATGGGGACTTGCTTAGATTCATTCCCATCATCCTCACCAGTGCTGTTAGTGGCGCCGGCATTGGCTTGACCCATGCCCTCTTGGAGAGCCTGCCCCTTCCACCAGCGCCCACTGCACAGGATTATATTGGAATGGCACTCAACCCAGAACAGCCTTCGTGTCTTTTCCACATTGACGACACCTTCAGTCTCCCAGCTTCCTATGCTTCCCTTGCCGAGAATCCGAACCAGAACGACATGGGAACCGTCGTGTCCGGTTACTTGCGGTTCGGCCAGCTCTCTGTCGGAGACAGCATCGTCGTTGGACCTTTTCCCTCGGGCGATGACGATTTCAAAGGCATGTCGCCAGAGGACCGGTCTTCTCCCGGCAACTACGGCCTGTCTATATCCCATCCTGCGTCGGCGGAGCTGGCTAAAATTGCGATACGTAACACGGTCGCTGCCTCGACCATCAAGGGAGAGTGGCACAAAGCCAAAATTGTTAGCATACGTAACCTGCGGTTGCCTGTCAACACTCTCGAAGCTGGCCAAGTTGGCACTATTGGCATCGTGCTAGACATTGCCCCGGATGATTCATCCGAAGGAGCTGTCGAGCCGCCAGTAACTGCTCCTCGGATTCGAAAGGGCATGGTTCTGGCCATCCCATCCAAACACATGGTGGACACGGGCATGTCTCTCCAGGCAGCCAGCGGGTTAACTGTGTCTTTCAACGACCCAAATGCAGCGTTTTTGACGTGCGGTTCCCTTGTCAATGTTTACGTCGGCAGTGTTCGCGCAGCTGCCAAAGTCAAGGGGGTCACCAGGCTGCCAACCAAGGATGAGTCGAGAGACTCGAACACAGACGAGGCCGAAGAGATCTTCAATATGAATGAGCACGATGAGCACGCCTCTGTTGCCGAGCCAGAGTTCTCCGGGGGTGTCCAGGCAACGCTCGAACTATTGACTAGCAGAGAATGGGTTGAAATGGGCTCGCAGATATTGGTGCTCGAGGGAGGCCGTAACGATAGATCTGGATTGGAGGGATTCGTAGGCACCGTTGTGGAGATTGTTGATTGAGCTGATTTAGGGTGCATTTGTTCATCCGAAGAGGAAGCGCGGCGTTATTGATTGCGGGTGTCGTATTGCTCGTTGTAGCGCCACGCCAGCGTTGTTTACTTCATTGATATCTAGGTATGCCATCGAATATATCATGCGTTCAGTCTTTGTATAATGCTCCCTCAACGCCCCGACGCCAGCAATGCCACTTTTACCCATTGTCGCCTACTATGCCCTCACGATGCCGTAGAATAAAGTCCAAGTGAGGATGAAGCCAGGTAGCCCACCAAACAACCCACTCGTCCAGACGTCCAATGGTCCCTTGAAGTAGCGGCTCGTGTTGAGAAACGGCAAACCTGCTGACGTCGATTCGGGAGCGATCCGGAAAACGTAGAACAAGGCGACCGTCAGGAAGGAAAAGAGGAAGTAAAACAAGAAGCCGTTGTAGGATTCAAGACCGAGAATGCCGGCCGCAACACCGAAAAGAGAAGCCGTCAGACTCTGCAGGTTCGAGAGGGTCTGCGCAGAAGAGAGGAGTGTTAGCAAGAGGTTGCGCCGGTCGCAAGAGTTGTCTGTTGCCAGAAAGCTATCCCACCTTTGTGTTGTGCATCACGGATTCCTGCACAATGGGGGAGATTTGGTAGTCGCGTTCCGACGGCATCTTTGCAGTCTTGTGTATGCGTGCGTACGGGTTTCGGGTCGCTGGGTACTCTTTCTTGATCAGGGCGACACCGGGAGATCTCAGGTCTTGCGATGTGTTGCGTCGTCGTGTCGATGCGCTCCGTGTCGTGAGGGTCAAGCAATGGTAGCGTCTGTTCGTAGAGCTCCTCCGTCACTCTGCGGGCCTTGGATTAGGTAATGACTCCCAGCACGCTGGTGGAGCTCGAAATGACAGGGCCCGGCAGGTCCAAGATCGGGATTCGGCAGTATGATGTTCCAGGCCAACTAGCGTCCCCAGATCAGGTGGAGAGTCAGCCTTGGTACGCTGATGTCGCTCTCAGCTCCGCCCCATGTCCTTTGGTACCAAATTTAAAAGATATGCAAACAATGACCAGGTCCTGTGCACAAGCCACACCTTCGGCGCGCTCTCTTCACCGTGACACCGTTAGAACGCTCGTTGGCTGGGGCAGATCATATGCAATCGCCCCACCGAGGCTCCGTCTTACCCCTTGCACCTTAATCGGTGCATGCAGGGGTCCAGCGGCGGCAGCTGGTCACTTTCGGGTCGTGGCTGCGAGCGCACTCTCCCTTCCACCTTCCCACCCCCCTGTGCAACCTCCGCAATTACAACGTATCAATTCGTACGATTCGTATATATCCCCCGAAGGACCGTCCATACGTCGCTTGCACATGACTTTGTGTTTTCTTTGAGTCTGTTACTTGTTATTCGAACGCAGCCCGCCCCTCGTTTCGTTCACGATTCCCACGACGCAGCGACCAAACACGACGACGTGAAGCAACAGATGGCCGTGCTGCTTGCAGGTGCCTTGTCGATACTTGCCAGGTCGCTAGATGGAGCCAGTTGTGTTTGACCAGTCACCGCTCGCCGAGTACCTTCGTGGTAAGTGCAACATCGCGAGATGCGACCCAACAACCCCCGATTGTGGCCGTCCGCTGACGAGATGCGCGCGCGCGGCAGACGAAGGCGAGGTCGAGCAGGCGGGATGGGCGCACGACGATCCAACCTACGATGAGTCGCCTCCCTCGAGCCCTGATTTCGCGCCGACAGGTCGGCCAATGGTCAGATCGAGATTCCGCAACAATCCCCTCCGAGTCGACATACCTACGAAGGCCGCATCCGACAAGTCGTACCGACGAAGTTATTCGGTGCGTCCCTTTCAAAATCCCCTATCTGTGGCACAATGGGGAAATTACTGACTTGTGTGTCTTCTCCAGACCGCGGTAGCGTCCAGGATTGACCGAGCCGACAACTCCAAATTCCTCGAGCAATTTCGCTATACTATTATCGCTTCCCAGCTATTGAGTGGACACTCCATATTATCCCAGCACCATGCACCATCCCGGCCTGCCAATGCTGCGATTGAAGGCAATCCGGCCGACAAGTTGCTCGATCCGACCGGCGCTGCCGTCGTCGTCTTGGGGGCACTGGCATTGGTTGTTTCAATCAACTGGCTTGCGGGAGCAGGGCCATTGAACAAGAGACGCGCTGTTGCCCTTCTGCTGGTTGTTGTGATCGCTGCAGGGATCGCCCATGTGTTTATGCGAAGGCAATGGCTGAGGTACAGACGGCTGCAAGCACTGTCAGAGGTCACTGCGTTTGTTTCGAACTCGCAGGAATTCGACAGCGCGACTGGCGCAGCGATTGCTCTGGTGCAGGAGGTGGAACTTGTTTCCAGAGGTTACCGTCTGTAAGTATATTCATCCGAAGTCGACTCGCCGACTGGAGAAAGTCTGTGGTGCGCTGACACAAGCTTTAGGAGTGCGCCTCTTCCACCCATCAGCCGTATAGAGGATCGCTCACAGACGCGCAAGTGCGTGCGCCTCCGCAAGGCTCTTAGGGCCTGCTTTGCTGATGTCATTCCTGCATACGATCAGACCGTCTCGGTAGTCAAAGGATTCTCAGAGCAGCTTGACTTGGAGAAGTACCACGACATTTACGACATTAGCGACTTCGACATGTCCGATGCCAGGCAAGGCTTCCAAGAAAATGAGTTTGAGGATAACGAATCACTTCGAACGCTCAAGATTCTAGCCGCACGGTTTCACACCATTCGTAAGATGTTTCTGTGTGCGCTGCTAGCTCTGGACGCAAGCGGTGACAGTAGCGACCTATTGAAGTGGACAACCACAGTGGAGGCAGTTCGGACTCTCAACACGGTCACTCAAAAAGCGTTTGAGAACCTAAGAAGACTGTTGAGCGACGAGGAGTGTGAGTGGTTCTCCTCTGGTTAACTGAAACTGGCAACTGACAAACCGTAGCTTTCCAGCCACCACCGACTCCAAAAATGCCCCTGACGCCTGGTAGAGAGAGATGGAGATCGCAATTACGCAAACTAAACTCCTTGTCCAGCGGCATCCGCGGCCTACAAGCCAAGTTGACTTTACTGAGAGAAGAGTCTGATCGCAGTCTTAACGAGTCCGATGACATATCCGAGCTCGGCTCTAGTCTGATGTTGCAATACGAGTCTATCGGAACAGACCTGAAGATTCTGATGCAGGCTTGGGAAGAGGGTAAAGCAGCGCTCGCCCTGGGTATCGACCGGAACGAGAAGAGGCTGTCTTCTATGAGCACACTGCTCTCCCCAACCAGCTCGCTAAGCGGCCTCACGACAGTTGACGAGGGTGGAGCTGCCGAAGCTCTCAAGGCGCTGAATGGAGAGTCTCCCTCCAGCCTGGACTTCAGCAGCGCAGGGGAACCTGACACGGAAGAGATCTTTGAGGCAGTTGCCCAGCCTAGGCCCCGCAGCCTATTGACGAGAGACGAGCGCATCATCAAGATGAGAGAAGAGCGGGAAAAGCGAGAAATCGCCAAAGAAAAGGCTGACGCCAACAGGGGTATGATGAAGGAGCTCGAGATGGTCATCAACCTCCGACCCCGCCCAAGGACTGGGACGAATCCGGCACGCATCGTTTCGATGTGACGAGGACACGACATTTGACGATGGACACGGCGTTTGAGGGGAGAAGACTCTAACTAATTACAGTCATTCGTATCTTTGATTTCCTTTCTTCTTTTCTTCTTGGCTTCTGACACATAATCTCTGCAAACATAGTCACCATACACTGATTGCATATAGAAAGGGATTCTAGGACACGCGGACAGGAAGTGTCGTTCATCGGATTGCTCATTTGTACTTTATCATGACATTGATGCGCACCATGGTCATCCGGTGCAGGCTCCATTTGGGCCAGAGGAAGCTTGTACAGACTAGTGCTAGTATTCTTAATTGATAAAGAAAAAAAAGTCTAATAATTAAACTGTTTACTTTCTTTTGTTTACATCCAAACCAGCCACATGTTCAGTTGATGCTATGCATCGGTCACCCACGTTGCTATGTAGTTTGCTATGCATCATATTGCACAAAGAACCCCTGGTTGCTAGGGGAAAGGAAAGGGGCCATGATTAAGGGGCTGGATGGAAGCCCGCAGGCCCCCTAAACGAGTGGAGGGAGCTCGGTGAGCCCGGGCCAACTATCTCTGGTGGGAAGGTGCGCCTGGCTGTCTGTCCTTTACGTAGGTGGATGGATAGTGCACGGTCCAGCCATCATCAGTCAGGACGACGGGGCGCTGAAGGCAGTGGAGGCAGCATGCTTCTGCCCCGCGCGTTAGGTTGGCGTCGAGCCCTGATAAATGCTTGACGCGTTGTCTCCTCTTTACCAGCCCACCACAACGCGCGACCGTGTTTGCCCATTAAAGTGCTTTCCGCGACGAGACCTTCTCTTCTTCACCACCCCCTCAACCACACAACTTGACGACCAACTTTTCCGCAACAGCCCACGATCATCTCTACGCCTTTCTCTTCCGTTTCTTTTTGATTTCTGAAGATACCCCTTCTCCTCTTAATTTCTCACGCATATAATCAGCCAGTATGTTACTCCCTTGGCCCCCTCACCGATGCTTACTCGGTCTACTGGTCCAGGCGCATGATGCTGACGTGAAACAGAGATGTTGGAAGCCAGACTCGACCAGGCCGATATCCTGAAGAAGGTACGGCGCAGCCGCAAAGCACTGCACGCATACATCTCAAGGCCTCTTTGCTGATCTGCCTAGGTTGTCGATGCCATCAAGGACCTCGTCCAGGACTGCAACTTCGACTGCAATGACTCCGGCATCATGCTCCAGGCCATGGACAACTCACACGTTGCCCTTGTGTCTATGGCCCTCAAGACCGAGGCCTTCTCTCCCTACCGTTGCGACCGCAACATTGCCCTCGGCGTCAACCTGACGTCGCTGACCAAGGTCCTCCGCGCCGCCCAGGGTGACGACGTCTTGACCCTCAAGGCCGAGGACGCGCCCGACAGCCTGAACATTCTCTTTGAGAGCTCCGAGAACGACCGCATCAGCGAGTATGACCTCAAGTTGATGGACATTGACCAGGAGCACCTGGGTATCCCCGAGACGGACTACGCCGCGACAATCACCATGCCCAGCAGCGAGTTCAAGCGTATCTGCCTCGACCTGATGGCCATGAGCGAGTCGGGTAAGCAGCCTCCAACGGCATTCGACCCCTAAACAAGTAATCACTAACGCCATGGTGTACAGTGACGATCGACGCAAGCAAGGACGGTGTCAAGTTCGCATGCAACGGCGACATCGGCAACGGATCCGTTACCCTGCGAAGCCACACCAACGTCGACAAGCCCGAGCTCAACGTCGACATTGCTCTGTCTGAGCCCGTCTCCCTGACCTTCTCTCTCAAGTACCTCGTCAACTTCTGCAAGGCCGCCGCCATCTCCAAGCAGGTCAAGATCTGCCTGTCCAACGAGGTACCGCTGCTGGTCGAGTACACCCTGGTGGGTCAGAGCTACCTGCGCTTCTACCTGGCGCCAAAGGCAAGTTTTACCGAAGCATCTGAGACAGAAACACCACTAACAGGAACCTCCAGATTGGTGACGAGGAGTAAATCAGCGATTGACGACGGAATGAAGTTGATATTGCGGGCGTTGCACGGGATCCGGGACGGGGCAAAAGCGCCTGTCCTTTTCACTCTGGATTGAGTTTTGCATGTTCTAGAGAAGATGCGCCATACGTTGGTAGACGAAAGGCAAAAAAGCACTATTGGGAACCACGAAAGATAATGAGATTACTGTTTCCGCCTTCACACACTCCTGGCTTCGTTCTGACACGACGAATCCCTCAGCATCGACATTGCGTTTACCGAGTCTCTGGATTATGACAATTCTCGATCGAGGTGCGCCAGCTGCCGGCACCTGTGTCGACGGCCAATCGCCTGAAAAGTTTCCAATCTCGGGCTAGTGCGGGGTCCTTCGATGCGCCCTTTGGCGGGGTTGTCTTTTTTTCCCTCTTCAGTCCTTTGGTGCACCAGACTTAACTAGCACACTGGGAGGTACCCTTAAAAATGTCGGATTGGGCGAGCACCGGCCGTCGCAACGTCAGACTCAGAGTCAGAGCGGGAACGCGCCGAGCTAGAAGGACCTGGAACCGCAGTACATCGGCTCCATGTTGTCTAATCTCACTTAGTCACTTCCAAATACATAATTACAGAAAACCGGTATCGCTCTTTCAAGCAGGTGCACCTAGAAACCCGGGATCTGCGCCGATAACGAAACCGTTCCTTTGTCTCGGCTCTCAAATTCGTCACGTCCGAGTTTACAACGTATCTTTCTTGCTTGTAGTACATCGTCGCATAGTTTGTTCGCTCCGCGCATCGGCATCCCGATAGAAGCCACCCCCGCTGATATCCGACTTCTGAGATCTGAGATCATCTCCTCCAGCATATGAGGGACCTGGAAACCGGCGGCTCAATCTTCATTCTATAAGCACACATATCAGACGAGTACCATGTCTTTGGAACTGCCCATCCCGGATACGCGCGTCCTGGCCGTCGCCAGTCATGTAAGGCACAATCCTGCGCTCCTGGACCTCCATCACGACATGCAACTGACTCTTTGATGAAGGTCGTGTCTGGGTGAGTCCCCGCTGTCTGCCAGAGACGCTCATGCGCGCTGGGGGTTCTCGGTCGAAGGAAATCCGGCTTACGGGTGTTCAACCCAGAAACGTAGGAAACAAAATCGCAGTGTTCACGCTGCAGTCCCTCGGCTGCGACGTCGCGGCCCTCAACACCGTCCAGTTCAGTAAGAAACCTTCTCACCCAGCACGCTCACTCCGCAGAAACCTCCCTTCTTCTTTCATCCTCGCACGATGGGCGGTTGGTCAGGGCTGACACCCTCTCCCCATTAGGCAACCACACAGGCTACAGACAATGGAAGGGTACCAAGGTATCCGCGCAGGAGATCCGGGACCTCTTTGAGGGCCTCAAGCAGTCGTACCTCGACGACTTTGACATGATGCTCTCGGGCTACATCCCGGGCGCCGAGGCCGTGGTGGCCGTGGGCGACATCGCAAAGGAGCTCAAGCGCAAGCAGGCCGCCGCGGGCACGCCCGGCGGCTTCTTCTGGGTCCTGGACCCCGTCATGGGCGACAACGGGAGGCTGTACGTCGCCGAGGAGGTCGTGCCCGCGTACCAGTCGCTCGTCGAGTACGCGGACCTGATCCTCCCGAACCAGTTTGAGGCCGAGTATGTAACCCCCGTCCAGGTCCCGATTCCCCTTGCGATTCACACCATGAGAAAGCTCACCCTGTGCATGCACACGCACACACGCACACACGCACACACGTTGACTAACACCTCGATAGGCTCCTCTCGGGCGTCAAGATCACAGACATGCAGACCCTCCAGACCGCCATCCGCGCCCTGCACACAAAGTACCGCATCCCCCACGTCGTCATCACCTCAGTCTCCCTCGCCTCTCCCGACCACCCGCCGTCGCACCTGTCCGTCGTCGGCTCCAGCATGTCGCCCGCCACCGGCGAGCCGCGCCTCTTCAAGATCGTCTTCCCAGCCATCGACGCCTACTTCTCCGGCACGGGCGACATGTTCGCCGCGCTGATGACGGTGCGCATGCGCGAGGCCGTTATCGCCGCCGCCGCCCCCGGGGACGAGGGCCCGCTCAAGGACCGCAAGTCGTGGCTCAGCGGCGACGACGTTGACGCGCTGGAGCTGCCCCTGGCGAGGGCCGCCGAGATGGTGCTCGCGAGTATGCACGAGGTGCTGGCGCAGACGGCGCAAGGGATGCAGGACGCCGTGCGGGCCGCCGGGGTCGACGACACGACGGAGGAGGGGCGGAGGAGGCTGCATCTGCTCAAGAGCAAGAGCGCCGAGCTTAAGCTCGTGAGGAACCTGGCGAGTCTGAGGGAGCCCGTCGTTGAGTTCCGGGCGAGGAAGCTGTAGACTAGATTTTGAACGCATTGCATGCCACCAGTTTGGGGAGGCTTCTAGATACACACACACATACACAAGAGAGGGAGGCGGGCTTTTTGTCACCTGCATGGGGCGGCGTGGGTCGGGATAGAAAAGGGCATTCCAAGGTCGTAGCATTGTCATCATTCGTCTTCCTCTTTTTTGGCCCCCTTTGTTCTATAAACACTTTTTGGTTCGCCCACGGTGGTGCCATCCGGTCACCTCTGGCCGTCTAAAACCATACTACACAGTCTCCTTGTCTTGTATCGAGGACTCTACTGCGCAAGAGCGACGCCCGTGCTGCCGAAGCCGCCGGCGCCGCGCACGCTCTCCTCGAGCTCCGCGACCTCGACGATCTCGGGGGTGAAGATGCGCTCGACGACGAGCTGGGCGACGCGGTCGCCCTCGGCGATCTCGAAGTCGGTCTCGGCGTGGTTAAAGAGCAGGACCTTGACCTCGCCGCGGTAGTCGGCGTCGATGACACCGGCGCCCGTGTCGATGAAGTTCTTGGCAGCGAGACCGGAGCGGGGGGCAATGCGGCCGTCTGTACACATGAGGATTTTGGTTAGTGGTTGTTACTCGGAGGAGAGACGGAGAGCTCTTGACGCAACGGGGTCAAAACGTACAAGTGCCGGCGGGGACGGAGATGGCGATGTCGGTGCTGACGAGCGCCTTGCCGCGGGCGGGGATGGTGGTGGCCTTGGCAGCGTAGAGGTCGTAGCCTGCGGCGTAGAGGCTGCCACGGGTAGGCAGGCGAGCCTTGTCCGAGAGCTTCTTGACCTGGAGAGGCGGGCAGGGCTCCATGGCGGCAGGAACGGGGGCGTCGTCAGAGGAGGTCTTGACTCGCTTTGCAGGAGGGTCAGGCTGCTGTGCGACGACGGGTTCAGAAGAGCTCATGTTTTGTTTTGTTTGGGTTGGAATGTCTAACGAGATGGAAAGTTTACCAGAATGCCGAAGTGTTGACTTTCGGTGTGGTGGAGAAGGGGTAAACGCAATCAGCGAGACCTGGACCGTGGAGGTGTGCAAGCCCGGGCAGAGATAGAGAGAGAGCTATACCTATGTGTGTGGGCACTTTTGGCGGTGTCGCGACGACGCGTAAAGACGCGGAGGACGAATTGACCAATGAAAAGCAGCCGTTCACCAAGGTCGTTGAGTTGCCTTAACTGCCTTACTAAGACCGGGAAAAGTCGTCATCGCATAGGTAAGGTGAGTTGTGTCCTGGTCTGCAAGTGCTAAAGTTCTTCCATCTTGCGATGATCTCTCGGCAGATCCAAATAGCCTCAGGACCATCGCGTGAACTGCTGCGAGTCACACACCTCAGGCCCCCAAAAGCTTGCACATCGTTTATCGCATGATTTCAGGGTCAAGATATGCTCATGACAGATGCGCCAAGTTCCCAAATCTCGACACCAACTATTTTCTTGGTCCTGTCCAGATTCGGAGGAAAGTGCAGAGTCAATCACAGACACTGTGAAGCACACTATCAGAAACGAGCCCGTACTGTGGCAATCCAAGCCCGAGCTGCCCTCCGCAGGGCCTGATTCGGCCTATGAGAGCCTTTTGGCCTGACTCGAGCTGCTCAACGCTTAACATCAGGAGCTTTTCTGTGACATTGCCAAACCTAGGAAGGACATGCTACTGCAATTATTTCAGTTTGATTGCCTGCCGGTCCAGGTCCACACGGGGGATCTGCGCATCTGCGTCGCACTCGCACGGGTGTCCGGCAAGCCGGGCCCTCCTAGTCGTCCAGTTCCCTCCCAAAATCAATCAGCTTGAGCTTCGTAGCGTCTCTGGGATGGAACTGGGCCACTTTGGACCTGATGAGGAACCGCGCTGCTGCTGTCTCCTTGGGCAGTTTGACGTACGCCGCCGCGCTGTCGCCCCCTGCTTCCACGAGCTGGTTCAGGAGATGTTCTGTCAATTCCCGCATCTCGCGGCCGGCGGCGGCTGCCTCGTCCGCTTCGCCGCGCTTCTGACCTGCGTCCTCCTGTGGCAGGCCCCAGACTTCCTCAAGCCTTCGTTGTCGCTTGTCCTCGTCTGGCTTGGATTTGACCTTGGCTGGCCGGCCCTGAGCGTTGAAGCCCGCAATCAGTTGGTCGGAGTCGATCTCCATCATGTCACCCACAACCGGGCCGCCAAGATCCTCCGCTGCCAGTTGCGCCGCAAGGTGATCGTCAATGAACTTCCTCAGAGCCTTGAGTAGTCGGGAGGTCTCTCTGTCGTAACGCTTCTTTTTCTGCCTCAGTTCGTCCAGTCTCTCTTTGGCTGCCTGTTCGGGCGTCAACTCCATCCGAGACTCGGCATCGTCCTTGAGGGACTGGATGCGCTTCTCTAGGCTCTGCTGAAGCAGCTTCTGATCAGCCAGATTCGCCTGCTCGATTTCGAGCCTGCGTTTTGTCTGGTCGAGAGAGGTCCCTTGACTGATCAGATACGCCCGGGATTCAGCAATGGTCTGATGCGTCTTCCGCAGGGCCAGGAGCGCGGGTAAGACGGATTCCGAGAAAGGTACGAAGGGGGGTGTACCAGCAACTTGCTCGAACGCGCCCTTCATGACTTCGTAGGGCTCTCGTCCCGCCCCAGACAGGTCTTGATTCCTCTGGCCACCATTTCTTTGGAGCTGTCTCACGGTCAGCTCGGAGTCGTCGAGAAGCATGGAGTGGGATGCATACCGCTGCAAGCTCGTCCTTGTGTTGCTGGATCTTTTGTTGGAGCTCTTGCAAGCTCTGTTCCAAGCTCAAGGAATACCTATCGCCGACGGGTCTAGGTGATTCGCTCATGTCGTGTTAAGTTCCGATATCCCAGGTCAGACGTTGCTGGTTGACTGGTGTTCTGCTTTGGCCCAAACGGTCTGATATTTGGCGACACGGTTGCAATCTCGGCCAGGCGACGCACGCGACATTCAGAGGGTCCCCCGGAAGAAACGAAACAGTTTAAGCAACGGCAATAGAGGAGCCCTTGAAGCCGTCACAAAGCACACGGCCCGTCGGAGCAACCAAGACGTCCAATAGCGTCGTGCGTCTGATCTCACCCCTGTCAGAGAGAACAAGGCGTGTTCGGGCGCTAGATCGTCTCTGACTGTTTCAAAGGAGGTGTCACTGTGTGTCGGACGCTGTTAGCAGTTCTCGGGGCAGACAGCGCGCGACCTGCACAGATGATGCACTGTCTTGGCTGGCTGGCTGTCTAGTTGTCTGGCACGCTGACAAGTGACACCAACAGCGCAGGGCTCGAGTGGTCCAGATGATTCTCCCGAGGTGTTGGTAGCGGAAAAAGGATTACAGCTTCAGCAAGGGAATAGCGGCTGTTGTCTGTTGGGTGTACTGTGTGGTCGTAGGCGTTCGCGGTATAAGACGATCGACGTGACTTGAACAACAAGACGCGATGTTGCGTTGGGATGTTTGTGGAAATGCTGTGTTGGTACTGAGCATCCACTTGCATTGCAAACAATGCAGAGGGCACCGTACGGATATTGTAGACAGGTCGCAGCAGGGGGGGCTCTGTGGTCGTCCTTCTGGTTGGTTTTTGGTGGGAGAAGTACGGAGTGGGGCATCAAGCAGGTCAGACAGTGACAAACACTGTGCGGCATGTTGCATCTGTCCAATGAATCAACCCCGGAGAAGAAGCACCAGCTGGCTTGACACCCACTGGGAGCTCCGAGGGGAGGTCCAGGTTTCCCCCCATGTAGCTCAATCTGCCGAGGGAAATCACTGCAAACTGTGTGGCTCCCGCACTCCTGGTTTGGTACTGGAGGAGTGGGGATGAGAAAAATAGGGCCGTGCGTCTGTCTTTTACACTGTAGGTACATACGGCACGGTGCACCCGTCCGCCCTGCCCTGCCCTGCTGCTGGGCTGCGCCTGAGGTGGCCGCAGCGGGCTGGCTCCTGGCTCGGGGCTGGCACTGGGCTCTGGCACTGGCACTTGCGCTGCTGGCCCTGAGGAAAGCGTGAGAGCCCGATCTTTTCTGACAAGATCTTTGCCCTCACCCATCCGTTTCTCAAACCTCTTCGAGACATCCGGAACCCCCTTCCAACCCATCTGTTTGCACGGCTTTTCCCTCCCCATCTCTTTTAATCCTCGACTCTGCTCCCCCATCCCTCCCCTCCGCTTGTCGAAACTTCCTCTCGGTGGGTTGTATTATCTCACGGCGCAGCGCACTCGGTCCCATCTTCGCTCCCACTCTCACGTGTCGCCTTCCAAAGCTCCCATTCCAGGTCCTTAGGCCCGACCGTCGGCGCGTCGCCAGTCCCCGTTTTGCTCTACAGCTTGACAAGCTCAACAAGGACACGCGACATTTCGCAGAGGGGAAACATCAAGGCTCTGCTTGCAGACTTGACAGACCGTCGCAACACTTTGCAGCTCCTTGCCCTGCCTTCGCAGCTTGGACTGTCCGTTTGACGGAGAAAGGTTTGAGCTTCTGCATCCGAATCGCCTCCTAGATACAACCTTTTGTCTACTACCATCAGCTCCTTCCCTCCCACCTTCTCTCTACCTCTTTTTTTCCATCACCCATCTACTTCCTGCCCGTCCGCTGCCTCTTCGCATCGCCTCGCCTTCCCTCCGCTTGACCTGAGTTTCTTTGCGATTCTCACGATTTCGGAAGTCACCTACCTCGGCCCTGATAGGATAGGAGTCATCCTGAACCCACATCCCGATCTCTTCTCAACGTCACGACCCTCTGCCCTACGACCTTCATCCTGCACGAGCACAGCCACTTCACCGAAGAGACCTACTCTGAACCCGATCCCGACTACGCCACTACACCAGCCCGTTTTCCTTTGAAAACCGTTGTGGTGTAGATAGTCGAATACAAGCTCTTCTTGAACCTAGACGGAATCGCGAAAACTTGTGTGAGACATTAACAGCTAGCCCATCATGTCCGCGTCGCCCCCCCAGCCCGCAAACTCGGCCAAGCGCCCCCTCGAGGAGACCTCCTCCCCGTCGCGCAGCAACGACCAACCAGACGCGAAGCGCCCGGCCTTGGACAAGATTCTCAAGACCGATGAGGAGGTTGAGATGGCACAGCCCCCCGAGACCAGTGTCATCCCTACCACGGAAGCGAACGGCAGCACAGAGAAGACGAACGGCTCCGATGCCAAGTCCGAGCAGGCCGATGCCGAGGGCACTGAGACGAAGCCCATCCAGAGCTCCGTCGCCGGCTCCGTCCCTGCGACCTCTACCCCCTCGGCGAGCCACGACGAGAGAGATTGGATCCACATTCGCGCCGTTATCTCCAGCCCGGAAGCTGCCACAATCATTGGAAAGGGCGGAGAGAATGTTTCCAATATTCGCAAGATGTCCGGTGCCAAGTGCACCGTGAGCGACTATCAGAAGGGAGCTGTGGAGCGCATCTTGACAGTTAGCGGCGTTGTCGACGCTGCTGCAAAGGTTGGTGACCGTCCTACTCGTGTTAACTTGAATGTCCTACTAACGAGATGACCAGGCCTTCGGACTGATCATTCGTACCCTCAACAACGAGCCTCTGGCCGAGCCTTCAAGCGCCCAGTCAAAGACATACCCTCTGCGCCTGCTGATCCCCCATATTCTGATCGGCTCCATTATTGGAAAGGGTGGTGCTCGCATTCGTGAGATCCAGGAGGCTTCCGGGGCTCGGCTTAATGCTTCCGACTCCTGCTTGCCTCTGTCTACTGAGCGCTCGCTCGTCGTCATGGGTGTTGCTGATGCCGTCCACATCGCGACCTACTACGTCGGTAGCACGCTCCTCGAGCAGCTGAACGACCGCTTCGGCGGCCCGGCTGCTTCCGCATACGCAACGAGAAGTGGTGGCCCTGCTGGTGTTGTCCCCGGCGGCATGCAGGTCGTCCCCTACTGCCCGCAGCCGACCACTGGCAACTACGGTAACCGCGAGAACTACAACCGCAGGCACGATGCCCGCGCTCAGCACCACGGTCTCCCCGCTGCCCCGTACGGCGCGCAGCCGTACCCTCCTCATGCGGCTCAGCCGAACCCGGCCATGCCCATCCACTACGGCGCGGCGCAGGCCGGTGCCTACGGTGCCGCCGCTCCCATGCAGCCCCATGCCGGTGCTGCCGTTCCCCAACCCCATGGTGCCCACCCAGCTCAGCCCATGCACGGAGGAGCCATCGCCGGCGCTCCCTTGACCCAGCAGATCTACATCCCCAACGACATGGTTGGAGCCATCATTGGAAAGGGTGGACAGAAGATCAACGAGATACGCCAGATCAGCGGCAGTGTGATTAAGATCAACGAGCCTCAAGACAACAGCAACGAACGGCTGGTCACCATCACCGGAACGGAGGAGTGCAATCGGATGGCGCTATACATGCTTTATTCTCGTCTCGGTACGCAAACACGACAGAACTCTGGCAAGGTGGATCGCAAATGCTAACAGTGACTGCAGAATCGGAAAAGCACCGGATCTAACGCTGACGACGTTTATGACTTTACTGACTATCAAATCTTAGTTCGGCAAACCAAAAATTTCGGGCGGAATGGTACAGTTTCTTTTCTTTCGCGAAACATCATCGCCACGTTTGGGGGATATCGGATTGGTTTCCGGCAACAGCTTCGCCGCGAAACCCCGGCTACATCTGGAAAGGGGGACAGGTCTCGATCAACTTCGTCTGATCAAAAGGTGCTTTTAGAGGAGGTACTACTTTTAATAGTGCACTACTCTCTTTTATTTCATCCGTTCTCCAGCACATCTTGACTCCCTGCCCACATCTTACACCATCACCATTGCGAGCCCTGTCAACCGTTGCCCTGCCTGCCTGCCTGCCTGCCGCCCTACCATCCACATCGCCTCACTTACACAGCCCTGATGGACATGATAGCCTTGAGCCCTAGAACCTCGTGATCCAATCCCAACGTCGCCCTGACTACGTACACCAACTTTCATGCACTTGGCCTTACTTTTTCCCGTTTCCTACCATAGCACGTGCCCGCCTCGTCTCATGGAGGCAGAGACGAACTCCCTCTTTTCTCCTCCCCTGCCTTGACAGATGGAACGAGGTTCGATACCACAAGAAGAGTTTTGTTGTCTGAGAACGAATTGCTAATGATTTGTGGCAGGCATCACAAAGTTTCACTGGCGGAGCTGGCTGTCGGCCGCCATAGCATCGCGATGCGTCGTCAAAGGATGCCGGTATATATGGCAGCTTGGTAAGTCTTTGACCTTGCCCCCTGCTTGCTCATGAGTATGCAGCAACCTTCACGCCAAGCCACAGGCGAGAACCTATGAACGGTAAGAAAGTAGTTGGTGATTGTGTGTTCGCTATGGTCCATTTTGTCCCATCATCGTAGAGTACATTCTGTAGTCGTGATTAAGCCATTTTCATACTATTCTGCCGTTTACGCAATAGGTTATCAGTTGCCTTGGGCCATCATTCAGATTCGCTTCAAATTCACATGATACTGTTTCTTGTCAGCATGTGTCACAAACTGCTAGTGTATGACCGTGATGGTGGTGACGTACCATGGAAATGCCTTTGCGGCCTGACCTCAACAGGTGAATATTGTCGGATATCGCTGTGAGATATGAGTTAGTAGTCGCTCTCTCACACATCGGTCTATCCGGCCGTGACGGCGCTCCACAGGGGTATAACTCACGTCCAGCCTTGGCCTTGGCATCAAGATGCGCCTGCTTGCTATCCCACCCAGCAACAGCGTCACCGCGGGCCCCTTCTCCCCGTCGCCGGACCCCTCCACGGCAAGCGGCGTCGAGATCTCGCCGTACGCGTGGCCGTGGAACCCGTCCACCGAGGCCCTCCCCTCCACCAGGCCCTTGACAAACTCCGCCGTCCGGCCCACGAAGGAGTCGTCCACGCCGTAGGCGACAAAGACCTCGGTGCACGGGGCGCCGAAGACCGCGGCCGGGTCCGAGTCGGCCGTGAAGGGGACCTTGTAGAAGAGCGGCGGGGCGATGCCCGGGCTGTCCGGGGACGCGTGGGCGGAGACGGCCTTGAGGGAGGCGAACCAGGGCGTGTACGACTCGGAGGCGGCGAAGGCGGAGAAGGCGGCGGGCGAGGCCCACTCGACGACGAGGACCGTCTTGGAGGGGTCCTCGAGCTGGGTGCCCGTGTACACGGCGTTGACGCCCGGCAATGACTTTAGGGTGCCGGTGACGTCGGACCAGGCTGCTGGGGGCTCCGAGGGGGAGGTGGCGTGGTTCTTGAGAGTGAGGATTATGAATTCGGTGATGGGGGTGGTCATGCTGGAAGGAGAGTGAAGCACAGCAGTGAAACTCGGTTCGGTGAGAGTGTGATGCTAGCTTTGGGTGAGAGAAATGCTGAAAGACAGTGTTACAGTCGAGGAAGGCGTGCAGGCAGGAGCGGGAGCGGGAGCTACGGGGACACTTTATCTCGCGCCAAATGTGATGCTATTCGCGATGCTTGTGGGGGTGCTCCAAGTTGGCTAGCACATTCTACAAAGTTCTACATCAAGGCGGCACGTCGCCGTCGAGGGACGCATCGGGCAGGCGCGGTCACGTGGACGCCTTCTCCGCACCGGAGGGCGAAGCTTCTGGTGACACAATCCGGATCGCAATGTCGCAAGCCACATGCCACGATCCCCCCCGCAGCTTCTTCAAGGGCCAGCTTTTATTGTTCTGTCAATGGCGCCTTCGTGTCTGGAGACAAGGGGTCTCGAGAGATCTGGTGAGGCGGGGTCGAGAAGACATCGCGACCTCCGCTCCGTAGCACCGGTCCGCTCTCCACTCCCGCCCGCATATACCTCCACCTGTAACGGCGGACCGGGTTAGAGATCGGGAGCAGCCCGGCGACGAGGGGCGGCGCACCACCCCGGCACCCTCGTTGACCCGAAGACCCGAAGACTAATGCGCATTCTTTGTGCCCGTCGTAATAAGATGATGACAACAGAGAGCAGCGAAAAACAATACCAAAACGGGACATGGCTTTGCGCCAATAGTAGCGCACCCCACTAGGAGTTTGGCATTCTAACGGTCGGCGGGATGGGCTACGTCGGTGTCTTGCCTTGAAACCGCGAGAGGGTAAGAGCTCGGAATGCGATCACCCTGGCGAGTATTTCCACACCTCATGTGATGATGGTAGACTTGGCTTGGCTTGGCTTGGCTTTTTGTGGTCTCTGGCGCAACTTTGTAAAGAGCCAGGGAAGTACCGTGCCCAGGACGCCATGTTTCCCTCTCTTGGGCGTCGCAAGGTGGCTTAGGGCTGAGGTGCAGTCAATAAATGGCTGCTTTGGGCTTCTTGCTTGTGTGACCGAGAGCTTGGACTGCAGAGAAGCTGACAAGGTTGTTCGTGTTAACCGCGATGCGACGGTCTTTCTTACCTTCGGGTATGACCGAATGACAGGATAGTTGTGCAGAAATCGGGCATCGTGGCACCACTACCCTACTATGGAAGCTTTCTCACTAGCAGCAGCCTGCATGTCCGGAAAGGAAAGGCGGTGACGACTTCGACGAAGACGGCAGTGGTCGCAGAGCAGCCTTGTGACACATGAAGATCTTGCAGGAGAGCGCCATAACTGTGCCTCTTGACCGCAGGCAGCCAAGAAACCAGTGGCCCGTACTCGACCGTACACGAGCAGCTGCTAGGCAAGCTGACTGCGTTGTGGGGTTGCAGTGGGAGAAGCAATCTTGTCAAACAGTTGGCAAAGCAATATCGAAGCCAATGGCTAACACGCCGTCTTCTGGGGTTGAGTGTCTTTGAAATGGCCTCATTTAGACGAGTTCAAACTCGCCCACTACTGCGCATGCAACGGCTGCTCCAGCCGCAGTACATTTTGCTTTTCCCCAAATAAGCTCTGTTGGCTCCTGACGTCGTCAGGCAGTAGCGGCTGGTTGAGAGACCTTTGGCTTCAGGCTTCCCCGTCCTTCATGCCTTCATACCGGCGGCCCAGGGGTTGGGAGTCGCTGCCGAAGGGTATCGCTTGTTCCGTCCCTCAACTATGGGCAATAGAGTTTGGTGTTGAAACTCTGACAGGGCCGAGAAGCGACGGCGACCTTGCTGACGGCTGACCCGATGCATCGGGCGGGTCGTTTTCTGGATTTCCTTCCCAAATCGGGTTGTGGCGGTGGTGCCTGCAAGACATCGGATTATTCTACAAATGGAAGATGGAAGATGGAAGGCTATGGGCTGAGTGTCATTGCGACGGCTAAGGCCCGCATGTGGCATATCAGATGGATTTGTTGACGGAAAGGCGGAGGATGTGCAAAGCCACGAGATAGAAGCTTATGACTTAGCTGCGTCCGGCTTCTGTCCGACGCCTTGCATGGATTGAGCCGCCCCTGGCGGAGAGTGCTGGGCGGAAGGCTGAGGCACAGGTCGCGGACTCCGTTGTGTCTCCAGGCCCAGGAGGTCCTCACATTCCACGGGCAAGGTTGGGGGGAGTCATTGGGGTTAGAATGGATTCTTCGGAGTGGCGAGTGCACAGTATCAACGGCGACGGCCAGCGGGGATGGCCTTCTACTCAGTGATTGCGACATGAAGGCGAAAGCGAGATGGTAACATTCGCTTCATCTGCAATTCAGAATCAGGGGAGGTAACAACCACCGTTGGAAACGTTGTGCCAAGGCATCGGATCGACTATTGAGTCGAAAATTTCTCACTCGGTCCAGACTTTGCTCTCGGTTCGCAGCTAGTGCCGCTCCTTCGCGCGGTTCTCAAATGGGCCGTCAACACAAAAGATCCTTTTTTGCATGACGCATCGTCACTCGAAGTGCCAATTGGCCCCCCTTGCTTAAGTGTCGTCCTGCAGTAGGCTGCGGCGTGGTTAAATTAGGTGACCGCTTTGGCGTGAGACCGATGTTGGACCGTCGTTTGCTGCAATAGAGTGAAAAGGGGACGGAGACGGGGACGGGATAAACTGGTGCCAGGTGGACGGGGGCGAGGCGGGGACAGGATGAGGGGACTGGCGGCTGCAGCTGGTGCCAAGTCAGGCGGTCCCTTGAACGGGGGTTGTGGTTCCTTGCAGTGGTCGTTTCGCCTCTAGTTACGCGGTACGTATCCCTGATGTGGTGTAGGTACCTAGTATCCGAGAGACCACTGAACTGAAGGACTGACTGAGCCATACACGACGTCGAACTGCAGGCCCCCTCGTTATGACGGAGAATTAGGTTAAACGCTCTTGATGTTGAATGGGGCATAAAGTGAGCCTGTACAAAGTAGCAGACGTCACATCATCTCGGTCCCGTGTGGGCTCATCTGAGCGAGATACCAACCGCGATTGTTGGCGTGCACTTGATTCAAGTGAGCATCCGCCGAGCTAGTTTGCTCATCGGCGGCTGGCCGTGTAACTTTGTGGGTGAGAAAATGCCTAGATTTTGTCTGGAAATCCTGGCCGCAATCCCGTCTCGTCGTGCTTGGTTCTTGGCCGCCCATGCCAGTGCTCCCTGTGAGGCTTTTCCCTCCTCGCCATGTCCATGATTTGGCTCTTCTTGACGGCCTTGCAGGTGCTTTCGCCGGTCGTCAAATGGGACCATTGCCGTCGAGTAGGGTCGAGTTGCGAGGCACATGGATCAATGATCGCGGCTACGGCTGCCTCGACATAAGCGGCGCTGTTGCCTTGGGTCGAACCACAGAACCCCAGCAGCTGTACCTAGGGAGCTTCGGAGACAAGTGGATTTCGTCAAGAGTGGGAGATCTCAAGTTTTGTCGACGACGGCCCCTCTACCCTGGTTTCCCTAGAACGGCACGATGGGTGGTGTCCAAGGAAGTCTTGCGCGGGCCGTCTCATTGGGCGGAAAGGTGGTCCACAGGGTAGGAAGCGGAAAGCGCGTTGGCTCAGCCCTGTTCGGTTATGGTCTGGCCTTGCCCTGAACGGAAAGGTTGCTTTTCACGAAGTACCGCGCTGTGGCTCCCAGTGGCTTCTCCTGCTCCTGTTAAAAGACGACGCTAAGCTGGAAAGCCCACAGCTCCACGAGCTGTGCTGGAAAATCCACGCGCCTCACGCTTCAAATGGTGCTCACTTCGGGATGGGGGGGAGGTACGTTTCCGCTAAAGCTGGAGTAGGAGGGAAGTACCTGCCTCGAAGTACCTGCGCCAGGGAAATAGCATGACCCCACCCCCCTGCTTCATCCCGCCACAGCCCAATCACGTTGGAGCAATCTCGTCTTTAATTTCCACACCCATGCTTGCTCTGTCGGCGGCGCAGTGCACAACTACCACGATGGCACGCAAAAGACGACAGGAGCATTGCGCCCAACTGCAGTGCGCTTCCCCTTCTGTGCCGCGTACCTCTGACAGTCTCCGGGCCCTCTCTTGCTCCCTCTCTATGCGAAGCTTATGAGGCCATCGTGTGAGCCATGCCTAATTGGGCCGGGATGCCTTGAGATTTCCCTCTCCTCCTACTGCTCCTGCTCCCCGCCAGACCATGGATGAGCCATGGTCCATCCGCCCTGCACCCCCTTGCCGCGCGCCCAGAGCACTCAGCACTCACTCACACACTAGCAGGGGCCATGCTCACCTCACCACCTCTTCTATTCCTATCCCTCGTCTTGTCGTCCGGTCTTTTCTTTCTCTTTCCTCCTTCCTTCCTTACCACCAACCCAGTCAAAAGTTGTGTCTCGTCCTCTGGCTTCAGCCTGCCGCTCTTTTTATATAGTCACTCTTTAACCCACGTCGCAAGGACAACCCTCTCTCCCTTTCCAACAACCTGCTCGCTTTCCTCCAGTCGCTCTTTCCTGGACTTTCTTGTCTTTTTTATAATAGACCTCTAACTTCTAATCATCACCACCTCCTCTTTCTCGTCAGCAAACCTTTAAACCGCTCAAAATGCAGTTCAAGATTTCCGCCGCTGCCTTCCTGGCCTTCGCTGCCTCCGCCCTGGCTCAGAACCCCAACTTCGACCCCGTCAACAAGCCCACCCCCAACCAGAAGGTCGACGCCGGCAGCACTCTCTCCATCGAGTGGGTTGCCCCTGATGCCTTCAAGGACGTTACCGTCTCCATCAGCCTGATCGGTGGCGCTACCCAGAACACCCAGGTTCCCCTCCAGGACATTGTTTGTGAGTATCCTCGACTCGCTGGCTGAGACGCCATTGCTCTCGCCGCCGTCATCCCCCGAAAGGGCAGCCAAACTAACAATGCTCCCAGCCGGCATCCCCAACAGTGCTGAGAAGTACAGCTGGACCATCCCTTCTACCCTCGGCAAGGACGCTTTCTACGGCCTCGTCATCAAGTCTGAGGTCAACCCCACCGTCGACTTCCAGTACTCCAACCCCTTCCACATCGTTGCTGGCGAGGGCAGCAGCTCCGCTACCACCTCCGTGGTCATCTCCTCCAGCACTGCTACCCTCACCCTGTCCGCCAACGACGCCTCGGTCACTCCTAGCAGCTCTGCTTCCGCCTCGGCCTCTGACTCTGAGAGCGTCATCGTCAACTCCACCACCGCTCTCTCCACCACTGCCGCCCCTACCGCCGTCGTCCCCAGCCAGTCTGCTCCTGCTACCACCATCACCAGCGTCACCCGCCCTGCCTCCAACGGCACCGCTAGCCGCACTGCTACCACCACCATTGCCACTGTCACCGGTGCTGCCGCCGGTGCCCAGGCCACCGCCGGCGTCTTCGCTGTCCTTGGTGGTCTTGCCGTTGCCGCTCTTCTCTAAGCAATGCTCATTGCCACAATTCTCGGATTTTCTACATCTGCTAAATTGCATCGGGCATGGGTTTGGGTTTCAACGTGCATATTAGGTCATGACTGGATAAAAAGACGGGGGACTCGGCTTCCGGGCTTCTGAGCTCGGGACATCCGTGTTGTCGCAGCCCCGAGGGAAGGGCTCCCGCACATGGCGTTCTTTATTTTCCTGTGTTTCTGATACCAGTGTCCCCGTGGATGAGTGCGATTCACGAGGGATGGGTTGACACCTTTCTAGTTGATAATGTGAGAGAAGAATGATTCGGTCTATTCCTTAACAACAAAAAGAATATTTTCGCAATGAACTCCTTTATCCAATATGACTTGAAGTCAGTGCCTTGTCGATCACCCCGTGGAGATGAATGCCGATCGGATAACCTTGCAGCTGTCATGCGACGGCCACAGCTCGTCTGACGTGAACAGGTGGGATTCTCGGGTACAATTGGTCCAGTCACAACAAGGCGGTTTCATACGACCCCAGAGACTTGGGCCGCTAACAAGCGCAAAGACATTCTTCTCTATTAACAAGCATGGGCTTTGTTTTTGCCCGCCACAGCAGCAATCCTGCAGCTTGGCAACGGTCTCGCGCAATAAGCAACGAACAAGGTCTGTTATTTCGTCTCCATTGTTCCTGGTTGCAACTCACCATTCAATGCTGCCGAAGGGCTCTTTGAGATTTTAACGTGTTCTTATCCGCAATCACAAAGGCCGCCAATCGCAACCATATAGCAGCCCGCCACTCACAGGTGGAGGGAACCAACAGTTGCTTTTACCACCGTAGTCGGCCAGGTCGGAGTCGGATAAGTGTCCGTCTCTGCCATGGAAACCTTTTCCTGTCTCCAAAACCCCACTCCGGCCTTTACACTAATAACTCCAACGTTTCCCAGGCAGAGCGACAGCCACCCAGCTTCCAAAGCTTGCTGCCCTTACGAACCTGACATGACTTCAGCCCATGACTCGGCCAGTAGATTGCCACCCCAGTTTTCTGGAGACACTGGGAAACTCTGTAAAGTCCGGCGGTCCGGGATCATCGGTCTTGAAACTGAGGGGAGTTGTCTCTCTCTCTTGCAACTATTTCCAATCCAACAGGGCGGTCTCCGTTTCGGATTCTCCCCTAGGCGCATGGTAGAGCAACATATCTGCCTCGTTCAGCCGGCGACTCCGGAAGCCCCCCCCTCCCTCGATCTTGAGTTACCGATCGAATTGTTAGACTCGAGGGATACTTTGCTGAACAAGAGATGGAAAAGAAAAAAAAGAGAAAAAAATTCGCAATGTCTTTACTCACTAATTCAACTTATTAAACGCTCACCAAATAACCGGGCAGGATACGATTCGACTCCATGCAATGTATTATACTTTCGGCTTCCTCATCTCGGGAGACATTGTGGGAGCATGCGCCTTCCTCCCGGCGCGGCAGGACCGGGTCCTAGGTCACATCGTTATCCCGGGCATTACGCATCGACAATGTTGCTTTTTATAAGGGGTTCGTGTGGAAGGGCTTACCTTGTCTGGGTTTGAGAGCGATTATCGTTTCGTATGTTGGTACTTTTCCTACTCGATTCGGCGAGAGGGGCACGTCGAGCAGAGTCAGGCACATAACGCCCGGTCTTGAGGATGAAGTGATGGATGTGGTGCAAACAAGCGTGCACCTCCTGATCTGCAATTACTTCATTGTTGGTTTGATGGAGTCGAAAGGGCCTGGTCGAATCCCTTCCAAGCTGATGTGAAGTTGAATTCCAACTTTGCGAAGCTTCAAGCGTGGCGCAGAATCCAGCCATTGCCGTCGCTGGGATCTATTTTAGAGAACTATCACAGTAGCGACTCGAGACGAGACCGTAGCCATGCCATGGAAGGGTTAATGGCTGGTAGCCGAGGAGCATTCTGGCGTGGTCGTGCAGTGGGCGACATCGTCGGCCTCTTGGCGTGCTGAGACATTGAGTAGCATCTGGAGGCCGAATCTCTCCGTTCGCCCTCTGCTGACTCGGTCGCCATGGTTGCTTTTGAAATGAGGTCTAGCACATACTTTCTTTTCCGTTGTTCTTGAGGTTCATCCACGAGATGTAGTCATTATTCCTTCAGCGTCCACAATCTCCAACAACCACGGATGTTGTAGCCCTATGTCCTTTTTCCGCACTATGATCCATCTAGACGCAATGTACAACCCCTGAGTGACAGTCTATAGCTGATCCACATTGGGGTCAGTTAGGCTGGGCTTCGGGGTTTGGTTTCTTGCCCTAGATTTGGCTTCGTGTGCAACGATCGCTTAGGGGAAACCAGTACAGGTTGGCATCTTCTGGTGAACTGATCAAGTCCTGGCACCTATCCAAGAGACACTGTAAACATTGTCGGATAACTTGAATACTTTGGCGTCGCAGTGGAAGCACCTAGCATACGAGTCTCTACTGGCTTATTTAGGCCAGCTTCGGGACTTCACACTTGTGCACCGGAAGTCCAGCTCATTGAGAACGGCCCGGTAGATCGTGCTGTTCCCTTCTACTAGCTCTCCTCTTAACCCTAGTCTGGAGATTCAGCACTTACGTGATGTATTTGCCATTTCCACATAACTTGAGGTGCTCAAGGGGAGCTCACTCGACACCAGCCTCCGTTTCCTGCGTAGTCATTATGGCAAGCTTGAACTGCAACCCCCTTCTCTACTTTGGTAATTCTCGGCTCACGCACCACGTCTTTTGACCTTTTTGATGCTGGCCGTTTGGGCTTATTACAAAAGCCTAAGAGAGGGTTTTTTTTTTTTTTTTTTTGGAAACTGCGGCAGTGTAGAAGCCAGCGGAAAACGTACTATAGTCAGCAGCTGCTCACACGAAAGCGCCAAATCTCTGTCCGGGGTGTCGACGAGAAGCAGACATGATCGAATCCAGAACACCGCGACAACCTTTGAACATCTCTCTGCTATATCTTGGTGATATTTAAGTACGACTGCTTCCGCAGCAAGGTTAGTTAGAAGGGGCAAAAGCTTAGTGAAAGATGGCACGACCGGTAACAGGAATGATAGTCTGGCCCCTGAGACGAAGTTGTTCCTGATAGGACGGCGAGGGTCATATAACATGTCAGATACTGAAGATCCAGTCTTGCATGACCAAGGAACATTTCATATGGAGTATTGGCCTATCACCTGTGGTTGCCTTCAAGCGGCCTTTGGCATGAAGCGATCGACAAAAAGCATACTGCTCTAAACTGCGCGTTGACTCGATACATATAAACAACCCAACTGTTCCGACAATTACATGTATATTTATATGGAGAATATCTACCTGAGTCTTAACCATGAATCGTAGCCGTTCAGACTAAGCGATGGGGGATGGACATCATGCGTTTACACTGGCTGTCAAGGGGCGACAGGATTGAAATGAAGCTGCCTTAGCAATGAATGAAAATTTTATAACATAAGAAACACATATTAAATCGTTATCCTAAGATGCAAAACTGACAAACATGCTTTGTTTACTCCTGGTTATTAGTCGGAATTTGCTGGCCATGGTTGCATGCTCGTTGTTGAGTCGGGGGACGATGAATGTTTCCTTCTGCTTTCCAGGGGAATGCTGCAACTTGCGGCGCTTACACTGCTTCGGGGGCTTTATCAAGTGAATGAGAATATGCGTTGAGGTGTCATAAGAAAAAGTCTTGTATGGTTTTCAGCCTCTAGTGAGATGTTACTCACGTCACCTATTTGCTGGGGAAGTAAGTTCGATGAGGTACAAAACTACTGCACCAGTCCGTCTTCGGTTGTTTACGTCACCGTCTTCAAGCAACTATGATTGACAACGTGTCTGGAAAGACACTATTGTTGATTCACTACGATGCACTTCCCATGCCACGTGGCTGGAAGCTTAACTTGTGAAATCTTCGGCAGTGCCCATCGCTGGCTGCTCCGTCGAGTCCGATGATCCGACCTGTACTTGATATACAAACATCTTCTCAAGTAGGAAAAGTTTACAATGCACTACTTCTAATTGCAAGAATACACTTCTGGCACGCCTATTAAGTCTGTGTAGATGTTTCTTCCCAGATATTCAACTTCATAATTTGAACTACAGTGTGTTTCTTTCTGACGCGTTGAGATATCCGATGAACTTGTAACACATCCTTTATATTTAATCCAATGACTTGACACCCAAGACGTCCGTATGGAGATGGAATAAAAGGTAGTCAACTCACAGAGGGCAGATAACGGCACAGTTCGAGGAGGTCCGCAATCTGGAGACAGACAGAAGAGATCCACCGTATAAGCTCGTAATTCCACCAACACACCCCAGTCGTAGATCCAGAAATACATCAGAAGCCCTAAGCGCACACATAGGGGAAGCATGTCGCCTTGAGACCCTTAGAGAGGTAAAAGAAAGACTGGAACGTCTTGAAGAATAGACGGGGTCAATACTTGTTCAGAACTGAAAGCAATTCTCCCCAAAAAAAACATTGGAAGCGTCAATCGCTGACGGGAATTGAGCCCGACGTGGCTGAAATTTGTTAGCTTTGATGATGCTGCGATGGAAGAGTCAGGATGAGCTTACGGGTCGAACCCACAACCTTGAGATTAAGAGTCTCACGCTCTACCGATTGAGCTAGCCGGGCGGATTGAATCCTGCCTACAGGATGGTTGGTGACGGGCAGCGGTCGTGAGCAGTTTATGGACGCGGATGAAGCCCCCACAAGCTGGAGCGGACCCTCTGCTGACGATGGAGGAGTACGCTCGGTTTGACGTCGATGGTGGTTCAAGTACAGAGCCATGCATGCTTTGTGTTACTTTGGGAAGCAGGAGGACCGAATCAGTGCATCAAGGCTCAATCCACCGCGCACTTGCGCCTGGGTCATACGAAACAACAGGGCATGTGCGTATTAAGCTACTTTCTCGATGATAAAAAAACATCAATGGAAAAATACAAGGGGTTGTTCTGCTTTCCCGCCGGGTCTCTTTCAAGATGGCAAGAGAACGCAAAAGCTGAAGAGGCACACTCGTAGACTTGCTTCTGTGACAAGGTACATTCTGTCCATGATCAGCAATGGTTTTCTCCAGACTGAAGCAGAGTAATTTGGCAAACGGTAGCCTGGTCCTCAATAGCTACACTTCTTGAACCAACAGCCTGGACTTTGAAAAGCTAATTGAAAGCCGCAGAAGGGTAAATGTATATGCCATCATCTTGGGCCGGGGGCCCTTCTGACACTCCGCTTTTGCGGAGATGGAGACCGCATTCATGCTCCCGTAACGGACTATTGATAGCCTCGAAAAGCTATCCCTTGATGTCCTAGAGTATATTCGACTCTCGCATGGACTAGGAGGAAAAGTTTCATTCATCCCCGAAGCAGAAGGGTTCCGTCAACTTGTCCGGTAAGCATGGCCAGTCAGCCACTATGTTTATGATTGACCTGAGGCTCGATATGACTTCTAGGCGTCCTCTCGAGCCTGATCATGACGAACCAGATTCTGCAAAAGTCAGAGAAATGATTCTGGGCTCTCGTCATTTCCCACAGAGGCAGACGTCTCGCCTATGATGCTAGCTCGACAGTACCTAGATAGGAAAGCACCGAGTACAGTAGTGTTCAAGCTTCGACAGGCTTGGTGGCCTGCTGAGGAGAGTATGGGGCTTTCGATGTCGGGAACGTATTGCTGAAGAATAAACAGTCCGCTGAAAAGTGGCTGACCAGAAGCTTCGCGGTTTTCGGGAACGGGTTTCGGGGAAAGACCATAGAGTTCTGGTCTTGCGAGAACGGCTCGTCATCGAGACATGGTTTCATTTTCGGCGTTATCGATGGCTCCCAATGGAAAGACCTAGTTGAGGGCAAAGGAAAGAATGCTACGGAAGAGCATGATGCCTGCGAGTGCTGCAACCCCAGATGAAGAGTACATAGTCAATGATCAGCATATGTAGTGTCGAACTATCATGTCTTGTAGAACGGTGTTGGAATCGAGGATGAATGCTATCGCAGTAAGGAAATAAGACGTTAATGGTCTATAAACCGGGCCATCAGTCATTCTGAGTTCGTCAGCGTGTTCTTCAACCTCCTAGTTGCAACATCAGGATGGGGGTGAGAGGGCGAACAGGAGAAGAGATGGGCTAAGCGCTGTCTAGCAACACATGGTAAGCGAAAAAACTGGGATAAAGGAGAGCTTCAGACAACCGCAACACCAGGACCTGAACCAGCTCATGAACTTCCCAAAACCCCCTTTTCTAAAGATTCCGAGCGCAAACCAAGAAGAGTGAAGGCAGAACGAAGGTCAGTCGCCTCAAGAGCAAAAATATACTACTCGGAGATGTTCCTCACTGAATCACGATAAGAAGTCGTTCCTCTGACTATCTTTGCCTTGGCTTATCGGGAGGTGTGCTGTTTAGTGGGCTCATCAAGGATCGTTGAGCACGAGCTGTTCTAGGGCCATCTCACGGCATACGTATGAAAACGCTGGAAGAAGCCATGGTGCAGCCCCCAATGGGCCTTTTACGTCTCCCTAACTAAGAATGTCCAAAGAGTGGCAAAGTCACTTCTCGGCCTGGAACGCAGCAAGATACAGCTATCACGATCCACGCGCCAAGATTTGCAAGTGCCATAATTTAGCTCCATTGTCCTAGTCCATGTCGCATGATAGCCGCCTTCCCTTCAACACATCGATTTGGATAACTCCGGCTTCTGCGAGAGATTGTGATATCAATCGGGCCGCAATATGAGACCACAGGTAAGTTTTTTCGAATATCAGAATCTGTAAGCCGAAACCTGGCGCAAAAGTTTCTCGTTGGATGAAGATATGGACGTCGACGTTGACCGGAGATGCAAATTTCGATCCACTTGCAGGCGAGGGAGTGATCTGTAAACCAGTTCGTGGAGTTTTGAGGCAGCGTGGTGCGCTTGGGTGCTGGCTGTTGGACCCCACGCTGTCTGCGTAGTCCATGGAATGACGGGCCCATTGCTTTATATGTCTCGGCATGATTGCACCGGATAACAACCGGCTCAATGGATTAGACTTGACAACCAGCTCACAGCCGACAATACCAATGCTGCGCGGTTGAAGCTTGTCCTGCTCGGCTCGAGATGGGTGGTTCCTAAACACGGCCATTGTGAACCTGGAATCAGTCTGCCATGGTGAGATGTGCAACCACGCAGCCGCCAGGTGCTTTAGTATCTATGTGCCCGCGTGCATGGGAACACGCTGACAAAAACCGGACCTCGTTAGAAAGATGGGGGAAAGATATGGACATCTTGTCAAGGGCACTGATTAGAGGCATTTGGTGAATGTAGTTTCCTAGAACTACAAGTATGTCGCAACCGCCGCAAGCAAGAAGTACTGAAGACACTCCAAGTGCCTGCTTCCATCATTGTTGTTACCATTGCCTGGATAGCCTGTGACGGCTTGCCCAGGAGATAAATCTTCAAACACTGATATCCAAGATATGCAAGAAGGTTGAAGATATCTTGCACACGCACATGACGCATGGACCATCTGGTGCCTTGAGTGTTGTTGTGCGGCTGGTTGAAGTGGTTGTTTTGTTATCTTGAAATGGACAACTCCGCGGAGCTTGATTTCCACGTGCGAAAGGCAAAAGGGGTCCGCAATGCCGCGTTAAGTGGAGGCTGAAAGGGCCGTTCAAAACGCCCGCAACCCGCGGCCGCTGTGCCGAATCCATCCATGACAGATGCGGTAGCGCCGAGGCGTGCTCTTTGTCTGACGTTGGAATCCAGACATGGTCCTAGAGGGATAAGCATGGAGGATTGAAGTAGGGACGAGCTGTATAGTCTAGACCCCGTCGCCGGCAAGCCGGGGATGCACGCCGCAGCGGGAGACAGAAGGGCCTGAACCAGACAAGCGGGATTGACGTGGGGGCACGGCAGGCTGACATAATTCATGGAGTATCCGTACACCCCTGCTAATGGGGGCTGCGTGCGCCGGGGGCTCCCTTGGCTCTACTATCTTTATCTTATCTCAACTTCTCCCCCGAATGCGGCCTGCGTACCCAAACTCCCAGTCATCGCAATTTTTCATCAGCTGTGCGTTACCCCTTCAGTCTCTCCCGTTGTGCCTGGGGAAATCTCAGGGGCAACAACAACAACAACAACAACGTGGGGAGAAAGGGGATTCGGGAGGACAGTTGGGCGGAACCACAGCATTGCCCAATTATAAGGCTTCGGATTACACCAAGCCATCTATTCCTGGCCAGCAGCCGAATAACGGTACGTACGCGGCAGCACAGTCTAGGATCAGGATCAACGCTGTGCCCAATTCTTTGAAGTGTTTATGGGCAAGCCTGACAATCTCGTGCTACAACTTCGCCCGCGCTAGATGACCATTGCTGCCAGCTAGTGTTGGACGGGCCAGGCATCAAGGGACTGCCATGCAATCTGCGGCCCTTGTCCGTCAAGATCCCGCCGAGTCCCTAGTCTTGTCCCCCCTCAAGGGAGCCAAGCCAGTGCTTGAAGTTAAATCGTGATCAGCCAGGACTTCGTCAACTTGTCATCATCACCAGACGTCACTCACTTAACAACACGCATCTGAGCCACGAGAAGATTCGGCTAGGAATTGTGACTTACGCCAGTTCACAGGTCATAGCCGAGACTTCGAGACACATGCCACGCTCGAATAGATCCGCGGAGATCGACGCCAACGATTCACGCATACACCAGTCAGCTATCAGAGTCAGAGCTCTTATCTCTTGGATGCCAGGGGTGGGGCCTGGCTCATCCGTCCCAACTGCATCTCGAGCGCCTCTGCGAGCCTCCCAGAGATAAGCAACAAGCTTGCAAGCCTCCGTTTCGTCGTTTTGTCCCCCATTCCCCTTTCGGCCCTGTCCAATCATTGCTCTTTCAAGGCACTTTACTGAGTACCCTAGACAGGCAAGGACCGTCGAGATAAGGCATGAACCCAGTGCCAGATCCTATTCTGTCCAGCTTACCAGCTCAGTGTGCTTCGCCATCTCGACGATGAGAGTCGCGACAGCGGACAGCCAATGCCACCTACACAATTTCTGTGCCTCGCCCTTAAGACTGGAGTTCAATCGGGATAGAACGTCGTTCGACTGGGGCACGAATATCTGGGGAAAGCCTTGACTCCGTCAGCCTAGGCATCAGCGATCTTATCAGCTCTAGACGAAGCTCTAGCAGGACTTGCTCTCCCGGTAACACCTCGCTTGGTCCCAAGTCCAGTCCCTAGAAAACTGGTCGAGACACACACCTGGGTATACTTGTCAAGTCTTCGAGGTTCTCCTTAGCTCCCGGCCATCAAGAGGGTCGAGTGGATCGAGCCAAAACGTGCAGCACCGGGACTCTCGTTCGAGACACTGTCCTAGTGCCTCAGCCTACCTACACTACAGGAAGAATTGTGTCATTTCCGCCCATCTCCCGACCAGAGACTCTTATCAGAGAGATCGACGGGCAAGCCCGCTATTAAGGCTACCACACAAAGTGGCCCGGCCTGGTCTCTGTGCGCCGCTTGGCCGCCTCCATCGCATCAGCACCTACCCATTACCCTCGCCATTGCGCCCCCCCTCCCCTTGTATCCCCGCCGCCAGAGCAAGGGATTGCTCGCGGCAGAGTCGATTTGGTTTAGCGTGTCGTTCTTCCGGAGATGCTTCAACCGCCTCCAATCTCTAGAACCATATGTTGATTGAATGCAAGCAGCCATATAAGACTCTTCATTGAGCCTCCTGGATGTTCTGGCTAGAGACAGTAGCATCCGCCAACTCGACGACACCGTCAAAGATATCCTTACGACAAGGCTCAGACTGGGGTACTCTCGACAGCTTCCTGTCCTAATATTGACGACTTACACGAAACGTCAAAACACGATATCATAGACTTATACAACTCGAGCTCGAAGCATCGCAAATAAACACCCCACCCCTTCACAATGACACTTTCCGTTCTCTGGAGGGCGCCTGAGGTGAACCCTGTCAACCGCAAGGCCCGCAGTATCCCGGTGCTCAACATCTTCAACGTTTACGCACGCGCGTTCCACTTCTCATGGCTTGGCTTCATGATTGCTGTGCGTATAATCCGCCCATAGACTCTATTGGTCTTATTGCTAACGTGACACTCAGTTCTGGGCATGGTACACCTTCCCGCCGTTGTTGACAGTAACAATCAAGAAAGACCTCAAGTTGACCAACGCTCAAGTCGCCAACTCCAACATTGTTTCCCTGGTCGCGACACTATTCATGCGCCTCATCGCTGGCCCTGCTTGTGATCGATTCGGTTCCCGCATCGTCTTCGGCTCTCTGCTCCTCATCGGTACCCTGCCCATCGGTCTTGCCCCGCTGGTGACGAACGCCACAGGCCTCTATATCAGCCGCTTCTTCATTGGTGTCCTCGGTGCGACGTTTGTCCCCTGCCAGGTGTGGTGCACAGGCTTCTTCGATAAGAACGTTGTCGGAACTGCCAATGCCCTTGCGGGTGGTTGGGGTAACGCCGGCGGTGGCATCACCTACTTCGTCATGCCCGCGGTCTACGACTCTTTTGTCCACGCGCGTGGCTACTCTCCTAGCCAGGCTTGGCGCATGACTTTCATCGTTCCCGTCATCTGTCTGCTTGCCTGCGGTATGGGCCTTCTTCTCCTATGCGAAGATACCCCTACTGGCAAGTGGGCCGACCGTCACATCCATGCCCAGGAGAGCCTGCGATCTCACGGTGTGATCGATGTCCCGGGAGGCATCACCGATCGTACTGTTGGCTCCATGGGATCTGACGAGGAGAAGAGCAGCACCAACGGGAAGAACGGCGTAATTACCGACAACGAAGCCCCCCTCTCAGGCGCCGAAATGGTCGAGACCGCCCAAGGAGACACTGTGGTCAACCCGACCTTCAAGGATGCCATGAAGGTTGTCATGTCCCCTCAGACTGTCTTCCACGTCGCCACATACGGCTGCTCCTTCGGCGGTGAGCTGGCCATCAACGCTATCCTTTCTTCGTACTACCTGAAAAACTTCCCTTCCCTTGGCCAGACTGGTGCAAGCAACTGGGCCGCCATGTTCGGTTTTCTCAACGTCGTCACCCGCCCGGCCGGCGGTGTCGTGTCTGACCTGCTATACCGATTCGGCGGACACAACCTTTGGCTCAAGAAGGGATGGATCACAACTTGCGGTCTCCTTACTGGTGCTCTCCTGATTCTGATCGGCCAGCTCAACCCCCATAACGAAGCTACTATGTTCGGCCTTATCTTCCTCATGGCTGTCTTCCATGAGGCAGGCAATGGTGCCAACTTCGGTCTCATCCCCCATGTTCACAGCCAAGCCAATGGAATTGTCTCTGGTATTACTGGTGCTGGAGGAAATTTTGGAGGCGTCATCTTCGCCATTATCTTCCGCTTTATGGACAACGGCGCCAACTATGCCAAGGGCTTTTGGGTTATTGGCTGCATCCATATCGCCGTTAACCTTGGTGTTTCCTGGATCCACCCCCTTCCAAAGCACCAGCGCCATTAACTGTGAACTTTGGTAAAGATTGATGATTCTCTACTGTTGTTTAATGACTGTTTGGGCTGGCTTCTGGGACTGTTGGAAGGGCTATGGGAAAATGAGTATGGAGTATGGGAAACGGACGATATGATATCCACGGTTGGAATTCTTAGTGAACAATTTACTTTTAAGCGATTCGATCTTCCAAATTTTTGAGCCATCTTTATTGTGTGTTGTCTGCAATCCTTGTGAATCAAACCCAAGGTTTACACTGATACCTTTGAAGTGAACGCGGTCTGGTTTACCTATGTTTCTGGAGATGTGGACCATTCGTTTCCCACAGCTGTTCAAGCAACCACGCGGGTTCACAAACACACCGCCGGTCGTCAGAAATGCCTGCTTTTCAGATCGCAACAACTAGCAGAACAAATCCAAAAACCATCACAATAAAATCTAAAGGTAATTTCTTCGAGCTCTTACTTATTGGTTCTGCTCCTCGTTGAGGGGTGCTATTGCAAGCTTGGATGAACGGCCTTTGGAAAAATCGGCGGCGTTTTTTCGGAACCCGTGTGGCAACCAAGACTTCCCTTCCTCGAGCTCTGTATCAACGCACCATGATCTCACATGTAGTAGGTAATGTGCTTTTCAAGGCTAACAGCGAGACATCAAGCATTCTGACGTCAAAGATGCTCTCCACAAGAGGGTGGGCAGAGACATTCCCCAGAAGCTCCCTTTGACTGCATATGCCGTCTTATCTGCGCGTTTTGATCGGCATCTACCCGAGGGTGTGGCTGTCCCGCCCACGGGTCAGCATCCACCCTCTTGCCTGCACAGCGCAAGTCTGCTGCAAAAAAGATAAGGAAGACAAGCTTTCGTCTGGGGAAATCTGCGCTAAGCGTATTCAATCCGAGTGCATAGTAAGCTTATCGCGGTGCTTAAGCGTTTGGGGGTTGAGAGGGACCACTATGCTTCCGAGGGTGCAGCAATATTGCACTTGACATATCGTTCCTGTCATGGTCCATCGTCCTTCCATTGGAAGATTTCACACACGTGATAAGGTTCCCTGCGACTCTGAGTCTGGTGGACATGCTTGGATGTAGATGCGGAGAGGTCAGTGCTTGAATCAAGGCAATGTCACCTCTTTTCTGCTTCGATCGTTGAACCTTCAAATAGCTTGTCATGTCTCCTCAACACCGAGGTTATAGACTAGCATACTAGACGCGGTCCGTGATCTTGCACGGGCGAGTGGGGTTTCCAGTCAGACTCAATGAATGACCCAGCAGGACAATACACTTCCTCTGGTTCAAAGGCTTCGAGTGGAACGAATTGGAGGCTTAGAAGCCTTATCGTCCTACCAAACTTAGAAGATAGAGCAATGGGTGCATTCGATTGGCTCTTCCAAACGTGTCGTTAGATATGATAAGAGCCCCCCGAAGCTTTGCCGTTTGAACGCCAGATCACGTGGATACGAGATCAAACGAATGACTAAGCCGAGGATAGACGCGCCGACACGCTAGCTAAAGTGGGTGGGGGGGCCAAACGCGGTCGTCTTCACTATCGCGCAGATGGTATAAACACTCACGACCGACCTTGCAACGACCGACCGAAGAGCTTCAAACGCGCCCGAACCGTCCCCGATGACGCCTAGAATCCCCGAGGTACATCTCCTGCAGTCGGATAAATGACTCGAAACAATCTAGGGGATCAAATCTCCTGGCTGCTGAGCAACGTTGCGATATCCAAACCAACCGATCTCTTCTTTCCACCAGCTCGCGACCCCTCTGGCACCGAGTCGTCGCAGTCGCAAAGCCGCTTCGGTAGCTCAAGCTCTCAACAAGAGGTCCTGAGCCATTCGGCTTTTCAATCGATCCCTGGTCTCCCGCATGCTGGAGCTGCACTTCATGCCTTCGACACTGTGGAACAGCCACGGGATACCAGGGTGGCAACAGCGGGAAACTCTGCCTCCATGGCGAGGCTGACCTCGTCCACAAGGCCTAGGAGGCCCTCGCTGGCGGTAAAACAGCAACAGTTGCTGACACCGTCTTCAACGACGAGTGGTGGACGATTTCAGCAAGCTTACACTGCCAAGCTGCGGCAAGAAGGTGGGTACAGGTTATGATCTCGTGTGTACATGTACTGACTCAATGCAGATGCACAACATGAGCGCACCGACAGAAACCCTCCGTCGTCGTCACAAGATGGAAGACAAAAGCCTCCACCTGTGGGTACACCGGATTTTCTCGACGACGATGACGACGAAATCCTTGATTTGACAGGCAACGATACGATCTTGTCATCTGACTCGATTGCATTCGACGAGGTGGCTACAATATGGAACAAGGAACTTGCTTCAAGACCAGAACCGTTGACCAAACGTGGCCATAAGAGAAAAAGCACAGAGATGAGCAAGGCAGGAGATTTCGACTCGGACCCGGATGAATTCCCGGACATCTACAAGACACTGGGAACACCAGCGCCAAAGGATAGCCGCTCAGTTAATGGCCCGAAGACGATCCCATCAAGTATTCGTCGGGCGACCACCACCGACGGCGGCGTCGTCGAAGAACGAACTATCACGCAGACAATCAGCCGGACGCAGCGTACCTACAAGATGACCGACGAAGGGAATGGGAACGGGACACCGCGCCGGATACCAATGGCACTTGGAACCCAACAGGCCCTTGGAAGGACTCCAAGCAAAGCGCTGCGGATATCGTCAAGCCCCGAATCGAGAAGCAGAATCAAGCCACTGAATCTCCAAGCGAGCACGAACAAGCAACGTAGCAGACCTCGGGTTATTCAAGATTCGGATGACGAATTTGATGATGAGGATATCGATGAGGAGCTTCTTGCTACGCCGAGCCGACATAATGGCACTCTTCTGCCAGCGACGAACCCGAGATCGAGACCGGCATCAATTCCTTTGGATGGTGCCGAGTTGTCTGACGGACTTGTAGCACCCGATACCCCTTCCCGGCCCGATCCATCGGTATTGCAGATTGTAAATCGTCTTACGCCGGTCGACACGAATCATGTACACTCCTTGCATCGACGAGACTTGGACAAGCCACTATCCCAGCAAAGTGGCTCGTCCCAGGGACAAAAGCCAGCTATTCTCAAGTTTATCCTGAGCAACTCGGACTCAATGACGGTAAAGGAAAAAATGATTCAGGAACAACTCGAGCAGAACTCCAAAGAATATTCAAGGGTTCTACGGGAGGGTTCCAAAGAAGATCGTGCTCAACTCAAGAGCGCGAAGGAGTTGCTGCTAAAGCAACAAGCTGGTCTGAATGAAGTTTCCGAACTTCTCAAGTCTCACGCGAAACTTGTGGATGAGAGGGAGTCTCTCGCACTGCAAATTGCCGACGCCTACGACGAAGGCCGCGATACTGAAGTCGACGAGAACCGTTTAGACGATATCGCAGACAAAGCTAAAGATTTGGAGCAATCCATTAGCCGACTTCTTCCAGGCATTGGTATAGATGGCGAGTCTTTCATCGAAGAGTACCGCAGGTCAAAGTCCATCGTCATGAGTACACAGCCTGGTCACAAGGGTCTCTCGAGGGCATCGAGAGATGTGCAGACAGCCATGGAAATGGATAACCAAGTCATCCATCAGACACAGTTTCCTGGGTCGTCCAGACTGACCGACCCCAGAGACTGCTCGCCGCCGCCGTTTCCACGAGGTAGATCCCAGGCGCCCAGGAGTGCAAAGCCTCTTGCTTCGAATGCCAAACCACCTAGGCGGGACGAATTTGACGACAACTTTTTCGACGATATTGAAGATGATTTTGGTACTTTTCATCCTCCTTTGCCACCTGTATCCAGACCGACACCGAACCGCAGAAGTCCCCTGAAGAAAACACGTCCTCGTGCTCAGGACATGTCGAGCGACTATGGCGATGATGCAGATGCGGACATGCTCGCACTCGCTCAAGACTTCGAGCTTCGCCAGTCTTCATCCGCTGAGACCACCAGAGGCAGGAGTGTGCTTACTGCAACCTCTGGCAACACCACTCAGCTCTCAAAAGGTGTCGAATCCCTCAAGAAGAGGGAACCGCCTAAAACGAAGCTGTCAATCCCTCCCGAGCTGATGAAACACCCGTGGTCCGCAGACGTACGGAAGGCGCTGAAAGACAGGTTCAGGATGAGAGGCTTTCGCTCAAACCAGCTTGAGGCAATCAACGCCACGCTCGCGGGCAAGGATGCATTCGTGTTGATGCCGACAGGTGGAGGAAAATCCCTATGCTACCAACTTCCGGCTATCATCAGCAGCGGGAAGACGAGGGGAATCACGATCGTTGTGTCTCCTCTGCTCAGTCTTATGCAAGACCAGGTGGATCATATGTCAGCTCTCAACATCCAAGCGGTCTCTCTCAATGGCGAGACAAATGCCCAGAAGCGGAACCAAATCTTTTCTTCGTTCAAAGAAAGGAGCCCGGAACTTTACATACAGCTCCTGTATGTTACGCCAGAAATGTTGAACAACAGCCAAAATTTTATGAGGGCCCTGACGAATCTCTATTCCAACAAGAGGCTCGCACGCATTGTCATTGACGAGGCTCATTGTGTCAGTCAATGGGGCCACGATTTCCGCCCAGACTACAAGGCTCTGGGTAAACTTCGTCATCAGTTCCCTACGGTACCCATCATTGCCCTCACTGCAACTGCGACTCAAAATGTCATCGTTGACATCAAGCACAACCTGGGCATGGACAGTTGCCAAGTCTTCTCCCAGAGCTTCAATCGGCCAAATCTGACGTACGAGGTTCGCAGGAAAGAAAAGGAACTAATTCAGAAGATCGCCGATCTGATCACATCCAAGTATAGTGGTCAGTGTGGAATCATCTACACTCTCTCCAGGAAGACCTCGGAGCAGGTGGCTGAAAAGCTACGTTCCCAATACGGCGTCAAAGCAAGTCACTATCATGCGCAAATGACACCTGAAGACAGAATCAGAGTACAGCGCGAATGGCAAGCGGACAAGATCCATGTCGTTGTAGCAACGATCGCTTTTGGTATGGGCATCGACAAGCCTGACGTTCGGTTTGTTATCCACCACTCGGTACCCAAGAGCTTGGAAGGCTACTACCAAGAAACAGGACGCGCTGGAAGAGACGGCAACCCTTCCGATTGCATTTTGTTCTTTGGATATCAAGATGTCGCCACCCTGAAGAAAATGATAGCCGATGGCGAGGGCAGCGAGGCGCAGAAAGAACGACAGAGAATCATGCTTAACAGGGTTACTGCCTTCTGTGACAACCGGGAGAACTGTCGCCGTGTAGAGATTCTTCGTTACTTCGGAGAGGTCTTTAACCCCGATGACTGCGAGAAGACGTGCGACAACTGCCGAGCAGGAGCTGTTTTTGAACAGCAAGACTTCTCTGAACTCGCCAACGCGGCGATTCAGACCATTGAAATTCACGAGCGCCTGACTATCAATCAGTGCAGTGATATTCTGATGGGAAAGAAGTACCAAAGGACGATTAACCCCCATCCTGATGATCCCCACGGCATCGCCAAGGGGATGAAGAAACATGAGATCGAGCGTATCCTGGACAGGCTCACAGCGGAAGAAGCTCTTGAAGAAGAGAATGTGGTGAACAAGAGGGCCGGCATTGCGATCCAATACCTCATTGTAAGTCATTATACTAGTCCAGTCCAACAAACATTGCTTATCCAACTAATTTACTCTCAGGTTGGTCGCAACGCTCACTTGTTCCTCAACGGGCGCCGCAAGTTGCTGTTGTCGGTTCAGGTTTCCGATAGGAATAGGGAATCGTCGGTACCAAAGCCCAAAAAGCGGGCTAAGAAGAGCAAGAAGGATGATGGGCAGGATCTTGACGAAGAATCGTTGAGACGCCTGCCACCTTCGACGAACGTATCTTCGCCTGCCCAAGTTCGGAGAACTCAGGACAAGAGGAAGAAGGGCAAATCCCTAGCGACCATTGTTGATTCCGACGAGGAAGACGAGATGTTGTTACAAGCCATGGAAGAACAGAATCTGTCCATGCATGCAAACGGGTATATCAAGGACGGCTTCGTCATGTCCGACAATGATTCTGACGATGGCTTCGAGCCACTGCCCAAGACCCGAAAGCGAGGAGATACCTCCAGGGGTCTCGGCCCTCGTATTGAAGGGGATGGACGTTTGGGCAGCCTTGATGAACTGCATCAAGACGTCGTGCACAACTTTGTCGAGGAGGCTAAGCATCTGGAAGAGTCGTTGCGCAACGCGCAGGGTCTGCGGAAACCTCTTTTTTCTGAGAAGAGTTTCCAGGAAATGGCCATTCGATGGACAACGACTCTGCCTCAGATGCGCCAGATCCCGGGGATTGAGGCGGAGAGAGTGGACAAGTTCGGCAACAAGTTCATTCCTCTGATCAAGCGCTTTCAGAGTAACTACAAGGCTATGATCAGCATTGCCGACGAAGATGAAGACATGGACGCGGGCGAGCAGGACGTGGTCGACTTGATCAGCTCTGACGAAGACGAGGACGAAGCCATGGAGGACGAGGAAGAGGGAGAGGAATCCTCAAAGTATTTTAGTAGCGGACCGCCTCCCCTCGTACCTGCCGTCCAAGAGTGGAACGAGCGAATGAGGGAACTAGACACGGCCCCTTCATCCCGAGCCCCATCGTCGAGCTCAGCACGGGGGCGCGGTGCGGGTGGCCGAGGCGGCCGGAGGTCAGGCTCTCGCAAAGGTTCTAGCACATGGGGAGGCTACAAAAAGCAAGGGGGCGGCGTTACCAAAAGAAAGGCCGCCGGCGGAGCAAGCAGGAGGAGCAGCGGTGGGGCAACCGCTTCAGGCTCGAAGAACGGATCTGTGACGAGCTACCTCACCAAAGGTGGAAAGAGAGGCGGAAGGGGAGGTGGCGGCATCGGGCTGATGCCGCACTGAGGCAATGAGAAAGGGGAGCAAATGGGACCGAAGAGACATGACAGACACGATTCAAACAACACTAGCCTAGCACTCGAGGCACGCAGGAGCCTGTTCTATTGCAAGGCACGGCTTTTTATGAAGCGGTTGGGAAAAGGAGATGGTGAGGGGGGATCCAAGCGAGAGACACGGTGGTTTCTTGTCCGTTGTGCATCTTCATGACGGCGGCGGCGGCGGCGAAGAAGCGGACGATTACGCATGACGGTTCCTTGGTTTCGCACGAGCAGGCGTTAGTCGGGTCATTAGGCATCATCATCTCTTCGGCGCAATATAGGCACACTTGGGCACTTTTTTATTATTATTGAAAAAACGTTGACAATGACCAAAGCGTCTCTCCCTTGGTGGGGGTACACCTCCCAAATATCTTGTGCACGTCCTCGTTCATGTTTGCACATTGTATCCCATGTGACCAGTGGCGACCAAATGGGGCGGCAGGCGTCGAATCTACCATGCACTTCGCGGATAGACGGTGGAAGGAGGGAGGAGGACCAAAGAAGGACGGTCTCGAAAATACGATTATCAATTTGCGTCTCTTCGCATAGCTAACTAACCGCTTCCATCCTCCCCGCAACGGTCACCATTCTCCCGCCTATGTCCATGAAGAAGAAGCCCGGTGTCGTATCGAGGGGGTATCGGGTCCGATTGGGAGGCCCAGCACATTCGTCGCAATACCAATAACATTTCCGAGTTTTCTCTGCTTTCTTGAGGGGTATAGCCTTTGCGTCCACTATTCCGAGTTCCTTCTCCGTCCTGCCTATTGTGACGGTTCACACTGGCCCCACGAAGTTGCTGTGCCAGATAACGCTCGAAACCAGACTCCATCCCTCCTTTCCTGGTATAATACTAAAAGACCGTCAGGCAGGCACTGACCTGCCTAGAATAAAAGAACGCCCGTCGACGGATCCTAACCCGACGCCTCGCAATAAAGCATTTGAAATAGAATCGTTCAGTGGCACTGCCGTGAATCCATCAAAGAGGGTATTCGAATATGTACAAGTTTACTTTTGTGTCGTGTGTCGAGGTCGCACTGAGCTTGCCTCGCTCGTCCGGAACGATTGTCGATTGTGCTCCTCAAGTCCGCCAGCGGGGTTTGCCTTTCGGAACTGCGACTGCTTCATACTGAGGTATCGCTGCCAATGGAGAACTGAATGCCCTCCTTTGCCTGGATAAGAGAGATTCCTAACCCCTCCACCGGGGCTTGTTGTTGTTGTTATTGTTGTTCGCTGTGCTCTTCGACAGCTCGGGAAGAGTTTTGCGCGTGGTGTTTCGCGAAGTTGTGCCCCCCAGGGGGGTTTCCCTGCCACTCATCACGCTGCTGGCCTTGGGCTGCGGCAAAAGACTGTTTCGTCGAGTGGATGCCAGGGAGCTCGCAGGGCGGCTAGGTACAGTTCTTTCGGCAAAAGAGTGTAGCTTGGGTGGTTGCAGAGATGCACGGCGGCTCGATTGGGACTCGAGGCCCGAGGTAGAGACGGACGAGGACAAGCGTGGTTTGGAGAGGGTCTGCTGGGAATACGGCCCAGGCGACGCCAAGCGCTCACGGAAGGAGAGTTTCGAGGGGGCTCGCTTAGTGGGCGTGTCCTCGGGCATGGGTGATGCGGATGACTCCCGAGTAAGGGAGTACGGAGGTTCGGCGCCCTCGAGCCGCCGGGTGAGCATGTCCCGGGGGTCAACGAGGACGGTGGCCGTACAACGGGGGACGTCTTCTTGGCATAGGGGCTGGGACATGTGAGGGTCAGAGGTTTGAAGTTGTGACCAATGCCAACGTCCGAGGTGTTGGTCGAGCTGTTCCATCTGGGACGGTTGGGTTGAGTTGACTGAGGTCTGGGGATGTTGCCTGCGGACGGTGTGCCGAGCCTGGACGGCATGTTTGACAGTCGAGAGTTCAAGGGCCTGCGCGACAGCTGTGAAGACGGCGTCGGCAACGATGACTGCCTCCTACCAGATGGCTGTGGCAGATGGCTGTTGGTGCTCATCGAGCGGTTCTTGGCAAACTTATTGGCAGGAGTCGTGGGCTCAAACCCGAGGCTCGACATGATGACGGAGGAGGGCGGAGAGCTCCCTGGCGTATCGCGGCCGCTGCCTATTGTTGAGCGATCATTCGACAACATGCTGGAGATGGAGTCTCTCAACTGCTGGCCGCGGGTATCCGCCTGCACCTCGTCCACAACCACGTCCATCTCTTTCATTTCGTCCTTGAGTGAGTCCCACTTGGACTGCATTTCAGCATGCAGGCGCAGGATCTCGCCGTTGACTGTCAACCGGTCCTTAACACCCTTGTCAATGATGGCAAGAACGCGCTCGATGGCTGGACCGTAATGCGTCTTCTTGGCGTCATAGCTCTCGATTTTCTTTATCATCGTGGGCGGGTTGCTCAGATGCATGCCGGCGTCGACAGCCTCCCTAAGCTTGAGCATCGATCTCTCGACCGACTCGATCATCTTCTGAGCCTGTCTTCCAGCGCCGCGGAAGACAATAACCCAACGGTCTTCACCCAATTCCTTGCGGAGAGATTCGGCATCCTTTTCCAGCTTTTTGTAGCTCCCGTCAAGACCGGTTCGTCGCATATCCAACTCTTCGCAGGCGGTAGGGAAAGACTTCTCCGCTCGAGCGGCGAAGACGGCGAGTCTCATGGGCAGGAAGTCCAGTGATGCGCGCAATGGCTGCATTCGGGCGAACAGGGCTAACAGACTTGAGTCGTCTTGCGACAGGGTGGGCGTTCCTGGCGAGGTTGATCCGGGGCTTAGCGGCAGGCCAGTAAGGCTGAAGCGGTTTTGCGCCTGTGTCCTGGTCATGGGCGGAGGAGTGTCGTCAACAATGTTCTCGAGGTCTCCGATGTCGACGCCATCGCCGCCAGCAGCAGCCATCAAAGACTTGTGGCGGCGTTCCTCCATCTCGAAAACCAGACGGCTCAGCTCGTCCATCTCGCTCTGGATATCACCAAGAACATTGTTCCATAACTCTTCCCACTCCATCGCAATTTCGACCTGTCCTTTGACGGTGTTCAGCGCCGCTTTGATATTGGCCCACTCTTCGATAATGGACTCCATTTGGGACACGGCGCGATGAAGGTCTTCGGGCGACACGTTACCAATGTCTTCGCGGCCTTGTAGCTCCTCGATGGCACCCACGTATACTTTGATCAACTTCTCAAAACGATGGATGGCATTTTCGACTTCCTCCAGTCCCTCTCGGCCACCCGCGGCGGCCCACTCGACGTCATCGTCGCTGTCCAGGCCACTGATGACCTCCGATGCCTTGTAAATCCAGCTCCTGATTTGTTCGGCGGCGTTGATGAGAGCTTTTGATGCGACTTGTGCAGTTGGGATGGCAGACACCTTGCTGGACAAGGACTCGGCATCAGGAAGTTGAAGTGACGTGAGTTGAGCAAGCTGGTTAGCGAAGGACGCGCGTGAAAGCGTGTAAATGGAACCAGGTCGCTGATGGCCGGGGTTGAAGTATGACGCAAGGTCGGGGGTGAACTCGGTTGCAGGAATGGGCGGCGTGTCTTTCGGAGGCGGAGGTGGTGGTTGTTCAGAGGGGGACTGAGCGGCGCTGCGTTCAAGATGTTCGCGTCGAGTTTCGAGTTGGACCTTGGTGCCGTTTCCATTAGTGTGGTCGGGCAGGCGGTATTTATGTGTCTCCATGTCCAAAGGTTCGGTTGTTGTGATCTCGGGTAAGACGAGAGACGCGCCCTGGGCAACGTCTAGTGAGGACGACGATACCCCAGTGTAGGGCTCTTCTCTCGAGGCAGTCGAGGATGCGGTTGTTGGTCTCGGATCGTCGGATGATGTGATGCCCTTCCACGGGCGACCGCGACGATGGATCCTGGACCCGAGGGAACTCGCCTTGTGATTCTCGTCGATTTGGCGGATCTGATCTTCAGGCAAACGCCCAATGTGGTCTTGCTGCGTAAGATCGTGGTTTGCTGATTTCTTGTGAGAGGTGAAGCCAAGCGCTTTCAATCGCGCGGCGAGGTTGGGCGAGGGTTTGCGAGTTTGTTTTGTTTTGGTTGTTTTGGGCGAGCCGAACGGTGTAGTGCTTGCGGATTGCGAAGTTGTCGGGTGGTCGTGGGCTGCGGCTGCGGGCGGTTTGTAGTCGGTCGGCAGTTTGTTTTGGGTGGTGTCGACGGTGTTGTTGTTGTTTACAACGTGGGAGGGCGGGTTTAACTGGAAAAGTTGCGGGTTGGAGACGTCAGAGAAGCCCAGGTCTAGGTGTGCTGGAGCAGCGGTATTCTGGGCCTGTACTGAGTCCTGTGCATGCTGTGGGCGCTGTAGTTGGTGGCTGGAACACAAGACCCTGGTTGAGACGGTAGCAGCGTCGGCGGTCGCAGCGTCACTGCAAGTGGCCTCTGGCTCTGCAGCTGACGCTACCTCGGCCGACATTTGTTGGTATTGTTTCGTGAACGAACCTTCAGTCAAGACTCCAACCCCGTTCCGTTCTGGCCTTGGCGTCTTCAGCCGGCCTCGCGTGCCTCCGGGGAGACAGATACGTCGTGCCGCTCGCTATGCTGCGAGACTGTACCGTACGTGTCCGGTCGGAGGCGGGTGTCAACGACTGAGTTGGCTCGTGGGTAGGCTGGGTCCGGTGGTCCTGAGCTTGAGTAATAACTGGGTCGTTGACTGATCCTCGCCGGGTTCAGTCGGGTCTCCCGCAGACCGTCGAATGAGAAGGACCGATGAGCGGTGCTGGAATGCTGAGAATGCTGGATGCCTGAGCGAACTTGTCAAGCGCACTGTTGTCAGTGCCTTAGTGTCGGTGGGGTTCGGCGACAAGGGGAGTCTGGGGGGAGCCGGTGGACGGGAATGCAGTCGCTATTGGAGGAGCAGACGTGGATGTATGTGCGCTGCAGCAGGATGCCGTTCGTTGCTGGCGTGGTTCTTTGGGCGATTACGCGGTTGGGTTGGGTTGGGATGCAGAGAAGTAGGTAGCAGTACCCGTCAGGCAAGGTGTGAACAAGTGACCGTCTGGTCTAGCCTAGGATCGGCAAGGTGGGTGTTAGAAAAGTGATGAGGTAACGGGTTTCGCAACGTAGGAAGTGCCTTGGAGTTCGGAAACCAGGAGGCAAGAGAGAACGTGGCGGCGGATCGATTCGCAGCCGGCAGATTATCAGTTCGGCCTGTACCTTAATCGGCGTCCATTGCCTGGATCCGGCCGCGTGCGATCCTGCTGGGTTGGTCCTTGCTCGAGCGCAAGCGTTTTAGAAGAAAGACGTAGGAAAGAAAACGAGTGGTAGAGAGCGTTCGTTGAAGCGATGAGCGGAAGTATCGCTTCCCTAAGGTATCCGGATGTTGCAACAACTTGGAAAGACAAGAAAGAAGGAGGGAAGGGAAGAAGAGATAGAAGGATCGGAGCAGCAAAGAATGCTGTAAAACGGGACGAGAGGGAATGACGACGAAAGTCAAAAAAAACCGTATAGCTGTTAGTCAACGCGAACAAGAGAAAGAAAGCACTGGCCAGAATAAGGAAAGAATGTGCGCGACAACGACAGCGTGTGAGAGCGAGAGAGAAAAGAAAACGAGCGGCATCCGAAATGCAGGCAAAAAGTCCAATCGAACCGATTTTGGGGGGAACGAGTCGGGATGGGATGGGAGGGAAGGGATGGGCTACGACGCAACAAGACAAAACACAGGACACAATACCTGGTCCTCCTTTCTTCTCTCCTCCACCCCACGGCATCCCGCGGTGGTTCTATTGATTTTGCACGAAGTTACGGATGCTACCTCGAGCTAGCTCCAACGCAAGGCGCCTTGCACTCTGGAGCTCTACTCGGCTCCTCGTCCCCTCCGGCTATGCCTACGTCGACTGCTCGCCTCTGTCGACACGAGGAACTCAACCTGGCACAGATTGAGTGCAACAGGGGGGGGGGGGGGAGGGGGGGCAAGTCAAGCAAACGCCCCATGTCTTCTTCACTTTCCATTTACCTCAGAATATCCCCCTCCGCATACGCCGCGGCAGCCAGTCATGCCCAAATATCGCCGTACGGTAACCTACAAGGGGTGAGCACAAACATCTCCCTCAACCTTAATGGAACCAGGCGACTTCCCGTCCCAGTGGTCATTGGAACTCTCTCCATGGCCTTGGGCAATGAAACGCCCGTTGAACCCTCTCTGCACGTATGCTTCCTGTTTGATCATTTGCTGCAAGGGAGACGACTCGCTCACAACTCGGTTCGTACCTAACTTTTCTAGAGCCAACGGGGGTTGTCGCGGGAGATATCCTCATATCCATGCCTCCCTGGCCGTTGGTCGCCATCTCCCTCAGTGTTTGGCCATTCTCGCTTTGTCATTCACCGGTAAGTCACAACGTCAAAAATGACCTTCACTACAAATGGAGCCCATGATGTAGCCGTCTGTCACCCTACGCCAGGACTGTGGCTTGGATGGAATCGATGGCTGCCATCCACGAGGGCAGTAAGTAGTGCCCTATTCAACGGCTGACGCACCAACCCTTTGCTTCACGTCCCGCACGTTCGCCCACCGAAGAACATGGTGACAACGGAGGAACGATTAGCCGCCAGACCGGTGATGACCTTTCCCCCCTCGTTGGTCACGAACCAAGAGTTCATTGCCCCTGGCACCCGGGGCCCCGAGGGTTCTTCTAGTGGGCCACCACGTTGCCACAGACAGGTCTAATGAGCGAGCCTTTGCCATAAGTTATTTCCGCAAGTTACGACGTTGCAGCGGCATCACCATTTGCGGCAGTCGAAGGCCTCCTCTCTCAGCCAACCTAGGCGCAACGACCGACGGTGTTCCCAGTTCTGGACTGGTCATGCTCCAGCTAGCCGGGAGCCCTGGCATTTCGGAGGCTCTTGGAAGATTGGATGAGCCAGGGGGGGACCCTGCGCTTTGGGTCGGCGGATCGGGGCCCGTGAGCCGTGGGCCGTGGGTCATGGGCCCCTCCCTTCTCTGCGCACAGTTCCAGAGAGCTGGCTGGACATGTGTTCTTGACTTCTTTGTCCAGGGTGATGATGGCGGCGTTGCATTAAATGCGGGTTGGCTGGACAATGTTTCTCGTGCGTTTCAAAGTATTACCAGCAAAGGTCGCCTTGTGTTTCTTGCACATGCATGCTGACTTGTTTGAAAGCAGCGTACGTAGCATTTGTTTCTGGTTGGCCGTGACGCAATGAACCAGCATCGGAAGAGGCTTACTCTGCACACTTTCGTGTGGTTTATATGCTTTGATAACGGTGCTATCGAATGGAGCCGCAGGCTACTGCTGCATATCACTCTGCATGTTAAGCCGTCAAGCCGTCTGACTTATGCAAGGGCCAGGCACATTTCACACTAGTTACCATATTAGGTAGGATGAATATCTCCGGGTCTAGCACCATGTAGTCCCGGGCTCGAGACGGATATTAGGCAGCTGAGTAGTGCAGCAGCGCCGATCGGTGTTAGGAGTAGTGAGTGGAGACGTTATTTCCATTACCGACATGGAGTTGGGTTGGCACCATTGCTTGCATATCACTTGCATTACCGGAATCTCTAGGGTTAGAATGGGAGTCGGGCGAACGAGATGCGAGGAACGAGAAAATGGAATACTGGCGTGCTCCAAACGGGAGAGAACTATCTTGGGCCGAACTGGAATCGAGGGCCTCGGGCAAGCAAGACAACAAGCCACCGTCCAGAGACTGGCGACATGCTCCTTTCTTTTCCCCGGTTTACCTAATTGGGTTTCAACACGGGTTCTCACTTGCAGAGTTCCACCAGCTCTGGCTATGATTGCTCGGTGGCTAGTGTCAAACCCTTACCCATCCATATAGGTACTATGAGGCACCTGGATCAACATTGACCAATCTATCGGGTGGAAGAAAAGTGCGCCGCCCTCTGATATCTTACAAGATTCCTTCATCGACCCTCAACCATAATACATACATTTTGCCAAATAAAAGTCGAACAGGATGGACTTACAGATTTCTCCTATTGTATGGATACTGATTTTGTTATTCTAACACGCTTCTTTGGTACTTCAGGGTGGTGCTTCCTGTTGGTACTAACAGAAACCGGCACGTTCATATTTCACCCAGGTGTCAATGGCAAGTGCAACACACTGTAGGCTGCTGTTACGGCCCAATTGCACAGTTCAGACATACGAGTATGATTCCCTCCTCTGACAATACGTCAATGAGAATGTTGCGCTAGATCGACGCCGAAGATCATTCGGCCAGCGGACGGAGATTGTAAAGATAGTCTATGCGCGACAGGGTCAGACAGGGGGCCACGGTCTGGAGAGGACACGGGAAAGGCCGGGCCGCTGGTAGTAGGTGCGGATAGGGCGACGAGGGAGGGAACGAAGGAAAGGGGGAAGAAAATGCCCTTGGTGCCATGTGGCCGAGGTTGCGCAAGAGCGATGTTTCGATTCGATTCGATTCCCCAGCTTGAGGTGTCGTTCTCGCGATTTGCTGGAGCCTGAGAGATGCTTGTTCGCCGATCAACCACTGGCGCGTTGCCAGCCCGGATAGAGAGAGGGAATATCAGCATGGGATTGCCTGAGGATTTACGTGCGAGCGAGCGAGGGGGTGTCCGGCTAATCTCGATGTCGGGAAACACGGAGGGCAGTTTTGGCGGAATGAGATTATCCACTTGTGCGCTTTGTTGGCCGGGCGAGTCGCTGGATATTGAATCACAATGTGAACGCCTGATGTTGAGAATGCAATTGCCACGGGGAATTCGACTGGACGACAAGGAGCGGCAGGCGGGATACAAGGAGGAACAATCTCTACTAGAGCTGCCTTGGGCCCATGTGACACAGCTTTTGCGGCATCAGAAGTCTTGGGTTGCTTATCGATACATGTCTTGCTGCAGCTTGCTGCCTACCTCGCTACCTGTATCTGTATATCGTTGCTGAGTTGACATGAACAAGTTCCCTGCAGACACACCTAGTTGAGACTCCCCATGTCATTGACTTGGTTTCCTGGTGCATCGTGCAAGTGAATAAAAAGACGACGGTCCCCTCTTGTCGAGGCTTGTGATATGCCAATTATCAAGGTTGATTCAATCGCTCAGCTGCACTGCCTAACATCCCCCCACATTACACGCCCCAAGTGCAGAATTTCAGGTTCTATTCTATCTTTTTGTTGCCCTCTAAAAGACACAGAGGCTTTCTTTGACAACCGTTGGGTTGAGATCCTACACCGAACGAGGAGATTGAATCCAGAGTGTGGTATATCCGTCTCTGTCCCCCCCCCATCGCTTCTCTTCATAATTACACCAAGGCGCCCGGACAGTGGAAGAGCAATAAGACACCAGACCAACCAGTGGGATAGGGCAGAACAAGTCCCGGTCCATTCCCACTTTCCCCTGTCCTTTCCTTTGCAACTGGAGCACCCCACATTTGGAGACGACGCGACGTTCAATTTAAACGGTCCCCTCCCCTTGGCCACCCGCGCGCGCCACTCTATTGGACCCCCAATTTGCCCGCTGGAGACTTTTCTGTCATCAAAGAGGGAGATTCGCCCTCGGTCCTCCCACGGGAAGTCAGGGAGTTCCGCTGACGCAACTGGGACGAGCATCCAGACCAGCGACCAAACACACCCGCACCGTACCGTACCGCACTGCTGCCACTTGCACTCTCACCTGCTGCTGTGGCCACACCCAACACAAACCCCTGACGCTCAAAGGTCGCGTCGTGTCACAGCTCCAGGGACAGGCACACAACCCTTTCCCTTCTCCTCCTGAGCCCACGGCCACGGCCCTTCCTTTCGCCTTACCGTTACCGAGCCGGGCCTTTGACCTGGGGTGTTTACCGGCCGGGGTGTTAGTCCAGAAGTAAACTTTCTCTGTTCCGCTTCGTCCAACCTGACCTGCCTGACTTTCGTTCCTTGGGCCTTCACCTTTTACGAAGCCACTTGCTCTACCTTCCCTCGAACCACCAGCACGCGTTTCTTCGTCACAACCTCCTTGCCAGTCGACTTCTGGACGCTGCTGTGCACCCAGTCTCACCGGACGGCCTGATACGCAATCCTTTTCGCTCTGTACATACCTAATTGCGACATTGGTTGTCTTCGTTCCCCTCACGTTGCCTAGCGCCCGTAGCTTGAGCCCGCCTATCGACGCTCAGCTGAGACGAGACAACAGCATATTCCCATCCGATCGCTACAGTACCCTCTGACGGCTCTGTTTAAAACCCCAGGGGTCAAATCCTCTACTGCCCCCCGCTTCTTGAGCCGAACCGAACACTCGACTTTTTACCAACCCGGAATCATGGCCACGGCAAATGAGGAACCGCCTTCTTTCCGACGTGACTCGCCCTCGCCCGAGGCCTCCCCGACTCCAGCTATCGGCGCTTGCCCCGAGCTATCCCGCTGCGTGTCAACGGCCTCCTCTGTCTCCCACGGGTCCGCCACCGACGGCGCTTCTCGGGACTCCCTCGGAAGCGTCCAAAGCAGCACAAACTCCAGGCAGTCCTCCGGAGCCTACAGCCGTCGCTCCGATGTGAGTTTCGCATCCTCTCGGCAGTCAACATGCAGCAACAAGGAGGCCGGCGTCGGCCGCTCTTCCAGCCGGCGCCGTGGATTCGTCCGGCCGCAAGGAACCGACTTCGCTGCGAGCGCCCGGCACAGAGAGAGCGTCCTGAGCCTGGGAAGCATCGCCCATCTGCAGTACTACTTTGCACGCACCGGCCTTCTTGACGGCAAGGGCGCCCAGCTGGCAAGGAAGAACAAGGCCAAGGGAGGACTGGATCTGTCGTCGGTCAGCAGCTCGAGCTCTTCGTCGCCAAGGATCGTTGGTTCGGAGGGAAACAGCCCGGAACTTGGTTCTCACCCCTTTGACACCGGGCCGATTGTGGAATCGCCCACCGAGGACCATGATTACTATTCCGACGATTTCGACGAGCCTGACCCGGATGTTTTGCCACCCACCGCCAGCACCTACATCTATAGGGACAAGCCGGTCCCTAAGCCGCCGACGATACAGGAGCTGAAGGCGGACCTGACAGGGTCTCTTGAGAAGGCGGCCGCGGCAACGAGGCATGCCAAGGCCAACAAGGAGCCTCTGCCGGAAATACCCCCAAGGAAGCAGGATGCTCAGGCCACGCCCAAGAAGGGCCAGGGCCAGGGCTGGCACGAGGTCCAGGGCATGCACATTCTTGATGTCATGACGCTGGCGATTCGTGCGGCTAGGAACTATTACACGGCTCACGAGGTCCCGGAGCGGTTGGACGCCATCAAGTCTGAAAAAGAGATTCGCGCAGAGCTGTTATCCGTCATGGAAACCCTGAAGCAGATGGCGACCCGCAATTGGGCCGGCGGGATGAAGGACGAGGAGCTTCGCGTTCTGGACTCTTGGATCCAGGGGCTGTTCGACATGCTCAAAAAGGAGGAGGAGTTGGTGGAGGTCGAGAAGGCGCAGCGCAGCACCTGGACCTGGCTTTCGGGCGATTGGACCGGCAAGGAAGTCGAAAGGGAACTGGCCTTCATGACGTCGCTCGATCCCGGGGCCGGTCCTCTGTCCGAGTACACTCCCGCGGCCGACGCGACCGAGTTGCCTACGCCCTTCCTTGAGAGTCTGCAAAACGGCATCCGGCTCGTCGAGCTGCACAACGCGGCGGTCAAGAGGTCGAAACGGCGGTTCGGCTTGATCACCACGTTCCACACCGACACGGACAAGCCGTACCGATGCGCCGACAACATCCGCTACTGGGCCAAGGCAGCAGAGCTGCGCTGGGAGGTCTTCCTGAAGGTGGACGCTCTCGGCATCGTCTACAACAACTCTCCCGAAGTCTGGGTCAACTTCGAGAAGGCCGTCATGGCTTGGAGCCGCAAGGTCCGCGAGGAGATCACATCCGAACTCCTGGGTTGAGTTGCGAGTCACCACCTGCGGCCGTCGTCGTTACGATTAATGCACCCCCTCAATACCCGTCTTTTTTCTGGAGTTTTTATCGTGGATCTTGGAATCTCTTTTGTTGCATTTTTTACCCCTGGGAGGACTGCAATCTGCGCAATGCGCATACGCATATACACCCTTACGCATCTTATCGCATCAATACCTAGTTCCCAAGGCAGAGTAGATCTGAGTATGAGACGTTGGCCCGTTGTTATCAAAAATACAAGACAGGGCATTCAGGCGTTGGACAGTCATTTGTTACCATTCATAGTACATACTTGGAGGTTGTTCCTCCCAATTGATATTGGCACACGATAGATCAGCCCATTCCCACCGTTGACATGTGACACTACGGAAGTGCCTTCCCTTAGAGATAACTCATTCAAATAGGTCTTGAGCATTACGAGGCTTGTTCTTTGATCCATGATGCGTCTAATACGATTCTTTGCTTCCTTTGCAAAGACAGGCAGATGGATGAATGCTTGCTGAAGCGACAGGGGTTATCCCGGGACAACTATTTTCCGATGCCGAGGTGGCAGCCAATTGTGGCCTGGCCGGCAGAGCTTCGGTGGCAGCAGGGGTGAGGCGCTAGTCGGAGCTGAGCCGTGCTTTGTGGGAGGCAGAAGGCTGCAGTGGGAGGTACGTCGACACCTCAACCTCCGAAAACAACGATCCGATTACACAACAAGCTATCCACCACCGACCGACCGATCAACTAACCCTCCCAAACCCCGAACCCGACACTTTCGCGCCGCAGCCAGTCTGTCCGTTACCTCGACAAGAAGCTCGACGGTCTGCCTATTTCTTTTCTTTACCTTTTCTCAGTCACATAACCAGGGATGTCTTCCGACGACGAACGCCAGAAGGCTCTCGACTCCTACCGGAACAAGCTGCTCGAATCCCGGGAGTGGGAGGCCAAGCTCAAGTCCCTCCGGCTCGAGATCAAGGACCTGCAGAGGGAGTTTGACAGAACCGAAGACAACATCAAGGCGCTGCAGAGCGTCGGACAGATTATCGGCGAGGTCCTGAAGCAGCTCGATGACGAAAGATGTAAGTGGAAAGCATTCCCGGCCGTCTTCCGACCTTGGGTCTACTCGCATCACCCGCCCCGCCACAATCGTCGCCGCCCACACAAGCCAACCCCCTAACAAAGCAAGAACAAACCCGGCTGACCACCGCTCTTACCCTCTGAACAGTTATCGTGAAGGCGTCGTCCGGTCCCAGATATGTCGTCGGATGCAGATCAAAGGTCGACAAGGTCAAGCTCAAGCAGGGCACGCGGGTGGCTCTCGATATGACGACACTCACTATCATGCGCATGCTTCCCCGAGAAGTCGACCCCCTCGTCTACAACATGTCGCTGGAGGACCCCGGCCAGGTCAGCTTCGCCGGCATTGGTGGCCTCAACGACCAGATCCGCGAGCTGCGCGAGGTCATCGAGCTGCCGCTCAAGAACCCCGAGCTCTTCCTGCGCGTGGGCATCAAGCCGCCCAAGGGTGTCCTGCTGTACGGACCCCCGGCACGGGCAAGACGCTGCTCGCCCGTGCTGTGGCGAGCAGTCTCGAGACCAACTTCCTGAAGGGTGAGTGCGACGCAGAACAAAACAAGACCTGGGACGCGGCATGCTAACAGCGGCGAACACAGTGGTCTCGTCAGCAATCGTCGACAAGTACATCGGAGAGTCTGCCCGCCTGATCCGCGAGATGTTCGGCTACGCCAAAGAGCACGAGCCCTGCATCATCTTCATGGACGAAATCGACGCCATCGGCGGTCGCAGATTCTCAGAGGGAACTAGTGCGGATCGCGAGATCCAGAGAACGCTGATGGAGCTGCTCAACCAGCTCGACGGTTTCGACTACCTCGGCAAGACCAAGATCATCATGGCGACGAACCGGCCCGATACCCTCGACCCCGCCCTGCTCCGTGCCGGACGCCTCGACCGTAAGATCGAGATCGCCCTGCCGAACGAGGTCGGCCGCCTGGAGATTCTCAAGATTCACGCCTCCGGCGTGGTGACGGAGGGCGAGATCGACTTTGAGAGCGTGGTGAAGATGAGCGACGGACTCAACGGTGCGGATTTGAGAAACGTCGTCACAGAAGCGTAAGTCGTCCCGTGACCCCCCGCCTGCCTAGTCTACAGAACAGCAGCGGCTAACACGGAAACACAGCGGCCTGTTCGCCATCAAGGACTACCGAGATGCGATCAACCAGGACGACTTCAACAAGGCGGTGCGCAAGGTCGCCGAGTCGAAGAAGCTCGAGGGCAAGCTCGAGTACCAGAAGTTGTAAGGTGGCGGAGCGTCTCGTCAAGGCGGATCACAGGGGAGAAGGAGGGAGAGAACGCACGCGAGGGGGGCAGAACCAAAAGAAAACAGACATTTGCAAGGACGGCCGGGACGAAGCATCATCGGGCCTTGGCCGCCTTTGGGGTCTTTTTTTTCTTTTAATGTGTTAAACAATGTACAATACCCGAGTCCAAGGTTTGGGGTTGTTTGCAAAGGGGGGATCATAGAGACGCACGGCGTGGAATAGAGGCAGCTATGAGGGTCCCAAGCATCGGCATTGCACGCTTGCGTAAACCAGACACGCCCGTCTTTCGCGATGGTCGAGTTTCCCGTGCCTCGACATGATGTGCCTCTCTGCGCGTGCCCTGACGACGTTAATCTGTTCAGGGGTTCTCCGGCAGCACGATGTGCTTCTGGGGCATATACCCTGCGGCGAATGCCAGATCAGGGGACTTCTCACCTTTGCGCCCTTCCGTATGTTTCCCCTGTCCGTGTATTTTAGGGCGAAGCGACCGTACCGGGGTAGCGGAAGGTGCGAAGCTCCGTTCTTGAAGCTATTGATGATGCACAGCCTCGACTGGACTAGGGGGAGGCTTGGTACGGGAGCTCACCCGGCGCCACGTGCCGCAGTACTGACAAGAGGCACAGCGTAGACCCTCGACAACGAAACAAAACAAAAAGACTAATTTGGAAGTTCTCGCTTTCTCCTCCGCGTAGTCCACCTCGAGGCGCGGCGAGCAAGCCGTATTGGACGACGACGACGACGACGTTGTCGGCGGCGGCGACACAGGCCTCCCGAACATCCAATAGACCCGGTGTAAGCGTAGGGCTGGGGAAACGGAACAGGGGCGTGTGCGGTGCACCTTGAGCCACAGGTAGCTGAGGGGGTGGGTTTAGGTGCCTTTTTCGAACTTGCCTGCTCAATTGCCAGCTCGCCAGAGAGAGAATCTTACATGATATCTCTGTTTCTTACAATAGCAGCTTACACCAGAATGCAGAAGAACAGACGGAAGCACATGCTTGCGATCCTGTCTGACGGGACAGCCGGCTAAGGGACGGGGTCGCACATTGTAAGCCTAGGAGGATCGCAGGTCTGGTCCTGCATCTGTAATTCGACAAGTCCGACCTGCCGTGCAAAGGAGGCTGTCGGGCTTTGCTGCATGCGGACAGCGGGGCTCTAGCTGAGACCACATCATGTCATGGGCGATTTCGCACGGCAACGAATGGCGACAAAAGGTCAGCCACATGCTTTCGAAGCGAGTAGCGCCCCGTGAGACTGGGGATGAGCGGACGACCGGGCGACTGCAAGCGGGATGTCCACTGCGGGCGTCTACCATGGTTCATGGCAGCATCGCAGACTCTTCTGACGGCTCAGGTCTGGATGGATTTTTCGCACTCGAAAATGCTGAAGTCGTTGTGGTGCTACGGGACCATAACCATGTGACCTGTAGCTCCCCATCACATCCTTCCGAAGTCAGGGACCGTGGAACATGGTATCCACTTTGGAATCTGACATCAGAAAGCTTTACATACCACCTAGGCTGCAAAACTGGGTAGCGCGACGAGCGGCTATGAACACGCGCGCTCGACGCTGCCAGCCCTCGGACGGGTCACAATTGCGTACGTGCCTCGGCCGGGTGGATTTGCCGCACGCTTCGAGAAGATCTGGGTCGTTAAGATGGAGCGGCGAGATGGGTGGTGGCATTGGAAGATGCCAGATGGTGATTTGCAGGAGAGCCCGACCTAGCAGGGTTCTCTCCTCAGTGCGGGTGGTTATTTTTGGCCATTTTATACGGAGTGCACGACAGGTCGCCCCTTTCTGGGCCCGTTCTTGCGATGGCCATTGAGGCTGTACCTGTCTTAGCGCGTAGCTCTCTTCTCTTCTTTTTTTTCTCTCTTCCTCTTCGTACCTGAACCCCCCCCCCCCCCCCCCCCCCCACACCCTCTCCCCCTGGATGACCCCCCTCCATGGGTGCAACCAGCAACGCAACGGAGCCAAGCAGCAAGAGTTGGTAACCAGGGGATCCGAGCTTGGGATTTCTCGTCGCCTGCCGTTGCAGTGCCGACGATCCCCACTGGATTCTTTTTAGCGCTTGACAAACAAGGTGTCCGTACCCAGATGATTGGAGACCGGGACTGGGCAATACGAAACGGAAGGGGTCGAGAAAGCGATGATGTCGGCGATGGAACCCTCGAAAAAAAAGCGATGGAGGGTAGGGTCGGGAATGACGAAGGCAGGTAGCCGTCCGCATCAACACCCAAGAAAAAGGGGATGCCTTTGAGGCAACACCAAAGAGTCTGATGGCCGAATCGGGAGGACTTGCGACGAAGACGTTGAGCTAGCGGCAGCTTTGCTTTTGTCTCGTTTCTTGTTTCTGCCTGCCCAGCTGCCCCCTTTCTTAGGCTTGGTTTCGCTGCCGCGGTTCCTTGGTTGGGTATAAGTCGCAGCGGTTGTTGGGATAAGGCGGTCTTGGATCGGATTTTGGGGTTGAAGTGAGAAAAGGATTGGATGGGGTTGGGGGGCACCAGGCACACGGGACGAGCACGTACTGGGGGCGTGTCCGCGAAAAGTAGGTTGTTAGCAGGCAAGGTAATCTACGGAGCAAGCTAGAGAGTAGCAGAGCTTTGGGCGTTGATAGTAGGCGGGTTGATGAGGCGTCACCTCAGCGGGCTGGTAGACGAAGGAAGAGGACGCCAGGCATGGCATTTCGCGGATTGATGATATACCGTGTACGTGAAGGATCAAGGTAAGATGCAGTCAGAATCAAGGAAGATGAGGTGGGACTCAAAGCTGCGATGCGGCAGAAGGAGCTGACTGAAGCTTGGCCAACGTGGTGCCTGCTTGGTGCCGAGTTTCATCAAAAGCTGGCCTAGTTTGGAAAGCGCGGCGTGAGGTGGTGGCGGCAGATGCAGCGACTTGTTGTGGAGCGGTCTTGCTTTCCTACCTAGCGGCCGGTTCTGGAATGGAAGCGACGAGAACAGAGAGAGTTTGATAGATGGTTGGCTATATCGACTTTCACCCATGCGACTTGGGTGTCTGCAGAATTACCAAAGAACAGAAGGTATCGCAAGTGTTCAAATGTTCTGATTGCGCTGGGCGGATCGACCCTTCGCCCGACAAGGACTACTGTATCCGTAACAGCTGGTTTAGATGAACAAGCAAGCCTTCTCCAGAAGTGAGATATTGCGGCGGTACGTACCGATGGCGATCTCTCAAACTAGTGTAGCAGCCGGATGGCTCAGCCAGGGAATGGCGCCACAGCCCAGGAAAGGAAGGGGGGCTTTGAGGAGAGAGGCGGCGGACATGGACACTGAATGGAGGTGAAGACGGGAGGAAGTGAGTGGTGGGCGGGCTCTCGCTCCTGCGTCCGCTGCGCCTGCCGTGGGTGAGAAGAAACAAGTCAGAGACAGCTTGCGAGTAGGATCCTGGCCAGTCAACAGTCCAGATTAGACAACATGTCAGTTCCTGGACGATATTTTCCGTCGAGCTGGAGACAAACGGATTTCGCCGGGATGGGCCTACTCGGAGATATGCAGTCAACTCAAGGTTCTAAGGAGAATCGCGATGCTGTTGCTGCAGGCAAGTGGTGCCAGCAGTAACTGCAGCTGCTTTGTTGTTGCCGGTGAGGTGGGGGCCTTTCCATTTGGGGCCCTCCAGAAAACCTGCCCCTCACTTGCTGCATTCTCAGCTCGTCGACAGGCTGGCCAGGCACAGGTCCGTGTTTTCCTTTCTTTCCCTGGTCCATGCCGCTCCCTGAACGCAGGTAGGTGCCTTTGCTGCCCGCTGCTCCATTTGAACCCAGATCCATTCCTGTTGCCCCGGCGCCTGCTCTCCGAGTCTTGACATGTTTGTATGCTACCCCTAATCGCGATATGTCAGACAACACTGAATGGAGTCTTTGGGGGTGAAGTCACTTGCCATCCAACGCGCCCCAAACAACCAATGCAACTTAGCAAAGACCATATGGACACTGTACCTTGCCCCTGTGATAGCCCCGGCATCCAGACTAACAAACGAAAACGACGACAAAACAATGCCGTCTTTTTCACTACTGTAGCAAGACACATGAACAAACCCGGTGACCTCAATATGGGAAATAAAAGCTTGCATCGTCCGTACCCCAGCCCCAGCGTCTACCTAGACTGCCCACGCGTTCGGAGCCTCATCTTCTTCACTGGCCGAAGATCCAAGGCAGCTAGGCTCTTGCTTGACGTCTACCTGCCAAAACCGCCCAAGACATCTTCCAGTATTCTCAGGACAAACTTCACCAATAGCCTGTGCAATTGCTTCTGACAGTCCCGATTCCTTTCCATTCAGCCTAGGCGAAAAAAAGGTAGTCCAATATCGTCCACGCAACAAGTACGGATTCAGTGCAAGGGATTTAGTCCTCCCACCTTGGCTTCATCCCCCTTCTCGCCCTCGTCCTCGTACCTCACCCTCAACCCGTCCCGCCCCGCGCCCTCTCTGTCATCCGCCGATACGAGCACGCCCCTGTCACACCCCGCCCACCACCACCCACCTCCACGCCTCTAGGCGCTACTGCGTATTCTCTCCACGTACACAATACACTCCCCTCTCTCGCTCTCCAGCCCGTCGACCAGCAACACATAAAGCTGCTCAGCTCCCACCTCCTGAACTTGCTTTGCCCTGCTCATTCTCTCTCGACTCAACTATCCATCTCTCTCGCTCTTCTTGATACCCCACACCGCCTCCTCCACGACCCAGTCTCTGACTCTCTTTGCGAATTGCTCTTTTACGTTTTTGTCGGGGTCTTCTATTGCGTTGAATCAATATGTGGTACGTCTACCCCCAATCCTCTCCCCGCTCCCCAGCAAGCTTGCCCGCAGCCTGTGTCCCCCCTCCACATAGCTTTTCACCAGCTGAAGAGGGGACCGGGACGGCAGCCACAAAGGCAATTGGCATCTCAGTAAGCAGTAAGCTGACGGGAACCTCCTGATAGTGGCATTTTCGGCTACGTCAACTACCTGGTGGAGAAGGACCGGAAGTTCATCCTCGACACGTTGGTGAACGGTGAGTACACCGCCTCCCCCTGAACAACTCCAATTGGAGCCTCTGAGCTCCACTCACTCCTGAGAACCTTTTGGCTGACAAGTTGCTGCCTCCCCCAGGTCTGTCTCGTCTCGAGTACCGCGGATATGACTCGGCCGGTCTGGCCGTCGACGGCGACAAGAAGAACGAAGTCTTTGCCTTCAAGGAGGTTGGCAAGGTCGCCAAGCTTAAGGAGCTCATCGCCGAGTCCAAGGTCGACCAGACCAAGTACTTCGACTCACATGCCGGCATTGCCCACACTCGCTGGGCTACTCACGGACCCCCGTCTCGTCTGAACTGCCACCCCCACAGGTACGCGTGCACTTCCTCGAGGACAACAGCAAACTTTCTCCGTTGAGCCTCCTTCCACGCCATTGACTCTGGAACTAATAACATCTCCTTTGTAGATCTGACCCTACCTGGGAGTTCACCGTCGTCCACAATGGTATCATTACCAACTACAAGGAGCTCAAGACTCTCCTGAGCGCCAAGGGCTTCAAGTTCGAGACCGAGACCGACACTGAGTGCATTGCCAAGCTCGCCAAGTACCTGTACGACCAGCACCCCGAGGTCGGCTTCACAGACCTGGCCAAGGCTGTCATCAACGAGCTCGAGGGTGCCTATGGACTGTTGATCAAGTCCGTCCACTACCCTCACGAGGTCATTGCTGCCCGCAAGGGTTCTCCCCTTGTCATCGGTGTCAAGACCCAGAAGCGCATGAAGGTCGACTTCGTCGATGTCGAATACTCCGAGGAGGGTGCTCTCTCTGCCGAGGCCGCCTCTCAGAACGTTGCCCTCAAGAAGCAGGACAACTTCTTGAACCCCAACGCTCTGCTGGGTGCCCCCGACAAATCCCTTCTGCACCGCTCGCAATCGCGCGCTTTCATGACCGACGACGGCATGCCCATGCCCACCGAGTTCTTCCTCTCCTCTGACCCCTCCGCCATTGTCGAGCACACCAAGAAGGTCATGTACCTCGAGGACGACGACATTGCCCACATCCACGAGGGTTCGTTGAACATCCACCGTCTTAAGAAGGCTGATGGCAGCTCCAACGTGCGGACCATCCAGACCCTCGAGCTCGAGCTCCAGGAGATCATGAAGGGCAAGTTCGACCACTTCATGCAGAAGGAGATTTTCGAGCAGCCCGAGTCCGTCGTCAACACGATGAGAGGTCGTCTTGACATTGCCAACAAGACCGTCACCCTCGGTGGTCTCCGCTCCTACATCTCTACCATTCGCCGCTGCCGCAGAATTATCTTTATTGCATGTGGCACTAGTTATCACTCGTGCATGGCCGTTCGTGGTGTGTTTGAGGAGTTAGCTGAGATCCCCATCGCTGTCGAGTTGGCTTCCGACTTCCTCGACAGACAGGCACCTGTCTTCCGTGACGACACTTGCGTCTTCGTTTCCCAGTCCGGTGAGACTGCTGACTCACTGATGGCTCTGCGTTACTGCCTGGAGCGTGGCGCCCTGACGGTCGGTATCGTCAACGTCGTCGGTTCCTCCATCTCCCTGCTCACTCACTGCGGTGTTCACGTCAACGCAGGCCCCGAAATTGGTGTTGCCTCGACCAAGGCCTACACTTCTCAGTTCATCGCCATGGTCATGTTCGCCCTCTCCCTTAGTGAGGACCGCGCCTCCAAGCAGAAGCGCCGTGAGGAGATCATGGAGGGTCTTGCTAAGATCCCTGAGCAGATCAAGGACATCCTTACCCAGGACCAGGCCATCAAGGAGCTCTGCTCCAAGACCTTCCAGAACCAGAAGTCTCTTCTTCTTCTCGGCCGTGGCGCCCAGTTCTCCACTGCCCTTGAGGGTGCACTGAAGATCAAGGAAATTTCCTACCTACACTGTGAGGCTGTCATGTCTGGTGAGCTGAAGCACGGTGTTCTTGCACTTGTCGACGAGAACCTGCCCATCATCATGATCCTCACTCGCGATGACCTCTTCAAGAAATCGCTCAACGCCTACCAGCAAGGTAAGTTCAGAATACCTTCGTGATACGGCCTGCTCAACTCGGATGCTAACAATGTTCAATAGTTATTGCTCGTGGTGGCAAGCCCATTGTCATCTGCAACCCCAGCGATGAGGAGTTCAAGACCAACGAGGCCGAGAAGATTGAGATCCCCAAGACGGTTGATGCCCTGCAGGGTATCCTCAATGTCGTCCCCCTGCAGTTGATTGCTTACTGGCTGGCTGTCATGGAGGGCCTGAACGTCGACTTCCCTCGTAACTTGGCCAAGTCTGTCACCGTCGAGTAAGCTGCTTGTATCGGGAGATTGAGGTTTGGTTTATTGTCGGCTACTTCTCGCCACAACGGAGTTGGGTTGCCAAAAGGGAGACTGGCCCTTGATGCTTTAATGCCACAGCGGGCTGCTTAGAGGCGGTGTCAGATGTGAAACCCTCTCGTGTATTACTGGGTATTTGTGGAAAATGAGGGAAAGGTCCAGCATGGGAGACTTCAAGGACCTGTCAAGATAAAGGAGCGTAATTTTTTTTTGGAGGTTAAATGCCACACAGCAAGGCAACCTGAAGCAATGAAAGCAATATTGTCTATTTCATTTAGTGTTACACTTTGCAAGCCTCGACTCACTGTGATGATGCCGATTTAATTCGCGGTTGAAAGGGTCGGCCTCGACCCTTCGTTCCCTCATTCGTCTAGAGACGCCTTTGAACATTCCCACACGATCAATCGCCAAGTAACCAGTCATTGTCATTTCATTCCTTTGTCTCTCTATTTCCCGACCATCCCCTGTGATCCCACTCTAGACAACCTGCGTACCGTAGCCACGGATTCGTTCCGCAAACTTCCAGCTCTGCTTCTCGAGCTTCTCGTTCTCCTTCAAGTCAACACCGTCCTTGGTTACCACAGCGATGGAGTAGTTATCAGAGCTGCGGGCGTCACGGTAAAAGAGCACCTTCATGCACTCCTTGATGACCTCGATGGCCTGCTCCTTGGATAGCTTGGCGGCGGCCTCCTCGTCGGGGACGTAACGACGCATGATGGGCTGCGCGAGGGCGGAGCCAAAGCCTGTGGCGAGCGAAGGCGAGGTAAAGGTGGTGCCGAGTAGGTCGGCGGCAGCGAGGAAGGGCTTGTTGCTGTCGTCGAGGCCGGCGACAAGGAGGTGGTTCCAGAGGGGGTCGAAGTCGGAGCGGCGCTTGTAGAGGAGCTTGGAGAGATACTTGTGCAGGTTCGCAGCGTTGAGGCGGGCGGGGGCATCTGCGGACAGGTCGTACGACTCTTCGATATCGAGAGCCGAGAGGTGGCGGTCGAGGTACTGCATGTCAGAGACGTCGCCGCCGAAGCCGACTACGGTGGAGTTGGCGAAGGTGCGGAGACGCTTGACGTCGGTAAAGCGGGCGAGGGAGCCGTAGGATGCTTGAGGGAAGTGTCAGTGCATGTCCTGCTTTTGATTCGAGAGGGATGCATGGTGACGAGGATGGGAGGACAGGAGCGAGTTGGAGACATACCCAGGTTATCGGCGGCAATGACAACACCCTCGCTGAACTTGATGGCGATGACTGATGTGCCCGTGACGATTGGGGACTGTGTCGCTTGGTTGGGACCATTGAGGTTCATGTAGGAGCCGTCGTAGGCACCGTAGACGTCGTCTCTGGGCTGCGAGGAGGGGTTCGGTATGTTAGTCCATGATACAAGGCTGAAGAGGATGGAGGGGAGGAGATGGATTGCATACACGGCCCCAAGCTTGCGGTCTGTGATCCATTATGGCCGGTGTGATGTGTGTAGTTTGAAAGACTGGTTGATTGAGGTCGTAGAACTACGGTGTCGATTGTTCGTGTGGAAGGTCGTGGGTTTTGGCGATGGTCAGTCGGTATGTGAGGTTGAATGAAGCTTGGGGGTTGCTGTGCTGAGCTTCGCGTCCCCATGGATGCCTCTCCGGCCCGGCTGGCTGTGCCAGCTAATGCTCATGCCGCTGGTGCATGCTGCGTCAGGGTGGTGCCTGACAAATGGGGCTGCAAGTTTGGGGTGTGCTTGCCGAAAAGAGTCAGCTTCGAAGCTGTTGGAGTGGGCGATGCATAATCGGTACTAGATACCTTTTGACAACATTAACAAGGCGTGCATTCTCAAGTATCTAGTACAACAAAGCTTCAGGGGTCAAAGGTCAAACAAACAAGGAGGTCAGCCCAATTCTGGTCGCATGCTCTTAGTCCCATCCCCCGTCATTTCGTCAACACCACGGACGGCATTTGTGGTGTCGAAAATCTCCCGACTCCTCCGAATCCACGATTGGTACCTCTCCTCTCCAGACAAAACACCGTTCGCAGCTTGATCCGCTCTGGTTCGTGCCGTTCGAATCACCCTGCGCCGCATCGCGACTTTGCCCTCGAAACGAAAGCTCAGCATAAAATAACCCCATAAATAAACACTTCCAGGATGTTGACATCAATCGGCCGGGCAGCCGCCCAGCGCCTGCTCTTCCGCGCCGCACCACTGGCCGGCCCGCGAACCCAATCCATCGTGCGCGCAGCGTACCGCGGCTTTTCGACGTCACAATGGACACGTGTGCCCGCCACTAAGGCGTCCTCGACGACTACCAAGACGAAGAAGACCACCGAAGCCAAGGACGGAGCGGCGGCGAAGAAGAAGGTCACGACCAAGACCAAGGAGGCGGCGGCGAAGAAGCCCAAGGCGAAGAAGAAGGTGGCGGCCAAGAAGCCCGTGCCTAAGAAACGGGCCAAGAAAGTGCTCACGCCCGAGGAGAAGCAGAAGCTCGACGTCAGGGAGTGGAAGAAGCTCGCACTGCTGCCGGACCCGAAGAGGCTGCCGTCGACGGCGTGGTTGCTTCACTCCGCGGAGGCGGGCAAGCAGGCTGACTCAGCGGCTGTTCTGATGGACCGGACCAAGGAGAGCGCCGAGTCGTTCAAGAACCTGTCTTCGTACGAGCTCCAGGTAAGCTCCCAGACCTCCCCACCCCTGATCTCTTCTATGAAAGTCGCCAGAGACTGACACCGGTGCGTTCCCTCCCAACCACAGCGTCTCCAGGAAAAGGCCGACGAGAACAAGCTCACCAACAACGCCGCCTATAAAGCGTGGGTTGAGTCGCACACGCCGCAGGCCGTGGCCGAGGCGAACCGCGCGCGCGCGAAGCTCCGCAAGGTCAGCGGCCGCAAGGTCCCCGCGCCCATCCGCGACGACCGGCAGCCCAAGAAGCCGCAGACCCCCTTTGCGCTCTTCACCAAGGCCCGCTGGGCCAGCGGCGACTTTGCTGGCTTGAGGCCGTCCGACGTCGCCCGCCGGGTCGGCGACGAGTGGAAGGCCCTGTCGGAGCCCGAGAAGGGCACGTACGAGGAGCTGTCCAAGGCAGACGTCGACCGGTACGCGCGCGATGCTCTAAGCGTGCTGGGACACGTCGTCAACCGCGGCGAGACCCCCGAGTAAAGGGTCGAGTTTCGTAGGGTGTGTTTTCCCAAGGCGGCGTCGAGTTTTGAAAAGCAGACATAGGTTATATACTTGAGCGAATTCGGCAAGCAACGGTCGACCGTGTACGAAGAGAAGGCAAAGGCTGAGAAGAAGGCGGCGGGCCTGTTGTTGTAGTTTGTGCTCTGGGCTTGTACAGAATAAGGGATCGCTGGAAAGGATTGGGCGCTTGTTCAACGCTGTATTTCAGATACCAGTTGTCAGGGAGGGGTTTGGCAATCAAATTCGATTGCCCAGTTGGCCCTTTTACATGCAAAGTACCGAAGTAACGCGGACCCCCTTTGTTGATGCTGTGCTCACCGCAGTATTTGCGCCGGCGTGTCCAAACTTTTCAAACTGATGCGACGCCCATGTGCGATCCAAACGCCTCGCTAATTCAAGAAAACATGAAAACTCTACCTGGCATGCCCCCTTCCGTATCGTCTCACGTCCCGTCATCCGGGCCGTCATCCATGCTGTCCCCGGACTCGGAATTCTCATGCCCGTGGGTAATGACCACGACGTCGCCGGCACCGTCCACCCACCTCGCCGCGTCCTTCTTCAGCGCCCTCTCGCTCGCCAAGTACAGGGCCAGGTAGACGTGGCCCGCGATGTGGCCCCAGCAGTAGACCCGCAGCCAGGTCCAGTCCTCGGCGCGCTTGCACCAGACGCCCCAGCCGGCGAACCCCTCGAGGATGTAGTCCGTGAGGAAGTGCCACGCGCGCTCGCGCAGCGTGGGCCGCCAGCCTCTCCAGTCAAGCTGCCAGTAGCCTCGCTCGAAGGGGCGGAGTTCCCGTTTCTGCTCGACGGGTGCGTAGCGCTTTGAGATGTTGAGCTGACGGGCTAGTTCCCGAAGTTTGGGCGTCAGGAGATCGTCGGGCGTCAAGTCTGTGGTTCCGACGGGAGGACCGACAGGATGGATTTCGAGGCGTTCGAGGTAGTTTAGATGCCGCTCATTTGGAGGGCGTATGGGGCGGTAGAGGTCGCTAGGAACCGTTCCGACATCTGAGGAGCTTTTGGTAATGACCGACCTCGACTCAGAGATGGGCGCAGATCTTCTGTGCCGTTTTGACGTAAGAGGAGGCTCAGAACCGCCTCGGGTTGGCGACGAAGGTAGTGTTCTCTTCTTCAAGGGCTGGCATGGCGTATCTTGTATGACCTGCTCGAACGACGAGCTGGGTAGAAGTGGCCGCTTAAAAGCAGGGAACGGTGTTCTTAGCACCACATTATCTGCCGAAGAAGCAGGGCCCGGGGTGGCTTCATTGCCAGCTGTGGTCAAGTAACTCGATGCCACGAGGACAACCTGACCATCATCCTCATCCTCCCCCGAGTCTGAGTCTGGCACTGGTGTTGAATCTGCCGGGAGAGTCGGCCCTTGTTGATTCCCCGAATGTTGCTGTGATAACCCGGCGGCTTGGCTGTCAAACTGGCAAGCCAGGTGCTCGAACAGCCGACTGGGAGACGAGAACTCTATAAGACTTATGGTATTCAGAGGCTGGGAGTCTCCGATGGTACTCGGAGGGGCTTGCCAACTACCCTGGGTCCTTTGCGGATCTGCCTCTGGTTGGGAAGAGGGTATTATGTCTCTGGATATAAGTGGCCGGGCTAGGCCCGGGGAGTTTCTGTTGTCCAATACGCTTCTGAATGACAGTTCTTGCGAGCGAAAGGACCCAAAGGATCCAAACGATATTGGCGGGGGTGGTGGTGGCCGCACCGGTGAAGAGGTGGCAGGCTGAGTTGCATCGCTGCTGGGAATCGGCGGTGGTGCATCAGACCAAGCAGGCAAAGCCGGCAGCTCAGCCTGTGAACTCGGAATAACTTCTTCTGCGGTACTGGGTGAAGGCCTCCTCACGATCTTGGTCTGGCTTGCCGGGTTGAAGTCGAGATATGCCTGTGCCAGGGCCCGATAGCGCGCATCGTCGACGGTCCTGCACGGTGCTGTGACGTGCACCAATATTTCGACGTTGGCAGTTGTCTCCATGACAGCCTCACAGCGGTTCTTGCGAGCGCGGTCATCTCAAAGACCAGACGCCAGGGTGCATGATGATGAGAAGGAGCAAATTTGATGATGAAGGGTATAATACATAAGATTCCTAGGCGAATTAGTATCCAAAAAGGAAGAGAAGAGCATAAAGGCGCCTGGAATGCGGGAAGTGAGTAATGTTAGATTGAAAGTCAAAGGCGAAGTCCCAAAAGCGCGACTGAGGACCGTAGAAGTCGCGAAGTCAGTGCACTTCGAGGTGGGGCACATATCCCATCATCTGTCCCTTGCACGTAGCGGTGCAGGCGGAAGCACGCATAGCACACCGAACCCACCACCACCACAACGCCAGAAGAGATAGACCGGGGTGTCGGTTTCTAGCCCGCAGCCCAATTCCATTTAGCGCGCTGAAGAGCTCGAATGAGGTAGCTGTACCATCCGCTGTGGCCTTCCCCAGCCCCGGCAGCCTGTACTCTGTACGCGCGGGCTGTCAGTGGACAATTTGAGGCACAGAAAGATTGGCCCATCCCGTTGCAGTGTGTGTCCTTACCCCAGAATCATATTGCTCAGGGACCAGACACAAACCGCCAACAAACTGACTTGCTCCTTTCCCCGACTTCTTCCCCTTCCTCACCCGTGGTACCCCCTTCCGTTCTCGCTCCCCTGGACTCTCCCAACGAATTCTTCCGGTCGACGACCTCAGAAACAGCAGCCATGTCCGAGAAGAAGCCTGCGACTCTCCCCAACCTGGGCAAGGTTCTCGTCATCGGCGGCAATGGCTTCCTGGGCCACCACGTCGTCAACCAGCTCCTCGCCGGCGACCGCTGGGCTGTTGCGGCTGTCGACGTGATCGACCTCCGCTGCGGCCACAACCGCCACCCCAAAGCCAACTACCACGAGGCCGACATCACCGACACCGACAAGATGAAGTCCATCCTCGAGAACGTCAAGCCCGACGTCGTCATCCACACCGCCTCCCCCGCCGTCCAGGGCGACAGCGCCGTCGCCAAGGACCTCTTCCGCAAGGTCAACGTCGACGGCACCGCCTCCGTCGTCGCCGCGTGCCAGGCCGCCTCCGTCAAGGCCCTCGTCTACACCTCCTCCGCCAGCATCATCAGCGACAACACAAACGACCTCATCAACGCCGACGAGCGGTGGCCCGTCATCCGCGGCGAGCTACAGACCGAGTACTACTCCGAGACCAAGGTATGCGCCTGCCCTGGTGGCTTCCCCTTCGTCGCATAACGCTCTCTTGCAACCAGGCGCACCAGGCTGACATGACATGCTCCCTCCCTCAGGCCGCCGCAGAAGAACTGGTTCTCAACGCGAACCGCCAAGACCCCTACCCCCTCGTCACATGCTCCATCCGCCCGGCGGGCATCTTCGGCGAGGGCGACACAATGGTCACCCACCAGATGGTCAAGATCTACCGCGAGGGCAAGACGGGCGTCCAGCTCGGCGATAATGACAACCTCTTCGACTTCACCTACGTCGGCAACGTCGCCCACGCCCACCTGCTGGCGGCGCGCCTCCTCCTCGCCACCGCCGCGGCCTCCACCGCGCCCCTCGACCACGAAAAGGTCGACGGCGAGGCCTTCCTCGTCACCAACGACAGCCCCATCTACTTCTGGGACTTTGCGCGCGCCATCTGGCGCGCCGCGGGATCCGACAAGGGCACAAGCCACGTCTGGGCCATCCCCCGCGAGATCGGCGTCGTCCTGGGCTTCTGCTCCGAGGTCTTCTTCTCCATCATCGGCAAGCCCCCCATCTTCAACCGCCAGCGCAACATCTACAGTTGCATGACGCGCTACTACAACATCGGCAAGGCCAAGCGCCTGCTCGGCTACCGCCCCATCGTCGGCCTCGACGACGGCATCAAGAGAGGCGTGCAGTGGTTCCTGGACCAGGAGAAGGCCGGCAAGGTCAGTGTCAAGTCATGAGACGAACCATGATGGGTACAAGGACAGACAGACGGGTACGAGGAACGCTTGTGATGAGCGGCGGCATTGGCGATCTTGGGACTCGTGTTTGAAAAGTGTGGTTTTTTCCCGTATATACACATATATACCCTCGCTGTAGGAGGGACTTAATAATCGGCCCCCAATCGGCCATGTCATGAGCAAAAACATCAAGCTGCGAAGCACAGTCCACTTTACCTTGCAACATCATGTAACATTATAGTGACCAGTATGTGCAAACATGACAGCGCACATGGAAGCACACACATGGAAGCACACACATGGAAGCACACACATGGGAGCATACACATGGGAGCATACAGGTATGGTATCTGAAAGCATCAATTGGAGGGAAACCTGCAGGCCGACCATCGGCCTGGTCCAGTTCACATTTACGGCGCTACAAGGCTGGTTCTTCACCATCCCGTTGCTACCTGTAGAGAAGACTGTCGCTCTCTGCCGCGCGACCTTCCATAAGTGGAGGCGGAGAACAGGCGGCTTTTTGTTTTCCACCCCTCACCCTCACCCTCACAACAACAACAACAACAACAACCTCCATACCTATGCGCGCAAATGTGGCGCACTTTTTTTGCATCTATCCTTCTCTCTGCCCCCGATATCCTCTCACAAATGTAATCCGACATCTCACCATTCCAACAAAGAAGCGAAGCTATAGTGGGTCTCGCGCGCAAGCCAAGAAGATGACGAAGCTTGCTGTCCAGCTCGAGACGGTCAATCAATCGAGCAGCATTGCCCACCGACGAGTCGACGAGCCCCTTGGGCCTATACTCCAAGCCAGCCAAACCGAAGTCAAACCAATTCTCCCAATCCTGCCACCCCCTTCCTGAAAAATGTCAGGCTCGTGTCGTGTGAAAGAACACCGGCAGACCGCAGGAAACTAGTTCCGAGCTGATCCGATGCTTTGCTTAGAGAAGCCAAGAAGCAAAGGGGTTGGGAGTTTTTTTGGAAGAAAAAAACCGAGCTCTCTGAAAAGAAAAGAAAAAAATCATTCATGCCGCCTTGTCGTGAGTAGAAGTCGAACAATAAGGAAATCTTTTTGTCCTTTCGATGAAAAACGGTCGGGAACGCCGTCAACGATGCATGGATATGTGACTCTTGAAACCCCAAATCGCAGGTTCCGATGGAATGCTGCGCAGTAATGAGAACCGGATGGCGGGTCGCTCTGTGATGTGTGTAGACCTGCCATGTGTGTGTGTGTATGTGTGTGGCCTGGCCGGCCGGCTTACAAGTTTCCGCCAACACCAACACCATTCTGTCTTCCCCAGACTCCACCAGATTGGCGCCACTCTCTCTTCTGCGCCTCACTAGGGCCCTCGGTGTCAGAATGCTCGAATTGTGCTCCTCCGCCATAGGGAGACGGTTGGCCGTTCTCTTCTTGTTGTGCTCGCCATCGCTGGGGCGGCGTGCCAGGGTTGGCTTGGTTGAAAGGAGGTATGGGCATGGGCGAATCCTGCACGGGGCGGACACTGCTCTCTTGCTGTTGCCACAGAGCGGGGTCTGTCTCGACCCTTCGGGGAGGGGGCCGAGTCGAGTTGTCGGGTCTGTTAAAAACCTCGTTGACTTCACCGCTGAGCCCCGATCTCTGGCCCATGCGGTCTTGGTAGCGCTTGAGAATGTCCTTGGTGGTGAGATCAGCCGTGTTTCCAAAGACAAAGGGATCGTTGACCAGATCCATGAGCTCGTCAGGGACCTGTGAGATAGAGTTAGCCACGTCCAAGTACTCGACACTTCACAAAATATGCCTACCAAGCACATCTCTTCAATAGAGGTGATCATGTCGTTCACGGCCACAATGGCAAACATGGGGTCGCTGTCCAGCGTAGGCGCTTTGTTGCTGTTGTAAAGGATGTTCGGCGCAATGACCGTTGCCAGGTTCTTGATGTCCATCCTGGATCCAGCTTCTTCGTCAACCTGGTGGAAAGATCCGGCCCACTTCAAAAAGCAGAACAAGATCTCCAAGCAGTCTCGGTGAGGCTTGGGCAGCAGGCAGCAGATGAGATGCAGGTACTGTTTGCGCTTTTCGTCGTCTTGAATCTTGGCGACGGCGATCCAGAGTTTCTGAAGCTTGAAAGTCATGAGCGGATCGGGAAGCTCGCGCAGGTATCGCTTCAACAAGGCGGCGACTTGGACTACGGGCTGGTCCATGAAGTTGATGCTATCGCAGCCTTCGCGGTCAATCCTCTCGCACAACTCGGACAGCTTCTTGATGTTTCCGTTCTTTCGAAACACACCCTCAACCGACAAATCCATCTTCCTCATCGAGGAGATGAGATCGTCAATGATGGCGGGGATCTTGAGAGTGCCGGGTCCCACGCCGTCTGTCGATTCGGCACCGTCCTTGTCAATAATGATATCCAGCGGCACACCGAAGATGCCCTTCTTCTTGACGTTCTTGGGCCTGTCGTTCTTGAATGCCTTGCCGAGATTCTTCCAGAAGGTGGGCTGCTTCCTCAGCTCGATGAAGCTCAACAACTCATCGAGAGAGAACTCGTGCTCAACCGCAGGCGCTAGAGTCAAGACTGCTAGGTGGCGCACGATGAAGTATTCCAGTCCCGACAGCTCCGAGAAATACTTCCGGCCGAGCCGCTGAGGCATCGGGTCGCCCATGCGGATCTCTGCCTCTCTGCCCGCAGATTGCGATCTTTGGTGTCCCGTGGGATCGGTCGCAGGAGATCGGAAGAGCTCTTGTCGGCTTGGTTTGTACTGCTGCTCTTTGACCTGTTCGGCAGCGACAATCCGCGGGATGTCATCGAGAGTCAGGGCGTCCTGGTGGTTAAACATTTTGTCCGTCGTGCCCTCGTCGTTTGGGCCACGTCTGTCTTCGACAATCTGGAGGTCCCCATCGGCTCGTCCCAAGTCCTCGCCTGCCGATCCTGGGCGGACGCTACGACCCTCAGGGCCGTCCATAATGCGCGAGGTTCTCGCCTTTCTGAAGCTGGACGACAAGTGCTTGTCGAGCCGAGTGCTTCTCAACCGGCGAACATCATTCAGCGTGTTCTCGTAGGAAGACTCGCGATTGTGCTCCCGCTGATCTCCGGCGTACGATTTCGAGCGGTTGTCTGAATTTAGGTAGGGCGCTTCTCCGGGTGCCAAAGTTTGGGGGCCCTCGCCTGGACCATACCCATCCATGTTCTGGTCGTCATTCTGCCGAGGCAAAGCGCCGTTACTTCGGAGGATGTCCAACAATCTCGCCAGAGCCACCTTCAGCAGGAAAACGTATTGCTGCAACTTGGTGACATGCTCGAAAGGAGGTATGTCCTCGCTGTTGGCGCCGATACAGTTATTGCAGTAAATCTTCTTGTCGAAGGCATTGTAACGAGCGTCTTCCAGCTTGCGACCGATGTCTCTGGTGCATCGAGAACAGCTCACGCAAGTAATGTGCCAACGTCTATCGGAATGCTTAGCGCACTCGTCCTCGACAGATTTGTTGCACAGTGCGCAATGGTCCGAGTCCTTTGCCGAAAGTCGTGAGTTGCCGGTGATAGCCTGGAGAGTGTTGTCGTCAGGTTTGACACTGTCCAGCTCGCTGAGATCGTCCAGGAATTGATAGATGCCGTCAGAGCTCTTAGACTCCTTCTCGAGACGCAGCGCTCCCTGCAGACAAATTCGAATAAGAAGTTTGAGGTAGTGGGCAAGGCCTGTGACGAGAGACAGCAGCTCCTGCGTGACGCCAAGCTTCCGGGCTCCCGTGTCCTGGGTCTTGGACAACAGGGAAAAGAAAGATACTATCTTCTTGCACAAAAGCTTGGCCTCACGTCCGTACGACAATCCTATTTCTGGCCTGTTAGCAGCGCGATTTGAGGCAGGCGAAGAGACCAAAACACACCCTTTAACTTCAGCTCGTCCATGGAGTAGTCTAGGCGATCAGCAGACTGGAACAGAATTTCGACGTGCCAAATGAACTTCTTGGCGACGAGCACACCGTCGACGTAGGCGCCATTGCTCACGTGGAGAAGCATGTCGGAAATGCAGGCCGCAGATGACTCCTCAAAGGTCGACAAGACACTCCAGATGCGATAAACTTTCTCTTCCATGCGCTCCTCCTCCTCTCTGATGATTTCGCGCGTGGCGGGGTCGTCGGTCTCTTGGGGTATCTCGGAGGAATCGCTTGGCTGGGTAAGTCGCACATTCCAGAACTTGTGTATCATGTAACACTCGGGGTGCCAATGTTGGTTCTGGCCATTTCTGTAAATCTCCACAAACTGCTTGAGGATTGCAGTCTGGCAGCCATTACATCTCTGCGCGAACTGCGTGGAGTAGTGGTAATGGCAGTAAACATTGCCATCGTGCTCGTAGTAACTGTCCTGGGCGCCGAAGACAGTGGGACAAAGGGAGCATGTGAAGTGGTCGACGTGATACTTTCGGTCGAGGGCAGTGATGTAGGAGCCTCGAAGGGCACCACCACACTTGTAGCAAAGCAGACCCAACCGGCGGAAGTAGTCCGTCTCGCAGAGCGGGTACTGTCCCTCGCCATTTTCGTCGTCCACAGGGAAGAACTTGGAAGCTACGATCTGACCGCAGTCCTGGAGAAGTTTGGATTAGTAAGGCCAAGGGGGGATCGGGGACACGTTCAACACCTACACGACACTTGAAGCAGTCCAGATGAAAGGTTCCATCCAGTGCGCGCACGAATTGGCCGGTCAGCGGCTCTCCACACTTCTTGCAGATTCTCTGTTGACCGCTGGCTGACCGCCCACCTCTTCCGTTGGATCTGCTGCGTTCACCGCTCCGTCTCGAGTCGCCTTCTCTGCCAGGTGTTCTGGGGCCTGGTGAGCGCGAGGACTGCTGTGTGCGATAACTGCTGTCGGGGGTTCTCCTTCCTCCATTCTGTTGTTGTTGCTGCTGCTGCTGCTGCCAACCTCGATCGCCAGGATAGCCGGGTTCCATAGGGGCAGCGGGGTGGGCCTGCAAGCGGTCGTCAGGCGCCCCGTGGTCGTAATCCGACGCCATGTTTGCAATACTCTTCGTGTCGATACTCTCTCTACTTGGTAAGGTCGATTGCGACTCTTGGCTGGTAGGGCGGAACGGATTGAAAAGCGGCCCGTCAGCCTCGAGTGTCGGACGTGGAAATTGCCAGGGGATTATCGGCCGGCATCAGCTGGACGGTGAAAATGCCGGGGGGTGGTTGTGGTGGGATGGGTAGAGGGTATGTATGTACTGGGATCGAGAATTGAAGAAAAGGGTCGTCGTCGCACGGCGGCGGTATCGTGCTGCTGAGCGATGGTAAATAAGCCGGATAACGGCGGGCAGCTACTCGCGTGACTGGCGGGAGACGGCTGGCCGCGTCGCAGGCGCTGGGCTGAAAGGGATGGCGGTTGGTGAGAAGTGGCAGTCGGGGAGTGGGATTGGGATTGGGAGTCGGTCGAGTACGAATAGTCGGGGTTCAGGGTGAGGGCGAGGGTGAGAAGAGGGTCGGGGGAAACTGGGTCGGGGTCGTCGAGGTTAGGTTGTTGGCTTGTGGCAGTGGAGTAACCAGCAGGGCGATGTTTGGAGCAGGAGCTGAAATGCTACCAGCGGCCGACCACTGTTTTTTTTTTTCGTCCCTTCCCTTTTTACCTTCTCGTATGGTCCGAGGGAAGAATAGACGGCGGGACGAAGAGGAGGAGACAAAATGACACCCAAGGGGTAGGCAATCCACACCAGAGTAGTGATGCGAGGCTATGTGATGCAAATCCTAGAACGTCCGGGTCGCAGGAGTGCGGTGCCGCAGTCCAAGTTCAGCACCAACACCAGCTGAGAAGGGGAAAAAAAGGGGCCGAGTCAAGGACGATCAAAGGAGTGTGGGCGAAGGCGCGGTGGTGGTTTTGTTATGAGGCGTTCGTTGCTGGCCGTAGGGAGATTTAGTGTGGGCTCGATCGGCTGCACCCAAAACCCGGGCGAATCCCCAAAGTTAGGCTGTGCAGTTGGGTGCTGGTGCAGAGAAGGAGGAGGAAGGGTAAGGTGATGGGATGGGATGTAAGGATAGCCGACGAGCGACGTCGGGTTGTTTTTTTCCTTTTGATTTTTTTTTACCTTTCCTTTCCTTTCCTTTCTTTCTTCCTGTACCTTTCCGTGGTACCTTACGCCTCGAGTGCCACAGAAAAGGTACCTCGAGGGTGAGAAAGTATGAGGTGGAAAGGTGGTGGTGTGCAGTGCCGCCGTGCTTTTTGGGAGCAAGGTACAGAGTAAAAGCACGGGTAAGGCAGTGGACGAGGGCGGTAAGGCGAGGCAAGGCAAAGCAGAGCGGAGTGAAAGAAAGAGACTGTGAGGGTGGGAGAAGTGGGAGAGTGGGAGACGGGAGCGAACTCGGTAGGTACCCAAAGCGTAAGGCACGGCAAGAAAGGGCAGGAAGGAAGATGCAAGGTACCTTCCTTCGACTTACATTATGCTAAGATACGGGTACCCAAATTACTCCTCACTGCCGCAAGGCGCTAAGACTGATGATCGCCGCCTCTATGCACTGTTTGGGTTCTTCAGAGACGCTGGCTTGTGGCGTCAAAGGCACTCCGTCTCTTTTGCCGTCCAGTGTACGACGGATACGGACGAAGAGAAAGACTGTACCAAATCGCGGAGAGACAACAGGCCCCCAAAAATAATTCATTTCCCCGAACCGAGTGTGACCAAGGATGCAACAGCTTCGCTCATTCCAAGCCGTCGATATTGAGATTCTTGTTGTTGCCAATATCTGCACCGCGACCGCATCCACATAGGTGCCAGCGAGTGCGTGCACATACCTCCGTGTATAAGGTGCCTGCTCCCGCCGCTGTCAGGCAATCTCGAACGAAGGGAAATTCGAGCAAAGCGACGACAAGTCAATCAATGCTTTTGACCGGGGCCTTCATTGGAGCCCCCCTTCTCCTAGCGGGGGAACGGGGAGTCCTGCTCCCTCTCACTGGACATGGAAAAGCGACCCGTGATGATGATGGGGATCCAATGCTATTTACAGTGGAATTGCAATGCTCCTGCCAGGACGAAGGAGTGGACCCCGACCTTGGCTCCCCAATTGGCGCTTCAGCCGAGGAGTCAGGTTGGCATCCGTGCACGGCCCACTGCAAAGACGCCCGCGCAGCGGAGAAGGAAGGAAGAAAGAAGGGGAGAGAGGCCCTTCACAGCATTTTTGGGCGCTTGGCCGAGCAGGAGGGAAGCACGACGGAGCAACCAAAGGTTGCCTTCCTCGAGAAACCTTGCGTCACCGTCCATTTCTTACATAAGACAACCCCTTCCATCCGGCACCCAATCCTAAGGATCAGCGACGCCGAGGAGCAACATCGTTGTCAATATCAGCATAAACAGGAAATAAGGTGTGGTTAAACTCTGAATAAAATTCATTGGATCACCTGCACCATCACGTGGATCCGCCCGATGTTCGAGTTCGGTCCTCTGCCTCCTTGGGATGATCTCGAAACAGCCCCACCTAAATTTCGATATACGAGTTTACTCTAGATAAACACCGATGCAAGCTTCGGGAGAATTGATCTAAAGTAACATTGCCGTCGTATGTAATCTGCTGATCCCCAACGGCCGTTCTCCACCCGCAACCGACGACTCCTCGCGAACCCCTCTTGCAACTGCGGCAACCTTTCAGTCTTCTAGGTGTAGCAGCTTCTTCTGGATCTTGCCCAGAGCCTTCTTCATCCTCTGCTTGAGCTTCTGCTGCTGCATCTTGCGCAAGCTTGAGGCTTCTCTGCGTCTCTTGGCTGCGCAGTTGCCCTTCGTAGTCCCGGTTTCTTGCCGCGTCGTCCGTCCCTGTTCTCTGCTGGTTGCCGCAACTGTGTCCGTAGTCTGCAGAGGTGTTTGCTCGTGGTTCTGACCCTGTTGGCCCCATATAATGTCGTCCGATGGCTTGACTGACGCAACAGTCCGAACAGGTGCCAATCACAGGGTCGTCGTCCGGTCTTCGGTCTTTGCGTAGTCGGATGGTTGGAACGATACGACGGTCTGGATGGGCGACTAGCCCAAGGTGGTTCGTCTTGTCTGCGGCCTTGTGCTCTTCGACTGGTTGGAGTTCTGCGCCAGTTCGCGGTGCTATCAAAACGCAGGCAACCGTTCCTTCCACCAGAGATTGCTGAGCTGCGCTGGCCTCTGCCGTCCTCTCTTTAACCACAATTCCAGTGCCCCTCATCACAAGCAAACCCCCTACGTTTCCATTACCAGCTGAGCCCATCATCGGGTTCAGTCGATGGTAAGGTAGCAGCACCCGGCGTCGAGCCCTATAACCTTGTGTCTCTTGGTCCTCTATGCTGTACCTCACAGCTCTTATCGTCTCGATGGACTTTGTTCTGCTGCTCGGGAGCAAGACTGGCTGACTCTAGGGACGTCATTGTTGCATACTTTCACCACACTTGCACAACAGTTTTATCTCAAAAGGATGTCGGTCGACATGCTATCATTGCATTCGGAAATGGGAGCCCTACCAAAGTTCTCAGACCACCAGGCATCAATGGTAGGGGCATGATGCGAAGGAACCTCGAAAGCGTATTACTTCCGTTTATATAATAAGGCTGGACTGTTTGTCTCTTTAAAGAACGAGGAGACAAGCGCAGAGGGCAGACTTCCGTCTTGGTCCCATCATTAGAGAAGAGATCAGGGAGGTATCCTAGTTGTGGGTTGTCCAAAGAGAAGAACATGACAAATGGGCCAGAGGAACTGGTATAATCAACTATTGTTTCCACGGTCAAGACCATCGATTTTTCAATTTGGCGGAGATACTCGACCTCCGCACCATGGAGTCAGGACTGCTCAAGTGCGAGGTTGAGTTCGTCTTGCTTGCAAAACTGCGTTATTGTGCAATTGGTAGATTACTATAGTACGCCTCCTCTGTATGGCCCCCGTTCTCCATCATTTCTCTAATTGTACTCGTATCATTTCGACTGCATTAGTCTTGCTCTCAGCGTTTATGGCAGTCGTTACGGGAACAGTGTTTGCAAACAACTACCTCAAAGAGTCGACAAATCAGAAGAGCGGCAGCGGACTCTACAACGACTTGTCGAAGCGGCAATGAGCAAGCTGTGACATATCTAACATCCCTAAAACCCCTGCAACAATTTCCCCAGTCTTTTTGTTTTGTTTTCATATTCTCGGCTCCCTACTGAGTCTGTTCAAGAATAGCAAGCTTGGCGAAAAGAAGTAGACTAGGCCAGTGAGGCTTCTGAGGAGCGGCTTACTTGGATCCACGGACAATTTCACCACAGAAGACCGGCTCCTCCACATCAAATACGTTGGTTGTTGCAGTGCCGAGTTGAAGGCGAACACCTGCCATCGAGCTGAAGTGAACCCTTCGCGACCCAAGTGGAGTTCGCGATAAGGATATCCCCAGGTCCATTCAGTGTCGTCTCATACGTCAACTCCTATCTCCGCCGCCACTCGTCCCGTCTCCGTCCCCATCGTTTCTGACACTTTGAGCAACAAAACTAGCGCCCTCGTTGAAATATCCGCGAGCCTCGGCGCGTCAGTCTACAAAAGCCTCTCAAAAAATCATTCAGAGTGACACCCGACTCCAATTTACCCCGCCCCCACTTCATCTCACAGCTCTCAAGTGCGTTACCAGACAACGTCGTCTGACAGACAACCATGAACGACGCAGAGGGTCTCGCCATCGCAATCGAGGAGGCCAAGACTGGTGCCTCCGAGGGCGGCGTCCCGGTACGTCTTGACCCCGGCCAATCCTCGACAACTTTCCAAAGCCCGAGCCAAAGTCATCCAAGCTAACGCAGACTGATCAACCCCTCGCCAGATCGGAGCCGCCCTTGTCTCCGCGGACGGCAAGCTCCTCGGCCGCGGCCACAACCGCCGCGTGCAAATGGGCTCTGCCATCCACCATGTAATTGAACCTTTTTTATTTATATACTTATTTATCAGTTTTCTCTCATGATCATTACAACGTCCAGAAAAACTGACAGAACCCGGCAGGGCGAGACCGACGCCCTCTTCAACTCGGGCCGCCTGCCCGGCAAAGCCTACAAGGGCAGCACAATGTACACGACCCTGTCACCCTGCGACATGTGTAAGTTTCTGTACCCAAAAACCCTTGCCCCCCTCCCTCGGGCACAACGACGGCTTGCCTTGCTTTCCCGACGACCGATGTATTGATAAGGATAGGCACGGGCGCCTGCCTCCTCTACGGCATCTCCCGCGTCGTCATCGGCGAGAACAAGACCTTCCTCGGCGGCGAGGCGTACCTCAAGCAGCGCGGCGTCGAGGTCGTCGTTTTGGACAGTGCCGAGTGCAAAGCGCTCATGGACAAGTTCATTGCCGAGAAGCCTGAAGTCTGGTATGGCTTTGCTTCCTTCAAAACCTCCCTCTTAACTGCGTTAGTTGGTAATACGAAGCTGATTTTGAATAGGAACGAGGACATTGGCGAGGAATAGGTGTGCCACCGCAATGGTTGCGGAGCTCCCAGGGGGAAAAGATTGTAATCACAACATGACTTAAAACTTTGGATGAAGCTTGGCTGCATAGACTTGAATGCCAGTAACATTTACAGGCTTCTATTCAACAACAGAACTTCTAACAAATGCGTTTCGTGGGATGGATCCATTCCATTCCCTTGCGGTCCTCCCTCCCTTGTGACCTTCCGTTATCTTAACAATTGAGTGTCAGTTGACACAAAGGTTTCCTTCGCTCCAACAGAATGAGTAATCTACATGAGCGAGGCGGGGCTTCGCCGCCCTACAGTTCCGATACCGAACGTATCCATGATAACCATCGTTTACATCCTCCGAAACTCCAAAAAAAAAAAACGCAATACTAAGGCAACACGCTTCGGTGCCCTCAAGAAAGCAGGTTCCGTAGTGAAGGGCTGGTGCTTGCTCCCGCTGGTCGAGGCGGTTCGTTGTTAGGGCGCATGCTAGGTGTCCTCAGAGGACCTCCGGCCTCATGGGCAGGAGGGCTGCTGTATGGCGCTCGTTGAGGCAGGAGTCCTTGCGCAAAAGCATCGGGGCCTCTTGGCGGAGGAACACCATTGGGTAGTCCATGAGGTGGCCCGTGAGGGCTCTGCCGGTAAGGGTGCATGTATGGCGACCCGTGTGAGCCATGTGAGCCATGTGAGCCATGGGACGTGTGGGACATTGGTCCGGCCATAAGGGGCGAAGGCGGCATTCCGTTATGAGCGGGCTGGCCCATATGCCCAGCGGGAACAGCTGTAGGCATTGGCGGGTGTGCAGGCACCGCCATTGGCGGAGGACGCAGCGTCGACAGCGGTTGAAACGGCGGTGGTCTTTGGGGTGGTGAACCGTGCCGGGCAGGCGGGCGGCTGTGCCAGTCTCCATATCTCGGCGCCGGAGGAGGGCCGTAGGGGCTGGGAGCCTGATGAGGTGCCGGCGGTGGGATCGGAGGAGGCGCCGGGGCAGCCTGGACGGGTTGTGCGGTAGGAGCTGCCGGTGGAGGAGCTGCAGGCTGGGCGGCTGGCGGAGGCGGGGGTGGTGGTGGTGGTGCCGGGGCTACCCAGGCGTATGACGAAAGACTGCGAGCCCTTGCCTCTGGGCCGGTTGTCGGTGGGCTTCTCAAAGGCGGAGGTCCTGGAGGAGGTGCGGCCAGTGCGTGGTGCGGCGGGACAACTGGCAGCGGAGGAGGCACCACTCTCGCGGCTTCGATGATTGGGGACGGGTCTTTGGGCGGATGGGGGTTGGGCTTCCGCTTGAGCTTCCGGCACTTGTGGCACTGGAACTTCCTCTGCTCCACAAACTTTTGAGCTTCTGACCCGAGGCTTCCGTAGTGGCCGTTGGTGAGTTCTCGCTCGTCAGAGTTTTCGATGGGCCACCACTTGAGACTGACGTCGATACCACAGGTAATGCAAATTTTCTCTCCTGCTTGGTGGTCGCTTGCCGTTTCGCTGTTGCTCCCGTTGTGAGAAACACCATTGGTGGGCAGAGTCGTGGTTGATGCTCGTCTAGTACTTGGCGTCACAGGAACACCGCCCACCTTGGCAGCATTTGTCATGAGATTAGCCTTACGGACCGTACCAGTCAACGTAAGATCTGCCTGCTTGTAGCTCTGCACATAGAGCTGGAGGGCATTAAGACCGTCCTCGTTAACAATGTCGTGCATGCGGTGTATGACGCTCTTTGTCGGAACGTGTTCTTTGCACCACACTGTGGCTGACATGACACCGCTCTCGCCATTAACGGTGACGAGGTTGAATTGATCACGGCGAGACCCCTTGACAGGAGTGATGTCGAAACCGAGGAGGTAGCCTTGCTGACGAGCACACTCGACGTGGACTGGTGGCCATGATTAACACCGTTTCAAAAGACGGAGGAAGCACACTTACCAGGATTACGACAATGATGACAGGCTACACAAGCGCCACCCTTGTGCCCACAGGCTTTGCAAACCTCGTCATACCTTACTCGAGGAATGGATGGAATGCCTTCAGACGGACTCAGTGCCTTAGCATTGCCGAACTTGACTTCAGCTGTCCAAACGGCACAGGTGACATGGACCCAGTTATTGTCTGCGGTTCGCTTCAAAGGTTCCCGAGGGTTGACTGGCCGGTTGTTTTCCTCTTGCTTCTTCTTGTAGTAGTCTGCGGCCTTCTGTGCTTGTTCACGCTCGACTCGTTCACGCTCTTTCTCCTTCTCTGATTTCTTCTTGGAAGCAGATATCTTCGGCTGCTCAACGAAATCATGTTCCGTGTGCTCGATGGGGCACAGGACACATTTGTATTGCTGCAAACAAAGTTAGAGTTGGATCATCGGACAAAACGAATAGGGGGGTTTGGACATACGATTGAAACCTGTGGGCTCTTGTCGTTGGCGCACATATCACAAGTCCACTTGCCGGGGTTTCTGTTGTCAACGACTCCGTAGCAGTTGCGGTGTACTGTCAACCGGCACTCTCTGCAAGACAGATGCTGATCTCCTAACGGCTCCAACTGGTCGCAGATTGCGCAAGGCATGGTCTTGGGCTTCGGGATCTCGGGTACCGGCGGAGGGGCGGGTTTCTCGATCGCCTTCTCCTTCTTTTTGGCAGGGGCGGCAGCAGGAGCAGGATCCGACGCCAGCGGCTCCGAGTCTCTGTCCGGGGCGGAACCCTTGAGCTTCTTGCGGGGTGGTTCGCTTGATGGTGCAGTAGGGGTTGCAGTGGCCGGCTCCGGAGCATTGGGCGGCGGGGGCGTGTTCCAGTAAGTGTGCATTTCCTTGGCGGCCTCGAGTTCCTTAAGGAGCTCCTCATCCTGTCGTTTCTTCCAGGCTCGGCCGCCTGCTTGTGCGATTTTCTTGGCCACCTCGTCAACATCCTCCCACTGAATAGCATAGCGCCGCCAGAGCTCAGCGCATCTGCGACAGAGTGCTTGAATGTACTGGTTGTTCTTGTCCTTGTTGGAGTTCTTGCCCCCGCCTTCGCTTACGGGAGTCCCGGATGCGTTAGGAGCTCGCCGCCACTGCCTCGAGTATTTTGTATGACAGAACTTGCACACAAAGCCCTTCTTCTTGCTGTGTGCTTTTTCGTAGTCAAAGGCAGAGTCATCGGCGTCATCTGCGATATCGTCCTGAAGCTTGCTCGCGGCGACCTCTGCTTTCTTGGCCTCCTTTTTGCTCTTCCTGTTCTGAAAGTTGCCCCAGATTTGTTTGCCTTGCGGAGTCTTCTTCCAAATGTAATAGTATCGCACAATTGTACCGGGTGGAACTGTTTTGACATGTCGCTTGACCAGATAAAGCTCGGATCCGTACTTCCCGACGCCTTCCTCGAACTTCTTCTGTTCCGTTGCCGTCAGTTCAGGCTCCTTGAAAGCCGCCTTGTCCACTTCGGAAAACAGCTTCACCGCGCGGTCTTCGTTGTAACCACTGTGATAGTAAGTTTCCAGCGCGACATCGTGGAGGTTGGTGGAGTTCTTGGGCAGATCGAATTTGGGTGCCAGCTCTTCTGCTTTCTTCATGTACCGATCGACTTTGGCCTCCCAGTCCTTGTTCTTCTCAGTCGCTGGAGGCGGGGCCCACAGTCGGGTGGCCGTCGCGTTCGGGTCGTCGCTGTCATAATCCTCACCTCTTGCCACATAACCGGGGGGTTCGTCCTGAACCCACTTAGGGCGCTTCTCGCGACGGGACTTCTCAGCCTCCAAAGCTGCTAATGCCTCCTTCGACAAACCCGGCCCTTTCTTTCCAGTTCTCTTAAATTCAAGAGGCTTTTGGTACTGTACAGGCTGACCGGGCCACGGGAGCACAGTAGCTTGATGCTTAGGACCAATCCGAGTACTGGCACGAGGGTAGATTCGGTCGTCGTAATCTAGGGCATCCTCGGGCTTGCAGTGCATTCCTAGGTAACGCCAAGGCCAAAGGCTGGCTTGGTAGATTTGCTCCGCAGTGCCGGTGCGATGAGAGTCGTCGTCGTCGGCGGGGCTCGTTCGCTCGGTATCAATCTGCATCTCATCGTCGTCGTCATCGTATAGATCCTCATCATCGCCGTCGCCTGCGGGATCTAGTAGATTAGGTGTGTGACGGGCTTCCAGCTTCCTTTCCTGGGCGCGGCTGCATGCAGCGCAGGACCAGGCGAAGCCTCGTGAGGGCTTCTTCAGCAGCGGCGGCCTGACGCAGTTCATGTGGTATGTCTTCTTACACACAGCACAGTCGACCGAGTCATTGCTGTTATTTTGTTAGTAACCCCAACTTTCCATGAGACCGCGGCGTGGGTGGACCAACCTTGCACAGTACCCGCTGCATCGCTTGCAGAGCTTCACTGCGCTAGTGAACTCTTTTCCGCGACCCTGCTCCACAATAACGAATTTCCAGCGCTCATCCAGCACTTTCTTGACTCTCTCCGGGACGTTCACGATTGTCGACGTGGGGATGAGGTCGTAGTTTTTCTGGATGTATCGGTCGTAGAGCTTCTCGTACCAGAAGCAATCCGAAATCTTGCGGTACTCGTCCATGTTGGGTATTTCCGCCTTATGCAGGATTTGGCACTTGCCACGCAAAGCTGTCAAAGGGCTGATATCGGAATGCATCGTCGCAAACACCAAGCGAGTGTCATTGACCTTTTTGCCTATGTCCTTGGGCCTGTAGAACCAATTGATGCGAAGTGCATCCACAGGCTTGGTGTTGTCATTCTGCGTGTGGAGAAACTCCATGATGCGACCCAAGTAATATGGCTCGCCTGGAGGCTCACACACAAGATAGACGTTGTCTGCAGTCGTGGATCAGCATGTCATCTTCCCAAAAAAATAAATAAAAAATAAAATATGAACGGGGGGGGGGTTGCACAAGGATGGGTGAGGGCGCGTGTGTGGTTTGTTGCTGTCTTACCATTGGGTGCTAGTACGGTACCGTCATCCGCCACCAACTTGCCGTCTCTGGGGACCGCACCGGAATTCTCAAAACTGAGCATGTTCGTCTCTGCGTATGAGCTAGCGTAAGGGCCCGACGCCGTTTTTCGTGATGCCCCTGTGCCGGCACCTGACGACGATGTCGCCGTCGAGGACTGGGCCTGAGAAGTCGCAGTCGCGGCGTGTGAGGCCGCCTTGCGCTTTTTCGAGGGTTGCGTCGAGTTTGTCAAGGTCGATGGTTGCGTAACTGGGGGTGGATTTGCGGGCTGCACGTCCTTTGCTCCGTTCTGAGGAGCGACTGGCTTTGCGTCGTCGGATGGGAGTGCCTTACGGGTTGACCCGTTGGCGCGCGCGCCCTCTTGGGCGGACGTGGCCGACACATTGCTGTGACGCGCCGACTTCTTGGACTCCTGATCCTTCTTCTCGGGGGCGTAATCGTACATGTCGACGTCCAGGTCCTTGTCCTCTGCGTAATTTGGGCGCGATGATCCATTACGGTTTCGTGATCGCGTCCCATACGGGTTCGCGGCCTCAATGCCAGCGTCCTTCACGGCCGGGTCCGAGACCGTGGAGGACGACTTGGCCATGGGCTGTGAAGTGTTGCGCAGGGCCGCGTCGAGCTCAGTCTGGTGTGACTTGTGGGCGGCGGAAGCTGCCTTTGAGGTTGACGCGCCCGAGGTAGCAGGTTGCGTGGGATCCAAGGCGTCTTGTGCAGATGGCGTGGCGCTGGCAGATTGGTCCTCAGAACTGCTGGCAGTTTGTGTTTTCTGTGCCATGATGGCAATGGCTAGCTGCGCGTGGGCGAGAGGTGAGATGAAATTCGTCGGGGCCCTTCCCGCGGGTGATGAGATGCAAGAGGGCCGACAGGTTGGAGCTCGTCTGCAGAATGGCGGAGGCTCCAATCCATAGACTGGGCCAAATGAGATTCGGGGACTACTTATCCAGTGCGGCAGGCGGCCGTGGACGAGATGCAGCCCATGAGATGGCTAGATGTGGATGCGTGGGAAGGGTCGCGTCGGATGGGGGAGAAAGATATGCAATGTGAATGTGCGAAGGCTTGGAGATCCAGCAGGCGGGTGGGAGGTGACGTTGGGGAGAAGTGCGCGTGGGCGTGGACGCGGCGGATATTGGATATGGCTGTGGATGTGCGTGGTGTTTGGGGATGGTGTAGATGAACGAGGATGAGAATGAGAATGAGTGAGTGAAAGGATGGGAAAGGGACGGATGAGTGAGTAAGGGTCCGGTAGTGGGAAGGAAAAGATGAGACCCGAGAGTCAAGGTTCCGGGCGACCAGGGAGGCAGGAAGCAATGGGGGGGCCCAGAGCCAGAATCGGGCGTGTTTGTGAAGGTGGTGAAGTTGGGCAGGGAGGGAGTGATGTGGAAAGGAAGGAAGGAGAAGAAGAAGACGGGTCCAGGTCCAGACAAGCAGAAGGCAAAATGGTAAGAAACGTCGAAGAAGGACGGACGACGGTCGACGGTCGACCACAAGCAGCGGCACCGGTACCAGGTCCAGCAACCAAGCACCAGAGGCACCAAGCACCGGCCGATGGATGGACCTGCACCTGCACCTGGTCCGTCTCTACCTATTTACCTTCCCGTTACCTGGCCTTGTCTTGCCATGCCTTTGCCTTGTCCATAAATCCGGGCTGCCGCTACCACGGTACAGATACTACTGCCAGTGCCGCACCGCTCAATAAAGTGAAGAAAGTACCTTTACCTAGACAAAATGGGGAGGATGTACAGCAAATGGGGCCAAGTACCTGATGAACGATGCACCTGGGAGGGGAGAGAGGAGCAGCATGTCTAGACGGGAAGATACGTACCTGCTTTCCTTACCGACAGGACCAATGACCAATGCTAAGCAGGCCAGAATGATGCCTGTCCGTCTCTCTGCCTGTCCGTCTCTCCAGCTCTCCAGTCCCCGTCGGGGCCAGCAAGGCGGCGGCGGGAGTGGCAGCAGCAGCAGCAGCAACAGCAGGAGCAGCAGGAGCAACAAGCAGAAAACAGCAGGCCCTCGCTTTTTTTTTTCTCTTGCGGATGGGGCTGGATAGGAGGTATCGATCTGCTGCAGGTTGGGGAACGCTACTCGTGTCTCCCAGCAAAATTTGCGTAGCGAGCGAGTAGCGATACGTCGCTGCAACCTGCATGATACCCGACCCACTCTTGTACCTCAGTACCCGCTCCCGCAGTCATCACTCTTGCACCAGACCAAGGGCCCGTCGACCTCACACCTCAACCCCAAGCTCGCCAACGCCGCAGAATCCAACTGCACGCCCCCCCGTCCATCTCACCTTTCGTCTCCTTCTATCAGATCGTCGCCATACCTTACACCCTTTTCGTCGCCGTTCCTCTCTTTGCGGGAAGTCGGGGGAGGGGGATTGCCCTGACACCCCAATCCAACTCTTATACTCTCCCCTCCAGCTGATCGCCAGTCCGGTCGGGTACGTTTGTGTGTGTGAGCAAGTGCAGCACCCACAGAACCAACGACGACGCAGTATCCAAGGAGTACGTAAGGTTGGCAAGAAATATTCGAGAGACTGTGTGTGTGGACGATGCCCAAGACCTGCATAAGGCGACGTCTGACCTCCGCTTTCTCTCCCACTCTTCTCATTCTCCTGTCTCTGTGTCCCGCTCGCTCGCTCGCTTGTTCTCGACGTACCTTTGGCTGGGTAGGTATCCGTACCTCCGAGCATACGTTACCCTGCCTTCATCGGACACCAGACACCTTGCCCCGACCACATCTCTTCCATTCGACTTGCCAGAGATGAATTCTAGATGAGTCGAATTTGGTTCATTTGGGGCATCGGCACCTCCCAGTCCCCTACTCTCGCAACGGTGAGGTGTCAGCGCTCTCAATTAACTTCACCCACAACGGCGATCTAGGTTAACGACGTTGACGTTCAAACAGTCGGCCGGGGCTGGCTGACTTGTTGAGTCTGATCTGTGTCGGGGGGCGGGGGTCGGGGGTCTACACACGCAGTATCTGTACTTGACTTAGACGTACGTAGCAGGCACGAATGAACAACAACATGAAGCAAGATGCGAGGAAGGCACGGGTGTGGTTCGCAATTCCCGCGCAGTTACGGATACCACTTGTCGCTACCTACCTGCTGTACACCTCTCTCTTACTCTCGCTCTCTCCCCGTTAATTAGTCGCTCTGTCGTCTCCCTCCATTCGCCGTCTGGGTCCTCGCGCCGCCGCCCCCCATTTTCCCTTGCAGTTTGACGTCGCCCGCCCTTTCCAGCCAATCCCTCCTTTCTGCCTCCGTATCCCCCTGCTCTGCCCTTGATGGCCATGCCGTCTTGTTACAACGGCACGATATCGAGCCTCGTTCATTCACCCTCATTTGCCGTTTCGATACGTCGCGGATGTTCATCTCCTGCCTATGTTTTCTCAATCATATCGGTACGCACAACTCAATGGTGACCAATCGATGATCTGCCGATTTGCGCCTTTACCCCTTCTTTGACCTGCTCAGCGACTTGCCTTTGAAAAAGCCAGAATACGTCGGGTCCAAGCACACAAGCACATGAGCACGCCTGGGGCAAAGGCGACCGTGGATTGTACGCCGCCGCCTCTGCTCTTCCTCTGATTGCTGGGCGGCCATGTTCGACGACTCGCCCACTTCTTCCTTCGATTCCCTTCCTTGGTTCGTCGCACCCCGGTTTGCCCAACCCTGTGGAAACGAAGGGCTCCCTACGCAGTAGGGATATGCCCACGACATGTCGTCCACACCCCCGTCATCACCCATGTGTGTCGGCTCCATTTCAATCCCACCTCCTGGGATGTCCAGTGACTCTTGGCCACCCACCCCAATATCAACAGCACTTCGTGCTCCTTCGCTGCTGCGCTCTTTTTCTGCTCGTCCGGCCAGCCCTTTCCTGGCCGTTGTCGTCGCTCGAACCTGACAGTAACTCGTCTCCGCGATTTTGCTGCCCGCTTGTTTATCTCGTGGCTCAATCACCCGTCCCGATCCTGACAAGGCGCCCTGGGATGGAGGTACGTCAAACCAGACACCACCTGGTCGATGGCCATTCAACCTCATCCGGAAGGTTTTCTGCCTCTACTTCAAAAATTTCTCCTTCCCCCCATCAGGCGGCATGCACGAGCACCGTAGTTTATTGCCCGCTTTCTCCTACCGCGATTTCTTACAAGCAAGCGTGGCGATGTGCACACATGTCCTGCCAACGTTATATGCAGGACATGGGGGAGGCCAACTCGGAAGGTTCTCACTGCACCATGCCCAGTGCCCACTTGGTATCGAAAGTCCCTTCCCTTATTTCGATTTTGCCCCCGTCCCCCTCTTTCAACCTGAACATCACCTCTTGGCCGAGCTTCTCACCTCGCACCAAATTTTCCGGGAGATGGCTCGGCCACAATCGTGTGACAGCTTAGAACCTGTATAGAGTTTCGCTGAGGGATCCTATGCCTACATGCGGTGCATCACAATCTGCCGCCTTTGTCCAGCATAGTCGTTGAAGATGCCGCTGTAATTGCGCTTTCTTTCCAAACGTGTCTGCATCAAGTAGGCAAGCGGGCCGCCAGAACGCCACCTGAAGAAAGGGCGAGTTTCAATTGTGCAAGCCGCCATACTGGTCTGTGGCCGCCATCAACAAGCTTTTTTGCATTGGCGTACATATCGTGCGCTTACTTGCTTCGTGTTAGGATGGGTTTCGATCAAAGGGCAAGGCATTTCCTGCTGCGACGGGAAAGAGATGTTGCGAAACTTTGGGCACCACATGACATCTCCCTATACAACGTCCTTTATACACTCACACTGTTCATCACCTAGCGCAGCCCACGATGAAGCGGCTGTTTGGATGGCAAGGCACGGAGGAGGTGCATCAGCAGTCAGATGCCGACCGTTGTCCGCCCAGCTGTTCCGAGGCAAGGCACGCACCACCCCGTACCCCGTACATCACCTGTACATACATAGTACAGATGAGATCGAGACGCCTTCGCTCCCGCTTTTGCAATCCCGGGATTCGTTTCCGAGCGGCTGCAATTTGTTCTTGACGCTTCTGACGACCGTCCGGTTTGAAGACACTTCAGCGCAAACAATACTGCCATGTGTTTCAAAGTTCAAACCACATGTCTACCTTACCCAGTACTTCCCGATACGGAGGCAGCGCGCTGGAGTCTGTGAGAGGGTCGAGGTACCTACCAATGTACTTCGACGTCGGGGTGGAGCCGCAAGGAACGCTGGCAGACGACTGAAGGGGTACGTACTGTTCCTCTGCCATGACAGACGCAATGCAGCACTACGCAAATCAGACGTCCCCTGACGATGAAGATGGACTGGCTCGGAGCTTTGATCTTGCTTTCCCCCTCTCGACTTCTGGATCGTCTTTTTGAGGCGGAGACTTGTCAGCGCAATGAGCCTTTGAGTACAAGATTGCGGTGGCCTACCCAAATGTCGCTGCCAACGCAACTCTGATCATTCCCGCGCCACGAAGCTTCGGCGGCTGCGACTGCATCGCCTGAACTGGGATGGGGCCAGCCTCGGCGAGTACGTTTTGTGAGGCGAAGAGCATTGTGCAATCAACAACGGGCGCGCGCTTGTGATATTATGACCAGCTGGTCGAGTAATTTCAGCCTGGCTGGTACAGCGGCCTCAATGGCGAAGGAGCCTGGTTTCTCACGCGTACCGTCATTCGCAGCCAATTGCTCTCTCCAGCAATGTAGACAAAAAGCAGACCCGACTTGCCAAATTCCCCAGCAATGCCCACACACTGCCTATCTCATACCGAGTTACCTTGTTCGGACCACCCGTAGCGACAACTGTCTGCCTGAGTCAAATTAGCGCCAACCTACCAGCCATGACGGGCAGCTTCCATTTCGCTGCCATGTACGAGCGCCGGTTTAGTTATCGAAGATGGGCAAGATGGACAAGAAAAGGAAAGGCGAGTGCCGGGCTGAGAGGTGTCGCAATATATCTGACATGACTTCAAGTGCAACTGCTTTACGGAGCAACAATCGCGACTGAATTGCCCCGTCGTTGGCTGAATCCCACGGTGGCGGCCGAGAGTTTGGCTGCAGCAGCGACGGGGACGTCAGAAAGGACAAATGAGGTCGACCGCATTTGTCGGTTGATCCGGCACAAGCGAAAAATAGAAGTGCACCTCATGCCGCAGGTTGCAAGGGGCCGACCACTAGCCAGCGACAAGCGCATTGCCAGACATTGACAATCGCTCTCCAAAGCCATCGGCCACGAAATCATGCACTGTCTTTTGAACCCCGTCCTGTTTCATCGAGAAAAGATGGACCTGGTGTGAGAGGGATATTGAGGGTAGGTGTCAAGGTCAAAATTTCGTCCGTGGGGACACAGCGCGACCGTCCCTCTCAGCCCTCTCTGACTGCCATCGGACCCTGCGCCGAGTCATCGACGCCATGTCTGGAAAAGCCAATTGCTTGGACCCGACGATAAAATGGAGGCTACGCGTTGTATGTTTCTGCCTTTCGCTCTCCAAATCCCACTCTGAGCCGGAGCGGCTTCTCACAGTTGCTAGGGACTGCCCACTGGGTGAGAGATGTGAGATACAATAAATGGTGTATCGACTGAACTGAGGGCATCGCGTGCCTTTCCACTATCTGCAGGCCACGGATGAAAAGATGACTGCTTTCTTCAAGTACAGCAGCCTTCATCGCCGCTCCAACATACCCTAAATTAACGTGTGCGACAGTAGCGTTTTGCAATAGCAGCGCAGCCGGCCATCGAATGACACGCAACCATCGCTGGCTATCGTCGACATTGAGTAAAAGACGGGTGGTAGTCGCTGGTGGCAGGCCGCGACAGGGCTATTGAGGAGCGTTAACGAATGGATGGGGCCAGATGATGATCCCTGTCCGGGGACAGGGTCTTGTACCTCGTCCAGGTTGTTTTTGGGGGGGGCACCGCATCGATGCGTACCCTCAGGAGAGTTGTTGCTGCTCGCTCTGGAGCATGGATCATCCTTCGCCCGCGCGAGTTGGCTTTTTGGTGCGGTTCGGGTTCCTGGTGGTTGGGGCTGGCTGCTTGTCTGGTGCTGCACGCAAAGAACGCGACCCCGGCAACCCCCTGTTCCGTACCGTATTGTCCTGTTTCTATCCTTCCTTTTTGTCTTCCTAACAGTGTTCGTTCTCTCTGATCGCTCTGCCTTTGCGGTAGGACTCGGCTTCTTCCTCCCTCCTCCATCGCATCCAGTCTGGACTCTTCTCTCACAGCTCAGACAAGCTCCTCAGTGCCAAGCGAGACGCCATTCCTTCACCTTCCCCTTGAACCCCCTTCCCCCAAAATCCGACGTGTGGCAGCTTCGGAGCCCACCGGCCCCAGTCTGTTCGGGTTCAAGTCCGATCGGCCACAATCCCGAGAATCTCACCACAGCGGTCACTGTCTGTTTAACGTCCAGTCAATAGGAAGCAAAAAACTGTGAGCCACGCGAGCCGCTAGCGATCACCACGTAGGCCGTGTGTCGTGATGTGTGAAGTGTGGCTCGGTCTGAAGTGGGGCCGATCTGGCCAGTGAAGAGTACGTACCGACCGCACGACCCGGTCAGCCCGGCCGAGTCCCAGTCGTTGCGTTTCCACTGTCCATTTCGACTTGCCTAGCCTAGGCGCCCGCTCAGTACGTACATAGTACCATCCCGACTACGATACGTTGTGGAGGGCGGTGCCTGCTGAGGTAATACCGCCTCTCTGCACCTGATTTCGCGTGACTCCGGCAGGTGGGCCATCCCTGCTGCTGCCTGCCCACGTTCTGCGGAAACGCGCTTACCCGCTTCCTGCCAACAAGTGTTGCATCACCAGGTGGAATTAGTTGCCTGCCAGTGCAGTCCATTTCCAGGCATTGCTCAGCGCCTGAGACTCAGGAGTGTGGCCCAATCCTGCGATTGCAACTCAAGCTCATGCCGCTCTGTCTTTTCCCATCTTCCATGAATTCCGCTTTGATGCTGGCCAATATTCTGCTCCATGATGGCATCCAATAACGGCATATGGCACAAGACCTCCGTTGAGGCCGCCAAGGAGCAGGGCCACACGTATCATACCGCCTCTACCGGGGCCGGACAGAAACGGCCTCGCTCTGAGTCCGAACATCCCACAGCGCCGAGACCGACAACACTGCCGAGCCATACAGTAAATTTTCAGCGAGCGTCAAGTCTGCCCCCGGGCCCTCCAAAACTCACAGCAAGCCCGGTAGTCTCTTTAGGCGTTGCTACCCAGGGCCCATCCGAATACACTCAGCGACGAAATGTTCCGTCCACGCCGTCTTCGTCTTCGGACCCATTGCTTGCTCTCGCTCATCCTTTTTACGGGCTTCCTCGGCCATTGGTCCGGAACTTTCACAGCCTTGGCATCAAAATCATGTACCCATGGCAGAAGGCTTGCCTGCGAGGCCCAGGGCTCCTTGCTGGGGAGAGAAATCTTGTCTACAGCGCTCCAACTGGAGGCGGGAAGTCTCTGGTAGCTGATGGCTAGTCGGCCTCTCCCATATAAGGATGTTATGCTGACCGTAAACTAGTATTGATGTTGAAGAGGGTACTCGGGGACAGGAATGCCAAGGTCCTCCTGGTCCTGCCCTACGTCGCACTCGTGCAAGAAAAGGTTCGTTGGCTGCGAAACATCGTTCAAGGAGCTTCAAAACCCAAAGACGATATTGAGGATGAGAAACGCGTCTGGAGGCGCCGGGCCGATGAAGACTCGATCAGAGTCATTGGCTTTTTTGGAGGAAGCAAGATCAAGCCTACCTGGTCCGACTTTGATATCGGAGTCTGTACAATCGAGAAAGTATGTAAATCGCAGCCCATGGCCTTGGTGTTGCTGACTGTGAACACGAAAGGCCAACGCGCTCGTCAATACGGCGATTGATGATTGTTCGATTAAGCATTTGAAGGCAGTCGTTCTGGATGAACTCCACATGATCGACGATGATCACCGTGGCTATCTTATGGAATTGATGGGAACCAAACTGCTCACCTTGCCTCAGCCGGTACAGATCATTGGGATGAGTGCTACCATGTCTGTGAGTATCGGTCTGCCTGTCAAGCTCCGCGAGGCCTTTCCTCTGACCTTTGGCTGTAGAACATCAACCTCCTGGCTAGCTGGCTCAGTGCTCACTCGTATGAGACACGCTATCGCCCAGTGCCGATCGAAGAGCATCTCGTCTATGAAGGCAACATCTATCCAGCCGCAACGACGAGCGAGCTACTCAAGACAGCCAGTCATTTGAAAACGGGAACGCAGCCAACACAACAGGCTTCCAGGGCGACAAGACGGATTGAGCCATCCAGCCATAAGGAGTTCCAAGATCCGGTATTGAACGCGGTCGTCTCACTCGCCAGCGAGACAGCCAGGGCTGGATATGGAGCCCTGGTGTTTGCCAGCAGTCGCTACGGTTGTGAATCCGATGCTCGATGGATTGCCAGAGTCATGCCGACACAAGACGAGCTCGACCCTACCCTGCTCGAGAAACGCATTGATTTACTTGCTGAGCTACGTAGCCTTGGGACGGGCCTTGACCCAGTACTCGAGGAGACCGTACCGATGGGTGTGGCTTTTCATCGTAGGTTTTCGTGCGCGAATCTTAGCACTCCGACTGACAGCTCACTAGATGTCAGTTAACACTAACACAATATACTCTATCGGTTGCTGATTGCTGCAGGCTGGTCTAACAATTGAGGAGCGAGATTTGATTGCCAACGCATATGACGCTGGGGTTATCAAAGTATGCATAGCTACGTGTAGTTTGGCAGCCGGCATCAACTTGTATGTAAAACCTCGAGGATACGGGGTTGGTCATGCTAACCATAGTCAGACCGGCACGAAGAGTCATCCTCCATAATGCCCGCATGGGCCGAGATTTCGTCGGGCCCTCCATGCTTCGGCAAATGCGTGGACGAGCCGGCAGAAAGGGGAAGGACGAAGTCGGGGAGACTTACCTGTGCTGCCGAAAGGACGACCTTGAACAGGTAGTCGACCTGATGCATGCTGAAATGCCTCAGATCACAAGCGGTCTAATGACAGACAAGCAACGTATTCAGAGGTCAGAGAGGCGATTCTAACTGTTGCACGTCCTTGCACTGACCGGTTTTCAGGGCTCTACTAGAGGTCATCGCCGTGCGGTTAGCCACAAGCAGAGATGCCCTCGATGAATACATCAGCAAGACACTGCTGAGTCACTCTGGCTCCTTCGAGTCTCTCCAGAACTGCGTTGAAGTAAGTTTGCAAAACCTACAAAAAATGAGTTTTGTGACTGCAGATGTTTGCGGCAATCATCAGCCAACGAAACTAGGCAAGGCAATTGTAGCTTCTGCTCTAGATCCCGATGATGGAGTGTTCATCCACAAAGAGCTGGGAAGGGCACTCCAGGCATTTGTCATGGATGGAGAGATGCACATCCTCTACACATTCACTCCCGTCCAGAACTATGGTACCAACATCAACTGGCAAGTATTTCGGAACGAGACGGAGAACCTCGACGACAGCGGTCATCGAGTTCTCGGGTTTCTCGGACTCAAACGTGCTGTGATCAACCGACTGTAGGTATCCTCGCCTCTCGCTCCGATGTTGCTAACCGTTTTCAGGGCACAAGGTAGTACACTGAAGGAAACGACTGCCGAAGAAAAAGAAACGATGCGTGTGCACCGTCGGTTCTACATGGCATTTCAGTTACGAGACCTGTGCAACGAGATGCCCATCCACGCAGTTGCGCGCAAGTACGACGTGCCCCGGGGCGCTGTCCAGACTCTCGCGCAGACGTGCCACGGGTTTGCGGCCGGGATGATCAAGTTCTGCGAACATATGGACTGGGGGTAAACTTGAGCCAATCTCTTTTCGGCACAGCGAATCACTAATGGCTGATTGCAGAATGATGGCTGCCGCACTGGATCACTTTTCGGACAGATTGAGGGCAGGCGCCAAATCGGACTTACTGGCCTTGGCGCAAATTACCTTCGTGAAGAGCAGGACAGCGTTAGTTGCGTGACCGAGGCGGCGTCGGAGCTGTGTCTAACTTTGTGGAACAGGAGGGTTTTCTGGGAAAACGGCTTCCGCAGCGTCGCGGCCGTCGCGAATGCAGACCTCAGCGAGCTTTTGCCGATTCTCATGCAGGTAAGCAGACGTGTAAGCCTGCCATGCATTGCAAGCTCACGGTTTAACAGGCCCAACCGAGTAAACTACGCATCAAGGGGCAGGAAAGCCTCAAATACGAGGAGAAACTCATGGCCAAGGCCAAGGTAATCTCAGACTCGGCCAACCGACTGTGGCGTAAGTCTGACCGAAAAAACATTTTGGCGCCGGCGGTGAAATGAGAATGCGCCTAGCACAGGAGCTAATCATGACGGGCAACAGAAATCCAAATGCAACAGGAAGTCTACGAGGAAGAGTAACCAACGCGCCGGAATTCGTCGGCGACGGTTGGAGCGGCCGACTACATCACCCGCCCTCACGCGTTGGCTGCACGGCGGCCGTTGCAAAGTTGGTACATCGTACCCGGGCAGTTGGCTATGCTGCTCATAGGCTGTTTCCCATCACTTCCCGCAGTAGATGCGCATGCATACCGCCGCACACCCGTCAATAATCGGTGACGAAGACGCCCAACCTGCATTGCATCGGACGGTAACCCCTCCCCAGCACACTCGCAGGCAGAGCGAATTTTGACGCGACAAATTGCGTGTGATGGAGTTCCGACACCCACCGCCACTCCGAGCTCCTGTAGCTTCTCAGTGGCCTGACTAGCCGCGACTTTGGCACGAACCCGGACGTCAACACTTCGACAGCCACCAACACGAAAAAGGTGCAACGGCGCAAGACATCCAAAAGCAACGCAGGCTCGTCACATGGCACCTCCCGTGTGGTGCAGCGATTGCGTACGTCCCGTTCCGGAGCTGCGCATACGTCCAGGCAAGCACGCACACCACACCTTTACTCACAGGCGCACACACTCTTGGGTGGGGAGGGGTATGGAGCGCGCAGACCGAGGTGGGTGGCATTCCCGGGAATGTTCGCAACGGGACAGAACCGCGACTCGACGGGAATGGTGACCCAGCGCAAACTCTGGGTGACACCTGACATGCAACCGATTATTCCATGCGACGAAACAACGGTTCATGCAAGAGTTACACGGCAGGGAAGCGGGAAAAGAAATGAATTTACCATGTCCCAAAGTGGCTTTGTCCGGCCGGCTCCTAGTGACCGAGATGCACCTCGCCATAGTTGGGGGTCGCGAGCTTTCTGGGCGCGGCCAACAAAGGTCTGACAGCCACCGCCCACCGAGCTACCCACCCTCATCCGTCTTGTTCGAGTTTTTACATATAGCTATGGGGGTGGCTGCCTGACCTCGGTCTGGCGCGAGCCCAGCCTATATGAAGCCGCCATTTCTCTCTCTCTCTCTCTCTTTCTCTCTCGTCTGGGAGGAGCTGCTTTTGTGTCTCTCTGATCCTCTGGCTGTAATTTCATACGGCTTATTCGGCTCATTCCTGGCCAGCTGCACCAGCCCGTCGCGTTCTACTGTGACGCTCAACACAGCCATACAATCTACAGATCTGGGTTGATCAAAGCCTCTTCTCTAACTCCAGAATGTCTGTCCACGGTCGCGATCACAGTAATGGGAGACGCAGCGGCAGCGCAGATGGTGCATCTCGAACTTTGGGCGATGTGATGCGAGCAGGTCCCACCGGTTCTCCTGGCATCGTCGTCATTGACCAAACGTACGAAGAAACGAAGCGAAAAGACGACCTCAGCCCCAGCGAGGACCTGTGGCTAAGTTCGGCTGACGGCCGGTACAACTCAACTATCATACCTTTGCGAGTTGGGCGGGCGCCTAACCAAGAGGTTTTCTACGTGCACAGAGACGTCTTGCTCACGACCGACTACTTCCGGAAAGCTCTTTGCGGTGACTTCAGAGAAGCCGAAGCGCAGTCGATGGATTTCCCGGAAGAGGATCCTGCTATATTCCACTTCCTTGTTGCTTTTTTATACCAGAGAAGCTTTGTCCCCATTATGCCTGCCGCATCCGCACTTGATGTTAAGGAGTCGCACCGGGGGAAGGCGCAAGACTTCGGCTACCAGAGCGATTCCGAGTCGGAGGTCTCGTCCTCGGAGGCCAGTGATGCAAGCGCCAGGAGTCGGGTACGGGCGCAGCGACGGCAACGGCGGAGAGAACGGCAATGGGAACGCATGAATCGGAAACACCCAGGTACCCATCGCCCTGATTGCAGATGCCCGCGCTGCACCACAACCACTACTGGACCCCCATGCTGGAACTGCGGCGTCAGTCGCGCGAGGCCGACGCCGGGCCATCTCCCGCCGCACATGATCACCCCGATACCCCAATGCGGCCCGCGGTTATACCGCCACATCGCCGGCGCCGTAGCCGGCAGCCGATTCTCACGCCCCCAGGGTCGACCCCTTCAGTTGGCACGTCGACCTCGGCCAACGACGACTTCATGGACGGCGACCGCATACGGGGCGAGGACATGCGCACGTGGCTCGCCATCTACGACCTTAGTATTTCCGTCTATGCGTGTGCGAACAAATACCTCATGGACGACTTCAAGGCTGTGATCCAGCGTCACTGCGTCGACATGCTCGAGTCGGCCGGCTCCGACGCGGCGCAGTCGGCGGTTCTGCAGTTGTGCTCGAAGCTGTATGCAGCGGTGCCCGAGTCCGACCCGTTGTTGAGGATGATATTCGCGCGCATCGGCTTCTTGCAGCCGATGCTGTGGCAGCGGGCGCCGCAGCACACATCCGAGTTCTTGATCGGACATCCTGAGGTGGCAGCTCTGATGCTCCGCGAGACGGCAATCCGAAGAGAGGAAGACTTGGGCAGCAGAGCGCTGCCGTCAATGGAGCGGGCGACGCATCCACATGCCATGCCCGTTTGGCCGGTTGGACCCCCTATGCACCCTCATATGCGACCGCCTCCGCCGCCGCCGCCTCCGCCGCATTGGAATCCGGCTCCGTTCGGTGCTTGAGCACTCACGACGGAGTATCGATACCTACCAGATGTGTTTTGACGCCGTTCTCTGAATGGGAGGTACGTGGCGAAGGTACATCAGTGCAGGGAATACCGTCGTAATGGTCTTGTTTATTGTGCATGATTTGAGCTGGGTTTGGGGACGGAAAAGGGGGAAACGTCTGATTAGTATCGGATGGCCAAGACGAAACTATGCTTGATGGAACTTCCATCCTCGGGTTACTTTGTCCCATGGCGGTGGAACCACTTGTCGCTTTCTTGGGATCCAATTCCCTCAACATCATTCTCCAGCAGGACAAAAACAATAAGAGGAGGGCTTGCCCGTTCATCCGATCGAACCAAAAACCATGCAGGTTCCCAACCCATGTGATCACTTTGGGGTGGCAGTACAATCTGGTGCCGCGAGAACCGCGAGAGTGGTGCCGAGGTGGTGTGGCAAGGGGGTGGGTGATGTTTGCTTGGCCTTGTAGGACAATGGCTGTCGCGGGAGAGGAGCTTTGCGTCAGGCGCACTAGGACATCTCGGCTGGCCCCGTTGAACATCTGCGCCCAGCCGGCACGGCGCATCGGGCCCGTCTGTATTGTCAATCCGGGTATGCCAGCATCGGTGGTGGAGGGAAGACCCGGCTAGGCGCGTTCGCTCGGTCTCGAGGACAACATAGCAAGCTGGCGTTCCTCGGTAGGTCGCCGGCGCGCAGACCGCTGGCGCTCGCCTCACTTGCTCGTGACGACATTGGCGTTCTCGGCTGGATTGTTCGGTAGCCCCACGTACCCATTCTGCGACCAGCTCGGGAGGAGTACGTTACTTTGGGCGTGGTCTCGTTGCCACCCGTCGCGCCTTTGGGGGTCCTTCCGCCCGTGAGACTTTGAAAGGTGGTGACTGATCAGGTCGGAACATGTCGTCCGGTCACTGCGCTGATTGCGGGCATGCATGCCTCAAGGCGACAGTCCAGAGGAAGCTGAGAAGTTGAATCCGGCGCGCGGAAGTACAAATATGGATCCCCGAGGCAGTTCGCGCCCGAAACGATTTACCCAGTCTGATATTCCAAGCCATGCATACCAGAGTGAGACACCAATGTCAACAATGGCATCAATAGATATCCCATGATGGCAACGCAGAGCCTCCCGGCCAATATCACTTGAGGCCCCCCAACCGTGACGAGGCGCCAATGACTTTCCACAACTACCGGCTTCTCACTTTTGTTCATAGGCCTTTCTAGCAGCTGTTCATAATTGTTGTCTGTTCCATGCAGTTCCAGAACAAAGCAACACCGAGTTTACCCGGGTTCAGAGTGATGCCAATGCTGTCGGTCAGAAGTGTAAAACTTGCGTCTCTTCACCGTCCCCTTTCTGATGGGTAACCAACTGTTGCATGTATAGCTGTCCTAACATCACACCCGCGACGGCCATGCCGGTACCTCAGGTGTTTCTCCTTCGGCGCCGCTGTCGGGTAATCCAGGCCACCAACAGGCGATGACAACGGTGGACACCAAGCAGCTCACAAGAAGCGTGTGTATGAGTCTCTCAACTCCGCGTAAAAGAACGGTCTGACCACATGACTTGGGGCGGAGAAATGTGTAGTCGGAGTGCTCTGTCGCTTCGGGACATCATTGAGCAGAATCGCCGAGTCAGACCCCGGCCAACCCCAACCTCCCACCCCGGCTTTTCCAGACTGACGCGATTGTTGATTCTGGGGTTCAAGCTCCGGCTAGAGAGGCGAGAGGGGAACCCTTGCCTGGACCCCACCATCGGCGCTAGCTACCCCACAGAACAGGACTATGACAGCTTTTCTTGTCTTCTCTCTTCCCCGGGGCCTAGGAGCAGCGAGGTGCGTTGCTGTACTAGAAGCGCGGGGCCGGACTGGATGGTTAGTCGGGTGGATAGGTGACAATATAGCCTAGATTGAAGCAGGCAGGTTAAATTGCCCAGCAAACCCGGCGTACCAGATGAGGCTATATAAACCTGCGTGACCGCGACCGCAATCCATCATGATGGCCTCTGCTGCTAAGGCGCTGCTTGCTGTCCGAACTTCTCGAACTTCCCCCGGCTTCTCTAAACGGAACAAGATAGAAGTCGCTCAGCTATGCCGTTCATGACCTCAAGGACACTCGCCGCGGTGCTCACCGCGCTCGCCGTGACTTGCGGCGTATCCGGCGCTGCCGTCCAGGCACGCCAGGAGCAGCAGGCGACGCATCTCGTCGCGGACCTCGACTATGGCAGCTTCCAGGGCGCTTACTCCCAGCAGTACAACATCTCGTACTGGCAAAAGATCCCGTACGCCGCACCGCCCGTGGGCGAGAACCGTTTCCGAGGGCCCCAGCCCCCAGCGGCTGTGGAGGGCGGCATGTATGACTCTAGTCAACCGTTTGATATGTGCCCTCAGCGTACAGTATTACTCCCTGAATTGTTGGTTCGGTTAGGATCGCGATTAGCTGACCGGCTCGTGTAGGTGAACGGTTCCGAAGACTGCCTGTACCTCGGCCTCTACTCCCGCCCCTGGGCCAAAGACCAGCCTCTGAAGCCTGTTGTTGTTACCTTCTATGGTGGAGGCTTCATCCAGGGCTCGGCCTACTTCAACATTCCGCCCTCGGCGTACCCTATCCTCAACGTTTCTAGCTCATCCGATATGATGTTCATCTACCCCAATTACCGCACCAACGCCTTCGGGCTCCTGCCCGGCAAGGAGATCGCGGCCGACCCCAATTCGGACTTGAACCCGGGTCTTCTGGACCAGGAGGCCGTGTTGAAGTGGACCAAGAAGTACGTCCAGCAGTTTGGCGGCAACCCCAACGATGTGACGGTGTGGGGCCAGTCAGCGGGCGGCGGCAGCGTTCTGGCTCAAGCCCTTGGCAGGGGAGGGAAGCAGAAGCTGTTCCGGAAGGCGATGGCGAGTAGCCCGTTCTGGCCCAAGACGTACAAGTACGACAGCCCCGAAGCGCAGGCTCTCTATGACGAGCTTGCTGCCCGTACGGGATGCGCCGGCCCCGATAGCTTGGCTTGTCTTAAGAAGGCCGACGTTCAGGCCATCCGAGACGCCAGTCTCATCATTTCAAGCTCCCATGTGACGAACACTTCGTCCTTCACCTGGTCTCCCGTCATTGATGGGGACTTCTTGCAGGAGCCGCTGTCTTCAGCCGCCGCGGGAGGCAAGGTAAACATGGAGCTGGCGTTCGCAATGCACAACACACACGAAGGCGAGAACTTCTTGCCCGCTGGTCTCCAAGACGCGAAGGATACGGGATCGCCATCCTTCAACTCCAGCGAGGCTTCGTTCGACAAGTGGTTGAGAGGGTTCCTTCCCGGCTTCGGCGACTGCGAGATTGAAGGTGTGAAGAGGCTGTATCCTACAGCTGGCACCACTGAGACGATTTCGTACAACACGACCTATGTGAGGGCAGGCCTCATCTACCGGGACGTCGTCCTGTCGTGCCCGGCGTTTTGGTTTGCCGGTGCTGCGCCGAAGGGTGGATGGCTCGGCGAATACTCGCTTAACCCGTCCAAGCATGCCAGCGATACCGTTTGGGTGAGTTTCCTCGGGCAATGTTAGGTGAGACTGCGACTGACAAGTTTGAAGTGGAACCAGATCAACGCAGTTCAGAAGTCGGATCCCGCTCGTTATCAAGGATATGCTGGTAAGTGGCCTTGCCACGCGTCTTGCTCATCATTGACCGCTCCTCGCTGACACCGGCGCTTCCAGGCGCTTTCGCTTCTTTTTTCCAGACTGGTGACCCAAATGCCCTCAAATTATCGCCTTCAACGGCGGCGGGCGTACCATACCTCAAGGACAACAAGGAATGGGTGGTCGACACGGCAGGTTTCGCGACTGCTAGCCTGGAACAGCTGGAGAAGAGATGTGGATTTTGGAAGAAGACAGCGGCGAAGATACCCATGTGAGAAGGTTCGAGGTGTTCATTGCGTGACATACAAAAGACACGGTTAGTATGCCACCGTTTTCTCTTAAGTTTCAACCCGGTGGCTCACGTGGTCCGCGGATTTTTCAGTCCTGTTGTCTGTCGTCTTCCGGAATACATCTCGGCACTCAGCTAACAGAGAAGGATGGGAAGTGACAGGAAAGTTGATCAGAGGAGCCGGGAGGGAGAACTTTAGTTCTTTGTCATCTCTAAATGGTGTGATCATGTGGTGATGATTCGAGGTATAGACTAATCGATAGGGTCGTCCCTCAGCCTGAAAAGCTCCCGCATAACGTCCCCTGTCCTACCACGCAGCGCCGAGTGATAGAGTTGGTTCGTCTCATAAACCTTGGTCCCTTTCACGAGGGCCGCGGTTTCCTTGGCGAATTCGTAGTCGACATACATATCATCGATGTAACCAGCAGCGTATACTGGGACCGTGTTCTTTCGCAACTGCTCTTGGTCATACAGGTCGGGCCACTCGTCAAACTTGGCAAGGATCTCGGCAGCTTCGTGTAGTTTGATCAGCTCCGGATATGTCTCGAAGTGAAGCGGGAAGATCATCTCGCCTGAGAAGTACAGAGGATCGCCTGTGTATTCAGAAATCGTGGGCTCTTGCTCCAACCACGAGAACTCCTTTATAGCCTTGCCGACCCGATAAGCTGCCCAGTTGGACGCAATGCCCGGCTTCTCAGTGTAAATTGCCTCGTGCAAGATGGCGTATATTATGTTGCTGTCAAACGCTGTGGCTTGCTCAAAGTCTGTAAGGGAAGCACGCGTGAAAAAGCCGAATTGATCGAGGTCCGTCTTCAACTTAAATATGGTCGAGTGTACCGAGTCAAGCCCACCGTGAGCACCAAAAGCAATTCCCAGGGTGAGAAGTCTTGGGATGGTCATGAGCCCGCCACCAGGAAGATCAACCTGCTTGTTTTCCTGTATGAAACGGGCCACCTGATGGACAGATTCGATGTCTTCAGGGTATTTCTCATAGTAGGCCTTGTTTCTCTCCGCGACCTTCCTGAAGGTTGCCTCATACACTTGCTCAGGCCTCTTACCAACAGGTGCAAGTCCGCCAGTGAGGAAGACCTCTCGCAGACCTTGGGGAAACTTGGAAAGGTAAGTCAGAGAGACAAAGCCGCCGAACGACTGGCCGAAGAGAGACCACTTCTTTTTCTCTTCGGGGAAGTCGTGGGTCAGACACGCTCTAACAGCTTCTAGGTCATTGACAATGTTGTCCTGACGGAGCAACTTGAGGTGATCGGCCTGCTTCTGGGCATTGCCCTGGAGAGCCAGGGTGGCAGCGGAGACCGGCGAGCTGAGCCCGACTCCTCGATAGTCCAGAAACAGGACCTGATAACCGCGCTCCAGGGCTGTATGGGTGACAGGACTGTCTTGAGGCTCTGGGTTACCAAAACCAGGTCCTCCCTGTAGGAACACCAACCATGGTTTCTGCTCAGCCTGTTTCTTCTCGGCCTCGTTGGGAGCGACGATGGGCCTCTCGTGCTTGGTGACACTCTTGCCGAACAGCTGAAGAACACCTGAAGACTGGTTGTTGTAATCCTTAGGGACCTCAAAAAAGAGCTCCGAGACTAGGAATTGGCCTTTGTATATGTTAGTGGTCCTTCTGGGCTTTATCGAGTCTTACGACTACGCTTCGGGGGGTGTTACCTGGAATGACGTGTGATCTCTTGCTGAGCAGTTTCGCTGCGCTGATTGCTCTGGAGGCCATGATTGCCACGGCACGATACTGAAGCCTAGGTGAGTCGAATGATCAACAGAAGGGGTGTTGTTAACACTGCTCGGATGGAAGGTGGTGTGTTGTCCACAATTCAGAGGACCTTGAGGACCCCGCCCAGACGATTGTACAAGATAAAGTGCAGTGAGATGTCGCACCTTCTCAGTTGGGCAACTGGGCCCGTTCTCACAGTGCCTATATCTTCTATTTGAACACTGCCCTCAACTGACCTTTCTGAGTCTTCATCCCACCTTCTTCCTTAACTTGTGTGAGTCTAAGCTTTCTCTAGTCCCTTGCGATACCCCTTGGAATCTATAGGATTAAATTGAATTCAAGATTCTCACAGGCTTTCAGGGCAGCAGTTGAAGTGTAGCTCTGATGTCCAGGCGAGCATTACCTGATTCTTCAAAGATAAGGTGATCAGGCCTAGTTGCACGGACCGGCAGGAGCATAATCAATGAGACCCTGTAGGGTTTTCATCAAAGTGCAACTTCATTTGGGGTTTACAGTCATTTGTTCAGTTTTCCTTTCCGGCTCTGTAGCGATGGTTCTTACCAGTGACGTCTCCCGCCTTCGGGCTTCATGGACGGGTTCTCCACCGTCACCAAGACTCCTGACTATAAATGGTTGCCATGGGAATGAGACATTTGGAGACAAAGATAGATATGTCGAGAGAAAAACAAACCTCGTGCATTGTGGCACAGGATGTCACTGTAGTTGTTTTACTTGTCAAGGAGCAGCCGCCCCAGAACCTTTTTTGTACCGCGAGTTCCTGAGATTTGCCGGGTAAACAGCAAGTTGCTAGCCATGAGGAGGGCGAGAAGGAACATAATGGCATGAAACGTGCTGGCATTGCTCTTTTGTCTTTCCCGTTCGAGAGCTCTCTTGGTTGGATCTCCTTTCAAGGGCCTTTTACGATTCGAGGGTCTTCCGTTTCTTAGAGGTAGCCGCCGTTCTAGACTCCTTACATAAGCTTACCACCGATTACGGATAACAGTCCACCAATGACATCAACCCCCGCGAGCGATCCGAATGTGCTCGGCTCGGCAAAACCTAGGTCGGACTCCACGGACGCCTAGCGAACCTCCAAAGTCCCAAGTTGGGGAAGCGTTCGGCGGCAAGATGGGCTGGCAAAGGAAAGTCTCCCCATCACCCCGAGCATCAAATACCGCCTCCTCCCGCCACTTCATGCCGCCTCCCACATGTTCCGAGCGCGAAGCCACCAACAGTGGGATGAATTACATACATCTCACCCAGACGCTTGTCGAATCGTTCAACGCCCTTGCCGATGAAGTCCAGATCCTGACCGACAGGAAGACGATCCTGGAGCACAAGCTCAGGTTCGCCCACGAGCAGGTACGTTTGAAACGAAACGCGCAGGGGTTTGTCAGCAGAGTCTCTTGCGCTTGCGACATCCTTCCTACCCCCCTTCTACGTGATGAACAACCTTAGCTCTAGATCAAGAGCTCCTTACACGAGGAGCGAAGACCGATCCTTTTACCATTTTCTGACTACGAATTCACAACTATTCATTTCATCGTTCGGCTGGTTTCGGTGATAAGTCTTGCTGACCCGACAATTTCACAGTACCAGTACCTGGCCGACAAACATGCACCGGCTGCCCCCGAAATCTCCGAAGTACTGGCAAAGCTACAGCTCCCGCCGGAGCTCGCAAATCCATCTTTAGAAGACGCAAATCCCGTGCCCCTCCCGAAGCGCAACAAACTGGATACCAGAAATCAGATTGCTCTCATCATCCGAGACGGTCGTCGTGTGGCTCAGCAACTCACGTCTATTGGCGAAACGAGCAAGACGAGCGACTCTAGCAGAGAAACTTCTTCCCGTGAAGCCCGGACCGGAACCTCCATGTCGACCGTTCTCGAGCAAGATTTTACGATTGAGGGAAAGAAGGGGTCTCTAGAATGTCCCTTCTCCTCACCCAAGGCGGAAGGCGATGGCGTTGGCGATGCGCATAATGAGGAGAAAGGGTCGCAGGATCCTACGCCTCACCACTCCGCAGACCCCATCTGCGCCGCCATGTTCGAAGAGTCTACATCCCAGCCGGCTCCTGGCGCTGTCGACTCGCCCGCGAAATGCCCGATACGCTACTTAGATCAACACTCCCCCGAAGAGATCGCACATTACGTCGAAACACACAAGCACGAACTCCCTCGCAGCCATGAGGTCTGCGTAAGAAGATACCAGAAGAACGAGGTACAGATCAAGAAGTTGGATGCAAAATACGGCAACTTGGTCAACATGATTCAGGGGCTTAGTGCTCTGCATCAACCCATGCTGCCGGAGTCGCAACAGGAGCAGGAGGAGATTGACCGAGCCTCGAACGAGAGGGTGCAAAACTGGGCGAAGGCTGTCACCGCGTCCGAGACTGAGGATGCTGAGCAGTCCCTGCCTGAACCCATAGACACCGACGAGGCTCGGCAGAGCCATTTTGACCGTCCTCTCAAGGAGGTTCGAGTGGGCGAGTCCCCCAGCCGGCCATGGGGCATTTCTGTTCCAGTCTACGAGTCCCACGGTCTTGGCGGCGAAGACCGGCCTTTTTCGCCACCGCCGGCTCCCGTCTTCATGCCATCGGGCTCCGAGGACGAAGAAACCCCGGCGCCCAAGACTGGTAAGTGTCCTTTTGATCACACCAAGATGGCGGCGATGGCCGCGGCCCGCGAGGAGGCGCAGCCGCCCTCTCCTACGCCTGCGCCCAACTTTATGTCAAATGGGATGAGCGACAACGCATCGCCACCAAAAGCCGGAGGCAAATGCCCGTTCGACCACGCCCAACTGGCGGCGATGGGATTCGCGTCGCCGACGCCGAATACCGGAGAAAAGACCTTTGTTCACGTAGACCCGGACCCCGTTGAGCTGCCGTCGACTCCTGTCAAGCCGCAGCCGTCTCAGAGCGCGCCTGCTCAACAACAGCAGCCGACATTCATCAACCCGCCGCTGGACGCGAGCAAGCAGTTCAACTCCAATGGGGTACCGCAGATGGTTTTCACCGGCCCGGTCTTCATTGGCTATCCCATTGAGCAGGCAATCCAGTTCATGCAACATTTCCAAGGGAGGCAGTAGTTACTTGAACTTTTGCCCTCCTGTCCTTCTCGTCTTTAATCGCCCGCTACACAAAAAAAACACTCTTAATGGTATGGGAAAGGGGCGTCCGTTTGGTTTTTAGCGAAGGCGTTGGGATGGTAACTTTGGATTTCATTCAACCGGGGGTTGTTTATTACTATTTTAGCTTTCTATTTTGGACTTGTTCAGTCGGGCCTCACTTTCGTGGTGTGCTGCACGAGCTTTTATGTACAAGTTGACGAGAACGAAGAGAACGGAACGAACGGACGCAGGAGGGACAAGCAGACAGAACTCGTCCGTATGATACCACACAAGACCAGAAATGAGACCACTGATATCATGAGAATACTTGCGCCCTCCGGGGCATCCCGAGCTCACTGTGAAGCCGCTCAAGCTGTCGGCTGTCATTTACAAGTTACGTCGTGGACGCAATGTGTTGAATCAAGGTCTAGTTTGGCGCCGAATCTAGGTCTACTTTCGCCCGCCGAGAGAATTGCATCATGAAAAAGCCCCGAAAAACGCCTAATCCGAATCCTTGAACCCGTTCCCCTTCCCATCGTGTTCGTCGTGAAACGGTTCCGCAGCCACCTTTTGGTTTGTCCTCCCACCCCCGTTGGCCTCATGTTCATTGTCGTCATCATCGTCACGATACCCGCCGTCCTCGTCCGCCTCGCGCGTCCACAGTGAGATGTCGTCATCGTCCATGAGCGCCGCCACGTCCTCCGGGTCAACGAGGCCAGCCTCAACGTCCGAGTAATCGGGCGCGTCATCGTGGCCGGGCACGAGACCGCTCGCCTCCGCCTCCTCGAGGGCCAGCTCGGCGGCGCGGGCCATGGTGCGCTGGTAGATGAGCCAGCCAACGACGAGGCCGACGACGCCGCCGAAGACCATGGAGATGTAGTTGATGGCCTTGCCGCCGGCCGTCATCTCGTCGCCGTTTTCAGCAATGAGGGCGAGGCGGCTGCCGATGAAGACATGGACAAGCAATTTGGGGCTGTTACGGAATGTTAGCAAAATGACGGCCGGGGTAATTGGTGGCGAGGACAGGGGGTGTGCATACCTGGCGAGAGCCGTTGAGGCCGCAAACGCCCAAGGCTTGATGGACGGGATTGTAGACAGAAACCCGTTCGACAAGCTGTACGGCAGTGGGCAGAAGCGCACCGCCGTCAACATGCCCAGCCCGTCCTTCCTCAGCACTTGCCCCAGCGCAATGAACCGATGGTCCTGCCCAACCAGCCGGTGGACGTATCCGCTGAAGATGCCCCTACTCGTATAAAACGCCGTCAAGCTCCCCGCGACTGTGGCCGTCGCGACAATGGGGTATCCAAGCGGGAACCCGTACACGAAGCCCGAGATGGAGATGGCGGTGCTGTAACCGATCATGGGCGGGAAGGCCGTCAGGAACGTAAAGGCCCAGATGATGAGCCAGCCGCCGGGCAGCGCACGCCACTTCTGCGAGACCGGGCCGAGCCACTTGAAGATTGCGTGGGAGTAGACGAGGAGCAAAACGATAAGGACGTTAACGACGAGGAGGAAGGCGGCGACGGCGACACGCTGGACGGGGCTGAGGCCGATGTACATGTTCCAGAGGCGGTTGCCGGCCTTGACCGCGGAGCGCATGCCGCGATTCAGACCCGAGAGAGCTGTTGTTCGTCGCGATGTCGAACTTTGGCGGCCAAAACGGGCGGCAGACGTGCGGCGGCCGCCTGAAGTGATTGTCGTGGTCGAGGTGCCGCCGATGTTGCGGACCCATGGCGGGCGGGCGTCGGCGTGGGCTTCGGAGGGGGAGGACGGGGGGTTCGGCGACAGGGAGAGCGCCCGCACTGCGGACTCGTAGTCGGCCGGCATCGTAGAGAGTCTTCGCCGGCGGCGTCGGCAGCGATTGAGAAGAAGGAAGGGTTGGCGTCGGGGACCGGAGGCTCCGGACGTAGAAGCTATTCGTGGGACGAGTCGATATCGTGTCGGCTTGACGTCGTTCAGCTCAGATCTACAATTGTTTTATTCAAGCTTTGTAAGAGCCATTTCGAACTGGTAAGTCGAATGGGAACGGAAACGAGGTGTGTAGGTTGGAAGCTACGTCCAAGGCATGCGTGCCAATGTCGAGGGAGCTGACCTTCACCCACTGCGATGAGGTAAGCTGAGCCACAACGAAAGCTGCGTTAAAGGTCGAGCCAAGCGTCTACTTTTAGATCCTCGCCGGGTCCGTCAGTGCGGGCTTTCGGGGAAATCGACCGGGGTTCTTCTTCAAGCTTATTGACTCCGGTTTACGCTGCTTGTCCCTATCTCACAAAGGGCCTAGATTCTAAAGCACATGAAGCTAGGGACACCAAATGGAAAACCGAGGCCGGATCTCATGGGACGTTGACAAGATGGTTGAAGTTTCCGTTTCATAGGAAACGCAATGAGCCTGTCTCATGTTCCTGCGAACGGTTTCAATAGCCCGTCATGAGTACCTAAGGTAGGTACCGGCGGGGGTTCTACGCATGCACGCACACCCCAAAATGGCAGCTGGCGGTGCATCCCGTCCGGATCGGCTTGCCTGCCAACCGACTGACGCCCGGCCTAAATCCGCCCGAAGGTCCTGAACAATCCAGTCTTTGTGGGGGCTCCACACGAGCTGGAAGCTTTGGATGCGGCTTCCCTGCATGAACTCTACCTAGGCACGGCCAGGATCTATTAGCCTCCCCTCTTGTAAAGTATCTCTTGCTATCCCCATCATCCTTGGCCGCCCCTAAAACGATTTTGATAGAGGAGTTTGCTCCCGGGAGCGTCTTGTTGGCATTTTCTACTTGGTTCTTTTCTACTTTGTTGTGATTTCTATCCACCTAGCAGCCGTCATCGACGCCCACTGGGCCCTTTCGGAGGATCCCTCACAAGAAGCCTAACCTTGCCATCCCCAATCTCCACACCCTGACTCAAGATATCAACTTCCTCCTTGCTGTCGTCTGCGCTCGATGTCCCCTCGCGAGCCAGAGCTTTGTCGTAACTTCGAGCATCGATACCTAAAATCCCGCCCATGTTATTGCGGTCTCCAGGGACAGAGAATTCGCGGTAGGCGTATCTCCATTCGTTCAGAAAGTTGCGGATTGCCTTGCCGACCTTGTCCTTGCCATTCTTACTATGGTGACCTGTGCCTGTAATGGCGTAAATCGGCCTGCTTTCCTTGACATTCTCCATCAACACCCGCTCCAAGTACTCCACAGCTTCTTCGGGGTGAAGTCCGTGCAGATCGACGTAGATTTCGACGCTGTTCGCATTGGCCTTGTTGCGCTCTTCATATAGCTCGCGAGCTGCCTCTCGGTGAGCCTTCCGCATAAGATCATTCTCACTCTGGCCCCGCAAGCTCAGAGCCTTGGCAGCCCTCGCATCGTTGCGGTTCCAGGCTTGTGCGGCACTGACCGACTGGTTAGCTAGAGTCGCCATGAACATCAATGTTAAACCATCTTACCTCTGAAGGAACTTGTTCCTGAGACCGCCGTGCTTGATGGCTTCCTGTCGAGCCTTGAGGTAGGATTTGTTGGCTCTTTCGCCAGTTTCTAGCCACGGGATGTGTTTCGGGTTCGGAATTGCTTGGGCTGCCGCACTGTTCTCCCCGTTTCGGACATTGGTTGAGCTCCCGTTCCGTCCAATCTTCTTTAGGTCTTGGCGAAGCGAAGCTGGACCGGGGGATGGTGACATCTTGACAATCTCGGCAAGGGAGTTCGGTGGGAAGTTCTCCTTGTGGTTGTGGCCGTGACCGCCGCGCTTTCCATGATGCTTCTTGCCCTGCTTTGCGGCAGCCGAGCCCAAGGTAGGAAACGCGTCTGCATCGTCCAGCGAGGGGGCCACGGGTTCCCTAGCTTGTTGGTGTCGGCTACCCGGACGAGATCTGGGCCGAGGACTTTCTCCCCCGTAGAAGGGCTTCAGACCAGGCGGTGGGGTAAGGCCAATGGTAATATTCGAACTTCCACTGTAGCCGCCGACGTGTTCAGGGGTACCCGGTGGAAGTGCTGGGAATAAGTTGAAATCAGTCAAGTTGGCCTGCTTGGTCGGCGGTGTGCTAGCTCCGTCCAGCGCCAGCTTGTTCATAAGATGCGCTGGGTCATGAGAGAATATACATGTATCACCTGCTAAGCAGTTGCCCATAACCCAATACCTTAGAAGGTCATGTTAGTTGCCGCTTTACGTGAATAACAGGTGGTTGGATGTACTCACTTGCACAGGTGGTTGCTCAAGTCGTGGCTGAATCTGCAATCTGCCCTGAGACATTGTCCAGTGGACATATAGAATTTGCAAATGACGCCCGATCGTTGTCCGGCTGGTGTGGTAGGGCGCCCTTCAGCGGCCAACGCTTTCCCAATGAGAGAGACCTTATTCTCCTCAGGCTGTGGACTGCTATAGCCATTTTCTTGCGCCTGGCTCTCCATGATGGACACAATCGTCGCACTGAGATCATATCCATGGACGGCAAGGGCGGCTTCAATTTCTTCATCAGTCCGTGTCTGGCCGAGGATTGAGCGGAGCATGTCATAGGGAGACATGTCGGCTTGTTGCGACGACATGGACGAGAACTCAGGGGCGGCAGCGTTCAAACCACTTGAGGTCCCAACGGATGATGTAACGCTGATGGCATCATCTGCCACTAGCCACTCTACATTTTCCGTCTGGTAATCGCCAAAGGTTTCTTGGGAAGGCGACTTGTCGCTGGCGAATTCGTACGCGTTGAGGTTCGGGCTATGAGGTATAGCGGGCGTCGCAAAGGCGAGTCTCGGGGAAGGTCTCGGCGAGGAGAAGGGAGAGGCGGCCGATGATTTCGTTCTCGTAAAGGACGGGGTGAAGGAGGGGACAAAGCCTGGGGGAGCAAGTGGGCTAACTCCAAGGCGCGGAGAGCCTGAAAGAGGGGTGGCACTACCGCGCCAGGGTGCAGGTGATGGTCGCCGCAGGATGGTTTGGCGGATTGGAGGAGAGGCGGCAGCTCCACCTCCATCACGGTATCGCCATAATACATCGAGGATCGCATTATCTAGTGAGGAGCCGTTCAAGGTCGTCTGGCTTCGCAGGAGGTCCTCGAGCTTGTCCGTCTTGTCCTCGTCCTCGAGGGTGGTATCCTGAAGGATAGGAAGACAAATCTCGTAGTGCTCGTCGGAAACCATGATTGCGCGGTTCGGGGCCGAAGCGCAGCCCTTGAAGGATAGAAACAGGCAGCAAAGATGCGTTAAGGATATGTATTGTATGCGTATGTAAGGTTTGAGCCGAGATCGAAGCGGCGCGTCTATGTATGGTATTCGGTCTTGGGGTGGAGCAACTACTACGGAAGGCAGGCGGCGGGAAGGCCGCGGCAGTGGCACTGGTAGCGGCAGGTAGGCAGAGCAGGGTTGGGAGTTGACGTCGGAATGTCAGCCTTCGCGGATCGCCGTTGGAGATGATTTGGAGCAAAGGACCGGCCGGTTGAGTAACGTCGATATTAAGAGTAGCAGGGGCGAGCGACAGCTTGGTATGTGCTTCGAAGAGCAAAGTGTTCGAAGACGAGCGAGCGAAATGGTGATAGGAACGAAGTTGGTGGGCGGGACTCGATGGTTCCGTCACATGGTTTCGGAGCCAGGGGCAGAGGGGGGGGATCGTCTCGAGAGCTTGTTGTTTGAATGAGGCGGTCGATGTTCCCGGCACAAAGGCAGAGACGGTGTGTGCCTTGTTTGTTTGTGCCTCGCTATCTCGCGAGCTTTGTTGTCAGCCGTTGAAAGGCAAGGGGAGCGAACCACGAGTAATCGGGGAGAGTTGGAGTTGGAGATGATAGTTTGGGTGGTGGGAGGAAACACGGCCAAGTGCACGTCGTCCCCCTTCAGCTGATGACTGGGACCAGGAACTGGGACGGAGACGGGGCCACCAGAGGGCGGCGGGAGGTAAGGTGAGTTGCGGTCGGGTGCTTGGGGTACGTGCGTGCTTCCTGCACTGCGCTGCTGCGCTGCTGTTCGCACTACCTACACTAGTAATAAAGACGGGCTGCCGCTGGATGTGGGTGCAGGTCGATGTGAGCCCAGGTGTAGGAAGGGATGAGGCACCACCGACCAGCTGGCGGACAACAGCTCCTGGGGTCGGTCGGGGTACTGGGGGCCCGGTGTCAGACAGCCGGTGGTAGCAGTGCAATAAGGTACGTACCGTGGGACATGCCCAATCCCAATCCAAAGGGTGGGGAGGGATCCAACAGTCCATTCACTGAGTGATCAGGGTTCGAACGTGGGGTCGCCCCTCTACTGGCTGTAGTGGCACACTCTTCTCTCACCTGTCCTGTCACTTCTCAGACTCACTACTAGTGTAGGTACACATCCACAGGCAAATCCCAGCAGAGAACAGTATACCTAGGTCAATGATTTCTCTGACGCAATATAATGGTTAGAGCACGACCTTCATGGCAAAAGAAGAAGAGGAAGAAAGGGGGAAGCCCCCAGTCGAAACATAGCATTTGGGCGGCAGCCTTGAGGTGCTGTTGGACGAACTCATCTGATTCCATGGGTACTCGCTAGGAACGACGACGCCCTACGTTCAGCGACGAGACAGGCGCCGCTAGGAATTGCACGAGAGACCGATAAACAAGCAAGTAGGCTATCGGCGACGGCATGTCATCGCCAGGATCCTGGCTTGTCTGACATAAGGCAAAGTAAGGACAAACTCTTTTTCAGCTCTACCTCTGGCCAGTCGTTACACCCTTTTCCTTGTTTCACGCACCTTACCTAAGCCAACCACGGCTCACGTCCGGTTCCACATACTGAGATATCTGCCGATTCGGACATGTGTATCTGATTGACGCCTTATTGATCCCCTTCAATGTAACTGTCGACGTTGTCAACCCTTCCACATCACCAGATTGTATGACATCCAAGCCAGGCTCTACTAACTCGAAATTTGATCGGCTCGTCGTTGCGATTCGAGGGGGACTGTACTGGACTCGAAAGACCTGTGCCTTCCAAAGTACGCCACTTGAGTAGGTGTATCATGAGCCTCCAGCACTAAGACGCCGTTTTGTCATTTGGCAGACTTAAGGCACTTCGTCATCCTCCAGATCACCCCCGAATCCAAAACTGAAGCCTCCCCCGTTGGTCTCGCTGTCACCTCCGCCCACCGCTTCCTCCCATTTTCTCTTCTTTTGGGTGTTCCTCTTCTCTATAATTTGGAGCGCTTCTTCCAGGAGGTCCGGTTGATCCTGCCGCAGTCGCTCAACAAACAATCCGTATGGGTCCACCACGTCTTGCTTGAAACCAGTGACCTGGTCTGGCTTGTCTCTAAGGAAGGACACGACCTCCGAGAGCTGGTTCTTGGGGACGAAGTTCTGCGTTAGAGCGATACCGCTTTCTAAGTTGACAACCAGGTGCCACCACCCACTTGGCACATGCAGAATCTCTCCCTCCTTACAGATACCCTCGATACACTCGGGCAACTGACGGGCTTCTGCATGGAACTCGAGGAGCCACTCTGCGATGCTCAGGGGGCTCGTTACCTCACTACTGTCCTGCGAAACATAAACCCCTGGCACCGAAGCCGTGGGCGGGAACATAATCCAGTACTTTGTGCCCTGAATCACAGCATTCCATGCGCTGGTGCCGTTTGGGTCCTTGTGGAAGGTTGATCCGCTCCTCTCTGGGCCGATGATTAGCCAGCGATGGGCTGGCCGTTCCCTGCCCAGAAGTTCGAATAGGTCGGGCCCGAAGCACTCTGGCTTCCAGTACGCCGCCCCTTCCTCGTGGCCAACCCCAATCTCCATTTTCTCAGCGAACTTCTTGTCGAAAAGATACAGAGGACTCTCGTCATCGTTGTTCTCCATGTAATCGCGATAGGTTGAAAAGGGCCAGTCCACGGCCTCTGCACGAAACTCCACGGTGCCATAGCGCTCCGATATGACATCCATGTTCCACTCATGGTAGACCGGCCACGCCTGGATATAGTTGGTCAAGACGAAGGGCGTCTCCGTCCATTTCTCAGAGAACTCATCGTATGTAAGAGTTTCCATGCGCCGGATGAGGTTGCTCTTTGGTATTCTCGAGGTAAACTGTGTCAAGTCCACATGACTGCAAACGAATGGTCTATGCAGGACATCGGAGAAGACATTGCTACAGTCAATATTTGACTGCTGCTCAGGAGACAGCCGAAGTTGGGTGGCCCTCCATGTCCCCTGCCACTTGCCATCGAACCTGTCCGAACTATGGGACCTAGAATTTGGTTAGCAGTTGACTCTCACTTACATGCCAAGATGTGATGGACTAGTGTGCTGTTGTCATCGCGTCTATGAGCCAGTCACACTGAAGAGTCATTAGGAACCTCGACCCAGGCTGGGCCGCGTTCACCTGTGGGAACCGGTGACCGGTAATGAGGGACCACGGCGTAGCTCACAGCGCTTGCGATAAACACCAGGATCCCGATCCCAGATTTACCGCCTCAAGCTCGGAACTGTCTGACTTACTGTATAAACAACGACTTCCACAAATCGTCGGACCGGCAGAATGCATAGAGAAACTTGCAGGTTGACCCCAGTGTTCTCAGACGTTCCTGGTCGAGATAGTCCAAGAGGATCATCAGGGCCTCATCAGGCAAAATCTTGAAGAATCCGATGTTCTTCCGAGCGTTCGGACGGTCCGAGAGATACTGATTGCCCAGCGGTTTCACACCCAAAGGATGCGTAGGGATTGACTCATTTAAAGTGACTGCATTTTCAACCGGTTTTGAGTCATAGTCGAGACCGTTGGTGTTGTCAGCATGGCCATTGGTTCTCCCATTGGATAGAGTGCCATGGGGTGGCACGAGAGTATCGTTCGCCATGTATCAGCAGGTAGAATATTGACGGGACAATGACATGTGCCTGCTGCTTTGGGAAAGGATAGTTGTGGTGGGGGAGGGGGACTGGCGTTGGAGAACCAAGGCAAGCAGAGAGACTGAAGGTTAAAAAATTGGTTAAAAAATAGTCGTCAGAAAACAAAGAAAGAAAACAAGCCAGGAAAACCTGCACGGGAAATCATGTCACTGCGCTGGCATCGCGGGTGCAGGTGGTACGAGCGGCAGGAACAGCAGTGGGTGGCGGGCACATGCTTCAGTAAACTTGATCTGTGACTCAATTAATGCATGAAGATGTCTAGATGAAATTCTTGCAGGCATTCCGCCACAACAGGGCCTGGGGTGCGTGGCAGGGTAAGCAAGCGGCAAAGAAAATGAGAAAAAATTCAGAAGGCAAGCGCGACAAGTGTGCCTCTTGCTGCCCCTGCCGCCCATGCTATCTCCGGCCCTTCCAGTGCTGCAGAGTTGTAGAGTCCCGCTGAGTCCGCTGAGTCTGCTGGCTGGCTGCTGCACTGCTAGTGGCTCTCCGTTCTGTTCACTCAGGCAGTACGGCGGGTGTGCCCTAATCACTGTTCCTGCCATTTCCGTTTAGCGCCACCTCGCTTACCGCATAAATCGAGGGGCCGCCCGCCGCCCAGCGAAATTTTTTTACGTGGTCAAGAATTCCTGCGGCTGCTGATAAAAACTTCACCTCCCACCACCGGACAATCAACGTGCACCATCACCCCACGAACAAACCCAACACTAAACGCACCTTTATTCCTAGATTCAGTTCTACTCTTGCGTTTCGCCAAGAGTATCGGATCTAGTTGAGACTTTAATTCTTAGATTTCGATTCGTCGACCTTTTCGCAAAACTCTCCAACCGAGACGTTTGCGAATTTCCAACCCCTCGCCAAACCCCACCTTCGCGACGATATTTCTAGATCCCAAGCTGTGCTTGTGATCTAGATTTCTTCCACAACACAACCGCAATCATGGCTGACAAGGGTCTTGAGGATGTGCCTGAGGGTAAGTCTTGCGATCATACCTCGAGCTTCGTGGTAGTCGCTCGTGAAGGCTTCTTCTCCAACCAGAGGATCGCCGCCCAACCGGCCGACCGCTTCGTCCCCTCCTTTCTCTCTCTATCTCGCCGCCCCCGCCCGGCGCATTCCAAAAGACCTCGAGTCGCTGACACTACTCCTCCTTCCAGGCCAGATCGAGTCGAACTACGATGAGACCGTCGACTCCTTCGATGACATGAACCTGAAGTCGGAGCTCCTCCGTGGTATGTTTTCCCACGCTCAAAATTTTCGGATGGAAATACCCGCACCGTGGACTCTGCCGCTAACCTCGCTCTTCCAGGTGTCTACGCTTACGGTTTCGAGCGTCCCTCCGCCATCCAGCAGCGTGCCATCATGCCCGTCATCAAGGGTACGTTGACCAACTGATCCTTTTGCGCAATAACTCCCGCTCACCCTTCAACCAGGCCACGATGTCATTGCCCAGGCTCAGTCCGGTACTGGCAAGACCGCCACGTTCTCCATCTCTGTCCTCCAGAAGATCGACACCAACGTCAAGGCCTGCCAGGCTCTCATCCTCGCCCCCACCCGTGAGCTTGCTCAGCAGATTCAGAAGGTCGTCGTCGCCATCGGTGACTTCATGAACATTGAGTGCCACGCCTGCATTGGTGGCACCAGCGTCCGTGACGACATGAAGGCCCTGCAAGATGGTCCCCAGGTCGTCGTCGGTACCCCTGGCCGTGTCCACGACATGATCCAGCGCCGCTTCCTCAAGACCGACAGCATGAAGATGTTCGTCCTCGACGAGGCCGACGAGATGCTTTCTGTAAGTTCACGTCACGGCATATTGATCCATGCCATCGCATGCTAACAACCCTTTCCAGCGTGGTTTCACCGAGCAGATCTACGACATCTTCCAGCTGCTCCCCCAGAGCACCCAGGTCGTTCTTCTGTCTGCCACCATGCCCCAGGACGTCCTCGAGGTCACCACCAAGTTCATGCGCGACCCCGTCCGCATTCTCGTCAAGAAGGACGAGCTTACCCTCGAGGGTATCAAGCAGTTCTACATCGCCGTCGAGAAGGAAGAGTGGAAGCTCGACACCCTCTCCGACCTGTACGAGACTGTCACCATCACCCAGGCCGTCATCTTCTGCAACACCCGCAGAAAGGTCGACTGGCTCACCGACAAGCTCACTGCCCGTGACTTCACCGTCTCCGCCATGCACGGTGACATGGACCAGGCTCAGCGTGACCTGATTATGAAGGAGTTCCGTTCCGGATCTTCTCGTGTCCTGATCGCCACCGACCTTCTGGCCCGTGGTATCGATGTCCAGCAGGTTTCCCTGGTCATCAACTACGACCTCCCCGCCAACCGCGAGAACTACATCCACCGCATCGGTCGTGGTGGTCGTTTCGGTCGTAAGGGTGTTGCTATCAACTTCGTTACCGCCGAGGATGTTCGCATGATGAGAGAGATTGAGCAGTTCTACAGCACCCAGATCGAGGAGATGCCCATGAACGTTGCCGACCTCATCTAAGTAACGCTTTCACGGATACACGCATTCTCCCTCTCCCTTTTGCACGAAACAAGCCCCTTTTGGTCTGCTCAGATCGACCACGCACCGGATCTGGCAAGACGTTGGGGGGTGTTTTTACTCGAGATTCATCAGGACTTGTTTGTTGATAGATCGCGGGAAGGCTACCTGGCGAGCCACTGGGCGTGGCCGGCTTCACCATGTTCTTGGTTGACTGCCGGGCGCGCCCCAGCTCATGGGTGGAATTGAAAAACTGGCTTGCATGCGGAAAGGGCTTACGAGTCTTTTGGCACCTTAATACCAACGAAGGTGCGGCGGACTGGTACCTAAAAGAATCATTGGCAAGGGTTCTAGTTTTTGACTTTCAGTTTCCTAGTCTCACTGTACGTAGGGGCCACGTCACGATGAATCTGCTCTTTAAAAAAAAATAACTCGCTGTCCCTCGACTTTGATGAGTGAAAAGTGAACGCCGCTGTATCTCTACGACCAGTTAACGACGTGTGGATGTATTTCGTACTTGTGATGGGATTGTGTCGTAGGATGCCCACGATGCTCCCCTCTTGCCCACATCTCACTTTCTTTCTAGTCGACTGTTGAACGCTCCAGCGAAGAAAGCGGGGGGGAACATGCAGAGGGCTGGGTACTCGGGAACGAGCAGGGCGAATTGTCGCAGTCGCAGTCCAGCCGAAATGGAGAATTGTCCTCCGACGTCCCACCATACAGGCTTGCAAGTGGCCGGCGCTCGTCAACACTAACACGCCGTGCGTCAAGAAGCATGGGGGCCCGAGCAGGGCTTGGGACCCCTTATCGTGAGACTTGGGAAGCCAGCCCACGGGGCAGCATACCTGGCATGGAGCCTAGCACAGAACAAGAGTTTACCTGACGTAGGAGATGGGGAGGTTGGGCTGCGGGCAGAGCGCCACGTGGGTGGACCATTCGAACTCGAATGCCAGTTGTTGAAATGGCAGGAATGGTGAATGCGTTGTTGAAGTACAGTGCGTGGAAGGAAGCCTGCTCCTCTCGGTGAGAGACTGGTCTTTGGTGGTTTTTTCTCGCTGTAGGTGGGGACAGCAGTGCTAGTAGCACCAATACCCATGCGTTTCCCGGTTCGTCGAGGGTTTGTCTTCGAGCCCGCCTTTGCGCACTTTTTGTCTGCATTTTGCTACCTACCGCCGGCAGGGACGACTCTAAAGAAACGTCCGGAGATTTCTCCACCATTGGTAGATGCGGGTTCGGAAACGATTCAATTCAACCATAGGCCGAAAGGCGAGAACGAGAGCAGGATGCGTTGGCGTGGTTGGCTATATAGGGTATAACTCATGGAGAGCCTGGTCCGAGCGTTGAACAAAAGTGAAGACAGTGCCTGAGGCTGTTGTCAAGCTCTTTCTTGGCTTGTCCTCATCCCAACGTGAACGAGGATTCCTCCAGTGCTGTCAAAATTCCTAGTGGGGGATCGCTGTGCTCTTGCGGGACAACGGTTTTTACCCCGCCACACGTACCAGAGGCCATCTGCCAGCAGCACATAAAAGCCACAGGAAGCCTTTGCTCAACATGGACCGTGAGACAGATGGACAAGGAGTCTGTCTCTCTCCCAGGGATTTGTCGGACAAAAGAAAATGCAGTCTCGTAATTGTGCAGACTCTTCCTGAGTTGCGCCAACAAATTTTTTGTGGTTCCGCAGATCAGGGTTTCGTGTTGTGTGCGGGATAGACCTTGGGTGGAGGAGGGAAAGGGTGAGGAAAAGTGTTCGTTCCCTGAATTTTTTTTAGGGGAAGAAAAATTGGCCAAACGTCCCGTCTTCCTGCTCTCCGTCCTCTTGGCTGTCAGGCCTACCCCTCCCCGACCCCCCTTTTCTGTTTCGTTTCGTTTTAGGTAGTTCTTTTTAGGGTTGCAAGGGAGCGGGATTGAAACTCGCATTAAAACTACAGGGGCAGTATGTAACTAAACGGCAGAGGCTCTCTCCCTGTCTCGGAGCCATATCGACAAGAGGGGTGCGAGACGGGGAAACCGTGGCTCAGCACTTACAACGAAAACGCGCTGCTGCATGTCGATGCAGACGAGTCTGCCTTGTAATCATAAGCCACGACGATGGTCTGACAAGACCGACGAGACATCTCACGCGAAGGATGGGCTGTAGGTTCAGCGTTTGGATAGGCCCGTTCAGTATTAGTTAGACCGCGATATCAAGCGTCATGGACCTAACGTCCGATTCGGTCTGGAATTGGTAGAGGTATCTTGAGATGGACAACAAAGACATCATCGGGTTTCTCCATGTTCAAGGATATCTCACGGCTTTAAAGGTGGTGTAGATGGCATTGAAGCATAGCCTATGGTATTTGAGCAGTATGACCATTCCTTAGGATGCCCTCCCTGAGTCTGGCAATGGGATTTACATGGAAACTGGCATATGAGACAACGAGGGATAACATACGCGAGTTTCAAAATCAAGTAGGCTAAGGTGAAGGCATTTCACTCAAGTAGGCAACAAGGCATCGATATTGCACACTATGGCCGGTAAGAAGCAGTAACAAGCAAGGAAGACTTTGTTGGCCATATGAGATTATTATTTTCCCTCTCGAACCAGTTAGGTTCGTTTCTCCTCAACAACCTTGTGCGACGAAACGTTCATCTGTTGTCAGTCTTGTACCGACTGACTGCCCATTGACGAAGTAATGACTGGGTTTGCAGTAGGAGCAGCCACCGAGCACGCTATATAATGCTATGAGAGTTTTCAAGGCAGTCCCCATGTTGGTCGAGGGTTTCAGTGGGATAGTTGGAGGATTCGCCGAAACTGAGGAGCATGCCGTCCGTTATTGCGAACGTGTGACATAGTAGGTGTCTGCTGCGAGCAGAGCATACATGGCCACGCCGGTGATGCAAATCTTGCCAACTGTATAGCCTTTGGGTGTGGTAAAGTCGTAAGAGGCATTATTTGGGGCTACCTTTACTGCATGTTTGTTGACTTGAGTCAGGAGGCACGATCGGTAACCTTAGGTATGAAATACATGAGACATGAAGTACAGAGGTTGTGGTTTCTGAGAACATTTTAGATGTCGATGATGCTTTATGGGATTAGAAGAGTGGCCCGTGGTATAGGGGATGAATGCTTGAGTTCAAAATGCTCACGAGACCGGCCGGTACAACAGTAATTCTGGCTGGCCTGGCTCACCTAGCCTTCTCTGATTCTCGTTCCTCGCCCGCTTTACTCACATGGGGTCCAAACGCAGGTGTTCCGTGTGCCCTTACGCGAGGCTATTTTTCCTAACCAGACCTGGGCAGCTCTTGGTCATCCTCAACAGACATGAGCTGTATAGCATTTGAACTGCTTTCATTAAATAAATTCAAAGAACAAGCCACGTGTGATGCCTGGAGACTGGGGTGACATGGCGTGAACCTAGGACCCGGACAACCTGATGCCTGCTACTGCGAACCGATACAATGCTTCGACAGATTGGTGTATTTCACCATCTAATCAAACAGTCATCTTGCCATTATACAGCCCAAGTCTCTTATCCCCACACCTTGGCCCAGTATCGCATCATAATCTCTACGCCATTCAACCTCAACTCCAATTCATGCCAGCATAGTATGTGATAACCAACTGGTACCACTGTCCCTAAAACAAGACACGGTTGAACACCTCATTGCAACCTGACCTGGTTCTCCCGACGGAGTTCAAACCAAAAGTACATATACATGTACAGCATAGATCGGGTTGAAGGAGAGTAGGCGGCTTGATTGCCTATACTCCGCCGGCGCGGCTCTTTTGCAGGACGTCTGGGGGCGGGAGGTACTCGGGGCCGAATGAGAGAGGGAGGAGCTGTTCAAGACATTCAGCATAACATTCCCATCAAGCTTTCCTTTTGGCACAAGACTTACCGCTTCCAGTCTCATCACGGCATACTTGCCTTCCTTGTTGAACATGAGGATCGGCGTCTCCAAGTCCACGAACTCGCGGATACTGTTGACACATGTCGTCAGTATTTGGTTATTTCATCATCTAAGCCGCCTGAATGAAGCTACATGCCACGTCTGTAGAATTTCGCAGAGGTAGACTCACAACTGTCGGCACATGCCACACGGGCTGCAGGGGACCTCAATGTCCGTGGCAACGGCAACGGCCTTGAACCCCCGGATACCCTCCGTGATGGCCTTGCCGAATGCTACTCTCTCGGCACATGTGCCAACAGGGTAGGAGGCATTCTCGACATTGGCTCCATCGGTGTACTGGCCATCGTTGGAAAGAAGCGTTGCGCCCACACGGAACTGGCTGTACGGGCAATAGGCCGTCGCCTTTGCCGCCGTCGCCCTCTGATGAAGCTCCTTCACTTCGGCGGTTGTGAGACCATACTTCTTGGCCGTTTCCGTCGTCTGAGACTCGTTGGCGATGTCGAAGATCTCGGGAGTGAAGGCCATCTTGAAAAATGTGTGAGAGAGGGGATGAAAGTGAGGTGGTGAAAAGGCGGGGTGGAGATCAGACTCTATGGATACGGGCACGATGCGGTTGTTGATCTAGGATGGCAGGCAGTGCCTGTGAGTGCTTGCTTGGCTGATGATAGCCCCGTGAGCTGGTGCGCTTAGTGTATTCCCGGCGGTTGTTTTGGTGGAAGCGCCCTCTAAAAGTGCTACTGGGATGTTCCATTTATGAGGTCCGAGTGCCATTTGCAACACCCCCGGCCGTCTCCGACTTCCGTTTGCGTTTCCCAAAGTAATATTTCTTTGCTATCAATGTTGGAACAGAAACCCGCAATGCCATGATTCGACCTTCTCCAACCATCGCCGATGTTTCGTTTCGACCCCAAAACGTCCTGCCTATCTAGGCCGCTTACATTCTTGGGAGACAACACCGGATTGGACGGACATTCCCCGTATGACCTAACATCCTGCTACGCACTCCCGGCGGCATCCTGCAACCGTAACCCCGCAGTCCACGCCTGGCTGGCTACCTTTTACATCTGGTTTACGCCTTGCCGAGTGGTACCGTAAGCGGGTTCATGGCACTAAGTGATATCGATGAGCTAACCTCCTGGTCACGAGCTGCATCTAGGTGAGAAACACTTACGAGGAGCCCCCGTCGACGACCAGATTTGCCCCCGTGATATAGGAACTAAAGCCCGAGGCGAGGAAACCAGCCACTCGAGCCACCTCTTGAGGACTTCCCGGTCGTTCGAGGCCGATGCTAGCCTCCGACAACTTTTGCGACCAGTGTCAGTCAATGAAAACGTTGCTGGATGCTCGATGAGAACTCACTTCTTTACCTTGCAATCTTGCAGGAGGGAGTTGGGAGTTCATTCCCTTCATGTCAACCTAGACTCCTTGTTAGCGCGGCCTTCTCGCTTGCCGTTGCCAGCCCACTCTCACCCCGTTTAAGTCGAGGCCAACGTCAATTTGACCTGGTGAGATGCAGTTGATCCTCACTCCGGTGCCCTTGAGAACCGCGACGCCCGCCTTCACGACACCGAGGGCCCCGTACGCAGACATGGTGTAACTCGGTCCCCACGATGCTACACTGCTGATGACGATGATGCTGCCGTACTTCTGCGTCTTGGGCGCCGCGTTGGGGTACGCCTGCTTCTCCGTCAGCTTGGCCATGGCCGGGGGCGCGTACTTGAGCGCAAAGAAGGGCGCCATCGAGTGCGCCTCGAAGCACCGCTGCAGATCTGCCGGCGTCGTCTCGGCGATGGATGGTGGGCCCAGGAGACCGGCCGACGACACCCAGATATCGAGGCGGCCGAAGGCGTTGAGCAGCTCGTCGATGAGGACCAGCGTTTCTTCTTCTTTGGCCACGTTGAATGGATATGGGATAACTTTGGTGTTGGGATGCTCCTGGTGAACCTTGGTGACGAGGGACTTGAACGTCTCATCGCTGGTCGTCTTGTCGCATACTGCAAGGTGTCAGTCTTGTTCAGACGACCATGCTTTTCTCCAATACAAGATCGGGAAGCCATACCATATATAGAGGCGGCACCATGGGCTATTTGCTTCTTAGATTCCCTTCTTACAAGTGGGAGAGTTGGAGCTCATACCTGCCAGCTCCTCAACGATGGCCCGTCCAACGGGCTGGGCGGCGCCGGTCACGACACAGACGAAGCCATACTGGCAGCAAGATCAGTTCTCCTCAAATTGAAGCTCTAGCGGCATTGTGTCAACCTACAAGCTTGCCATCGGCGCGGTAAGGGCTGAAATCAGCAGTTAAATCCATCCTGGTCAAGGATTGTCGAGCAACAACAAGGTTTCAAGAAGTTACTACGAGGAGCCGGGAGACTGTAAGTTCTTTCGGCTTTGGTCGTGCTACAAGATGGACGATGGGTTTGTCCCGTTTGCGAATGCAAGAAAGGCGGAATATAGGGAAATCCGAGCCAGGCCGCGCATGGGCCCAGACTCCGGGCGGCTCAAACCTGCGTGCCCAACCGGCCTATGCCGTCACCTTCACGCGAGCTGAGGATGGTGCTTCTCCGAGGGAGAGTCAGCCAGCGAGGAGGCGCACCAGCGCAAACCATCCAAGCGCCCGTTTAACTTTTGATAAGAGATAAGCTATCATCAAGCCACTCGTCGATCCCAGAGTTTGTCTCAGTCGATCCAGCTGTAGGTGCTACTTTCGCTTACGACAGTAATTGAACAAGACGAGAATCGTTCCAATGGGAAGGAAAACATATGGCACAACGATCGGGTCCATCCAGGCTCCAGGAAGCTGGAATGTCACCCCAACCTGCGGCCCGCGCGGGGTGGATGTTAGTTGAGCTTCGCCTGCTGATAGGTATCGATGACATTGAAATCCCTGGTGTCTGATTGGGTGGCATCGAAGCCGAGAGCCAGACGACGGAGATGTTCGAATTTCCCCACACTTTCCAACTCCTCTTGCTCCTCAACTTATCCCATGTGCGACTTCTCTGTCTATCCGCTCGAGAGAACGTTTCGTGCCATTTCACTTGGAAATTCTTGTGCGTTTCTAATCCCTCGTTTATACTGCGATCGCTACTCGAACAATAGTAACGCTCCTTAGGGCAGGCTTTACTGTAGATTGCCCAGTATATCATATCCTTGCCGAGTCCTATCCATGATTTATGTGGCAACCAGGCATTGATGTGCTTCCTAATGAGGTTCGGTTGTTGGGTTGATGCTACGAAAGCTTACATGACAAGGAAGCTACCATATTGCAGAGAGAGCCACGCTGAAGGATGCTGGAGGTCGTTGTGGTAGCCCCAAAGCGAGACAGGCGAGATGACAACCAACTAGTGTATGATGCAATCCTTGAATCAGTGACTTACTGTTATCCTCGCTTTCCACATGGCAGAACAGTAGGTTGACTACAGCAACCATGTTCTGTCGAACCAGTCCTTCGGCCCCGTCCCGGAGCTGGGTGGACCCTGATTTATACACAAGACAGAGGGAGGGTCTCCGGCCTGTCTGTCCCTGCGATGTCTACCCAATGTGCAAAGCATTCGTAGACTGAACCATACAGCGCTTAGGAAGGGCTGAGAAACCAGTCGAAATTTCGGCTTGATAGCCGGAAGACTACCTGGCCAAATCATCAGACTTGACTCTACAAGGCAACAGCTGATCCAGCCACAGGCACCTCGTCAGGAGGGACCTCTACCCTGGGGCACCGATGGTTCTCGAACCTTTTCGGCGGCTATCGAAACTGCGACAAACCATTCGCTTAAAAGCTGGGGCACCAGGGTTTTTAGTAAGTCTCCAGCCAGTTACGGTACACTCAGGGTGCTTCTCCACGTTGAAACCTTGACCGTTCCTGACGTCAGTGAGGCCATCACCGTCCGACAACGGTATATGCGTTAGCGAATACAGCAGATGTACATGTGCTGGTCACTCTGAATTACAGTAGTTGTCAGAATTGTCTGCTGCAGCAGAAACGTGATTACCGGTCTGTCAGTTAATCTCAACTAGAAGCCTCTCGAGCCATGCTGAACTGGCTTGTATCACAGAGCGCGCCTTAGACGATGGCCCTTGGGCTGAGTTATTTCGTTTTGTGATTCCCAGGACGACAGCTGCTAAGCGCTGCAAGATACGCACTGGCATTACGTCTGCTCCAGATCACAGACGCCTGCGGGATCGGCTATTTCAGATGATGGTACCAGGCTGTATGCACGACTCAATGTTCTTTTGCCCCAGAACCCTGGCAACGTCACCGGATCTGCAGGCCTCGAGAAAGAGACATCCTTGATCCAATATAATAGGACGAAGTGAGAATAATGCAAAGAGGAACAACGTCCGATCAAGCTGTGGTAAACCACTAAGCCGATCTTGTTGGGGTGCCTGCATATTGTGACCTGCAGTCTCGAGCTGTCCCTTCAGACATCTGATGAGCCTGCTCAAAACACATGTAAGCAAACACACGTGTTCGTTTGATGGGCTACGAGATTGGGGTGTTGCCTCATCTCAGCAGTGCAGGAGATGAAGATCAAAGAATGAATTGCGTATTGAGCTTGTGGCTAGTGAGAGCCAACGGTGCATCGCCCTGTAAAAGGCTCGTTTGCTCAAAGTCATGGAGCGCCTTAGTTGGGGCTATCGCCGACCAGGAGTAAAGTCCGTGGACGAAGGTCACTGCAATTACTTACACTCCAGCAGGATAACGATGACGGATGAAAAATCCACTTCTCGGCCCCGCTTGCCTGAGATTCTCGTCGGATGGTGGGGAACAGATTGTGGGAAAATTGTTAAGGGGATACTTGTGTCGGACATCGGATGCATGGGATAAGCATAGGCTTCGGGGCGGGTTAGGGGAGGGCAATCAGGCTGGAATTTGGTGAATTGCGGCATGGATTGCGGTGGGAGACCCCTGGATGCTGGGACAAACAGCATTTCTGGAGCCCGGCGGATCAGGGTCCAAGGACCCCTCGGATCGGACCTGGAAGGGCGCTGCAGGTATTGCATCATCAGCACCGCCACAGTGGCTGAAAAGAATTCCATCTTCTTCCATCGATTTCAACTTGGGGCCATTTGGGTACGGGAAATGCGCAAGGCGACCCGCCTTTGCAGCCTGCTTTGCCTGCTTCCTCCCTTTATTTTGAAAAATCCAGCGTCCCAGTGTCCCGTCACTAGCGCCGTCGGTTCCACCCAGCCCAAGGTACACTTCCACCGTATTTCTCCCCGCCAGGAACCTTAGCCATCAATAACTTCCTCGCCAGCCCGGCTACTACTCCCCCTCGACTCTTTCCCATCTCTTTCTCCCCTGCAACAACCTACGTCTTTCCAGTTTACGTACACCAGATACCCAGTTGCGCAAATCGTCTCTGTCGACCTTTTTTCAAAGAGTGAGTAAGACCTTTGTTGCATCCTGCGGCGCAAACCAAAATCGCAGCTGTTTTGTTGCCTGCCAGCCTGATCCCGCCTTGCATTTACCTGTATCGGTTTGGCGCGCTCAGCCTCGAGGCCTTCAAAGCCTTTCTTCGTGATCTCCCCAGCCATTCTTGTGCGTTCAAGAACGTGCAAGTGCGAACGAGGAGCCACGATACCCTTCAAACTTTTTCGATTCATTTGGCTGACTGACTATGGTTTCTGCAGGCCCCTCTATAGACCCCCTACTTCCAACTCTGACTTCAGCGCCAAGGCCTTAGATAAGGATCACTCTACCTACCGGCAACATGGTTAAAGAAACCAAGCTCTACGACACCCTCGGCGTACGTCGCACAGCGAAGCATCCGGAGTGATGGGAATGGAGTATTAACGCGGGATACAGGTCGCGCCGACGGCTACCGAGCAGGAATTGAAGAAGGCGTACAAGACAAATGCTCTCAAGTACCACCCTGGTATGTAACACGGTTCTGCCGTCTCAATACACACTTGCTGACGTGGGCTCGATAGACAAGAACGCACACAACCCCGATGCGGAAGAGAAGTTCAAGGAGATTTCCCACGCCTACGAAATCCTTTCCGATTCCCAGAAGCGCACCATCTACGACCAATATGGCGAGGCTGGTCTTGAGGGCGGTGCTGGCGGCGGTGGTGGCATGGCTGCCGAGGATCTCTTCGCTCAGTTCTTCGGCTCTGGCAGCTTCGGCGGCGGTCTCGGCGGAATGTTCGGCGGCGGCGGCGGCATGCCCAACCGTGGCCCTCCCAAGGCTCGCACAATTCACCACACCCACAAGGTTTCCCTCGAGGACGTCTACCGTGGAAAGATCTCCAAGCTGGCTCTCCAGCGCTCCGTCATCTGCCCCAAGTGTGAGGGTCGTGGTGGAAAGGAAGGCGCCGTTAAACGTTGCGCTGGCTGTGATGGTCACGGCATGAAGACCATGATGAGACAGATGGGTCCCATGATCCAGCGTTTCCAGACTGTCTGCCCCGACTGCAACGGAGAGGGTGAGACGATCAAGGACAAGGACCGCTGCAAGCAGTGCAACGGCAAGAAGACCATCGTCGACCGCAAGGTTCTCCATGTCCACGTCGACCGTGGTGTCAGAAGCGGTACCAAGGTTGAGTTCCGCGGCGAGGGTGACCAGGCCCCTGGCATCCAGGCCGGTGACGTCGTTTTCGAGATCGAGCAGAAGCCCCACCCCCGCTTCACCCGCAAGGATGACGACCTCTTGTACCAGTGCGAGATTGAGCTGGTGACCGCGCTGGCTGGTGGAACCATCTACATTGAGCACCTTGACGAGAGGTGGCTCAGCATCGAGATCCACCCCGGTGAAGCTATTGCACCAGGTAAGGCGATCCCTCTTCAAGGCGTCAAATACGCACGTTAACTGACTCCTTCCAGACGCTGTCAAGATGGTCCGTGGCCAGGGTATGCCTTCTCCTAGACACCACGACTTCGGAAACCTCTACATCCAGTTCAACGTCAAGTTCCCTGAGAAGGGCTGGACGGAGGACCCCGCCGCCTTCGAGGCTCTCCAGAAGCTGCTTCCTGCCCCTTCGCTGCAGACCGTGCCTCCCCCTGAGGCTATGACCGAGCCCGCGGACCTCGAGGATCTGGACAACACCTCCCAGGCTAGTGTCTTTGGCGGTGCCGGCGGCTCCATGGACGAGGACGACGAAGATGGACACCCCGGTGCCGAGCGCGTGCAGTGCGCTTCCCAGTAAACAACATGTTTCGATGAAAATGACATTACGAGCATCTTCGGCGTGGTGGGGGGCGTGGGTCGAGACACTTCTTTTCACATCTGTTCCACAGAACAGAAATGCATATTTTCCCAGTCACGAATGGATGGAAACGGTTGCATGGAAATGGTAGAGGGGTATGCTGTTCGGAGGCCGCTCGCACAATGGCGGCAACCGACTGGCTGCGACGCCTGGTCTAGACGCGCCGAGTCGGGTTCGTCGAGAATGGAGGCTGGTTACAATTGGGCCAGCAGAATAACAGGGGAAACCTGGTCCAGCGGTTGCGTTTTTAAAAACATTACTTGGCTTCTTTCGCTCGACGGACATTCGAGACTTGGTAGGAAGGCGTTCACGGTCATAGAGAGGATAATCCGTTGAATCGATTTGATGATGAATGCGCTTTGCTCTGCTTGCAAATGGATTGTATTGAGGTTTAGTGACGAGGTGGTGTTTCTACGACGCCTCAGTCGGCTCCCCGTCCTGCGCCTGCTCCTCTTGCTGTTGCTGTTCTCCCTGCTCTGCCTCGTCGCCTTGCTCGTCCTCCCCTCGCTTGCGCAAGTCTTCGGTGTTGTACAGCAGTTTCCGCACCTGCTCGTGCGACATGTCGAACTCGCCTTCATTAACACCTGCATCCTGGATCCCAAGGTCCTGTGATGAGAAGGCGGCGCCGGTCCATCTGAACGACACGATCCCATTGGGTGCGTTGTCGTTTTCTGCCGGGTCGATGGCCACCAGGATGTTCGTAAGGGAGCTGTCGCTGGCGACCGGCGCCACGTGAAGGGGGTTTCCGGGGGTGGAGATGGTCTGGACATGGGTCAAAGTATTCTCTTCCGAGAGACGGAGGACGAAGATGGCAGACACGCTGAGGCTCGGGGTTAACCGCCGTTAACATCACGGAAACAAGACGAATTAAACATACCTTTCACACACTGCTAGGACCACAGGGACCTGTAGGCCGTTGGCCGTAACCGCGGCGGAGAGGAGCTGAGAAACGGCAACCTTGGAAGCCTCCTTCTCGACCTGCTGGACCTGCTCCAGGAGGTCGAACTTGGACAAGATCTTGCCAGCCTCCCAGTCCCAGACGAACAGCTCGCTGTCGCCGCCGCCCGAGATCAAGACGTCCTGGCTAGGGAGCGTGAGCGCGCTGACAAAGTTTGCGTGACCGAGGCAGAAACCCTCGATAACGTGCGCGTGCGGCATGAAACGCGAGACGCGGATGTGCTCGTCGCGGTCTGCCGTGATGATGTACCGTCGGCTGCCCTTGGAGGCGAGCGTCAGCGCCGTGAGCATGGAGACGTGGCCGATCTGGAGCGTGTGCTCGAACGTCGGCTGGTCCTTGGGGGCGTCGCGCTTCGACTTCTGCTGCTCGCGCAGCTGGCTCTGGAGCGCGCGGAGGTTGCTCTTGGAGTGCACCGTCAGGGGGTTGGCCTCGGGCTTGAAGGGCTTGGGGGCGGCAGACGGCGCCGGGGAAGCCGTCTCCGAGCCGGCGGCATCAGGCTGGGCCGTGGAGTCTGCTGCGGTAGCCTCCGAGGGGATTAGGGGCAGGGAGTAGACGTCGCCGAACTTGTCCGCGCTCAGGACTGTCTGATTGTCCGGGCAGATGAGGACTGAGCAGGGGCGTTTGGGCATTTGTCTATTACGAATGGTGTTAAGGACTAGCTTAGAAGTCGGTGTAAGTTGGGCAACGTACCTCTGGCTCAGCTCTTTCAAGTTGCCCTTGCCGTCATGTTCAAACACCCAAAGGAACTTGTCGTGACCTGAGATGGCCAGCAGGTGGCTCCCGTCACTGGTCGTCGTCATGATGGTGATGACGGGGTAGTCTGGGACTCTTGCAAATGCGCCGCCGCGGTTGTTCTGCTGCTGTTGGCCGTCCCTGTTATTCCGCCTCATCTGCTTGTTCCCCTTTCTCCTGTCTCTCTTTTGATCCTGGGGCTTCGCGGGTTCACTATCAACGACCATGGCGTCGCCATCCTTGGCCTGCTCACTATCCCCGTCTCCCTTCTCCTCTTCGGTGCTCTCAACTCTTTGACGCTTGGCAGGGGGGCCATCCTCATTGTTGGTCGGGGATGAGGGCGTAGGTACACCCGAGCTCACCTCGATCTCAACCTTTGAGGCGGCGGCCGAAGCGGCGGCGGCGTTCACCTTTTCAACATCAGGGTGCTTCCATGTTGAGAGATGAGAACCGTCCTCCAGGCTGAAGGAGTGAATCTTCCCGCCCCGGGCAGCAAAGACGACGTTGCCAGATGGCTCTAGGCAGTTGTAGGGGACCTTCATTGTGAGACTGAGGTTTCTCGCGAGTTGTCCCGGCTCAATTGGGCTAAGTTGCGGTTTCTTGAACACTGGGAATGAGGTCAAGTAGAACTTTCACTCCTGGACTCATCCGCAGCTGCAAAGACTGCCCCACCACTTGGAGACCAGGGAAAAAAGTTACATGCAACATGTATCGTTGCTAAAGCTCGGGCCACCGTTCTCTCTCTGCAACTGCCCCGCGCTTGTCCGCTTTCGGCTCTAGACCCCATCGGTTGCCCTAACGGGACGGCGCCTGGGCCTGCCCGGAGCACACAGTCGCAGGCGAGAGAGGAATTTTCGGCTGGTGAAGCAAAAAGCTCAATTTCGGGAGAGAGGCTCTTTTTTCTCTCCTACAACACATCAACTTTTGATACCCAAATCCCATCAACCACCACCAAAAAATTTCATTTGCCCTTAAACAACCTGCCTTCATAAATAAGAAGATATGGGGGGCAAATCTGCGAACAAGGCCGGCTACTTCGACAAGCTCAAGGGCTTGCTCGAGGAGTACAAGTCCATCTTCATCGTCACCGTCGACAATGTCAGCTCTCAGCAGATGCACGAGATCAGACAGTCCCTCCGTGGACAGGGTGTCGTTCTGATGGGTAAGAACACCATGGTATGTTAAAATCCCAATCGTCGTGGCCTTTGGTCGGCGCGACGCGCCCCAAGTCGACGCGCGTGTTAATCCCTCTCCAGGTTCGCCGTGCCCTCAAGACCTTCATCCCCGACTCCCCCGAGTACGAGCGTCTCCTGCCCTTCGTCAAGGGCAACGTTGGTTTCGTCTTCACCAACGGTGACCTCAAGGACATCCGTGACAAGATCCTCGCCAACAAGGTCGCTGCCCCTGCCCGTGCCGGTGCCGTCGCCCCCTCCGATGTCTGGATTCCCGCTGGCAACACCGGCATGGAGCCCGGCAAGACCTCTTTCTTCCAGGCCCTCGGTGTCCCCACCAAGATTGCCCGTGGTACCATTGAAATCGTCTCGGACCTGAAGCTCGTTGAGGCCAACAACAAGGTCGGCCCCTCCGAGGCCACCCTCCTCAACATGCTCAACATCTCCCCCTTCACCTACGGTATGGGTATCGCCCAGGTCTACGACCAGGGCAACACCTTCCCCGCCGACGTCCTTGACATTGGCGAGGAGCAGCTCCTGAAGTCCTTCGGCACCGCGATCACCACCATCGCCGCTGTCTCCCTGGCCATCAACTTCCCCACCCTGCCCTCCGTCATTCACTCCTTCTTCAACGGCTACAAGAACGTTCTCGCTGTCGCCATCGAGACCGAGATCTCGTGGCCCGAGATTGAGGAGCTCAAGGACCGCATCGCCAACCCCGATGCCTACGCCTCCGCTGCCCCCGCTGCTGCTGCCGGTGGTGCTGCTGAGACCAAGGAGGCCGAGAAGGAGGATGAGAAGGAGGAGGAGGAGTCTGACGAGGATGGCGGCTTCGGCGGTCTCTTGTATGTTTCCCCAACCCACTACCCGTTTTTGCACTTGCTAATGTTCCGTCCAGCGACTAAATATAACGGGAAATCGGTGATGTTACGGCTACTCTCTGGGCTACGAATGGGTTTACGACACGTGAATCTTGAAGGCTTTATAGATGGGTTGCCGGTCAATCAAGCATATCGCATTTGACGGCAAAAAACAACTTGATCCCTGAACTCTTCTTGGTGATGTGACATGCTAGTGAGCATTCACTCTCCAACATGGAAAAGGTTAGTCGCTTTTACTTTTTTTCGTCCTGTTTCTCTACCTGCTTCCGATGATTATATAAACGTTCAAGAGCTTTTTAACCCTGATCTACTTGATGACAAACACATCACCACCCTATGAGGGAGCATTTCAATCTTTGTCTTTTTTTCCCGCTATTGTACAGCCTTATTTCCAATTGGGTATCATGGCTAACATACAAAAGTTTACAGGTTACTCCCCATGCCTACATATCGTCCAGTGACTTCATGTCCAGTCCCCCGTTCGCCGTATGCTCCGAGTGACGTCTAGCTAGTGCTTCTTATCAAATACCAAGAACCTTTTGCGCAACACTGATTGCCGGCCCTGGCATATTCGCCAATCTCGCGACCTTGAGTGCGTGACTCTGCCGATTGACCCCCTTGCGCAACCTGTGAACATAGACGAAACCCCCGTCCTCGTCCTCATCCACGTCCGTGCAATGCATCTCCACGCCTCCCGTCCCATCACGGGCAAGTCCCGCTGCGATGGCGAGGTCCGCCACTTTGTGAAAGTGCGTAGCGAACAGCGTCCGGCACTGGTTGACCGTGACCAGGTGGTGCAGGCACGCGTACGCCACGGCCGTGCCGTCCTCGGGCGTCGTGCCCCTCCCAATCTCGTCCATGATGACAAACGACCGCGGCGTGGCGCCGCGCAGGATCTGCGCCGTCTCCATCATCTCGACCATGAAGGTGCTCTGGTCGCGGTACAGGTTGTCGGCGGACCCGACGCGGCTGAAGATGGCGTCGACGACGCCCAGCTCGGCGTAGTCGGCGGGCACGTAGCACCCGACCTGCGCGAGGATCGTGATGAGCGCGTTCTGTCGCAGGAACGTGCTCTTGCCCGCCATGTTGGGTCCCGTGATGAGCCACAGTCTTCCGGCGGAGCTCCCGCCGCCGCCGACGAGGCAGTCGTTGCGGACAAAGTTGCGCCCTCGCTCGCGGAGTCCGCCCTCGACGGTCGGGTGCCGGCCACCGATGATGGTATGGGCCGTCGAGTTGTTGAGGAGGGGCCGGGTGAGCCCTTGCTCGACAGCGAGCTTGGCGAAGGAGGTAGCGACGTCGAGCTCGTCGAGAACGGCGGCGTTGCGGCGCAGCTTGACGAGGTTCAGCACGACGGCGGCGCGGAGGGCGTGGAACACGCGCTGCTCCTCGGTGCGGATGCTGTGCCGGGCGTGCTCGAGCTGCTGGCCGAGGCACGTCCACTCTGGGGCATGAAAAGAGCTGGTCGATTTGCTGGAGCTTAGGGCTCTGATGTTGGACGCGATGGAACGCGCGTCTTTGCCCTTGATGTGGCAGAAGTGGCCGAGGGCTGGGCTCCAGCGGAGCGTGAGAGAGGTTGCACCGTGCTCATCACGGAGGGCCTCCGTGAGGGTTTCCTTCTCGGCGTGCAGCACGGCGAGGTCAGCGTGGAGTTGTCGAAGGACCGGACTGGCCTTGGGTTTCATAATCCAGGTCTCGTTGTCGTCGGCATATGCCTCTCGGACCGAAGTAGGGCGCTTCTTCTTCGCCGCGGCGCCCTTGGGGAGGACAGCAGCGTCGTCTTGTGTGCCTTGTGTGCTGACAATCTCCTGGGCGAGGGCCATCATCTGCCCTGCCTCGCTCTCTTCGATCTCGTGCTGGTGGACGATGCCCTCCTCGTCGATGGCCTCCTTGATTCGGCGCGCAAGCCTCAGGGGGCCTTTGAGGTTCAGCCGCGCCGTCATGTGCGCGAGGCATTGGGACTCATCGGCGGCTTCTGCCAATAGCTGCTGGATACTGTCGGTGGCGTGGATGGTGTTGGCCAGGGCCACCAGGTCGTCTGGGTCCCCTCTTCCTAGGGCGAACTTCTGAACAAGCCGCTGAGAGTCATGACTACGGCGTAGTAGCAAGACAACGGCATCGCGCAGATCCGGCTCCTCAACGAAGCGGGCGACGAGGTCCTGCCTGAGCTTGATAACGTCGAGTGATGTCGACGGGGCGCTGAGCCAATCGTTGAGGAGTCTGGCACCACTTTTGGTAACTGTTCGTCTAATCGCATGTAGGAGGCTACCCCTGAAGTTCCCATCCCGGATCGTCTGCTTAATCTCCAGCGAGCGCATGCTGTTTTTGTCTATGCTCATTATCTGCATATTCTCGTGTCGCATCGGCGGCTGCAGCTTCATGCTCAGGCCCAGCAGTTGCTCCTTGACGTAATGCAGCAACAGGCTACCGGCCATCACCTCACCCTCGGTGAAGGCATCGCGCGTCGCCTGAGGGATGTCGCTCTCGAGCATGGGTGCCCAATCAGAAAGATGCCTGATTTCGCCGAAGGAGCTGTAAGTGACCAGGTGGCGGTCCTCGGCGAGGATGGAAAGCAAGCCATGGTCGGCTTGGGCTTGGATCTCGCTTTCGAGCACGACTTCTCTGGGGCATATCCTTGAGAGGATCGATGACAGCGCCGAGAGATCGGTAGTCTGCGTGTAGAACTGGCCAGTAGACAAGTCCAGCCAGGCAAGGCCCAGGGGCTGTGGTGGTACGACTGGGTCACCAGTTACCGGCGTCACGTCCCGGCCAGCGGCTGAATGTGACGAGCCTGGGACTCCCCCTTCTTCTGCTGCTACTGCCGATGCCGCCACCGCCCCGTCTACCCTTCCCCCAGGTTGGGTTGATGTCGCATGGACTGCCAGAACGTAGTTGTTGACATAGGGATCCATGAAATTCTCGTCAATCAGGGTTCCTGGCGTGATGATACGAGCAACCCTGCGATCGTGCATCAGCCCACCAGACTTTACCTTCTCTGGCGCGTTATTGGGGAACTCCTCAGCAATGGCGACATAGCGATTCAGATCCTGTACCAGGATCTTGAGGAATCGATCCAGCTGGAAGAAAGGAAAACCGGCCTAATAGAATAAATTTGCACATCAGACTCAAAGAACATGACGCCAGTCGCGCGCGTATATCCGGAATGGACACGACGCCGAGATGAGAAGAGAAGAAATTTACCATGGAAACTGGCCCAGCATTCGTTTTTTTCTGGGCGACCTTAAGGTTCAGCAGAGGGCCGCACTCCTCGGCATGCTCAAAATACAGCTCGTAAAAGCCGCCAACGCGCGTTAGGAGTACGCAGTTGTCAAACTTTTGCATGTTGCGACGCGCTTGCAGCACGACAGTTGGGTAAGCTGGGCCCTCATCTTGCGCGGGCTGGGGATCCAGCGGCAGAGCTCCCTGAGGTAAATCGACAAGCTTCACTGTCGACTTTGTTTTCTTGCCCCTGACGAAGAGAGAAACGTGCCAACTTGTCTTTGTCCTCCCACGCGGCAGTCTAGCAACCCTGGCTTCGCGGCCAGAGCTGAAGCTGGAACCGCGTCTCACTCCATGGACGCGGCGCAGGCGGAGGTGTAATGCGGAGGCAGGATACGATCGGGCGGTTGTCGATAGCGGGGGAACCAGATCATGACAGGCGATGGTGACGAGTGACCGGGCCAACATGTGAGCATCTCATGAAGTGAGCTGTTTGGATGTGACGTCGATACCGGGTTTTTTTTCGCTTGCCGGTCTGAAAGTCCCGGCACAGCAGGACAGCAAAGAATTTGGTGCTATGATGGCAGGAGAAATGTTAGGTAATTGGGTAATTGACCGGGGGTGTCACTAAGAATCGGGGTTGACATGGGATAAAGGGGAATCATGCGAGCGGAGTGTGGACGTGTGGTATCGCGAGATTTTTCGGGACGATGCTCGAATCCACCCAAGTCGATCGGGCCCCATTGGGATTTAACTACTACCTAGGTGGAAGCACTGAAATGTGAAGGAGGACCGAAGTAGGCGTGTCTGACAGGCTCCAGTGTGCTGCCAACTGCCCTATGGGGCCGATGGTCCAGGCGCCCGGGTTTGGTTCGCATTTTTGATAGCTGGACAAACGGCACAGAGTAAGGTAGCACGGCATGGCATGCGGCGTGGCATGGGATTAAATGGGACGGGACGGGGCATGGCGAGAAGTAGACAACATAGAATGACATGTTGTGATCGGCGATAGAATTAGGCGAGTGCCCTGTACGAATATTGCGAGTCAATTCGGAAACGCGACGGGCCCAAGATAGCACCGGGCAGGGCGACTGGAGCAACGACAACTGATGCCGACCCGACAGCGAGCATGATTAGCAAGCCTCGGCGGTAACGGAATCATCACGGAAGAGTCGCCAGCCGGACGTAGGCAAAACAAGACCGCGGCCATGTGAGCGGAGAAGAAAACGGGGTTAAATGGAGAGAAGGAAAGAAAAAAAAAGGTACGGTGCCGGGATTAGGGGTCCTGTACTGTCAGAGTTGTGTAAGCAAGATGTGCTGCGCAAAGGATCTGTAGTGATTGCGAGAGTCTTGAATAAGAACAAGCCAAGAAGGCAAATGATCAGGGGCGATGACCGGTGGCTGTTTGCTCCTGTTTGCTGATATTTGCTGGTGTTTGCTGGTGTTTGGTGCTTTGCATTGTCGTTGTAACGGGTACCGGCCTGATGTGCATCATGATCTTACGAGAGTTTGTTTCGCCTAGCGTCGTCCTGTTGGACCGGTCGTACGTAGGAAGGGCAGTGGTGAAGGCCTGTTGGAGTCGAGAACCACATTATAAAGATGGGGATGGGATGTGTGGACGACAGTACGGCGACGAACGAGTGACTGTGTTTTCCATCTCTTTGGGAAGCTGGAAGCCTGATGGGCCGCATGCCAATATGCTAGGATGGACATCTCGGGTAGCCATGGGAGGGTTTGCCTAGGGCACGGAACGCTCCGGCAGCGAACGGACGCCACGACGTCTTACTATTGAGCTACACTAGTCGACCTTTCAGGCGGCAGAAACCACAGTGTGTTAGACATACCAACACTCGCAGCGCCTAGCCAGCCACTAAAAAGCAGTCGAATGTCCCGACTGTCAGTGAGGCTGTTGCTGCAATGCATTGCCATGTGGGCGAGGGTCGAATGATAACACCGTCATGTCGAGATTGACAGGGAGGGGGTCGCATCATAACACACTGGCCATGGCCATATCGTGGCTCGCTGGCCATTGGGATCGACGGGACAGCTGCGTTCTCCCTTCCCAATAGGGACAGCTAAGTGCTCGCAGTAAAGCGGACGATTGTGGGCTGGAGGCAACCAAAGATGGGCAGACGGCAGAGGATGCCGCCACTCCAGATCACTCTATCTCCGGTGTATGGCAGCACCCCGATTTCTTTTGGCATCTCTCGAAGGGTAGCGTCGCATTGACGTTCTGGAATCTAGGCACGAGGCTATGGCACTGGGAGAGCTGCTGGGGGTGTCATGGATGTGTGCGGTATTGAGTGGGAAGCCATGGGCTGTTTATCTTGTGCAGATGATGCATCGATGATAGAATCGCATGCCGGGGCCCGTACGGGATCCCAACGTGGAGGAAAAGAGATGAGAAAAGGCATGCTGCGTCTACGTTGCACGAGTTTGACTATAGAGATGGCATGGATACATGTGATGGGTGCTTGGCCTGCCAGTTGCTGCTAGAGGGGCATCATCATTGCATGTGGATACGGACGTAGAAATCATCGACACGGGAGTATGAGGAAACGAGTGGTTCGGATTAAGGCATGCCATACCAAGCAACTGGACGACGCTTAGACGAGGGAGGCCAAACCGGGTGAGGGTGATGAGATGTGTAATGAGGTTGGGCCCGGAAGGGTGCTGCGGCGTGTAAGATGCCAACGCACATCAACCGCTTGGGACGGTGCCCCGGGCAAATTTGTCTGTTGGTAATCTGCCCGCACCGGGCCGGAAGAAGAAAGAGGAAGAAAAACAAGAGACAGAAAAGAGGGACGTCGAGTCCTGTCTGTCACTTGGGCATGTCGGCAGCTCACGGGATGGCCGTTGTAAGCGGAGTTAGGCTAAGAAGAGGTTCGCGAAGTCGGTGAAAGTACCTGGCCCGCCCGCCGTACAGCATCGAGGTACGCGGGGTACGTACCGGCCCAGGCCCCCAAAGTCCGGCACGGTTGCCATTCGGTATCGGCCGATTTCGACTCCTCCTCAGCCCATTCCCGCTCACTCTCCAAATTTATCGCCAGACCCTTGGCCCCAACATGGCAGCATGCGCCGTCATGTCGCCCTCTGGATTTGAAATATCGCCCTGTAGGTATATAATTCTATTTCTGTGCCCCCGTTTCTCCCCCCTCCTTTCCTAACGAACACTTGGTTTGATACGTCCACTCTCGCATGTCCAACTGTCTTCAGCGGAGCCCAATTATACCAGACACACCCTTATCCGTCTGATTTCGCTGCCAGCACTACTACTACTGCCGCCGCTTCCCAACACACCCCGACAACAGCTGCCTGATCCATCCTAATCTACTATTACTACCGTGTCTCCTGCGACTGCTTCGAGTTGGAAACCGGACAAGTTCTCTCTCCTCGTTTCCCTGACGAGCGTGCACTGCCTACCAGCAAAGAGGCGCTGGAAAACACCATATCCGCGATATCAAACACACACCTATACCACAGTACCACAATAAAGCAAAATTGCTTCGTAACAAACCACCCTCTATGGCGGCGCATCTACCCACCTTCAACTTCAACCCTCTAGCTCCCGTCACGCCTCCGCCCGAACATGTCTCATTCCGAAAACCCGCACTTCCCCTATCAGCTCAACTGAAACGCAAAGCCGCCGAGGCCAACATTTCCAACGACCATGTCGCGACAACGATGAAGAAGGAGGAATCACCAAAACACAGCCCGTCCATGGCCGCCCCGCCCAAGCCAACGTCGACTCCCAACGCGAGCGCAGCAGACCCGAACCAGCCGCCTATGGATCCCCGATACATGGCCATGGTCTCACGCATCGCCGCCTACTACCAACAACGGTGTCAAGCCATCACCAACGCGCAGCAGCAGAGATGCCAGGCCTGGGCCAACATGCACAGGCAAAAGTGTCAAGAGATGATGCAGGCGGCCATGTTGGTGGTGGCGTGGTACATTCGCGACCGGATCCAGCGGAGACGCCGGAGGCAAAAGCGGCAATTTCGGACGGGGTTGAGAGCGCAGAGCACCCGGTCCCGCGTTACAAAGGGCGAAGGGGTCCGGCGCTGGGTCATGAACGTGCCTGAGGGTTTGTCATCGGCGCACGTCCCGGGGCTCGACGACCTCGCTGACCAAGAGGAGGCCCACTTCTCCATGGACCGGGAGGTGCCGCCAGACAAGGACGCCAAGTTGTTCGAGATGGCCGACGGCATGATCAGGAGCCAGTACCGCAAGATCGAGGTGCCCATCCTCGGCGTGCTCGGCTTCGAGGAAGATGCGAGTGAGAGCGAGAGCGAGGCAGACCACGACTTCGACCAGCCCATGGAGGATGAACTCGAGGATGGCGAGGGTGAAGAGTACGAAGACGATGAAGACGATTTGGACCTGGATGACGATTATGAAGAGGAAGCGGCCGGATCCGAGGTTGTTCACCGCGGTACGGGCACCGGTACGGAAAGCCGCGCCAAGGACTCTGGCTTGTCGTCTTAATTTTGGGGGGGGGGGGGGCGTTGTTCTTATTTCTCACCTTCTTTACTTTTTTCCTTCTCATTCTGTGGCGTTCAACGGCGGACCATGGGCGATGATGTGATGATTGGATTATTTACCCTGGACGATTACATACCTCACTTCCTGGCTGTTTCTGCACGTAGTATATATATCCAGCACCACGTCAATAGAAAACAAGGCGAACATTTTTTTTCTGCGAGAACCCAAGTTCGTCTCATTACGCAGATTATCAAACCGCAAACTCACTAGACAAAAGTGAATGCGAACATCGTCCCAGGCCTAGACGGTCTTAACGACATGGGACAAACCTTAATTGAGTGTCGTACGTTGAGAACCGGTCCATCGTTTTCGCTTGCACTGCACCCCATGTCCCCGTCCTACAAGACTGGTTCTCTTCCGCAATGTCTGTCTGTTGACTGTTCTCGATGCACCTGGGGTGGAAAGCTCAAGAAAGCTGAATGCTCTGCATTTGACAATCGATTCACCTGCAGTTCATGTGATAGAAATACGTAATCGAGTTGCACCTCATGCCCGCTTTACAGCTCCCCCGGACATTCACTAGGTCTCTAGGCATGCGTTCGGTTGACAACAACCGACAATTACTCAAGCCGATGTCTGCCAGTGTTGCAGCTCTACTGCATCATGGATAGTGCTGGTGTAACTGCACCTGCATACTGAATTCACAAGACCATGTTAGCATCGTACGGGGCGTAACACTGCATTCCATGGTTGGGCAGCTGTCGGTGATACAGAGCCCCGCGCGCTAGTTTTACGACTTGCATCGCATTGACACTGTCTCAACCACAGCAGGAGCCAAGTAGCTGATGGTCAATGTGGGTTGAATTAGAGCAAAGCCAGCATATTCGTCTCTTCAAGGCAGTTGCAAGCAACGAGTCAAGCCGGTCGAGTGCAGTCAGTGGCAGTCCCCCAAAGCGACTTACACCACAACTCGGCTGCCTCAACCTCTGGTTACATCAATCGCCTGTATTCATCCTTGGGCATCGCAGACTACCAAGCTTTGCCCCTTTGCAAGACCTTCAGCTGTCGGTCCGCTAAAGCCTCTTCCTCGTTCCTTTTTTGGTTACCATTCGGATATCCTTTCCATTACCAAACCGCCTCCTGTGCCGTACCCATACCGACTGTTTCGGTATAATATCGAACTAAAGCTCCATTACCAAGCTCCGTCCTCGATCCTATAATACCACCTAGGTCACTGCCTCAGCCGCTGGACGCAGTATCAAATAGTTGGCAAAATGAGGTAAGACAGGTATTCCAAGTGGTGGACGATCCGCTGAGCAGTTCCCCCGGCGTCCCGGCTAATCGAGGGGGATCGCATGATGGCTGCGTCACCATCCATTACACGCCCACCCACCCCCCTTAGGCCCAACCTCCCCGCACTTCTTCTCTTCTCGATCGCACCGGCCTGTCCCCGCACGCTCCTACTGGTTGTGTTTCACTGCCCGCCTATCTCTACCGCAGGGGTGTTCCCGTGCTCTACCTTAGCTTCCCCCCAAGAGCTTCGAGTCCGTCTCTGCTTTCAGACAATCCCGAGGTCAAAGCTAACGTGAACACCTCTCCTTCGCAGTGATCACGACCCCAGAACCCTTAAGCAACATCTCAACGACGCCCTCAAAGCTTCCCAAGCTGCTGAGAAAGGCGACGGCCCATCCCCAAGACTCCCGCGACCAAATCATCATCACTTATCGGAGCTTTATCGTAATCGTCGACTAGACAATCGCTCAGCTCCACCCGGCCCTCTCAATCAGTTGAAACAGTCCGGACAGCAACTGCTCAACAGCTTGACAGGACAGCCCACTATGGGTGGCGGAAGAGAACTGAAGAGCAAGAGCTCCTACCCAGCTCTCGCTTCTCGACCTGTGGGACAATGGATTTCCAAGCTCTACAAGGACAGAATTAACCAATTCTACTCCGGCGGGCAATGGGAGAAGCACAACCTCCTGGCGTGCGTAACCCCCCCACCGACGCCCCGTCGTAAACCTGGGGAACGTCCCGCTAACTTGCACCATAGTATGATGAAGGAGGGCACCGCATCGGGCGAGCCTCATGTTAAGCTATCCGTTTGGGATGCACCCGACACCACCCGTCCGACCTTCGAGGACGCTGTTTCGCACGAATTCAAGAAAACCGAGGTTGGCGCCTGGTTTGGACCTTCGTGGTCCACCCACTGGTTCAAGGTCATCTTGACCGTTCCGAAAGAGCTGCGCGACAAGGACCTGCTTGAACTCCACTGGGATGCCAACAACGAGGGTCTCGTCTGGACCGAGGACGGCAAGCCGCTCCAGGGTCTTACTGGTGGCGGCGAGCGAACCGAATGGATTTTGCCCAAGGAGTTCAGGGACGGAAAAGAGCACACTATTTACATTGAGATGGCCTGCAATGGCATGTTTGGAAACGCCCCTGGCGGAGACTCGATTCAGCCCCCAGACCCTAACAAGTACTTCCGACTTGGCCAAGCTGACATTGTCGCTGTCAACCCCGAGGCACGAGCACTCTATTTTGATATCTGGATCATTGGCGATGCCGCACGTGAGTTCCCCGAGGACTCTTGGGAACAGCACAAGGCTCTCAAGGTTGCCACTGAAGTAATCGAGGCCTTTGAGCTCGGCAACAAGGACTCTATTCTGAAGTGTCGAAAGATCGCAAAAGAGTACCTGGGTCCGGATGTTGACTCTCACAAGGTTTACAGCACCGACAAGGAGCCTCAAGTCTACGGTGTCGGCCATTGCCACATCGACAGCTGCTGGCTCTGGCCCTGGGCTGAGACGAAGCGCAAGGTTGTCAGGTCCTGGTCTAACCAGTGCGACTTGATGGATCGATACCCTGAGTTGAACTTTGCTTGCTCGCAAGCCCAGCAGTACAAGTGGTTGAAGGAGCTGTATCCCTATGCTTTCGACCGCGTCAAGACGAAGGTCAAGGAAGGCAGATTCCACCCCATTGGTGGTAGCTGGGTCGAACACGACACCAACATGCCCAGTGGTGAATCCCTTGTCCGGCAGTTCTTGTACGGCCAACGATTTTTCGAAAGTAACTTTGGCGAGCGTTGCCAGACTTTTTGGCTTCCCGATACATTTGGATACTCGGCCCAGCTTCCTCAGCTCTGCCGTCTTGCTGGCATGAACCGTTTCCTTACCCAGAAGCTCAGTTGGAACAATATCAACAAATTCCCACACACGACTTTCAACTGGGTTGCGCTTGACGGAAGCCAAGTCATCTGTCATATGCCGCCCTCGGAAACCTACACTGCCGAAGCCCACTTTGGCGATGTGAAGAGAAGTGTCAGCCAGCACAAGTCAATGGACCAAGACCACACCTCTTTGCTCGTATTTGGCAAGGGTGACGGTGGCGGAGGCCCGACCTGGCAGCACCTCGAAAAGCTCCGTAGATGCCGCGGTATATCCGATCAAGTTGGCATGTTGCCTAGAGTGCACATGGGTAACAGTGTCGATGACTTTTTCAACAAGCTCGAGCCAAAGGCTACGCAGTTCGTCACCTGGTACGGCGAGCTCTACTTTGAGCTTCACCGCGGTACATACACTACGCAGGCGAACAACAAGCTCAACAACCGCAAGTCCGAGACTTTGCTCAGGGAGATTGAATGGCTTGCTACTATCGCGACACTCAGCGAGAATGGCAAGAACTACAAGTATCCCAAAAAGGAGATCGATGATATGTGGGAGGCTGTTCTGCTCTGCCAATTCCACGACTGCCTGCCAGGCAGCTCTATTGAGATGTGCTACGATGATTCGGATGAGGTAAGTCACAAAAGTATGGCCACGAGATTACCAGTGCTGACTCGGCTACTTAGCTCTATGACATGGTCTTCAAGACCGGCAAGAAGATTCTGGAGGACATCCACGGCGTGTTCGGTGCGTCTGCCATCACCAATGGCTGCATCAACGAGACTGTCGCCCTGAACACTCTCCCCTGGCATCGACGGGAGGTTGTTGAGCTTTCCGAGACGGAAGCTGGCGTTGCCTGTGGCGAGGGTCAATTGCTGGCCATTCGCCCCTTCAAGATTTCAAAGGAGGAGCCAGCGGTCACTGTTGAAGAAGTTAGCGCCGGCATCTTCGTGCTGCAGAACGATCAGCTTCGTGTCAAGGTCGAGGACGGAACCATCACTTCTCTCTACGACCGTGTTGCCAACCGTGAGGTCATTGAGAAGGGTGGCAAGGCTAACCAGTATGTCATTTTCGATGACAAGCCTCTCTACTGGCAAGCCTGGGATGTCGAAGTCTACCACCTCGACACCAGAAAGGAGCTCCGCTGCGGTAAGACTTCGATCTCTGAGCACAAGGCGCATCGTGTCAGCTTGACCACCGAGATCAAAGTCAGCGAGGAGAGCTCAATCAAGTCTACGATCACGCTTTCCGCCGCCTTGAAGGGGGTACAGTCTTGGGTTGAGTGCCACGCCGAAGTCGACTGGCATGAGTCTATGAAGTTCCTGAAGGTCGAGTTCCCCGTCGACGTCAGAAACACCGAGGCGTCTTACGAGACAGCCTATGGTCTCGTGAAGCGGCCTACTCACTACAACACAAGGTGCGTCTTTTTCTTTGATTCCCAATATACAATCGCTAATGTGTCACAGCTGGGACATGGCCAAGTTCGAAGTCTGCTGTCACCGTTTCGCTGACCTTTCCGAGCACAACTACGGCGTCTCCATCCTGAATGATAGCAAGTATGGTTTCGCAACCGTCGGTAACCTGCAGCGCCTGTCTCTCCTGCGGTCGCCCAAGGCCCCTGACGCTCATGCTGATATGGGAACCCATCAAATCCGCTGGGCAATTTTCCCTCACGAGGGATCTTTGGGCTCTTCGACCGTCCGGGCAGCATATGCCTTCAACAACCCTCTGAGACTCTTGTCGGCGCCCAGCGCTGTACAGGCATCCCTCAACAAGAGCCCCGTCAAGCTTACCGGGGACGGCTCTCTCATCCTTGACACCGTGAAGCGTGGCGAAGATGATGAGGATGTGACTCGCGGTGAGCTTCCAAAGCGCAAGGGGCGCAACGTCATCTTGCGTGTGTACGACAGTCTCGGCGGCCAGAGCAGGGGCGTTATCGAGACTACCTGGGACGTCAAGCGCGTCTTCAAGAGCAACTTGTTGGAGGACGACATTGAGGAAATCAAGATCGAGGACGGAAGGTTTCCGATTACACTGCGGCCCTTTGAAATCGCAACGTACCGCCTGGAGCTGTAGGGTGCGAACCTGAGCGATTGCGGTCTCGACCACGAATGTGCGACAGACGAAGCTGAGATTGATGAACCAGCCACCCCAGGGGATGAAGACGGCTTCGAATTCTGAGATTGGAAATGCATGATGATGGGAACAAGGCGAGGGGTCATTTGCGCCCGCTGAGGGGCGTTTTCGGACGTGCGAATACCTATGTAAAAACACTTATAAAAAAATCCAGAATGGGTCTCTAGCTCCTTTCCTTACATGCGCCGCCCCCGAACGCCATGGTGACTTGAAGCCTTGCGTATTCCCCCTTTGGAACAGTGGGAAAGATCGACATCATTATACAATACACGAACCAAGCAGCCTCATTGATGATCAGTTTCTCCCTCCACCCCCTTTTTTTACGCCCTTCACAGTGACCCGTCTTGAGGCAGCTCCTCGATAACGCTCTCGACCATGTCAATGAGCTCGTTGATGTCTGGCCTCTCGGTAGGCTCGACGTTGAGACACTTCCTGACGACGTCGCGGATGGGCTCGCTGATCTTGACCTCACCAGCGCCAGAGGCGCCCGCGTCGGCCGTCGCGGCGGCCTTGCCCTTCATGCCGCCGCTGGTGCCCGTGCGCTTGATGCCCTCGTCGGGGAAGCGCCAGTCGCCGCCGAGGACGCACATGCTGAGGGAGCCGCCCGTCTCGTCGGAGCGGGCCTCGAAGGGGGACTTGCCGACGAGGCAGGCGTAGAGGGTGCAGCCGAGGGACCAGATGTCGACCTTTGTGTCGATGACGGTGCCGGTGCGCACGTCAAAGAGCTCCGGGGCGCGGTAGGGCATCGTGCTGTGCTCGGCGGCCGTGTCCTGGGTCGCGATGGCGAGCGAGTGGGAGGTGATGGGGATCGGGGACGGCGCGATGGAGCCGAGGTCCATGAGGATCGGGTTCGAGCCCGAGTCGTCTATCATGATGTTTCCTAAGGGGAGAAGTTTGTCAGTCCGGTCCGTTTGGGGTCGGGGTTTGAGGCGACGTACCTGGCTTGATGTCCCGGTGCGCGTACGACTTGACGTCGCCGGACCCGGGCGTCTCCCCTTCCATCAGCGGCCTCTGCTGCTCGTTCTCGTCCTCGTCGTCGGCGCCCGCCGCGGCGGCCATGCTCGCGACGCGCTTGCCGCCCTTGTTCTTCTTCCCGCTCTTCTTCCTCTTGGGGCCGCTGCCTTGGTCCTCCTCGTCGCCGTTGCCCATCTCCATCCTCTCCATCCCGACCCCGGGCTGCCCACCGCCGCCGCCGGCGGTGTAATGGTGCATCTCCCTGAGCGCCTTGCAGACGCCGAGGAACAGCAGCATGAGCCTGCGCTCGGGGAAGGCGGTGTGGTTGACGAGGTTGGCGTTGATGAGGTCCTGGAGGTTGCCGCGGCGGTAGTAGGGCAGCAGGACGTAGACGGTCTTGGAGCCGGGCTCGCCGCCGCGCTCGGTGGCGATGGCGTGGTCGACGCTGTGGATGATGCCGGGGGACCGGGCGAAGAGGCGGTAGGCGTCGACCTCCTTCATGGCCTGGGCGACGGACTCGGCGCCGAAGGGGCAGCGGATCTTCTTGAGCGCGAACTCTTCCGAGGTCTGGGTGTCCTGGACGAGGTAGACGTAGGAGAAGCCGCCCTGCGTGATGGTGCCGTCAGTTTACATTCTCTGATTTCGGCCAACGTTTCCCTCGTGAGAGAGATGCAGCCGCATATTTGGGGGGGAAACGCAGAAGGAGAAACAAGGGCTTACCTCGCCCAGGAGACGGAGTATCTTGAAGCTGCGGCTGTTGATCTTGAGCGTTGGCGAGCCGGGGAAGCAGTTCAGGCAGTTCCCGAAGGAGTAGAGCACGTCGAGGAATATTTGCGCCATGGCGGGCTATCGGGCTGCGACGATACGTGCGATGTGTTTGTGTGTGGGTTTCGCGACCTTTGACGTCGTGGTTGTAAGGTGCCGTAGTAGACCTTGCCGGGCGCCGTCGTATGTCGTCTGTCAGTCGAGGATGGTCGAAACAATTGACTTTTTGCGCTGTTGAATCGCTAGTGACCGGCGAGTTGCTATCGGGTTGTAAGTTCGTACAGCCGTCGCCAGAGTCGTGAGTAGTGCAGAGGAAACCTTGACCTCGATATTGCAGATCGAAGTTGCAGTTGCAGTTGCGCGCGCGCTGTCGAGGACGGGGAATCAGGACAGCTAGCTCTCCCGCTCTGTCTCTCTGCCGCCCCGGTAACCAAGTGGGCAGAAGCTGACGCAGGTCCTCCGTACCGCAGCAAGTCAACGGTGGGTGTGTGACAGGTACCCTGGAAAACAAGGATCTGCTTTGGGGAACGCGGGATTGCCGTCGTTTGTGTCCGAAGGGCCGCTGGGAGCGATTGGATAGCAGTCGATGAGAATGAGCTGTCGTCCTCAATTGAGAGAAGGCGATTGCACTACTGCGAGCTTTTCTCCAAGACAATGAGAACAAAGGCGAAGAGGAAGAAGCACCAGCTCAACAGCTCGCTGCCCCTGCCTCGACTCGGCTGCGCCCTGCTGAGCTAAGGATTCGCGTTCACAGAGACCGTGAAACGCCACGGGGATCCTCTGGGGTGGGGAACACCACGGCCAGCTCCAGCTCCAGAAATGGCATTTGAACGCTGATATGGCCCGGCCGGCGACGACGGGAAGACCCCTGTCGTCCGAAGGCAGCCCGCTCCTAGCCTTCGGGAACCCGAACACCCTAGGTTTTCCTTAGCAAACTCTCATCGCATGTGATGCTCAGTCACAACACGCGATTGCTCATGTCCTCGGGTCGTTTGCGATGGATCCGTAACCATGGTTTAGGTTTACTATTAAAACCTCGTAGAAGGCCCTTGATATGAATACCAGGAGGCCCAAAAGGCCGCTGTATCACACAATTACTACTACCGAGTTCCACGCGCGAACCCAACACTGAGAAACATATTTCTCCTTGAACCGTGGTATCATCGCTACAAATGCTATGACGAACGTAAAACTTATATCGCTCCGGCCACCCAGGAATCCAACAAAAAACTGGTCATCCTACAGTTTGACCTTTACAGTAATGCAAGACACAGCAAGGCTAGTAGTACAACACCTCACTGTAGCCTTCGTCCAACCCCTTGTTGCTGTTGAGGTTCATAGCCGATCCTCCTAGAACGCGTCCTCGAACGGGCAATCGTAGCTTTCGTGCCCGTCTCTTTCGCAAACAGCGCACCACTTTGAGTTGTCTACTACGCCTGTCTCCTTGCCAGCCACAGGACCGGTCTCCATGGGGTTGGGGAGCATCTGGATGTTGGAAGAGGCCGATGTCTTGGACTTGACCGGTGACAAGGGAGCAGGCTTGTCTTCCGCAGGAATGGGTTTCATGTCCTCTCTGGTAGCATCCTTGATCGCCTTGCTGGCGTCGCCGTTGTTCTTGGCAGTTTCGCTGCCGAACATGTTGGTGCAGGTAAGGATGTCGTGACCGCCAGTCTCGCAGATCTCGCACCAGAGGGTACTGTTGTCGGTGACTGACGAGTAAGCGTCACTCTCTGGCATGGTGTCCAGTGTGCGGACGCGCTTGTGCGTCGCTGTAGGGGATTGGGACTCGCTGTTGTGCATCAGGACAACGGTATCCCGCGAATCGCGAAGCGACGAGCGCTGAGCACCGCCGTTGGTGACGGAGCCAGTCTGTTGGGTCATGACGCTTCCCCTACGGAGCATCTCCAGTTCCCGCTCAAGCTCCTCTTCACGTTGCTTCTTTTCCTTGACAATCGCATGAAGCTCTGTCAACTCGTGTTCCAGCTTTTCCCGAGCCAAGGCGTTCTCGTGGACCGAAGGGTCTTCTGGCTTATCGGCGCCCCCACCAGGAACAGAATCCCGGCTGAGGGAGTGGATGATAGCCTTGAGCCCCCGGATTTCGTCTTCCTTTTGCTCCAGCTCCTTGGATCCAGAGGAGCGGTCCCCGCTAGGGGAGGCTATAGATCCGTTCATCGCAGCCGCAGCCTTCTCGCGTTCACGGCGCAACTCAGTCCGCGTGCGCTCGACTTCGCCTCGAAGGAACTCGACCTCCCCTCTAGCTTCAGCTTCTCCTCGTCGCGCATCTTCGAGGCCCTCCTCGAGCTCTTGAACTAGCTCCTCGAGCTGCTTCAACTGCCGAGCCACAGAGTCCACATCATCAGTTCGGGATTCGAGTTCCCGAATCTCAAGCATTAACTCGTCGATTCGTTTCTCGTATACTCTTTCGGTCTCAGCACTGGCCATTTCCAAGGTGTCGATGGTGCTTCGGAAATCTGCCCGATGGGTGTCGAATTCGGCTGTGAGCATCGCGATCTTCTCATTCTTCTCCTTGACCAACGCTCGAAGTTGCGCCGTGTCCTTATCGTCGATGCTATTTCGTTTTGGTGCCCCCAAGTCTGAATTCTCCATAAGGCTCTGCAACTCGGTAAGGCTGCTTTCCATCTCTGCCAGGGTGGAAGCCTGATCCCTCAACTGCCTCTCACGGTCCTCCAAAGTTGCCCTTAGGCGCTCGATCTCGTCTTCGTTCTGAGCTCGCGATGCAGCTCTTGACCCAGCTCCAGCTCGAGAGGGGACTCTGAATTTGGAGTTGTATGAAGAGACTGAGTTCGTGCTTCCATTTGTCTGTGTCCGCTGCAAAGTAGGTTGAGGCGTAGGATCCTCGTCGAACATTGACGTTTGACCAAGGGCAGACGCACTGCGAGGTCCAATACTTGGTTTCCTATCTAGTCTCGGTGTCTTGCTGGGATCTCCAGATGTCCCACGTACACTCTGGGCGAAGCGGTTGACGGATGGCGAGCTGAATTTGGAGGGCACTTTGCCGGGAGTCGCCAAAGACGGCCTCGGACCAGGCGTCATCTGCAATTTTCGCACGGGTGACTCTGGCCGGACGGAGGGCCTGCTGATAGATTTCTTCAGCGCAGGACTAGAAGCTCGGCCCGGCCCGACAGACTTGCTGAACGTCGGCACCGAGGGCGTCGGAGGGGTGTAATTCGTCGAGTTCTGCGTGCCGGCTTTGAAACCACCCATTGTGGGGGTCTGAGGAAACGAGCCATATGACGAGCCGGAAGGAGAATCCCTCCTAACGGCCTTGTTGAGGGGCAAGAAGATGCCAGCGCCAGGGAGAGTCGTGGTGAAATACGAGACACTATGCAAAAGTCAGAGGTGTGTTCTGTCGTCGATTTGGCTTTCGCTGAAGAACTTACCCTTCCACTTCACCAGAGTTCTTGCCCCTCTGCGAGAACTCGGGGTGCAACTCAACGCCAGCAAAAGTGCCCTTCTTTCCATCCACCGAGCCAATGAACCGAACCGTGCCAAGCATATTTCCGGGAACTTCGACAACATCGCCAACGACGAAGTCGTTCCCGGCCTTACCGGGAGTGGCGGGTGGCATCTTGCGATCGGGCGACTCGGCTAGCACACTGTTGTAGGCGTAGGACTCGCTTACATCGGGAATGGAGGCGAGAGATTTGGAGGTCAAGGCGGCCAGGGAGGATTTGCGCGGCAGGGTGTGATGGGACGGCGTGAGGCGCGAATGAGAGTTGTAGAGCGAGTTGAGACTGGGGGAGGAAGCGGCTGTGGAAGAGGCGAAGTTACTTGTGTAGCTGATAGCTTTGCGAAGAGTTCGCGGTGGGTGGGCGAGACTTCTATGGGTCGGCGCGTGAGCAGCGGTCGCTGTTGTTGTGGTTACGGACATGATGAACAGTCGGGTCGGTTTTGGGTATTGAAGGCAAGGCAATAAATTAGTGGGTGCCGCGGTTTGTGTACAGGGACCCAGCCAGTAGTGCGACCGCTGGATTGAGTGCTGGACGGCAACTCTACTGGAGCTTGGCTTTTTGCCAGGCGGCACGGGTCAGGCCAGGTTCCAGGTTGTCGTGGCTGCACCTGTTGTTTCCCCAGGCCCCACTGGTCGCCCGCAGCGCAAAGGTAGCGCAACGTCAGCTAATCTTGCTTGCCTCGGTCGCTATGGGAGCCGCGCAGCAAATGAGATGCGCAAGAAGGCCTTGTTTGGCGACAGAACAGGATGGTCTTCGCAAGGCCTGACACCCCTTTCTGGCAGGAAAAGCAACGCACAGGCGTGGCGGGACAGAAGAAATGTCGGTCGATTGGGCGGGAAGGAAGGAGAAACAGGTACGCTATGCCGAAAAAGTGCTAAGATCCAAAGCACCGTGAAGTGTGATCGTCTCGGGTCTTTGGAAGTGTCTTTGACCTTTCGATAAGTTATTGAATGACTGTCTCTGGACTCGAGAGCCGCTGTAAGTCTGTGTCTTTCGGCGAGCTCGACAGATCATCTAGAAGCTCCGAGCAGCTTGAGTAGTGCCGACGGGGGAGTGAATGAATGGGAGAGTCGTCCAGGCCACAAGGACGGGTCGTTTGGACACGGCGACGACGATGGAAAAGGAGGACAAAAGAGTCCAGGGCGAAGGGGACGTGGGGGGGAAAAAACGACGTCGCCAGAGAGGAGGAGGGGCTTTTGTGACGCTCTGAGCCTCCTTTCCCCTTGATTGGCACGGCCGTTCTTGATGGGTTCTCAGACGTTGACCACTTTTTGGCTCAGCCTTTTGGGTAAGGATCCGTGGGCCAATGTCGATGCAGGGGTGGAGGAAGTCAAGGGAGGCGGGAAATGGGTTGGTGAACCGTCGGTTTTTGCAGCGTTGTAGCGCGACCCTTGTGGGAGATGGGATGAGTCGTTGGCAGGTGTTAATCTCGTAGCGGTGGTTTGTGGGTAGCGCGGCGCAAGGCAATCTGGGGTGAATAGGCAGTAGGTAGCAATGGAAGGGTTCGGGACGAAAGGTGGACGGACGGGTGGGTGTAAGGAATGACAAGATCAAGCAAGACACATCCAGAACAAGTAGGCCGTAAAAGGACCAACGGATAAGTCGTAGAAGCCGAGTGTGAGGTGGCAGAGAAACAGAAGACAGGCGCTGGCCTTGGAATGTCCGTCATCGTCGCCGTCGCATTCCACGACTCCCTCTTTGTATCATGCCGCAACAGCTGTCAATGTTTACGTGGATCCAGATTCAGTAAGAGCAGAACTGCAGTGACTGTTGCTCCGTCGCGAAAGAGACGAGCCGCAATTGGACCATCCGACCTGGCATTGAGGTCTGCATCGCTCCTTCATCATCGCCCATCGTACCCGTACACGCCGTAGTAGCAGCCGCGGATCCACGGAGACAACCTTGAATGACAGAGGGAAGGCCGCTCGTTGGCTGTTCTCTGCATCCATCCCCTCGCGGTTGCCATGACGCTGTCGTCGCTTTGCATCGCCCAAACCGCGGTTGCATTGCCGTACATGCAGATAGCGGAGCTGACAGGCACCCAGCCCAATCCCCAGCCAAAGACCAGGGGAGCGGTTGACCGCCTGCATGCAACGTGTTCGTCGTCCTGGTGGGTGGGTTGGCGGCATCGAAACGCCTTGTCACTGATAATGGGAGCTCCTGTCTCTCCCTCATGGTAGGTACACGACAGAAGGATCATCTCTACCTGCTGACCCCTCCCGTTTGGAATGCGCCCCAGACAGTCTTCACAAGAGCCTTGGTGAGCAATTACTGCCCGCCCCCAAGGTGGATCAGCGGCGTAGCATCAAGTAATTAGTGCGAGCGACCAGTCACAGTCCGAGATTGGCGGCAATCTTAGCTTTGGCTTCCTTTTTCTCGGCCACCCGTCTGCGCCTCCCAAATTTAGATGACCGCCGTCAGGTATTGATGGGACCAGACCGCAACAGATGCTACCTGGTCGGTGAGATCGTACCCGCTTCCCGATTGTATGTACGAGAGCCCTCCTCAACGACCCGAGATTACCAGGGTATGGTTCGTGATACTGCCGCCATCTCCCCCAGAGAGGCTAAAGCTTCAGGTGGAAGGGTGTAGAAAGTCTGGATGCTTCAATATTCCCACTCGATAACTTGGTACCCCTAAGCTCGGGTAAATTTGCCATGAGGGGGCGTCTGCCCCGCGTGACCCGCCCGCGACACCCCAGCTGTCTGGCTCAAGAAGTGGCTGTCTTCGTCGTCAAGTCTTCTTTAACGTCGTGGCGGTTGAAAGGAGCCAGAGGCGCACAAGGGATGGCCGTTCCTTAGAATGCCATCTCGGCCTTCGAACGACCCGACAATGTCGCGCTTGCTTCAATTATTGTCATATTAAAGATAAGGGAAGCTGCTCATATATGACCTGGTTTCTTTCCATCCGTATTTGCCAGAGGTAATCAGGAGCAATCACTTGGCAAGGCAAGCCCAAAGCATAGATATGCATCGACATGAGGCTTCATAAAGCCCTTTAACTCGCTGCTTGCTTCTCCGCAGCCCATACCCCTGGTGGCGTTGTCAAGTCATTTTCGTATGAGAGCCGTTCTGATAAACAGTCAACAAACACTAGGCCAGGACGAACAGGTTCCATGTGCAGTCCAGCTTCACTCCTCTTTTCTTCTCAGAATGTCGCTATCCACATGCCAAAACTAAAAGTTCCGGCGACCAGCGCCAGCCGTCCTAGGATCACCTTGACGGCCGAGGTGGCGAGCCGTCAGGGGAAAGAGAGGAAAGAGGGTCCTGAGCAAGCCAGGTAGGGGTCTAGCGTCAAAGCTTCCAGGGCCAGCGGGGGAAACCGTGCTACATATCTAAATCGATGTCTGACGGGCTAGCTGGGTGGACATTGCCATGGTGCCTTAAAACGCTAACGTGTTTGGCGCGCCAGACGGCAGCTCGTCATCGGACGAAACAAATTTCGCCAACCTGCCATTCAACCTAACATCCGTCAGAAACCCCGGGACGCATTACCAGCAAAGTAAGACACAATCAGACGTTGATTGGTATTGCTGGCGGCCCAAGAAGCAGTGTATTCGACACCTCGTCTCTGCTGACAAATTGTCGACTATGTACGACAGTGTTCTGTCTACTTTCGTCCCGCACCGCCGCCAACGTGTCTCCGCGACGTGAATTTGGATCTCAGGCTACCACCGAATGGGCCTTCCACCTCCCGATGCAGGAGACTGCGGATGTTGTGCATATGCCGTGTCTTTTCACGTGCTTTAACCCCCTAACATCCAACCGGCATCAAGGTACTAATTCTACGTCGACCTGGTTGTAGGATGTCCCCTGCTGCTCTCTTCCACGGGTCATGCCGAGTTAGAGGCTTTCGCGTCTCAAGGCTATACGAGTGCCTCCGTATGAGCCAGACTCTTGATGCAGCGCACAATCGCACATGTAGTTTATATCACAGAACGTTGCCGGCCTGCTGCTCGATTCTTCTTTGTGGCCATGAGGACTGATCGTTCAGCTCGGCGAATCGTGGCTCCTCTCAATGATATCCTCCCTTCCAATGGGCCGTGTGCCATCGTTAAACACCATCGCCTCACGGTGTTGGCGCCTGAGACGCTGTTCCTCGGCCGAGTGCTCTCGTGTACGAGGCACTTGCTCCACCGCTTGTAGTCCTTCGTCTTCGCCGTCCACGTTGCACAGCGTGGACTGCAACACAACGGTGAAGCCAGACAGGTTAGGATCTGGGTTCATACTAGGACTGGTCTTGGCGGGAACAAGATTGCAGGCAAGGATTGCCTTTGCTCCCTGCGTTGTGTGTGCGATCCTCGTCACAATGTCAACGATGCGGTTGTTCTTGTGTTCCATGTAGTAGATGAAGTTCTCCTGCCGCTCGGCTTCGTCATCTCCCCAGTATTGCTTAGCTAGCCACTTCTCCACGAACTTGGCCTTCACCAACATATCTGCACCGTACTTAGTGATAAGTTCGAGGACGAACATGAGGCAGAACCGTTCGGCCATATCGCGGAGATAGTATTCGTCCCAGTATTTATCGTCCAGCTTCGTTTGTTCCACGTCGCCTAGGCTCAACTCGAGGGATCTGACGAGGGCAGTGTATGCCCTCCACGTGTGCAGCTTCGAGAGACCCTCTGCAAAATCTGGAAGTCAGTCAGCTCTTCCGCCCCACAAGTTAGAGAGTAATGCCTACCATTAGTTTGCCCCGTCAATGTTGCCATGGCACGGAGATTCTTCATGCGAGTGTCGTAGTCCGGCCGCGTGATCCCGAAGAGCAGGTGTCGGACAGTGTCGGGATCGTTGACGGCGCGATCACAAAGTATTTTGATGGCGACATCGCGAATGGAGAAGTTTGGATGGCATAACAGCTTGTCGAGAGTATCGAGTCCGAGAGCATCCTCCGTTTCTTGAGTGATGTATTGCGTCTTCGGTGGTGTGACCTTGACTTCGTTGTCGTCGCGGATATACGTCAACATTTGGGTCATCATAGTGACCAAGCCGAACGTAGCGGCGCCGATGCCCACAAGGATGATGCGCTCATCGCGAAGGAACGACACCCAAGTCATGTTGTCTGAAGATGAAGCGAAGAATACTGGACCATGATCGAATGCTGGGTTTTGAGCATTGAATACGAGCAAAGGTTGAAGGAAGACAGTTTGCAGGGAACGCCAATCAAGCGCGAGCCATGACGGCCGACTCATTTTGCCTTGCGCCACCGCCCTGCCATCCCCACCACACTGATAAGATAAGAAACTTTGTGCTTCGTTCCGCTCAAAAAATTTGGGCAGGCGAAAGCACTGTTTCCTATCAGCAGCGTTCACAGCACCGAGTCCCAGGCACGCACGACAAGATGGCCGGCTCCCAGCTCAAGCGACTCAAGTCTTCCCTCAGGGAGCAGGGAATCGTTGGACCCCAAAAGTCCAAAAAGCAGAAACGCCAGTTCGCGCAAGATGAAAAGGCCAAAACCGACAAGCGCCTGCAGAGAGGTGCGGCCCTCGGCCAGATCAGAGAACAGTTCAACCCTTTCGACCTCAAGCACAACCCCAGAGGTCCCAAGTTCGAGGTCACGACCAACAGGCCTCAGACTGGTGCTGCGGCGAAAGGCATTCATGGCCGTCCAACCGAGGCCAAGTCTTTGGGCGAACAGAGAGTAAGGTTGCTCGATTGCCTCTTTGCAGAATGCGATATTGATGAGTATAACAGCGCCGAGAGACTTTGCTAGTTGAGATGCAGAAGCGGAACAAAGTCGGCGGAATCCTCGATCGTCGATTCGGTGAAAACGATCCGTCCTTGGCAGAGGAGGAAAAGATGCTTGAACGTTTCGCCCGTGAGAAGCAGAGGACGCATAAGAAGACGTCGCTCTTTGATCTTGAAGAGACTGAGCCGCTCGGCGAATTGACGCACATGGGCCAAACTCTCAACTTCGAACACCACGCCGACATGGCAGACGACTTCGACGAAGACGACCTCGGAGAAGACGACGACAGCGACTCTTCTTTGTCCGAGAAGAAGAGGCTCAAGCGACTCCGTAATGCTGGACTGGGTGATGACGACGAAGCAGCTGCAGATGAGCCGGACAGGAAAAAGTCCAAGAAGGAGGTCATGGAGGAGGTCATTGCGAAATCGAAGATGCACAAATACGAGCGCCAGGTCGCGAAGGACGAGGACGAGGACCTGCGAATGGAATTGGACAAGGAGCTGCCGAACCTCCACGCTCTCCTGATGTCCCACGGCAAATCCGATGCGCAGAAGAAGGAGGAGGCAAGCAAGTTGATTGCTGGAGTCGATAAGACTACTTTCGACAAGGAGTTCGACTTGCGTCTCAAGAAGCTTGTTCAGGATCGCCGAGCAGCTCCCACCGAGCGCACAAAGACCGACGAGGAGATGGCGGCGGAAGAATCAAAGAGGCTGAAGGAGTTGGAGGAGAAGCGCTTGAAGAGAATGAGAGGCGAGTCTGTCTCGGATGATGAAGACTCGGACGAGGAGATGGAGGACCAGGCCGCTGAGGAACCTGCTTTCCAGTTCATTCCTGAAGAGGAGGACGAAGACTTTGGTCTCGGAAAGGGTATCAAAACCAAGACTCGTCCTACTGCTACTGAGCTGGGCTTCGACGATGAAGATGATTTCCTCATTGAGGACGACTTGATTGCCAGCGGCTCGGACCTGGAGCCTATTGAGAGTGAAGAGGAGGAATCAGACGAGGAAGAAGAGTACCAAGGGGACGATTCCGAGGACGATGAGTTCACAAAGGGACTGCTTAATGAGGAGGAGACGAAGAGCTCTCTGTTCACCAACGCGGGCGGAAAGGGGGGCAAGAGGTCGATAGCTCCGATCTGCCTTACACATTCCCATGTCCACAAAGCTACGAGGAGCTGCTAGCACTGTCGCAGAAATATCCCAGCGACAAGTTGCCAACCATTGTTCAGCGCATTCGAGCTTTGTACCACCCGAAGCTGGATAGCAGGAACAAGGAGAAGCTGGGGAACTTTTCCCGGGCACTTGTGGACATGGTTGGGAACGGCCCTCATGATGAGAACAGTCCGTCTTTCCAAGTACTGGAGAGTCTGATTCGACACATCCACTCTTTGGCCAAAATGTTTCCGGTCGAAATTGCGAACCAGTATCGATCTCATTTGGAGGAGATCAGCCAGCAGCGGCCTCTTGCTGTCCACGTGGGAGACCTGACGCTGCTGACTGCGATCGGATCAACATTCCCTACGTCGGATCATTTCCACCAAGTTGCGACTCCTGCAATGCTTACCATCGGGCGTTACCTCGGCGGCAAGATCCCACAAACGCTCAGCGACTACGCCATTGGCATCTACCTGTCAACTCTGGCGGTTCAGTACCAGCAGTTCTCGAAGCGATACGTTCCCGAGGTCATGAGCTTCTCTCTCAACACCCTGTGTGCGGTAGCTCCCTCGGCGGTTTCGAAGGTGTCTGGTAGCTTTCCTATCCACGAGCCCGCAACGGGCATTCGTGTCGCGAACGCGCGGAAGACGAAACTCCGACAGCTCTCGCCGGCCGACTGTGCCATTGCAGAGGTGTCTGGCGCTGAAGCTGAGTCCAAGAAGACTGCTCTGATAGGCACGACTCTTCAACTCCTCGGCGCTGCTGCCGACACTTGGACCGGAAAGCCATCGTTCCACGAGACCTTCCAGCCCGCGCTTGACATCGTCGCGCACCTGAGCAGCAAGTCGAGCCGTTCCAAGTTACCCGAAGCTTTAGGTGAGCAGCTTGACAAGTCTAAGCTCAAGCTGGAACGGATGCTCAAAATCGCACAACTCTCGCGACGACCGCTCGAGCTGCACCACCACCGTCCGTTAGCCATCAAGACATACATCCCCAAGTTCGAGGACTCGTACGACCCGAACAAGCACTACGATCCCGACCGCGAGCGTGCGGAGATGGCCAAGCTGAAGAAGGAGCACAAGAAGGAGCGCAAGGGCGCAATGAGAGAGCTGAGGAAGGACGCTCAGTTCATGGCCCGCGAGAACCTGCGCATGAAGAAGGCGAAGGACGAGGCGTACGAGAAGAAGTACAAGCGGCTCGTGGCGGAGATCCAGAACGAGGAGGGCAAGGAGGCCAATGCGTACGAGAGGGAAAAGGAGGGCAGGAAGAAGGCGAGACATCGCTAGACAGCTTGCGCTTACAGTCTTTATGGTATGGTCTCAAAAAGTTCGTTGGTGCTTTTCGGCATTGTAATTTCCCTATTGTGTTCAATACCAGCATATATCGGTGGGTGAGTGGGTTGAGAACCCGTTTGGGGATCCCCATATAGAAAATCTTGAATAGAAACGCCCGATACAATTACATGCCTGTCCACGCAAATGGATCAACTCAGCAGCACTCTGTAAAGTGAATGTGAAGTTCTCGTGGTGAGAGCATGGCTCTTCGTAAGGTCATTAGTTAGGTCTGCATCTAGGGTGGTCCTGTATGAATCCACCATCGCAGTTACGATTCAGACAGTGTTCCTTACAGCCAACGGCAGCTGACGTCGGTTCCACTGCCACTCGGCCCCAGTGCTCAGGCGCGTACAACGAGTTCTTTTAACATCAGACTTCACTTTCACACTTTCCGGAAGGCTTGATCGACATCCATGTTATCAACCGGTACACACGCACAAAGCTCTTGGTTCCCTGAGTTTCAATCCAATTCTCCTCTATCGGGCGCAAAAACAGCCTCACATCAATCGAGTATTTACATCAACAAGGGGGGTTCTTGTTTCTTCCACACCAACTAAACACGCTTATACGGACTCACTCATCCCCTTCCTTACACACAAAACCGACAAAAAGCCGTCAGTTTTCTACATAGTTCTAGGCCTGGCGCAGTACGCAAGCCGTATCCGAGGAACACCATACACACAGGAAAACATCTACTAGCCATGGACCCCAAACAATCAGCAGCCTCGGACGAGGAGGAGGACGACTACATGAACATGACATTTGAAGAGGCCCCGACCATCAAGAAGACCCAGCCGGAAACCTCCCTCCAGCGGCGCCAGCGCCTTAAGCGCGAGGGTGAGATCCGCGGGCGCGTCAAATCCAAGGAGGAGCTCGCGGCCGAGGAGGCGGCGGCACGCGAGAAGGCCCTCTCGCGGTCCCTCCTGGAGGACGCGGCCGCCAAGAAGAGCAAGGGCCTCGCGATGATGGCCAAGATGGGCTTCAAGGGCGGTGCGCTCGGCGCTGCGGGCGACGGCGCGCGCACGGAGCCGATCGCCGTGGAGATCAAGGAGGACAGGGGCGGCATCGGGATGGAGAGTGAGAGGAAGCGCAAGATGAGGGAGGCGGCGGAGAGGATCGAGGAGGAGGTCCGGGAGGGGAAGAGGGTCAAGGTCGATCCGCTAGAGTACCGCGACCGGGTGAGGCAGGAGAGGGAGGCGGCGAGGGTGCAGGCGCAGGTTTTTGCGGCCCAGAGGGTCGCGGAGAGGATGGCGGATGAGAAGGATGCCGAGAGTAGGTTGCAGGTCGTCCAGGGCGGGGAGGGGTGGATGCCCAAAAGGAGGGGGGAAAGAAGTCAGCTTCTGATACGGCGGCGAGACCGCTCAAGTCCATCAACGTCCTCTGGCGTGGCCTGGCGCGGCACCGCGAGGAAAAGGAGAGGGATCGGCGGATGCGGTATGATCTGGAGCAGAGCCTCTCGCGGCTGCCGACGTACGAGGATGACCAGGAGGACGAGGACGACCGTACGGCGCTGGGAAAGAAGCAAACGATCTACGTCACGGCGGAGGACCTGGACGAGGAGGACCCCGAGCTGGATGAGTTTAACGAAATGGAGGACGCCGAGAAGCTGAGACGACTGGTGGAGTACCTGAGAAAAGAGCACCGGTATTGCTTCTGGTGCAAGTTTACTTACCCAGATGACGAGATGGAGGGATGTCCTGGTGTCACGGAAGAGGATCACGATTAGATGGCGACGGATGCACTGCGTTTTGGAATCAGAAAACCAGCTGGTCACAGGTTTGTGACAGAGAACAAGATACGTCTTGTCGTGACGGGTGTCATTATAAATGTACAATATCTAAGTCTATGTGATACAGAGAGGACTTGCGGCCTCTAGGCCTTTTCCGCCAAAACATCGTACACGCCCATCTCCTTGGCCACCTGTGCCATGTGGCTCTCCGGGACAGGGCCAACGTCCTGCATGTACACTGTCTGCATATAATGCGAGAGCTCCTCGCCGCGCTGCTTGGGCGTCATCTCGTCCAGTGTCATCGAGCGACCGAGCAATTTCTGCCGGTTCTCGACGTGCGTATCAATCCTGCGCTTCACCAGACGAAGTTTCTGTCTCGCTTGGGCAGTCTCCCACGCAAGACTGGTGGTCTCGAGCAGCATCTCGAGAGCCAGCACCTCGGGCGGCGTAAACTCGAAGACGTCCTTGAAGGCTTGCAGCGCAGTGACGATGCCCAGGTTGTCCTTGAGTCGGCGGAATGTGTGCAAGATCTTCCGCGCGAGCTGGCCGTCGAGACCGTCGGCTTCGAATACGGGCGAGAAACGGACTGTTTCCGCAAAGGTCTCGCGCGTGATCCTGACTTCGTTGGCCAGCTCATCGCCGGTGACGTTGTGCAGCCTGTTCGCCCCCAGCATCTTCCACAATGCCATGAAGGTGTACGGGTCCGGCTTTACCTGGCGCTCGTACACCAGCGTTCGGTAGAGTTCCCTTGCCTCGGAGACGTTACCATTCTGGGAGTACGACTCCAGCAACTGGTTCATCATGAACGCATCTGGGCTAATCTCGGCTTCTCTAAAGGCGTCCCAGAGCTTCTCCATTTCTTTCGGCAAGCGTCGAATGCGATAGTTTTCGGCGAGCAGAGAAAACGTCTCGAGTGTAGCCTTCGGCATGGCGCCCAGCTTGCCATTTCCAGGAACTTCGACAATGCGAACTGGTCCTTCCATGGAAGACAGACGACGTCTGTTGCAGACGAACTCGATGCGGGCATTAATCATATCCCATGCCAGCTTATCCGCCTTTTCCAGATTGTCGGCACCGCCAGATCTCTGCCAAGCACCGATGAGCCCATTTACCTGGATAGTAGCTGCCTCAATGCCCTTGGAGCGCATGAAGTTGAAGACGCTGTGCGCTCCATCAAGGTCCCCGGCACCGATGAGTCGTTTCAACCACTTGCCGAAGAAGAACTTGTTGCCGATCTGGGATGGCAAGTGTTGGCGTCCCTTCAGCTCCACCGTCCCAGAGCTCATCATGTCGACAAAGGCTTGTAGAGCCGGTTCCGTCTGGTTTGTCGTCAAAAAGAAGGAGATGACCTGGTCGTAGTCCTCAAGCCCCATGGATGTGCCGAGAAGGTCTCTCATGCGTCGGTAAGCGTCCCATGCCTTCGTTCTTGCTTCGTTCGTAGGGTTTGCAGCGCAGCTTCTGATGTATGGCATCAGGATACGAGGGTCGAGCTGACGCTCCAGCAACTTGTTGACCGCGCGCTCTGCTTGGCCAAGGTCCCCTTGTTGGCAAAACATGCGCACTCCGAGCTCCCAAAATTCCTGGAAAGTGTCGGCGCCACCGTCACCGAGGGTCGAAATACATCGCTTCCAGCTCTCAATGGCCTTAGCCTCCCATCCGTCTACAAACATGGCTTCCACTGTCACAAGCTGTTGTGATGGGCTCAGGGCAACCTTGGCCTCACTCATATCCCTTGCCAGCAGCGAGAGATAGGTGAGCCGGCTAGCGTTCTGGGCCTCGTCCAGTGACAAAACCTCCCAAAGAAGGTTCCACACCTCTTGAGGAACATGCGCCCATGCCTTTGCCAAAGACTGCCGCGCTGCACTATACGCCTTCCACACTGACTGAACGGTTTTTGCAGTGACGTTCTCGCCCCTTCTTATTTCCTTAGTCGTTCGTGAGAGGAGAGAGTTGAGTCGTGTGATGCGTTTTCGCTGGTTGAAACTCCATACGTTTTCGGGGATCTGCGGAATCGGAGTGTGCTTCTTGCGTTTCGAGGGGTCCTCGCGAGCTGTCGCCTCGATGACATCCATGGTTGCTACGGGGTTCGAATCGTCGAATTCGCTGACGTCGAATCCCGCAGCCTCAAGCTGGTTTTCTAAGTCCTTGATGTAATCGTCCAGTTTCTCCATCATCTCTTCAGGGTTGTTTGCCCCTCCGAGCTTTCCTTCAAAGTCCTTCGCAATCGATTCGACGTCATTGATTCCAAAGGCTCCCAAACCACCCTCTTCTTGGAGTCGCGACAGCATGCGCCGCATGTCAGACGCCAGATCCATCTTGAGGTCCTCCTCTATCTCAGCTACCCCGCCCACAGAGTCTGCGAACGCATCCTCGGTCCCAAGCTGCTCGACTTTGCCTGTTGGGCCCTTCTCAAAGAACTTCAAGATCGGTTCGCCAGTTCGTTTTTGCGTCAGTTCTTTGAGAAGCGCAGCGGCGGCCTTATTCGGATCGGATTCGGATCGAGAAGAATGCGTGGCAGACGTGGTGTTTCGTGTTTTCTGAGGGCCGGGTTGAGGGCGAGCTCCCAGCTGGGCCACCCACGAGCTATGTCGAATAGCCCATGACTGCGGGGCCGATGACCCTAAAGTTGACCGGCAAGAATGGCAAATGAATGTATTTCGACATGTTATGTCACGGATGAAAGTTCTACGAGACATAAGGAGAGGCGTAGTTGGTCAACATGAAGAAGAATGAATAAAATGTGGCTTCAGGCGCAATAGAAGCTCCTGGTAGAGAAACGGGTCAGATTTTTTGATGGACCCTGAACCCAGACGCATTTGCACTTGCACTTGCGCGCGTCGCGCAGTACTGATCACTGTGGCTTATCTTATCGAAGACCCACCAGAGGCATACACCGCCTGCTATATACAACGAAATCGGCCGCCACACCAAGGCAGAAAAAGATAATTTTCTAGATCCCACCTTCGTCTTCACTTTTCGGTCTCGGGCATTGGCAGTACCGCAAAACGACGGCACGATGGCTTCCGCTCCCGAATACCTGCGGTTTACAGGACACAGATCCTTCGCACAGCGATTGATCATTTCGACTCTTACCGGCCGACCTGTACACATCTCCAAGATTCGCAGCTCGTCGCCGACAAATCCTGGTCTTGCGCCGCATGAGATTTCATTCCTCCGTCTGCTTGAAGCCGTCACCAATGGCAGCTCTATGCAGATCTCGTACACAGGTACGACAATCACATACCACCCCGGTCTGATCACCGGAACCATGGCTGGCTTTGGTGCATCCGACGGCGACGTCATCGAACACAACTTGCCGGCGAACAACACCCGCGGTGTCACCTACTTCCTCCTCCCGATCTGCCTCCTCGCGCCGTTCTCGAAGGCCCATGTCAACATCCGATTCACCGGTCCGGGTGTCATCACATCGGCGACTGAGGCGGGCGACATTTCCGTCGACTCCTTCCGCACAGCCATCTTGCCTCTTTTTGGACTCTTCGGAATCCCGCCAGCGAGAATCGAACTGAGGGTCCTCTCGCGATCTTGCCCCGGAAAAGGTGGCAGAGGAGGCGGTGGTGTCGTGGAACTCAGATTCGCAAGCCAAGTCCGACTTCCGAAAACGCTTCACCTGAACCGCAACCCTGGAAAGATAAGGAGGATACGTGGAGTCGCATACTGCACCGGAGTTTCAGCGTCCAATAACAGTCGAATGATCCACTCAGCTCGAGAGGTGCTGAACGCATTGGTTTCGGACATACACATCGCGGCGCAATACGACACGGCACCGCTAGTTACCGCTGCCGACAAGTCAAAGACGCGGACAGGTATCGGTTTTGGTCTTAGCTTGGTCGCTGAGTCAAGCTCCGTCGGCGTGCTCTACTCTGCGGACGTTGTTGCTCCGCCAGTTGGTGGTGTCGTTCCTGAGGACATTGGCAAGAACTGTGCCTACCAGTTGCTGGAGACCATCGCGCAAGGAGGCTGCGTCACCAAAACATCTGCTAGCACAGTGTTGACACTGATGGCGATGGGATCCGAAGACGTAGGAAGATTGAGGATAGGAAGGGAGATCATCGGCACAGAGGAAATGGTAGGACTTGCGCGGGACCTGCGGACGTTCGGCGCCAGTAGTTGGGGTTTGAGGGACGTGGATGACGACGAGTCGGGCGACATACTTGTTACGGTAAAGGGAAGCGGCGTTGGTAATGTTGGTCGCAAGATTGCTTAAGATACCAGAGAGCGCAATGAAAATTTAGTCGCCATTGGATATCGTGCTGTCATTTGCACTACCTTTGATTCCTCTGATTGCGTTCTAATTGAGGCATCCTCCTCATCGCTGAAAGTCTCGTCAATGCTGCTGTATAGCCCAGCGTTTGGAGCGAATGACCTGCTGCCCCCCAGTAATCTGTTGTGGCGTGTCTGATGGTGTGAGATATGTGGAATTCTCCCACAATGCCGTTTCCTGAACTAAGAACATCGAACAGATGCATCCCACTAGCTGCGTGAAGGGACGAGCGACGTCGCGAGGATCGACTTCGTTCCGCATCTTGTTCATGTCCGCCATCGCCGTTGGGCCGTAGAGGCTGCAACTCCACACTGTTGGGACCTTCGGTTTCCAAGCCAGGGGCATCCCTCAGCACCCCTCGTTCCTCAGCATCGTGGTCTTGGGTTGATACCGCTCCAATTGTCTCCTGCAGTGCCGGTGGTAATCGAAACAGTATAGGTCGAACGATAGGACGCAGTTTCTCTCGCTCGGAATGGATAGCTAGCATTAAACACTGAATAGCCAGTATAATGCAATCTAGCGCTAGAAACGTAAACCTGGAAGTCGGTGGCTTTTGCCCGATAAAGTCGACAATCACACCCCCGTGAAGATATCCGCGGGCAGCTTCACCAGCTGTGGGCAATGATGTAAAGATGTGCAGTATAATACAGAGGAGGTTGGGAACAAACACCGAAATGACCTGTGACCGGGCCGCCTCCATCGTCAACGGGTAGTCATCGGGTTTAGGTGTAAGCCAATGATGTTGTCCATATACGCGGACCGCGAAGCGGAAAATGGAACATCTGTTTCGATTGTCAGCGCATCTCACTGTAAAATAAGGCATATAGATGACATACTCCATGTAGTATAGAGTGCAAAGCTCCGCGTAGACCAAGGCATCCAGGTTCCGTAGCAGTTGGGTCATGAAGTCAAACTTCCTTGCCAGGCCCGGGTTGATCTTCCGATGTTTCCGTCGCCTCCTCCTCCTAGCGTTTCTAACTTCCGGGTCGTCGACTTGCTGCGACGGCTCCGGAAGTCCTCTGCCATCCAGTTGTTCATCCTCGAGAGGGATCGATCGGCCTGGCAGGGTCCCTGTCGCGGCATCATCGACCATAGCTCGTCGGCCTCATTGATGTCGGCGGAGAATCATGCAGCGTGGCGACGAGCGACGCTTCACATACTCCAGAAGTTTGGAATTGGATAAGCTCAAAACAGAGAGACTGTTGTTCAAGATGGAAACATGTGTGAGGATGTTTGACCGTTGGAACTTGACGTCGACAGTTGTGGATAAGCGACGACCAAATCCAGCTGCAGGGATGCCGAGAGTGACGCCACAGCTGGGACAAGCTGCTGTCGAACAGAAAAAGCTGCACGGACGCTCTGGCCCCTTGAGTGCAGCTCCTGATGGATGGGGCTCATTAAGCGCAAGCGGTGCCGTGTACTCGGAAGAGGGAGAATCTTTGATACGAGGACCCCTCCTTCTGTCCCGCGCAGGGTCCACACTCCCCTCCGATTCGACCGTGGCGGCCAAATTTCTGCCAGGAGTTCCCGCCTAACTCACAACTGCCCCTCTGACTCAACGAGCCGAAGACTGACAATCCAACGTGCAAGTCACATTTGCAAGACACCAGCACACGCAACCATGGCGACGGCGAGCAACGGTCCTTCTGGGGACCTCACGTCCCAGATCCTTCTTGCTTTGTCCAAGAAGGATCCCATCCTGTCTGCCGAGCATTTCCCCGAGTTCCAGTTCGTCGACATCAAGGCGGCGCTGGACCGACTCGCCAGCCGTTCCATGGTGACATACGAGTCAATTGACCGAGAGGAAGCGGTTCTTGAGGCAGAGGGCAAACAAATTGCGGAGCATGGCAGTCATGAAGCCCGCGTCTTCGAAGCTGTCCGCAAAGCAATGGAGGGGTTGACGGTGCAAGAGCTTGAGGCTGCCGTGGGCGACAAGAACGTGACAAAGGTCGGCCAGGGCAAGGCTTTCAAGGAGAAGTGGATCAAGAAGGGTAGCGACGGCAAGCTTGTTGCGTCTGTAAGTTTGAGGATTACAAGTGCTGCCTGAACACTTGCTGACCAGTCGCACGCAGACCGAATCGATTGAAGACGTTACCCAAGCCCAGCTCCAGCAGATCCAGAAGACGGGCACCCACGAGCCCAAGATTATTACCGAGTTGAAAAAGCGCAAGCTCATCAAGACCCAGAAGGTCATTACTTTCAAGATCCAGAAGGGACCCGAGTTCGCCTTGGAAATCAAGAAGGAAGAGACCGACCTTACGGCCGACATGATTACATCTGGATCATGGAAGACGGCCAACTTCAAGCCGTACAACTTCAAGGCTCTTGGAGCTGACCAGAACGCTGGCGCGCTGCACCCCCTCAACAAGGTCCGCCACGAGTTCCGTCAAATCTTCTTCGAGATGGGCTTCGAGGAGATGCCTACCAGCAAGTTCGTTGAGTCCGGTTTCTGGAACTTCGACGCCTTGTTTGTTCCCCAACAGCATCCCGCAAGAGACCTTCAGGATACCTTCTACATCTCAGATCCCAAGGTGGCAGACAAGCCTGGCCCTGAGTCGGCGGATGACAAGAAGGACTACGAGACATACTGGGAGAACGTCAAGCAGGTCCACCAGGACGGCAAGTTTGGCTCGATCGGTTACCGTTACCCCTGGGCTGCGGACGAGGCCCAGAGACTTGTTCTCCGCACACATACAACAGCCATCTCCACGGCAATCCTCCATCAACTGGCTTCTAAGAAGGGCCCGGATGGCAGACCTCCACCAGCCCGGTACTTCTCTATTGACAGAGTCTTCCGCAATGAGAGTGTCGATGCCACGCATCTGGCCGAGTTCCATCAGGTTGAAGGTGTCATTGCGGACTACGGTCTGACACTGGGCGGTTTGATGGAGTTCATGGAGATCTTCTTCAACAAGATGGGCATTACAGACATCAAGTTCAAGCCTGCTTACAACCCCTACACCGAGCCGAGCATGGAGATTTTCAGCTTCCATAAGGGCCTGAACAAGCTCGTCGAGATCGGCAACAGCGGCATGTTCAGACCGGAGATGCTTGAGGCCATGGGGTTGCCTAAGGACATGAGAGTGTACGGTTGGGGCTTGAGCTTGGAGAGACCGACCATGATCAAGTATGGTATCTCCAACATTCGCGAGCTGCTGGGACACAAGGTGGATCTGAACTTCATTGAGAGAAACCCGGCGGTGAGGTTAGAGAAGAACTAGACAAACTGGCATGGAAAAGTAGAAAAAAGGGACACGACTTACATGAAATGCGCTTGGGCTGGCATATGTTGGCGAATGGAATACCAATCACGTTTTGAAAGGTCATGCTGCATAAGTGCATTTGCATTATTATTGCGGATATTTTACCGCGAAGCCGACACCCAACTAGGTTGTTCAGATGCCCCGCCCCACGACTCTTGTGAGTTTGCGTGTTAAATGAGGCGTCGCTGTCTAGCAAGGGTTGCCAGATGATCCTCATGACAAATTAACGCTTCCTTCATCGGCATCATCGACGCCATTACCGATTCGGCCTCACCCGAGTCTTCCAGCGGCATTTCCTAGGGCTGCTTGGTGGCATTGGCCAATGGGTGAGAGCGAAGTTCACAAGCCCCCCCTCTGGGGATCAGGAGGTGCCAATAGCGGGGCACATGTCAGATGTAGCGGGGCGTAGCCAAACGTCAGATCGTAACCCAAACAGTAAGAAGCTCGGACCCTCGATCAAGACGAAAAGGTGCGTGCAGTGCCTCCTCCGGTGCGAAAGGGTTAGAGAGCGTGGGGAGTTGGGAAAATACACTGGAGTCGTAGGAAGCGCACACCGTGAGTCACTCGATGTTCCTTGCAGGGGACTGGAGTTGCTGGAGTCACAGCACGGGGAACAGTCCCCCGGCTTCTCCATCTCGTCAATCATTTGTGTAACGAGTTTCCATCCCAAGATGAGCGAGAGAGGCCGTGACTCAGTGCATAGAGTCCAAGCTACTAGCAAAAGTCTGGGCACCTCGAGCTCTTCGTCTGTGGGCACAGCAGCAGTGCAAATCGCTCTTAGTGAGGAAGGGGACTGCTTGGGGCACCGTCACACAGTTCAGTAAGGATGCGGTGCTGAGAGTTTTAACAGCGTCGTTCTGAACCCCTTCGTAAAACTTTGTTCTGGTATCTCTTGCATTGTAAGAGTTTTTCGCCAGAGGCTGGTTGAGGGGTGCCGTATGCATGCATGCATGGCCGTGGGTGTGTCACTGCGGTGACGCAGAAACCTGCGATAACGGCGCCGAAGTGGTCCCTGGACCGCGAACGGGTCCTTGAGAAAAGAGACGGCTGTGATACTACCCTAGTTAGCGTTGTGAGTCGTTGTTGGGCCCCCCCCGATCGGCCAATTCAACAACGAAAAATTTCCTTATCTTATCACGTCTCGGGGCCGCCTTTTGTCGCTGAAGACGAGGACATTTACCGTCGTCTTCCCTCCCCACAACCTTAGCAAAGCTTAGAGAAAGAGTCACAATCCTTCAAACCGGCGGCCATCTTAGCTATACTCTCTCTCCTGGTCCTAAAACCATTCAATTGGCTCTGACCTCGAGTGATCTCTCTCTTCTCACAGGTCTTTGTTGCATTGGCACCTTGAGACCATCACAATGCCGTCGGCCATGTCAAGTTCTTTGGCAGGTCGAGCTCCGGCCGTCCTCCGACATGGTCGACGAGTCCCGACAGCTCTGACCGGCCGCAACTTCACCCTCGCCGCCTCCAACGGCCTGGCCAGGGCTCAAGTCCAGAACAGCAGCGCGAAGTTGCTCCAGAAGCGCCTCTTCTCCTCGAGCGCGCTTCGTCCCAGTGCCGCGCAACCTGCGCCGAACCCCAAGGCTTATCTTGAGAGCGGCGCAATCAAGCCTTCTGCCGGCGTCGACGTCAAGAAGGTCTTGGTCATTGGCAGCGGTGGTCTTGCCATTGGCCAGGCTGGAGAGTTTGACTACTCAGGTTTGTTTTACTCCCCGGCTCTGTACTCTCTTTGTGCGCGCAGAGGAAAATGAGTCACAGACATCGAGGAGCCCTGGGCTAACAAGACTCGCCATGAAGGATCGCAGGCTCTGAAGGCTCTGAAGGAGGCGGGCGTTAAGTCCGTCCTCATTAACCCGAACATTGCCACCATCCAGACCAACCACACGCTCGCCGACGAGGTCTACTACCTGCCCGTCACCCCGGAATATGTGACGTACGTTATCGAGAAGGAGAAGCCCGATGGTATCTTCCTCTCCTTTGGTGGCCAGACTGCCCTGAACCTCGGTGTTCAGATGCAGCGCATGGGTCTCTTTGAGAAGTACGGCGTCAAGGTCCTTGGAACCAGCGTCAAGACTCTTGAGACCAGTGAGGACCGCGACCTTTTTGCTCGCGCCCTTGACGAGATCGACATCCCCATTGCCAAGTCGATCGCTGTCGGGACCATTGAGGAGGCTCTCGACGCCGCCGAGAAGGTCGGATATCCCATCATCGTCCGTGCCGCCTACGCGCTCGGTGGTTTGGGTTCCGGTTTCGCAAACAACGAGGAGGAGCTCCGCAACATGGCTGCCCGCTCTCTCACCCTGTCTCCCCAAATCTTGGTTGAGAAGTCGCTGAAGGGCTGGAAGGAGGTTGAGTACGAGGTCGTCCGTGACGCGAACAACAACTGCATTACTGTTTGCAACATGGAGAACTTCGACCCCTTGGGCATTCACACTGGAGACAGTATCGTCGTTGCTCCCAGTCAAACCCTGAGCGATGAGGAGTATCACATGCTGCGATCCGCCGCCATCAAGATTGTTCGTCATCTTGGCGTCGTGGGAGAGTGCAACGTTCAGTACGCGCTCCAGCCTGACGGCCTCGACTACCGTGTCATTGAGGTCAATGCCCGTCTTTCTCGTTCTTCTGCTTTGGCCTCCAAGGCCACCGGATACCCCCTTGCGTACACCGCCGCCAAGATCGGCCTGGGCCACAGCCTCCCTGAGCTCCCCAACGCTGTCACCAAGACTACGACCGCAAACTTTGAGCCTTCCCTTGACTACATCGTCACCAAGATTCCCCGTTGGGATCTTTCCAAGTTCCAGCACGTCAAGCGTGACATCGGCAGTGCCATGAAGTCTGTCGGTGAGGTCATGGCTATCGGACGTACCTTTGAAGAGTCTTTCCAGAAGGCTATTCGCCAGGTTGATCCCAGGTTCGTTGGCTTCCAGGGCGACAAGTTCGAGGACCTCGACCACGAGCTGCAGAACCCGACTGACCGTCGCTGGCTCGCCGTCGGTCAGGCCATGCTCCACGAGAACTACTCTGTGGATAAGGTTCACGAGTTGACCAAGATCGACAAGTGGTTCCTGTACAAGCTGCAGAACCTTGTTGACTGTCAACATGGTCTCGAGGCCGTCGGCAGTTTGGAGAATCTGAAGAAGGACCAAATCATGAAGGCCAAGAAGCTCGGCTTCTCTGATCGCCAGATTGCGCTGGCTGTCGGAAGCACCGAGAACGAGGTGCGCGCCGCTCGTCTTGCCTTTGGCATCCGCCCCTGGGTCAAGAAGATTGATACTCTTGCCGCCGAGTTCCCCGCCGACACCAACTACCTCTACACGACTTACAACGCTACTTCCCACGATGTCACCTTTGAGGACAATGGCATCCTCATTTTGGGTAGCGGCGTGTACCGCATTGGTAGCTCTGTCGAGTTCGATTGGTGCGCCGTCAGCGCCACCCAGGCCCTGCGCGAGATGGGAAAGAAGACTGTCGTCATTAACGTAAGTAGGACTTGAGTTTCCTTCCTCTCATCATTCCAAACAATATGCTCGGAAGCTGCACCAAGCGTGGCAGCCTCGAGGCTGCTCTTCTTCTATTACTCGACGCAATGTTGCTTCTATTTCTTTTGGTTCTTCTCGACGCTGGCATTCCCCCCTCTTCTCCTCAGCATCCCCGTCGTTCACGCTCGCTGCCGCCTCATTCCTCGTCTTTCCCAAAGCTCTGTACTGCTCTACTACTTTTCCCAATCGTTTGACGCTCTGCACGATCATCATGCCCTCTCCCCGGTACTCTGCTGGTACGCTTTTCAAGCTCGTCCTACTTGTTACTTGGACTTGCTTGGAAGACACGCCGTTTTCTATGAAAAACACACTCTTTGCCCGCTTCTTTTCCAGTTTGGACGTCCTCGAATCCACCGCTCTGCTCGCCTCTTTGTCCTTTGCCCCCGGCCTTTTTTCCGTTCTTCAGGCTGCCACTCCTCCTGCGATCCAGTTCTTCCAGAGTCTCCCCGTCGGTCCCAAGAACTGCTGGGGCATTTACGCCCTCGTCCTAGAGAAGCCTGGTAGTCGGCCTGGCCTCTATATCGGATCCGGAACTAGTACCGGAACCCCGACAGCGGGCGGAGTGGCCTTACGCTTCAAGCAGTACGATGACGGATTCCTTATTCCTAAATGGATCAAGGTCGCCCTAAAAGACGGCTATACCATTACACACAAGGGTCTTCTTTGCTGGATCCCTCGCCCCGGAGCTTCTGATGTCCCCGTCTTCCGTCTTCTTTTCATTGCTCTAGAAGCTACCTTTACCTACATCTTCTGGGCACTCAAGGCGCGCCACGGAGGCTATGGTATGGGTCACATCTGCTTCTAGGACGAGCGAGGAGACTTCGGATACGATGGACTTTGCAGCCACGCCGCCCTGAACGAAGGAGTCCCTGGCCAGTTCGACTTGAGTCCTGAGGAACTCGAAACTCTCGCCAAGGAGCGAGAAGAGAAGCGGCTTATCCTGAAAGCTCAGAACAATTCCAGCTGGCACTATAAACAAATGGCCGAGAACTATGACGAGTACATCACCGCGGCCAATGTCCGAGTGGCCAAATCCCGCGCCAATAATCCTGGCCGGAACAAAAAGTATCAGGAGACCAAGATCAAGGAGGCGCTGGAAGAGCAGCGTTTCCATTGCGAGTTGTGCGGTCTGTTCTTCGGAACCAAGCAGCGTCTCCGGAACCACGAGAATACCCCTAAACATCGCCGCAAGTCGAAGCAGAACGACAGCCCCTTTGTTTGCAAGCCTTGCGATCTTGCCTATCACAACCAGAGTAATCTCACTCGTCACGAGAAGTCTGCCCGTCATCAGCAGAACGTCTTGCTGTATAAGGAGAAGCACTAGGGATGACGCTGTCACCAAAAACATATCTTATTTTACAAGTGGAAGCATAAGAAATGGGGTGGCGTTACCAGAAGGCGTTTATTATTCTGCAAGTGGAAGTAATTAGATGGAGCGGCGTTACCAAAAGCAGTTTATTATTCTACAAGCGGGAGTAATAATATGGAGCGGCGTTACTAAAAGACGTTTATTATTGTATGAGCGGAACAACTAGATGAACAATAAGCTAACTTCCTCATCGTTTAACCCGGAGACCTATTCCACCGATTTCGATACTGCTGATAAACTCTACTTCGAGGAGTTGAGCTATGAGCGTGTCATGGATATTTACGAGCTCGAGAGCGCTTCGGGCGTTGTGGTCTCCGTTGGTGGCCAACTCCCCCAAAATATCGCGCTCCGTCTCCAGGAGACCGGAGGTGCCAAGGTTCTCGGAACCGACCCAAGGGACATTGACAAGGCCGAGGACAGGCAGAAGTTCTCCGAGATCCTCGACAGCATTGGCATCGACCAGCCCGCATGGGAGGAGCTCACCTCCGTCCAGGAGGCCGAGGCCTTTGCTGACCAAGTCGGATACCCCGTGCTTGTTCGCCCCAGTTATGTCCTCTCCGGCGCCGCTATGACTGTCATCCACAGCAAGGAGGACCTGAAGGAGAAGCTTGAGGCCGCCGCCAACGTGTCTCCCGACCACCCTGTAGTCATCAGCAAGTTCATTGAGGGTGCCCAGGAGATCGATGTCGACGGTGTCGCTTCCGAGGGCAACCTGATTCTTCACGCTGTCAGTGAGCACGTCGAGCAGGCTGGTGTTCACTCCGGTGACGCCACTCTTGTCCTCCCTCCTGCAAACCTTGACCAGACCACCATGGACCGCGTCAAGGATATCGCCGAGAGGGTTGCCAAGGCCTGGCGCATCACCGGTCCCTTCAACATGCAGATCATCAAGGCCGAGAACCCTGAGGGTGGTGAGCCTGCGTTGAAGGTCATCGAGTGCAACCTCCGTGCCTCTCGTTCATTCCCCTTCGTCAGCAAGGTCCTCGGCACCAACTTCATCGACGTTGCCACCAAGGCTCTTGTCGGCCAGCAGGTCCCCGAGCCTGTCGACCTCATGGCCGTTAAGCGTGACTACCTCGCTACCAAGGTGCCCCAGTTCTCCTGGACCCGTCTCGCCGGCGCCGACCCCTTCCTCGGCGTCGAGATGGCCTCCACCGGTGAGATTGCCTGCTTTGGCAAGGACCTCGTTGAGGCCTACTGGACCTCCCTGCAGTCGACCATGAACTTCCGTATGCCTGAGCCCGGCGAAGGTCTCCTCTTCGGTGGCCAGCTGAACAAGGAGTGGCTCCCCACGGTTGTCAACTACCTTGCTCCCATGGGTTACAAGCTGTACGCCGCCGACAACGAGGTCAAGGAGTTCCTCGAGTCGACCGCCAAGGGCAAGATCACCGTCGACGTAATCGAGTTCCCCAAGGAGGACAAGCGCGCCCTTCGCGAGGTCTTCCAGAAGTACGACATCCGCGGTGTCTTCAACCTGGCCCAGGCCCGCGGCAAGACCGTCATGGACGTTGACTACGTCATGCGCCGCAACGCCGTCGACTTTGGCGTTCCCCTATTCATGGAGCCCAAAGTAAGCAACCCCCCAAGACATGTTCCCTCCAATCCCACACGAACGATGACTAACAAATCTTTCAGACTGCCATGCTCTTTGCCCAGTGCATGAGCGAGAAACTGCCCCGCAAGGAGGGAATTCCCTCCGAAGTCCGCCGCTGGTCTGAGTTCCTCGGCGGCAAGCCGTTGTAAATACTACCCACAAGCAAACCAAAAAAGTGAAAAGGGCTGCCTTCCTCCTTCTCTTTTTGTTTCATTTTCTACGGAGTTCTAGGATAGCCGGAAATCTACTTTCTGAAAAAAAAGACCTCGAATCAGCGACTGGCGATGGTGTGATATCGGGAGGGGGGAACAAAAAACAAGTGTTTATTCTTCGTTTCGTTTAATTAACAACCGAAAGAGAAAAAAACGTGTCCGAAAGACTTTATGCGCTTGATGCCTCTTTCATTGCTTCTAATGCTCTTGTCCCTTGTATCGCTATCGTCCCTGGCCTCTGTTATCCTTCCTGGTCCCTGTTGTCCTTCCTGGTCCAGCTACAAGCTATAATACTAGAGAGACGACAGAGGTGAAGGCAGGCAGCAGGAGGTTTACACCTGTCGAGCTGATCTTCTTCTTGTACCCCCTGCGAACCTTGACCAGACCACCATGGACCGCGTAATGGATATCCCTAACAGGGTTGCCAAGGCCTGGTACATTACCGATTCCTTCAACAAGCAGATCACCAAGGCCGAAAACCTACATTAGCGAGCCTGTGTTAAAGGATGACACAGTCAAATGTTAAGAGACTACTGTTTGTTTTTGTGTATGTGTGTGAAACATCCGTTTGCTCCCTAAGACTTCTGAGCTACCTCTCCAGGATGGGGGTTAGACAGTGAGCGCTAAATGAGTAGTGTACTGTTGATATAAAAGGTATATAATATCCATTTTGTACAGACTGCATATATTGTGAAGTAGATGATTTCCTGTTCCTAACAGTGATCAACATCACTCTCTTCGCTATATGAAGAAAGAGGATAATGGTTACAATTAGTGTCAGCCCAGCCAGAATGACCAGAGGTCGTCATAATGACAAGCGAAAGGCCACTATGAAGGTCCTTGGTCTGAAGAAAGGAGCTGTCAATAACAGGAGCGACATTCCGCACCTACTGTGTCAGGCAGGTCCTGCTTATCCTTAAGGTCAGTGCAGAGACAGCATGGCTAGGCACTGTCCAAATCCCCCCTTCCCGCATAGGTAGTTACCACCTAAGGAAGTTGAAAACGTATTTTTGGGCATCACACGCATTAGTAACAGCAAAGCAACCAAGCTTGTTCAGAGATTCCATTCCTCTAAGGTACCTTTCTCGAAGTGACTGTTTAGCTGCAGACGCCTTTGTATCACCTCCTGTGAAAAGACCATTTGTGCCTTCCATGCCAATATGCTTCCTGAACCACCCAACACCAGGCCGATCGAGCCTTTTTGACCGATTGAACGAGTAGACGTTCCCAGTCCTTTTCCGTCGCCGAGTAGACCTCGAAGAAGCTCACGAGAACTCGTGTGACGCATCATATCGTCGCTCACGTAGGCCGTTTGCATACAACCGCATGGGATAACAGAGCAAATCTCACGATTACTGCTCTGCTTACCGAGGTGGGCGACGCTCGTTCAGCCTGAAGGCAGCAAATCGTTTAGCAAGTGGTTCCGTGGTGCCAGACTGGCGGCGAGAAGGATCATGCAATTCATTGGAAGCAGGATGGCCCTCGGACTGCCGTGGGCGCTTGGGGATTCGCTCACCGGTCGATTGCAGAATGGCCTGCAAAGTCTGCCAGCCTTCGGTAGATCGCAGCTGATACGTATCTGCAAGGTCGTGCTGCGACGCAACGCGACACAACAGTGACTCCTCGTCCTAGAGATAATGTCAGTAAGAAAGTTCGACAGTAACGTAGGTTACACACCTTTGAAAGGATGCCCATCTGGTGGATGAAGCAGAGCAGATGGAAGTTGGACATTTCAAGGCCGCCTTCCGCTGGCTTCTGCCCTCCGGAGAACTTGAGCATCCTAGCCGCCGCAGAGTGTTCCTGGCTTTCACCCATGTATTCGCGATTCTCGATGGGAAAACCTAGTTGCGTGAAGGTAGGCTTGGACTCATCCGGGAAACCGTGAGTCAAGGTCACGAAAAGATACTCGACGGGAAACGAGGGTTTGGCGTTCTCCTGAACGTTTGCGCCGTACTCATTGATCCTGCGGTAGAAAACCTCGGGAATGTATCTTGTTCGGCTGGTAGATCCGTCGTCTTCCTCTTCTTCCCGGACGAGCATGGCGTTGGGGTCGGCTGAGGGCTCAATGATGTCCGCGCGTACCATCTCGACGGCGTCATTGGACGCTTGGTATGATGAGATTGAGATCTCTCCCGACTCGTTGCCTGAAATGATGCATGTGACGAAGTCGGAGCCAAACTTCCCAGTGTCGCTCCACTTAGTGGGCTTCGGATGCTGAGCCTGCAAACGTGAGATGAAACAAATTTCTTGAGAAGACAAGAAGTACGAATCAGCGTGCCGCTTGCACACGACTGATCCGTCACCAGCCCCAGCGTCAAGAAGATCGGTGAAAATGACGCCAACCTGCTGCAGTCCACACAGTCTTGCAACCTCGTCGATATCCTTCTGGTTCTCCCAGGCGTTCAGTGAGATGCCATCTATCTCATCAACCTGGGGTGGCTCATAGATGGCCTCCACCACCGCTTTGATACCAAGAGGCACGACTTCGTATTCCGTGTACCGCCCGTACATAATACCCAGTCTTTGGCCGCCCGTCTTTCTCCATGCGTCAATGAAGGTGTCGATAATCGCTGGAGACGAAAATTCTACATGATCGACCATTCGGAACGACTGAGGCTGCAGCGTGATGGCGCTGGGTTGGCACTTGGTGCAGATACCTTCAGGCCACTGAGGGTGTCCTGAAGGACAGTCTCGTTTGACTCTGAAGTACGGCTCAACGAGAGGAGGAATGAAGGAGCTTCCGAGCTCGGGCTTGTTTGTGGCGGAGTTGATTTTGCGAAGATATGAGTGGAATGACAGATACTTGATCTTCTTTTCGTCGAGATACTTGGCGTTGAACGGATCCAAAGGCATGCAGTAGTCGCACATGCCCTTCGGACCATGACGACACATCTTGTCGCGACCTCTCGGGATCTTGCCATCCTTCTTATCTAACCGATCATCCAATGGGTGCTGCTTGACCACTTCCCAGGGGTTCTTGATCTTCTCGGACGGCGTCGTCACAGGCAAGGGGTCGATCGGTAGGTCTTCGGTGGGAAGGATGGGCTTGCCATTTAGGCGGTTCGACGATGCGAGAGGAGGTTGAGTGCCGTTGGTGTCGCCGTTCGCCTGGCTGTCCTGGTGTTGGTAGTTGATGAAAATGAGGTCGCCATGTCTGCAACTGTCAGCTTGCACTCAAGCCCCGGGGTTCAGCATCATCTTACTTCAGTCCAATTTGCCCGACCTTGAAAGCCGCGATCTCGACTAGGTTCTTGGCGTCGCCGCCTGTCGGAGCGTTGGAAAGGGTAATGGTGTTCGGGTCGACGGTCTTTGGAAGGTTCGGAAGCAGCTACAAGGGTTAAGAAAAGGAAAGGCTGCCGACAGCTTGCAGGATGTCTCTTACCAAGCGACCAAGCTCGCCGAACGAGGCGTCCTTGTCGATGGTCAGACGGCTCATGCCGTCGGGCCCTCGAAGTCTGAGAAGCATATTGAGCGGCTTCAACGAAGCTGTGCGAGGGTGAATGTAGGTGGAGAAATGGACGATGGGTATAGTAATTAAATAAGGAAGTCTATAGAGGTGTCGTCGTCAGCGGAATGAGCCCATGTCCCTTTATCCGGTCGTTCGTTTTGGGGTATGAGGCGCAAAAAGGACGTGTGGTGGAGGAAGGTGGTGGAAAGAAAGCTCGAGTTTGTAGTAGCTGTTGCTGTTGCTTAGTGGGATGGGTAGGAGCTCCAGGACTTGACACTGAGTGAATCGCCGCCGCACCGTAGAACAGCGTCATCAGAGGTGGTGCCTTGGTGTGGGGCCGGCAAAACGACGGAGGGGATGGTGCACGTTCCTTCAGCGGCCCCTGGCATAGCTGATTCACCGCCCGGCAGGGGGCAATGGGAAACGGACTTTCCTAGCTAGGGTGGCTTGAACGGGAGAACACGATGGAGCAGCCACACTTGCGCTTCATGTGCAACCTTATGGTATCCTACCTAGTACCCCTGTCTAGAAGATGCTGCTTTACCGGCCGCTTTCATCAACCTGAAGGAACTGTGGGAGAAAGAACGAAAAAACCCGACAGAGCATTCGTTTTGATGAAGCATGTGTTCTCCAAACATCGGAATAATTAATCAAAGAAAAGATGAAGCGTCGTAATAATCAAGATCAAATAGAGTCGTAGCGCAACAAGCCCCAGGAGCGGGATCCGGTAAAGCAGCGGGCCCATCTTTAGCCCATGCATGGGTGGGCAGCCAAAAAAAGAGTCCCGTCCAATGCGACCAGCAAGCTGTCCTGTCATACAGTACTGGACACGCTTCATCAACACGACCGACTGGACGTCCGCAACACTACAAATTTCCTTGTCCCTCGTTCGCCTTCTTTCTCTTCCTTTTTCTCCCCCACCACGATCCTTACGAGAGCGCCGAAACAACCACAGCCATGTTCGACGTCGACTGGATGAGCCTTGTGCTCCCTTTCGCCTACCTGACCGTTCTCGGTGGCGTTTTCATGACCTTTTCCACGATCTACAGAAAGCGCAAAGCCAGTATGTCCTATGCCCGCCTCCACCCGCCAACCCAGACTTGAAGGACGATGTCCATGATTTCACCCTTTGCGTGCGCGCGCGACAATTCACCGTTACTGATCCGTCTCTTCTTTTAGCTCAAAGCGCCAACCTCGCTCCTTGGTTCGGTCCTCATCTCCAACGCAACATCTACCTGTCTCTGCTGCACCTCGAATCCCCCGAAGAGGGCCAGGAGAAGGCCCCCAAGATCCCCTCCACCGTCATCAAGGCCGCTCTCCTCCGCCGCGCCGTCGAGGACATCCACCGTCTGGTCCAGATCCGATCCGCCAAGCAGGCCTGCAGCACGTTGCTGCAACGGGGGAGCGTCGGCGATGACCTGTGGCAGCGCTTCCAGCGCGCAGAGAAGGAGATGGAGGATGAGCTGCGCGATGTCGTGATGGAAGTTCGTACACCCCTTCTAAGTTTGGGCGAACGTCGCAATAGAAAGACACGCTAATCTTTGACCAGGCCAATGCCCTCGCCCCCAACTGGGGCCAATCCATCTTCCAGTCCGCCAACGAGATCGCCGCCAACACCATTGTGCGCAACCGCCTCGAGGAGGTTTCGAATACTGTGGAGCAGGAAAAGGCATGGTGGGAGAAGCGCAGGGCGACGATCCAGACCGACTTCATGAAGGAGCTCGACGAGTCCGAGAAGAGCTCGACCGCCCCGCCTAGTGTGGACGGCGACGCCGTTCTCGTGGATTCCAGCACCACCGGCACACCCTCCAAGAAGAAGAAGGGCAAGAAATAGACAGACGTGCATTGCCTTTTCCCCCTCTTACAGCAAAAATCGTTTATTCCCCATCGACACGCATTCATCCCCGACCCCTCCAAATGTGGGCTCAGCGCTCCGCATCATCCCTCATCGTCTTTAGATACCTCATCCCCCCCCCCCGGTGTATGATACGGCAAAGCGGCAAAGAATCAAGAGCATTCGACGGCTGCCCGGTTGCGTTAGGCGTTAAGGGTCACGGTCAGGGAAGTTTTCGCATTATGAATGAACTGAGAGTCTCAAAATACTTTTAAGGGTTTTCCCCTTGCGCTCTCCATCTTTGAACCCAAAAGGGGGCCGGTCTATCTCTATTGGATGTCGTGAACCCCGCCGCCGCCAACGCCTTGATGTGCTGTGATATCAACGCAATGCCATGCAACAAAACAGGTAAGACAAAAAAGCAAAGAAAAAGCAACAGCAGCTGGCTATGTACGTATCCGCCAATGAACCCCAAAACTGAACCACAAGGACTCGGCGCTTATGAGTACCAAGGCATCTTCCTCCGCAGAGCCGCCTCGTCCTCTGCTAGCCTCGCCTGCCGCGCCTCCTCCATGATCTGCTCCTCGGTCTTGATGCGTATGCGGATAGGCGTGTCGCAACCTCTGGAAAATTCAGTTAGTTGAAGGTTCTCAAAGGGGTTGAGGTGAGGTAGACCAGCAAGGCGCCTACCATGGCACACTCGCCAGCCGCCTCGTTCACAACATACCTGAGACCAATAAACTTTCCAATCTTCCGACGTTTCTCCTCAAGGCTGAGGCCCGACTGCCAGGTGATGGGGCAGGGGTATTGCCCGGACCAGGGCGAGGGGCTGCGCTGGTGGTAGAAGCGGGCGAGGTCATCGAGCTGGGCCTCGGTGAGGAGCCAGAAGTTGAGCAGCGTCGCGGGGAAGGCCGGGTGGACAGCGCCCGTTGACATCTGCACAAGCGGGGCAAGGGGGAGGCGCATCTGCCGTATCTTCTCCTGGAACGCCGCGTTGCGGGCCGCTCGCCGGTTACCGATGCCGCCGTTGGTTGTGTGGTGGTGTCTGGTTGCCATCTTCTTGACTGTCTGTTGTTTCTGGTCCTTCTCTCCTGCCCTTGAGTCTGTCCTATTCTCGACCTGTTCCCTTCGCAGGTCTCCCGAGGGAAAACTTGCTTGGCCCAGATAGGATGTAGTTTTCAGAAGATTTCAGGTATTTTGGGTTGGGCGGAGAGGGTATCAAGGCGTTCAGCAGGTAGTACAGATGAAGAAGTTCGATGGCGGAAGTGATTCGGTAAGGATGAGGTGATGAAGAGCGTGTAATCTCAATATATGTATAAAATAACGATCTTCGAGGGATCAGACTGGCGCCTTTCAGCTTTGGTAACTGTTCTCGCCCTCTCGCCTTGGGTCTTTTGCAAAACGATGCTCTGTGCTTTCACAATAGTGAGTCTATGCCTGCACAGATCAAGAGCGAATGGAATATGTGTGAACAGATGTCTATAGGTCTGGAGATAGGAAATGGGTGCAGGAAGTGTGGAGTGCGAGAAGGTATCGAGTCTAATCCTCACAACCACACCGAGTGGAAGACTCGCATTCTTGTATGCAAAGCTACTGCAAAGGAAGACCGACGGGGCCAGGCCGCTAGCCGGCCAAAATCCTTATCCCACACCGGTTCCTTCAATTTTTTTCTTTGAAAGCCGGAACAGCGACCTGATCAGAGACAAAAACAAATAGCCCCAAAGAGCAAGAACATGATGATGGGGCCCAAAGGCGGGTCCAAAAACCGGTAACAGAGAAAAGGCAAACCGTCAAAACAGCGATCCAGACCAGACCCTCCGCCTCAGCAGGTGACCCGACCAGCTGGGACCCGAGGAGAAGAGAAATTGCAGCAGGGAGAGCTAGTACGTCAGGAGAGACACAACTGCTTTGTCTGCTGGCGGCCAAAGTTTGCCATCCTGGGTAAGGTGGACGGAGGGCAACCGGCGTGTCCCTTTTCGCTAGACAGCCCCCTATCCAGACAACCGGTTCTGCTGGAGTGCGAGGCCCTCCTCTCCCGCGCAGTCTTCTTTATCTCCTCGATGCGCCCAAAAGGAGATGAGACATGGCGGAAAGCGGGGAGGAAGAGGGAGGTTGATGGTGGGCTGCCATCTCGTTCCGTATCAATGTCTAAGAAATTTAGCTGGCCCTGCCTAGAAACGAATCGCGCGCCGGCCGCAACGAGAAGCCAGCTCCGCCCCGACTATGGAGGTTCCGAGACAAGGTCCGCCCCTTTCCTCCCATCCTCATCCCCTCCTCCCTCACCCCCGCCACCTTAGTCGGCAACTCTCTGAGCCGTGGTATCGGCAGCCTACAGACGGAGCGAGGATTTGAGAAGGGGAGAGGCTGAGCACCCTGTTCCGTGGTGGTCTGGACAACAATACAAAGGGGATAGATATCAAGATACAATGGCCTTGTCTTCAACAAGACCTGCCGTGAAGAATGTTGTTTTCCGTGCCCGAGTCAGTGTCAAATTCCTCAAAATGACACCTAGGTTCTCACCGTAAACAAAACTAGTCGTCTGTCACACCTTGGCTTGGGAATAATAATATTGGTTCACTAGAGAGTAGCATTTGCCTGCTTGTTCTTGACACAAACCAAGATAAAACCGAAACCCCTTCATCAACCCCTTATTCTTCCACAAGGGACCATGCGATTGACGTGCGTCCTCACGCCATGCCCCATTTCACAGCTTCAAGGCGTCGTCGGCGACCCTTTCAGCTTCTCAAAGCCACTTGAGCTTGGCAATGTGGTCCGTCTTCTTTCTGCTCATCTTGACAAAGCCGAGGGCCTTTAGTTCGGCCAATCCCCGATAAAAGAGCACCAGCGCCGCTCGCTCATCGGCGTTTTCTTCACTTTCTGCATCACCGCCGCTCACCATGGCGTAAAAGGCAGACCAAAGGTCCGCGACGTTGATGAGGTTGCCCGTCTCTAAATATAAATGATATAGCAGTGAAGTAACGGGCAGCGTAGTCGAGATGCCCTCGTCGGTGCTGCAGCAAGCGCATGCGAGGTAATCCTGCGGTCGCTTCAGGCTCCGCTCAAAGACATCTTGGGGCCGCGGGACGAAAACGTCGCGGTAGGGTGTCTTGGAATCGTAGAGCCATGTCTCGTGCAGGAAGACATTTGCGGCCGGCTCGCAGTGTATGACGTCTTGCAAAAGCTCCGCAACGCGGTCCACGATTTGGGTAAAAGCTTTGTCGTCTTCGGAAAGCGCTGCCGAATCGTGGCTGAGCTGCACCTTTTGCGCAACAACGGTGGTGCGGAGGACTCTGCTGTGGCCACTATACGCGCTTCTCAAGGTGGTGCCGTCCTCTGTCGCCCTGCTTACTAACTCCTTTGAGTTGTCGAGAAGGGTCTGTACAAGAGATGGCATGTCACCGGCCTCGGACTCCCATCCGGCGAGACACAGCTGGCCATCTCCACTGGCTATGGTCTCATGAATACGTTGTAGCATCGAGACAAACTCATCCGGTTGCATCCGCTTGATGCTTTCAACAATGTCCCAGCCGTCGGACGAAAGGGTGATGCCCTCGGCCACCGCTTTCATGTACATCCAAGGAAAGTCTTCTTGGATAACACCTGTCGCCTGGATAAGCTTAAGCGAGCGAAGGAGACAAGTGACCCATTCCCGTTTCTTCTCTGGAATGTCAAAAATCTTTTCGCGCAGTAGGTCGTCGTCTTCCAACAGAGACCTCGCCAATCTTAAATCGTTGCCCTCAACGGCGCTCTCGACCTCGTTCCGGAATGAAGGGAGTGATCGGAGGGCCTCGAGGTGCTCATCTTGCACAAGCTCACTGTTCATCTCATCGTCCTCCATCGAAAACAGGCTCAACGGGTTGGCATAAAAGTGGCACATATATGCATACTGAATACGGTCAATTCAGATTCGGTTCCATTCAACGTAGTGTTCATTCTCACCTTGATTGAAGCAACAAAGGATTGGATACTTGCCACCTGGTCTTGTTGTCTGTCGACCAGGCTTTGCAACAGAGTCTGGCCAAGAGTGAGGATAGCATCTGTTCCCGCAATAGCCGGCTTGAAAATTTGCTCCAAGATCACTCCAGTTTGCACAACGTCGAATTGCGCGCCGTAGAGATGCTGGCATGCAGACTTGAGTAGACGTGCTTGAAGCAGCTCTACTGACGTCGCAATGCCGAATAAGAGCGTAAACGGGATCTTGGGCCTCCAGGAACTAGTCCAAACGTCAACTCGGATTCGATAATGCTTGCAAAATGAACTTACTCGAAGAGTGTAATCAAGTCAGACAGGAGAGCGCTATCAAACCCTTCGCTGTCTTGGAAGGCGACAAAGATGTGATCGCACTGCTGTGCCTTTGAAAAGACGTACAGGCCTTCGAGGTCGTAATTTAGATACTTTCGTCCCTGGTATATGTGAGCTTCTTGGGGTCGATGCTGCCGGCCGATGAACCTACATCTTGACCGAAAGAGACCTCAACATCCTCATCGTCCAGGGAGCCCCGCGATGTGGCATCCTCGATGATCTTCTTGAGGGCAGCCTTTAGGTTCGTAGCCTCCGATGACTTCAGTCGTACAAACTTGCTTCGCGTATTTTTCTCGAGCGTCTCCGACAATTGCTCAAACAACAAGTCCTGAGACGAGATGTTGGGTCCAGTGATGATGAAGGCTGAGGGGATCTTGTTCCTGCGGTGGGCCATCAGCTGTGCACTCCGTCACAATTCGGATATTACCCACTGCAAGCAAGAACGATCTCGAACAAAAGCTGTCACTTGGTCCAGTGTAGCTGAATTAGCATCACGCAGGATTTTCTGTAATGTCAAGCGGTTAGCCTTGCCTCCGAGGTTCAGATGTGGGTATCTGCCAACCTGGACTTTGGATTCGAGACGGCCCCAACTGGCCTGGAACAGCTTCTCGCGCAACTTCACGCACTCAGCCAGCTCGCTGCCATTCAGCAACGGTGCAAACGTCGAAGAACCGGCGAGATTGGCCTCTTCAACCACTGCATTCTTGGATACACGCCGACGTTTAGCGGGTCGATCCACACCAGCTTCTTCGCCCTTAGGTCGGAAGATGTAGGCTGCCTACAGAGTCGTCAGCAATCAGGTCCCCTCAATAGATTGAAACCGCTCACCTTATGATCTTCTTGTCTGAAACGTGACTCATGATTGTTTTCGGCACTCATGTTGCGGAATATCAAATTGTTCTGCTCTGATATGGTATGTCGTTGCAGTAGGGGGGTCGCGCTTTTCCAACCGGCACGCGTCGCTTGCATCCAAGGTGCAGAGCACAGACGCATACAGTGCAATTAAAAAATGAACTGTGTAGAAGGGGGCGTTGTGTTCGCTTTGTACAGTGCCGAAAATTTGTTGGTATCTATTGTATCTACCTACGCCTTAGCATTCACATCCGAGATCAGTCAGGTAAGATGCTCGAAGGAGCCGTGCAAATGTCAAAGAACTTATTCTTGCAAAATGACATTAGAACCAATTCCCCTAGGCCGTGTTAAACTAGTGACTACCAGTCTCTTCCCCCTTCCGCCTTCGCAAACCATAGACCCGAGGCGATCTCCATTTTACCCCAAAAACCTGAGGCCAACGACATCCTACCTCTCCCTCATCATAAACTAATGAAGAGTCATACGCAGGCAATGCAAGCATCCACAGATGCCTCGACTATCCTCCCCCGAGCTGGGTCCCTCTCCCTTGGGGAAGCTTCCGCCCCTTTGTACACTGAACCCGCTCCACTAGACGAAGACGCATGTCGTCTGGAAATGGGGGATCGCCGTAATCGCCTACCATCTAACGCTTCCCAGCTGCACTGCTTAGAAAGACGGAGGCGAGTAATTTTACACCGAAACCAAGTTGAGATCGCTTTTGCGATTCGAGAAACCGTATACGCCAGGAAACGCAAAAGGCCAGGCCTGAATGGCCCGCAGCGCCCACAAACGTCTGGGCCCATGTCTTCACTTCTGAGAACTTATGCGACGTAAACGGCTGGCCTAAGCCTTGGCTTCGACCGGTTCCGGGGCTGCAGATGCCGACTACAAATCAGGTTAGCTTCCGTCGGGATGTTCATGAGACACTGCCATTTACCTCTTCAGCGGGCTTCTCAGCAGGCTCATCGGCCTTTTCGAGCACTTCTTCTGCCTTCTCGGGCTCCACGGACTTCTTGTCCTTCTCCTCCTTGTCGGAGGGCTTCCCGGCCTCGTCGGATTTCTCCACACCTTTGCTCTCCTCCTTGGCACCCTCGGAGGTAGCGGGCGTCTCTTTCTTCTCCTCGCTCTTAGTGCCGTTGACACCGTTGGTGGGTGCGGGGGTTACAGATGCTGCCGCGGCATCGCCCGCGGCCAGGATTTTGGTCCACTTGTCCAATAGCGTCTGCGACCGGCTCTTGAAGTTGAACTCTTCTTCCTTAGGAATCGAGTCAAGCTTCAAAATGGCCTTCAGGACCTTGTTGATCTTGGTTGCGCGGATGATTGAGACCTCGAGGTCTGCGAAGCTCTCAAGTTTGGTGATGTAGTCCGACATCATCTTCATCTCTTCCTCCTTGGGCTCCTGGTCTCTCGTCAAGAGACCCTTCTGGAGCTTGTGGCGCAAGAAAAGCACCTCTTTCTGTAGGTAGCTGTTAGTGTTGAACAAAGAATGTACGGGATCTTGACTTGCCTCTTTGCGATGATGCTTCTCTTCGGCAGTGAGCTCAGGCTCCTTAGGAGCTTCCTTCTCCGCCTTCTTCTCAGCGCCGTCCTTCTTTGACGATTTGACCTTCGCCGGCTTAGCGGCGGACTCCTTGCCAGACTTTGGTGTTGCCGTTCCATTCGTTGTCTTGGGAGTGGAGGATGTGTTCAGCTTGATCTTCGGCTTCTTAGCGGAGTCGGTTCGTGCTGGAGTCTGACAGAGATGTCAGTGCTTGTTCAAGTTTGTCCAGAGCCTGCACACTTACGCTGACAGCTTCTTCATCAGCCTTGCGCTTCTTAGTCTTAATCTTCTCCTTGGGCTCGGCCACCTCCTCGTCGGCAGCATCGTCCATGTCAACATCCTCATCCTCGATGACCGCAGGAGCCTTCTTCTTGTTCTTCTTCGCAGCGTCTCTAGCATCCTTGGCAGCCTGCTTCTGAGCAAGCTCGTCTTGGTACTTCTGCAGTTCGTCCTTGTAGTAGTCGAGGGGGTGCTGTTCGATAGCAAGCTCAAAGGCATCACGCAGCTCGATCTTCTTCACCTTGTCGGTAAGAAGCTCAGTAGCCTTGTCGGAAGACAGCTCCTGGAGCGCAGAATTCGGTACCCAGCCGCTGGAAAGTTGCAGGTTAGCTGTTGAGTCCTGGTTGACACACAAAGGCTGGTTGGGGCAATTTGACATACAATTCGTTCGTACGAAGGTACATGACAGGGAACGTGCGGTCGTTCTGTCGCTTGCCACCGTCGGCATAGTCTTCACGATACGTGCCATCGGCGCGTCTCGCTGTGACAGGGCGGCTCTTGAGCAAAGTCTCAGGGAGCATCTCCTCATCGCAGACAATGACAGGCCATTGAGGATATCCCTTGAGCTTGACCAGGAAGTGGTCTCCGGGCTGCGCGTTGGTGTGGAAGAACTTGGCCTTGGATGCCTTCTTGCTGAGCTTCTTCCCCTTGTGCTCTGGGACGCCAGACGATCTGCGACGCGACTTAGACTTATCGGCTGTCGCATCAGCGGCGTCAGCATCGGTAGCAGCGACAGATCCGGAAGCCTCCTTCGCTTCAGGTGCATCTGTGGTGTCCTTCATCTCAACATCCGCGTCTTCGTCCTTGGATGGCTCGTCGGTCTTGCCGGAAGATTCCGCGTCTTTGGTATCAGCTGTTATTGAGGAATGTGTCAGTAGAATGGTCAATTGCGTGGTGACGGTATTGATATAGAGGTGGAGATGATGCGCAGGCTCTGCTTACAGTCTGTCTTCTTGATGTTCTCCTTCTGCGCCTCGGTGCTGTCCTTGGCAGGTGCGTCGGACTCGGAGGGTTTCGCGTTGTCGGCGGCAGATGCAGGTGCCTCAGAGGCTTCGGCAGCAGTCGAGGTTCCCTCAATCTTCTTCTCAACTTCCTCGTTCGCGGCAGGCGCGGATTGGCCGCTGGTAGTTGGCTCGTCAGACATGGTAGGCGATGTGGCAATAGCTCGGTAGAAGCTGTTGGGGAGCAAGGGTATGGATGGGGTAAATAGGTAAGTCGCGACGCCAAAGACTTAGTGCGATGGATCAGAGGAAGAATGACGCGTTCTGACACGCGCGATTCGTGATTTTGGTTGTCGCGACGATGGTAGAAGATGTTCTGGCTGAAAAGAGGATGATGGGCGCAATTGGGAGCTCCCCGTGTTGTGGTGGCAGAAAAAGGCAATGGGCTGGAAAAAGATGAACGCAGAAACTCTTGGAGTAGGACGCGGATGACGGCGGCGGAGACACGTGACCCATGCTGATCCACCAAGGGACGAGTTAGATCGCGTCCACGGGTGCTATCAGTCTCAGTTGCGCTTGCGCTGCGCCTGTGAGAGGAGCGTGTGCTGGACGTGGGACGTGACCCGGTCAATGCCCAGCCCACCAAGCCGAACATCCTCTTCGTGCCTGCTTAACACAGCCACCCTTCCTCCTAGCTCGACATCAGATCAGCCCCCATGTCCAATGCCCCTGGAAGAGATGGACCGCCATGCAAAAAGTCTCCCCCTTCATTTTTCGACTTCAAAATATCATGACTTTGATTGTGCCTCGCCTACCTGAGGTCGTTGGCCACCAACCTAGTCCCCCGCTCCGGGTTCTTATGCCAACTTTGGCCACCCAAGCATCCCCTCTCCGAAACTCCTGTCGCACCGTACACAGTCTGCACAACCGGACTTCAGGCCACTCAACCCTGTCGAAAGAGGAGAAGAGTAACCTGTGGGGGTTGAGCAACAGGAAGAAGAACTGACTTTGACCAAATATTTGTCTATTATCCTCCAACTCCTCTCTCCATCGATATAGTACACATTGAGATATCGTACGGACGGGATGGCTCTGCTATCCTTCGAACCGTCTATTCCTCGTCTTCTTCTTCTTCTTCTTCGCTGTCGTCCACGTCCATGCCCTCCGCGGCTGTGATGGAAAATTCGCGTTCTTGGTCTACTCCGACGTAGCTGTCGCTCATTAGGAACAGCTTCAAGTTGTGCTTACCAGCCGTCGGCACTGTAAACTCCAGCTTGACCTTGAGCTCGCGTCCAATCGTGACGCGCTTGATGGCGAGCAAGTTCTTCGTCGTCTCTTCGCCGACCACAAGCCACCAATTCTCCAGCTTCTTGGCAGGGTAGAACGGCGCGTGCACAGTCGGGTCAAACTCGTCGTCCTCGTCCACTTGTCGTTGAATCTGCACACTAAGGTATGCCGGTTCGTTGGCCCGAATGTCGTCCTCATCCAAAATGCTGTGCTCGAGCTCAATGTCGGGGTATTTGTCATTGGTAAAGGCGGCAGCCTCACCCAGCTGTTTTTGCGAGAGACCAAGACGCTTGACCAGCTTGGCGTAGTCTGGGTTCTCCTTTGGGTTCATGGCCTCCATGAAATCAAAAATGTCCTTGACACTGTGAAGGAGTTCAAGGTTAGCTGCATACAGAATCATTGATGAAGATGGTACATACCCAAACTCATTCGCCACCTTCACGACCTCAGGCGTGAAGTGAGGGATTTGCTTCAAGGGGCTGTCACGGTCCCACATTGCTTGCACCACCATCTGTGACATTTCCATCGCGTTCATGGCATTGAGGTGACCGTCAGAAGAGAGGATATCAACCGTAGCACTCAGCAAACTGAGGACCTTGGAAATGATAACCTCTTGATCCTTGGCCAGGTCGATTGGTAGCTGCATCCTGGAAAAGTGTGCTTGGAGAAGAACGAAGGCCTTGAAATGCGCCGAGTCATATACGGGCTCAGCCATCTTAACAGGAATACGGTCGTAGATGCGGCGGAGGATACCTTCCTCGTGCCTCCTGATCTGGATAGCCTCAAATTCGGTAGCCGATGTAATGATTTCAAGGACACCCTTGAGCTTTGTCTTGGCACTCAGAGACAGGAGGAAGGTCTGCATCGTGATGTAGGAGATGTTGTAGTAGGCAGCAATCATCGCTGCGTTCTGCGGCGCAACCGAGCCGTCATCCTCATCAAGCTCAATAATCTTCGAGTCGCTCAGCTCCTGGAGGGTTGTCTGGATCAAATCGGACATGTAGTCACTGAGTCCATCTTGCGTGGTGCTGGTAAGACTGTAGAAGCTGGGGTTGGCGAGAAGACGTCTGTAGAAGTAGGTAAAAGTCGTCCAGTTGATGGCATCGTCTCCCGACTCGATCATCTTAGTGCTGATCTCAGTCACAAAAGCATCGTGGAGGTAGTTGTGGAGGTGAGACTCGACGGGAAGGGCCTCATTCAGGAACTTCTTGTAGAAGTCTCTCTTCGCCGCCGGGAGCATGAGAACACCTCTGCCTCGGCCATCCTTTGAGGCGCGCAGAGCCTTGCCAAACATGTGCAAAACCTCGCTCAAAGAATAATCAACGTAGCGATGCTCTCGGCCCTCGAAATATTGCGTGCCCATGACGACGACAAGATGAGCGGTGCTGTTGAGCTCCCAGCAAACATCACGAGAAGCAACCAGAACTTGAATGGCACCATGCTCATACAAGTGCTTGACGATGCGCTTGTCGCTCTGGCTCAGAGCCTCATGGTAGTATCCAACACCGTGAGAAAGGGCCTCGGCCAGAGCTTCTTCGCTGACACGGTCGAGAAGAGGGCGCATCTGCTCAACCTCGGCGTGCAGGAAACGATCTTCGTCGTCATCCATGAAAGCGGCGGTCAGGAGGTCGCGTGTGGTGGCTCGAGTCTGCTTTCGACTCGGCACAAACACAATAGCCGGCTTGTCTGCAGACATTTGCGTGATGGCCAGATAGGTGGGCTTCGCCATGGAAAGCATCAGTGATGGGAAGTGAGGGTTGGTGTAGGACTGGATATGAAGCTCAAGCGGGACAGGGCGAACGTGAGGGCTGAAGTTGTAGATGTCGTGCTTCTTCGCATCAATCCACTCCCCAAGGTCGCGGGCATTCGCAAGAGAAACGCCAAGGGCGATGATTCTCATCGGGAGCTCGGTCTGAGTCCTAATATAATGCATCCGTGAAACGATGATTTCATAGACGTAACCCATTTGGTTGCCCAACAGATGAACCTCGTCTGCGATGAAAAGTTCTACAGTCGAGACGTTCTTGCGACGCTTCCACTGGCGAGAAAGCACATCCCACTGAATGGGCGTCGCAAGGACCAGGTCGCTGCGCTCCAGGATCTTAAGGTCGGTGGTGGTCTCACCTGTAAGCTTCTCGATTGTCTTGCCGCCGCGTAGACCACCGAGTCTCTTTTGCCAATCATCCAGCCGCAGGTCAACCAGTTCTTGGAAAGGAGCAATATAAACAGCGCGCCCGGCGTCTGGCTTGGCCCAATGGCGCAGAAGAGCGAACTCTGCGCACACAGTCTTGCCACTGCCAGTCGGTGCGCCCACAAACACGTTTTGGTCGGTATTGTACAAGGAGTTGAAAGTCTGTGTCTGGATGCGGTTGAAGTGATCCCAGTTGGGGTACAGCTTCGTGTACTCCTTGACCTTCAAGGCAGCAACGGGTAGTGGCTGAAGCTCAAGGAGTTCGGTGTGAGGCGGGAATCTCTCAGGGAGTATTAGCTTGTGGAAAGACACCGGCAACCTTGTTTCGGAATGCATCCAGCGGTCCGAGATGACGGAGATGAAGTAGTTAGGAGGCATTGGCTCCGTGATCGGCACGGTGAAGTCAACAATGTGCTCGTTTGATTCAGACTCGGCGTACTCCTTGCGCAGCAGGAACTGGTCACTGAAAAGGATGTCCTCCCCGTCGCAGTCTTCAACGAAGATCCAGAAACTCTCTGCGGGACCGTGAACCTCGACATCCCACTCGAAATTAGGGGAGATGCTCAGCTCGACTCGGAGCATAGACCTGGTCAACGGCTGGACTTGGGCCTGGACTTCGACTCTGGGAAACTTGGCAACCAGGCTGCAGACAGTCCGGCCGGCCTTGGGCATACCAAGCAGCTCTCCCATTCGTGGAGGATCGAGATCGAAGTAGTTGCTCCAGGACACCTCAATCCTCTCAGCCTTCTGCACAATGTCCCTGGGGCAGCCGGGGAACTGACGAAGCGGCGACATTGTCGGCCACATGCGCTTCTCGGCCATCTTGCAAAGATCCAGGGCAGTCTTGGCCACAGATGCCCAGCCCTTCTTCATTGTGATTTCGAAGATGGCGCGTAGAATGCGACCAGCAGACTGAGTGACGTACACCATATCAGCCATAAGAGCAAGGCCATCCAGCTTGAGTCGTGAGATGTAGGCTTGCAAGAGAACATTGATCTTGGCGTGTGGTTCCTCGATACTCTCCTTGACTGGGATGGGAACTCTGCCCAACAGCTTCGCAAGCTCGAGCTTCTCATCCTGACGCACAGGGATGTACTTGAACTCTGCGCTTAGAGAGAACACTCTGAAAAGCTCGATGGTGGTGATCGAGGGCTGAATGAGGTTGTTGTAGGTTTCCATAGAGCCGTGTGTGATGTAGTAGTGTGACGCAATACGGCCAAGCTCCGTAGATTGGAGCTTACCAGTCTTCTCATCGTACTTGACGAGATTTGACTTTCTGAGCACTGATGCTGCAGAGTGAATGAGATCAACGCGCTTTTGTTCAAGAGCTTCGTCATCTTCGTACTCTGCCCCAACTTGGTACAGACCGGGGGACCGTAGCATGCGCACGAACAAGTACGTGTAGCCAAGCCACTCCACACCTTCATCTCTACTCCTGACATTGCCAAGCACAATCTCAGCGTTTAGGTTGTCCACCAGTCGGCTAACAAATTGACTCTCAATTGGTAGTTGCTGATTTAGAAGAGAGAGGTAATATTGAATCTCGTTTTGGGTTGTGATGATGATGCCCTCGCCATAGGTATCGAATTGCGGACGACCAGCACGACCAAGCATCTGCAGTACGTCTTGCGGGCTGAGCTCGACCCAGCTGCCCTTTTCAGGAGAGTAAACCGAAGTGCCCTTTATGATAACGGTATGAGCCGGCAGGTTGACACCCCAGGCAAGGGTAGCCGTGCATACAAGGACCTGGATGGCGCCTCGAGCGAACAAATCCTCGACATCAGTACGGTCGATACGGTTCATACCAGCGTGATGGATACCAAATCCGTAAGGCAGAATATCCTTAAGATCCTTGTCGGTAGCTTGGCTGGCGGCTTCGTTAAGGACCTCACGACTTCCAGCATCGTGGCGAAGGATCTGGTTGATGGTGTCCATCTCCAGAGCCTTGTCCCTGATGTAACGTGCAGTCTTAGCCGTCTCCTTTCGGGAGTGGACGAAGATAAGCATTTGATTCCGGTTGGCTCCGACATGCTCAATGACCTTGTTGTACGTGACATCATTCATGGTCTTCAGTTGCTTGATGGCTTTGCGATCCGTAACACCAATGAACTCCTGGCGCAAAGGGCAAGGGCGGAAACTGCCATCGAAGTGGAAAAGGCCGGTGTTGATATCCACGCGCAGGAAGCTAGCGACATCCTTATAATTTGGCAGCGTAGCGGACAGACCAACCAAACGAACCGGTTCGCCGGTCTGCTCAGTCTTCCTGATTGTCCTGCTCACAATGCTCTCAAGGACAGGGCCACGGTCATCGTGAAGCAAATGGATCTCGTCAATGATGACAAGGCGGACGAGGTTGGTGTAGGTAAGATCAGTAGCTTTTCGCGTGATGACGTCCCACTTTTCGGGGGTAGTGACGATGATCTGTGTTTCTGCGATTTGTTGCTTGGTGAGCTGCCGGTCACCAGTCAACTCAGAGACCTTCACACCGTAGGGCTCAAGTCGCTTGCCAAAATTGCCAACCTGCTCCTGCACCAGCGCTTTCAGGGGCGCGATGTACACAATCTTGAAGGCATCCAAATCAATGTCACCAGTCTCAGGATTGCGGTTCTTGCCGATCTCTCGGAGAATGGTAAGCATCGCCACGTTCGTCTTTCCACTGCCAGTGGGGGCGCAGATGAGCATATTGCCATCATCTCCAAAGGCTGTCGGGTAGCACTTGGACTGAATCTTGTTGAGAGATTTGGTGGTGCCGAACGGCAAGCGTGACCATTCTGGCATGTCGGTAATCGGAATAAGTGTGTCACTGGGGTCGCTGCGCTTCTTGGGTGCAGGAACGTGGATTTCCTCATAGCCCTTGAAAGTGCGCTTCGTTGAGCCCTCCGGCAGCCTGACCTTGGGGTTGCTCATCAAGTGGTTTCCCTGATCAAACACCAAGTTCTCCAGGTTGATAAGTTTTCGCGGTTGCAGACCGCCCACTAGTCCTTGAGGGCGCTCTGATTCTGTAGGGGCGTTTGCAAGTGACGACGGTGCGTCGAGATCCATCTTGATCTCCATCTTGCGACCCTTCTGATCGTCCGTTTTCTTTCCAAACTTCTCATTAAGGATCCATTGAAGGCCTTCGGAAGCCATTTCACGCTCGATAACAGCCCGCTGCTCATCTGTCTCGGCTCTTGAGTGACGAGTAAGCCAGACCACCTTCTCCCTGTTTCCGATGAGGAGCTGCACCAATTCGTGGTGCTCGTAATCGAACAGCTCCATAAGGTCGTTTTCAATCTCTCGAAGTGACTTCTCGTCGCCGCCCTGCTCATCAGGCTCACCAGAGAGAATACGAAGCGCGTCTGTCGTCTTGTCGTGTTGCTCGTGAGAATCGGCATAGAGCTTTCCGATTTGTCGTTGCAACCAGAATGCATCTATATCTCTGGCAGAGACTGTCTTCGAGTTCTTTGCATCCTGTGTTTGCTTTTTAGGGGCCGAATCGATGACCATGGCGTCGTCGTCCATATCCTCCGCCTCGTTGGCGTCAGCGGCGGGTTGGTCCTCGTTCTCGTCCGCATCCTCGTCCTCTGAGGACTCTTCCCTGACTTCGTTGACAATGCCTCCCTCTTCATCGTCGGAGTCTTCGAAGACAACTGCGACACCCTGTCTCTCATCAAGCTCGTCTCCGTCGGCGTCGGCTGCATTGTCGTCCATATCTTCATCCTCGTCCTGCGCATCGTAATCTGTAATCTTCTTTCCGAGGTTCACGAGCTCGTTGAACTCCTTTGCACTCATTGAAACGCCCAAGAGGTCGTCAATCTCCCTCTTCTTCTCCGTATCCTTCAGATCGTCATCTTTGAGGAACTCCAGGGTCACGTCAGCGGCGCTGATGACGGCGGTCTGAGGGACATCGCCAAGGTTATCGGACACGATCTTCAGAATCAACTCGAAAGTCGCTCGTGTTGCGGGCGTGCGCGGGCGATATCGAATGCCTTCGACAAGCAAGTCTCCAGTTCCCAGGACACCAGCACCCCTCGGTTGCGCCGTTTCGCCCTTCTTCTTCCGTTGCTCGCGCGCGAGCACATCCTCGCCCTCTTGCAGCTTTCCGCGTTCGACATCGGGAAGACCAGTTGGCTTTTTCTGTTTTGGTGCCGATTCGCGAGCGACGCGTGCTCCCATGTCGCGGATGCTCAGCTTGCCGGCGAGAGACTCGGGGTCGCCCGTAGCCTCATCGTTTCGTCTCGACACAAACCGACGGTCCGCCTGGAGAACCAGGTTGGACATAGCCGAGTACTTGTACTGGGAGACATCGCGGTGTTGATCCTGGTTCGACATTTTGGCTGTGTTCTTGGGGGTATCGTATCGTATCGTTTGCGCCCGAATCTCGAGGTGGTGTAGGAGCTTGTCGAGCGACAGCAACGAGCGGCTTGCGCCGAGTCTTTATCCTGTTGAAAACGCCGTATTCGCCTCGAAGCCTAGCTCATCCGTCCAGATATTAAGTTAATGAATTTTGTTTCGGTACACAAATGACTCAATGGAAGAGTATCGCTGGGTGGTTAAAGTGGCGGAGGCGTGTATTGGTGTCTTCGACGCCTGTCGCGCGGAACAAATTTCATCTGCTGCTTGCGATGGCAAAACCGGAGGAAGATGGCGCTAAGCGATAAACGCGCTAGCGGCCTTCCAGCTAAGGCATATAGCTGCACGTGACGTGGAGAGGCACACATCGACACAGGGTGGACCACGAAGGCCAATCCAATCCACACCACCCCTGAGCTCCATTAAGTTGTGTAAATCACGACTCTGGCTATTGTCAACACACGGATGACGAGAGTAATCGCGGTGTCATACACAAACAACGGTGGTCCAAATCATACGGCGAAACCAAGCATACTCTCTAGGGCTCGAACTTAGGCAACAAACAACATGGAATCGGTACCTAAATCAATACAGAAGGTCCAGGCGTCACTGGAGCCTTATGTCAAACCACGGGAGCAAGTGGCCTACATTCGACGCGCCTTAGCTCTTCATCTTCAAGCATGTGGCCAGCCGGGCCCTATCCAGAAGCCCCTTTCACTTGTCGACTCTTCATGCAGGGTTACACCAACGCAAGAGGTTAGAGGCCTACAAAAGGAATATCTCAAGGCCCTGGACGCAAATCTCAAGGCTCGCAATGAGTACGAGAACATAAGATATGAAACAGTAACAACAGCTACTTCCCGAACCAAAAATGTCGATACCAGCGACCAGGTTGAAGAACACGTTGCTCTCATAAAATTGCGACAGAAACACCAACGTCTACAGACGGTGCAGAAATACCTGGATCTATTGGTGCACCAGCCTGCAGCATCTTCAGACTTTCTCGATCTGGGGGATATATTCAGCGACTCATCTCTTCTTCCAAACGTCCCTAAAGAAGTAGTGAGCGGCTTTGTAGTCGGTGCCAGCACAAACGAAACAGACTTGGGTGGGCTGGCTGGGCAGTTGGAGAAGGTCGTGCTCAGAGCCAAATTGCTTCTACAGCGTGAAGAGCAGCTTTTAGCAGATGTTCGACAAAGGACAGGGCCGCTGGCAGGTCATGTCAGGGATGAGGCGAAAGTGCATGCTTTGGACACGACCCGAACGGAGCTGATCAACTGGATCGAGACGGAACTCAGCAAAGCGTCAGGAGAGTCGGATGACACCACAGCGTCCCAGGGGAACGGATTCAATTCTCGCACCGAACAAGAGGCCATCGACGAACATTTAGCCAAGATCAAGGATAAATACAGCAGATACACGGCGACGAGAAAAGCAGTGCTCAACATCGTCTCAGAACAGACACAGCCGGTCTTGAAACCCAGGGACGAGGGCACATCCAGTTCTGGCCAAAGCCAGGGTATACCAGCGGAACCTACCACCCATCTCCTCATCCCCTACCTCGACAAGCTTCTCTCCCTGTCGCGAGAACAAAAGGGCATGATAACCCAAAAGTCACACATTCACACCGTCCTAGCCAAGCAGACCAAGGAAACCCGACAGGCACTTGACCATCTGGCCGAGGAAAGCCAGCTTCTTCCATTGCACCCCATGCCCGGCACAGGCAGGCCCAAGTCTGGCTTCGGAGAGGACTTCTCTGCTGCCATGTCTGAGAAGCCGATGTCTTCGGATCGCGTCAAGCCTTGGGTGTTCGCAGCAGACTCGGCTAAGATTGCTACACTGGAAGCGGTTGCCGAGAAAATTGAAGAAGGCCAGGTCGCGCTGGAAGGCTCCATGCCAGTGCTTCAGGAAGTCGATAAATTGTTGGGTCAGAGATCTAAGGAGCCTGAGGAAGAAGCAGTAGGAGACATGACGGAAGAAGACATTTGGCTGACGCAAGGGTCGGCCAAAAAGGCCGGTGCAAGGAAGCACGCGACTCATCAGAGAAAGGAGTCAACCGTCAATCCTGATGACATCTGGTCGGCGATTGATGGGAAACTTGGTCTCATCGGTTAAGATCATATTTAGAGCAAGCCCGAATGTGGTATATACCCTGTACAATTGCTTTTTTTGCCATTATCAACGCCTCTACTGTCCAGACCCGGACGCCATCCGTTGTTCGTCAAATTCACTTACTACTCCGGTTGCTTAGTTGTTGCTCCGCCCGCTCATAACTCCCGATATCCTTAAGGCAAGATCAAGGATGGTCAAGTGTTCGTCTGCACCGTCGACAAGTCTCTTATCAACCTCGGAGAAGATGAGAACGATCTTGTTCTTCTGAATATCGGGAACTGTCTCGTCAAAAACGATGGATTGATAGAGCTGTACTTTGGTAAGCAGGGGAATTCCCAAACCGTAGCAATAAGCCACTTACCTGAGTAACGACCTGCCCGGCGCTCCAGCCATCGGCAACCATATCTTCAACCACCTTGGCCACGTTCTGATATGTGTCTGTGGCACCTTGGGGGCGAATGGCACTGACGAGCTCGTCGATGGTGTTTCCGGGGATGACGCCAGCAATATCCTCAATAATCTTGACCGTGACGGGCTTCTTGTCGACATCCATAGCGTCGTCGCCAGACGCGTCCTTGTCGCCAGCACCCACTAACCGCGCCGCACTCTGTAGGAATGTGATAGCTTTTCGCAAGTCACCCTCGCTACACTTGATGAGCGCATCCACGGCGCCGTCCTCCAGCTGCACTCCCTCGTTCTCGGCAATGTCCTCGATTCTCTTTTTGGCGTTACCCTGGTCCAAGCTCTTGAAGCGAAACTTGCTACAACGACTGGCGAGAGGGTCAATAATGCGCGTAACGTAGTTGCAGATGAGGCAGAACCGCGTAATCTTGCTGTATGTTTCCATAGTCCGACGGAGGGCACTCTGCGCGTCCTGGGTCATCGAATCGGCCTCGTCGAGGATGATAATCTTAAAAGGCGGGCAAGGGTATCTCTTTTTGTATTCGTTCGTCGGGTTCGTCAACTGCATGCGAGCGAAGTCCTTCACCTTCTCTCGGACAATGGATATTCCACGCTCGTCGGAAGCATTGAGCTCGAGCACTCGCGATTTCATCATCTCGGGGCCGTAAAGCTCCTTAGCCAGGGCCAGAACTGTCGATGTCTTTCCCGTACCGGGTGGGCCGTAGAAGAGCATGTGAGGGAGCTATAGATCCGAATTAGCTATTTAGGAGGCTAAATGTTGAATCGCGTAGGACAGTTGTACGTTGGAGGCTTGCAGCGTCCTCTGCAGAACAGTAACGGTATGGTCTTGTGCCGTGACATCGCTAAGGGTCTTTGGGCGGCTTTTGCAGCAGGTTAGTATGCGAGAACGAGGTAATTCAATGGATGCGCGCCGGGAGACGAACTATTTTTCAACCCACGGCTGTGCCCTCGTTGGCTGCGCAGATTTCTCCTGCTTCTGGGCCGACGTCCCGTTCGCAGCGGCCGCCTTTCGGGCCTTGAGGTCGAAAAAACTCGCCATGAGAATACAGAACTGATTGACTGCTGTTCGGGTTTGCGTGCGTTGCGCTGGCTGAGATCGGATCAATCGTGGCTGTCCCTCCGTTTGGTGCACTGGTGCAGTAATGACGATCGAGTAAATTCAATTAAAGTACCAGACGCGGTGCTGACCGTGGAGTTGACGCGTGTTGGAGCTTTCTCAGCCGACAGGGGTCGGGGTATGAGCCCAGCGCGTCTCTACATACTATGTACATACCTACGTACAGTAGTAGGTACCTTTCTGTATAATACGGAACCCCGCGGCGATTACCCCACCCAAGGCACGAGAGGTCACTCAAAGATGGTGAACTCATTTACATGGAAAGGCAAAGACTCTCATGTGAAAAATTCCATATCAAGATCTGAAATTCCTTGGAATGGTCTCGAAATCCAATCCAGTTTGGCCTTGGGTCATGCTGTATCAGGGTATGGCACGGCACCCTTTACTTTGACTATTCTTGATGCAGAGGACCTGTATGCTCATACACTCTGGAGCCCAAACTTGCATGGAAGTGATCTTAAGAGACCTAGGCATCTTGAGACAGGTCTTGCGCCGATGATCAATAGACCATTGCCAGTAGGCATTGTCTGAGGAAAAGCAAGTTATCCCAATGTGCATCATCCATCTGTCGCTGAGGAGTACTGGGGACAAAGAGCAATCGCACCGTCATTGGCAGTATACTAGCAGCTGAGAAAACCAATGACAGCTAAGGACAGCAAAGGAAGCATTGACAAATAGCTCTTCCAAGGAAGTACGAAAGGTCTAAGGCGGCCAAGGCATCCTTAGGCGCTGGAAGGCGGTAGCATCACATGTATGGCCCGTAAGGTAGAAAGGCTTGAACATCTTGTCGCAGATGGGAAATTCAAGAGTCCCTTTCGTCGAGGCGCATGTCAATAGGTATCTAGGTCATTCAGGCTCGGATCAAGGTGCCGTCGGCCGTTGCGGGGCTTCCCGGTTCAGCACTGGGAGGGGAGGGAGGAAAGGGATCGTTCTGGGTTATGAAGTTCAAAGCGGCCCAGCTGCCACGCCACACCGCAGCGATTCACCTGCATCAACGCACACTTAAAATTACCCCTCCTGCCCCGCCAAACTGCCGATTTAGTGCAGCTGCTTCGTCCCAGCGTCCCAGCGTTCCAGTGTCCCAGTGTCCGTCCCATCGACAGGCGGCTTCCCACCCGGACTACTTCTACCAGTGAGGCAGCCACCAAACCAACCGAACCAACCGACCAACCAACCAACGGAAGTCGCATTTGGCCGTCTACAGAACTCGTTTTACTGTCCAGACTTCACCTCCGTCAGGCTCTCAGGCCGCGCCCACTTGATCGGTTCCCCGTCTACAATCTTGAAGCCGGCAATCGACCGCACTCTCGCCTACTTACAGCACTCCGGAACCAGAAGGACCGCGCGACCGCTCGCCAAGGGAGCCACGCAGCGCTCGATTCATTAGTCGCCATGGCGGATCAATCCATCATTCGCATCACCAAGGTAGCCTCCATCCCGCCCCGCCCCGCCCATCTCCCTATCTTTTAGTGAGGGGTCGGAATCACAAGGCTGACATTGTTTTCGCAAACCAGGAGTTGAGTGATATCCAGCGAACTTCGGATCTCTGTATGATTCCTGCATACTCTAAGTAAAGACCTGTGCTGACCTAACTGCCAGCTCTAGCCGTCGCTTGCCGGGACGTCGATGTTCGCAACGTCAAGGCCTTGATCATCGGCCCTCACGACACCCCCTACGAGTTCGGTTTCTTCGAGGTACATAGATCGTCTTTCGAGCAGCACAGTCTTGGCAGCATGCTAATCTACATCCAGTTCGCGATCAGGTTCAACAAGGGTGCGTCTACACCATTCTTTAGCCATGTCGCGTTACTCAGCCTGACGTGATAACAGATTATCCACGCAAGTCACCAAGTGTCAACGGAATCACGACGAACGGAGGACGATGCCGATTCAATCCCAACATATACTCGTCCGGCAAGGTTTGCTTGTGGGTTCACATCTACGAAGAATGCTGGTCTGGGGGGTCGCTAACGCTGCTGCAGGTCAATTCTCGGGTACAACAAGGCATATCAGGTTTGCCATGGAACGTTTGACTAACAGCACGTAGCACCTGGCGTGGCGAGCGTGGTGAAGAATGGTCCGCGGCACAGGGCCTTGAGTCCATCCTCATCTCCATCCAGAGCCTAATGTCAGGCAATCCTTACGAAAACGAGCCCGGTTTCGAAGAAGCAAATGATGCGTCAGACAAGAAGAACCAGAAGGACTACGTCCAGAAGGTAGCCAAACTCAGTGCCATAATAGGCGAGAAATGACAAGAACTGACTTCGATGCCCAGATACGCCACGAGACTCTTCGAATCTCCGTCATCCAACGCATGGAGGAGTATTTGGGCTTGACTCCAGATGGCAATGCAATCGTCCAGCAGTCTGCAGCAGACGGAGAACAGCTGGAGATGGACACTGAGGACATGGATGACACCAACGTTCCCTTTGAACCATTCAAGGACCTGTGCAAGCGAAGGTTCCTTTGGTACTATGATAATTACCTGCTCGCTATACAGAAGGCCAAGACGGAAGTCAAGGACCACCAAGCTTTCGTACGTATGCCATTCGAGGGCGCTAGCAACTCCATGGATGGCAAATTCAACTACACGGAACTGGAGAGGCGCCTCCGCAATGTCAAGGCTGCCCTTGACAACGAGCTTGTCAAATGGGCCAAAGAGGGCCAGGCCGCGAGCGAGAAGGAGATGACAGTCTCGGTCAACCTACGACACCAGTATGAGCAAGTGGTGCAAACATTCAAACGCCAGGACATTCCTCATGACGTTCAGCTGGAGGACAACAACCCTCTCGTCTGGGTAATCACCTACTTTGGACGGCCGATGACGAACCTTGACGGCGGTCTCTTCCGTATCAAGATTCACTTCAGCCCAAGATTCCCTGAAGAACAACCCCGTGTCAAGTTCCACACACGCATCTTCCATCACCGTATCTCGGAGGATGGTACGGCTTGCTACTTTCCCAACTCACTCAGAAAAGACGATGTGCGTTCCCATATCGAGGCCGTCTTTACAGCACTGGAGGAAGAGGATCCCGCCTACGACCCTCGAACGCTAGTGAACCCTGAGGCCCACAAGCTCTATTGGGGAGGCGCCGACGGGCGTAAAAACTACAACCGCCGACTTCGCAGGTCGGTGCAGCAAAGCATGGAGTAAGGAACAGTCCGTCGTCACATTGCTTGCTCTGGCTAACATCTGTAGCGACTTCTGATGCCGGTGTGCCATTGCGAAAACGCGCGCCTAGCGTGTCGGATCACATAAAAGCCACATGAGCATGCGCCCGTGTGTGTTTGGTACGGCTTCAGTACACAAGCCGGCTCTGACTCTTCAACTGGAACGATGGGGATTAATGACGGTCGGCTTTGGGTTTACCTGGGTTCATCATGGTCTTTAAGGGACTGGACGGCGTTTACGGCATCGGAATCATGCATACCAGGAACGGGTTAGGGGACTGTCCCGTTAGACTCCAGTAGATACCTCGACTAATGACGCAACGAAAGGAGCTTTTTCTGAACATCTCAGTCTATTGTGTTTGCCTTAATGGATAACGGCTTCAGAACGTAAACCATATTGGCAATTTTTTTGGTAACCTGAGCCCATGCTCACCGTAACGCCTGCCTATCCTAAGCAACCTAGATATGCGTACCAACTCATAACCTCATGATTTCCCATAATACAGCATCATTCATACACCCGTTTGTAGGATGCTACTCCTTTGAGCGTGGGGAGTAAAGACATACTCGACCGCGAATGTCATGTTGTTTACCGCTTGCCACCTTTTGCCTTCTTGTCGATTCTATCCTTCCCGGGGGTGTAGGGGGCCGCAACGCCTATGAAAGACCTTTGGTTACCTCCAGGCTCCCCCTTGAACTCATATGTGCCGTTCGGTCCCAACGTCGCCGGTGCCCCTTGACTCGGTCGCGCTATTTGGTCCGCGTGGATCTTGTCGAGAGACTCGCCGACAACAGCATATTGCGACCAGTTGATGGGCGGACAACGCACTACGTTCTGGGGTTTAGGCAAAGACTCCCACGGCTGCGGCTGTGCCTTGGCCTTTCCTTGCCTGGTGCCGTCCTCTCCAGCCCCCTGATCGGCTTTGGTGCCGTCCGTCTCATCGTCCGAATCGGAGTCCGACTCCGGGAATAGCTTGTCGCCTTGCGTATGCACCTTGCCTGCTCCGAGATCAGCGAGGAAGGCAGAGGGGTTCTCCACGGCGGCATTCTTCGCAGCGTTGAGAGCCTGTATGTCGGCGGTAGCCTTCTTTGATTGCATCTGAAGGATGGAGATGGCCGACTTGAGGGCTAGGACGTCCGGGTTGGATTCGAAATCGATGGGTTCCGGGCGCGGAGGCGGGATGGCGGCCGCGGTCGGTGGCTGTGAGGTGTGGGTGAGGACCGGGCGGTCGGCGGCGAAGGGGGCGACGGGGTCGGGCAGGCGGGCCGGGGGCAGAGTCGGGGTTATGGGGCTGATGGGGGGCCGGGCGGGGGACGAGGAACGGGAGGAGCGCGGAGGGGTCTGCTGCGGTGTGGGATCTGTTGCGCTGGCCGTAGATGTAGTGGCAGGTGTCGCGGCGCCAGCCGCAGACGCAGATGGCGCTGGCGCTGGCGCGTTCGATGTGCGCGGAGAGACTGAGTCTGTTGATATCGTAAGGCCGGGCATGGTGGGCGAGGCTGGCGGCTTCCTCACGAAAGGAGGGTATGTGATGGTTTGTTTTGTTCGTGTTGGGTTTGTAAGCGGAAGAAACGAGTTATCGGGAGGCTGTAATGTCCCCTCTCTTGGTGGGGTTCGCATGAAGGAGGGGGAAAGGCCAGGGGGGAATCGGTGCTGGAAGTGCACCGTGCGTTGCTCACACCGCGGCCTGCGCGCAGATGGCTCGGCAACTTTGTCAGCGTCAGGGTCACTAGCGCGGACAGGGAAGGCTGCTTTCAGCTAAAGTCAGGTTCAGGCGGAAGCCCGTGGAAGATTTCCAGAGCAAACCCGCGTTGCGATAGTTTAGACGATTGAGAGTCGGCCGGATCCCACCGGCCAACGGACGTAATAGTCTGGCAAAGCCTAAGTAAGCGTTGGAACAGGAGGTCAAGCTGGGGAGTGACGTCTTTTGTTTGTTCTTTCTCCTTGTCAAGCTCACTCAAACTGGTGCAAGAAGTCGATGCCGGTTGAAAGACCGGGAAATCGAAACAAACCCAAAGTTTGATGTCTGAATGCACGTTGACCACTGGCTAGGACCATTCGAGGAAGGCGGCGCGCCCGCAAGAAGATGTCAAGATCCGATCCCTGGGGAGACCGAGGCGCGTCGTGCACGGCCTCTCTGCCAATGTGACTGCACGTGCCAGGTACCCCGCTCATCATCGCCAGGGTCCGGAGGCTTGGGCCTGAAGAGCAAGAGTGATTGGTTCTCGTACCGAGATTTCTTTTCCAGCAACTGCTGCAGAGCGTGTACGGCCAAGCTGAGGGCAGAAGGCGATGCTGAAGCGTCTCCGGAAATGGTCAGCATGGGTATCGGCTTTGAGTCAGAGGAAGAGCTTATTCACTGAATCCAGATGTCATGGGAATAATACTGAAGTCCACCAATGCGATTTCGGGCTTCTCTCGGCTCATAGGTCTCCGTCTAAGCAACGTTTTGCCATACGTCCGTATTTTCCGCACATCCTTGAAAGCCTGGCGCTTAAGAATCACAAAATCTGCCAGGGGAGGACTGGGGTGCAGCCAACAATAGCTGATAATCGAGGACTGCAGCTTGGGATCTAGGATCCAGGATGCAGCACTTCAATTTTGTGGCTACAGCTTAGCATGGGATTTGCTTTTTTCACCAACCCATCTGCCTAGCCGACTATTGAATTTCGTCCAATATCCGTGTGCGAATCAGGGAATCATGTCGTAACAGGCCCGTTCACCACTCCTAGCCTCATCACCAACAGGCCTCGTGGTTGGGACGTCGCGATGGTGTGCCTTGTTTTCCTTGATCATTAGCGAGAATCAGTCTCATCCACCTTTGAGATTGACAACTGCCGCTCAAAGCGTATTTTCAGCCGGTTGGGTTTCCTGACAAAGGACATGGCGCCCCGATTCTGGAAGCCAATGTGTATGGAGGTGGATCCTGATCTTAATCTTAACCCAGGGGCTCGGGAGAGCCGGTGTTCAAACCGACGACTTCTAGGCAGATCGACAAAGGGCGAAACATAACGCCGTCAGTAGGCTAGCAGCGTTTTGCTGCACCATTCTCGCGACTTGGTCTCTAAGCTATGCTCACGACTGCTGCGACACAGCAGCAACAAGTGGCTCAAGAGTCGTTTGGGCGGACCAGTGCGTTCTCCATCCCTTGCATGGCACCGGCCTTGGACAGTATCGGGCAAAGTGTCGATTGAGACCCAGCGATCTCTCAGCAACAGTTCGACAGGAAATACGTCAGCTTCAGGTGGTCGGACCAGCCGTCTGTCGCTGCAGCGAAGTCTTTACCAACGTTTGCGTTAGCGTGTGTTTGGTCCCATGGTGGCGTCCACTCACGACGCGAACCTGGCAGACCGGGCAGCACCGGGAAGGTGGTCGCCGAGGTGCCTTGCTCTTTCTCCTCCCATCACAGCAAGGGCTAACGATATGGGCAGCTGAGCACGGGGGCATGGACAAGGCATGGCAATCCACCAAGGAAATCGTGGGAAGGTGCAGCCAACTCGGTTCACCTGCTCTTTTCAGGGATAGCTCCCACAAGTCGACCCTGAGGAAAGCATGGCTATCCAAGACCTCCCTACGCTTTCCTTTTTCATTGCGTTTTCTACTATGCAGGGCGTCCTTCTCGCACGTTACTGCCACGAGGTCGCTCCAACCCGCTCGCTGATCTTGTCTACTTCTATTCCTCTTTCCGCATCGGTCTCAACTTTCTTTCTCTCCTTCCACTTTTGCTCACACCAGCAGTTGATCGAATATACAATCTCACGATTTCCTCTCCTTCATCCGCATCCCCCAGACTTCTCTAGCTTCGGTATATCTGTCAGCTATATTATTCCTCTCTTCACTATTTCGATATACATACCTCATCTCGCAGCCGCCTTCTGTCTGTCCTTATGGGAAAATTGAGCAACACCGGTCACACTCACCACCCAAGGTATTCAGTTGCACTCCTGTTACTGTGTACGAGTAAATCGTCGCACGACATCGGTGCTTGAATGACACGCATCCCTTCTACGCTGTTGAAGTGAACAATGCGCCTTTTCCATCGACATCGCAACAAGCAAAAACATCCACCTCCTCTTCCTGACCGCGAAGATTACCAATTTCCATTGACCTCACCAACACCGCTACCGCCTATTCGTAACTTTTCTTACCCAACCGCAACGCTACAAACACCTTCAATCACCCTCCAACAGTCAGCCGCTCAATCAAGCAGCCGGCCTTCTGTGAACGACGCTTCCCAAAACCCCAGTACGAAGGTTCGACCTTCCAGAGAGGGTGGAGGCAACGAACCCCCATTCTACTGGGCCTCCTCTTACATTCCTCTACGAGGTGAAGAAGACTTCACCTCGGCAGATCTAGTGACATCAACTTCGATTAGCGGACCAGAGGCATTTGCCTACGGCTAGGTGCCGGTCCCTGAGAACAAGAAGAAGCGAAGAGGCCTCCTCGGACTATCAACGCCGCATAGAACCAAAAGGGCTCTTCAAGATACACACGCTTCGGAGAACGCACGAGATATAAAACAAAATCTCCTTTTTGGTCAAGAATCCCAATCTTCGGCTTCACGAGCATCATCCAAAACTGTCATTAGTGGTTCATCCAAGGAAGCGTTCCCCACAAGACGCTTTCAAATCCGGCACAAAATTGCCAAATCTGTCGATTTTTCGTCTGCCTATCTACGCTCACCGAGCCCACCACGACCTGCATCCAGTTCAGGCGTCGCAGCTGTCGATACAAGAACAGCGCCACACAAGATTGGTTTAGCGATAGACGAAGAGGACAACCATCCGGGTATTTTGCTCGAACTCGGTGACGACGAAATGGGTCTCAGACGGCGTATCTCGGAGATGGACTTGAGAATGTCTCCTTCGAGACGCACGTTGTCCGACCAGGTGCAGCAGCCCGAGCCTAGTGTCTACGCTACTAGTGTCAGTGAAACGCCAACGAAAATGAGGTCTGAGGAGAAGCTCAAGCTCAAGGATGGCAAGACACGCTGGGTCAACCAGCTCAAGGACTGGTTCAGCGTCGGCGAACCATCCTCTCATGACTGGAAGCAGTTGAAAAAGCAGGAGTTCCACAGACACGGAATCGCCATGAACGATCCTGATGCAAGCGCAAAGCTGCATGCCCCCATAGGGGCCATCCCCGAAGAGGCCATTAAGCCATCCAGCGGCCCTGACCCTGAGGTCATTGCCAGGAAAAGAGCCGCGAATCGCAAGCAACTTCCTCGAGCTTACGGTGGTTGCGAGAGGACTTCGGGTTCCATTTCTTCCGAGTCTTCTAGTGGCAGCAAGGAAGTCAACCCTATTGCGCCTTGGGCGTAGTCGGACTGGACCTCATTGTCAAGAAAATGGTTCCTTGCGGTCTCGGAAGACTGGGGGCAGCGCGGAGGGAAGTGATGAATGAAAACGTAGCCACGATGAAGATGATGATTTGCTTGTATCGCTTTCACAGTATACCCGCTTCTGGACGCTGCGAACCTGTCAGCTCGTCAAAGAAGCCGCATTGGAATTTCGAATCCTGCTTGAAGAGCGCTATAGAACTAAAGTTGTGGAAATGCAGTCCCGTATGAGGGTACCATAGCCTGATGAAAACGAAAAATTTCTACACCATTTCATTAAGAGTGACAGTTGACATGCTATCGTGAGGTTCCCCACGTCTTGAGCAGTAAAAAATCGGACGGTTCGACGTTGGTTCGGAGTAAACAAGTATGACGTTTGTGGAGATGATGGGCCCATACCTAGACGTGATCTGGAATCGACGAAGCAAACAAGCACGTTGATCATGGACAGACCCCGTTTTGGAAATCTGGACTTCCATGGACCCAAAAAGTCGGGGCCAGCCGTCGTACTCAAAGAACCTCACCCCATTCCATCACTCTTCAGACCGATGTTTCTTCAGCGCAGGGTGACACATCATGCCGACACTCGTTAAGCGGCGTCTTGTCTTGGAGCAGACAACCTTGCTCGTCGGCCGGAGTGAGTGGCAAGACATTGTGCCTTCCTGCTGGATCGCGATCGGGCCAGGGTGGGGGGGCACAGAAAAGAGAAGCACACCACACGCGCAGTTTCGTCCGTGTACGCCACTGATGCCTAGAACACACAATTGAGTGGTTGTTTGGTTATCGGGTCTCGAGGCGAAGGGCGCCAAGGATACGAACCCCTTCAGCTGAAATCTCGTTGGCAGAGTGTGCCCAGCCCGACACGCAGCATTTCGGGCCTGGCTCCTACCGCTGGAAGCAGACCGGTCGTTTATTAACATTCCCTGATTTTGCTGCAGAAACCAGACGCTTTGCTCAGCTGCGCTCGCGCAGTGGCCGCCGTCGTCGTGCCGTGCTGTTGCTTGTCTTCCCCCACGCGTTAGCCGGAGCTTAGCTCCGGGTCGGTGGACATTACCATCGGGACGAGACCATCGTAGACAGCCCACTGGTCCAATTGGCGATCCGCGGTGCCAGCGCCGCGGATCCACCTTTCCGCTTTCGGTGCCATCTAGAGTGCCCATTCGTCCCGAATGACGTACACGACCACACATTGGTGCATGAAGCTCTGGCCTCTCTCTCCGTCTGTGGTGGTGCAGTTGTGTGCTTTGAGCACCCCTGCCGTCATCGAGACGTATTGTTACAAAAAGTGGGATGTGTTTGTGTGGCAGCCGCCGGTTGTGTTAGCTGTCCAAGCATCGAGTTCTTGAAGAATTTCCGTTTCTACATCCTCACTTTTCCCGTGTATTGTTCCATCGACTTTGTAGTGTTTCGGTCGAGGTAACAGCAAGCAGCAACCTCTAAGATATCCTGTTGGCCGGCAGTCGCGCCCGCTTACTATAAGGACTCCGGATACAACACCAAGCCTACGACTACGACGACGACACCAAACTCCATATAGACATCATGTCTTCACTTTGGGGCACGAGGAACAAGAAAGACGACGACAATGCTCCGGAGGGACCCCCTGAGGAGAGGGTGTCGAGTGAGTACACGGTGCGGGAACCCGATGAACACACGCGCCTGCTTCCGAACAGACTCGACAGCGACAACCGGCAGTACTTGACGCCTGATGACCCGGCAGTGTCACCGTACAACCTCTGGACTGTGCGAGTGATGCGCTGGATGACAGTGCTTTTCACAGCTCTTACCTTTACGTGGTGGACTCTTACCTTGGTGTCCGCCTTCGTCACGCCGCCTGGCATGCACACCCGCGGTTCGGGCTTCTATGCTTTCAGCTACTCGAGTCTGGCACTTTTCACCCTTCTGTTCACACTCGTGTTCTTTGGCGCGCCATCGAAGGCCGTCCGGATCTTGTCCATCTTCATGGCCGTCATGTTGTTCGTCGATATGATTCTCATCGTTGCGGTGCAGAAGAACCGCTACGAAGAGACGGGCGTTGGGGTCGCAAGTGTCGTCTGTAAGTCAGAGCCCATACCCAAGACACACCCATTTACTAACGAGTCGATATCAGGGGCTTTCCTTACGAGCTTGTGGGCGCTGGCATGCGACCGGACCGTGAAATGGGGCAAAGCCGAAGAAGAGGAGCGCTTGACCGGCCGAGTCGAGACCAGGCGCACCGTTTGGGAATGGACCGAGGTGCTTATCTCCACCATTGCCTATGTGATCCTCTCCGTGGTTATCGTGTTGATCACCGCCACTCTCATCCTCCGATCTCTAGATGCTGGGTATGGGCCGCCGGGTGAGCAGTACTGGGTGGATGGTGACCAGTACCGAATTCACGTTTACTGCGACGGCAACGGCACCGATGCTGCAGGGACCAAGCTGCCTACTGTTCTTTTCGAGGGCGGCGACCTGCCAGTCGAGAACGGACTTTGGCAATTTGCGCAAAATGCTCTGAAGAATGGTTCCATTTCAAGATACTGCTTTGCCGACCGTCCAGGTTATGGATGGAGTGACACTGCGCCTAGTCCGCTCTCGGCCGGCATGGCTACTGACGCGCTGAGCGAGGCTCTCGCACGAGCGGGCGAACATGGCCCCTGGGTACTGGCAAGCGCCGGCATTGGTTCCGTATACTCACAGATCTTCTCTTCCCGACACGGCAGAGAGGTCAATGGTCTCCTTCTGATTGATCCTCTCCACGAAGACCTCCTCGGTCGGGTCTCGGACCCCGGGCGAGGATTCATGTACTGGCTGCGGGGCGTCCTTTCACCTCTGGGACTTGAACGTCTGCCAGGCGCCATCTTCAAAGGACGTACCAGTGCAGACCGTGTCTGGGGCCGTTCTGCTAGACAGAATGGCAAGTATTTGTTCACGAAGTTGCAAGAGAGTCTCGTGGCCGACACGCTCACCAAGCGTGAGGTGATCAGCAGCAAGGCGATTCAATACCCGGATGCGCCTCTGGTGCTAATCACTTCTGGCGAGAACGTTCGAAAGGACAGCGAATGGGAGGACAAGCAGAGGGACTTCAGCCATTTGACGAGGAATTTGAAGCATTGGGATATCGTCGACAAGGCGCCTCACAATGTGTGGGAGACGCTTGATGGTCGCCAGAAGATCGAAAAGAGGCTTCGCCAAATGGTCCGTGCATGAAGCAAGCAGCCATTGGAAGCGTTCAAAGCATTCCCGGTACTTCGATTGTCTCTTTTGCTGGATTATTTGTTTGCCGTTGCATGTCGGTCGATTGCATACAGGTGGGAGGCTATGGATACGTTTTAGGACAGTCTGATTGTAGCGTGATCGATAATTAATTAGGAGACGAAATGATGAAAGCGACTTGACTCTGATAGACTTTCGACCAGTGGAGATGTTAGTAATTGCCTGGATTGTCCTCGGCGAAGAGGCATGATGCAATGACTCGTGGCCGGAGCAATGTGCCATGTCCGTGTAGATGCACCTAAAACAGTTTCGCGGATGGCCAGTATAACTGTCTGAATGTCTTGTATAGTGCGCTACGTCGTCAATACCAAACAAGTCGTCTCCCAGCAACAAATCGACATAGGAGAAATAAAGAACAATTGGGAAATCATGACAGAGAGGTCCTAAGGGAAGAGAGTGCTCAGCTTGTCTGTTAAAGTCAGGCTTTGTTGGATGTGACGTCGGATGTTATTTGTTGAAGAAGCTACCATGTATTGCCTCCATGCATCTTGGCTTCGACGGGATCCTGCATGTGGTTTTTGCTTGTTTGTTGCAGAAGCTTTGGCAGGGAACAGCTTTTGGTGTAGGTTCGGCTATTACTCACGCGACATGCTGCTGTGGCGGCGGCGGCGATTCTCCTAAACCCCAGGGAATTGTGGGCAGGGCAGAGGGGACTACCTACCAGGTTGCCAAGAATGGCTGCTGCTGCTAAGACAGGCTAAGGTTCGGCCAGTCGACCTATTCGTCCCATGTCTGAAACCCAAGGGCTGCACATCATTATGTTGGTAGCGTCTGAACTTTGAACCTTGGGTTGTCCGATGTGTATGCGTAGGAGTCTGTGGATTGTGCTTTGCATGGGCAGTTGGCTTCACCTTTGGCTTGAATGTCGACCTGCCCACTGCTTCATCCGTAATGCGAGGGCCAGGGCGACGGAAGGGTATACTCTACGCTGCTAAGACGATGGGGTGGTAATGACCTCGTGTGTTTGACGTACCAAGAGAACAGCCTGTGGTCCTGTCAGCCCGTATGAGACGCAATGGTGCAGAGTGAATACGAAATATGGCATGGAAAATGTGATGCATACATGCATGCAATAAGATAAAATAGAAACGAACACGAAGAGGAGACTAGGTCGAGTCCACTCCAGCTTCGGGGCATCTTAGCTCGTCGAAGGCGGCCGGACACCGCACCGAGCGACCTCGAAAATTTGGAGAATGGGCAATTACGAGTTCGTGTCGTGAACGGTTCCAAAAGCCCCTCCCCGGCTCCCCCCAGATACTCCCTCTTATTTCAAAACGCGACCCAATGACGGCAATGCCTGCTCTTTGGGTGCCCGCCGACTGTCATTTTTAGTGCCATTTCCCGCCGAGCAGGAGGGCCCCGAAAAGTGAGACCAAACGGCTTTAATGCTCCCCAATGCTCCTCAAGAATCCGACTCAAGAGTCAAGCAGAGCCCCTCAACCCGGTGCACCCCTGGGCCTGAAGGATTGGGACCCCAAAAATAGTGTGGACATTATGTCTTCGGACGGCGCCTAAGAAACCCAAGGGAGGGCAAGTCAGGGACAAGGCCCCTTGCGGTTCCGTGCTTTTGGAGATTTGGATGCCATTCCTCCCCGGACACTCAACGCGGAAAGGCCGCCCTACAGCCCAGCGAGGAGGTGTCAAGCCTCGAAGACATGTTCGTGCCATGCTGAGCCTTGTCGTGGCCGTGCCAATGATAGCGCCCAGATACCTGATGCCAGTCAGTCCTGTGCCTGCTACTCTGTACTGGTGATGACGATCATGATGCTAAGATGCGCCCTGAAAAAATTGGCAGACGCCTTGCCTGTTTCCTCTGTCATGTCTGTTCCTATCTAAGGTTTCCTGCCGAGTGGGCTTCCTTGGTCAGCACACCCGGCGGGCTTGAGTTGTCGAGACCCATGTCGGTTGAAATGTGGCCTTCTGCCTGGGTTATCGTCTGCACGTAAGATGAGCGCCGCGAGGACTCGGAAGGCAGAAGTCGTCTGTTGGGCGGGAAACACCACGTTCTGAACGACAATCGGTGGAGAAAGAGAAGATACCGTACGGCGACTCGACAGGACAGCGCGGTTGCCCTTGAGATATTGGGATAACAGACGAGGTACGTACCTTTAGCTACAGCATCCGCCGCACCTGTCTGCAGTCACGCCACGGTACAGAGTACCTGCCTTGCTTTGGGGCGTGACTGCTGAAGCGGGGATTGTAAGGGGGGGTCTGTCGCAGTGTCCGCGATGCCCCTGACCGGTGATAGGGCGAACGTCACTCTTCAAGGGTCCACGCAGGACGGAAGTAAAGTAAGGCACGCTGTACTCCATACCTACCTTATTCAAGCCAAATCTCACGTATCCGCCGCACTTTGCCTACCCACTCTCACCTCCCCCCCTTGCTCCTTGCTGTTCTCACTCACACGGCCGCTGCTGCTGCTGCTGATGCTGGTGCTGTTGCGTGTGTGTTGCTGGAGGCGCTGGAATTAACTCGCTACCTCAACGTGGTGCATGTGCCGTCCCTCGCTCGTCTGCTCTGCTCTGCTCGTCTCGTCTAGTTCCTGAGCTCCGCACCCGCACCTGCTCCGCACCGTACGGGAGGCAGTATCCGCTGAGTGGTGCGTACCTGCGATCTCTCCGAAACTGAAACCCCTTGCTTCTCTCGAATAACCCAACGACGAATCCCACCCCATTCGGGCTGAAGCCACCGACCGCCATTCAGTCACGGTCACAATCCTCCATTTGTCGACGGCAAGAACCACCATCTGCAGGGCAACAGTCCCGATTCGTCTTGCCTTGCCAAGTCCAGATTTGCTAGCGACTACGCATCGTCACGAATGTGACCACCTTATCCTACCTACCTACCTACCTTTCTCGATCCTTGGGCCGACCAACGACAACCTAACTCGCCTTCCTGTCGCCGCCGGGTACGCAACCTCATATAATCTACCGCTTGCGTCCCTGCCCTCTCCTCGTCCGGTCCTTCCTCAACCTTCCAATCTTCGGGGACCAGAATTAAGTAGGACAGAAAAGAGTCGTACCTTCCCCGTGCGCGAGTGCAAGCGCCAGTGGGCAGCTTCAACGGAGGCCTGCAATCCCTCGAGGTGAATGAATTTCCCTTCCTGACAGCTGAGACAGCAAAACCACCAGCATCCCACAAGGGGACCAGTTGCTCCTTCCACCTGCCTTTACTAATGCTGTCTCTTCGTTCAGAATTCCGTCCACCTCTATGAGTTCGCAATTACCCCACGACGATAACGACCTCAAGCTATGGAGAACGATCCGCCTTCCGCTACCTCCTCGAGGCGGGGTCGTCTAATGGGCAAGCTCTTCGCCATGAAGGAGAAAGATCGCAAGCCGACGGCTGAAGAGACGGGAAGCAGCATCAACGACTTCCTCAATGGCCCCTCCGACACTCTGCAGGTCGCCCATGCGACGCCCGCCTCCGCCCTCCCGACCCTAACGAAGCTCGATACCACATCCGCTACTCGCTATCCTCAAGCGCTATCTGTCGCTAGTCACTCTCAGCAGAGCTTGAACCTCCCATATCACCCTGCGCGTAGCCCTGGACATAACCCCGGCATCCCACCACGGAGCCCGCGGCGCAACAACAGAAAGGGACTGACCGTTCGCTTTGTGGATACCTACCCTGAAATTATTGGAGAGGGTGGTGATGAGTCGGAGATCCCAGCTATTGAGGTATCGAGACGCAAGAAGCAGCGCCCTCCTCCGTCTCCCAACCGCAGGCCCGTCGCTGCTGTCCACGACTCTCCTCCCAGAGCGCCTTCTGCGCCCAAAGAGGACCCAGACTTCATGCCAGGCCGTTTACGACGGACGCAGACAGGGTTTTCCTCCATCAGTAACGAACCTGTTGAGCCCAAAGAACCCCTCCCGTCTACAGGGAGGTCGCACCGGGCAATGCTGTCCCGGCCCCTTACCTGGACACTCCAACCAGCGCAAAGGATGAGAATCGCAAGTCCTTCATAGAGGTTCAACAGGCTGAGATGCGCCAGGCTGAGGGCAGAGCATTCGCTGAGGCCGCACGTTCCGCCAGCCAGCCTTCACACCCCGAGCGCGAGCAGCTTGGGAGCCAAGCACCTCTCATACCTCAGGTGCAAGAGTCGCCAACAAAATCTCCAGTTCCGCCTGCCAAGGTCCCCTTGCCACCGAGATCCCCAGAAGACCAGAGAAGGCCCCCCGATCAAAGTCCGTCTTCTGTCTATTCAAGCAGCACCGACTTCAGCCAACCGGGCAATGTCAGCTTCTCCCGCCAGCCTTCTCTTAGCTCTCAATACAACATGGCTCCTCCTTCTGCCACGATCGCCTCCAGACAGGCCTCTTTCAACATGCACGACGCGGTTCTGGCCGTTGGCGATGACGCTCTCAACACGTTTGTTGCGCGCACTCGACACCTCAATGAACTTTTCAGACTGCACGCTGAGACAATGAAGCCGCTTTCAGCCTGTTCACAGAATGAACTGGCGCGCGCTGCCCTGTGGTGGTTCTTAAAAGGCCGTATGGCTTTGGAGGTTGCGGTGCGAGCACGACCCAGCAGCCCCAAGGGGCAGATGCAGAATGACATGGACCGCCAGCAGGCTTACGCCAACCTTGCCAAGGGATATTGGCTTTCAGAAGAGGCCATCCCTGAGCTTTTGGAGAACAAGCGACTCGCTCCAGACGCAGGCATTAATGAGATCCGGTCAACACTCGTGATGGCACTTAAGAAGTTGGCTGTCTCGATGAAGCGAAACGGCTCCCTTCCGCCCGAGGAGGCGTTCCTGCCTCAGACCATTGACAAATCTATCTGGGTTGAGTATCCGAGACTCAGCATCGACATGATCGCGCTTCTTACAGCTGATTCGTCTGCGGCCATGACGGGCGTGGTCCGCACTCCTTCACCTTTGGAGATCTTGGAGACGCTGCCTCCGAGCGACACAGCTGAAAACTTCACGTTCGGCAGAATCAACACTGACGTATTTCTGATGGAGCAAGGCATGGACTCTCAGAGATTCTACTTCCCCTGTCTGTTGACTATGGTTCGACCCCAGAAACAGCCTAACCTTGTTTTTGTGATTGCCAGCCAGCATGGAGAAGTCAATCTTCGGATTCAGGGAAACAAGGCCATGGGCCCAACCTGGGACGATGTCCGTTGGCGCAACGAGACTTGTTCGCTTGAGGTCAAGCTGCCTCGCGGCTTCATGATTGTTGCGCAGTGCTCGCAGCAGGATTACAGAATGCTCTGGAGTATGTACGACTTTGGTGCTAAGGTCCAGTCAACACTTTACCCCAGAGCAGAGGAGCATTGCGTTTTCCGTTCTACGCTGCATTCATTTCAGTACTTCGATTCAGACCCCCAAGCCAGGGCGTTTCCCAAGGAGCCCGTGCAAGGTTGCGACGTGGCGCTCTTCGAGAAGATTCATAAGGAGCATGCTGCTGCCGGTCCTCGCGCATACCACCGTGGATTCAGAATCGCCGTTGTGAGCGGCCCTCACACGAGAACCCTCAGCGGCATCAACCACAGTTACTCGCCACAGATGCCAATTCCTTTTGGATTCCTTAGATCGGACGGAGGCGAGCCGGCCTTGTTGCTCAAGTACGACAACGGTCGGCAGAAGGTGACCATGGCACTCTCGTTCGGCGATGAAAGGGAGCGATCCCAGTTCCACAGCATGCTCGCGGGCACTTCTGTGCAAAAGCATGAGACCATCTACGCTGATGTCCCTCTGCTTGGTTTTTCCATTTCGACAGGTCTGCAAGGGGGCAAGTATCTGCCAGGTGTTAGCCAGGTCCCCTGGACGTCCCTTCGGGTCATCAATGAAGACGCGGATGAGGACTATCCCCGCACGGTTTTGTCAGACAGGCTGCGGGTGGTTGTCGAATCCAAGCAAGGCTCCCTTACTGATCGAGTGAACCTTCAGCCTGGCGAATTGAGAGTCAGGCTGGAGGTTCAAGACACAAAGTCTCTGGTAGTGATGCGTCAGCCGCAGTTCGACATGACTTCCATGTTAGCGGATGGATCTATTGACAAGGACGTCCCCAAGGCGATGGCCGACATGCTCCAGATGCTGCAAACGACTCAAACCATTCGCACCTACAGCTTCCCGACCCAGAGAGATCTCCATGCCTTTCAGGCCGCCTTCACGGGTTTTACCGTCATCTTCGATGGCCTTGCGGCGACCTTTGCCATATCTCGTCGGCGAATGGTGGTCCCGATTCACAAGAAATGGGAGGCTGGATTGACTCGAGTTCAGGTGGTGCAGCAGGGCTCCATCATACAGCTGCTTGCATTCTTCCCCGATTTCCACCATGGGCAATGTATGAACTTTCAATTGAAGGGCACAGATGTTTATGAGATGTTTTCGCGGAGCAGCAAGGCAGGTGTCAAGTTTGTTGACGCCAAATTCCCGCTGCCGCGGATGCCTAACGGCAGCGACGGACTGTCAGACGACATGGGATTCATCTGCTTGGACCTTCCGGATCTGCCGGGAGAGCACGATGACATCTCGCTCCTCTTCGAGAACGAGGCGGGTAAGTTTTTCGTTAGCTGAATGGTCTCGGGCTCGTGCTAACTTCCGAACAGAACGCGACCGTCTGTGCCAGTGTCTCCCAGCACCCGTCAAGGGGGCCTCCAGATCGCTGAGAGGCAAATAAGTCCAAGCGGACAAGTCGATTTAAATAGGTGATGTGTTGTGCGAAGGAAGACGCATCATCCAAAGCATTGCATTGAGAAGCAGAGTCCGGACATTCGAAATACGAGATACCCAGCAGTCGGTTCATCACATTGCTTCGCAGACAACGGACGACGGTACCAGAGAGGCGGTTGAAGCACAAGGGACGGAAACGGCAAGAGCCGTTGATAGGAGCCGGTAGGAGTGGCATTAGTTTATACCGAGATGAAGATTGCCTAGGGATTCGAGCGATGCGGCAACTTTGGCCGGAAGACTCGGGTTTGGCACCGGGCACGGCGTGGAAGGCTAAGCATTGCCGCGAGCTTCCCAAGCAGTTTTGTTGGTTTAAGAGCAACTGTGCAAAATGACCAAGGGGGGGGGGGGGGGGGGGTGTGGTCAGGTCTGTTCTGCCTAGTAGGATATGTTGTTGGTGGTAAGACGGGGCAGGCAGACAAGGATAAGCATTACGCATACAAGTGGTGTGCCTCTAGGTAGGGAGACAAGACAGCATCTTGCCAATGATACGCGTATCGTGACATAGGATGCACGCGAAGTTGCCGAATTGTGCGAGTGAAAGCCGCGTTTAGAGGAGCCAAGATGGCTGTGTTCATGTGCTGAATCCAACAAGAATCCCCGCAGTTGGAGCCTTTACTTGGTGGTCACTTCTGGCTGATCTGGGGCCGTGGGGGGCTCTGGTCTTGGGCTGCATCTCGAAATGGTCAAATATTGCCTAGAAGTTCTGACACTGCCACAATCCACCCGCATGATGGTGGGATGCGTGTGAAAGAATGGCATACTACAGGCTGACAGAGGTCATCGTTTAGCTGATTCCTGATTCATCTGATGTTGGCGCTGTCTGTATACTCATTCAATCCGGTATGTCTCTTTTCCCTCTTTGCTTCCCTCTCTGTCTGCAACCCGAATTCCAATCCACTTGGTTGAAAAATGGCTAGGATGATGGAGCAGCAACGCGACTAAACGTTCATGGCACTACGCATGCATAGCTGCCATAGGATACATACTATGTAGTACTGTGCAGCAAAGGCGCACCCACTGGACTAAGTGAATGAGCCACTGAACAGAAGGGGGAGTCCCTTACCGACTAATTGGCTAGTGGGGAGAAATGCTATGGGCATGTGATTGGATGCAGGGTAGCACAGCATTGGCGGTATTGGGCATGGGGATGGGATGGGACGGAAGGGAAAGGAGGGGAGGAAGCTGGGGTGACACTCCCGTGCGAACAGATGCGGGCTGCATCTCGATATTTGGGAAACAGCCCCGTCCCCTCCTCAGGCGAAAGCTAGATCCAAATCGTGAAAGAAGAGACTAACTCGAGAGATCCAGAGACGGTTGCGTTGTCATGCAGCCATGATACCCAAATTCGCAGTAGTGCAGCTTGGTGGCCTGGCCTCTTGAGCATCATTGCGCTGCGCTGATGGATGACCACCAACTTGGCTCTGGGCCATCTGTGCACGGAACCAAGACATGGGGCATCAGAGAAGCAGACGCAGACCAGCGCCAAAAAAAAAAAAAAAGTTTCCCGAAAAATGACGCGACGTCATCACCCCTCGTTCGTGGTGGGGTCTACCAGCGACGTAAGGATCGCATGGGAGCCCAGGCCTTTGGTGACTTGGTGGTGGTGCCGGACCTGTGATCTACCTCCCCTGATGCCTTGCCTTTACCTGGCCATACCGCCGATCTACGTTTGTCTGTCTTTTATCCTTAAAATTGTTAAGGAATCTACCAGATTTCCTCTCTCATCCTGGATCAGAATTCAAGAAGGAACGGGTTTGGCACCGACAATCATCTTAAACTCCCACCTCTCGTCCCAAATTCCAACCGTTCCTCAGTGAACCAACATTCTGGAGCGGTTCCAGGCCAAGCTGGACCTTGCATCTTTGTCCGACACCCATTCCGCTTCACCCGGCCGGGTCCCGTCGACTCCCCGCCAGTTCCATTGCTCTTTCTCCTCTGCTTTGTGCTGTTAGAGACGCCAGCAGCTACAGAAAAGACGAGCAAGCAGGGAGTGAGACAACCATAGGTCATCTTGTTTTTCTGGAAAACTACCCCAAGACTCACTCCCCCGCCCAGGTTCAACTCCATCAACTCAGCTTCTTCTCTTTTCGTTTGCTTTCAACGGATACATCATCAACCTTGCGCTTCCGACGCTTCCTTCACCGGCATCTCCTTGTCCCACTTAAAGTAAACGACCGTTCCGCTTGCCGGCCTGCAACTGCTTTTATTTACGACAAATTCCCACACTTGACCATCCACTGCTTCTACCGCCAGTCCACATCTTTTTACTCAGTTACGTACCGCGCTGCGAGGGCCCATCATTTACCGACTCTATCCCCTACATAGAGACACAGCAGTCGCGCGACAGCAGCAACGCCTTTCTTGCCTGAGAGCACTGCCCCTCATTCCAGCCCAGAAGGCATATCCCGGGCAGCGCGCCGATAAGGCCGGTAGCGGCCAGAAGCACAAGTGAGGGGCATCGCTGCACCCACCGCCCACCGAGAGCCAGTCGCAGTCATGGGTTTGGTCCATGTGCCAGGAAGACGCTCCAGAGCGTCCAGCCTCAGTGAGTCTTACCAGCCCTAGCGCAACTGCCTCTCGTCCAATGTACGCATAATAGCACTCATTTTCTCCCCGTTGCGCCCTTCAAGGTGTTCCTACGGCGACAAAATCGCGCCCACTCTGTCAACTTTTTTCCTGTCCCGGGTCGCTGTTACTTCTTGCTCTCCCCGCTTGTTACCTTGTCGCGTACCTAGCTTTGGAGTGTCTTTCCCGGGGCCCCGAAAAGCCTCTCTCTCTCCCCACTACCCAAACCTCCCGCCGTGCGCCCGTCACGGAAAAAAAAGTTGCCTTCAACAATGCTGACCTCTTGGCTTTCCAACCCTCCAGCTAGCAACCGGTCGAGCGTCGACGAGGCTAGAGGTGCTGCCGCCGCCGAAGATGACGACACCCTTGTGGTCGAGCCCGATCAGGGTAACGGTTAGTGAAGCTTCCACAAGAAAACATCGCGCGCCCACGACATCTCCCCCGCGCGATGCCTTACATACACTTGGCTAACATGCAGTCCAGTCCTCGGCCACATTATATCCCAGCTGCGGCCCGGAGCCGATCTGAGTCGTGTCGTCCTGCCGACTTTCATTCTTGAGCCCCGTAGCATGCTAGAAAGAATTACCAAGTGGGTGTTTCCTGGCAGGAATTCGCCTTCCGAAGCTTCCTTTGCTGACCCTCTGCGCCCGCCATAGCTTCATGTGCCACCCCGAAATGCTCCTCCCCATACCCGAAATCGACGACCCCGTGCTGCGCTTTGTTTCCGTCGTCAAGTTCTACCTGAGTGGATGGCACATTAGACCACCGTTCGTCCTCCCGAGTTACCCATGCAGGTTTACAGCGCCGCTGACCAATGTCCAGGGGAGTGAAGAAGCCGCTTAACCCGATCCTCGGCGAGATATTCACCTGCTACTGGGATTTGCCCGATAACACGAAAGCCTACTACATTTCCGAGCAAACATCGCACCACCCTCCCAAGTCGAGCTACTTCTACATGGTCCCCGAACACCACATCCGCGTTGATGGCACACTCAAGCCCAGGAGCAAGTTCCTGGGGAACTCGGCCGCAAGCATGATGGAAGGCACGGCTGTTTTGTCGCTCCTCAACCGGGGCAAGGACAAGACCAAGGGTGAACGATAGTATGTGGTACAGAAGCTACCTGGAACAACTGAATACTGACTACGTATACAGCATCCTAACGCAGCCCAATATGTACGCCCGAGGCATTCTGTTCGGAAAGATGAAGTATGAGTTGGGAGACCACAGCTTCGTCCGTTGCCCAGAGCTTGATTTGGTTGCCGACATTGAGTTCAAGACGAAGGGCTGGGTCAGTGGCACTTACAATGCGATTGGCGGCTTCATCAAGCACGAGAGCACAGGCGAAGTTCTGTACGAGTTGTCGGGACTTTGGAGTGAGGAGATGTATGTCAAGGATGTCAAGGTAAACTCTCTCAAGGCATTGCTTCTCATCACGCGGCGATTAACGTAACTTCAGACTGGGCACAAGGAAATGTTCTTCAATGCCAGAAAGTCGAAACCGAGCAGCCCTCTGGTCCGGCCAATCGAAGAGCAAGATGAGCGTGAGTCTCAGAAGCTCTGGTTGGCAACAGCTCAAGCTGTGAAGGACCGTAACCACGAGCTCGCAACAGACGAGAAGACCAAGGTCGAAGACAGGCAACGCGAGGAACGGGAAATCAGAACACGCGAAGGCATTGAATGGCACCCCAGACTCTTCCGAAGTGTGCAGGGTGGGCCTGGTGGTTCTGAGGAAGGCGAGGAAGAGTTGGAATGGATCATCAACGCCAAGATGTGCGTATCTGCCAAGGTTATCTCCTTTCGAGTTGATGAACTAACACGAAGCAGTGACAGCACGACACCGGAGGGGCAAACCGAGCAGATCCTGGCTATTTACCCCATCCTTCCAGGACAGAAGCCATCTGCGACGAACGCAGTTACTCCCCACAGACCCTCGGCGCCCGAGGCTCCGGTTGAGGAGGCTCCGGCAGATAAGGCCCCGGCCGTTCAGCAACAGGATGGTGGAAAGGACTTGATTGACTTTGGCGATGCTCCGGCAGCCACCCCTTCTGCCGCGACATTCTCCGCGCCGGCCATTCAGTCCCCGGCGGGTGAACCCCTGGCGACGCAAGAATCGCGGAGCGGGTCCAAGGACATACAGAGCATGCTCAACCAGACGGGATCGCAACCTGCCAAGGGCCCTTTGATGGACTTCACCACAGACATGAAGAAGAACGTTCCGTCACTGAACAGGGCTGACACCAGCGAGGACAGCTTTCATGATGCATTGGAGTCGAACTAAACGCGGCAAGTTCTTGCAATCAGTTGTTCCCAGGCTGTCATAAACGTGTGTCACTTTCACTTTCATTCATCATGGGAGGCGAGCCTCCGCCTAGAGAGAGAGGGAGCAAGAGGGCGTGATTACGAGTTCAGTGCACTGGCGAAAATTGGGGTTTTGGTAGAAAAGGGATACCTTTGTAGATATGTGTTGCATTGTTTACGGATCAGCAATAATGGCATTCAACTGCGATAAGCTTTTTACAGAGCTCAAAGGATTTGAGAAATGCAGGTTTCGTAGTTGCTCTTCGTTTGAAGCACTACACCTATTCTGACATGTTTTGTACATGATGCTCAGCCCTTTCAAGAGTCCCCATAATACCCGTCCTCGAAACGCCTTGAACGCCGCTCTCTCTCTTTTTTTTTTGTAGGTCGTCCAATCCCCCCGTCGAGACAAACACGAGGGTTGGGTATCAAATCAAAATTCTCGGGTCTTCGCCTCGTCCCCCTCTGGAGCCGGTAAAGACATGCCCTTCTCTTACCACCCGAAATCCCAGCAAAAGCTCCTCCTGGCGCGGCCGCTACTACTGTTCTGTTCAAGTGCCTGGCCGGAGGGCTCGACGAGAAGTCTCACAGACCACTATATCCGTAGGTTTAGACCCCGCCATGTGAGCCTGTTCGCGCTGGAGAACACCTCCGCACTGCCGCCGGTACCACCAGCACCAGTGCCAGAGCTAACCATTACCACCGCCGTCGTCTTTGATCCGCCTAGTACCGGCGGCGCGTGGGCTCCGGGGTGGGCGAGCGCGAGGGGCTGCGCTCGTCGCGACCGCGCTCCTTGAGCCACTTCTTCGTGCTGAGGGTGAGGTCGCGGTCGAGGTCCTCGGAGGGGTTCTTGCGATGAATGAAGTTGCAGAAGCCGCCGCGGACGCAACCCTCGCCCGAGTTGAGGCGGCAGCAGGCCTCGCGGAAGTCGGTAACGGGCGAGAGCTCGCAGTATATGGGCCGTGCGGCGTACCACCGTGAATTGAGGTCGTCGCAGGCCTTCTGAGCCGAGTCCTCGTACTTGAAGCGGGCGTAGACGTTTCCTATGAGGTCTGTTTTTGGACAGTTGTTCAGTATGCATATCTTGAGCAGGGAGCTATTGGAAGTCTGAAACGGGAAAGGGGAACGTACGATCATTATTGTTGTCGCACACAACCAGCTCCTCAAGCTCGCCGTACTTGCAGAGCTCGCACCAGATGTCCTCGTAAAAGGCATCGAAGTGGTTCTGCAGCTGGGACGGGTTCATGCGGTTCTTGGGGTCGTAGGCCGGGTTCTGGTAGAGGTTGGGCATGAGGATGGTCTGCGAGTAGCTCGGTTTGACGTGTTTCCGGGAGCAGCGGTCGCCATGGCGGCAGGCGCCGATCTTGAAGTAAAAGGAGCAGTTGACCTTGTCGAGCTCGGTGCCGAAGATGGAGGCGAGGAAATTGGCCATTTTCGCTGTGTTCCGAAATGGTGTTCTCGGTTGTGCTGGGTTCGGTACGCAGATTCGGTCACGATGGATTGGGTTTGCGGATAGATTGACCGTCGAAGGAGGAAAATGGGTGGCGTCGCGTTGAAATGGGTTTGAGCTGCAGAATGCTTGATCGCGACGATGCGATGGCGAGGAATTTCTAGCCAGCCTTGCGCCACGGCGATTACTAATACTGAGGCTGAAGCTTGCGGTATTACAGATGTGGCCAGTAAGCTGTGGCTCGAGCACGGGCGGGTGGATTCGAGGTGGTTCTTCTGCCTCGGTCTCCACTGATTCCCAAGAACCGGATGGATACCTACGTATCTATTGGCCATTCGTGATTTTGGTCTAAAACATTTTTTGCGGTGACTTGTTTCTCGTCAAGCATTCCTCATCAGCCTTATGACAGGATTCCTTCGATTCTCTGCAGTATTCTCTCGGAGCAACGCCTCTTAGACAACCGTGGGGACTATTTTGAGAGATTTCGGTGGTATTACCGTCCTCTAGTACGCATAAGAATCGGACTACAAGAACGTCGGTACCGTCGACGACGATCCACGGCAGAGTTGCTTCTCCAGCCACATGTTTGAAACGCGGGCCCTACCGTTAAGGGGCAATCAGTGACGGAACTCAGTCACCTTGGAGGATGAGGTGACGCCGAGAGCTTAAGAGGGCCTCTGACCGGCATGATCCTCTAGGCTAAGCGACATTTCTAGATTTGTGCGTGCGGTTGTTCTGTTGACTGATATTCTGCCCACCGCAAGTGAAGGTTCACTCATCCGATGACGATGACTTGTCGACGAGAGTCAAAACTCCGACTTGCGAGGTCAGAGCTCCAGGTCGACGGCGTCGAACTAATAAAGGGAGCAACAAACAAGCGTTCTCGTTGGTTTAATCTTGCGTAGTGTCTTCGGACGCGATGTAAATAACCAATGGCCTCCGGTGGGAAGGCATGGTGAAACTCGTCGTTGAAGGCGCTATCCTGGACCTGCCGACCAGGCGCCGCAGTCCCGCGGTCCTCGCGGGCTCGAAGGCCAAATCACCCCCCAAACCCGCTAAAAGAAACCTTCCATTCCATGGTAACTGCGAATGCGGACGTAAACCGTGCAGAGCCATTGGTGCAACTACAACAACTGGTCCCCCCACAAGTGTGAGAATGAACCCCCAAAACGACATAGAAATCAGCTGGCCAGTCGGACGCTTGCTAGGGTGTTCCCCGTTGGTCGCTGTATCCGTGCTCTCCCACCTCCTGCAGGGCAATGCGCAAACTTCCCACCCGTGCGCATGCAACGCGGACTAAGTCAACATCTGCTCTAGGTATTGCCTCGACAGCCCTCGCACGCACACCCTCCATCTCTCTCTCTCCTTTTTAGTGTACCACCACCACCTTCCAGTCCTTCCTTCTGCCCTTCTTGATTCCCGGTTTCGTTGAACACGCAATACTAAAAATTCTTTTTTTAAACCAACGATCGACGCCTCTTCCCTTCACCCATTCTCCAGAGCGATCTTCAGAGAGGTTTCCGTCCGTGTTGCATCTCGCTGACACGGACCTTTCGTCGGCGAATCCTCGAGATCGATACCCCGGACGCCCTATTACTTTATATATCCCGACCCGAATCGCTTCTTCTTCCACCACGACTACGGGCCATGACTCTGAGAACGACGGTCTCTCCCTCCTGCTGACGACCCTCTCTCTCGACACCGGTCTCCGCGCCGACGCTTAATCGTCTCGAACCCGTACATACACGTCGCCGCCATGGATCAGGCCGACATCCCAGCGCTCCTCTCGCGCCTCGCGAGCGACGAGGATGCAGCCAGAAAGATGGCCGTCTTCAAACTTCAGTCGTCCATAAACGATCCTGCATTTGCCGACGTCTTTATATCCTCGGGTGGTCTGGTTGTCCTGCGACGCCTCATCATGAGTGCGGGAGGAAACACGTTGGCGTACTCGCTGCAGAGTCTGACGCGCCTGTTGGAGGTGGATATGGGCTGGGAAATATTCGAGGGATCAGCGTCAGGGGACCTCGTTGAACGCATCGTCGAACTGATCGTCACGAACCCGCTCGTCAACATTCTCCGGGGCGCCATGTCGATTCTGGTCGCCCTCGTCGGCCATACGCAGTCGTCCCGCCCGGCGACCCCTCGCACCCCGGGCTCTTTTGGTTTCAGGGCCCTGAAACCGGCCGTCGCAGTCTACCCGCAGTTCTTTGAGCTCGTCATCGCCCAGCTCCAGTCGGCCGACCACGCGCTGTGTGCCAACGCCCTTATGCTCATCAACGCCATGATCCGGGACGCCATCTCCAGCGACAGCAGCACCTCCACCAAGTCAAACTCCCCCGCGATGGAGGAGTGGTCAAAGTTCATCAAGCGTCTTCAGGATCTTGGTCTCATCAAGGCGGTGTACAGCCTGATGCAGAGCTCCTCGCTGCAGGACCTCGCGCACCCTCTGCTCGAATTTCAGTCCCTCACCAAGGTTCTGCTGAGAAAGTGGCGCGAGGTCAGGGTTGATCTTGAGCGGCCCGAGCATAGACGGGGACTGAAGGGGCTCCATCTTGCCAGCAACCCAGAGAAGCAAGTCAACGGCGTCTCCCGAACCGACGAGCTTAACGAACTTGGCAAGAAGGGCAGCCGGCGACACAACCCTGAGAAGTGGAGGAGACTGGGCTTCGAAACGGAGAGCCCCACGCAGGAGTTCGAGGTCCCCGGCTTCTTGGGCATGATGGACTTGACAGACTATGTGCGCAAGAACGAGGACAGCTTCCAGAAGATGCTGCTGGAGCAGTCGACGAAACCGAGGAACGAGAGATGCCCAGTCGCACGGGCAAGTCTCGCGGTGACGATGATACTATACGACCACTTTGAAGTCGAGAAGTCGGACGTCGAAGACACGAAGAGTTACCAAGGCTTGGACGGTGTTAAGAACAACGAAAAGCTGTTCCGCCCGCTTCTCCTCCAGTGGTCTAGACTCCACACCGCCGGGCTACAGGCCTTCTTCCGCGTTTGGAAGTCCACGGCCGCGGAGCACTTCGATTTCGAGAAAGTGGCCGAGCTGGTCCGCATACTCGTCGAGCAGGTTGTCGGCCAGGCCAGCAGGACAAAGGACGTGTTGGAGGTTGAGGAGGAGCTCCTGGAGTACGACTGCACCCGGTTGCGAGAGCTCCAGATGGAGCTCCTGGAACTGTCATTCGAAGACCAGTGGGGCCAGCATCTGTACCAAGTCCGCGAGGAGTTGAGGCAGGAGGCTCTCCAGTTTGTCAAGGAACAGCGGATCCGATGTTTGCTTCAGGGCTCGTGGTTCTCAAAGCCAATGCCTAGGCGGGATACCAATCCTCAAAACGAATCCCAAAAGCGCCGCCTATACACACCCCGGCCTTGGCGATTCGTCAAGCTGTCTCACAACCGCCGGTACCTTCACTACGCCGACTTTGAGGCGCAAACAGCACAAGATCCAGGTCTCGACGTGTTGACGGAGAAGGTCGATCTCAGCACCATCAGTTCGGTGGTGTCCAACGTGTCAGCACCCAACGAGGAAACCCGCAGCGCGACTAGCAGTTCGACGCTCAAGAACCACGCAACGTTCAAGTCGACTACCAAGATCACCATTTTCAGCTACGCCAACCCCGTTGAGGCGGCCAAGGGCGGTGATGCGAAGGAACAGGCGATATTGACACTCTACCCGGTCACGCACAGCCTGGCTTCGGAGTGGCTTGACGGCCTCCTGATGCTGCTCAACCAGGCTCCCATCACAGCTGAGACGAACAAGCTCGTCAACCTCGTCAGCGACTTTGGGCTTAAGATCAGGCTGCTGAACGTGAGGATAGAGGCTGCCTACACCGGGCCGTCACCCGGCGCTGGGATCATTCCTAGTCGGGACGGCCTGGACGAAGACTACTTCTACGAGGTGTGAGGCTATGGGCGAGGCTCAGGGCAGGGGATGATTTCCGTTTCTTCTCATTAATTTCCTTTGTGATGCTAGTTTTTGGCTTACATATACCCGCGTTCTTCTCTTGCACATCTGGCCAGAGATGTAACGAATGGTGCAGGGGACGATACTTTGCAGCAAGTTGCCTTGGCTGCCTACAACGTGCATAGCGAGCGGTTAGTTTGCATCGTTGGCCATGGAGGCTTGAATTCGGTGGGCCACTTATCCACCCCTGAGGTGGCGGGAAAGTAGCGAGGAGGCTGCATATAGGGATGGTTGTTTGTGTGTTTATAGCTATGTGGGCAGGGCTCTCATACGATCATACCCCTGAAAGCGCAGGTCTTGAGGACTCGCTCAGGTGCATTCTAATACCAAGTCGATATTTTACAGAGCAACTTGCTATATTTCCATTCCATACTGCGACGAGGTTGGCGATAGGCGTGCAGGATGCCGTTCAGTTGTAGTTCGGAGGGTGCCACTGCATCAAGTGGCGTTCACCAACTCGGACTGCGGAACAACTTTACATGCAGTGTTGACGGCTGAAGGCGTCTCCTGAACTTCGCGGAGTGTAAGAAGACAACCGGGACTCATGTAATGATCAGAATCGAAGTTGTTTGTACGCGGAACCTAGGCGAAAATGCGAAAGTAAAACGACTACAGGAGGGTCTCTTGTCTGCCTCGCATACAGGGGTTCAACGGGCGGTAGCGCGCTGCAGAAGGTACCGCTGCGCTGGGTAAGCTTCCGTCCCGCCGAAGGACCCCAGAATTGCCCGGCGGCCCCATCGCTCCACTCGGTTACTCCCCCAGCCCCTCAGATAAATGCAGCTGCGCTGGCGGGGGCAAGTCCCCCAATTTCAGCCCGCCCGCCGTCGGCGTGTCGATCCAGCGTCTGTCTGTCTTTCCAAGTCTGGGTACACGCAGGCTTCGAGTCCTCACGGTCCCCTTGCGAGAGACAACCTGGACGCGGACGACGAAACAAACACGAAAACGTCGCCCGAGCTTTTCAGAAGGAACAGAAAACCAAACGGCCAGAGATCTGCAGGGACCAGTTATGACATCACCCCCGTGACCGCCTGCCGCTGGAACCAACAACCTCCCCGGACAACCAGAGCCTTGACCCCAAAAACCACCCCATGGTCCGCCGGCTCCCGTGGACCCATCCGCACCTCAAAGTCGGCCACGCCGTCCAAGAAAAAGCAACGCCCACGGCAGCAGCCACCGCCGGTACTCCGACTGCCATCAGAAGCAACACCATCCCCCATCTGTTTGCAAAGATGGTCTCCCGAACACCCCGCGGCGGCCGGCGGCTCACGTACAACAGCAACTACAGCCGCGGAAGCGGAGGCGGAAGCGGAAGCAGAACGTACACCCCAAAAAGCAACCGACACACCGCCGGCGACGCGGGCTCCTCCCCGTCGCCCCCTCCGTCGCAGAAGAGGCGCCTCGACGGGCTCTACCTGGAGGGGAACTGGTACTGCAACTGCACGCCGCGGCAGCAGGCCTCGCACTTCCAGGTGAAGAAGAAGAACGCAAACCACGGGCGGTTCTTTTACAAGTGCGAGAAGAGAAGGGGCGGGTGTAACTTCTTTCTCTGGGAGGAGGATGCGAAGAACAGGGCCGAGGGGACCACGTTGACGCTGCCGCCGGTGCCGACGGATGGCGCGCCGGCTGCCGGGACGACCCCGACGACGCAGGTTCCGACGCCGCGTACGGCTTCAGTCGTCAAGATCGGCGCTTGGCCTACGACCGCGGCGCCCCCAACTGTCATGGAAGCGCCGCCGTCGCCTTCGGCGCAGAGGAGCGCTGCCAGGCAGAAGTTCCTGGACACCTACTTCTCGGCCCGGCCCACGCAAGCTCCCATCGAGGCACACGGTCCGCCAGGCGACGGTGGGACCGGGGCACCGTCCCGCACCGCCAAGAGGAAGAGGGTGCTGTTCGACTTCGACTCCGACGGCGGCGAGGACGAGTACGGGCTGGGAGACGTGTCGTCGGACGAGGAGAGGGCGATGAACGAGGCCATGGAGCGTAGCGCGAAGAAGCTCCGCGAGGTGGCGCCGCCGATGCCATCTACGCCCGCAGCGCAGCGTGTGGTGCGGGACGCGGCGCTTCCCACGCCGCAGACGGTCACCCGGACGCTCTTTCCCGACGCCAAGCGCCGGAAACCCGACGACGCTGGGAGGGCTGCCGGCCGTTTCCCCGGCGCGTCCTCGGCGATCGTGGGCGCAGGGCCGTCCCCGTCGCCCCCGGCGTCGACGCCGTCCAAGGAAGAGGAACAGCTCGACCCGACCGAGGAGGTGTTGGCCTTGCTGGCGGGGCAGAAGGTCGACGACGCGGCGGCGCGGGGCGTCAGGGACGTGCTGCGGCGGTTCTCGATGAAGGCCAAAGGGCTGGCCAAGGGGCGGGAGACGGTGCGGGCGGCGTTGAAGGCCAAGGACGAGAGGATCGCGGAGCTGCAGGAGCGGGTGGCGAGCTTGGAGGCGCGGAACCGGGTGCAGAGGGAGGAGATTGCGGATTTCAAGGCGGGCATGATGGATTTGTACTCGAAGCACTGATGGGTTTTGGGGTTATGTTGGGCGACTAGGGATGGAGTTTGGATTCGAGGATACCCCCGCGTTACGTTTTCCTGTGGCGTGTAGATGGAAGCAATGATGAAGATGCATTCTTCAGTGTCGCTGCTTGCGAGTGTCCGTTTGAGGCCCTCGCGATACGAGCCTTCTTTGATTTCTACACCCGCAGGTGTCGTGTGCCCTTGAGTCTGCCTCTCTCCATTGACCCGTTCTCATCCGTCATGCTGCTAATAGCTACAAGCTACCGTCTGATTCACTAATCGTACTTTGAACCAAATAAGTAGCCTGACAATTACCACGTTGTTCCCTCACGCAACATTTCCGCGTTTCTGCACGGCTGGCTGATGAAGCTTTCAAATGATAGTTTCTGACCCTGTCCGGACCCGCATAGTCCTCCTCTTCATCACCGTTTTCCAAGTGGTCAGGTGCCCCTATATTTTGTCACATCGCGGGTTCGACAACAATTCCAGATTCCACTACGACTCGGGACTCGGCTTGCACACCTATGCGCGCAGTGTAAACCGCACCCGTCGGCGCGGCTTTCGTGATCGGAGCAGATGAAACGGCCTGGAGTCTCTTTGTTCAATGTCATATTCGTCGTACAGCCAGAGGGCTCCCGTGCACGGTTGGTTTCGGACGTGATCAAACAATAGGGCCAGATGACGCAGCCTCCATCGTTCCATCGGCATTTTATACATGGCAGAAGGGATGTATAGCACTGACGTGGCATATATTAGGAGCCTGGGCCTATACGAATCTCAATGCAGGATCGATCAGATGGGAAGACGGGTAGCATCGCAGATCGAACGCCGGTGTGAGCATCAACCCGTCAACATGATACTTGGCCGACAAAACGACTTATAAGCCTCCATCTTTTAATGAATCACTCCGCGTCACTCGAGGCATGCGGCTAATGTAGAACCTCCAAATAGATTTAGGTATTGTAACAACACGCCATACAAACGCCGTGTTAATGGGGCTTGGTACCCTCAAATGTGCCAAACCCAATTCCACCAACCCAACCCTTGTGTATGAACCCAAGTTACGAGCCAGGGGATATCATGCTTCTATAAAGCTTACTGGGCAAGAACTTCACGCAACATGACAAGGAAGTTTTCCTTGAGCTTGTGAACCTCGGACACGGGCGGCTTGGCCGGTTCGCCGGCGCTCCGGCGAAGCCTATCGCGTCTCTTGGCACGACGACGGCGCTCGGCCTCAATAGGGTCGAGCTCGTCCTCCTCCTCTGCGTCCTCTTCCTCTTCATCATCGTCGTCATACGCCATGTCTTCCAAGTCCATCTGGTCAAGACCGAAGTCTGACGATGAGAAGCCCGTGGGCGCAAGGTCCGGACCTCCGTTTCCTTCAGCAGCCATCTTCTGACGCGTCTTGTCGTGGTGCCACTTCTTCCTGGCCTCTTGCCATGCGATGAGCTGGTTGACCTCGTCGATGACCTTGTCCTTTTCAATGATGCCCGAGCTAACGCCTCCCTCGAACAGCGCATTGATATTCAAAGTGCCATTCTTGGGGCCTTTTCTGAGGAATTCCAGAATGTCTTCAATCCAGCCCATCAACTGGTCGAAGAGTCCGTTGTCGTGAGTGTGGACCTCGTGCACAAACTTGTAAAAGTTGTGCTCGTGTCTCTGGCAGAGATCAATAAACGCCTGCACGGTCTGGTTCGGGTCCGCCGATGCATCCTGCTCCTGGCACTTCTCCACGACCTGCAATGCCTGTTAGCAGATGTCCGATCATAGCCTGTGAGTTTGCCTACCTGAATCATGTCATCGATGAACACAGCGAAGTCAGTAACGCTGCTGTAGACATTGGCTGACTTGTAGACCCGGACGAGGGGTTCGTAGAAGATGGTGAAGAGGTCGCGGAAGAGCTGGAGCGTGACCGGCTCCTCCACAAGCTGCAACATCATGGCCTTGTCGTGCTGCCTGGTGCAGAGCTTCAAGAACTGCTTGAGGTAAGAGAACAGTTGAGCACCCTGCTTCAGCTCCTCGTCAATGTTCTCGACAGCGTTGTTGAAAGCCACGTAGGCATTGTAAAGTCGGCCAATTTGTTCCGACGTCAGACTAGGCTCAAGGAAGTCAGAGCGCAGAATGACAACAATCAGGTCCATATCCTCGGCAGCGGCCTCTTCCCGAATAGCGAGCTTGATGTGTTCCTCTGCCTCCGTGTACATCTTCAGCTTCCTCGTGAAAGCCTCGTCGCCGATCTTAGCGGCAAGAGTGTCGATGGATCTCTGGAAGCTCTTAATACCGTCGTTGAGAGTAAGCGAAAAGATGCGCTGCAGTAGCGAGCGAGTGCCGAAAGGCTGTGCCAGGAAGATATCCAAAACGCCAGACATGACGGCAGCTGGGTTGGCAATCCTAATGACATTCTTGATGACGGTATACGGGATGAGCGAGTGGATCCTCTTCGCCTGAGCGAACAGCTCGGGAGAGTTGTCCTCCGCAAGGAACAGGTGGTATATCGTTGCAGCAACCTCAATCCGGAGCCACTCGGCAAACTTTCGGTACTGGATGCTGAGATCCTGAATGGTCTCCTTGTCCTTGATCTCCTTGAACAACGATGTGAGACCATTGCGCTCGACGATCTCTTGACGGAATCTGAAGTTTGTTAGTATTTTGGTCTCAAATTAGCGTACAAGGCAACGTACTCTTCCATGTATATGTCGAGCTCAGCGGCGCGCTTCCTTGCAATCTCGTAAAACTTCTTCTGCTCCTCTACACGCATCGCATCGACCGCCTTTCTCCGCTCGATGTCGTCAATGTCGGCATCGGTCGGTGTAATCGGGTCCCTCGTGAGGAACTCCTCCATGGCCTTTGTTTGCGCGATCTGAGGGTTCGAGAGCAGGGTACGGATGAAAGCTCGGAGAGAGACGCGCTGGCTCTCACGCCACAACGTCACCTGCTCATGTCTCTTTCCGTGGAATGGCAGGGGGCTCTTGGGTCTGCTGTCAGTGGATACGCGAGGTGAGTTGCGACCGGAGGTGGTAGAGGCTGCGCGTTTGTGTCCTGGTTCTGTAAGAAACTGTACAAATATGGAAAGGGGGGAGAGCTCACCTAGCACCGACAACTTGGAGGGCTCCTTGTCATGCGGTGTAAGGCCAGTCATCATAGTCGACACGGACGACACGGACGATGCAGAAGAATCAGGACTGCCGCCACCGGTCAGGGAGGAGAACAGCCCGGAAGTCGTTGTGTCCGACTTGTTCTTTTTGGGCAACGTGGGCAGAACCTTGCCCGGGAGTTCAAGGCGTAACCTCTTATGCAGCCTTACGAAATCGCCGTACCGCCTGCCGATGAAGAACTCGAGCTCGCCCTTGCGATGGATACGCATGATGAACTCCTACACACTACGTTAGTGACCGCCCTACCCAGCAATAACGAGAGTAGACTTACAGCGTGCTTGTGCGATCGAATGGTCTTCCTCTCCGTCGTGATTCTGACGGCGGCAATGTTGACATCCCAACCGTTAATATAGTTGCCCTCGGGCAGAGCGTTCAGGACACCCGTGTCGATGGCATTGCTGTCTACGACCTCGATCTCGGAAAAGCGTATTCTCTCCTCGAAACCGGAGGACGTCTTGCAGCCGGACACCATCATCAGCTCGACAAGCTTCTGGCATTTAATCGCCAGCTTGCGCCGCTTGGTCTCTTCTAGTCTATCTTCGGAGGACGAAATGTTCTTGGTCGCAAAGGATTCTAGGAACTGCGGATAGGGGAACACCAGTGAGTCAGCGCAACAGTTTCCGGGTGAGGCAAGGCGCTTCCGGGCCGCGGGGGAGGCCTTTGGACTTACCACCTGGAGCTTGTCCTGCCAGAACTCCTTCTCTCGGGCCTTGTCGAGGAAGGGGAAATCGCGAACATGATGGACAAAGATGTAGCGCAAGATGGGAAGCTCCGAGTCCAGAGGAGAGACCTCTCCGACGTCAGATTTAAAGGGGGCGCCGAATCGCTTGAGGGCCGTGGGGGAGTTGAGCTCGGAGATTTCGTACTTGACTTGCTCTGAAATCAGCTCGCGCTTGAGGTCTAGGAGAACGAAGGGTCAGCCAAATTCCGAATAATTCTTTTCATGCCAGCGGCAACCGGATGAGCGCGTACAGTGTTCCTGCTTGCCCGTCAAGGATTGGCCCGGCGGAGGAATGGACATGTTGCTCTTTGAGCGGAGGGAAAGCTCATTCCTGGCGGCCGGGGCTGGGGCCGCTTGCGCCGGGTCTACAGCAGCGCCATTCTGCGGTTGTTCTTGCGATGTCGAAGCCATCAGCGCCGTCTTTTGCGTTGTTGAACCGCTCTCAAAGCTGGCAATGCGGTCGTAAAGTTCCTCTTGTTTTGGTGCCAAGCTCGTGGAGAGGTGAGGAGTGTTGCGGGTTTGGGAGGAGGAGGACTCTGTCGGAGGTGTCGAGAAGGTGGACAAGCTGACTGGCGTCAGAGCAACAGCTGGGGTGAGTGCGAGCGAGAGAGAGGGACCCGACGTAATAATCAATTTACGGAGGTAGGGGGGGACTGGCAGGGTAAGGTACATGGAGACTGTGCACCACGTACTTGGTAAGCAAGGTACCTAACGTAAGGCAGGTGGGTGGTGGGCACGAGCTGGGACCCAAGGTGTGCGGCAGATCCAATGGGTAGGGCGCCGGGTGCGGGCCCAGATCCCAGTGGGGGCGCAGGCCGTAGGTAGTGTACTATGTAGGGTCACTCGACGTAACGCGCGTATGGCGGGGTAGTTTACAGGGCCTTCTTTGCCGCCCACAGCTCTTGCAAGTGGCAGTGAGGACGGTGGACGGCACAGCTGTTGGCAGTCAATGCTGCCGTCGCGGGGGCCTTTCCAGGTTCACGTTGGGTTCGAAGGAAGGGGAGCCCGGCCAATGCCTTTTTTTAGGCCGTGTCCCAAACCGCTTAGACTTTAACTTCGTGTGCTGTTCTTGCCGCCTTTGGCATGATTTTTACTCGTCTTTTTTTTTCTGGGCCCCCCTCGTCTGCCTCAGACCAGATGCCCTCTTCCCGGTTTTCCGATTGCTCTTTACTTGCATAGGGAAATGTTGGGCTTCCGGAGCCAGTCGACAGGTCGCGGCGCAGCGACACCGAAAGAGACAAGACGAATTGAGCTCAGAGCTCGGAGAATCTGAAGCAAGGGTCCCGCGAGTGATGGGGGTATGTACTTTTGGGAATATGCAGCAATACGCAAGGTGTCAGTCAGCTGCGCAGAGGCGTAGGAAAGGCAAGAGGAGAAGGATCGGTATGTTTTGATTCCTCTCGCATCAGCCCAGCGCAACGGACATCGGGATATCTTAGCTCGGAGAGACGGCACGCAAGCGTCGTTTGGCGAAGAGAAGGGGGGGAAACACTGACCAAAACAGATCAAACGAAGCAGGGGGGCGGGAGAAAAAGCAAGGAAGCAAGGCCCGTAACACGCGGAAGTACCCTAAAAAGACGAAGAGCGTTTTGGACTCGACTTCTCTCTCCGGCGTTCAGACTTCAGGGTCTTGGTCTTGCCGGAAGGCCCTGGCCGTGATGCGAGGTGACGATTAGTTGGTGCGAATAAGAGTGAGTGTGAGCGTGAGCGTGAGCGTGAGATACATGGTCCTCCAGGAGCACCCTCCAACAGCGGCAGGGGAAAGGGGGGAAAAAGCTGGGAAGAGAAGGGAGGGAATTGGGTTGGGTGTCAGTGATGTCCGAGTTGCTGTCACTGCGCAACAGCCAGAAAGGCCAAGCCTTTTCACTCCCGCGTGCTTTTCCCTTCTCGTTCCCATGGTGTGGGTGTGGAGGCTGCCGAGTGCGCCTGACTGTTGAGTGATGTTTTCTCGAACGAATCTAGCCACCGCAGCCAACCAAGCCCCCCGGCGCAATGCCTTAAACCCCAAGAATTGAGGCCCGAGTGACGCTGAGAGAGCGCGGCGATGACTGGTCGTCTATGGAGTTGGTTGCTGTCGAATATTGGCCATGGGGGGGTGGTGCATGACGTCGCGCGTCACCCTCCTCCGACCTACCATCAGTCATTAGACCTGGAGCCGAATGCCGAGACAAGAACTCTAGACATGGACACGACGGACGCAACACCCACTAATCACCTTTACCTCGCTATGCAACCGTCATTCTCATAACATAGCTCACACACCTCAGCCACAGTACCTCGTTAACCTCCCACTCCAGCTCTGGGCACTCCACCACATCTGGCCTGGGCCGTGTTATCTCAACTGAGTTCAACTGATGTCTCCCTGCCACCTTCTGACTCTCGTCCCGTTGTAGCATCCGCGGCCATCATGGAAGGTCTTCGCAACCAACAGTGCAGCTAGTCCCTTACCTCATCGGGTTGCAGAAAGGAGTGAACATGACTTGCAGAAGTTGCACCATGCAACCATGCAGGCGTGTCACTCATTGACTCATTGGCCCCAAATTCGAGCCCGGCAGGAAAACCAACAACCGCCATGCGAAAACCATAACCCCACTACGGAGGCGCTGTTTACTGTCAGCCTTGAGCTTTGCTGTGGCCAAGGCCGCAGACGCGCAATCATTATTGCCATTGCGCCTTGGCTCCGGACGAGACCGAACCGCCCTATGGGGCATTCGACGTCTAGCGCCTGGTGGATCCTCCCAATACTGCGCTTTTCCCTCCCTTTCACAGACGGAATGAAATTCCACGGCCCTTTTTTTTTTCCCTTATTTTCTTCCTTTAATGATGTCCCGTCCCCGCCGTATCCACTTGGCAATAGAGGTCCAACCGTTGGTTGCGCTGGCCATGTCCTCATTTACTTTAGTTCATTAATCAAGGCCGGCCGTTGATGTTGCTAAATGGAGTTTTTTTTTGTTTTTTTAACCCTTTCCGATCCTACACACGCCAAACCCTTTTGGCCCCGCGATGCGACAGAAGCTCGACCAGGACAGTGCTTCTGGATCCCGCGGCCGGCGGGAAACTTTTGACTTACCACGCACCTCTGGCGCAGCTTCCATTCCATCTAGCTCGTGAAACGGAACCGTCTAAAGACGTGACACGCTGCAACACCTGCGCCTATCCGGGTACGGGGTGCCGGGACGCCCAGGACGTGGACGCGCGGGTGTGGGTCGCGCCGTCGGTGCTCGGAGCGGCGCCCATTCGGGGGATCATTGCAAAAAAAAAAAAGAAAAAAATTACATCCATGGATGGATTTGCATAATCCTCATTTCAGCCGCCGCTCGGCCTGCCCGATTCGTAGGCCCGCCAGGACGGGATGCCACATAGTGTCGCATAACACCTCGGCCGTTCGAGCGACTGCCGGCTTGGTGACTCCGGACTACCTACCCAGGCTGCAGTCCGACTAGCTTTGATGACGAGATGCGATGGTTGAAAGTCTGTCAGCGTCATTCACTCGTACCCGCTTCCGCTTTCCCGCCGGGGCAGAACGGACGGGTCAGAGCTTCTCTGATGGTGTGGAATTAACTGACGCTGGCAAACTCATCTAATCGTCGTACTTTCGTACTAAATACGGATTGGTGTGTTGATCCAAGCAGTCGGCGTTTCGTTTCGTTTCGTACTTTTCCGTCAGCTTCATACCAGCCAGGTTGAGTTCGGGCAAAGCAACTCGCTAACTGGCTGGTTCGCATTATCAATACTGAGCCCATGAAGTGGATCGAATGTGAAGTCAACGACACGGCGCCTGTGGACAACTGCTTGTCGCACTTGTGGGGAGCACTGTAGGCCAGATATCGTATAGCCTTTGCCGGGTGTGAAGGAAGGAACGAGGTCGGAGCTGCTGCGAAATCGAGCGATGAACCCAGACACTCAATTCGTTGCATGAAATCTGTCGACCAAATGGGTTGAACTATACCTATGTGAGAACCTAAGCCGACTTGGAGGGGTGTATTACAGGCAAGGTTGCAGCTGGCAACGTCGTGACATGAATATTTGTAGCACCGTAACTCGCCAACCGATGGTGGCTACATAACCCCCCTTTTCCATTACCTTGGGATCATTTCGAGCCAGCCTCAGTGTTACATTGTATCCCTGCGGCATGTTCAAGCACAGACGCGCCACGTATGTACCATCGATTTTGAAGCTTATATAGAGTCTAGCATTCTGGAGGGATTGCCTGCCTTTCCCCACGTGGCCGCCTCTTATATATCGATATGTAATATCTCATGATTGTTGAATACATATAAGCAGTGTCTAGTCCGGACCACCAGGTTGTCACGGCTGCCGGCCCAGCCGATTGGTGCCTCGAGCTGCAAAAGACATTAAACACCGGTCTCGAATAGCATACCCCCCCTCCCCCAAATCAAGGACGCAGGATAGCTCACTGTCCGGACAACATGAGACCCCACTATATAGACATATATACTCGTAAACCAATAACAGAGCCTGGTTCAAGATATCCGATCCGAACCCGGTCTCCCGGAGGCAGATCCCAAAAGATAGCATGGTGCTGGTCGAGGGAACATGCCCAAGAACGACATCCAGCAAGGTCATCCAACGGCTGTAGGATGAATGATGAAACGGATAACCTCTAATTGATTCCAACTCTCATCAAATCCCTGCTCGAGTATTTCCCTCGACTTCATGAGAGCCTCGGCCGGGGCACAGGGGCGGCCATGGGTGACGTGAAGTGCCCATTGCGTTGGTCGCTGGAATCTCTAGTAGCTGACTATATACATTCCGAGTTGACATAGTTCACCAACATTTCAGAACAGCCGTCGACCGGGTCAACCGGTTCGTCACTGATGCCATTCTATAAACTGCTCCAGTTTAGCAGAGGCAAAAGCAAGATAAAGTAGTACAGACATCCCAGATCATTTGATATTGTGTTGGAAGATTCGTCCAAGGCGTCAAGTAGAGGAAGTCAATGTTTCTTCCTCAAAGGTAGACGCCAGGAGAAACCCTTCTCAACGCGTATCGTTTGCTATACGATAGGAAAAGTAAAAGAAATAAGTCAAATAGCCGACCCGCTCCAAAAGGCCCTGACAAGGTCAGGAATGGCACAGGGGTAGCGACGGCCGTTGGCCAACACAGGCTTTACTGGTGCCATTTCCCCGAAGCCTCTCGATAGATAGGGGGCAGATCTCCTTTCCTGTCCCAAATGCCAGTAGGGCCAACTAATGTTCTGGCACAGGATGGGGGGTGAACTCGCGGCGAGCCCGTCGTGATTCACAGAACCCTCGATAGCCGCTCAATATTCCCCTCGTCTATCCTTGGACACTGGCAAATGTTGACTTGTTTACCTGCAAACATCCTGCTACACACTACTCTTGACACATAGACTCCCATTTTGGCCTGCACTTAGGGGATGAACTCGACTGGAGCAGATTGTTACACAAGCATACGTGCGAGTTCGTGTCCTCGGCTCAGATCACAACACTCTCACGGGCGACGCACAGGTGGTATGGCCAAATAACAATGTCTTTTCTTCCGGGTATCAAATATTAGTATGCAATAGCCGCGATGCAATCCCCGTCCCTCTTGCAGTCTGCAAACACCACGCTCTCGAGAGTCTTCACAGCTCGTCAAACACCCTCAACCGGTCCTCCTCCTCCCTCCTGTTCCTATCCTCCCACAACGGCGGCAGAGGCTTCTCCCTCGCCCCCTTCTTCCCCGGCACCCCCACACTCCTGTTGAGCTCTCTCTCAACGCCCTTCAACCCCTTTCCGGCATCCATCTCGCCGCCGCCGCCGCCGAGGTACTGCGCCCCGGCAAACAAGAGTATCAGCACGGCGAACACGACTGACATGACGATCCACATCGTCCGCAGCCTCTTGCGCGTCTTCTCCTGCCACTCGCGGTCCGCATTCTCCCACCCCTCGATACGCCGCCTCACAACGTCGACGCGCTCGCTCAGCCCCTGGATCCGCGTCCGCCCGGCCTCGATCCGGCCCTGCAGCGACTCGATCCGCGACTCCTGCTCGCCAAACTGCCCAAACTGGTCGAGCTGCGTCGCCACGTCGCGCGACATCTCCTCGGCCTGCTCCACGAACTCGCCCGTCAGCTGCCGCGAGGCCACCGTCAGCTCCTGGATCGCCGAGATGGTGCTCTGCAGCATGCTCTTCTTCTCCAGCACCGAGTAATACGTCTCGTCGAGCCGCCGCGTCGTCGCCGTCGAGAATCCGCTGAGCTCGATTAGTGAGTTCTTTAGGCCCCTGATGTAAAAAAGACGTATGGTCAGCTTCGTGCGCCGGTTGCATGGCTCTCCCGGCAGAGGGATATACGTACGTCGCCCGGCTCGCGGTCCGGTTCTTCTCCTCCGACAGCGTGGCCACCTTGTCGGCCTTCCTCGTCCTTCCAGGCGGCGTAACCAGAGCCGGATTCTCCCCGCCCCCAATCATCGGCCCCACGAGCGCGCTGGTCCTTCGGCTCGAATCCGGGCTCCTGCTGGGCGTCACATGCTCCGACCTCGTCATGTCGAGCGAGCTCCGCCCGCCCGCGCCGGGGCCCGGCGTCCTCTCGTCCAGCAGCAGCAACCTGTCCCGGTCCCGTCGACTCTGGGCGTTGAGGTGCAGTGCGTGCTGCGTCGGGTGGTGGTGGTGACTGTGCCGGTGCCGATGCATCCTAAGCGTCGGCGAGATCTCGGTGATGGAGCGCGTGATCTGGTGCCGCGGTCGTCGAGCGGGGAGGAGAGCGGCGGCGGCGGCGGTCGCTGTTGCGGTAGTGGCAGCGGTAGCTGGAGGCGCCGGGGCCGGTGCGGAAGCTCTCTTGTCGTGTTTGCTCTTGCTGCGGACGTGACTGCTGCTGCTGCTGCTCTCGCCGTTGCCGTAGTTGAAGGTGAAGTTGCTGATGGCGGCTGCCGTCGCCAGCGTCGAGGCCGACGGCGACGGCAGCTCGAAGCCGTGGGCGCTGCCGCCGTTGGCGGACATGGTTTCACCCTGTTCTTGTCCCCCCTTCTTTTGGTGTAGTCAACCCCCTTCCAGGGAGTTTGAAAGGGCGTTCTGCCGCGGCCGCCGCGCGCAAGCCGCACACGCCAGCGAGTGCGCAGCCGCCGACCAAGCGGTTTTTGGGATGGCCCAGGTGGACTTTTTGCCTCCGACTGGGAAGGTCAATGCTTCGAGCGGAATACGGGCAAAGCAGACTTTTGGTGGCTGTTTCCTTGCAGTTGGAGGGAGGACGCGGTGTGGAAAGTTGTGGAGGTGGAATGTGCACGGTGTTTCGCCGCGAAAGCTGGCCGCTTGTTCTCCCTCGGCCAATGACGCACTTTCACATGCGGCCATCCCCGGGGTCCTCCCCCGTTGTCATGAAACGTCGTCTGAACATCACGACTAGCACTCCCCCGAGGTCTTGCAAACTGTTGGCCAGAAACCCAAAAATATGGACGGCTCCATGCCATACGCTTATTGTTTCTATGTAACTATGAATCGAACGCGTGTTTGGCTCGGTTCCGTCTCCGTCATCTGGCCTTTTCGATCCGATTATTCCAGGTGAAAAGCTCGGATGGGTAGCCTCATCGGGCTACGTCTCTGTGCTACAGAATGTGCACATGGTTCGATGGGATTAGCTCATCCTCCTATCCACCTCTCACCAGCCCCGAGTCCAGCCCTCGCGTGTGGTTGCTCGCCGGCCCGTGTGTCGCTTCTTTGTCGCAGCCTCGTGCCTCCGCGGAGAGCCGCCTTTTCCAACATAACGTTCGCCCTCGCATGAGCCCCTGTAACATGTATTCTGTTCGCCGAGCTGTGCAAATTCGGGCGCGGTAGACCCAACTCCTTCTTCCCTTTCCCGAATGTGTTTCGTTCGGTATTTGTCATGGGGGGATAGGTGCTACCTCTCCTAAACGTTGTCGGCGCCGAGATTCGATCGCAGTGCCCGCTCCGACAGCGGTCTACCCGCAACGCAGCTCATGAGTTGATGAGCTTGTTTCGCTTCTCCTTCCTCTTGAGTCTCTCAACACGCTTCTTGTGCATCTTCTCGGCCATCTTCTCGTAGCGCTCCTTCTCCTCCTTGGCCGCCCTTCTGTCCTTGATGGTCTGGATTCGTTGCTGAACCCACTGTCAGCTTCATCTTGTGACGCTGTTCGACTTGGCTGGGCAACTCACCTTGCGCTCTGCTTCCTTCTCGTCCTTCATCTCCTTCTCCTTGGCCTTCATCGCGGCCATTGCGACGCGGTCCTTGGCACGCTTCTCGTAGGAGGTTAAGCCTGAAGTCGGCCTAAAAGCCTTTTTCGTTTCGTGCCATTGTTTGCCTGAAGGGAGAGGGTTAGTTCATCAGGTGCCAGTCGCCCAAGAATGGAGGTGATCAGATACCATTCTTCCGCATGCCAAGCGGCTTGTCGCCAGTGGCAGTGTTGGTTTGGGGTTCCGCAGCAGACATGGTGACAGACTGTTGAAGAATTGCGGGATCCAAGTTGTAGGAACGTTAATTTGCGTAGTCGAGATTCAATGTTCTGCAGATGGCTCGAAATTTGCCATGTCGGGACAGAAAATTTCTAGGTATGTCTGATTGGAATGCGGCGGGTGGGGGCAAGGCTGTCGGTCAGCCAGTCAACCAGCCAGTTCAAGCATGCGTGGCGGTGCATCTCCATAAATTAAGGATCCGTGCATGTGGCTGACAAGATTCTGCTCCAAGGGTCCTTCTCCGCCTGGAAGCTAGGGGGTGCGTGGGAATGCACACCAATTGATTGACCAGTTTGCGACAGCAGCAGCATCAATGCGACCAAGAAGCAAGGGAGTGTGGACACTGACTGACGGCAAGTCTCCGACTTCCCGCTGACGAACCACGATGGGCAACACTTGAGGCAACCTATTTTGATTCGGTTGTCGGAGGCTGACTCGGCTTACATCCCATTATTGCATGTTGGATAGATCATGTGGGAGGCCTTCCGGCCGAACCTCTTGACATCTTCAGCCGTTTGATATGATGTCCGGGATTCGTCCCGAGATTGTTGACAGAGTTCTCTACCCGTCGATAGATTTGTTTCAACGGTCGTGGCTTAGGGCTGGGCCTGTCTTTGAGACATTACGTCGGGTTGTGCCTCGGAGAAGCCCAGCTTCAGCCGGGTGCTGGCATGGACATGGATGCTTCTTGGTGGCAGAGATGGTGCTGACGGTTGAGCATCCAACGGGGCGACGATAATTAACCAGACAGATTGCGCTTGCAGTTCATTCACCAGCCCTAGCCAGATGACGGCTCATGTCCACAGTTTCGGTGGCGCGCGAGGCTGCCGAGATGATCTAGGCCGACATTTTTCTTCTTCCAGTTGCCAAGTTGCTCAGTAATACCAGATTTTGGAGTCGTGATCCCTGTTGCGGGATTCAATGGAAAGGGCTTCTAGTGTAAGCGTGCCTCGTTATGCTAAACTTGGATATCCCAGATGTTGACCCCAGGTTCCCGACGAGAAAGCCTCTAATGATCCTCAATGATGATTTCCTGACCAGCAGAGCAGGGGTATCAATGTGAATATTGACGGGGGATCGGGTACAGATTCAAGGCTTTGGACAGCTGGCACAGACTTTGAACCACGGCGGTATCCAGAATTTGTGATGACTTGGCCACCGCTTCATTACCGAGTGCGTGGGGTTGCTGCTGAAAGCGGCAGCAGGTCATCTTTCAGGCGAGATTAGTTTGGGTCATCCGCAATTCAACCGGATCCGGTGCGCTCTGATTTGCCGCCAACAAACCGTTGCCGTCGACGGAGGGGCCACTGTCCACAGGCTGGCGTGGGCAAGGAGGGATGAGTATTTTAAGAACCATTTGACAGATCGGATCGGATACGAAACGATGCAAGTCAGGATGTTTTGGGACGGAGCCGCGCTTGCAATGACTGACGAGTCCTCAAGAGAGGTTGGGGAAAGAAACATTGAACAAGGGGAACACGACGAAATAGGAACCTGCCGGGGACTGGACATCCCGGTCTGGTGGAGATGGGGTGCCAGCCAAGGAGGCAAAGCATCATCACGAGGAGGATTTTGTTCCCCTGCCGGGAGATGAGGGTCTCCCAAGGGGGTAACTGTTCCTAATTTTCCCATGCAAAGTTCCTGTCGTCGCTCGTGGCAGGTTTGGTGCGACGAGGCATGTCATCGGCTTCAAGGTTTCAACACGGCATCGCCGCCTGAGTTTGCCAACTGATGTGCCTACCTACGCCGTGCCGTGCTGTGATAAGTGTCGGCCAATATTCCAGCGCGTCGAATCAAGGCGATATCACTCGATTCGTTATCAAGCAGACATGTCTCTTTCTGTCCACAATTGGTTCGTCGCGTCATGCAGGCCCGTCTGTACACACTGCGAGTTGCATTCGCTTGGTGGATTTGGGTGCGACCTGGCGATTGACAGGCCAGATTCTGGTTGGTGGTTGGAGCGACGCGGAGGCGCGGAGGTTATCATTTGCATATGCGCTGCAGCTGTACCTGCAACTCTCAGGGTGAGTACAGCACGCATATGGAGCGGTTTTGGAAAAAGCATCATTGCGTGGTAGGCCGGCAACGGGCGGGAGTCTGTTTGTTGATGGCGCTTGTCGCAATGGGCGACTCGAAACAATTGAAGGATCAAGAGCTGAGGACCAGGCCACTAATCACCCTAGGCGTTGGGGGAGCTTCGCCTCTTTGTCCTCCCCTTGTCGCGGACTCGCGGGGTGACGGCGCCGTCGCACAAAGAAACGTTTTCCTGTTTCCATTGGGGCTGGGTGAGCGTTGAACGAAGCTAAGAGAGCCGGCCTCAGGCTTGGGAAAAGGCTGACGGACCGAGTCGTTCTCATCAAGCCGTTTTCTCCGTACTGGCTAGATCCGAAGGCCGCCAGAGTTTGCGACTGAGTCAAGATGAGGCTCCCAGCCATAGCAACGATAACAAATCAGACTTCAAAGTTATGCCGCATGATACTCTTTTTGTTCCGCTGCAAGTGTGGATGGAACTTGCAAGCCTGCATCGGCGAGCCACTGAAGCCACCGCGAGCGAGATCGTCAACATCGGTTGCGCCGCTGATGGTGTGCTGGACGATGTGACATGTGTTGTTATGCTCGATAAACAGGCGTTGTGTGCATACATACAGAGTACCCACGGCCACATATCCGTACTCTGTATTCGTACCTTGCGGCCTGGTTCGCCGTCAGTGACAAGAGGCACGGTCCCATCTGATTCTGAGGTTGCGTCGTGTTGCCTCTTCCAGGCTCCATCAGCTCCGACTGTGATATGCTCCCCCGCTCCACCAAGAGGTCAAGGGGGGGCAGGAACGGGGACATCGAATACGGGAAACATGGGAGAAATAAGGTAATGATCCCATCCCATCCTGTACGCGTTTTGACGCTGCCATTAATAGTAGACAATTTGTTTGTTTCCCGTCATGTTATCGCCATGACCGTCCCAGGACGACACTTGACGCACGAGTTCCGGTATCAGGCGTCAGGGAGACGGACGAGACTGAGTCGAGGATGCATCTGCCGTCCCAAAACGCGGCGACAAAAGCCAAACAGACGAATATTGACAAACGGTGCCCGTATCCCTCGGAACGCCTCCTGCAACGCGAGATACCTGATCCTTCACCTGTGCGTGCACTAGATGGCTTGCCATGAACACCAGCGGCCCCATAAATCCTTTCCAGGGCTTTCCCTTCCCTAGCTAAGAAAAAAAAAGGAAAAAGCAACCAAGCAGATCTGCTACACTAAGTGCTATCGGTCATCTGGCCGATTGATTTAATATGGAGAATGAGAGGGGCCTCTTTGAGGCTTGGAAGGGGGGCTCTCGTTTCCCTGGGCCTGCCACCTGGGGGTGCGCGGGCGTCCTAAGGACCAGCAATGAAAGAGTGGGAATCGGTGACGAGGGGAGCCTTGGCACATGCGCTTTGCATCCATGAACGTCCTTCGTTCTCGAGACCGTTAGCCAGTCAGAGGGCGCCGTTGGGGTTTGGCCGTGAAGGAGGAATTCGGTTCCTGTGCCGCCTCCGCGCCCATGTTGCCATACAGCAAGCCACATTCGGACGCTACATTGAGAGCCCACCCACATTGCCTGACCGCTTTGGCTCTGGCTCTGGAACTGAAGGTCGAATCCCAAGATGCGGCGTGGCTGTCGAGTAGAATCGAACCGAGTCACGAATAAGTCCGGCGGCGGCGTCTTTGACAAGCGTTGAAACTTGGCCGGGCCAGCCGGGTCGGGAAGAAGAAGAAAAGAAGGTGTTCAGGATACGGGATGGAAAGCCAGGTTAGAAGACGAAGCGAAAGTTTAATTCCGATGCTTTGGGCAACGCCGCTGAACTCGGGAAAGATTGACCGTTTGAACCATGACACGACCTGCACTGACTTGGCCTAACTTTGCTCCTGTGCCTTTTTCGTCTCGTCTCTTGTCGTCGACGATGTCAAGGCTTATGGTGGCTTTCTCCCAGAATTGCCGCAAGGGGCGGATGGCATCGATGGTGATGGAGGGGGCGTGGTTGAAAGGGGCCAATGCCGCCAACGCCGTTGGTGTACCTTGCAGAAGCTGCTGCCCGCCATCGTTACATAGTGTTTGTTAGCCAAGGAGGGCGACGTTGCGATGATTCGTCTGGTTTGCAGCTGCCATGTGCAGGTCATCCGGTCGTTGGTTTCTGTATGAGTCTGGATTTCTCTCATCGGCAACTCAGCAGTTCCTCAGCCGGAGGTGCCGTGGATTGAGCTGAGCTGAAGCGGCGGCCCATGCACGTTGTCGGTGGTTTAGCTGACGGCCGACAGAACTTTGACGTTGTTGAGCCGTTGTGCTTGTGTTTTGTCGTTGGCGCTAAAGTGCTAGTATTCAGCACCATCAGTGCCTGCTTTTTTTTTTTCTTTGACGGAGGGAGGCTTCTTTCCGTGCCTGTGCGGCCTTGGTCACTTGGTTGGCCAGTCGCGCGCGGGATGCGTCCGGCTGCCGTGTGTGGAAGGAAACAACCACGTACTATGTACGGACAGCCAGCGCGCTCACCTTGGCCCAGTGTTTTCCCTTTCTCCGTCCTGCACCTGGGAGGAAGAAATAAACCCACACACAGAAAAAAAAAACCCCACGAACAACAACAAGCCCAGGGTACCGTGGCTTCCGCACTTCGCAAAAATGCACGACACAGCGTGCACTGAACTCTCAGCGCCTCCACTCCCTGTCTCCTGCCCACATCCCTTTCTGGGTATATTCCTGGCTTGCAGCAGCCGAATCGCTGTCGGATCCACCATCTTCTAGTACCGTCTCAGACTATTGCAGAGCTGATTCGATAAAAGTCAGATTCCCTTTGCCAAAACATGAGTTTGGCATATTGACAATGGGCTTGAGACAAAGGAAAGGAATAGTCAAACGGCCTTTGGATGCAACGGGGGGCGGTGTAGACGTTGCCATCGATGTGACGCTACTGTACAATGGCTGCTTCCTCTGCGACTTTGGCTCCCACTTCTGCCTGGCAACCTCGTCAAGTCGATCAGACCAACCAAGCCAACGTCCAGATGGCGGGCCGCTAAGGGGATCGAAGAGAGCAGACGGGCCTGGGCTGTGGCCGCCCTTGGCCGGCAGGCCCTTAGTGCGAACTGCTGTGGCTGCTGGAGCTCGTTAGCACAGAAGGGGGTAGCAAAAGGTGTGGCAGCCAACACCTCACCTCACCTCGGCGACCACGCGCAGTCAGTCGACTTTGTCCTAACACAGATGCCGTGATTACGCTACTGCGTAGTCCCCTTGGTCCCCTGAGCCAGTTGCCCAGGTTGCCAGGAGCTGGGCGGCTTTGAATGGACGATTTACAAGAGGGAGTTGGGGAGGCTGTTCGGCGCATCCAATCCGGTGCAGGTACAGCTGCAGGGCGAGGCATGTTACTGCCAGGGCCCGTCCAGTCGCTGCGACGCAACGTATGTGCGTGAATGCAGCTTGAGCGACAGTGCCACAGAATAGTTACAGATGCGTCCAAGATAGGTACGGAGGCAGAACATGCCATGGACAAAGGTGAGTGGGGAGGGACTGGTGGATGGACTTGGATGGCAGAGGTTGTTATCCAACTCCTCCTTCGCCGCAGCAATAAACTACCTCAGTCCAAGTGTGTCTTGCTCGTCAATCAGACTTTGGGGAACAAGAGTTTCGTTGAATTGCCTAGATGGGTAGGTCAACAACACTGATTGCTGGTTGCTATACTCTGCGCCGTGCGTTGTGCGTTGCGTGTGCTCTGCCTGTAGCAGACTGTTTACGCCGCACATACTTCCAAGCTCTCAATTAGGTACGCACCTTATTTACTGTTTGGCGTCTAACACTGAGCTGCACATATACATTGTATGGTTCTCGCACTGCACAGCCAGGTACCTTTGTGCTGTTCGTGGCTCTGTCGAGTACTTTTACTCTGTCTCTGCGTGTTGAATGCGAGTGCGCTACGGCTGCTGCCCCATCAACCTGAGCAGCCCCCCGGTCGTCCCTGCCTTGCTTGTGTCCGGGCTCTGGAGTCCTGACTGACTTGGAATCACAATCTCACCCCCTGGTCGGTGTCCCTGGTGCCGCTCCTCCCTCTTCTCCTTCCTTCCTCCTCCTGCTGTCTCCCCCCAAAGCCCCCTCCCCTCCCCGAACCGGTCCAAACCCAACTGAGATTTCCCCTCTGACACACCCTCCCTGTCCACATCTGCACACCCCCTTTCCCCGTCGCCCACACCCTGACCGCTGGACCCGACTCGTCGCTTCTCGCTGTTGTGTGTGTGTTGTGTGGGTGCGTGTGCGTGTGTATGTGTGTCTGTCCCCAATTCTAATCCTAATCCACCCATCCATCCCATCCTCTCTTTAGTCTTCCGCGTCGCAACCCCCCTCTTCTTCCTATCAACTCTCTTCCCCCAAAAACCTTTCGAGGCCGTTGTCGTTCATTGACTTCTGTTTCGTGGTTCAATTCCAGTTGTAAATCTTGTCGGTTTGCTTCTGGTCTTGTACCGTCCGCTCCTTAACAACCTCTTCAATTTTCATCTTCGATAAATAGTATTTGTCTTACCTGGTCGACCGGTTCTGTCACGTACGCAATCGTGAACGCCAATTTCGTCCAATTCCCATCGTCAGCGCGCCGCATTCGACATCACCCTCCGAAAAGGTGCTTGCTCGCCTCCTGACCCTTGACTCCTGTGTTATAAACGCTTCGCACGAGAAAAAGGCTCTGTTTGCTAAGTCTTTGATGCCACAGAATTAATCAACAATCCCGTCGTCGCCTTCGCAAACTGTCCTATACGCGTTGTCCACGTCAAGAACCCGGCGACTTCCTTTCTCAACCACAGACGGCCGTCTCGCAATCGCGCCCTCTTTATGTCCTCCTTCTAGTTGCTGACCGATCCTGTAGCCGCAGAGCGGCTCAGTAAAGCATGGCAACCACTGTTGGACCTGAGAGCATAATGGGTTCCACAGGCACACAAGTTTTTGACGAGCCTTCGATGCAAGCGATTTCGCTACCAGTAATGCTGGATAGTTCTACTTCCTCAACAACATCTTTCGCAGGACCAGGCTCCCCCCGAACGATGCCTCCTCTGCCGAACCCACCTTTTGTCTTCCCAGCAAGGCCATCGTCCGCCTCTGCGCCCTCGTCCTTCTCAAGAGCAACCGGGCGGCGCCCTCTGTCCGCGATCGAAATTCATGACCGCTCTACTTTCAACATGACTGCCGACTCAGCGGACCGACCTTCAAAATCACCTGCGCTTCCCAACTTCACATTCAACCCGGGTGCTTCGCTGTCGCCAGACACCAACTCTCTGCTCAGCCCCCCGTTGTCTCCGCCGCCTGTGTCACCAAGACTCGCGCCTTCGCCTTCAAGACCAACCGGAGTCGGACACAGAAGAGGAGGAAGTGAATTCGTGGAGGAAGCATCCGGTCTGGAGATTCAATCACAGTGACGGGTACGAGCCCGACGAGATCCGAAAGTGGCTTCGCGTCCCCCAACTTCCAACTGCCGCCTCCCAAACCTGCCAACCGTCGTGGCCACGCCCACAGACGATCTGCGGCACTATCAAGCCACGACCTTTCTCTCATTGTGCAGCCCCCTGCACCCGGAAACCTGCGGGGCAACAGCGCGCCGACCAGCCCAGCCGAGTTTGACCGACGCCTAGAAGACCAGAACGGAGGTCTAGATGGGAGGACGCTGAAGAGCGTTGAATCAGAGCCGGCTCTCAAGGTACCAACAGAGCTCACCAGGCCTGTGACCGCTGATTCGGGCACATCGAGTGGCAGAGCTTCACCTGCGGCCAGGCCTGTGACCCGCGCCCGCGTTGGGTTCTCTGATACTCTCGAGTTCATCCCCCGCCCCCTATCAATGGTGTCTAGCGATACTTCTAGCACCGTAACGGCTCGGCCTGGTGGACACTCGGTGTCTGGCAGCATCTCTTCCATCATTTCCATTCCAAACGCTGCAACTGCGGAAAGCGAGCCCGTCATTCCTCTCGTGCTCACTCCGTCACGGCAGACCAACGAATCGAGACCAAGCACTGCCGGAGCCGTGCTCGAGCGATCCCAGAGCATTCAATCGGTTGGGGCATCACCAAGGAGGAGAAACTCAATCCCTACTCTCATTAACCTGCCGGAAGCTGGCACCGTTGGTCCCCCAATGCCAAGCCCAACAAAGACCCCGAAGCGGTGGTCATTTTTTGGACTTGACCCCTTCGCAGCTGCGGCATCACCGCTACGCACACGTCCTGTCAGCTCCAGCTCCTCCGAATCCGGGTCCAAGCCGCACAGTTCTGCTTCCTCATCCTCCGAGCACCTCTCGGAATCGGTTGGTACTCCAGACACCTCCGAGCAAACCGGTCAAAGAACCGACGGCAAAAAGTCGAAAAAGAAGAAGAAGGTCAAGAACTGGGCGGGGTCCATCTTGGCACGCAAAGCTAAACCGCGCAACAAGAAGTGCAAGGACTTGGATCTGTCAAACGACTCAGCACGTCAATTCGAGACAATTGAACCAAAGGACGACACTCTCATGGTTGAGCCGGAAGTCAATATCGAGCCGGTGACACCGACACTCATGGTCACCGACACTTCTAGCCAACCACAGAACCTGCAAGAGTGGAAGCCACGTCCTCTGTCAGCTCAGGACGACTCGTCTTTCTCCATGATCGATCTGGACGCGGCTCTAGGGCCATTTAACACACCACTTGCCAACAACCCCGAATGGGATGCCGCCCAGCGAGCCGCAGCCTCTACCAAGCGCCAGCTGCATAGCGCACAAGGCATGAAAGGCTTCAGTGGCCCAGGGATGCACTATCATAGACGCGCCGAGAGTGCGCCTGAAATGGTGCCTTTTGAGGGTGGTCGTTTCGGCATTCACCGCTTCGGCAGCAGCTCAACCATGGCCGACGTCTTTGAAGAGGATGAGGAGGACGATGAACACCCGGGCAAGTCCGCGTCGCTTCACACCAACAGCGGTAGAGAGGTTGCGGAAGACAGCGCGGAATCATCTGGTGACGAAGCCACGCCGCCTGCCACCAACAATGTCAAGAAACCCATCCTGGATACTGCACCCGTCCGCGCTCTGGACGACACCTGCATCCGCGGCCCCACTACCGAAAAGGAAGCGACTAAAGCGGTTGCCAGTACGAAACCCGAGAAATCGCTAGCTTCCCTACAGGACAGCGTGATTGTCGAGGAAACCATTCTTCCTGAGATCCCCGAGTTCCGCACAAGCTCTCTTTTCCAGGAGAAGGCGGAATCTACTGGCTCCGGTTCTGCGACTCCCTCGCCTAGGAGAATTCTTGCTAGCAAGGATTTGGCTCCTGTTGACGTCAGCCCTCTTCATCTCCCGACTCCCTCTCATGTTCCTGTTAGTCCCTATTCAATGAGCCACGCTTCCTCCTTCCCGTCGCCTCGTTCGCCAATGTCTTACGATGCACAGCGAATTTCTACGGCTCCGTCATCGGTCAATGAAGAGAATAACTTCCAGTCGCTGCTACTGGGCGAGCCTGGCCCGGAAGTCAGGCTCTCCGTGGATATCCCCTCATTGACATCTAGTCACTCGACCATGACGAGAGACAGCTCTTTTGCGCCCAGCAGTCAATTGAGGCAAGATCCTATTCGGCCGGATCAGCAAAGGCCGGTTTCCGTATCCTCGGCAGCCTTTGGCCGCCGCAGATCCAGTCTTGCCAGTCTGAGCAGGCTCATCAGCAGCTCTCATGGGGAACGCAGCAAGCTCTCAATGGAAGTCTCATACGATGGTGAGGGCGATAAGAAGCACAAGTCAAGCAAGTCGAAACGACTCAGCCGAATGATGCGATTCTGGAAGCCCAAGGACGACACCTCGGCATGAAACCCCTCCTAGGAAATCCATTCCGCCTAAACCCCCCACAAAACAACCGAGTGTTTGGTCACCATCTACTCGGCTCTCACCTCATATTACAAAGGTGGCCTCACGATGCATGTATATGGAATTCTTGTACAACCTTTTATACATTCTCTCCCGTCGGACGCGTTCGGCGGGATCATGCTCTTCCTCCTTGGGACAAGAGTTGCGTCTCAGCCCCGGGCTTTCTAGGCTATTGACAGTATCACTACCCTCTTGTTTACAGAGGAAGAGTAATTATCGCCCGTTGCCAAACCCTGCATGTATGCAGGGAAGAGCACCACCGACGGGCCAAACATTTCGGGACACGGATTTGGCGTTTTTTGTGATGATAGCATGAGCAGCAAGTTGCATGAGCATAGCAGGTACGCGGCCGTATGTCTTCGGGACAACTGCAAGGGGCGGAAACGTGGTTCAATGGTTTCGTTTCCCTTCTCTGGACATATCGGGGATGAACTGCGAATTTAGTAAGGCGAAAACATGGCGAGGCAGACAAGTCGATGCACTATTGCTGCGTCCCTCTTAGTTCTTTGGCCGGCCGGCTGCTTCGGTCCTCTAGACGATGGAAAGATGGCACAAATCGCGACGTAGACAAATATTAATGAACATTATTCTGTGAACTCTACGGGAGAGAACTACATGTGCTCCCTATGGCCAGGAACGGTGGAAACTGGGCTCATGGCCCATCAGACTTGACCTGCTGTTGTTTGGCAGGACGGGTGAAGTTGGTTAGTGGCCGAAAACTAAAGGTAGACGTCGGCCCTTACCTGGAAACCTCGGCTGAGTCCCGCGGCGACCCACCTCTGCTGTCGCGTCACAAGGTACCTTACCTCTCGATTGGCACACTGGGAAGCGTGGCCCGGCTACTGGCTACCCTTTGGCCTGGCTTCTCCCCAAGCTCCCGTCCATGCCCCCAAGGTCCCCAAAGCTCGTACAGCTCATCTCTCAATATTTACCCTTGATCAACCCGAGTCGCAAAGACACCAAGAGACTGTATCTTCGCCTATCCATGCTATCCAATTGACCAGCAGGCTACTACTCGCGTTCAAATTACCATTGTTGTCCCCTCTCGCAGCTGGCACTACCACCTTGCTCTCCCAGACCCGACCGAGCAGAGACAAACCCCCCTCCTTCCCTTGTCTTTGCGAAGATGTCGTGGCGGATCCAGAACCTGCCCGATTCCCAGTCGAACCCGGCGGGCGCGGCGAAAAAGTCCAAGTCCAAGTCCAAGTCGTCAGACGGGCGGGGCGCGATCAAGAGGCTCATCAAGGAGCTGGACGTGTGGCGGGCGGAGCAGAAGGGCGAGCGGGGAATCGAGAGGCTGGGTCCCGTCGACGATGAGGATCTCCTCACTTGGGAAGCTGTGATTAACGGACGGGGGATCGGGAACGGATACGATGGTATGTGGACGGCCCCTTCCCCTTTGTTTACTTTCTCTGCCGAGGTTCGGTCATGGCCATAGCCCGGGCACCATCGCGTCCCCTAAGCCGCAAGATGAAAACAGCCGCCCCGAGATACGATGGCTAATGCTTTGCTATTCCAAAAAAAAACAGAAGGTCGCTGGCTCCTCGCCATCCAGATCCCGCAGGACTACCCGCTCCGCCCGCCGACGATACGCTTCGTGACGCCCGTCGTGCACGCCAACATTGCGCTGCAGACAGGCGAGATCTGCCTCGATCTGCTCAAGGACGCCTGGACGCCGGCCTACAGCGTCCTCGAGAGTGTGCGCGCCGTGCGCACGCTGCTGGCGTACCCGGAGACGGACTCGCCCCTCAACGTCGACGTCGCGGCGCTGCTGCGCGGCGGCGACGTGCTCGGCACCCGCGCGCTCGTCGCGTTTTGGTGCCGCGACGATGAGGGGAGGTACGAAGGGCCGTAGCGGGCAGGAATTTTTCAGGTTTCCAACCCGGGCCCCCGAGGAAAGGTCACTTCGCGGGATCTCGATAATCTGCGCGAGATTGTCATCGTAAGAGGTGGATGCAGGGGGATCTGGCCCACACTGGGCTTGATGTAGGGGGCGGCCACAGGGTTTCGGACAAGTGAAGTCCAGAGATAAGGATACATATCGAGAGGGAGAACATAGGCTGGGTTTCGGAAGCGGGCTGGGATTTATGGGAAATCAATCATCACTTGTGTTTGGGCGGAACGGCGCGAGGGTCAAAGGGAATACAATACGTCAGTGTAATCGTACAAACAAACATAGATATGGACCAGGATTTCCTTTCTTGTGGATAACATATGATTTGGTCTATCACGCCCAGAGCCCTCAAGTTGAAGAACAAGAGACTCCTTCTAATGCTGGAGATATATCGCGCAACCCATGAATCCCGTCCCCCGCCACCTTCTTTGAGTCCATTGGCGCTTTCGTGTTTACTCTTACACCCCCTCGGACGCAGTCGCCTTGATGTTGCAAGGTCGCCTGGCCGCTCCAGCCCAAACCTTCCGGCTGTCCCCTATGTCCCTGACTCCTGAATCCATCGCGAAAAGAGAAATACAAAGCAAGTGTGGTGTGTGTGTGTGTAGGGTAGTTTGGTGTTGTGTGGGTGATTTGTGTCCATATACTACAAAGAACGCCGGTCTCGCCCGCCTTTGCCCTTTTGTTTCTCCCGAGTATTTCGAATGCAATTATTTTTGGCAGGATACGAAAAAGGAGTATCTGCACAATGGGGGTTTTAAAAAAAGGCATAAGTTTCTTTCCAATGAAATCCGCGCGTTAAGTCGTGACGCCGTCGCCAGTGCTGTTGGCGGCCGGAGAAGCAAGTTTTTGGCTCCCGTCTCACTGACAAAGACAATGGTAGGCGTGTATGTTCTGGCTCCCGTCCGTCGTGACGCCTTGCCGTTACTCATTGTAGTGGTAGACCTGTGCAAGTATAAGCTGCTGAAACAAACGGCGACAATCAAGGATTACTTACTCTGTAGTTCGGGAGTCCAAACGGCTGCCAGCCTAAGCGCTTCGCCATCTTGGCGAAGCCTTCCGTCTCGATGAGGTGGTAGAAGGAAAAGGGCGGGAACATGGCGCCGTCGCGGTGGACGTCTGCTTTGACGAGTAGCGCAGTGCCGCCAACGCCATCCAGGGGGATTTCCATCTGCTTGTCCTTGTCGTCGGTGCCCAGATACGCCATCAACGCACGGTACGTTGGCATGTCCTTGTAGCCCTCGAGCAAGATATCGTCGGGGCCCATTGTCTCGGCCATCTTCTGCGCAATCTCGCTGTCTTGCCAGCTGTTGAAGTCGTAGGGTCGCTCCTCCATCTTCTTGGTCTCGGGGTTGATGAACCTTTGGAAACAGTTGGGGACAATGACGGGCTTGTCGTGTGATGCCAGATCCTGGATGAGGGACGGCGGCGTCTCGACAATGTCGGCGTCGAGCCACAGCACCCACGAGGTCTGGGGTCCCAGGGTCGTGAACAGCAGCGAATTGCGGGCCTTGGACATGACTGCCCGCCTGGCCTTCTGGTTTTCCATCTTGTGTCGCTCGCTCTCGTCTTGGGATGCAATGGCCGGCTCGAAGTCCTGCCGCATGATGACGATGCTCTTGAAGCGGTTCTTGTCCGAGCCCTGGGTCTTGGTGATCTGCTCCTGCAGCGCTGCCGTCGCGGCGTTTCCTTCCTTAGTCTTGGGCAGGATGAAGCCCAGCGAGATGAGGTCGTGAGGGTAGTTGAGGTTCAACAGGTTGTCCCAATACTCCTGGTAGAACCGCGCCATTGGCGTCAAGATCAGGACGGACTCGCGGTTGCCGATGGGATCGGTTGTAATGGTGACATTGTTGAGGTTGTAGTGGACGACTGGCGGTGGTCTCGTGTCGCCCTTGGCCTTCTTTCGATAGGGCGCGGTTGGCGGCGATAGGTGGTGAGAGGCGGTACCGGCCGGCTCTGCCTTGATCGACTTGGAGGGCCCGACGAGAAAGACGATGATGAAGATGCACAGCACTGCGCCAAGAAGGAGGGTCACTGGGTTCGCCTTCTTCAGGCGAACTGACCCCATGGGGCGGGCCATGGGTGGCAGTCTCACGGGGTGAACGAGGATGCGAAAATCATAAAGGTGATTGTGGGTTCAGAGGAGGTCGTTGACGGCTCTTCGCTTGGCTTCTCACAGTTGGGTGTCGTAGCTTTTCGGGTACGCGGTTTGTCTCGTGGTTCAGGACAAGCTCACGATAGATGTGAGTTTGTTTTTCTGGCAGCGAGTGGCGGCTGTACAGATGTCGAAGAAGATGACACCGGGCGCTCCTCCTCGTGTGTCTCTGGCTGAAGGAGCGAGAAATTTGGCCAGATACGAGATTCCCACGTCGACGGGCTAATCGATTCAAGGGATGCGCATTGGGGAGGACAGCTCTACACTAAAGTTACCAATTGGTATGACAAAAGGGGCTTAGCTTCATCTCCTCTCGAGGACTAATTCCGGCCCGAAACCTCACATCAGCGGACGCAGGGCGCTGACAAGACACGCGAGACAGCGCCTGTAAACTTGCGACCAGCGTGTGACGGGCGCGCTGAGTGGTGCTAAGACTTTGAATGGACCAGAAGTCAGAACTGTGGAATAGCCCCCAGTCGAGACTAACCCGGACCCCTGAGACTTGCAGTGCGATCCACTAGACATCCAACATGGGGAGCTCCTCTCATGGACGTTTCCTGCTTAGACCTTGCTAGCCAATTGCAGCTAGCCAATGCTGACGGTCCCCGCCGAGATACTTAGCAAGCTCTCAGCCACCCCAAGGTCTTTCCCCCACGCAGCGCCACACCTCAGTGTCTTTTTGGGCGGTCGGACGCTCCAGTCAATCCGCGGTCAGCCGTCTGTCGGGTGCTCGAGTCGCGACCAGCATTGTTGTCCCGTCACATCCTGCAGCAAAACTTACCTCCTTCGAGACCGAGGCAAGCTTTCCACCGATCGATTCGACATTTTCAGCTGCATCAATCCTCTCAGTATTTTCTTCCTACTTACAAACCCACCATGGCGGACAAATTAGACCGCAGCCTCGACGAGATCCTCGGTGAGAAGGTACGATTACTTGCAGCCTTGCACAGTATGCGACCACGGAGCTTACTCGACGTATTCACAGAAGACCGACGGCCCTCGCAACCGCCGCGGAGGCGGCGGAGGTGCTCCTCGCAGACGTGACCGCGAACGTCAAGAATACCCTCGTGACGGCGTCAGAAAGGTACGGCTCAATCTTCTGATCGTCTCGTGGTAGATCTCCAGACTCAATCGTCTAGGTTGAATGATCCTCCCTCCTCCTCATCCCGGTCAACTTCGATTCTCTTGCAGCAGTCGGACCGTGCTGGACGCCTCGTTGAAGACCGGGAGCGGTTCCTGTCAATTGCAAGGACCTAGCTAACAAGCGTCGCCGTCCTGCGATACAGTCCTTTCGCGACGAACCTAGAAACCTCGATAGGTAGGTCTCGGCAGACTAAAGAACCGGGAGCGTGTCCTAAGCTAACACTCGATTAGTGAATGGGTGCACGATCGCTTTGAAGAACACGGTACGGCTTGGCTGGTGTCAAGACCCTGTGTGATCACCTGCTAAAGTGAACAGATACCCGCCGTGGCCCGGCCCCACGCCGAAGACGCGACGAGACAGAACAAAGGTAGGCTCAATTCTTTGAACGTTGCAAGAGTATGCTGACCCTGTGCCACAGAGATTCCAGCAGCGCAAAGATCCGTGTCGAGAACGTCCATTACGAATTGACTCCGGAGGATTTGGAGGTACGAACTGTTGGACAGTTGCAAACAATGGCTAGGGGGGCTAAGACAGATACAGGAACTCTTCAACAGGATCGGACCTGTCGCCAAGCTGGACCTCAAGTATGACCGCGCTGGACGCTCGGAGGGCGTTGCATTTGTTACCATGGAGTCCCGCGAGGATGCTCTGGAGGCGGTTAAGGAGTTTGACGGCGCCAATGCCAACGGTACGTACTATGGGCCTCTGCCTGCAAGTGCTCAAAGTTTAACATGCTTCAGGCCAACCTATCAGGTTGTCAATCATGCCTGGCGGACCGGGTCCTCGATCCCGTAACCCTTTCGACTCAGCAGTGATGCCGGGCCGTCCTCTGGCCGAACGTATCTCTGCTCCTGGCGGTCGTTCAAGATCAATGTCGCCTGGGCGCAAATATGACGTCGACGAAGCTGCCAGCAGGGGCATCGACAGATACGTCCCTGGGAACCGCTCCGGAAACCGCTCGCGCAGCCCCATGCCCCGGAGACGTGGCGGTGGCGGCGGTGGTCGTAGGCCAGGCGCGCGCAGGGAAGGAGGAGGCAGAGATGGAGGCAGAGATGGAGGCAGAGATGGAGGACGAGACCAAGAGGGTGGGAGAGGTGGCCGCTCGGGTAGAGACGGGCGCACTCGGAAGACTCAAGAGGAACTGGATGCCGAGATGGCAGATTACTTTGGTGGAGGAAACTCCGGAGAGCCTGCGCCTCAGCCAAACGGTGCCGCCACCGCTACTGCTGCTGCCGCGGTACCCGCCGCGAACGACGATATCGATATGATCGAGTAAACCCTGGCTCAGTCTGCCTTGGTTTATGCTGCACGAAGTGTCTCGGACCAGTCACGAGAACAAAATATACTGGAACAAAATGACTGGCGACGGACATGTGGATAGCCAATTGTCAGAATGCCATCCAACATGGTTCGTCTACACCACACCAATTGCATCGTGGACCCTTACTTAGCCATAGAAGTCAACAATAGTCACTCCATTACCCTGGAAAAGCAGAATTGAAATCCGGATGGCAATTCATTCAGGTCGAAGTCAGGGGACTCAGGGCACCAATCAAAATGTTGGACCCTTGGCCTCGGCATTGCCTCCGTTGCGCTGGTTTCTCGAACGTTTCCTGGAATATTTATGCCGATGTTACTCATCGAGTTTGGTAGATTCCACTTTGGGCAAGCCTCATGCCTCGAACTGACAGAATTCGACATTCTATAGTAGTCAAAGCAAGGGACATGCCTTTTTGGTAAGGCCCACGAGTGAGCCGCTGCCCCTTCAAAATCAAGTTTCCGATCGCGGGGACCCTCCATACATGTGACATGCAACTTGGCAACGTTCCCCAAGAACCAAGGAAAATCGCAACCCCCCCCAGCAAGCCCATGTCCGCCCCACCAAGCGCACGTCCGGGCTGCAACGTCAGGGTGCATGCGTATGTGCGCTCTGCACACCAGCGCCTGCCCAGGAAGCTTTGGCACTGCGACTGCCCACTTCTACTCCCCGGCCCCCCGTCTGCGCCTCTCGTCTTCCTCCTCAACCCCAGGTCTGTCCCAGCGCCTGTTCGCCTCCCTCTTCCCACCGTCATCCCAAATCTTGGAAATCGTTGCAACCGGAATGGAGAGCCGTCTTTGAATACGGGCACGACCACATTTCGAACAAACGGAGACACCGACTACTACTATCCGACTTGTGACAGAAAACGGACCGACGACGAGGACGCAACAACATGATTGTCGCTGGTATTAGCTCTGCCCTATATCATCACCTTTGGGCGCGAAGACCGCTCTTACGCCCTTCTCTGAGCGACTGAATCGTGGGAACGACGATCGTCACATAAAGAGACATAACCACCTGCACGAGCGCGACACGAGGGTTTGTTTCAACGCCGAAACTCTTACACCTTACTTTCTGGGATCTGCGGGACATACGCAACCGTTTTCGATACTGTTCAGCCCATCCTGGAGCATTTCGACACCCTATTAACGAGCATACACGCCTTCATCTCTAATTGCCGGGCCTCTCAAGAGAAGGTTCCATCACTTACACGGGATGGACTCAGCCCAGCATACGGAGGGCCCGTCGCCATCTACCAGCAACAATAATACGCCTACATCGCGCAACTCTCAACAGCAATCACGTTCGCAACCCAGGTCTCAACCCCCTAAGCCACGGAGGAAATCATCACGTCAGCCAACATCAGACGCCAAGGGCAAGTCTGTCTTTGACGGTTCAGATCGTGAGCACGAGAGCGACGCCGAGGAGACTCCCCGCAACACCAGACCCAAAAACTTAGGACCAAGCCAATCCGCATTAAGGCCTGCAAGAAGACGTCCTTCGGCACCCAGGGCCGCTCCAGCAGCAACGATGCCTTCGGGGATGAGCAGCTAGTAGACCCGGTGCCTCTCCGGCCGGGCGTTTTGGCACGTCGATCCGCGCCGACAAGAATTCCGCAACTCGGAGAGAACAGTGCATCCTCGTTCGCATCAGATACCGATACTACGAGTAGCTCTTCGTCATCGAGCTTCCGGCCCTTGAGGCGTCCTGCCGTTCGCAGACGTACATCCAAGGACCTCTCCCTGAGAGCGCCGATACGCGAGATGCCCGAGGAGGGCGGCGAACTTCCCCCTGGCGGCCCTGACTTCTCTACGCCCTTGCCGGAGCGAGCCAAGAACCCAAGAGACATCCTCCATGACGGCGAGCGAGGCTTCATTGTAGACCTGAAACTCAACTTGCAGGTGGACATTCATATCAAAGCGAAGCTTATGGGTGATTTGACATTATCAGTTTTGTAACATGTGGCTTGGATTCGCGGGAAGGAATTGTGAGGCGAACTTATGACGTGGAAGTAACTGAATTGGCGCATAATGGATGGTGGTGTAATCTTAGGTGTGAACACATTTGCAAGAATTGGGTCGGGGCGGTAGCACATGTTTCATGGCACGAATGGCGTTCAAGGCGAGTTGATTGTATATCACGAAAAGCTCTCTACGTGAGTAGAAATGGAGCTCGGGGCGTAATAACATACGTTTATCTTTGCGTTTGACATCTACTATATTCTCGTCTACATCTCGTAAGCCCTTGGTGTCGTCCCGCGCGACCTTAGTCCGTCTTCTTCTTCTTCCTCTCAAACCCCTCAGTCATTGCCGCCGCCACGTCCTCCACCGTCGTGCCCCTCTTCCTCTTGCCAATCTTCTCCGCCCCAAGCGGAGAGTCCTCTGCCACGGCCCTGTATACCCCCGCCGCACCCACAAACAGCTCCGGTCCGAAGCCACCCTCCTCGGCGTGCGTCTTGCTGATCTCCTCCATCTCGCGGACCCACCGATATGCCTTGGGCGGCATCGTCACGACGCCCTTCTCGGCGAAATCGAGGTGACTCGGCAGGCGCGCCGACAGCTCGCCACGCAGGTGGTCCAGGACGCCCATCCTGTGGGCACTCGTGAACGCCTGCGTGGCGATGGCAGTGAAGCCCTTTGACATGGAGGCGAAGCACATCTTGAGGCCGCTCGCGGCGCCGATGTCGGGGGAAATGTGGTTCCCGCCGAGGACGGCGCTGAGGCGGGCGCCAAAGGTCTCCGTCTCCTGGCCGGCTGTTCCTGGAAGAGATAGGTCGGCCAGCTTGTTTGGGCCGGACATTGGCATCCCCGGGACGTACCAGCCGTCGTCGCTGTCGTTGCCCTGTGGGGCCGACGAAGAGGAGACGTTGGTGCCGGCGTTGGGGGCGGATTTCGGGCGGGGCGGGGCGCCAATGATGCAGGCGTCGATGAAGAGTGCGGGAGCGCGGGCGCGGGTGAAGGACGACGCAATGGACTTGCACGTCGAGGGCGCGACGGCGTTCATGTCGATGAAGTAGAGGGGCGCTCGGCCCGAGGCGCCGGCCAGGGCGTCGATGATGCGGTCCGCCGTCGCCTCGGCGTCCCGGGGAGGGACGACGGAGAGGATCACGGCGCACTGAGATGCGAGGTCTATGTCTGAGTCCAAGAGTTCTACTTTGGCGTCGCGGGCGCGTTGGATGGTGTCTTCGCTGTGAGAAGGGGTTTAGTATGAGTAAAGTGACAAAGAACGATGAGGATGGTTGATTACCTGCGGCCTTTGACGTTGGTTGCGACCTGGAAGCCTTTAGCGATTAGGAGCTTGGCGATGCCGACGCCCATGTCGCCGATGGAGATGACTCCGACCTTAGAGGGTGTCTCGCTGTATGTGGCCATCTCCTACGTAGTTATTAAGCTTCACGTTTTCTTATGCTTAGAGTTACATGGGATGAGTTGCGGAGGCTGAGAAAGTTGTTTGCGAGAGAAAGCATCCACTTGGTGCGTCCAATGCAAGTTGAGCTGCAAGTTACAGAATTGCGTCAGTCCTCTTCGTCTTATTGCCGCGCAGAGTCAGTCAAAACCAGACACACCGGATGACTGACCGACAGTTCCTCAAATAAACTAAGAGAAAAGAGAAAACGCTCATCGGGCCCATCACATACGGTGCTAATCGCACTATTCACATGATTACAATTTTTATACATGAGCTCGGCGCTCAATCGCACATAGTTACAAGATCTTTCATCGGTTGCCCAACATCAAATATCCCAACCACGACCCCGGCGCGTCGAGTTTTGAATCGCTGACAAAGCCGTTTGTCTCAGACTTAATAAAGAGCCCATGGCTCGATACCGCGCCGAAATGCCCAGGGACGACCTTCCATTTCGAAGAACCGGCGGTCGACAGCGGCTCCTCCGACATTGCAGGTTCCGATGCGCCAAAGGCAATACTCAAGGTCGCGCCTTTCGATGTCGAAACGTCCGGTCGGGCGCTCATGGCGGGTGTAATAGCGTATTGAATGTATGATCCCGGAGCGACCACGCCTTGCTGAGCACTCCCATCATGTTGGCTCATGAAGGAGCTGATGAAGCTGTCCAAGTCTTCCTCCCCAGACGACGCCGAGTAGGTAGTTTCGGGATCCAACGAAAGGAGGCCCTGCTTCTTTCCCCACCCTCCTCCACCGCTCACTTCGTATGCATTAGCATTGTAAGGACTCACGTAAAACAGAGTTGATAATAGACTTACGGATCTTGTAGATTCTGCCGCCATGTCGCAAGAGCTTCTGGACAAGACGTTTGAATTCCATGACCTCCCCCCATTCTTCGTACGCGGTTTGAACTTGGTTCAAGTTCTCGGACCATTCCTGCAGGTATTCCAAGTCTGCGGCTTGCATAGGGCCTGGGGGCAGAACGATAGCCCAGACACCTACGGGGCCCGGCGGGAACCCGTGCCCTTCTTTCGATCGTCTAGCGTACAGCTCGTTGACGGCTTTCTCGAGCTCTGCCGAAGCCGGAGTTTCCTTGCCATCCACCTCAACCTGTCTAATAATATTGCCCAGCCCTGCGAGAATCTTCCGAGGGGCAGTGATTGGGAGCAACGGGGACTCGATGACGATTGTTGTATCACGGTGTGGGTCCCAACAAGTGACATTCTGGGACTGCTTCTCTGTGACATGAGCCAGCTTTGGACTAGAGTCGGGTCCTGACCAACGCCAGCGGCTCGCCAACAAGGTAGATTGCAGACCATTTTGGAAAATAGTGTTGGCAAGAGGCAGCGTGCACTTGACGTTGGTTCCAAATTTAGCCTGCGTCTTGAGGTGGAACGAGATGGCCGCCTGCTGCTTCGAGTCGCGCGGGGATTTCAGCTCGTCGTTTTGCCACAAGTCCGGCATCATGCCCTTCATCGGACCGTAGTAGAACGAGAACCCATGAGGCGTGTCCCCGAATGCGCGGGGGGGATGCAGGCCGTCGACAGCGGCGGCAAGGACGTTGATGTCCTGGGTGGGCGAAAACTCCGCGAAAGGCTCTACCAACGCCGACATGAACTGGTTATCCTGCAACCAGGAGGCGTATTGCCGGGAAGCAAGCACGACCAGTCCATCTTGACTTCCAAGGCCCTTTTCTCGAAGTTTCTTGACATTTTGGTGTATGTTATCAACAAGTCCATACTGCAAGGGTGTTGGTCAGCAAAGATCCTTATATGTATTTGGGTCTACGTATATGTATTCAATTCACCTTGGGACTGCTCTTGTTGCCGTGGACAGAGAAGAGAGCACCTCGAGTATCTTTTGAAGGCAGTTTTTTTATGAGTGTGTTTCTAGAGGCGTTTTGAGCAAGCCGTTGGTAAACTCTCGAGATGTGCATCGCGTCACCACTTTCGAGTTCGTCCAGGACTTCACCTGGAGAGCCTTAGGGATGAGCTGTGAGGCAATTCAGCACTGTGATACGCTAGACAGACGGATTACAGTTCCATCGAAGAAAACAAGAGGTTGCAATAACTGAGTTGTGAAGAGCAACCCGTTTCTTCGGGACTGGACCAATGATGAAGCAATCAACAAATTTGATTGGAGAATGTGGCTGAAGCTGGGGAAGCTCCTGGGATGCATTTGGCGCCAGGGGCAGAAGGGTGTCGCCTGAGGAGCAGACATGCAATCCCTTATCGATAATCGATAAGGCATGTCATTGGCATCCCGGCAGGTGACTCTAGCAGTGAAGGTCCACGTCCCTGGCGCGCCTGGACTGTGACTCAGGCCCGATTTTTAGCTGCATGACCCCTCCAAAGCGCTCCTCCTCGAACATCCAATCCTGTGAGTCAAATTCAGAGAAGTGCTGCAACCAGACCGCCGAGTCATATTTGCCTGCCCCTCATCGGAGACCTTTGGAGATTTTTTTTAGTATTTGGACATCAGTCGAAGCCCACCTCCCCGGGCTTCTTCGCCAAAATATCCACCACGTCCAAATCAATATTTCTTCGAGCACTCCGCGTGCGCCCTCCATCACTAAGTCCACGTCCACGACTACCTCCTCCCCGTCTACGACCGTTCCTACACACACGTGCCACCATGGCTACCGACAGCGGACGCGGAAACCCCAGTGCGCTACCCCTCCACCCACCCCCCACATCCTCACGATGCCTCCTAGGCCAACTCTGATCGTGACCTCCCCCGAGATTGAACTGACCATGTGTTCCTATTTCAGTTGGCGCCACTGAGGGCCTCAAGGAGGAAGCGCCTCCTGCCGTCTCGAACGAAACCAAGGCCCAGGTCTCCTCGACGTCCGCCACCCATGCCGCTGGCCAGGATGCCGGTGCTGCTGCCGGCGCACCCCCGAAGGTGAAGACCGAGAAGGAGTTGGAGAAGGAGCGCAAGAAGGCCGAGAAGGACGCGAAGTTCAAGCAGAAAATGGCCGAAAAGGCCGCAAAGGCTGCCGCCGCGCCCGCCACGTCCAAGAACAAGGAGAAGAAGGCCAAGGCCGAGAAGAAGGAGGAAGAGGCCATCCCTGAATACGTTGAAGATACCCCCAAAGGAGAGAAGAAGCGCCTCAAGTCTCTTGAAGACCCTCACTTCAAGGCCTACCACCCCGAAGCCGTCGAGAGCGCCTGGTACGACTGGTGGGAGAAGGAGGGTTTCTTCAGTATGCGAACACGTGCTCGTCTCACGAGAGGTTTTGAGCTGACACTTTTCCTACAGAGCCCGAGTTCACTGCCGAGGGCAAGATCAAGCCTGCGGGCAAGTTCGTCATTGCTCATCCCCCGCCCAACGTCACCGGTGCTCTGCATCTCGGCCACGCCCTCGGCGACTCCCTTCAGGATATCATGATTCGATGGAACCGCATGTTGGGCAAGACGACCCTCTGGATCCCCGGCTGCGATCATGCCGGTATCTCGACACAGAGCGTTGTCGAGAACATGCTCTGGAGAAGAGAAGGAAAGACCCGCCACGACTTGGGCCGCGAGGACTTTGTCGACAAGGTGTGGACCTGGAAGGGCGAGTATCACGACAAGATCAACGCTGCTCTCCGGAAGATGGGAGGAAGTTTCGACTGGAGCCGTGAGGCCTTCACAATGGACGCGAACCTGTCTGCCGCCGTGGCCGAGACCTTTGTCAGACTCTTCGAGGAGGGTACCATTTACCGTGCCAACAGACTCGTCAACTGGTCTTCCAGACTCACTACTGCCCTGTCAAACCTCGAGGTCGTCAACAAGGAGCTGTCTGGTCGCACGTTGCTGGAGGTTCCGGGCTACGAAAAGAAGATCGAGTTCGGTGTTCTAATTCACTTCAAGTACCCCATTGAGGGTTCTGACGAGACCATCGAGGTTGCCACTACCCGTATTGAGACGATGCTCGGTGATACTGGTATTGCCGTCCACCCTGAGGACCCCAGGTACTCACACCTCGTTGGCAAGAAGGCTAAGCACCCCATCATCGAGGGTCGTCTGCTGCCCATTGTTGCCGACACCTATGTTGACAAGGAGTTCGGTACCGGCGCTGTCAAGCTGACCCCTGCGCACGACCCCAACGATTTCAACCTTGGCCAGAAGCACAAGCTTGAGTTCATCAACATCCTTACCGATGACGGTAACATCAACGAGAACGGTGGCAAGTACAAGGGCCAGAAGAGATTCGAGTGAGTAACTACAGACGTTGCGGTTAGTATTGCACAGGCTGACCCCTTTCTAGCGTCCGATACGCCATCCAAGAAGAGCTCAAGCAGCTCGGCCTTTACGTCGACAAGAAGGACAACGCCATGACTATTCCTCTCTGCGAACGCTCCAAGGATGTCAGTGTCCCTTTTCAAGTCGAGATTGAACGATCACTGACAATGTACAGGTCATTGAGCCTCTCCTCAAGCCCCAGTGGTACATGAGCATGCGCAGCATGGCCGACGATGCCGTTGCTGCTGTTAAGGACGGCAGAATCAAGATTCGCCCCGAGTCTTCCGAGCGCAGTTTCTACGCTTGGATGTCCAACATCAATGATTGGTGTATTTCTCGTCAGCTCTGGTGGGGTCACCGCTGCCCCGTCTACCTGGCCAAGGTTGAGGGCGAGAAGGCGGATCCTTTGGACAACAAGCAGTGGTTCGCTGGCAAGACTCTCGAAGAGGCCGAGGCCAAGGCCAAGGCTGCCCTTCCGGGCAAGAAGTTCACCCTCGAGCAGGATGAGGATGTTCTCGACACCTGGTTCTCCTCGGGCCTGTGGCCTTTCTCGACCCTGGGTTGGCCCAACAAGACCCAGGATCTGGAGGAGCTCTACCCCACTTCTGTTCTCGAGACTGGCTGGGACATCTTGTTCTTCTGGATCGCCAGAATGGTGATGCTCGGTATCAAGCTCACTGGCCAGGTCCCCTTCACTGAGGTCTACTGCCACAGCCTCGTCCGCGACTCGGAAGGTCGCAAGATGAGTAAGAGTCTGGGCAACGTCATTGATCCGTTGGATGCCATTGCTGGTATCAAGCTCGATGACCTCCACGCCAAGCTTCGCGTGGGCAACCTTCACCCGAGTGAGGTCGCCAAGGCCGAGAAGTACCAGAAGTCGGCCTTCCCCGATGGTCTCCCTCGCAACGGCGCTGACAGTCTGCGCTTCACCATGGCTGCCCTTACCTCGACAAGCGGTGATGTCAACTTCGATGTCAAGGTCATGACTGGCTGGAGAAAGTTCTGCAACAAGATCTGGCAGGCGTCGAAATACGTCCTCGGCAAGCTGCCTGCGGACTTTGTTCCCACTAAGGAGCCTGCTGTTGGTGTCACCCTGGCCGAGCGCTGGATCCTGCACAAGCTCAACACCGCCGCGAAGGAGATCAACGCCGCCCTGGCCGATCGTGACTTCCAGCATGCTACTGGTATCGTGTACCAGTACATCCTGAACTTCCTCTGCGATGTCTACATCGAGAACAGCAAGTCCATCATCCAGGACGGCACACCGGAGGAGGCTGCCAGCGCCATTCAGACCCTCTACACCGCCCTTGAGGGTGCGCTGACAATGATCCATCCCTTTACACCCTTCCTCACGGAGGAGCTGTGGCAGCGCCTGCCCCGCCGCCCCGATGACAAGACCAAGTCCATCATGATTGCCAGCTACCCCGTCTACGATGCCAAGTTTGACGACCCCAAGTCCGAGGCCGCCTACGAGCTTGTCCTGGGATGCTCCCGTGGTGCCAGATCGCTTATGAGCGAGTACGCCCAGAAGGAGGAGAGCAGAAGTAAGTTGATATTGCCAGTTTTGTGGCGTGAGCGCTTTTCACTAACAACCCCAGTCATCATCCAATCCCACGATGCTACCTCACTCCAGACAATCAACGAGCAGGTCGCCTCCATTAAGACGCTCAGCGGCAAGGGCGTCACGGGCATCGACATCATCGGCGCCGATGCTGCTCGTCCCGCCGGCTGCGTTGCCTTCCCTGTGGCCTCGTCTGCCTCCGTGTACCTGCATGTCAAGGGCCGTGTCGATCTCGACGCCGAAATCGAGAAGGCGAAGAAGAAGCTCGACAAGGCTCGCTCCAACATTGACAAGCAACACAAGGTGCTCAACGACCCCATCTACAAGGAGAAGGTCGCCGAGGCCGTTCAGAAGTCAGACAAGCAGAAGCTGGTCGACCTCGAGTCTGAGGCCAGAGGTTTCGAGGGTACCATTAAGCAGTTCGAGCAGCTCAAGCTCGAGTAAGACACGTTGGAACAGAGAGGGAATGAGAACGCATGTGCTATTAGGTGAAGAGGACATGGCATTATCGCTTAAAAAAAGATTTCATTGCTTGTCATTAGTATTTTGTCGAGACCAGGGCCAAGATGGAGCTCAAAAATAAACAATATGATGTTAAGATATGGTACATTGTGAGTGTTTTGTTCAAGCGCCTTCATTTTGTGACGCGTCCCGTGCAGAGACTCCAGTGTACATGATGCAAAACACACGACGCGCTGCCACCCAAGGCACCCTTCGTGGAAGCAGAGAGCTTAGATCGACTGTATGTCGAGCTGTGACTTCGGACCACCAAACTCACTGGATACGACATGTTTGGGGCAAGGCAATGATGGGGCAGTATCCAGCGCAACGCCCCTTTACTGCTTCTTCTTATGCGAAGCAGATCCCTTGCTGTTCTTCTCCTCCTCAAGCTTGACGAAGTCCTCGCGGTCCTTGCGCTCGGCATACCACTGGCCCGCCTGCAACACCAAGACACCGACCAAGACGAGCGCGAGGATGGTGTTACTCGCCGCCAGGACCTTCAAGCTGTCCTCCTTTCCGAGGATGATCTCCCCATCGACGCGTGGGTCCTTGACCTCGCCTGTGAACTCGGGGTCGTCCCAGATGCCCGCGGAGACGGAGCGCAGACCCTTGACGATGTTTGTGATATAGACGCCGACGCCGATGAGGTACAGGACCAGGGAGGCGCCGTCAAAGAGGACGTTGGCCTCGGAGGGGCGGAAGAGCTTGATGAAGAAGCCGAGGAAGCCGGTGAAGACAATGATGTTGAGGAGGCGGCCGATGAGGGGCGGGGACTGGTGCATGAACTTGAGGTGGGTTTCGAGGTGCTGGAAGAAGGTGTCCGGGACGGGCGCCGAGGTCCAGAGGAGGGGGAAGTCGTAGGGGAAGGAGGCGAAGAGGATGCCGAGGAAGAAGCAGGTCGCTGTGGGAGGGGTTTGTCAGTATTCTTGCGGGGTTGGAACGCGATTTGAAGAGAGAGGGGGCGGAGGAAGAAGCACGTACGCCCGATGATCATGAATGTCGCGAACGAGGTCGAGCCGCGATAGTTGCGGGATTGCGTGGTCTTGGACCAATCCACCCAGCCAGACATGTTGGGCGATGTTGTTCAGTTACTGTAGAGGGGGAAGAAGTAAATGGATTGCGCGCGATTATGCCGCGACAAGTTTTTGGAGTGACCGTAAGTGTACTGCGTGAGGCACTGATGTACGTCGCAATGGCTGGGCAGTTATCAGACTGGCGCGCGGAGGGGGCTGGTGGCGGCAGCGGTCGGAGGGGTTGTATAAAAAAAGGTTCTAGATGATGCGCCCTTTCACAAAGAACACGCGGGAGGCTGGTTCTGGCGTGTGGTAGGTGCGTATGTCGTTCGCGGGAGAGTGGGAATATGTAGAAGCCAGTTCGCGCGGAGTCGGTGCAGATAGCGGTTGTGCGCAGGCTGAGTTTTGCTTACGTAGGTGTTATCCGACTTAGCGGCGCCCGCATCAATCTTAATCTTTTTCCCTGCGGAGTGGATAAGATTGTGGTTGAGAGGAATGATAGGTACCATGTTGGCTTTCGCCCCGGTTGCGGGTTGGCCGTTTGGGGTCCCAATTCCAACTGCGGCTTTCATCGGGGAAACCCTGAGTCGTGGGGCCGATATGGCATGAGTGCTGGGCGGAGCCGACTCTATCAATTTGTCTGCAAACCTACCTAAGCAAGGTCCAACCTGCAACCCTTACTATCTATTTGAACCCGAGCATATCTATATGAGCGCCGCACGTGCCAGGGTAATAGAGCAACAAGGAATCGTCAAGGCCTCACTCTTCCTAGGTAAACTGGAATCTGCTGTTTCCCAGATAAATCCAGTTTTGCAAAGAATCGCAAGTACAAGATGGTATAACCCTGGAAGCTGGGCCCTGAACTGAATGATTCGCGCACTCGACTGCCGAATCTTGAGCGGTTGCCCACATGAAGCTACAACTTCCGACCGCTGCAATTCAAGCCTTTCGATCACGAATTCTACCCACTGCTGATGCCCCCAATACCTGCTCAAAATCCAACCCCCGAGGCCCTCGCCAGGTAACGGACATATTCCTCGTCGGCGGGTGCTGGGGAAAATCATATGACTTTCCTTCCTCTTACCGTCGCTAATATCTCCCTGTTTTCCGGTGTTTTGCTCCATATGAGAGTCCATTGCAGAGTCGGCTTCACTAAATACTGGGCAACAGAATAACATGCTCCTGCACACACATTTACTGCCAGTGCTACGCTTGCCAGGGCAGAGGACTTATTAGTAACGACTATGTTGACATCCAACTCCCATTTAGTTCACTTGGCAACCGGATTGGGGTGAACAGGACGCTTGTTGGCTGCAACAGTTGCCAGGTTGTAATATATTGAGCAAGTCATTGGGAGATGACCCGTGTTGCTGCCGAGATGCCTACGAGGTAGCGTTTGGGCTCAACGAGACCACAACTTGATGCCGCATTATTGCCAAACCCGCACGTCTAGACAACCTCAAGACACGTTGATGCACACTTTGCCAATGTGAGCACCGCTGGCCAGGTACTCAAACGCAGCAACCACGTCGTCTCGTCCAAACCCAAACTCCTTCTCTACGGGGATCTGCAACCCCCGTTCCACGACGTACCGTGCCACCTCCTCCAGGTGCTGCTTGGATCCCACCATGATACCGCGCACAACCGCGCCCTTGGACAGGGCCAAGGCCGCCACATCCGGCATCTGGTCCTGCGGACAAGATGCGAGGAACCCAATGACGGCGATGGACCCTCCGTATGCTACCGCGTTGATGCTCTGGGCGATAGTGCCGGCGCCGCCGTTTTCGAGGATGTAGTCGGCGCCGTGACCCTTGGTGACCTTGAGCACTTCCTCGGACCAGTTCGGCGTGCTCTTGTAGTTGATGGTGAAGTCGGCGCCGTACGTCTCCTGGACGTGTTTGAGCTTCGAGTCGGACGACGATGTGATGATGGTCGTCGCCCCGGCTGCTTTGGCGAGGATGAGACCCATGATGGAGACGCCACCGGTGCCTTGGCCACGTTTAGAATCTCAAAACTTCATGAGGGTGGGGGGGCAGCCGACTCACCGAGAAACAGGACGGTCTGGCCAGGCTTGAGGGGGACGTTGCCATAGAGCGCGTTCCACGCGGTGCTCCCGACACAGACGAGCGCAGAGAGCTGGCCGTAGCTTAGAGAGACGTCCGGGGAGATCTTGACGAGGGCCGGGGCGGGGAGGGCGATGTACTCCCGCAGGCAGCCGTCGAGGCAGCCGCCCAGGCTGTGGTTCCAGTCCTTTATGGCGCCGTAGAGCGTGGCGATGTCGAACACGGCGATGACTTTGTCTCCCTCGGCGAATAGGTCGGTCACCTGGCTTCCGACTTTGACGACGTCGCCGGCCAGGTCGGAGCACGGGACCACGTCGTCTTTGACGGGGAAGGGGTATTTCCCGGTGGCCACGGCAAAGTCGCGGTAGTTGAGGGCGACGCTTCGAATGCGGATGAGGACTTCGTACGTGGATGGCTCCGGGACTGGTTCGGTTCCGACGCGGAGGTCGTTGATGGAGGACCGTTGCGGGAGTCTGAAGACCTGCTGAGTTGCCATGATAAAACGCTTATGTGCAGTACGGTTCGAATAATAGAGAGGGTTCAAAGGCTATTGGAAAATGATCCAAGCAATAGGTCGTGATGCTTATCTGCTTGGGATGGCACGAGAGCACAGAGCTCGCGGGCAGCCCTTGATATATCTCTTCCATCCTCCTCCTGCTAGCTGTAGCTCAGGGCAGCCGTTATGTCAACGTTGACGAGTCCCGACGTCATGGCACTGCTGATAAATCACCAAAAGAAGGGCCATTATGGATCAGTGTGCTTTTGACAGCTACTTGACTCGGGGAAGGAGGCCATTGTCTTCGGTTTGGCAAGAAACATTACAAACAGTCCAAAGTGGGATGACCCGTGAAAGGGAACATGATGCGAGACCCTTCCTTGCGGACCCAGATGAGGGACGTCATGGCCCTCGAGGCATGCAGAGCCATGCCCCGAAAGACTGAGAAATTTCTAGTCGTTACCGAGGCGAACGCATGGTTCGATCTCGACGAGATCGCCGAAATGGGAGCTGGTGTCGTGGGGATGGGTTCGTGTAACTGAGGGTGGGTAATTTCCCCCCCAACTTTGGGGTCAAAAGTATCAACCATTGACACTGACAACGCCAAGTAAGCACACCCGAAGCTGATCGGTTTTCTGAAAGACCACGATAACTTTTGGCTTTGTCACACGAGTTGTTCTCCATACGTTTAAGAGGAGCCCAGAGGAGAACCCAATGACTGCTTGTCCATTGCATCAAGCGGGCCGGCTTCGTGAGTGTAGTTGTTTTCTACCCCAACCGCATTTCGTCTCCAGCTGGATATTCTTGGTCAAATCGGCATCTCTCATGCCGCCTTGACGGAATCCAGTAGAATTGTCGCAATTGTGGTCAACTAGCACCGACCGAAGTCCGAATCCCTTAATCGATAATCGTAAGGTGCTACTTCCATTGACACAAGGCGAGCGCATCTCCTAGTAAAGAATGCAACGACTGAAAACACTCGACAAGGCATGTCCGTCTCGGGAGACGCAGTTTCACACACAAGAGTGACTTGTCTCATACCCAACGCTCGGCCAGCGTTCCTACCGTCATGGTTTAATACAGTCTGTCTCGACTCTCAAGGGCTTGGGCAAGAATCAGGGGCGCTCGCGCTCGTTTCCGGGGCCATTTCGCGTCTGGATTCGGGTCTTGAAGGCCTCAGAGTCGAGCTTTGAAAACCCATCACATTCGCGCGCATCCATACAGTCAATGAAGTAAAAGAGAGAAAAGTTAATGAAGGCGATTCCAGGCTTAATATCGCTCGCCCCAGCCCCGTAGTTCACGTCGTTGTGAGGTTATTGAGAGTTAGATGGCCTTGTTCGAAAGGGACTAGCTTCACTTGAGAAAACCCCAAAACTGGGGTAAGTATTTAGTTCGAGGTCATTCTGGGCAAGCCCGGGCCGGATTTTTGGCAGAGCGGTAACTACCACCCATCGAGTGGGCTTAGCAACTCCGCACCCCCCTCCTCATGTCCTGTAGAACATGGTTCCTTAAAAGAACCAAAGGATCGAAAGACTATGTCTACGCCGCGGGGCCGACCTCGCCGCCACGTTGCACCATGCAGATTCTGCCAAAAACAGTTCAAGAGACTTGAGCATCTTGAACGTCATGAACGCACCCGTAATGCCTTTCCGCACGGCCTCGCGCCCGGGGGTGTTGACAGTCAACCAGGGCTGCTCGACGCCTTGAACAGGCCCCATCTAACGTTTTCTGGCAGACACTCGCGAACAGCCGTTTCCGTGTTCCTGTGGCAGGAGATTCTCCCGTCGGTAAGTCAATCGGGGAGGTTCCGTCCCTTGAATAGGCCTGTCGGCGGGGTTGTTCTGTTCTTACTAGACCAACAGAGACCTCCTGACAAGGCACCAACGTATTTCCCACGCAGGGGAGGTTGGAGAACATGAGACTGTAAACATCTCTGGCGCCGACGAGGCAGGTGACACAGCGGCCGTTGAAATGATAGATGGGGGACAACGTGTTGCTCACGAGTCCCACGGCCGGGTCGTTGCGGCGAGCGGCGAGGGAACAATCATGAACGACGCTTCCGAAGAGTCTGTTGCTGAGACACGAATACGCGACCGTCAGACCGGCTCTGCTCGCGACGTTTTCAACCCGCCACTGTTCGATGTCACCATGGGAGACTCGGAGCTTCTTGCGGATTCGTATACGCAGCAGCTCCTGTTCGGGATGAACGGCCCAGAATACAACTTCCTATGGGGCGACGCGCAGTTGCAGAGTCCGTTCCTGTCATCCAACCTGTTCAACACTGTTTCACTCCCCGTTACGAACACGCCGCTAACAGACTATACGACATCGTCCAACGCACATGGAAACGACGTAGCATCGTCTTCCTCCTTGGCCTGGGGGCCCCAAGAGCCCTCGCCTTTTGAGCACCAGCCACCAGAGCCCCCGTTGACGGAATCTCAGTCCGCTTTCGCCACTAGACTGCCCTCGATGGAACCAGAGAAGCCGGAGCTGATACCTGCAATGGCCGCGCTCGATGACGAGAACCCATCGAACCCCCAAGTTCAACTGGTGAGACGGACCGAGACCGTTCGTCCCTGGAAGATATCCCCGGCCGACTACAGCCAGATCCTTCGAGACTCCGCCACGCTTCGGGATGGCCTTCCGGGCCCATTCTCCCTTCCGTCGAAGCACATGCTCTCGCGTTTCCTGGAAGGCTACTTCCGCGGCTTCCACGTCCACCTGCCACTGCTGCATTGCGTGACCTTCTCCGCCGCGCGCGTCGGCCTTGAGCTCCTGCTCTCCATGGCTGCCGTTGGCGCCCTCTATCGCTACGAGCATGCTCAGGGGTACAGACTCTACGGAGCGGCACGGTCCTTGATTACCTGGCGTCTCGCGCGGAGGGACACGCTAGTCCTTCAGCGGCTGATGAACGGCGAAGCAACGTACGTTGGGCACACCCGTTTCCAGAACAGGTCTGCAGATATCGACAACACGGCCCTGGGCGATGAGGTTGCCGGAGATTCAGGGGATAGAGATAAAGTGGATCTCCGGACCTTACAAGCCATGGTGGTACTGACGGCGATGGCTTCGTGGGGCCACCGTGATCTCACGCGGGACGCTCTGGCAATGTCAAGCCAAGTCGCCATGCTCGCCCGTGACTTGGGAATATCCAAACCCGAAGAGCACTCACCTCCAGGCACACCGTGGAAAGAATGGGTTCAGCAGGAAGAGCGCCGTCGCACCCTCTTTGTGGCGTACAGCCTTCTGAACCTACAATCCGTGGCCTTCGACACGGCGCCACTGATCCTGAACCGCGAGGTTGCCATCAGACTGCCCGGCTGCGCGTCGACGTGGGACTCGCTCAACCCGACCGACTGGTCCACGCTGCGAGACAAATGCTTGCCGCCGCAGCCGTTTCGGAAGAAGCTGCAGCAGTTGCTATCGGGAGAGCAAATCCATCTTGAGGCGGCGATCTCGTCTTTCGCGAACCATGTGCTCATTCACGGCCTGGTTCAGCACATTTTTCTCGCTCGCAACAGCTCCGCGAACCGAGATGCTTTGGGCGGCGAGTTCATCAGCAAGATGGAATCTTCACTGCGTGCCTGGCAGGAATCCTGGGAGGCGACTTATGAATCCACGACAGACCCCTCGTCTCCTAAGGGGCCCATGGGATTCAACGCGACCGCCATGCTGCGGCTGGCCTATATCCGGCTGAACGCCGACCTCGGTCCCGCTTGTCGGCTCCTTGACCTTGATTCCAGGGACGTAGCCGCGGCCTTCTTCGCGGCGAAGCACACAATCGGCGTCAAGGACAGATCCCCTCAACTGGACAGGGCCGTGCTGCAGTGTGCTCACGCGCTGAGCATTCCAGTCCGTGTCGGCGTCGCCTTCGTGGCGCGTACGCAGCCCCTGACCTGGAGCATACAACATGCCTTGTGCAACCTGGAGTGCGCATTTTTTCTGGCGCGGTGGCTTCTGCTCGTCTCCGAGTTCGTCAAAGGCTCCGGATTCGATTCTCTACGGGAAGACGAGCGGAGGCTGGTCAACATGGTTGCGAGCCTGGTGCAAGAAACGGAGTTTGCGGACTCTTTGGACGGAGTCCGGAGCCATGCGCTTCTAATCAGCGGTCTGGCTGTTTCGACCACTCGGCTCTGGGCCCAGACGTTCAAGGGTTCCCACGTGTTTGACATCGTTCGGCTCGTCGGGGACGGCTTGGCAATATTGGCCGAAACACTGGAGAGTGAAGCATCGGTCGAGGATCCGAGCCGAGTCGCGCTACCTCAACCATGAAGCTGAGCCTGCGGCGTGCACCCGCGGGATAACGAGTTGTGTCATGCCAGTATATCAACATCTCACACCTTTTTATGTACGCAGCAGAACACTTGTACTAAGCCCTTCTCAACCGAGAAAAGGCCAACTCATAAAAAAGCAACCGCACATCCCAAAAACCGCCGTGGGGCCCGGCGGGATCCAGAGGTCTTCTCGAAACATTCTGGATCATGCCCCCGAGATGAGGATCCGGAGATTACGACCGGGGCCCATGTTACCCGACCCGTTATTTGTTTGTAGGCAAACTAGATTAGTTGTGCATCTGACGCGGGATTTGCAAGGTGGGTTGAGCTAGCGTGGACGTCTATTGCAGGCAGCGGGATTGTCGGGCGTTTTGGGTTCCATCATCGAAGCCGATCCGAGAATAAGTTTCTTGATATTGTACACGCGCGCAACCTGTAGGTATCCAGGTCGGGCCGATCTGGCTACATACCACGCTCCTCTCCACTTCCACCGGACATTGGACGTAGACGAGATATCATCTTGCACACATTTGAGCCTGTCAGGCGTCTAGCACTGCATCCTCCGGCCCTACCCGACCGTGACCGCCCTAAAGCCTTCGTCTCGCTGAGACAATTTAATAAGAAATAACAAATAGAAGGAGAGAAAATGAATGTGACTTCGCCAACGAAATGTGTCCCAAGAACTGGTCCCGCCACAGCTCCAGCCACATCGTTGTGATTGGAAACAGGTAGTCATGGGTACGAGCAAAGGTAATGAAAAAAAAAAAGATTAACGCAGGATTTCGCTACCATAATAATGCCGAGCCCATCAGAAGTTCAGGGGAGGTATCGTTGTCGAACCACGCAAAGACGGATAAGTCTTCAGCTCAACGACTGCCGAGAACAGAACCACCGTCGTCGCCTCGTGAGTGGGAAAACATCTCCCGGGGTATAATGACAAACCTCAAAAAAGAAAACAACACCTCATAGTGCGGTAAAACGTATCAAATTCGCACTGCCGTCCTGGAGGGCTTCTTGCCCAAAGTCATTTGGCTCAAAGACAAGGTCCGGGCTGCCTTCTTTCGTTGGGGATCTTCGTCCTCGTCGCGTAGTTCCTCGCCAAAGGCGCCATAACCGTATGGCTGTTCTTCCCTTGGCGTCGCAAACACTTCCGAGTATGAATCCTCGTCTCCAGGACCAGTTCCGACACCCGAGTCTTCGGCCATGAACCGTCGGTTTCTGGATAAACCTTCGTCATCGGACGAGTCCTGGTCGAAGGCCGACACGCTGCCGAAGGATTTGGCCGTTGGCGGCGGCTCCATTTGCAAAGACATGCGACCATGGCCGGTGGGTCCGGAAATCATGTTTAGGCGCCTGGTCAACTTCTTCACTTGAGACTCGAGGGCTTGTCTAGAGGTTCTTTCCGTCTCTAGAAGCGCGAGAAGCGTCGTGTAATGATCTGCCGTGAACGTCCCCGTCGTTCTGTTCGACTCAATGTGTGATATCGCAGGCAAGCTGGTGACGCCTCGGATAGTAGAATTCGACATCGGTCTGTTTAAGGGCGCAGGGAACTGCATAGAACCGACGTATGTTGGTGTCTCGCCGAATGAAGTGCGGGATTCTTTCGAGTGCGCAGAGCTGCTGTACCGGGATGCGGGTGCATCCTGACGCGACAACTGCTGGAGCGTGGGATTGACCGCTGTGTTCGTCGTCTGAGAGGACGGAACAGACCCTGGAACAGAGGGTGCAGGACGCCGCGGCGGTTTGAAGTGCACCTGGAAGCCAGGAACGGAGTTACAGAGCTGCGTTACAACATCTTCGACGCGGTGCATCCTCTCTTCGAGGGTGTCTATTCGTGTCTCTATACTGGCTGCCTGCGTGATCTTCATCCCGGCCATGACATTCATGTGAGTCAGGTTACCAAAAGAGAACGGCTGAGGCGGCGTATGCACCTGGTGCTGCTCGTGCTCCACTGGTGAGTCTGGCCCGTCCACAGAGACCGCGCCTGGGAAGTGGTGTTCGTGGTCGGGAGGATTGGATGATGCCGGGGATGCAACGAAAGCTGGGCCATAACTTTGTCTCCAATAGCGGATTTCGTCACTTCTGCGTCGGAGATCAGCACGAACCTCGGGATTCTGGAGACCGCTGAGACTCCTGGAGCGTCGCTTTTGGCCGACGTCGCTGGTGATTGCCCGCCCGATTTCTTCGGGGTTATCGTCATCGGCAAACAGTCGACTTCCACGTACGTGGGTGCTTGCTGGACGGGGTGAAAGACCCGCGAATTCGCTTTCGCGATTTCTGAACGGCGCCGAGTATATCTGGCTTGTAGTGGCGGTCGCAGCCCTCCTGTGGCCCAGCACAGATAGGTCGACATTGATCGAATTACGTGCGCTTTCAATGGCAGTAATGTCGTGAGGCCCAATGGAGTGAGATCTTAATGCTCTGTCGTACTCGGTGATCGGCAAAGATGCCGATCGCTTTGGTTCGGCTTCGTTGACTCGGCTTAAGGCGGACATGTCCTGTTGATTCCCCCGTCAGTCTCCAAGTTCAGACAAAATGTCAGGGCACGGGTACAGCCGATGCCGAAACTTACGCTCTTGTGTTGGTTCGAAGTGTTGTAAGTCGATATGCGTTGCGAATCGGTTGGACCTTGACTAGCCGTCTTCTTTTTGCGACCGAAAAGTTTGCCAAGTGCACCGCGCAAAGTCGACTTTTTGCGCTGAGGCCGGTCGCGGCTCCCGCCAGTTTGCACCGACGATGCGCTCACTGCCGAATAGCGCAAATTGCTGGAGCCATTTGTTCTCCTCTGCGACTGGGGCGAATTGGCATGTGCGCTAGACGTCGGAGGTGACGTTGAGCCAGAGGCGGCGGATCCTGTGGGAGCAACCACCGACTCCGTCCTAGGCGCCTGTGACACTTCGGGCTGGACGACTGAGACAATTGATCCGGCCCTAGGCTCGGCCTGCGGAGGATGCAACTGCTGTTCCTTCATGTCGCCGCCGGCCAAAGGCGTGGCGATACCGGTGCCGGGGTTGCGCATGGGGAACTCGTCGTCGGAGGGGCTGGGGATGGGAATCGGGCCTGATATCTTGCCGCGAATGGACTGGCCCGTCAGAGATCGAGGCAGGACGCCTGGGGCGGGGGTTGGGTTCGCCGACTTGAAGAGGCCCATAGCAGTTCTGACCGGAATGTTTACAGATCGCGGGGGCTCAAGACTAGAGCGAGAGTGGGAGAGGGAGGAGGAGGAGGTGCGGTGTATATGCAAGTCGACCAGTATAAGCCATGGAGGAAGTGACGCTTGTGGGAAATGATCAGGAGGGGCAGAGACAATGCTGGTTAGGTGAGGCCCGAAGATGGCGGGTGATGTCCGGTGCCGTGCCGCAACAGGTTTGTTTGGAACCAATATCCAATGGCCGGCGGCTTGCCAGTTCCAAACTGGGGTTCTCGATCGGACGCCAGATGTCTAGGCCAGGTGGTGATCTATGCTGGAACCTGATTCATAGTGCATATGGCCAGCAATGCGGCTTGTCGTCTTGGGCCTGGCGGGGGAATCGAAGCGGAGAGGTGGCAATGGCTCCTCGACAGCCACAGCGACGCAGTGATTAAAAGACGGAGCGACGTCGAGTGGTCAATCAAAGCACGAGGATTGATGAGGCGAATAAAGGAGAGAAACCCACGAGAGGACCGAGGATTGGGGTAGTAGTTAAGGGACTAAGAAGGGGGACCCTGGCAGCGCATGCGTCATGTATCAAAGGAGCACCCGGGCAGCTCTGCGACAGGCTGGCAGGCAGCCGAAGGAGCAACGTTGGTTGGGACGGACTGTAGCGCGCCGCTCGGTCCAAGGGCGTGTGGTGTGTGGGTTGAAAGGGGGGGGGGATGGAGGTGAATTATACAATATCAGGAGAAATGCGTGATAAATAGTAAGTAAAGAAAAGGGTCAATCAAGGTGTAAGGAACGTTGGCGCGAAGTAGCGGTACCCGAAGCAGGGTTAAGACAGAGAGGCCGAGACAGGTCGGAAAAGAAGGGTTGGAGAGACGCGGTTGGTCCAATATGGAGTCTCTTGCTGTTCCCAACGGCTAAAAGCACGGTAGAGAGACGGGTGGGAAAAGAAAAACAAGAGGGAGAGAGGGTGGGAGAAAAGGGAAAGCAATTGGCATGTATCTGTATCGGTTCTGCGCAGGATGAGTACAAAGTACTTGGGTGAGGGACCGTACCTTTACGATTCGATGGGGAGAGAGGGCCCGGCCAGGGTAGGGGGAGGACGACGTCGAGGTGGAAAAGGCAAGGGACTTGCGGACAAGGACGAAAAGAGCGAGAGACCAGACCAGGCCAGGCCAGACGGAGGACGGAACTTCAGATGGATGGGCACACGGAGCAAGAGGCAGACGGGAAAGAGACATGGAGGCACTGGCGGGCCACATTGGCAGATGCAGATGCTAGCGTGATGAAACGAGCGTGCATGCACGACCAGGAGAATACGGACCATTGGAACGCCGTCAATGGTGCGCGTTGGTCGCGTCTAGGATATACAGAGAGATGGGCCGAGAAGACAACGATGATGAATGGTTTGTGTTATCTTGTCCATCGTTCCGTGCAAGGAGACGGGCTGTTTACAACACGAGGGGCATCCAGAGAAGAGAACAGCGGCGGGCAAAGACAGGATAGGACGGACAGACGGGCGACGACGAGCTGAAGCCGTTCCCATCTCCATCTCATTTCTACACTACCTACCCCTCGTGGCCCTCGCTTGCTCGCTCGCTCGCCGTGGCCGGTGGCTCCTCCTTCTCCTTCAGATTGAGAGGTCCCAGCTTCCTTCCACATCCACACCCACCGCACCACGTCTGCGTCCCTGCCGCTTGTTCGTCCTTCCTCCTTCCTTGACCTCCCCTGGGTCGGGGATTACCCTTGTTTGAGGCCAGTGCTTGGGGCGCCCAGAGTAGTGGGGAAGGAGACAGGACGTGGGACCTTCCCCCCTGGTCGAAATGGCATTGGGGTCATCGACTCGACAAGTGCTGCCCGCGCTAGAGGCATCCAATGTGACACCTCCACCAACTGGATTCGGTGTCCTTGCCCGTCCGAGGTAAGCCACCTAGGTATTCGTTGTGCATGTAAGCGGAAGGCGGGTCATGGAAGGTAAGGGACGCGGAGCAAAGCCTGGACAATAATCTGCGCTAGTTGCGCGTGTTCTCTCTCTTTCTCTCTCACTTGCTCTCGCATCCTCTGCGCGCGCATGCGGGCTGCGGATTGAGATGGAGGGTATTGGTAGGTCTGTGTGGCCAAGCATGATACGCCATTGGACGAGGAACGTGTGTCTGTGTCGATATCAACCAATTGTCTTGCCCGAGATATCGTGTCCTGCCCATGCTGGAAAGGGCGCCCGTATATGAGCGACGTGAGGGATGGATGGAATGTAGGAGGTAGAGGCGCGCGTAAAATAGAAACCATTGTATGATGTATCCGGCTCTGCTCCCCTGCTTGTCCATGTAAGCAAGCACGTCAAGTCCGTACCTGACGTCGATCAAGGGAACGGGACATGGCATGTTGGACGTCGGCGTAAGGCGGTCCATCGCAACGACTGGCACGGAAGTAGCCAACTTGAGAAGCAACCGTGAGCCGTGTCTTTGAGGGGGTCTGCAACAACTCGGCCAGCTAGACCGGTCTCTGACGACCGAGCTGGACGCGTACCCATTGCCATTTGATAAGGAGGCCACGGATTGCTTCGTCTCAATTGACCAAAAAAATAAATCCCACAAGTGCTGATCTTCCAATTTTGTCAGTCCCTGTTCCGGTTCCAGGTCCAGAGGCAGAGGTGTCTCAGCCACAACACAAAACAGTTTTCCTCTGCCGACGCCTTTTCAAGCCAACTGTGATCCACACGCTTCACCTGCACTGACAGCCGTGAAGATGAGAGGGACCCTCCGTGTGGAGAGACCTGACTGCCAACATCCGTCGTCCTGACACGATATGTCCGTCCGTGGGTACTATCTCACTTGCTGTAGTGCAGGCTCAAAGTGTCTACTATGGAGCAAATGCCTTATCCAATCCCCGGCTCTGCCGGATCCAGTCCAACCCGGCCTGCTGGTCCGATTTTGAGGAGCTGCTGGATTTGGCGTCTTGTTTCAGTCTTGACTTCCTTTTCTTTCCCAGCTGCTCCCGCTGCTAGTCCCCGTCCTAGACTCGTGTGTGTGCGTGGCCCGTGTCAACTCTACACCCCGCTTCACCAACACGAACAACCTCTCCAGACCTCCTGGCTTGCATCCCACAAACCTGTGTTGCGGATAAAGACTGGAGATCATCGCGAACGGCGGAAGTTCCAATGCTACCAAGCGCACCAACATCGCGGCTCCTGGATTCATGTCACTCGGCCCGGTTTTTGGCCTTGTCGCTACCAGACACGATGCCAACCCCAACCTGACCCATGCTCAGCGTCTGTCGAGCGTCGACCGGCAACAGGCTACGGCCCCCAAGTCTCAGCTCTCACCCCGGTTTAACAATCATGCTGAGTCGGGAAAGAGGTCATAGCCACGCCCACGGGGCCGGAACCCTCCTGACTGGGCAGCCTTCTGTGCAAGCGATAGGGACGACAGGCGAGAGACGATGGCCCTACTCCGTACACCAACGGAAACCTACCAGAGGTTTTTTTGGTGTCTTCACCCGGCGTGGCGTCCTAGATTCCGCCATCCAAGACCTCTGCCGCAGGCTAGTCGTCCAATATCGCAACGCCGCGCTAGGGTCATCGAACGCCAACCTTAAGCCCATTAGGAAATCAGTGAAGGGACCCGGCAGACGCTGTGCTGGAATTTAGGGATCGCTATCATCGGCACTAACCTCTCTTGTCTCTCTATGGCCAGATTGCCACGCCCACAACCGCCGCCCCGCAAACCTGACAGTCGCCCACGCCAACCTATAGCTAACCCCGACGGGCGGCTGGCTGTACGAAGATTGTTCGCCTGCTTGACAGCGCTAGCTGTGGCTTTCGAGGATCGATGCCGGAGAAATGTGATTGCTAGTGCTACGGACGAATCCCAACGCGCCATCGGGTTGCAAACTACCACAGCGCATTCCTCTCCTGGATCGCTGCAACCACATGCCACGTCCTCCTGCATATACTCGCCTGCCTACCCTACCTGGGTTGTTCTTGGTTCGAAACGGCGGCACAACGGAGGCTGCCGCACACCTAGTCGCTTCGAGCCAGATGACAACTTTCGTCACTTTTCAACCGAGCTCCCTTTGGAGCAGCAAGGTCTTGTCGACGGCCGCGTCTTCCAAATCCCCCGACGTGCAGCTTCGCAAAGAGCATGAGGAACCAATAGCGTGAGGGACGACCCCACATTGCAGCTCGAGAGGCTAAAACACCACATGGCTTATAGGCCTTCGCCCAACGACCGAAGTTGTCCCCTATTGTCTGCCTCGACAGGCCTAGTCTAGATCCGGTCGATACTCGTTGAGCGTTCTCTGTCTTCGTATCAAAGTTGTCGATTCCTCCGGTACCTATGTCAGCGCCTGCCGGCTTCCTCATCCCGTATCCCATGACTCGCGGCGGGACTTTCTGGCGACGGCTGAGAGAACACCACATGGCAAGAATCCTGCGAGTGGGCTCCGTCCCATTGTCTATGATACCCTGCCGGAATTTCTCGACGGCCGACAGTCGAGGAATCTTGCCCGCCAAACTGGTCGACGAGCCGTCTATTTCTGGGACCAGTATGCACGAATGGCATGACTAATCAAACAGCTGCTGCCAGAGCGGTTCCATCACAGACAACACGATCATTGATGCAGGACATGGCTGCACTGTCATAGTCGCGCACACACTCATGCTTTGTCGCAACCACCCCCCCGATACGACCTAGATCAGACGCGAAGTGTTCTCCCTTCGTCAGCGATGGTTTGATCGGCTGCTCAATGGATCACGACGGAGCATCATATAGCGAAGTAGCCGACTTATGATCTGCCCGTCAACGTGCTGGCCTTGCTTGAGCCAACGGCATAATTGAGAGCATAAGATGCACTACAGCCGTCAACGCCAGCCAACGCTGTGTGTCCTACCCAGCCGCGCTCATTACTCGCTAAAAGCCCTCTGGCTGCCGGGACACATACCCAGTTAGCGAAGGCCCCGGAATTGGCATCGTCTCACATTGCTGGAGACGAACCGCTCCGCTGGGAGGGAAAACTCACGGAAGCGTTGTTTCATTCCGCCATATCATGAAATGCTCTACACGGCCTGAATATAGGATTCACTCCACACGCGCCTCCTACCTCCAAAAGCGGGCGCCAGGTTCTCAAGTGCCGCAAAGGAAAACCACTTCCTAGCGTTGCATCCGTGACGAATCAGCAACAGACAACGCGAGCCACATATCGCGACCTTGACGCGCATTGCCCCTCGTCAGTTGCCTTTATCTAGAGCAACTGTTGCGGTGTAGGTTGCCAGCAGCAACAAACCCGAAAAACAGCATAGTCTGTTGCACAAGACCAACATGCGAGATATGCGAGAGGGATACGGCGTTTTGTCGGCTGTTTCGCATCTGCAGCGGACATGGCTTTAGTCTGGTCGTCGAGAAAATTTCCGCCAATTCTGGTGATGTCTCGCGCCAAGAAATCTTGACACTTGCCATCTTGCAGCTGCGGGCAACTCGGTATCAGCCGTAGACTCGGGTCAACCTCACAACCCCAACGACGCTGCTGATACCAGTGTATAAAATGGACCAGCAGCGGCGTGAGTACTTTCAAAGTTAAACATCACCGTCCTCGTCGGTAAGAGCATAGGGCGGGTCTGGCCACGCGAACAAAGAACAGGCATGGCACGGGCTTAAAAGTAACCTGAAACATACATGGGTGCCGCCTTCTCCGTCTGATGAGTGACGGCTGACATCTGAGCCCCGTCTCCCCTCCGGTCTTTCTTTTCTTCTTTCGCGCCCAGGATCATAACACGAGCCGAGCAGCCTGGGCCCTGGCGCCTATCAACTTGCGTCAACGGACGCTCCCTCCCCCCTTGAACCCCACTGGGACGTGAGCATGGTTGACGGTTGATTGAAAAAATTCTACGATACGCCACGCCAGAAGGTAGACAATGCAGCCCATTCCCTTTTCGGCAGCGTTGGGGAACCAGCGCATCGCACCGCATGAGGAACCATCCCACTTCGTCCGCGGCCACTCTCAGCGGGCCAACACCCCGAGGAAGCCGGTTCGTCGGTTACCCAGATCGTCTGGTCTTTGGCCATGAAATCTTCCCGTAGCATGAAGGATGACATTGAGGTGGCGGGCCTACGTGGGAGGATGGCCCTCACAGCCACCACAAGGCCGCAGCCTTCCCGCCATCCCAAATAGGGCATCAATGCCCCTGAAGTGACGACAAGTCCGGATAACGCAGATCTGCGTTCTCCTCGAGGAAGTCCATCCATCGCTTAAGGAAGTTACTACCTCTGATTATGACGGAGCAGGTTAGCGAAAGAAGAAACACGACCGAAGTGCCGGCGGCTTGGTGCGGCTCAGCAGTGTCTCAGGTACAAGCCGATACCATCTGTGCAGACGTTTCCGCTTCGCACAACCAACAAAACGGCTGCAATGGAAGAAGCAATTCTCAAACGGACTTACCTCTTGACTGTCTCCGAGTCTCCGATCACCGTCAGCGAGCGTTTGGGTCGCGTCATTGCCACTACAGCGCATTAACATTCATGCGTCGAGCCACAAAGCATGCCAGGATCTTCCTAGGCACGGCCGGTTCATCACTCGTGAGCTTACCATTCAGTCGACGCTTCTCGCCAAGAAACCCTACTTCTCCGTCAGAGTTGCTCCGGACAAGGCTGACAATGACTGCCTCCTTTTCGCGGCCCTGGAAGCCGTCCACACTACCTAGCTCGATGCCCGGCAGTTGTTCTTTCAGGGGCGCTAGAATGGCGAGCTTTTGGTTCATCCGATGTTAGCATGATGCTGCGGCTCACAGCTGCCGGACCAAACACCATTCAGGGGATTTCAGGGGGTTGATTAAACGTACCTGAGCATTGTAAGGGGTCACGACGGCGATGTCCTCTGGCTTGACTCCAGCGTCGACCAGTTTCTGGGCATGCTGGCGCACCAACGCTGCTTCCATCTCGTTGCTCTTACTCTCCCCATGCAGACTGAATTTGGCCTTTTTGACGGCGTCCTTGTCGTCGTCCTCGCTCTTCTCAGGGTAGTCGCCGCCTTGCGTATCTATAAAGACTAGCGGCTCGTTTGTATCTTCGGTGTCCTCAACTTCATACGGTAGGTCTTTGAGGAGGCGTTCTCTGACTGCCTCTGCAGCGATGAGCTTTCCCTCGTAGAGCTCGTCCGACGGGAACCTCATAATCTTCTCATGCATGCGATATTGTGTGGTCAGCATGCGTTTGATGGATGACCCATGGAGAGCGAGTAGTCTGTCAAACAGAGTCGTTTCCAGCGTCATGCCCTTGATCTGCTTTTCCGCGCCTTCTTTCGGTACTACCGCGGCCTTCACCTTGGAGTTGAGCGATTTGATCGTCGGCGGGAGCTGCAGATGATCGCCGGCACACACGGCCTTCTTGGCCGACAGCAAGGGCACCCAGCACTGCGCCTCGAGCGCCTGGCTGGCCTCGTCAATGATGACGATGTCGAACTGCTGGTCCCGGAGCTGGTGCCCCCCAGCGCCGTGCAGCGTCGCCAGGACCACCTTGCTCTCGCGGATGAGGTCGCTGACGCAGCGGCGCTCGCGCTCGCGGAACTCCTTGCGCAGCTCCTTGAGATCTGCGTAGATCTGGCGCTTCTCGCGGCCATTGCGGGTCTTTTTAATGGATGCCTGCTTCGCATCCATCTCGGCGCGGACGTCCTTGACGATGGCTCCGGCCTCGGAGGTCTGGGTCAGCACGTCGAGGGAGTGGGCGAGGACGCTGGGGAGCAGACGAGCCGGGTGGCCGAGGCGGAGGATGGGGATCTTGTGCGGCGCCAGGCGCTCAACGATGTTGTCGACGGAGATGTTGGAGGGGCCGCAGACGAGGATGCGGAGGTCAAGCTTGATCAGTTGGAGGATTAGCTCGATGAGGGTATGAGTTTTACCAGTCTAGAGGCGCGTCAGTTGTAGTTCCTCGCTGTTGGTCCATGAGGCGAAGGGACTACGGCCGACTCACACCCGGCGGCCCATGGATGAGGGCCACTTCCCGTGATGCCAGCGCAAACCGGATGGCATCCTTCTGGGAGTCGTTGAGCGAAGGGTCAATCCATTGGATCTTGGAGAGCTCCGGATCCAACGCCAGGTCTTGGGGCACGGGAGACGGGCTCGAGAGGCCAAACAGGACGCGCATGAAGGCGGTGTACTCTGATTCGGTCATTTTCTCGAGCTTCTCCATGGTTTGGTTCATTCTGTGATGGTCAGCGGCTCCGCCTAGCCGTTGAATTGGTGTTTGGCAGGCGAGTGGGCGGGCGGCGGCTCGCCGAACTCGTGGCGAAGCCATGCTCAACCCCAAACCAAGCTCATCCTGCCCTCGATCCTGCAACCCCAAACCCCCGTAAGGCAGTGAAGGAAAACGCAGACTCACCTCCGGTACGTGACATCGTCAGCAACCTTGACGATCCAAACCCTCCCGCCGAACTCCCTCTCCTCCCCTTTGCCCTCGTCGACGGCAACGCCGATCGTCTCATTCCGCACCCTCGTGACGACGCCGCGCGCCCCTTTGCTCTCGAGCTCCTTGACCTCCTTCTTCTTGGCGTTCCCCGCGGGCTGCTCCGAGACGAGAACAATGTCGCCCGGGCGGAGGCCGTGTTCTGGGAGGTCCGAGGACACGGCCGGGTCGGCGCCGAGTTCCAGGACAGTGCGGCCGCCGAGGCCGGTACGGCGGGCGCCGACGACGAGGTTGGGGAGGGCGAGGCCCGCGCGCTGGAGGGCGGCGGGGGCGTGGTGGGAGACGAGGGCCGATGACTCGGCAACCTCGGCGGCGAGCTCGGCGGAGAGGAGGGAGAGCTGGGTTGATGCGAAGGAGGGGACGGAGAGGGGTTCTGATGCCGCCATTTTGTTTTTTTCTCCCAGGCGCGTTGCTTGGTGGGCTCCCCCGATCAGGTGTAGTCCTTCTGTGTGACCTTTCCGCCTGGCAGTAGACCACGGCTGAGGCTGATGAGATGCAGGTAGCCCAGGTTCACCGAAGGATCGTTGGGGTCTGTGTAAGTGAGGTAGTTGTGTGTAGTCACGAGAAGAGGTTGTAAGTGGTTCTGCGGTTTGGGGCCCACAGTTGAGGTGCTGTCTGGCTTTGACGTCATCTGATAGGCTGAGGGGAAACCATTGAGTGCGAGCTCGAGGCTTCTGCGGTCAGACACCTGCGAAGTGTAACATTAAAATAAAATGGCCTGCTCTTGGTGCATGTGGGAAATGAGCAGCGCGTACTCAAACTGGTCTAGAGGGCAAGTCGTTGTTTCTGGCCGCGCCTGTCCTCTATCTTGAGTTTGAGGGATCGAACGATGGCGGTACAGCGCAAGTCCCAGGCCCTTCACTTCTTCTCATACACGGTGCAAGAATTCCATTGACAGGGGCCGAGTGTGTCCTTTGCTCCAGAAATTTGTAAAGTTTCCTTTGACGATAGAAACCGGTCGCCGAGATGCAAATGGGTATTTATTATATGCTCATTCCTGCGTAACGTCGGATATACATGAATATGATACAGATAGGTTGCTTTTATATATGCAAGCCAGCACACCCCGACTCGTCCAGTTCTGCCAATGAAAAAAGAAAAACACGGCCCTTTTCCAACATAAGCAGCAAAGCGGGCTCGAATGCCGAGGCCGGATCCCGCACGAGACGGACGTCCCTCACCGCTCCCTGCTCGTCGGGCTCACGACCACGACAACCACCAGGCTCACCGCCATCAGGGCAAAGGCGACGAGGGAGACGAGTATGATGGTGCCCCTGCTGGCCGGGAACTTGCCCTTCATGACCCACTGCTGGGCGCGGAAGTAGCGCTGGTAGCCGAGGAAGAGGATGAGGATGCTGATGGCCAGGAAGGTGGCGCCGAGGGGCTTGCCCAGCTGTCGCAGGGTGTGGGCGTTGGGGTCGGTGGAGTCGGGGTTGGAGAGGGACGAGTTGAGGCGGAAGAGCTGCGTCACGGCGATGCCTATCGAGGCGAAGGCGAGCGAGGTGCGGAGCCATGCGAGAAAGGTTCGTTCTGCGGAGAAGAGAGAGGTATCTGGTTAGCCTGGGAATCTTACGGACAAGTGTGGTTGTACGAGAGAGGGCGGTCCCCCTCCCCCGTCCGTCCCACGCCAAACGTACCGAGTGCGAGGTGGTCGCGGGCCACGCTGCCCTTGTTCTCCAACTCGATGCTCTGGAAGCTCGACAGGAACACCGTGTACCACGGTTCCTTGGTCTGCGCCGCCCGCTCCCGCTCCTCCCGCGCGACCACGTCGTCGTATTCCTCCTCCTCCTCGACCTCGGTCTGGGCCGGCAGGCGGTCCCGGGTCGACTGGGCCGACTTGCGGGGCCGCATGCCGGCTAGCAGTTCGGGAGCGGCGGTCGGCGCCGGCGTGGGATTCATGCTCTGGTAGTTGCGGTCCGGGCCGCGGGAGATGATGCCGACGTTCTCATCGCGGGAGCCGTCCGCGCGGGAGTATTGGCGCGGGGGGCTGGCGGGGCGGAGCGGGTGGTCGAGAGTCCGCCGCCCATTGCTTGTGCGCGGCCTCGTGCTGCCTGTGTTCGGGGGCGGGCCCCAAGATGTGAGTTGGGATTGAGCGGAGGAGACGGGCAACGGTCCCGGGCGAGGGAGGAGTGTGGGGAGGGGGGAACGGGACGGTGAAGAAGGGGCCGGCCGAGGAAGGGGGAGAATGTTTAAAATAGCTAGCCAGCCAGGGTCCTGAGGGACGTGAGACTGGCGGCTGGGAGGGTGGGCGCCAAGCAACGAAGGGTAAGAGGCAGAGGTCCCACAGTCCCAACTGCTCGGTGGTGATGCGAGGGGCCTGATGCAGGAGTGAAAGCTAAAATAAAAAACAACAACGTACCTCTAGGATCTCGTTGATGCGCTCGTTGGTGCTCTGTCTCCGGGAGAGCGAGCGCGGCGACGCTGGGGCGCTGTCATCGTAGGAGGCGCGCCTACTTAAGCCTCGCGGTGGCGGCGGGGTGTCGGCGGTGGACTGGGATTGCGGCTGCTGGGTATCGGACGAAAGAGGTTGAGGAGATGCTACTGCTGCTGTTGCTGCTGCGGTGGCATCATCGCGGGCGCACGCCATCACGACCGAGACATGGACATCTGCATGTCCTAGGCTGATGGCGGGATGGAGATGCGGCGGGACCTGGCGGTGGCTCAACTCACGCAAGGCAGGGGTCGAGTGACGTGATCGAATGATTGGAGCGAGATTAAAAAATAAAAAAAAGAGAGCTGCCCGAAACTAGAGGTTCTTGGAAATCTTCGGCTGTCTGGGGAGAGAGCTTCGCAATCGGAGAGGGTTTGAAGGGCGATTGCGCAGAACGGCTGGTGAGAGGTGCGCTAGTGCCGTCTCCTCATGCAATGCCCGCCGTTCGTTAGCGCCAATCGCGGCCGGCGGCGGAGGGGAAAGGGAAGGGATGGGCGGTGTCTACGCTGCAATGACAGTGGGGGTCCGGGGGCGCGGTTGAGAGGGGGGAAAAGTAAGGTTTGGGCCGAAATGAGGCTTGCAAGTGGTTTCCCTTTTCACGAAAAACGGACAAAAAAAATTGAGACGAGACGAGATGGGTTTCCACGTCCCTTCACGTGGTTATATCTTGGATGTGAACCCCATGACATCCCTAGCTCAGGACCCCCTCCTCCAGAAGCTCTATCCGGACTGATTGATGGGATGGGGTTCGGGCTGCTTGTTTTGGTTGGTCGCCGTCCATTCCAAGGATGACATCTCTCTTCTTTGAGGTGGGAGGGGGCTCCGCCGATGGCCACGGGGGCTAACGGCCGCCAATCGGGATGCGTAGCACCTGTCGTACATGAATCAGTCTTCAACCTCACCTCGGCCGTGAAGGGGGCCTGTTACCCCAGATTTTTCTCTTTTGGTTTCGTTGAATTACCAAACATCACCCAAACGAATACAGTGGATGCTTTCCCCGTGCTGCTTCTCAAGGAGCCAGAGCATTGACAACAGCCATGGCACAAGCAGCCTGCCCAGAAGACATGCACATGGCTTCCGTCCTTGATCCAGAACATCTACCTCGAACAGCTGCAGCTCTGTGGATTTCTACATAACGCCGGCATGTTCTTGACGGCTTGGGTCTCATTGGCCACCTTCATAAGCACTTTAGTCCCGTCAGGAGGTCTGACAGCCGCGGCTAGATACAAAGGAGCGGCAGTCTGCGCTTCGACGCGGATGCCTCAAACACCGTCCAGGGACCTCATCTCACCACAGGCAGCAGGCCCTCGTCCCTGAGATGATGATGAGGATTGTTTATCGTCCCTGCCGAACGAACATGAGTGAAACACAGGAGCTTCTCTATGGAGTTGCAACATGTGCTGCCGCTGTCAGCAAGACTTCACTGCCACCCGTTTCTCAGCCGGGCATTGCCTCGTGCTACGCAACAAAGGCGAAACGAAAAGGGACAAGGTCAAGGAGAAATCCGACCAGTCTCAATCGCTCCCAAGTAGTTGAAAGAAGTGTCGACAAGAATTGGACCCAGTTACAAACAGTTCCAGGAAGGCTCCGCGGCGGCTAAGACACGGGTATTGGGGACGTGCATTCCATTCATCGCGGCGTCGACTGCATAAACAGATCGGACATGTACACCGAGATATAATCACTATTTGTCAATGGACGCGGAGCGAGCCATGTCTGGCGTCATACGTGCATCGTCAGGTCATTGGCTGTATACATATGCACCAGTGTCGCAGCCTAACCAGGCGTAGACACAGTGGTCGTTTTGCAACCGAACGCGAATTCCGGTCTCGACACCCTCTCCATAGACAACTGCCAATGATGACGCTGCCTTGCTCTCTCCTGGGTATCCTTTGGAAGCGGCTCTGGTGTGCCCATCTTCCCAGCGAGGCCCATTCTGCATTTGCGAGGACATACCAAAGTAGAAAGTTGTACACCGAAAATGCAGAGTTGTTGACAACTTTTGTTTTTATTCGTGAATCATCTACTTCCACAACCCAACAGCAAGAACCAGCCCCCCATTCTCGTCGTAGATGGACTTGGCCTTGATGTACGCCGTCGTCCGATCTTGGTCCTTCCCTTCCCCAGCCGGCGCCTCGGCCGCAGACGTGCACTCCGACACGTTCAAATACATGAGGTAGGCGAAGCCGGCCTCCGACGTGTGCTGCTCGCTGCCGATGGACTTTAGGTACGCGCGCCCCATCCACTCGCTGATGTCAGAGAAGGACGTTGGCGGGCGAGCGCCCGCGCCCCGTCTCGCGAGCCAGGAGATGGTGGTGTGGACGAGCATCCCCGAGACCACGACGTGGCAGACGCGTCTGTAGAAGGGCTCGGTGGGCGATGGCTCGAGGTCGAAGGTCTGGTACTCGACGGACGACGACGCGAGACGCCAGAGGCCGAGGTGGGCGTGCCATTCCACGCCGGCTTGGCGGGGGAGTTCCTCGACTTCAACGGCGAAGAAAGGGGGTACCGGCTTCTTGCCCTCTCCTTCGTCCTCTTCGGTCGCGCCCTTGACGACAGACCAGTCCGGAAGCTTTTGCGGAGCGGCGGCGTCATCGCCGAGGGACATGTACGCCGGGTTAAACTTCCGATCCCACAGGTCGGGCCCGCCTTCGTTGTCCCCGTCCTCGTCTTCATCGGGGGCATGTGCGCCCTTCCACGCAGCGGCGGCGAGATGACTCTGGCGCCTCTTGTCCGCCTCTTCCGGCGTGTGCGGGAAGTACGCAACCGCGCTGGTCCACAGCTGCACCTTCATCTCGGTGGCTATGCGCCAGAGATGCTGCAGAGACAGGATAATTTGCATTTCCAAGTTGCCCGTCGTCTCAGTAGGCAAGATCATGCTCGCCGGTACGAGCGGAATCTGGCCTGCAATCGCCACTGATCTGACTCCAGCCTGGCCCGCTTCTTGCTCGCCTTGCGACGGAGCCGCCTGGTTGCTCAGGGGCACGTCGATGGCCTGGCTGTACGGGCCAATGTTCGCAGGCGCCCAGTAGGATCGTGACTGAACGTGAAGTCCATTCCGCTCACGGGGTTCCAGGTTTGGCTTTACTGTTAGATGGATGTTGATAGCGCTTCCCGCCTGAAACCCGCTGCACGAGATGGTCACCCGGGATGGAGGGTTTGGATGCTGGAACAGCTTGCTGTAGATCTTGTTGACCGCGGGGAAATCTGACATGGAACTCAGGGCAATGACGGTGTTGGTGATGGCTGTCGTAGGCAGCGGCGGAGAGTGGTCAGCGAGGCGCTTGTGAACTTGCCGGACTATCTCCTCGGTTTGCTCCTCGACAGACAGGTTCTGATCTTCTGCCGCCTTGGCAGCGAAAGACCAGTGGATGTCATCCGAAGGAGCCTTGGAAGACGCCGATACGTTACCGTCGCCTTTCGCAAAGCCTTCGCCGGACAGGGCTTCCTGGGCTGGAGGAAGAGCATCCAGCAGGGATTGGAATCTCGGGTCGAGAACGTCGGGCACCCGGGGCGGAGGACAGCTCTCTCCCGAGTCCGTCTCAGGGGTTGGCTTCTCTCGGACACTCGCCCCCTGAAAGCTCAACCACGACGTCCCGCCGCCCTCCTTGACAACCCGTCTACCGGACTCCGGCACCTCGATGGCCTTCCGAAACAAGCTGGGCGGGCCGTCGAGCACGAGCGTCTCGAACTCGCCTCCCTCGCCAATGACGGAACCCTCGGCAGCGCCAAACTTCCTCAGAGCACGCTTCACGCGCGCGGCGCCTGCGATGCTGCTCACCTTCTCCCACAAGAAGTCGTCATCAAGCCCCGCGCTCGCGACCTTGATGATCCTTGCGTCCAGCCCGGCGGCTGCCATGTCGTGGAGCAGCTGGGCTTCCTCGACGGCTCCCGGAATGACCGGCGGCAACACAGGGTACTTCCAGAGATACGCCAGCGGCGTAAGGCCCAGACGCAGCGCGACGGATTCTACACGCGTCCGCTGGTATGTCGACAGAATCGCACCCGCACACAACGCGTTGGCCTCCGGGTGGTCCGCCATGATGGCGCGGAGGAGGGGCACCATGCTCTCCGTCTCATCCGCGTCAGTCTCGGGGGCCGCGTCGCCATCTCGTGTCGACACGGCCTGGGAATCGTAGTCTCGGCCCTCGTACTTGGCGCCGCCATAGATAGGCTGGCGGTAAAGCGGCAGCCCCGTGGCGTCCGCATATAGGGGAATGACCTGGTGGCCGACGGTCTGGTACATGAAACTATTCAGGTCGGCGTCATCATCGGCCCTGTTGCCAGCCTTCGCTCCTTCCTCCTGCTCCTGAGCATCCTTCACGTGATCCCCCTTGGGCTCGTAAACGATGGTCCCAGGGGCCGAGCGCGTGGCGTCGGAGCCGGCGCTAACGGAGGCGGAGGGAAAGAGATTGGCGAGGGCGACGAGTCGATGCCCGTTCCTCTGACAGTGCAGGGCGGAGAAGAAACTGTCCTTGCCCCCCGAGACCAAGGCAATGACGTTCAGCTGTTCGGATGACATGGTGGGCGGATCTCAGGCTACCGTTCGGATTATGCGGGACGGGGAACTCGGGCTTGAATGTCTGTCCGCGTGCTTGTGCCTGGCGTATGCCTGGAATCCGTGCTGTGCAGCGCCTGGCGAATATCTCTCCGTATGCGAGGCTTTGTGCAAAATTAATGGTAGGTGGGCGGGGACACGGACTTCATGTGGGTCATACAGCAATCCAGTTCTGTAGCGGGACAGGAACAGACTGGTTAGCCCCGACGCCAAGGGGACCCTGGAGTGTTGAATAAAGGTTAGAGCTCCGTCGTCGGGGCTCGCTGCGTATGATGAGGCCGGGGCGATTGGGGCGATTGGTAATGAGATAGGTCGAGGTGGTACGAGACGGAGCGAGTGAGGAGCCCGGTTCGGGGTATGAGAAGTGAAGAAAGACGTGAAAAAAGCATAGTAAGAAGTACACGTTGGAGTCGTGACGAGCCGCTCCGATCGGACAATTTGGCAGCAACGGGGCCAAAAGTGGAAGCGAGAGACGGTACGGGCGACGGGAACCGTGAAGGTACCTGGATCGCTGCGGTACTTGGACTCACGAGCGAGGATGCAGTGTACGTCTCCGGTGGGATGATGCAGAAATGCCCTGTTCATTCTCGAGCATGAACAGCCCGTCCACATCCTCGCTTCCATTTGTATGGGGCAAGGACGTTCCTCGACGTCTTCCATGGCCGAGGAAACGGATACGGCACGGCAGCTGGATGCAATAGAAGCTATGGAGACTTTCCCTTCGACCTTCCTTTGCAACGGGGCCTTGCAGGTACCCAGCCCCCCATCCTCATCTTCATCGAGATCCTGACCGGTCTGCCTGTTTGCCGCTTCCCATGTACTCTGTCTTCCATGCCTTCGGTGGACCTTCCAAGTTCTTGGAGGAGTCATGTGCTGCTGGGGGTCCCTGAAGGGCCAAACGATACGATACAACACTAGGAGATATGCCGCGGCGGCAGGAGATATCCGTCTGATACTCGCCTCGCCTGGCCTGGCCGCGGGCTAGGTTTGGGACCACGGTGCCTGGGTCCTCGGCTCATGGGGGTGGTAATTTGGCGGTCGTCGGGGGGCCTGTCAGGACCGGTGCTGGGGATTCGGAGCTGATGGACGGTGGACATGGACTCGTCGCCGGTCCCGGTTATGCCTGAGGTTAGCCGATGATCCCACGCTGCCCGGGGGGGGGGGGGGGGGGGGGGGGGGGGGGGGGGGGGGGGGGGACCCAAGTGGGAGAGGGGGGCCATAGGGGACCTAACCTGGACTGCTTCGAACAGGCGACCTCGGGATGGCCTCTGAGGGGGGAGGGAACCTTGGGGTCGCGGGCGGCGACGGGCCTGTAGATTAGCGGGCCATCCGTCCAGGCCGTGTGTCCTCCAGCACGTGCCTCTCTGCTCTTCCCACTTCGTGCGAGCGGGCCGCGCCAAAATTGCGCTGGAGTTCGTCCTTCATGCTTCATGGGCTGATGAAACCATCGGAACCTTACACCGCTCGACACTTTGCTGGTACCGGCTCGAATAGACTGACTGACCAGCGCCAGAGTGGGCTGGACCCCTTCTGAACCTCGACTCGCACCGCTTCGCTTGCAAGTTGATGTTCATATCGAAACTGGGGCACCGGAACGACGACTCTGGATTCCCCGGATGGGACACAACGCCTCAGGCAACATTCGCATTAGTCACAACAGTCCGTCTCGTTCATGGATGGATATGATGGATTAGCATATCATATCATCCCATTCACCATGACCATCGTCGGTGGAAGAGAAAGCAAGGCTTTCCTGAGGAAGCCCATCACCAAAGTGGTAAGATGTTCCCGTCCCCACGGACCATCATCACCATGAGATCCATCCGTTTGGCCTGTGCTGTCTAATAGTTTGGTGACAAGTCGAGGCACGTCCCCCCCCCCCAGAGGGGACCCCCCCTCACAAGTCGTCAGGAAGGCCCGAGACCACAAGCGACGCGCACGATAAACGGCGCCAGGCCGTCTTCATCTCAAATCAAGCAAATCAATCAACCCACTGGTGCGTCGACCGCCACTATCGAGCCACGGACGAAGCACATGACCCCTGCGATCTAAGGGTCACCTTCTCCGTCCACCAAACCTAACAGCAACCTAGCCCAGGGCATGACGCGGAATGGACTGGATGGATGGACGGATGGATATCAAGGGTTCGAAATTTTCACTGACCGTATTGAATGATGGCCAAGAGGCGAGGTAAGGATGAGATGGCACCTGCCCTCTGGCGGGAGCTTGGGCCAACAAACTCTTGAGAGCGGTGTGCTGTGCCCATTTGCCTCTCTCCTTCTCCTTCCGAGTTACCGATTCTATCCCCGGGCGCGCGAAGCCTTTGGAGATTTGGTTAATCAATAGAGCCAATAGTCCCGTCCTCGCCAGCACCACTACTTGCATCCATGGTGTCTGCTCCGTGCGGCAGGCCCAGCATGAGACTCTGCCCTTCCCCGGGCATCTCGCAGAAGGTACAGGCGGCGGTGGCTGTGCGAGCCGCGGGCTTGAATCAGATCCTGCACGGCTCTAGTCAGGCACACGGCCGGCCATCGCATGGCCCCCAAGGCAGCTTATATTACTCAACCACTCTACTCTCAAACGTTCAACGAACCAGCGAGCTGCGATCCCAAGAGGTGGTTGGGTACTTGACATGGCCGATATTGGGCTACCATCCAATATCTTCCGTACCCCACCTGCGACTGACTGGTACTGCCCGTCCAACTTCTCGTATTAGTCGTGTGTTTGTGTGTGTGTGTGTGTGTGGTCAAGTTTTTGCGCCGCCTTGTTGCTTCTACACGAAATCTACGTCCATGTCGCTGATACATGGCTGACGACCGTTTCCCGACCCTGGGGAGGAGACTCTCACGTCCTAGTCCGTCCCCTCGCCACGCCGCCGGACCAGAATAAAGCAAAACCAAAAGGTACCTTTCCAAAACGGCCCCCCACCCATAAAAGGCAAGGGAAATGGAACGACACTACCTTTCTGTCTCCGGCTGCCAATCAGCGACACGGCCGCGGTGGGCCCTTGGCGTCTCCGCGTTGTCACCGCGTCCTTGTCCGCGTAGCGTCGGTAATCTGCCGTGTGGACATCCATCGCGCGCCTCCAAGATTCTGTCATCTTGGATTTTGGGGGATAAGCTCGTCTCCTGTCTCCGTATCGACTGCAACGGCAGACGGAGAAGGAGAGCGGTTGGGGTCGCCTAAACAGAGAGAGAAGTAAACATTCCGGGGGGAGGAGGGAACCATGCCGAACCGTTGAAATGGACCGTCTGTCTGAATAAGTAAATAGACATAGAGACAAACGTAGCAAATAATAATAATAACAATAATAATAAAGAAGCCCGCCCTTGCTTAGTGTCGCCGGCCAGGCCATAGTGGAACAACCAAAGAGACACTTAGAATTCAGGAAAGAAAGAAAAAGGGCCGTGAGAAACGGAACCGTTGCAGCCAGACCTCGCATTCGCGACTGGGCAGGGGGGGGGGAGGAGGCAAAGGGCGCCGTCAAAGGCTCCAAGGGAAGGACAAGAAAGACGACGCATACGCGACGTCTCTCGCCCGCCCCTCGGGTTCCGGCCCCATCAGGAATCGTAGTGACTCAAGCGCTCAAGCAACCGCCGATGAGGTGAGACCCACACCCGGCAGGAACACACAAAACGTCACTTCAAATGCCGTCGCCGTTGGGAAGGGAAGCGAGAAGAAAGAAGAGACATGAAAAAAAGAAAAGAGGAAGAAAAAATAGAGAGGCCCACAGCGCCGCGCCGCGCCGCGGGTGATGTGTCGGTTAAGGCTGGGTCAGAACCAACGCTAAGAGACGTGCTAGCTCCTCCGAGTATCTATGTAAGACGGGTGGGCGGACGGGCAGACAGACGCCTGGGAAGAGGGAGGGGGGAAAAGAAAGGAGGTCCCGGGAGGGCCAGAAACTCGAAAAAGTAAATACAAAGACACTCGAAAAACATCCGATTGGGACGCGCATGACGGCATCCGAGCCTGTCTTGTCTTGGAACTCAACATGTCCAAGTATGCAGGAGGTCCAGCCCCCATCGGCCGATGGGCTTACAGCATTGTTCACCGAGTCACGTCGCACACGGCAGCACATTCGAGATCGAGGGCGAGAGGCAAAGGTTTTGGGGGGGACTTTCAGAATGTTTGGCAGCGTGGAAAAGTGTCCCTCTCTCGGGGGTTTTTTTTTTTTTGGTTTGTTCAGGAAATTGGGTTTGTGTGTACAGGAAAAAAAAAGTGTTTGCGGCGAAAAGAAAAAAGTATCTTCTGTTTTGTCCTGATGATGGGTGACCTGCACTCACACCCCCGTCCGTCTTTCGCACTGATTTTTTGGTACTCCGTTCCGCGACCAACAAGAAAAGAGCTCAAGCGAAGCAATAATCCAACTCGAAGATGAATGGGTGGAAAAGTAAACACATGAAGGCAACGTGCCCCAGGCGGTAGACTCGCCCTCCCGAGAGAGAGGCGATCCGCTTCCTCGGCGCCGCGCAGAAGAAAGTTCCCTTGTTCCAAAGCGATGCTGGCTGCCGGCCTCCGAACATGCTGAACCAGATTACAACGAGCGTAGAGAAGAGTACGCTTGGGCCGCTGCCAAAAAAAAAAAGATGGAATCTTCTGTTTCCTCCCTTTGCTGCCTCTGCCGTAGCATGGAAACCCTCAAAAAGCCAAGCGTGGAAAGAAAAAAAATACCAAAATCATGCTGTTGCTGTCTGATTGAAACAAAGTCCGCCATACCTTACACGCCGTTGTCCCGAGTCCCGGTTTGCTCTTGCCCTCTGCCCTTGCGTTCTTGAACTTTTGTTGGTGATCCTCCTGCTTGCCCTTGAAACAACACCGTCCCTTTGATGCCGACCACACCCGAGACCGGTGACGGCTCCGGCATGTCTGGTGGCGGAAATACTGATACAGTGAAGACAACGCCTCGATGACTGAAAATGTCCAAACTCGCTTGCACTTTTCGCACGTGGGCCTCCCTGAGGTGGTCTATCTTCCGGTGGTTCATGATAGTCCTCCCGCGGAAGGGTTCCCCCCAGTGTGACCCTAGTGACCGATCCGCGTAAAACGTAGCGGGGTAGGCCTGGAAAGGAAAAAAAAGAAGTTGTCGTCATCAAAGTCGTGTCGGGCGTGATCGAAGCGACGATTGATCGCTGTCGATTGTGAAATTGAATGCGAAAAAACAAACAAAGCCACTCAGACTGTTCAGTCGGAGCGCTTGCGCTTCTTCTTGCTGTTTTCTTCTTCCGAGGAGAGCTCGCTAGCGCTTCCGGGGATCTCGGCAGCACACTGGAAGAGTACCTTGCCCAGTGTGTGGTAGTCCTCGGGGTGGCCCATCATGCTGTGGTCGAATGAGTGAACACCCGAGTCGTCAAGCTCCATGACGATGGCGCCGCTGCCGTGGGTTCTGGCGTGCTGGGACAGGTTGTCGCTGCGGGAGAACTTCTTGCCGCACTCGTGGCACTCAAAAGGCTTCTCACCGGTGTGGAGCGAGCGGTAGTGACGCTTGAGGTGCTCCTGGCGACGGAAGCGGCGGTTGCAAAGCTCGCAGACGAAGGTCTTGGAGGGGTCCTCGGTGAGGGACTGCTTGCGACCACGGCGGTTCACGGGCGCGGGAAGGGGGGCAGATGGGGTCTCCGAGTCGGACGAGCTGTTGGCCTCAGAGGCGGGAGCCTGGCTGTTGGATCGCTGCTCGCTGCTGGTGGCCTGGGAAGACCCGGCGGCCGAGTTCATCATGGACGTAGAGTTGCGGGGCTCCTGCTTGATCACCTTGCGACGCTTGTTCTGGTGGCAGTCGTTGTCGGCGCATGAAGATGAAGGGCTGGGGAGACAAGCCGGGACGGAAATCTCAGCGTCGTCGAAGTTGAACTCCTCACCAATGAAGCTGGCGTGGCCGAGTGAGACGACGCTGGAGCCGGTGCAGGCGCGAGGGCGGCGCACCTCGGCAGAGTGTGCGTCGCCTAGGTTGACGAGGCCGTTGACAAAGTCGTCTTCGGACTCCAAGTCAGACAGGTCCTCGAAGGCGGGAAGCCCGTGAGGAATGGCAGGGTTGAAGTCAAAGGTCTGGTGAGAGGGGGCCGAGGTGGGGGCCTTGGCAGAGACTTCACCCCTGAGCTCGTCACCTAGGGTGAAGGCAGAGTACTCGGGCGCCAGAGTCGGGTTGGATGTGTTGGGTGCAGCAGCGACAGTGAGGTTGCGCGGGTCGCAAAAGTCAAGATCCTGTTCGGAAGCGACCGACCTGGCGTACGGTGAGGGTGAGGGAGAAAGCGATGGGCAAGATGCTGTGGAAAGGAGGTCGCTAGTGTTGGTGCTAAGCGAGGGGACCTTGCTTGCTTGGTTTTGCAGGTAGACTGCCAAATTGAGTTAGCCTCTCGCATCAAAAAAACCGTCCCGAACAATTCCCACGAACTGCCCCGCCACGCTTTCCTTGCAGCCAACCCAACCCACCCCAGGCCGCCGAGAATGGGTGTCAAAGCCCGCCAAGCCTTTGCAGCTTGCAGCGGCACATGGATTGGGCTGGAAAGGAAAGTATGTCTACGCAGGTGAGAAATCACACGTTTCGATGTGCTTGCGACTTACCAGGTGTCATCGGGGGAGATCCGCAGCTGTTCCAGTCCACGGCGAGGTTCTCGGGCACTTCCAGCGTCTCCTTGAAGCCGTCCAGACCGTCAAAGCCGTCCAACCCAGAGAACATGGGGTTCATTGGCGTTTGGAGGAGCTCGCAGGTGTTGTTGGGGCTGCTAATGGCGCTGCCGCAGGTCGACAAGGGTGGTGTCGAAGGGAAGTAGAGGTTGTCGTCGCACATGTCCGTCTCCAGCATGATCGCGGGCTTGTGGGTCATGGGTTGAGGCGAAGCCATCGGCGTCATGTTCGCGGGTCCGTTGCTGTACAGCGTGGGGCCCATGGGCTGCGAGCAAGACGAGTTGGGGCGCGAGTAGATGGGCGTCGAGGGCAGAGTCGGGACCATGGGGTACATGGCCATGTGCTGGTGCATGTTAGGCTGCTGGGAGAAGTGGCCGCGGTGCCTCGAGGTGTCGGGCTTCTGCTCGGGGCGGTAGTAGAGGAAGGGGGCTTGTCCCATTGCCTGGGCCGTCATCATGGTTGCGTCCATTGTGATGCGTCTACTCGTCTGATCAGTTGCTCGGTTCTCCCAATCGTGTGCTACAGCTTCGTCAAGAACGCACCAGACAAGGTTGTCGTATTGCGCTGTGTTGTTAGTGGGCAGATGTTCGGGTCCGCCTTTGCTTGATTAGTCGTATGATGGTTGTTGGTGTTGCGCTGTAGCGGTGATTGTTGTTGTTTGTACACTTGGTTCGTGGGCGGTTGGCCTAATGACGGTGGTTTTCGGTTTCCTGGATGTAAAGGATAGGACGACGGGCCGTTGATGGACAATGACCGTCTGGGTGTTGGGTGTGACTCGATGAGTGAAAGTGTGGGTTGTCTTAGTTGTACATGAAACTCGTCCAGAGTGTTTCTATCGCTCTTCTGTTCTTCGAAGTCGGCGTTGAAGTTGTTGAGAGAAGTCGTGATAGAATGACTGGCTGAGTGTCTGAATTACGGGCTCAAGACGGTTTGTTGGATATGGTTGTGTGTTTAAAGGAAGGACGGGGATGGTTCGAGCAGGTCGAAGTGTTTCCCAAATATCGAGTCACAAAAGAAGGAAGAACCGAGTGGTCATAAGAAGAAAAGATCACAGCGCACAGTAGCCGACAGGAGTGTCGATCGTGAAATAGCGAGGGTGAAATGAATGTGGGTGATGAAGGGGGATAAGTAGAAGAGAGTCCAAGATCAACCGACTGGCCCAAGATAAAAGTCGTAGATAGGCCCTGGGTATGGGACACCGAGTACCAAGCCAAAGTGGCAGACCCGACCCAGACCAGGCCACACCAGACCCTAGCGTACCTTGAGGAGACGGACCCTCGTCCTCGTCCCCTCCTCTCTTCTCTTCTTCCCTCTCCACGCAGACATGTCTCACCCACACAAGTCGACCGGGGCCAGGGGTAGAGCGATACGTATCTGTGGATCACGGTACGTATATGCCCGACTACCTAGGGTCGATGGGTGGTACGTACTGCAGCCCTCGTCGGACGGTACGTACCTCCCTCTCTCTCTCGGTCGCTGGGATGGTGTTCCGTTCCTAGCGTGTGGGTTCGGAGGGGATGGAAGTGTGAGTGGGACACCCACACCACGCTGGACGCTAGACAGTGGACAGATGGAGGACTGGTGGTGGATGGATGGGATGGGATGGGCGACGGCGGCGACGGACCAGGAGCAGGAACACCAAGGCAGCCGAGACGGTGCGAAGGCTAGGCCCCTGTTGCTAGGCCGATCTCACGAGTACCTCTGCTCTTCTTCTCTGGCTGAGGCCAAGCGGAAACAGCAGGCAGATAGATGGTGTTGGCGGGCTCTCATGCTACAGTATCGACCAGCACCGTATGCTGAGTGGTGGTGAGGGATGTGATATGTGGTGCTGGGTGTGGGTGGGCTGGGAGAAGATGGCACAGCCACCAGCTCGGTTCTAAATCTGGAAGGGCAAAACGCAGGTACGGGCCGGAGGTTCTACGTACCGTTCCCTCCCACTCAACTCTCTTGCCCACTTGTCTGCGCAGAGAGCGACGAAACGGAAGACAAGACGAGACGACACGAAGCGGGAGAGGCCACCTCACCGTGCCCGGAGGTACCGCAGTCTGAAGAGTACATGGCATCTTGCTGGTCCCTGTGCGTGCCAATGTACTTTGCCCTCTGTCCCTGAACCCCGGCGTCCACCCACGTTCCCCAAAAGGTCATCATGCTCTTTTGCTTCCTGCCACCGAACCTGGTGCAGGCTGGAGGCCCTCCCAAGCCCCGGAGACCTTGTCTTCCAATACTGTGATATACGGGGTCGACTAGCTACGTAGCTAGCTGGGTTGCCTGTGTGCGAGCAGACCAACAGACGCACACATACGACATCTTGCAGGACTACGCCAGCCTCGACACTGCGAGACCGTCGCGTCTTAGATGGAGTCAACCGTGTATTTTTCAGAAAGAACAATGTTAACCCCTAGTCCCATACCGCGGCCTACATCCGCCTCCATCGTTTCCTTGACATGAGCTGGAGGGTCCCTACACGTCGTCATGTTGCTCTCAGACACCCACGGCAACGGAGCCAATGTAAGCAGATGGCGTTGACGGCGGCCATGAACGGGCGTCGCGTCACTGCCCGGACCTGAGCACGGAGCGGCGCTATACACACAACTATTGCATATTGTCGGCCTTTGTGTGCATGAGAGCGTCGTACATAGTGCTGGCTACGTTTCCTTGTAATTAATGAACCGAGCCATGCGTTGGTGGTGGTGGCACTCTCGCAAAGTTCCGTCGTGTGGGAAAGGGAAAGAAAGAAGAAGAAAAAAAAAAGAAAAAAGGACAGTACATCGTCTAGGTACCCATCCAGCTGGAGTACACCGAGCACTTGTTCGCCCAGTCTCTACAATAGTTGTGAGGGCCATCGGCTGGAAGGTCTTTCTCGGCCTGCCACCAACAGTTGTCCCATACGAGATGAGACTGGTCCGACAGGCATTGTAGATCAATGAGCAGCGAGTGCATCAAGGTAACTCAGACAAGCTGCATTAACCCGAAGCTCTCTGATGATAGGACAAAAAATCGAGGCACAAGTGGATAGTGTGCGTCGATAAGACAAGCTGTCGTCCACAACTGGCACAAATGGCTGCCTCGATTGGCACTCGCCATCTCAGCCCAGCCTGGCGCGCGTCCGACCACATTCTTGGGCAACGTCATTCGCTGGACCGGCCCTGTGTCGACAGTCACACACATGTAGACACACTTATGCTGCACACCAGTCGCATCGCTCGCTTCGCTAGCACACACCAGCAAACCTCAGTCGAGGTGCGGATGTAAGGCACAAAACCAGCGAGTACTAGACGGCGTTGCGCCGTCAGTTGCTGATCATTTAAGTTTAGCTGTAGTTGCAGCAGCGGCAACGGTGACGGCGATGGCAGCACACGGTATCAGCGGCAACCGAGGAAAGGGTTGGCCTGTTTCCCCTGCGAGCGAGCCGCCAGCTGCCGCTCGTCGTCTTGGTCACGGTGGCTCCGGGGCCACAACAAGCTTCGCCCTCGCGAGCGCATTTGTTACCCATTGTCATGCTTCGGGGCGGCTGAGCTAATTTGAGCTGGGGGCCGCGCTGTGCATATTGGATTATCTAGACAAGCGAGTAGGACATGCCCGAGGAGGTCGAAACGCAGAGCTTCGCGGCAGATGGTAGACTCCCCAAGCAGCATTGATATCGGCGGCCAGGGTGGCCGGCGGGTCGTCTTCATGCCAGAACCACAGACACGAACGAAGCTTGTCAGTTGCCATCAAAGTTGAAGAAACAGTGGGATTGGCAACTTCCAGCTCTGGAGAAGCCGTGTGTGGCTCATCCGTCCGATGTCGTCAGGCACATATTGGCGGTGATATTGCAGACCCGGCTTTCCAAGAATAATAGCCGACAACGTTGAAAATATTAATTCGTCCGAGTCTTGAATAAATTGTGAAGATGGCCCTGGCGGAGGCCGCACACCCACCCACTTGTCCCCCGTTATGCGCCGTGTCTCTCCCCTCGGAGGCCACCGTTTTCTTCTGCAAGCCCTTGGATTCCTCGGGTGGGAACCGAAGCCAACGGCATGCGAGGGGGCTACAAGCCGGTTGTTTCCCCGTTCATAGCACAACCGGATTCCTTGGAAGCGGCGAACATGTGAGCGCGCTCGAATAATGCTCATGCATACTGGCGTCGTATCCAGGGCGCCAACGGGCCTCGTCGATCCAGCTGTGCAAGCCCTCTCCATCCGGTGGGTAGGGTGGTTGTGCAGGAACACGAAACGCACAAAGGATGTGTGATGGGGATAGAACTGGACCATTCAGAGGGCTGAGATGGCGCATCTTGGTACGACCCCTGCAAGCACCTTAGGGCAACGACAACCTCTGCCAGAGAGGTGCCATTTGCACCACTAAGCGTCCGTTGAGAGCGGCCTGGCATCTCAGTGGCCAGCTCGACGGCCCATCACACGCTCGCTGTCGCCAGTCAACGACCCCGCGTCGCGCTTTGAGCTTTTGGGTGTGGCTTCCACGGCATCGTGTTGGCCATCGATGACGCAGGCGCCACTAGCACGGGTTTGGGGGGCGCGCGCCTGGTATATCACGATTGGTTTGGCGAAAACGTTGACGGGCGTCGTTCCTGGTTTGGACGTCTTGTCCATTCTTTCACGCGTCTGTATGCTGGGTCGAGCCGGCGCGAAGGGGCGCTGGATTGCTGACTGCGTCACCCGACCATTGCCCCGCCAAACGCGAGTCGAGTCGGTTCGATTCGAGGGCTCTCGATGGATCTGGCGACATGAATCTGGACTGGCTGTCCCGGTTGGTCCAAGGGCTTGGTGACACCCAAGCATGAACCTTGACACCCCTGGCATCGTGGGCGCGTTGGCGGGAGCCTCTTGGGATCCCGGTGCATAGACGACAGGCGTCCAGGGACGTGAGGGTTGGGACTAATCAAGCCTCGCAAGTGGCCCGCGGCCCGCGGCTGATGATCATGGCGGGACAGGGCGGGCAGCGAAATGATGGTGAAGCAGATCAACGAAGCCAGCGAGATAGGAGCTGATGTTGACACGGGCACACGGGCGGCGGGCGACAAAGTGACATCCGAACTTTCAGGTCCGAGCCATTCCGTACCGTACTGCCAGCGACACGGCAAATTGAGGCTAGGTCGAAAAAGAGAAGTGTTTGTCGCCACCGCATCGCGAGGAGGTCCATGCAACAAGCGTTCAAGTTGAGGCAGTGCTCGCCGTGCATGCCGTCAGGCAAAGTACGAACAGACTAACGAGGCACGAAGGCTGCATCGGGAGTTGAGGTGATGTGGTCGGGTAGGTCGACAAGGTAATGTACGTAGTGTATGAACCCATGGATGTGACGGCTGCTGAGCTCAGTATGGTAGGGGACGGATGGGACGGACGGGCAGCGTGCCTCTTCGGATGGGATGGATGTCGTTGGGTGTGTGTAAGTCAAGTTGAATGCGGTGTCGCTGGGAGGGGAGCATCTGGGTTTGCTAGGCGCAGCATGTACCTACCTACTTTACCATGTGTGATCTTTAGGTTTCTCCAGGGAATGGTCGCAAGGCAGAGATGCACGGAACGCCCAAACATTGAGCTGAATGTCACAGGCAAGACCTCGCAGGCACCAGACGGACGGCCAAGGATTGTGTGCCCGCAGATGCAGATGCAGATGGATGCAGTCGCAAAGTGAAGGTGCACCTCAATCAAGATGGGAAGGAGCTAGCTGGCAGGCAGGCACGGACGGACGGACCAACGACTCTTGCCCTACATAGTAAGTCTTGCTCGAGTAGTGTAGGTGCCGTAAATCTCTCGTTTGGTACACGTGATACGATATGCGGTGTGGGGGAAGGAAGGGAAGGAACATACATGCCTACCTAGTTTAGGTAGGTACTGACAGCGCGTCTGGAGGGTTGTTGCTGTTGCTGCCGCCGCCGTTGGATGGATGCATGCCTGCCTGCCGCAGAATTGATTCCTCGCGGGGAAAAACAAACCCTTGGGTGCAGCAAATGCGCTCCCGAGTCCCCTTTCCTGTACTGTAGCGTAGCGTAGCGTCGAGAGTGCAGCGAGCAGCTGCTTCCCTGGGCTGGAATCCCGATCCCCTCGATGGCCCATCCCATCCCATCCCATCATCCATCCATCGTTTCGTCGAGGCATTCCAAGGACCTTCCCTTCCCTTCCCTTGGTCGAGACTCCCGAATCCGCATCCGATGCGGATGGTGATGCCATCACGCGGTCACGGGCGAGGCAACTATTACTGGGGCGTCTTTAACTCGGCGTACTCCGCTCCAGCTTTCTCGACGCCCGATACTTTTGAAACGACACATCAACGTCTAGATCCAAATGGCTCTCCACCGTCCATCACCACGACATCGAATGAACATGCCTCGCAGGAGACGGACGCATGGTATCCGCCTTACGTACGCACTTGTTTTTGACCAATGCGCCCACTTTGCTTTGAACATGACGCAGCACCTTACCAGATGTTCCCGAACCTGCGTGGAACACCCATGCCTGTCTTCTCACCACTCTGTCCCATCGACCCTGTGGCCCGACTTGGGCCACCTTCGCCGTCACAACCACCGCCGGATCGAAATTTTCACACGCACGCACACGGAACAGAATTGATTGCTGTACCTTACAGGAAACGCCATGCAAGGGACGCCGTGAGATGCGGCATGTGTACTGTCGCTATGTGTTCATGTGCGTACCCAAGGCATATCTGATGTCAGCACTTTTACCCCTCACTCACCCTTTCGCTCCCTTGCAACACCCCGCTTCACTCTCACCACACCCTCACGATGCCCGCCTAGACGGTCGGACTGCCAGGCACCCCCAAGAAACCCTCCGCGTACTGTTACCCGAACATCCTGGTCGCGCCGCTTCTGGAATCGGAAGTCTTGCCTTATCGATACTCTCAACCTTGGCACTCTACGACGTGACTCTGCGGTCCTCACTTATCTGTCGGGACGTCAATATCTGTTCCTGCTAAACCGCCATGATGATGATGGTGCTCGCAAGGACAGCGCCCCAAGGGCCACGCTCTGGCTACTCATGCCTTGGGATGCTGCCGCGCACATACACTCCTTTGAAGTATCTAAACAAGGGGCTCTCGTCAACACCTGATCCTTGATCGCTGCTCGCCTACGGATATGCCACACTTTATCTTACACTTCCGAACCCACGGGCTCACGTCAACTCCACGTCCGTCTCGTCCAGATCACGATTTCGCCAGCCCGGCCCTCACAACCCAGGATGTCAGAGGCAGCCGACGAGAAAGCGGCTTGCATCTAAGCTATCATCTTCCAACCGTTCAAGGGCTGGTTCCGACTTTGCATTGGCTATACACAACCCCTGCGCACCAGTGGCAGCTTGTTGGTTCTCCGTTGATTGCCTCGAAGCTAGGATAATGCCCAGATCGCGTTCCAACCACCCTTAGTGAATCCAGCAAGGAATCGATGAACGTTAGCACCGATTCCAAAACCAACGCCAATGCCAATCACCCCAACCAACAGCCAACGAGCCAACGAGCCAATGCAAGAACAAACAACTCAGCAGAGAAGAAGCAAACTTCCTCGGTCTGATTAGTCCCAATCCTGTTGGATCATTCAGCGTGGCTGCTTGAGAAGTGATCGACTACCCGGGGCGCTGCGCCGCTTCAAGGACTGTCCAGTAGATGAAACGCAGCGTTGTTCGCAACGGCTGGCCCGTCAACTAGTTGCCTAGCTTTTCTTTCACAACGGCTCTGTTCTCATACACATGTGTCTTTCCAACCATCTGCAAGGTACCCGCGTCTCTTTGTTCGTATTTCAAACGGTCTGAGCTGCCGACTAACAAGATATCTAATTGGGTTTTGCTATTATTATAGTGCGGCTGACTAAACTCGCTACATCCACTAGTTACACCAAACACATTGGCTAGGAAGGGCAAGGTGTGTGAGTGCTTCAGTAGGGACTGTGCATCGGCCGGTATCATGTTCTTCTCCCGCTTCAGCCTCTTTCCACTCAACAATTGCAATACCAAAAGGTCAGAACCAATGCTCGATACGACGAACTTATGCTCACCTGCATTATTCCGGCTAGGTCCAGCCAGTGCAACTTCATTCACCATCGCCTGACGGTAGAGCCCTATTGAAACGGGTCACTGTCACGAGTGACCTCAGCTTCAGACCGCCCCGATGGTTACCTTTCCACCAGGTCCTCTAGCTGAGACGTTAGTTCTTTGCATAAATCGCACCAGCAGTCTTATGGCGTCGGTTGTGCATTAGTCTCACTGTATGTTCCATCCAGCTGTGACTGGCCGACGGGCAGAGGACGCACGCACAATGGGTCAAACAGCTGCGCCGCCGCAGCACAAAGCGGGCACAAACCGGCTCGATCCCGCGGCTTGCACCACTGGCGACTCGACTCGACTCGGTTCTGGCCTTATCATCTCGTTATTATGGCAGTGGATGGTCCGGCCTGAATCCCATGCAGCCATGCATTAGAGGCCCAGGTCTCTTTCGCAGCGGAGACACTGCACATTCTTAGTAGCTCTTCCGGTGGGTGACGGCGTAGAGGCGGGCTGTGCTGGGCATTACGTTGCACAACTCGCATGCACTATCGGCGGTAGGCTTCCCAATGGGGCAGCTTATCATGATCCGTCTCGCCCACGCTGATCACCCACAAGCTCGTCCGTGGGTGCGTGGTCCTCAGAGCTGGGTACATAGTGTACGTTCCGGCGAGTTTGTACTGGGAAGCCATGTCCAGTCAAATCCCTGACGATTGTCCAATCATCAATTTGCCTCCGTTCATGCGACCACGCAACCACACCAGGGACTTCTACTCGACTGGTGCCTCTCGTCCTGTGGGCCTAGATGCCCACCCAGGGCCTGAGGTACCCTACAAGAGAAAGTACTTGCTGCCCCGGTGCTAACCAGCCATAAATGGATGTATCATGCATACTGTACGTGCAGTAGTAGTGTTTCTGAAGTACCGTCTATCGCTCCCACGCATGCAGGAACAAACGAACGGTTGCACCATCGTATGCAGGTACGCTAGATAATCCACAGTTTTCCAAGGCTTCTTCATCCGTCTCTCCAACGCAGCTCGTCCCACCTTTCTTGTCCGGTCAAGTTCAGCACTGTAACACATCTTCCAATGTCAGGTCCACTGACGTCGACTGCCCGCTCACTGGCTCTACCACTTGCTGAGTTGTAAGTCCAACCGTTTCAGCTTAACTTTTGGGCCATTGAGAGTTATCAGTATGCCGGTGGCTCGGGTCCGCTTGACCAGCTACTGGCAACGACAATCACTAAGAGCCCTGCGGCTGGCCAGCTGCACCAGACTACCATGCCAAAGTGCACCCAGCCACCGAAAAGATCAGTGTTGAAGGCCCAAAATGCCTCGCAATAAGTACGAGAACAAGGTACTCTCGGTCGGACCATGGGTGGTGGTGGATCCCACCAACAGCACCCTAGACTTCGCGGAACCGGCAATACAACGCTTGGGAACTTCCTAAAGCCTTACCAAGAAAAGCGACTTGTGGTCTGTGGATTTTCCAGCCGAATAGGAACGCAGCGTATGCAGCCGACATGGGATGGCATGGAGAATGATTGCCCGCTAATGACCTTTACGGACTTGAGTTCGACTGAAGTCGACGGGGCCGGGGTCTTA